TTAAGGCATGTTTAGAAAAGAATCCAGTAGATAGAATGAATCCTTCTGAACTCTTAACAACCAGATTTATTACAATTTATAATGGATCTGATCGACATCATTTTGGAGATATTGCACATAGACGTATCATTTCAGAATTTTTAAATAGATAAATTTCTGTTAAGTTCAGTCATTTGCTTTAATTCATATTGAAAATAATATTTGATCACATGTTATAGGTTTGCTGATTGAGGAAATTGGAAAACTTCAATTTTTGATAAATTGTTTTATTTACAGAGCTCAGTAACAACATCCCTTCTTGTTTGATGAAGTTGTTTCATTTTCCTTATCTTTATCATTCTTATCAAAATTACTGTTTTGTGTTGCTCCAACCACGTTCAGTTCTGTTTTTTTATGATCTCCTAAATTATTTTGACCTTGTGTTTGAAGTGTCATATTTTTTGTAATTTTCATGATATGAGAAACCAAAAAGTGGAATGCAGTGTCAATATTCACATTCTTTCTTGCTATGTAAAGTTTCAAAATAAAAAAGTCACTAAATGCACTTACCTGATGTTTCAAACCAAGCAATAAATCCATTTTCCTTTGCAAACTTATTCATCTTTGTTTTATCGATTGTAATTTCTGGTAAATCACACTTATTAGCTAACAAAATCATTGGTATTGGTGTAACTCCATCTGGTAAAACTACTTTAGAATTAATATCATCTCTCCACTTTTTAACATTATCCAAAGTTGAAGGTCTTGAAATATCAAAACAAACAACTGCTGCAATAGCATATTTATAATAAACTCTTGTCATGGCTAATATATTTCAATTATTATCATTATTATTATACTAATAATAATTAACAATCACATACCCTATTATTATGATTATGATTATGTATTATTATGATTAAATATATTTTGAAAATATTCCAAATAATCAATTTGATTGAATTTAAATATTTAGAATATAAAATTGAATATATAATTGAATATATTTACCCCAAATCTTTCATGTCCAGCAATATCCCATAATTGTAAAGAAACTGATGTATTTTCATTCCAATCTATATGTTTTAAACAAAAATCAACTCCAATAGTTATACGATAATTGCTTGTAAACTCTCCTGTACAATACCTCCGAATCAAACTAATTTCCTCATCATGAGATTATCAATATTAATTTAAATAAATTTACCTTGTTTTTCCAACAGCATAATCACCAACAACAAGTACTTTATAGAGGTGATTATTAGTCTTGTTACTTGGTTGATTGGATTGTGTTGTTACATCTCCATTCATCATCATTATACCATTTCCACCACTACTACTGCTACCACCACCGATGGTATTCATTGATAAAGTTGGATCAAGAACTTCATCATGAGTTGTACTATAATGTAAAATTTCATCGTCTTCCATCTCGTTATTATTTGTTATTGTTGTTATTGTTGTTGTTATTTTAAAATACACAGAGAGATTATATATAATTCCAATCAATTTAAAATCCTTCTTCTTCTTCGTATTGACTTTCAAATGGTCAGTAGTGATGAGTACTAGTAGCAAAGCCTTTGAAAGATTTTTTAATTTTTTTAAACTCCGTATTTCTCTCCCAATAGAAACTCCCCAACTTTGAATCAATACTGAAAGTCATATGGAACAACACAGAAAAACGTGATTATGTTCATGTTATGATCAATGTAAAACGATGATAGTAATATTATAGTAATATTATAATAAGGTTGATAAATTCATTAATTTACTTTTTCTTTTTACTTTGTTTCTTCTTATTAAAATCAACATCACTTCGGAATTTCTTCCTCATATCAATGGCATCTTCTTTATCAGCATAATATCCCTTTTCAATTTCAAACTCTTCAAATCCTAATGTATTATGATATAATGAAATGGCAGCATTATTACTCTTTCTTACGTGAAGGCTAGCGTAGGCTGCTCCATATGAATCTTGCATAGCTCCTTGTGCCATATTCATCAATCTTTTAGCCATACCTAATTTTCTATGTGATCGGAGAACTGAAAGACTTGTAATATGACCATGAGGATAATCAAACTTTTCATCATATTCTTCCTCCATTTTAGACATGACATATCCGACAAGATGACCTGGTCGATCTTCAGCAATATATTGTGATTGTGGCCAAGACAAGGCATGATATAAATAATATTTCATTTGATAATTTTCTGGAAGACAACTCAAGTTGCAATTTTGCATTGCGAACAAGTCGGCAACTCTAGCTCTACGTACGTTCATTTTTTTTACTAATAATTAAAATAGAAATTTTAAAATATTTAAAAAATAATTAATGTGGATATCCTAAATTATCCCTTCCACCCGATGCTCAGACTTTTTGTTCATCAGCCACGCTCAGACCCTTCAGTATCGGCGCAAGCGAAAAACGGGAAATGGTCTTCTAATTCAACTTCTATTTGGTTCATCAAATGAATAAAAAATAATATTTTTCCAATTTATTGGCGCTTCGAAAAACCGTTACACGAAGATATTTATTTCTCAAAATGATGAGATCAAAGTTATGATTTAGACTTGAGATGATGGAAGAAGTAAAGTATCAACTTATGGGCAAGGTACTTATGATATAATGAATTTTTTGATGCACTTGATCGACAAAATTCATCTCAAGATTTGAGACAGCAACAATCACCTAGTCAATTATCAACATCTATGAAATGATGATGTAATAAGCTGTAATGGTAGGCCTACCTACCAAAATGCATGGCTGTAGTAGGATTAACTCAATACACCATACAGCACATAGTGTTTGATACAGATATGTCCCATTATGAAAGTAATTCGTTGAGAATTTACTGTCATCATGATTTAATTTTATTATTCATTTGATGTTCCAAATAGAAGTTGAATTAGAAGACCATTTCCCGTTTTTCGCTTGTGGCAATCTGAAAAATCCAGGCCAAAAAATTTTCGATTTTGAACAAATCCAAACCAGCATCGGGTGGAAGGGATATCCTAAATGACATACATGTATTGTGTCAAAAGAATGAATTGTATTTGCAATATTTCATAAAAAAACTATTAAGAAAATATCAATGAGAGATGAAAGAACTCTTTGGATGAACATTTTACCGCTCAATATATATTTGATGGCTGTTGAGGTTTTTAAAAATAAAAAATGCAACAACCACCATTAAGCAAATCTCCAATAACTACAATCAATAACACTGATTCAGCCTCATCATCATTGGAAGCCTTCAAATTTGGAACACAAAATGAATCAACAAGACCAAAGAGTGCCTCCCGACCAAGAACACCTAATTTTGACAATCCTCTCGATATTTCCCCTCAATCTACTAGAGACTTTATTAGAACGAGGAAGGACAGTCTTGCCTTTGCGGATGAGCAAGGAAACTTTTTAACAAAAACAATTCAAGATGAATTTGAAAAGATTAAGGATAAAGTCTCAAAGGAAATGATGGCAGATTCATTTGTGGATCTTGCTCGCCTTGGTAAAATTGAATTAGTAAAGGAATGGTTGGAACAATCAGGAATGGATCCGAATATGAAGAATAAGAATGGTGTAAGTAGAATGAGTATATTTTAATTTCTAATATTTCAAAAATAGCAAGTAAGTATTTATAATTTGGTATAGTTTACAAAATAACAATTTAGACAGCAATGTTTTGGGCAGTAAAGAAGGGAAATTCAGCACTAGTAAAATTATTGGAATTACATGGAGCTGATTTGGAATAATTATTGTTCTGATGATTGTGACATTACCAAATCAGGGAGAGCATTCAAAATTTGTCTGTACAAGTTATTATAATCAATAATGCTTCCTTTTCCTCTTCTAAATTCCACCAGACAAAAACCGCCTTGAGTAGCTTCAATTTTAACACTAAAAGTTAATCCAACTTGTTGAATAGTAGCAAAACATTTCAAATCTGCAAAATTATGATCACTATTTTGTTGTGAAAGTTTAGAATCACCTAAGTGTGTCGTTGAAACTTTAACTTGTAAAACATCTGATAGAGTTGATTTGATTTTTTCCAAAACTGAATGCTTATCTCCTCCTGCAATAAATCTAGTTTCACGTCTAATAGTTACTTGATTAGTGGTAACTCTTTGAACGAGTGGATTAACAATACCACTCATCATTATACTAGCCAAATCAAATGCATTCAATAGTACTTTCTTTTCTACCAAATTTGGTTCAGATGATAGAACAGATTCATTGGCACACTCCTTAACTGAACTATCAATTTGTTCCTGTGTTAAATTTTCAGAAATTAAACCTTCAGTAGAAATTAAACTTGATGTTGGTGATGATGATGATGATAAATTGTATTCTTCCTCCTGAGTAAACCACGGATGTTTCAGTACACTCTCTGTTGAAATTCTAAAATCTGGATTAACTACCAACATTCTTCTAATTAAATCTTTAGCATCCGATGAAAAATATTCAGGAAATGGATTATATTCTCCATTCTTAATCTTTTTAAATAATTCTTTTAAGAAAAATAAATAGATTAATGTTTTGAATTCAAAACTGCTTACCTTGTATGGAATCAGCTGAAAAAGGAAAGTGACCAGACAACATGACATATAATATTACACCACATGACCAAATATCAGCTTTTTTACCATCATACCCTTTTTCCATTAATACTTCAGCTGTTTTTTTGTTACGACAATTGAAATATGTTTGTAAATGAAAATATTATATTAAATATTATTGTAAATCTCAATAATTAATTATTAAAATAATAAATATTACATACGTGCAACATAATTTGGAGTACCACATGTAGTAGTTAACATCTTTTTTGAATCACCTGCTCCAACACATAAAGCACTCAAACCAAAATCACTAATTTTCAAAACATCCTTATCATCCAATAATAAATTTTCAGGTTTTAAATCTCTATGTGATACACCTTGTTCATGACAATAGTGAATTCCTGAAATGAGTTGATGGAAATATTTTCTACATTGACATTCATCAAATCTTTTAGCCTTTACAATACCTATTATATATTATTATCATATGTATTCATAATTATTATTATGATTAATTATTATTAATTATTATTAATTTAATTAGTAAATCATATCCGATAGTTATCATTTGTTTAATATTTTCATCACATCAATAAATAAAATATTCATGATGATGATCATCATCGGAATGAAAATGATCATCATACAAAATAATAATAATAATTAAATAAATAATTAAAATGATAATGATGATGAAATACATTGTTAAAAAAACCTACGATCAAACAATTCACCACCAGTAACCAATTCTAAAACAATATAAATATTACTAGGTGATTGTAAAACTTCACGTAATCTAATAACATGTCGATGTGATAATAATTTCATAATGGCAATTTCACGTCTCAGTTGAGATTCCAAATTTTCCTGTTGAATCATTTTACGATCAATGATTTTAATAGCCCACGTTGTTCCATCATTCATATCTTGTCCATATTTAACTTTGGAAAAGTTTCCTTTACCAAGTGTTTGATATAATTGATATTGTCCTATAATATTGTTTTTGTAAATATTATCAAGTATTATAATATTATTAGTATTGTTAGTAATATTATATGTAAATATATATTGTGAATGATGATGACAGATTCATTGTGTTAGAAAAGTTGGAAAGTTTCTTGAATCCATACCTATTTTTGAGACCATTTTTTTTTAATATGACATTTCGAATAAGTTTAAAGTTTAGTTTGGAAAATAGATTCTCCCAACATTGAGATACAACAAGACAATCAGTATTGACAATTCTCTTGAAACCACATTAACTTTATAGAAAATCTGAATGGTGGATAATAATATTGTAAATCATTTTATTATTGAAGTAATTGAATAGTTACATATCCATGTGTACTATTAGCATCTTCCTTTCCATCTTGATTAATTCCTCCATTAAATGAAATAGCTCCATAATCAGGAAATGGTATATCATACTTATTCTCAGGAACACATGATCCACCAATATAACCTCCACCACCTCCACCTTCATGTACAGAAGCTTATTTAAATTAATTTGAAATTAAAATCATAATAATATGAATATATTCATAATTGTAAAATAATTGTAAAATATTTGTAAATAAATGTGGAATTGAAGTAACTTACCACCTCCACCACCAAATCCACCATTGGCTCCATAAGAACCATTATAACTACCACCTTGACCACCTCTACAGAAACTGACACCAAATCCATTAGTGGAAGTTTTATCCATTTCTCCATCATTAATCCATCCAGCACCACCACTTCCTCTACCAGCTTTTCCAATTGAGAGTGAAGCATCTTGAGCTTTTGGTAATCTACCACCAGGTCCATTCGTTTTCCAACTACTCCAACTAGCACCATTTCCTCCAGCTGCTGCAATTAACAAGATTGGAGAAGAATTCTCAATTTTCTTGCTGCTATTATTACCAATTGAGCAAATAAATGTTCCACCACCACCACCTGCACCACCACCACCACTTCCACCAATAGCAGAACTTCCCTGCTGACCAACAAGTATTTGTAAAATTGTATTCCTTTCCAAAGTGAAATCACCTGAAATGATAGCTCCGTAACCTCCTCTCTTTCCATTGGAAGGATTTGATCCACCACATGCACCTGCAGCAATGATTTTATACTTTCCAGTGAATGGAACTGTCCACTGTTGAATTCCACTGTTAATGAGAGTGACCTTATCTTTCATGTGAAGATTGTTATTGTAAAAATTCCCAATCTGTGTGGGACCAGTTCTTCCTTCTGCTCCTAGATTGGTGAATTCCACTTTTAAATCTTTCTTTTGAATGGATTCTGCTTTAATCTTTCCCATTTTCTCAACGACGGTAATTACCTGACTGACAATTGTGTAAAAGTTAATGAGATCAATGTTATGAAGATCTGATAAGTGAGTGAATAGTTCCTTTTCAGTTGCCAATTTGAAATCCTTCTTAACTTGATTGTATTTAACAACCTTGGCAAACATCATTTCAAAATTTGACATATTGTCAATTTCCTTAAAAGTTCGTTCCAAATCTAGAGTCTTTTCCTTGAAGGAAATCAGATTATTCACAATAGAACTCTTTTCATTACATTTTGTATCAATTTCCCTATTCAATTCTTCCTTTCTCAATTCCAATTTTTGTTTCATCTTTTCAATTTCATGACAAACTTGTTCTTTCAAATCCATTTTCTTCTTTTCAATAACACTCAACTCTGTTTTTAAATCTTCATCTTGTGAACTACCCTTCTCCTTATGCCATTCTTCAATTTTCAAAGTTAGTTCATCCACTAGTTTCGGCAATAAGATTCGTTCCTCTTCACTTGCATCATCTATCAGAGCACAATCATGTCCTTTATGTTCCTTTGTAAAACCACACGTTGGACAAACCAAACTCTCACAAGTTCTACAATAAATATTTATGGCTAAATTGTGTTGAGGACAAATTTGATCTGAAAGTGGACTAATTTCATGAGTGGAATATTTTTTTGAGTGTTTCTTCTTGTGGAAATCACATAATTTGACATTACATTGAACACAGGAATAGAGTGCCAATTCTTCATCGTCATCTTCAAGACAAACTGAACATTTGTGTTGGTGGACTCTCATTTTTTTTTAATTGTGTTGATTTGTCACTAATCATTTGAAAATTGTGTTAGTGACCACCCATTATAATCATTAGAACAGAGATGATGATTATTATAATGGGTGGTATTTGCAAAGTAATACTATTTCCTAAATGGTACTCTTTGCTAAACATTCACATAATCCAATTCAACTTGTTGCTTAATTTTTTATCCTTTGAGAATTTTCCAGGGTCTTTTGATTTCACAAATTTTACTGGAGGGCAATGTGTTGAGAGTATTCAATGAAGAGGAAGAGATTTCAATATTCGTTTCTCCCTTGCTCCTCTGTAGGAGGAAGGTGAGGAAAGTTAACTAAATGATCTTTTAGATATTGGAAAGAGGAAAACAAGATGAATTTGAAGCTGTTGTTTATTGCATTGAATTTCTTAAACAGTTCAAATTGTAATAAGGAATTACTCATAGGTAAATTGTTTTTTGAATAGAAATTATTAAGGTTAAGATCGTCTGCCATTAATGTATTCATGATTAAGGTATATTACAAAAGATACCACTACAGTTTTGCATACCATGCACAGACTCTGCTTGACGAGACGCAGTTATTGGAAATATTTCGTCTTAACTATTAACTAATGATTACGCATTGCTCTAAACAGAAGAATTCCTTTAGTGTATCATCTTAGCCAAAAACATAATATTGATTGTCAGCAAAAGCATTGTTATTATACCTTAAAGCTTGTTTTACGAGTTCTGAAAACTATTGAAACTTTCCATAAATAGATCTATTACTCTATTATTATTAAAGTGTTAATGCAATAGTTGCGAAAAGTTGTAAACACACAACACATGAAGGAAAATTAAGCGCATAATAAACCAAAACTGTCAATCAAATGCCATAATTAAATAAATGCTCCAACACAATAAAAACATTGTGCTGGAGCAAACACTATGTATTAAACTTTAAAAAAACAAAACAATACTATTTAACAATGAACAAGTTAAATATTGTGATTATGGCCATTCTCATGGTCTGTTTGTGCAGTTTCGTCCACTCAACTTCAGTCAATTTCAAACAATCTTTGGGAAACTATGTTAATTTACCAGAAAGTGTTTATGCCTACAAATTAATCAGTAGTAGAACCATCACTGGTGCTACCATCTACACATTGAATGTTACCTCTCTCACTTGGTTGCCTGAATCAGAGGTTGGCTCAGCTCACACCTGGTTCCATTATTTGGAAATTACAATTCCAAATGAATTGAATAAGAATAATCATGAAAGTTTCTTCTTTATCACAAATGGTAATACCAATGCTGATGTTCCTGGAGCAACTGATTCATCAGCTTCACCAATTTATGTTCCTTCCTTCACTTATAATCTTGCAGTTACCACAAAGAGTATTACTGCTATTGTATATATTGTACCAAATCAACCAATTACCTATGCTTCTGATTCTACTCATACTAGTAGAACTGAAGATGCTATTATTGGATTCGGTTGGAATCGTTTCATGAGTAATACAAGTGATCCATCTAATTTATTGTATGTTACTCAATTACCTCAAGTTAAGGGAAGTAAGATGGCAATGGATGCTGTTGTTGCTTTTGTTAAGAAACAAGTTAATCATAATGTTGAAACATTCTTTGTTAGTGGTGCTTCAAAGAGAGGGTAAGTTCTTTTTCATCACTTTCATTATTAACCATTCGAATAATATATTAACTAATCTCCTCCTATTGAATATCAGATGGACCACCTTGTTGTTGGCTGCAGTTGATTCAAGAGTTTCTGCAATTGCTCCAATGGTTATTCCTGTATTTGGAACAAGAGATTTCATTTTGAGAACTTATAATAATTTATGTGCTTGGCCTCTTGCTTTCCATGATTATGTTTCTGCAGGTGTCATTGATTATCTTTTCAATGATGTTTTTGACAGTTTGACAGATATTGTTGATCCAGCTAATTATGTTAGATTGCAAACTATTCCAAAGTATCAAATACTTTCTATGGGTGATGAATTCTTTGCTCCGTAAGTTTTCTTTCATAATTTCATAATTTAATCTCACCTTAATGTATAGAGATCTTAATGCACTTTCCTATTCAAAGATTAAGGGTGAAAAGTATGTTCGTTTCCTTCCAAACACTGGTCACTACATGCTCAACACTGATGTTCTTGCTGTTCTTGGAACATTCTACACTTCCAGATTGAATAATCAAATTCTTCCAAAGTACAGTTTCTCTCATGAATATGTGAATGCAGGTGTTGTCATTTATGTTTCAGTTAGTAATGGAATTAAGCCATCCAGTGTTAAAGTTTGGTACGCCACCAATCCAACTGCACACGATTTCAGAACTACCACCATTGGATCCAATGTTTGGCAAAATCAAACCTTAATTGAAACTAAATCACTCGAATGGCAAGTTTTAATTAATAATCCAACAAGTGGATGGACTGCTGCTATGGTTGAATTGACCTTTGATAGTACTATTGGTGGTGTCTCTTTGACTCCATTGAAATTCACTACTAATACCTACGTCACTCCAGATACTACACCATGTACTGTTAGTGCAACAAATTTGCCAACTCACAATTTGGTTTAAGATCAGTTAATTCTTTTGATGATGTGTAATAAAAACCACCAATAATTCTCAATATCACTCGTATCTCAATCTTTTAATGTGATTTGGTTTTCCAAGTGTTTCAATAATGAATGGTCTTAATCAAATTTACTTGCTTTTTGAAAAGTTTTAATCAGTAGTGGAAGCAGTGGCCACGACAAATCTCTCCTTTGTGAAATCGTACGAAGTGAGTGAATAGCATCCCCACCACTCTGCACCAGAAAGCCAATATAATGACCATGAGCTATTTCCTTCTAATAAATACTCATCCCAACAATAATTTTCACAACTTCCATCATGATCATTGTAATATTCAGTGATTAGGTTTGCAATGTCCTCAGTTGTATTAATTCTCAACCCATAGGGTGGATTTGAACATTTAGCAAAGATGTCAGACCACATTTCATTTGGTTTAGCATTTCTTAATATTTCAGAATAGAAAGCAACACTATCTTCTATTCCTGATGCTGAAATGGCAATGGAATGAGTGGATTCAATCTCTTTAAAATCATTGAACATCATTACTAAACCCTTTCCCATTGAGTATTGAGTGACTGGAAACGAATCAGCTGAATAATCCCTTTCATCGAAATTGAATGCCAACTCTCTATCTGGTATTCCAATTTGAAATTTCGATTTCTCATCCAAATCCCACCTAGAAACTGCAGCAATTAACACAAATTTATGCAGTTTTCTCCTAAGATAGTCATCCAAATCAAATCTACAATGTTTTAACACACTTCAATAATTTACAAGGACTATACAAACTAAAATCAATGACACCTCCCTTATCCGAATAGGAATCCATACTTGCAAAGTCAACATATTGATAACCACCTATGAATGGTGCTTGATAAAACTCTTTCAATAATTCTCTACAATTCTCTCCTCTTAAAAACTGATTAAAATTGTGCAATGGCATTTCCTCTCTCATAAACCTTGCATCAATTTTAAATAGTTTACAAATAGTGTCATTGTAAATTGTCTTATCAAAATAATCTGCTCTCAACATTTCTGCAAAATATTTGCTAGATCTCTCCATAATGGCAATACTGGGCAGTGGTAAAAAGGAGAAGACATGAGAGAGAATATCGGGTGAGTGGTAAACATCAGAAAGTGATGACATTTTTTTAAAGATATTAAAAGATTGAACAGTCGTAATATCCAGACTTGGAAGGTTTTTTGGGAGAAATTTGAACTTTAAAATTATTGTAAAGATGAAAAGACTATATTAAAGCACTATCGGAGCATCCTATTTAGTGATAAGACAACGAATCAAAACCAAGAATCTTAGTTAGTCTAAAGATTTGGTCTCAGGCTGTTATTGATACGAGACATTAATAAAGTTTCACGTTTTATTCTACGCTAATAGCACCAATATAAAGTGATGTTAATTGTTTCATTTCATGTATGAATTTGGATCCTTCTACACCAATTTGATTGTTAGCAATATTAAGTGATGTTAATTGTTTCATTTCACTTATGAATTTAACTTTATCTGGAGAGTTAAGCAACCTATTAGAAAACTTAATATTTACAATACTATTCATGAATTGACTTTTCATTAACAATTCAATTCTATTTTCTGTAAATTGTTTTTTAAATTGAATAACAAGTTTTGAACGTTCCTTGATCACATTAAACCATTGTTTTGAAATTAAAGAACAATTATTCAAAATAAACCACGAATCATGCAAATAATTTCAAAACAAACATCATCCGAAAATATAATATTCTCTATTAATTAGCAATTCATTTCATTAATTATTATTGTTATTATGAGAAAATACCAACCTTCTTCAGGTTTTACCTCCATTACGATGATAATGATAGCTGCGGTTTTTTCTGATCGAATATCGCAAACAATTCTTGATGTTCCATCATCAACAACAAAGCCTTGTTCCGTAAAGTATTTTTTTCAAAGTCAATACAGCAAAAAAAGCAGACTGATCGTGGAGTTCATCACAATTTGTTAAGGGATTTTAAGATTAAAATTCCTCAAACTCACTTCATATATGATCTTTCCTTAGATTTTCTTTGAGCATTTATACTCAACCAAGTTGTTAAAGGACCACCTAACAAGAGACTGTGCAATAACAAAAGAATATTGCATCTCAGATAATATACTACAAACATGTTTGATTTTAGCTTGCATGTCACCGTTAAAATTAATCAATGCATCGACAATAATTTCCAAAACAAATCCTTTCAAGTTGTTTAGTATATCTTCTTCATTCAACCCATTGTCCAATAATACCATTCGGATTTGTTCCATAGTTCAACTCTTTGGATTACCTTTATCTAATGAAACATTTCCAATGGTTAGAATTCCTTGAGCTCTTTTTAGAGTTGGTTTGATTATGACTTGTTTTGATGGTGATGGAGCGACAATTCCTTCACGATCTTTGCACAATGATATATTTTCATTTTGTGGTAAGGTTTCACATTCAAAAGTTCTTTTGTTAATAATAATGTCCATATATTCGATCTGTCTATTGAAATTCTTATATTTTTCAAAATACTGCTTTTGCTTTTGAATCATCGGTTCAATCAAGAACCTACATATTTGTCTACCTTGAGTTCAATTATCCAAATAAATGTTTCTTCAATCACAACAAGGTCTATTATTCCAGTGTTTGTCCAATCTTGACAAGTCACATCAAAGTCCATCAAAGACATTAACATAAAAATGCATGTGTGATAATAAACCTCATATTTAGCAATAGTGTCCATTGACGAAAAGGGAATACATGCTAAAAAACTTGAAAGTTGCTCGTGGGTCATTGTTATTAATGTGAGTGGTACATCTTTCTGCATGTTGAAATAATAAACTTTTTGGTAGAGATTTCGAGATTAATCTTTCACAAAATGCTAACATAATTTCGTCGTTTGGTATATCCAACATTATCATTTGGTTATCGTGTCGAATAGTCACAAGTCCAGCCTGGACTAGAAAAGTGGCAGGTAAAAACTCTGCTGATTTTTGAATTGGTTCAAACTTGCCAAAGTCAGACTGATTTTTCAAATGAAAAAAATAAAATATAATGTTATTTATTTATAGTAAAAACAATGAGACAACAGGTTCGAAAACATTGAGAGTTTACAATAATATGAAAGTTTGATATGGAACACGTTTTTACAAGTCACGAAAATGAGAAGTTTCACTCCATGAGGAGCGATTTAATGTTTTTATCAACTTTTGTCACCAACTTAACTTCCTATTCATTAGATGATTGTGCTAATATTTCACAGATTTAACAAAATTCCAACCACCAATAGTTCAATTACTGCAAACATTAGAAATATATGATGAAGTGCTGATAAAGACTGTTTGATATTTCATGTGAGCGTTGAGTTGTTTGCAAACAACTGCAATATTCCAATCAAAAATTTTGAACAGAGCTATGGACACTTTGTAACAATAAATATCCATCTAATAAGAGCTATGGATAATTTGTATTTCGAAATATCTTCTACTATTTTCCAATTTAAAAATCTGCAAAGGAAAAAGTAAAAATTCAGCACTAACCTAACTTGGTATTACTAAAATGGAATCATTCCAAATTCGTCCAATATTTCATATAATTCAACAATAAATACTCAAAACATTCAAAGTTTTTCATATAAAAAAAGTTGAAAATGTCATCTCAAATCCAAAAAAATCTGCCAGAACAACGTACAAACAAACCCATCAATGCTACTGCTTCAGCTACCTCTGAGGAGGAGGGCACTGTTTTGAGATTTTACCCTCAGGATATTAGCGTTACACGAAACCAACCTCTCCTCGAAATGATAGAGAAATGTTACGTCCCCCAAGTCTTTAAAGATGGTCCTCAAGATGCTGAGATGAGTATTGTTGGTGGAAAGATTAAAATGTCTCAGATTGACAAGTTAATTCCACGTACTCCAGGATTTGATATGTTACATACTTTCACAGCTGCCAAGTTGACTGCAAATATGTGGCGAGACACTGTCAATGCATTGAGAAAAACATTCCCTGATGATAAAAAGTTGAGTAAGGCAGCTGAATACTGGAATAAGATGCCAAGTGGTACTCTCCAAATCAGTCCATATGGTTTGGAAGACGAAAAGAATTCTTATTATTCTCGTGGTAATGGTAGTATTGAACTAAAGTTTGGTTATTTCACTGATGACAAAGGAGATACAATTTACACATGTCAATCATCTGACATTGTTGCTCATGAAACTGGACATTATGTACTGGATCATTTGCGTCCAGAATTCAATGATTCTAGAAATGTGCAAACTGGTAGTCTTCATCAAGCATTTGGTGATATTTCTGCCTTAAGTTTCGTATTTGCTGATGATGCCATGGCTAGAGCTTTAATTAATTTAACATTGGGTAACCTTCATGCTTCAGCAAACAACTTTGCTTCTAACTTGGCTGAGGAATTTGGTATTTCATTGGGAATGCCTGGTTATCTCCGTAAGGCTGATAATGATTACAAAATTTCTCAGGGTGAGGAAGAGGGCCCCTTCTTATCAGAGGTGTTTACAGGCGCTTATTATGATGCCCTTGCAAGTGCTTTTAAGGAAGCTACTGCAGAATTCACTGAATATAATTCAGTCACTTTGTTGCAGGCAGTTAGTGAATATGCTCGTACCCTCCTATTGCATGCCATTGTAACAGTCGAAGGACATTCACCAGATTTTGTTGACATTGCCAATCGATTGTTTGAGGTTATTGATCTCCATAGTCAAAATGCACCTGCAAAAATAGCTTATTTGCAAAAGTTAAAGTGGAAAACTTACTTTCAAACAGAGTTTGAGCGTCATGAGGTCAGTAAACCTGTTAATCAATTACGCTATGCTGCAAAAAAGTGGGATATGGTAGCTGAACAAGTAAAACCAGAGAAGGAGATCTTAACAATGGTTTGTGGTGCACGCACTCTCCAAAATTAATTATGTATATATATAAACAACAATTTGTGAGTATTATTGGATGTGTAATAGTTTTTATATTGAGATAAACCATCTTATCAAGTTTATTAAGCTTAAAGAGAGTTCTAAATCAGAGAAATCCTATGAGGAATGATTTGATTTTTGGTTTTACAAATTATTCATGCCCACCAAAGTGGAATTTTCCATCAATTCATCTTCCCATCCCAATTCTCTCACTAACAATTCCACACATCCATCAATGGTTGATCAGCTCCTCCCAAATATAAATATATAAATATAAATCCAAATGATTATTCTTCACATCACATTCTCTAATGGCTGATTGAATATTGTAAAATCCTCCACATCGATCTCTATTGATTAAAACTCTCATCGTTCCATGAGGTACGTATTCTGGAAGGAGGGCAACTGGATAAACTTGTAAAATGGTTCCAATCACAATGAATAGTTTACAATTTTTGTGTTTTTTCAAATCTTGAAAAACACATTCTCCAAATTTGTCTGGTAAATCAACTCTCCGTACAGAACTACATAAGGTTTTACAATATTTCCACAAACATTGCATTTGGGAATTTGAACTTCTCACCTTTACTTGTAATTTCATCTCTTAAATATTGTAAAGTAAATTGTTTTTTACAATGCATGCCATGAGAGGTGTACAATTTTCCATGACAATGCACCAACAAGTCATCTGAAACTCCACTTTTTCTCTCCAATCCATCAATATTTTGCTTGTACAATCTCATTAACTTGTCCTTATCTTGCAATAGCTTGATAAAGAAATGAGTTTTCGATGGTTTGTAATCGGTGGCAATGAAATTCTTCATTCTCTCAAAAAATGGAATTGGATTTTCTTTGAAATAACCAATTTCGAATATTGATGTTGGATCTTTGACTTGAAACTTACCGAGTGAGCCATTTACAAAGAGTCCTTTACCTGGAGTTCTAAAATCTGGAATGCCACATGAAGTTGACAATCCAGCACCTGTCAAAACAATTATGAAGGCATCTGGAATGTTGTGAATTTGCTGAGCGAGTGATTTGACAGCATCAAGTCGTCATCAGAAATGGTTGAATGAATTTGACATGAAGCAAGTACCCACAGTCCAGTCATTATTTGATCTGAAATAGAAGAGCAATAAATCCGAAATGACTTTCCTTATGTTATCATCTGCTTGCGCCGAAATTAGCAAATCTTATGAAGAAATGAGAATGGGAAAGGGAGCCAACAAGGATAAAACGCTCCTAGTCTTGAAAATGCATCCATTCAAATCGATCAAGAATTAACTAAACTCTCCTCATTGGATGAATTGACCACCAATCTCCCTCCAAAAAACACTCGAGTTGGCATTTCGAAACTCAACGAAAACAGTGGCATCAGAGAAGGAACCAGAACAGTCAACCTCAACAGTCAAAACTGTTAAGGAAAAATTGAATGGATTGAGTGCAACGATTCATTGCTCTGTGAGTGAAATTGATGAAAATTTAATGACTGAAAAATGTTTAACTTTTATGAAATAGTGAAATTTAAACTATTGATAAAATTCTGTTATTTTTCATAATGTCTAAAGAAATATTCTATGGTTGTAAACTTATTGTAAACTAATTGTAAACTCTTCTATCTCAAAAACAAGACACCATTTCTGAGTAGAAATATTTATTTTTTAAGAAGCTTGAGCATCCCACTTTGAATAAATGTTGCAAAATTAGCATTGTGCCTGCATTGGAGCTCCTTTCTGAAACCAACGGAGGTGGTGTATCAACAAGTATTAAAGTCGAAAAGATCCTCCCATGCGGGAATTGAACCCGTGGGTGAAAGCCAGGTATCCTAGCCATTGGACTACACGGTATTCAAATTCCTTAAAAATATTGAGTCACTGAGCAAGATATTGTCTACTACAGCAACCAATTGAGGAAAGATTTCAATACTTTCATAAACCCATTCAAACTCTTTAGAAATATCAATTAATTTGTTATCTGTTCCAATTTCATAGTCAACCATGACATTTACATCCATTCATGGTACATTTTCCATTTCCAGAACAAGATTCTGGAGTTGAGGAAAGATGAAATTGATTATCAGATCCCTGACAATACAATTGTGAACAATCACTACCATTCAATAGAGTATTATTTGAAATAATTAAACATTCACATTGATTGTAATCTTTACAAATTCCTCTTGAATTGCAAGTTTGAGAATTATTTGCTGGAATTCCAAAACAAGATGTCTGTTCACAGTTTTCTCCAAAATATCCGTCTAAACATGTCCAAACATTTGAATGTTCACAGCTTCCTTTTCCAGAACAAACTAGAGCGCTTGTCTTTTCAATTCCAAAACAAGTAAAATTCAACCTCTTAACCAAAATTGTTACGTTGGTTGTTTCTGATGAAGATAATTGATAATATTCACATGAATTTCCAACATATCCACTATTACATTGACATGTATCAACATTCGTACACTTTCCCTTTGAAGTGCAAACATTCGAATCTGTTGCAGAAATATTGAAACATTTTGGTATGGAACAGTCAAATCCAACATGATTCTTATCACATTGACATACATCTGCATCAATACAAATTCCATTTCCTGAACAAGATTGTGAATTTTCTGCATGTGTTCCAAAACAGGAAAATCCAGACTTTTCACACGAAAATCCTCCAAAGGCAATGTTGAATTTCTATCACAATTGCAAGTATTCAAACCAACACATTTTCCTCTCAGACTACAAATATTTGACTTATCATGAAAGTAATCCACAAGATCATAATCAAGACATGTTGGAATTTCACAAAACATTCCAACATATGAATTTGATGGGGAGAAATTGGAATCATCAACACATGAACATGTTGCAAAAGAACCTGACACAACACTACATACACCTCTTCCACTACAAACATTTGGATCTGTTGGTAGTAATCCTCCACATAATGCAATTTCACACTCTGAACCTCCGAATAATGATGGCTCATCACATCGACATATATCTGGCCCAGTGCATGTACCTCTTCCACTGCAAACATTAGCTGTATCGGAGCTTAATTTACCAAAACATGTAGGTAAGGCCATAACTATAATGGGAAGGTAAGGTAGTTTAAGGCATGATGATGATTTTTAAAATTACAAACCTTTACTATGAGCACTATGCAAAATTGTAATGGTTATGGATATCATCAATAATAGATGAAGAAGTGATGATTCCATTTTTTTGTGTTGCGTCTTCTTGTGGATGGATTCATATGGATTCAACTGAAATGTTCTTTTGAGACATTTTTGGAGAATGGAACGGACTTTAATTAATTGGAAATTTCAGTGGTTTTTAAAGAAATCCTATCCAAAATTCTTTAACTCATTAATTGGCAATATTTACTTAATGTGTCTTAACAAGACTCGCTGCTTGTGAACACTTGACCTTATTGAAGTGATGTTTAATTGAAAAGACACAGTTTAAGACGATTGATGGCTACGGCCATATCACGATGAATGCACCTCATCCCGTCCGATTTGAGAAGTTAAGCATCGTCGAGCCACATCAGTACTGAGGTTGGAGACAACTTGGGAACCTGTGGTGCTGTAGTCTTTTTATTAATCCGAAAACCATACCTTATCCATGCCAGTTGAATGCAATGACCTTGAGAAGCATGAAATTGGATTTCTGAAGGAAGACTCACAGTTAGTGCAAAATCTAGTTGTTTCGTTCTTTCTCAGAAACAAAGTGGCATTTGTAGATCCATTCACCTTAAAATGTTTGCATAGTATGTAAAATACCTACAGTTTTCAATGAGATGGAATTCATATTCTGAAATTCCATACATGCTCTTCTTTGGATAATGATTACAGAGGGGAAAGAAACGATTTCCATTTTGAAGATGTTGTGATTGAAGATGCTTCTTTATTGGATGCTTACGAATGGAAAATTGACTCAGATGATCTGAGATCAATATTTAGTGTGTGGTTAGTTTGTTTAGGTTTGAACAGGAATTTTAAAATCAAAAAAATGCAAAAAATCAAAGGTTTGATCACCTCCTTCTTTTCTAATAACAACAAGATGCTTGATTTCGGAAAGAGTAAGTAGTTTCATTTGTTATGACCTTGTTGAATATTCGAAAATAGTGGAAAGTAGAATTAATCGAAACAATTTATTTCCTAATGAAATTTGTTTGGAAATTGTTAATTATTTGGAGCCTTCGTTTATCATCACAACTTGTAGTTTAATTTCATATCAATTTTTAAAAGTCATTAAATCACATTCGAAACTTTCCTTCAAATTTTCTAAAGAAATTACAACCGAAAATATTAAATATTTAACAAGAAGTGAATTTTTACAAAATATTGAAAGTATTGAATTTAACAAAAGTGATACAGAGCTTGTTGATGTGAAATTATTTAAAGTTTTGATGAAAATGCAAAATTTAAAAAGACTGTACACTGGTTGGAATTGGATTTCAGAAGAGTCTTTGAAAATTATTTATGGAATGAGACAATTGACTAGTCTTGAGGTTGCTTGCTGCAGACTTGATAAAAATACTATTAATGGAATAAGTGAATTGGATCAATTGACCGAATTAAATGTTAATTGGAATAAGATTGGAGATGAAGGAGCTAAATGTATTGGAAATATGAAAAAATTAACTAGTTTAAGCATTTCTGGAACAGGATTAACTAATGATGGAATGGAATCCATAAGTCAATTGTCAGAATTAACGTCACTTAAGGTGGATAGCGAAAAACTTAGTTATGAAGGAATTAATTCAATAACCAAACTTACAAAATTAACTCATCTTTCTTGCAAAGATTCTTCATTGAATGAACAAGGTTGCAAGTTCATTTCAAAATTATCCAATTTGAAATTTCTTGATATTGATGGAAACTCAATTGGAAGCGAAGGAGTTCAATATTTTAGTGAACTAAAGCAAATCAAATCCATTCATGCCTATAGATGTGGAATTGACCCAATAGGAGCAAAGACAATAGGAGAAATGAAGCAATTAACTTCCCTGGTACTTATTAATAATTCTTTAGGATGGGAAGGAACCAGTTACATAGGACAATTAAACCAATTGACTGAACTTAATTTGAATTCTAATAGCATAGGTGACGAAGGTGTCGATTCGTTATCTAACCTTGAGAACCTGACCACTCTAAAAATCAGCGCTAATAGGATTACCAATTTGACAGCTATTGCTCAATTAAACAAATTAACAACACTTGAAGTTATGTATAATAGACTTGGAGATCAAGGAATAAGATACATCACTGAATTGTGCCACCTAACAGACCTATCTATTTGCGATATTCAACTCACAGCAGAAGGGGCCAAAATTTTGTCATGCATGAAGCAATTAACTAATCTTTCACTTAATGAAAACCAAATTGAGGACGAAGGTGCATCTATTATTTCATCCATGAAGAATTTGAAACAACTTGACCTGTTAAACACTGGTATTACAAGTGAGGGAGTGAAATTAATTTGCCAAATTCCAGAGTTGAGCGACCTCAATATTAGTTGCAATAATATTGGAGATGAAGGCGCCCAATATGTAAGTGGTATGACGCAGTTGACTACTCTAATTGCCTACAAGTGTAATATTGGTTACGAAGGAGCAAAACACATCAGTAATATGAAACAGTTGACTAGACTAAGCATTATGAATAATAATCTCACAAATGCAGGAGTAGAACTATTAACAAAGATGGCACATGCCATAGTTTTCACTTAATAAGAATAAATAATTTATTTAACATCAGTCTTTTCATACATTTCGTCAATGTCCTTTTGGAACAAATCTCTAAGCTTGTTTCTAACAAGACTCAATTTTGGTGTTGTACATCCAGGATAGAATTCAAAATCTCTTGGAAGCAATTTGATGGCCTTAACCATTTCAAACCCTAATAATTTCTTTTCCTTTCCAACTCTTTCCAATTCTTTGAGAATCATCTTATTTACTGATTCATCAGCACATAATTTTTCCAAATGTTCCAATTGTTGAGATTCTGAAAGTTGAGAAATGGCAGTGACGTTTGCTAACTTTTGATTTTGTAAAGCCCAATCCAATAATTTCAATCCATTAACAGCAACAAAACCGACAAGGAATGTCTTGTAACTATCACCATAAACCCACAAACGAGAAACATAATTGGCTTCACTCAATTTACCTTCAACATTTTCAGCAGCAACATATTCACCTTGAGCCAATTTAAACATGTTCTTCTTTCTATCAACAATTGCTAATTGACCAGATGGTAACCATCTATTGAAAATAATGAATCAGTTATAATACTAAATTAAATACTAACCTTCCAATATCACCAGTATGGAACCAACCATCTGTATCATAAACTTCACGAGTCTTTTCTTCTTCCTTATAATAGCCAAGTGAAATATTTGGACCTCTGATACAAACTTCACCACTGTTATTGGACTTATTGGAATAATTCATGTCTGGAACGTCAACCAATTTGACTTCCAAGCAAGGCAATAAGCAGCCACCATGACCAGTTGAGAAGTCATATGGCAATTGAATTGTAGAACCGGCACATCTATGAAAAGTTTCAATAATTGTTACACAATTTCAATAATACTTACGTTTCAGTTAAACCATAACCTTGAACAACTGGGCATCCGAAAGCAACTGAAATGAATTGCTGTACTTCTTTTCTTAAAGGTGCACCTCCGGATAAGATACCCTTCAATTTACCACCAACAGCAGCTTTCAATTTGTTGAAAACCAACATATCAAGAATTGGGTTCTTAACTTCAATACCATTAGTTTCAATGGCCTTCAGCTTGGAATTGTAAGCTTTTTGGAAAATCATTTGGGCAAACTTTTTCTTTTGTTTGATTTGATCTCTGATACCATCATAGAGACGATCCAAAACTCTTGGAACTGCAGGGAACAAAGTTGGTTGAACAATTGCAATATCATCCTTAAGTTTTCTAACATCACCTCTCCAATAACTTTGTTATTTTTTGTAAATTAACATTGAAAGAACTGAAACTTACCCAATACTACCACCAACTTGAATGAAAGCCATTTCAGCAACTCTTTCCAAGATGTGAGCAAGTGGTAAATATGAAATAACTCTATCTTGCTCTGAAATGTGAATCAAATTACCAATTACACCTGAAATTGTCGAAACAATATTCAAGTGAGTCAAAATTACTCCTTTTGGCATACCAGTTGTACCACTATTGAAATATTAATCTTTGAATATTGTTAATAATGAACTTACCTAGTATACATAATAGATGAAATATCAATAGCTCTTGGTGGAGTTGGATTAACTCTCTTATCACCAGCACCTAATGCAGAGAATTCACTGAATGTATATAATTTGACAGAGTCTTTGGTCTTGTTTTTGAATTCTTCCTTCCATGTTTGAACTTGTTCTGCATATTTAGCATTTTCTAAATTATCAAACAAGACAACATGTTTCAAATATTCACATTGATTAACCCATTTCATAACATTCTTTGAAAATACATCATCACCACTAACAAATAAAGTGACAACTTCACCATGATTCATAATATATACAGATGATTCTTCTCCCAATGTATCATACAAGGCAATTGTAACAAGTGATTGAGTATGACAAGCTTCAGAAACAACTTGCCATTCAGGTCTATTCTTTGAATAAATTGCAACGTGATAATGTGGTTTAAGACCAGTATTTACAAGTGCAGAACCAACATTGAGAACCTTTTCTTGAACTTGTGAATAAGTTTCAAATTTAACACCCAATTGTGGAGGTGCATTTGGAGTGGAACTGCTTGCAATTGTATCAATTCTACCCAAGCAAGGACGATTTGGGAATTTCTCAGCAGCAAATTTAAAAGATTCATAACAAGTTGTTGGAGTCTTGTCATTAAATGTACAACCAGAAACGAGTCCATCTTTAAAATCGGCTCTTCTTCTAATTGGTGAAGGTTCAATTCCTTCTCCAGTTTCGTTTGCATTTCCAACAACGACAGTTTGATTAGGCACAATTTGTTTGATGTTTCTTGTGACCAATGACTGATAGCTGTATGGCTTGTGAGGAATGTTATATTCTTTTAAAACATCTCTTTCATTAATAAATACAGTTGGTTCTTTCTTTACAAAATATTCTTTAACTTGATTATCATCACTAGATTGACTTTCAACATTAATTACAGATTCTGGAATAACTTCATTGATTGAAGTTGCCTGATGAGGAACAAAATCAAGAGTAACATCCAAGTGAGACACGTCACCACTCACACTTGACGAAAGTGATGATTCTGCCATTTGTACCAAGGTTTCATCAGTTGTACTAACCGATGACGAAATTGCATTGGTTTGCTGATCATTCTTTACATCCTGATCCTGGTGATGGAGAGAGTCAGATTCAACAGTAATTGAAGTATCATTATTGATGGTGTCACTCATTTTGATCGGCAGTTGTGTAATTTCTTCTTTGTATTTTTGTCTGGGTAACGTTTAAAAATTGATTCTTTTGAACTTGTTTAAAAATTTTAAATGATTTTTGCACAAAAGGCTTTTGATATCTAGAGTTTTTTTTTTTGTTGAGATTTTTAAGTTGTGATGCATGATGGAAGATCCTCCTCTTTGTAATTTATGGATCATTTGCAACTTCAGGGAAGTAACTTGTGATGGTTGTTGATGTATTGTTGGGAGGGAAATGGATAAGGACTTGAAGGTCAATCGAAATTTAAGCACTCCTTGATGGTCCTCGGAAAAGGCAAGGATGAAGTTTCAATAGAAATTGTAATCAATCCTGTGGCTTGACTCATTCAATACTAATATTTATCTGATGCAATATTATTGTTGTTGGGTATAATATTCTGTGTGTGTTTATTTACATTCTGAAGTGTTTATTTACAAGTGTGTGATGCGCGAGACTAAAATTTAATGCACCTTCATGAAGGTATGAAGAATGGTTGTGAGAACATTATGAATGGATTCACGTAGATTTTCCACTGATAGGGATTGTATATTAGAAGGCCGAATTGTTGGTGCGAAGGATGATGATTGTATATTGTTTGTTGATTGAGTATTGTTGGAAGAAATTGATTCCAATTCCTTCTTATTAAAAGAAGATGTTGATTGAGTTCTTAATGAATTAGCATAATAGCTTCCGGCAATCAATATCGGAATAAGAGACTTGTTAATATTCCTTCTCAGATAAGACATTGCAAATAGATTGTTTTTTTTCACTTGTTTTCTTCCAAAGAAGTTGTATTGATAGAAGAGAGTGGACAAAGACAATAATTGCGCCTATTTGATCGACTGGTGCGTCCCGAATGGAGAGGATAAGATTGAATTTGTACTCTTTCGGGATGGGCAAATAATGATGGAAATTGTCTTATCTAATCAAAACCGCCATTACTATCTACTGAATTTTTCAAATATTCAATCGAGAGTATCTATTTGATTTTTAATTATTTGTTATTGATATCTTCTTTAGCTTAAGGTTCTTTTGGATAATTTCCTTTAAAATTGTCGAAATGTATAAAATTATTGGACATGATGAACCACTTGGAAAATTTAAAATACATTTAATAATTGATTATCAATTTTAAAATTCAATTTCATGATTCAATATCAGTGATGCACATTATTTTAATATTCTATTCGCTCACCTCTCTCTCCCATGCTGTGTAGATATCCAAATAAACAATGTTGCTGTAATAGCAACCGTTGTTCTTCAAAGAGAGCTTGTACACCATCAGATGAGTAACAAACGCCCTGTTTAATCTCCAACCAATCAAACGAGAGAGTTGAACACGACACCGTTAAGCTCTGAGTCAAACACGGCAAGTTTGCTTGCGTTGACTCGCGAGTGTAAAAGAATATTTTGAATCTCTTTTTGTTGAAAAAAAATACATCAAACATAATGTCCACCACCCAAGCACCATCTGACACCAAGGTTTTTGTTTCTAACTTGCCATACAGAACCAACTGGTCTGCTTTGAAGGAACACTTCTCTGCTGCTGGTAACGTTACCTACGCTAGAATCTTCACTGATGCTCAAACTAAGAGATCCAAGGGTATTGGTTTTGTTGAATTCGATACTGCTGAAGCTGCTGCTAAGGCTATCACCATGTTCAACGAATCTGAATTCAATGCCAGAAAGATCTACGTCAGACAATTCCAAGAAAAGGAAAAGACTGAACAAGTTGCTCAACAATAAATCGTTTTGGTGCTAAGTTAAACCGAAAATAATAATATTTAAATTAAAAAATTTATTGTGATGATATTCGGAAAAATCTTTCAAATAGTTCAAATTCAATAATATCTAGATGATGAAATTAAATTTATTGCAAATCGGTAATCCACGTTCTTTCTGGAATAACAACTTTGCCAACCTTTTCAAGAAGCAATTCTTCCTTTTCTTCATAATGAACACTAAACAAACTCTTAAGCTTCTCCGATTGCAGTAATTGATAGGTAGAGTTACTAATTTGCACTTGATTGGTTTTACCTGTTGATTCGACAATTTCTGCAACCTCTATGCCTTTACCGAACAAGTCATAGGTTTGTTTAGTCTTACCGACAACACCAGCAATAATATCACAACTACTGTGAATACCAATTCTTACTTTTAGGTCTACAGTGGTTTCTTTTTTACAAAATTGTTGAATCACACGAATCATGGCTAAACCTCCCTTTACAATATTATCAGCATGTTCAGGAACGAATTTTGGAACACCACTAGCTAAAAAGTAACAATCACCAATTGTCTTGATCTTTTCTAATTGGAAAGCTGTACAGACATCATCAAAGCTACCAAAAATTTCATGGAGAATTGAGACAACTTCTTCTGGTCTTTTACCATTCGACATCTTTGTGAAACCCACAATGTCACAGAACAACACACTACACATTTCGAAAATATCAATAACTTGTTGACCCATACTGATACGTTGAGCAACATTCTTAGGGAAAATCTTGTCTGCAAGTCTTGTCAATTGTTCTTCCTTAGTTACCATGTTCTTCACATCTCTGATAAAACCAACAAATGATGAAGAACTACTTCCTACATCAATAATTTCGGAAACTCTTAATTCAATCTTGATTGATTTAGCCTTCTTTGTTTTAGCTTTCAAAAATCTTGTCTTATCTACTACTCTCTTCTCTCCTGTTTTCAAATATCTTTGAAGATAGTAATCATGTTTTTGTCTATCCTTTTCATTGCATAACATTTTCACATTTTTACCTAGAACATCTTTCTTCAAGTATCCAAATGTTGCAGTGCATGCAGTATTGAATGTTTGAATAATACCTTGTTGAGAAATTGAAATAATTGGAATGACTGACAAATCTGTGATGGCTTCGTAAACCTTTCTCAAAGCCATTTCTTTCTTTTCTTCAATACTGTCTTGTATCACTTCCATATATGCTACAAAATGTTCAACTCCCAATTTTTGAATCGTAATGAATCTTGTTTTAACAGAGAAAAATGTTTTAAGTATTGTTGCTTTTCCTTTCAATATTCTGATTTTCATTAGTGTATCCTTTCTCTTTTTTAATTCTTCAGCTCCAACTTCCTTACTGATTGATGTAACAGATGCACCATCAGAATTGTTGAAGATTGGTTTTCCTGTAAAATCTTCAATGACTTGTTGTACTTCACAAACTGAATCTTCAAGGAACAGCTCACTTACGTGTTCTCCCAAAACAGAGAAGGAGAATACACCAAAGAGGTCTTCTGCTTCTCGATTCAAATATTCTATTGTTGCATAATTATCAAAGATTAAAACTGGGAATCCACACATATTAAATTGTGAGATCAAATTATTTAACTGTACAAAGTCGTCTTGATGAGTGAAGGCAACTTCATCATCTAAGGTTGATCTATCGGCACCACTGTCGGAGGTAAGTTGACTTTGGGTATCAGAGTTATCATCACTATAATTGCTTGATGTATCCATTTGACTACCAGTATCTAGACCTTTACGAGAGTTCATTGTTGAGGCAAATCTTCTACTAATACCTCTTCTTTTTTCACCTCTTTGGAATGACGAAGTTTGACTCATATTTGAGGCGGAATTCATTTCTGCAAGTTTTGTTGGGTTTCTTCTTCCCTTGGTTGATAACTTTTCAAACTTTACTTCACTATCAACATCATCATCGTCGTCCATATACTGTGAGTCCATTTTTGCTAATAACAATTTCTTTTTGATGGCTTCCTGTGTTTCATGAAGACTTGTAACATCAAAATCCTCATCAGTTTGAATACCTGCTCTATTAGATGGTTTAGCCAATGAAAGGCTTGAATTTATCAACCTCTCATCACTATCATCTTCACTATGACCACGATTATTAATATTAGAAGGCATGATGATAAAAATTTTCAATATATTCCCTTCAGCCTTAGTATCTTTTTTTGTGGTTTGTTATTAGGAGAGACTTGGCGCTCTATTGTAGAAGAGAGTTCGTTAAGGCTTGCCTCAATTTTACAGTTTATTTTCAAAGGACCCATTACACCTCTACACTAAAAAGTCTTACAGGTATCCAAAAAAGTCTCGATTAGGAACCAGTGTTGGTTGCAATCGAGAGCAAAATGTACACAGATTCTTTGCGAACTTTTGATGAGAAAAAATCTTACTATATCTCTTATGGAATCGAGGCAACTGATACTTATAATTTGGAAAATATTAAGATGAGAGTGATGATGAACATGTTCATCTTCAACGAACAACTATTACATCCTTAATATTTTCCAAACAAAAGTTAAGGAATTCAACTAGGAACAACAGATGTTGTAACTTCTTTAATGTATTAAGTGTTGATAAATATAAAATAATCTTCTTAAGATTTGCCAAAGAATACAAATTGTAAAGAATCATGATGAACCTTGTTCTGCTTTATATTATTTAAAGAACAATGAACATGTGATGAACTCGGGATTGCAAAATCAAAATTGAAAAAAATGTGTATTGTTGCTCTTCATACTACCACTGGTTCAAATTGTTGTGATGCAGCAACTTCATCTGCAAGATATCCGTTCATTATGTTGGCGAATCGAGATGAAGAATATGATAGACCGACTTCCTCTTCATTTTCATTAATTGATGATTGCATTTGCTGTATTACTGATTTGGTGTATGGAAATACTTGGATGGGGATAAATATTGATAATGGAAATATGGCTATTCTAACTAACGTGGATGATGATTACTCAACGAACAAACCAACACTAGAATTGTATAATAAGGATGTAAATAATCAATTAGTAGCAACTGAGGAATGTGTTACTGAAACTAAAAAACCAGCTAAAATAATTAGGAGCAAACTCCTAATCGATTTACTAAAGCATAATGATTTGATGGATCATATTAATGAATGCGAGAAGGATTGGCTAAAAACAAAGGGTTTTATAATTATTTGTGGAAATTTGTTTGACATGAATAAGGACTTGATTTATTTTACAAATAGAATTTTCGCTAGAAATGAAATGGGAAAACCATTGTCTCAATGGCCTGAAAAGTTGCAAGACAAACTGATCATTCAAAGTTTAGACAAAAATTCGACTCATTGTATTTCAAATTCATTTTTAAATGATAATCTGTGGCAAAAAGTAAAAAGCCTTAAAGAGGGAACAAACCAAATATGCAAAGAAATGGTAACAGATGATAAAACTCCTGATCAGGTTGTGGAAACCTTAAGCAGTCTTTTAAATATAAGGAATATTAACAAATATGAGAATAACTTCATTTCAATAGAAGATGCTCATTTATTCACGGATGAATATATGACACTCCATAATTTTAGCGAGGAATTAGTCGAACTAGTTCAAAAATATAGAACATGTACAGACCTTACTGAGAAGTATAGTCTTGAAAGGAAGATTGATATTCATCTTTATGATAGAAGCACTATTAACGAAGTGTTTGTACACTACAAGTCCAGATTTACAAACTGGAAGTCTAAAAGTCAATCCATTGTAATAGTTGATGCTTTTGAGAAGAAGGTGTACTTTTATTTCAGAGATGTGAACGATTATTCAACAATGGATGAAGATTTAAACAAAAAATTGAATTGGATATGTAAGGAAATTGATTTCAAGAATTAACCAACTTTATAAACAAGTAATCCTTTGTAATTTCTTGTGTTTGGATCAGTTTTTCCAAAAACAGTAACGTTAGGGTCAACACCGGTTGTGAATGAACATTTACAATTACCTCCTCCCTTATGACTGTGCATTGTAGTGCCAGAGTTAGTTCCTGTTATCATTAAATCAATAGGCATTCCTTTGGTTGCAATTTCTAGAGTGTATGTTGAGTTTTTAGATAATTTACCAAAATTAGGAGTGACCAAGGAAAGATTAAGGGAACCAAAGTCTGAATACATCGTTGGAAAACCTCTATCATCAACCTTAGCTGATGGACTCACCGTGAACATTTGCTCCAAACCCATTCTAATTTACTTCCCTTTTCTCCAACAAACACTCTGACAGAATATTTTACATTCTTTTTTGGGAAACAAATCTTTGCTGTAATTGTGTCCTTATTGTCAGAATATGTGACATTGACAGCATCCCAGAGAGCTGTTCCATTCTTTTCCTCACAGAGATTGATCAAGGATTCAGTTCCTGGAAAAACTTTCATCACAATTTCACAAACATTTGAATCAGTTAAAGTATAAAGCCCATAGGGATGGGAAACACAACTCAATCCATTGCTGAACCCGTTGCCTTTAATAGCAACTCTCTTTTCATATTCTTCCTTGGTTACAGTTTTTGGTAAGAGTTGCCACTTGGAATCGTCTGGAAAATGCTCTGCAATGAATTCATATGGACTCATAAAGAAGTACCTATCCACAAATCTTCTTTCAAAGGCTGATCCCCATTTTGAGCTACTGTTTGGTGCAAGATAGCCTGATCCCCAAGTTGACTCGATCAATCTATATTGACCATCTTCAGTTTTGATGGCAGACCATGCATGATTTGAAGCTACTGGCGCACCAATCACATAACCAGCTCCTTTTGCACAACCTGATATTGTAACACACTCCATTTTACAGCAGTCACACATCTTTTTCAAAATATCAGAATATCCACTGCACACAGCTCTTCTACTCTTAAAGGATGTGTCTGCAGTATAATGTGCATTTCCAGAATACAGACCATCTACATCATAGTCAATATTATATGTAATCCAAATGTAAAGTGACCTAGCTTTTTCTTCCACAGTATTGTAGGGAGAAGTTAAATATTGAGCAAGTCTCTCAATAGAAGCTTCCTCAGATTTAGGTGTATTCCTAGCTCTCTTATCTATTTCAGAATAATTAGGTTCATATTTTCTAATTCTTGAAGCATCACATTGAAATGGTTGTGGTTTAAAGTTATCAAAATACTTATTCTGATGATTATTGACAACTGTTACTTCTGCTTTCTTATCATTCACCTCCTTCCTTTCAACAGCTTTCCTATCATTGGCATCTCTCTTATCAATATTACTTGTCACAGTACTTGTTTTTGTTGTTGTCTTTACCACAGGTTTTGAAACTGCACCAACATTTCTCGATTTGTTTGTATTCGTAACTGCAGAGGGTTTCATTGAATTTACAGTAGAATGATGTGTGGTTGGGGTTGGTTTCTTAGCCACTGTTCTCGTCTGCACAGTGCTTGAAACAACTTTGGTTGTTACATTGGATGATGTGGTTCCACTAATTGGATTTCTTCTCTTAATAGTAGCGTGAGAGTCATTATCAAGAGCATTGTACATTGATGCTATTTTACCCACCTTTGCATTGAGTCTATTTCCAACTCGGATGGATTTATCCTCATTGTTGTTAGTATTATTATTGGTTGTTCTATTATAACTCATTATGATGAAGATGATGATTCTTAATGTTAGTTGATTAATAATCAAATCAAACCAAACAGAATATAACGATGATTAATATCAAGGCTTTTTTTCTTATAATTTCTCTTGTTCATATTATATCAAAGTGGCCGTTAAAAACGAGTAGATGCAATAATAATAGATGTTCATAATCTCTGTGCTCATGATCTCTATTAAGAACAAGAAAATGTTTTTCTTTTACAGCCTTATGATGATGATGGTGCTGATGCAGAGAGAATCATCACCATTAGGTTCATCCTTAAATGTTGCCAAAAAAAATTACGTTAAATGATGGAAGCATGATATTCAATAGAGATAAATATCCACTATTCACTCTTCAATACATTGCCCTTACCATCATAATCTTGTTGTTGACCGGATCAGTGCTAAACTAAATAATAAATTTCTAAGGGTAAATGATGAAAAAAACGTGATGTAAATTTTGTAATTGGTGCAATTCAGAAAAATAACACACTACAGTTCAATCACGTTTCGGAATGTGCCAACTCTTGAATGGACAATACTATTTCAAATAGATAATTCAAATGTCATATCACGAAAAAAAAATGTTAAAATCAAAGAAGGCACTGTTAACACTTCTACTTCTACTGTTCTGTTGCTTTACTTTCCTTTCCACATGTAATGGACAAACACTTCGTAATCAAAAACAACTTGAATCTGCAGTTTTTCAAAGCTATTCATCACCTAAATATGGATATTATGATCTTTACTATTTGATTATTCCAAAAAATGCTCTTGTCAAAGTAGATGTTGGCAGTTCTGATAGTTTGACAGTTTATTTCAAATTAAATTCCGTACCAACACAAACAAGTTATGATGATAGATATGAATGCAGAACTTGTTATTTCTCAAATACTTATACAAGTAGAAATTCATCACTTACTTATCAGACGTTATATATCGCAGTTGCAGCTCAAAGAAATACTTACTATTCTTATGGTATTACAGGATATACTTTTCCATCAGATTATTTAATAAGTATTAATTCAGGAAAATCAATCACATCTACTATTTTGACAGTTGGCAGTTGGGCATTCTATCAAATTATTCCATCTTCATCAATAATTTCATCATTATCATCATCAGATCAATCAATTATCATTGAGAGAGGTTTGGATTTTGGATTTGAATTTTATTCTCAGGAATTCCCAAGTCCAAATTACAGTGACAATACCATTTATAATAATAGATTGAATGATACTAAAGTTTCACTTAATTTAGGATCGAGAAAATATATTGCGGTTGTGAATAGAGGTAAAAATCAAACCTTGAGTACTACTAGAGCTGCTACTAATTTAGGAAGTAGTGATATTTCCTTCTTTGAACCTTTTAGAGTTGTCGTTAGAGGTGAAAATAATGAAAGAGATCATTATCCATTCGAAACTTACAAATTTTCAATTGCTACTACAATATCAAATTCTATAATTTTGGATGGTGGAAGTGGTGCTGTGAATTCATTGATTATTTTTGTGTATTTCATTCCATTTTTGTGTTGTTGTGTTGTTTGTGGATGTTGTTGCTTTTTTATTTATAGAATTAAAAGATCAAATTATTAATAAAAATAAAATTTCAATTATTTTAAATACTTTTGCATTAATTTTGTTAATTTTATTATTTAATATTATTAAAACAAAATAGAAGTATTATTAATTTATTTAAAATGAATTGAATTAAAATAATTTAAAATTTATTTAAAACAGCAACACATTTTTTTTAACATTTTCTTAATTAATTCCTTAACTTTTGAAATGACCAAATCGAATGGTTGTTTCATAACCTTCCACAATGAAGTACAAAGATTTGAAATTCTCTTTGTAAATGATTGAGGTCTCGATTGCCATAAAAGTAAATAAGCAATACATCTCAAACCAATTGCAAATACAGAACAAATGATAAATAAAAACCATTTGTTATTCCATGAATAACCCAATTGATTTAAACTCTTATTAATGTAATAATCATTTGCATTGGTATTTAGTTCATAAACAAATAAAATTTCCCTAATATATCTAATATAGGATATATATGGTAATAAAGGAAATGGTTGACTCATATCACTGAGTGATGGTAAACTAACAGAAGCTCCTGAAAACATATAAAACAGGAATATAACAACTGCTGTTGTAATTTGTGTTAATTCATCTCTTAATATTATTGAAATACTATATCCAATTGGAAAACTAATAATTGATAAACATAGTAATATTCCAAAATAAAATCCAAAATCCATATTTGGCAATACCATCAAATAAAACAAACTAGTAAAAGATAAAGAAACCAAAACCATCTGAGAGAATGCCAACACATCCTTTACAATAAAATAAACAAGTGAATTCAAACCAGATTGAGATTCTCTATCAAAATTCAACTTTTCTCTTCCAAAAACTCTCAAAGCACTCATTGAAGATGTTAAACTAATTCCCAAAACTAGTAAACTAGTCACTGATGAAATATGATCCATTTGTGGTGATGAGCATTGTAACATCTTTTCAACTGGACAATTTAAAGCAATATCCTTATTAGGTGATCCAACATATAAATGATTTCTATTATTCACAAATAGAATTCCAATTAATAAACCTGCAACTGCATTCAAAAGAATGTCAACAATGAAATAGAACCAATCAATTCTCATTTGAATGAAAGTTCTGTACATGATTGCAAGGGATTGGACGAGGAAGGTAGAAACTGATTGAGGATAGATTTTGGCAGCATGTGGACTTGAATATTGAGAAAGGACAAAGTGATTCTTTTCATGTTTCGAATAAATATATTGCATGACTTGGTCGGCGGAGATATTGTCGGGACTAATATAGTATTGATGGTTGCTGGCAATTTCATGTTTGATTCTGTCAAGCGAGTCGAATCTTAATAATTTGCCTTCTTTGAATAGCATTAAATGTGTGAAACAATTAAAGGCAGTTAAGGAAGGTTGATGGATGACAGCCATGACAGTTTTGTTTTGCTTGTAAGTGGCAAAATCTCTTAGTGAGCGACATAATTCATTGGCTGTGGTAACATCTAGACCAGTAGTAGGTTCATCCTATTTAAATTGTTTTCAATATTTCATATTAAATGCAATATTTAAATATTATTAAATATTATTGTAAAAATATTACAAAAATAAATTACTTACCAAAATGAGAATTTTAGGAATGGTAACCAATTCCAAACCAATGTTAACTCTCTTCTTTTGACCACCACTCAATTTCTCATTCAAAGTATTTGCATGTTGTTCCAATTGTAAAACTTCCAAAACAGTTTCGACAATCTTGGAATGACTTGCACCAACATTTTTAATCATGGAACTAACCAAAAAAGATTGTTTTGGTGTCATGAATGGATGGATAATATCTGATTGTGGAACAACTGCAAAAAGTCTCTTCATTGATTCAGAATCTACCTTAAATCCTGATATGGAAACAGTACCTTTGGAAATACCACCTGTTATACGTTTGGTTAGACAATTAATAAATGTTGTTTTACCACTATATTAATATTTCAATAAATAATATGAATAATATTTTGTAAAGTGTTAAAAAAATAATTTACAAACCTTCCACTTTCACCCATAATGGCAACAAAACTTCCAGGAGGAATAACTCCACTCACAGGATGTAATATAGTTTTCAAAGAGAGTGAATCTTCAGCTGTCTCAAAACTCTTAAATGACAAATCATTAAATTGAATCCAAAAATCAAAATCATTTGTTCTATTACTATAAATTCTGAATACTCTCTGTAAGGTAATTGGTAGAAAATCAATTAATTCACCACTGGAAGAAACCAATCGTTTAAATCTTGTCATGCAAGTTAATGTGAAGAGGAATAATAGGAAGAGACAGAGAATGGAGACGAGAATGTAAATACTCTTCTCCATTGAGCTTGTTTCTATATAGTATGAAAGGGAAATGGAGAGAGGGAATGTAATTTCAGATAATGGCACATATCTGTCTTTTAATTCCAATTCTGTAATGGTATCCAAACTACTATTTTTGGAAGGTAAATTATTTTTAAATTTTCCATAATTAGTAGTACTATTATCATTAAAAGTATACAATCGAACAGCAAATTGAAGACCCTCTGTCGATGGCAAATCCATTCCAGGTATTAAAAACGGTACAGGAATCTCCAAATCATCCTTCAATGACAAATCCAATTGTTTAAAACCAGATCTCACTCTTGTCGATAGAAAATAATTCACAGAAAATGGATCAATAACTCCACTAGCATTAAACAATGAAAATGCCACCACTCCCTTGAAATAATACAAATCAAATGGTACTGCACTCGAGTAAAAAACACTCACCAAATGTTCATCACCAATCAGGAGGGACGAATTGACTTGATAAGTTCTCTGAATGTAACAAGTTCTGATTGGTTGTTGAGTTTCCTTGATGAGAAACCATTTTTCTTCACATGTTAGGGCTGATTGAAACATTGACTCGGTAATGTTAAAGTTAAATTGTTGAGCAGAGTTTCCAATAGAAATACATTGAACGAGAATGAAAACAATGGTGGCAATGGCAAACATGGCATAAATGGAGAGGACAAAGAGAACGGCTAGGATGGTACCACACCGCTTGGAATTTGATTGATAGTAATATGTCATTTTTTTTTTATAATATTGATATGAACACTAATAGTGACATGTTCGAATATTGTTTAGAATAACATTTTGAAAGTTAGGTTGACACCTTCTTCTTGTTGGTCTTTGTGTTCAATATTGATGATGCAGTTACTGTTGTTGTTGGAAATCAAAACGTGATATTATTGTGATCACGTTTTTACCTGAAGTGTTGCATCTTTAAATTGACATGCCTTTTCACATTTTGATTTCTTGATACATTTAGAACTAGTATACAAAATAACATTGAACGGTTCAATAATTTCTTCATATTTTTATTAGAAACTGGCCTTTTTGATATTGACATTCGAATAAGAATCTGTTTGTGCACCAATTTAAAACGTGATAGTATCAACAGTTAACAACAAGAAGGTGTCAACTAAACATTGCACCAATTAATTTTAATACATATCATCATTAAAAAAAACGCACTCTTCACTCTCTATTCGAAACAACATGTTGTGGGATGCACTAACCTCCATCTCCCTCGTTATTTTCTTCACATGTGCACTGATTGCACCACTGCTAGCCATCATCAATGCCATTTTTCAAAATAGAAAAGTTCTCTTCCAGAAAGTAGTTTCGAATAATTCATACTGGTTTCTAACAATTGTGAAATCATTTTGGTTTCTCACAATTCTCGTTCTTTTCTTTTTCACATTTAATTTAATTGCCTCTCTAATTATTATTAATGTTTCAATGGAAAAAGTTAGGGAATTTTCTAGAAATATCGAAAGTGTTTCCTTTTCTGATATTACCAATAATTCTACTAGAAATTTTTGGTTTAAACAAGTGAGAATTAATCCATTGGATAGAAACAAGACGAATGTATTAGAAACTGTGATAAACAAGACGAAACCAAGTGATTCAAATGTATTGCTATTTTTATATGCAATGAATGTGGAAACTAATTTAATATTTTTCAAGGATTATTCATTATTTCAGCAATATAATCAATCTATAAATGGAAGTTTGGATTATTATACACCAGATGTTACAAATGTGGAAAAAACTTATTCAGGATTTTTTACAAAACAATGGCGGTTGACTAGTAATGATTTTAGAAATAATCAAACAATTATTACTCAATATAATCAAACAATTATTTTAAATAATACCAAAAATGGAAATAATACTACCAATAATGGAACATTAACTATTACAAACACTACCCTCACAACAACTAGTACTAATACTAGTCAAATATTTAATCAAACTTATACTATTGCCATTAGAATTAAAACATCAAATTTTGAATCTGTCAAGAATATTAGTGGACTATTTCACTTACTTGTCGACGATTCTCAAACTTCAATTTTAAATGACATGTTAAAAATATTTTGGATTACAGTGGTGCAGATTATTATATGTTGTGTGGCTTGTTTTTATATTCATGAATCAATTTCTAATTTTGATCCAGTGAATTATCAGGAATTTTTATTTTCTTGGCTTTCCATAGTTACCTATTTTGGAAAGTCTGAAAAACCTTCAGGTGTTAATATTGTTTTTAAAAATCTTAAAGTGAGTGGACCAAAAAGAACATTATTGAAAAATGTTTCAGGTTTTATTCCTGCAAAATCATTTACTGCAGTCATGGGAAAGAGGTAAGAATTAAACAAAATTATTTTTTAATTTTACATTTATGGAAATTTCCTATTTGGAATTTAATTTTCTATTTTTAGTGGATGGTATGTCGAATAATAAGTATAATTTTATTTGTTCACTTTCGAATGTGATGGCAATAACTAATGGCAGTCAATCACAACAAGAACTTTTAGCTACCAGTGATATTGCTGCTAATTCTAGTAATAGCTTTACTACTAATATTGGAAACAGTAATAGCAATATTGTAATACGTCATGTGCCATTCTATGTTCAAGCTGTTGCATGTTTATTGAGATGTTTCTTACAAACTATTCACCAATTGACTACCTTATTGGGTGATTTAATTTTAAATGCTATTGGTGGTTTCATTATTGCTGCTTTATTTTCTGGAAATTTAGTTTTCCAAGGACAAAGTTCTAAATCCATATACGATTCATGTCCATCTCAAATGAAAGAAATTTGTGGACAACCAAATGTTGATAGTATTACAGGATTTACTGGAACTCTTGTTTTGGCCATGAGCTTGACATCAATTATGAGTTCATTGAAAATATTTGGTGCTGAGAAAGTTAATTTCCGAAAAAGGGAAATTGAAAGTGGAATTAACACCATGGTATATTATTTTACCAAATGCATCTATTCATTGATTTACATTGTACTTGATGCTTTATTCTTTACATTGGCTTTTTATTTCATTGTAAAACCAAGAGAAACATTTGGATTCTATTTTTCATTTACATTTTTAGCAATGTTTACAACATTTCCAATTGGATATATCATTTCAACTCTATTAAGTGAAAGTGTTGCACAAATTACTTGTGTAGTATTTATTTTTATTAATTACATGTTTGCTGGTTTGACTCCTTCACTTCCAGAACTTTCTGGAATGCCATTACCATTTCCATTTTTACCTTATTTATCATTTTTGAGATATCTCAATGAATTGCTCTATGTTCATGAAATTGCTCACTATAATAACATGTTTGAAAAGTCAATTTCATTGAAGGGATATGTGAGAGAGTTGGATAATTTTTACATTTCCATGATTTTGAGTTTTGCCTTTGTTTTCTATTTCATTGGTGCTTTGGTCATTTGGCAATCATGTCCAGATTCTCTATGTTTTAGTATTAAATATCAAGGAGAGAGAATTATTCAATGGATTCTGTTGAAATATCATGAAATTACACAAAAAATCAAATGTTGTAAAAAAGATGATTAAATATTTCCAATTTCACATAGTTAACATTCTCTTTTCCTCAGATATCTTATTAATATCTAGTTCATTGTAAATAACTCATGATGTGTTTAAAACTTGAAGATTAAATTCCAACATTCAAAATATCAAATTCAAATTCCGATGATAATTCTTTCTTTAATATTTACTCTGTACTTTCAGGTTCTTGTTTTTCTTCATCCTTAGTTTTTCCATCTGTACTTGTTGTTTTAATTTCAACCTGTTCTCCATCTTCCTTTACTTCCTTTACTTCCTTCTTCTCATCAGCTGCTTTATTTTCCTTTTTAAGATCTTGCTTTTTGGCGTCCATCTTTTTCTTCTTCTGCTTATTTTGTTTCTTGTTTTCTGTTCCCTTTCTCTTCTTCTTATTATCAACATCATGTTGTTGAGGTGTTGATGATGTATTATTATTATTAATATTATTATTATTTAATTGTTGTTCCGATGATGATGGTTGAACTTCTTCTTCAGTTGTATTATTATTACTTGCACCGCCACCACCCTTAGCAGCTAGTTCCTTCTCTTTGAGTTTCTGGGACCATCCTTTTCCCATGTTTTTGCGGGCTCTTTGCTTGGTTCTTCCCATTTTTTTTTGAATATTTAAATTGTAATAAATATGTACAATTTAATACTATTAAACTATTAAACTATTACAATACTACGACAAATTAATAAATGTTCACACTTCAACTCTGCATTGCTCAAGCAAGGCCTCAATCAAAATTATTTTGTTTACAAAATGACCTACTTGTATGATCACAGAACTTCGCAACAACTACCAAATAAAAGTTTGAGCTAGAAAGCATTTCAACATCAACCAAAAAAAATATTCACAACAATGAAGAGAGCTATTTGTAATTTCGCATCAGCAGCTGCATCTTTGCATAGATCGGCATCCTCCTCAGCTACATCAGCTGTTCTATCTCATCAATTCAATAATACAATGTCATATTCCACTAATAGTACCAATAATAAACATGTTGGTAAATATCCACAAGAATATTTGGATTCCTTTGAAATTTACAACAAGTTGAATGCCAAGTTTAGAGTGGCTGTTGTGAATACTTGTAATATGAACTGTTTTTTCTGTCATAATGAAGGAATGGAAAATCCACGTTCATTGGGTGATAAAACACCAATTAAAAAACAAGGAAAGGAACCATTTCCGGTTGGAGAATTGGTTAGAATGATGAATGATTTTTGTGATCTTGGTGGTACTCAATTGAATATTACAGGAGGAGAACCATTGGTGAGAAAGGATATTGTTGATGTGTTAAAATCAATTGATAAGAAGAATACTAGAGGTATGTACAAATTGTTTTGTGTGAAAATGTAATTATCATGAACTGTTTTGGAAATAGTTGTTCTCAATTCAAATGTGCTTCTTGCTGAGAGATTGTTGAGAGCGCCTAAAGTTCCACAAGTTGATGCAATTTATGCCTCATTGCACACAACTAGAGAATCTGATTTCAAGAAATATCTTGGAATTAATGCAGGTGCTGAACAAGTAATGAAAAATATGGTCCTATTGAAAGAGCATGGCTATAGAGTTCAAATTAATTATAGTTTGGGAGATTACAATAAGGATGAATTTGAAAATGTTTTGAAATTTGCTCTTCCTAATAAGATTGATTTGAAAGTAATTTCCCTTATTAGATCTAATTTGGATAAATCTCAATATTGTAATCCAGATGAAGAAAAATCATGGACAAATCCAAAGTGGTTGGAAGATTTGATGGAAAATAATGGTGTACAAGTTTGTGGAACTCGTGAAGGTTTTGGAGGTCGTGTCAATATTTACAAAACCAATGATGCCTCAGATCACAAAGTTGAAATCAAGAATATTGGCAGAGGAAGATTAATGACTGATTATTGTAATGGATGTAGATTTGCAGACAAGTGTGGAGAAGGTATTTACGCTGTAAGAAGTGGTGTTGATGGAATTTGGAAGCCATGTGTTCTCAATAGTGATAAATTCTCTAAAATGGAAATTGAAGATTCATCCAACGATTACAAGATGCAAATTTTGAGTGTCATTCATAATATGGTCAGTGATTGGAAGAATCACAAATTTGTTGAAGGTAGTCCACAATAATTCATTTCAAATATTTATGTTTCTCTGCTCTTCCTTTCATTTCCCAATAATTAGTCTTGTATAGTCTCTTTCCATCAATATTGAATCGTTCCCATGCTTTTAGAAATCTCTCATCAGGAAATGCAAAGAAAGAGCTCTGTAAATTAATTGATACAATTTCAAATAAAGCATGATTTGATTCCTTCCCCAAATACTTCAATCTTAGTTCACCAGCACACTCTGCATACTCCAATCCATCTTGACACAGTATTGAGTGGCCAGATTCAATACGGGTTGAATTAACAAGCAAGGATTCCTCCTCCCTCTCATCACTACTCACTTGGGTGAGTTGTTTGTCAATTCTAATAAAATTCTCATTCAATCCAATCACATAGTTGCAACACCATAACGATTTGTTAGCCAGTAAGATTTCCATTTGTAAATTATTATTAAATAAATTCCAACATTTTACGATTGAATTTTTCTCATCAATTTGATGATCATCGGAATGAACGGAGAGGCAATTACAAAACTCCAAACAATTTACATTTTCAATTTTAATGCTCTCTCCGAGGTTAATTGAATTTTTCAAGGAAATTAATTTAGTTTTTGATGAAATGATGAAAAATTGTGTTTGATCAAATTCTTGCATTTTTTTTAATTGTAAACTGTAAATTCTTTTGATTACAATTCATCTTTAACTTGACTTCTTCGTTGTTCTTTAAAATCGTTGCCTCTTGTGATTGCTTCAAGTAAGAGAGATAGTATTTTCTTGTCAACTTCAAAATTCTTCTCCTTATTGGTATTGAATGGTACAAGGAATATATTGTTGGCATCAAATCCTAAAGATTTCTTAACAGTTTCAATAACTATACTTTCATTATTGGTTGAGAGATGAGTCACACCAATAATGGGATAAATTCCATGAATGGAAATTTCCTTAATGAAATTCTTAATACTATCCTGAAGTAAATGATCTGAATCTATTGATGGTTGAGAAACGAGCAGGACAATAGCATGAACCTTATTGTTAATCTTATTGTCCATCTTCTTGTTGGCAAGTCCTTTTTCAAATTTTTCCTTTTCTGTATTTAGTAAAACCTTATTTTGTTTAACAATTGCATCTTTGGTATTATATTCAAGCTCCAAATCAGCCAACTTATCCAAATTATCCTTTTTAAATTTAATTTCTTTCTTTCTCTTTTCAATATACGAATTCCAATCATTATTCTTGACATAGTTCTGTAACTTTTGTTGATGTTCTGGCGTATTGTGTGCAAAAAAGAGATTTAACAAATATTCCTCTTCAGTACTCATAGTTTTCAATTCGAATACAATTGCCAACTCTCGCAGTCTTTCCTCAAGAAGCTTGATATCAATTTCTGATCTCTTAATATTTCCTTCAAGGTAAATATTCGGATTTTCACCTGATAAAATCAATTCAATTGCCTCTTTCGAATTGTAATTATATTTTGTAATGCCGACAGTGTCCAGAATGGTAATATTCGAAGTAATTGAACTATCTGTTGAATAATCCATCACATTCAATCTCAATTTGTTTAGTTCAATTGTGGTGTGATTGTTATTGACTAGAGCAGGAACTGTAAACTTGACACGATCTGTCACACAAGTATAGAACGAGTTGACAAGAGTACTTTTACCAGATCCAACATTTCCAGCAATTAGAATGTTAACATGATTGAGTTCTGGATTATTCTTTCTATATGCTTTGAATACTTGCTCGGAAAATATTTGTGTGGATAGAGGAATAGTTACACTTTCAATATTTTTGGAATTACATGTCAAATCCAAGTTCAATTGTTTTGGTAATTTATCGACATTTGAATGGTCATGATGAACTGGAGTAATTTCTATTTGGAATTCATTATTTTGAATTGATTTCTTTGTAATTGTAATTCCTTGTTGAGATTTCAAATAATAATCTGAACTAGTTCCATTCGAATGTTTAGTTTGTGAAAGAATGACAAGACAATTGCTGTGCGTATATTCTGTGATGCAACCTGATGAATGAAGTTTAAATCCAACTTTTAATGGAGATGACAATAAGTACTTTTCTCTCTTGATGTGATAGTCGTGTATTTTCAAACAGGAAAGGTCGTCTGGCACTCTGGCTAATAGTTTCGAATAAAATACAAGCCATACAAGCAAACCACTGAAAATAAACAAGAAGGCAATATGTCCAAGATGTTTAGGTTCCATTTTTTTAAAGTGTGTGGTAAACGTGATGTTTAATCAAGCTCCAATTTTACATGAACTCAAACGTGATGATCAATCAATTTGTCATCTGCCAAAACAACATGTCATTATGCAAGTGGGTAAATCACGTTTAGAAACTATAAAAAAAATGGTGCAAGCTAATTCCAATCAAGATTCACAATCTGCAGACTCACCAATCAAAGAAGATTCATTCGAAAGAGTAGAGTATTCTGAAGAAGAAACCGAAACTAAACCAGTTGAATCAAGTTCATCTAACAACGTTGAAGAGGAAACTAACCAATCTCCTTCTTCAACCTTGTTGGAGGAAAATTATCAAAAACTGAATTCGAAAGTTGAACTGTGCATTGCTCGCTCAGAACAGATTGAATCTCTTAAAGACCAAGTTGACCAATTGGAAGATCAATATCCATCATTTGATGAACTGCAACATGAAAAGGAAAAACTGGAGAGAAGAGTTGATGAAAAGATGGAAAAATCAGAACATGCTGTCATGGAGCATGTCAGTGTGGCATTTGATGGGTTGAAACAGAAAATTGAACAAGAACAAATTCAAATTTCTACAAATGTGAAAGATGTAGAAAATAATTTGAAGAAGGAAATTGAAAATATAGAGAGCTCTCTATCAAACAAGTTTACGGGAAAGATTCAAGCTTCTGAAGATGTTATTTTACAGCATGTTTCCAAGTTAGAAGATCAATTACAAGACAAGTTGGTTAGACAATCGAAAGAATTTAAAGATAATCAAGAATTGATTGCAAATGAGGTTAAAAGAGAAATTTCTGACAAGATTGAGAATTCAGCATTGAACTTGGAGAAACAGATTCTAAAGATTTCTAATGATATCGAGACTAAAGCATTAGAATCACAACAAGCATTGAATAATAGTTCAGAATCTTTATCAACCGAAATAGAAAGTGTTAAGACTCTTGTTGAGAACTCAAAAGAAAAGTTCAATAACATTGATGAAAATCTCAAAGCCATTGCAGAAATCAGGAAACAATTACAAGAATCCAAGGATAATTTTTCCAAATTTACCAATAGAATAATGTGGTTCTTTTGTATTCTTGTTGCCTTAATAGCAATTGTGTTATTCAGAGTGATTCCTTCAGAAAGCACCATTAGATATGTGGAAAAACCTGTTGCTCCATTGATAAGAAAATGCCAATGTAGCCAATCTGGTACTAATTCTCAGCAGGGAAATATCTTAGCAGATGCCAAACCTCAAAGAGATTCAAAACTTGATTTTGTAATCAATGCCAAAATTTCCATTTTCGGACAAGGACACAATCATGACAATCAAGAAGAGTTATTGGAATTTTTAGGAGATATTATTCCAAATGTTCAATTTACTAGCAATATGGGAGAAAAGTATGACATGAATATTGTAATGAAAAATGTTGGAATTAGAAGATTGGAGGAAGACATTTCGTTTGTTGATTGGAAAGAATTTGAAAGGAAATTACCAGTTCCACAACCTACATTGTTTCTATTCGTTCATAACGTTGAAAGTATTCCAGCCAATCCACTTGCTTTCTTATTAAGAGACTATATTAGGAAGTTTCCACTTTCATCATATGTTGCTGAGATTAGTTATGATACAGGAATCAAGAGTTTCCAAACATTGGAATTTGATTTGAAAGAACATATCAAATCAATTGTTTCTGATTTGAAAAAAAACAAAAAAGTAAAATAAATTTCAAATTAAATTAAATTTTGATTTAAAATTAAATTTAAAAAAAAATACTTTACATCTATGCGTGCGTATGGGACTTTGAGGAAGCAGCAAGTGAGTCATCACGTTTCAGAAGATTCAGAAGATTCAGATGATTTATTGGAAAGGAGGGAGATGATTTTATATGTTCGGAAGAAACATTTTAGACGAAACAATAACTCAAAAATCAATTTATCAGCAATAGTACCGAATTTATTTATCATCTTGATTGGAGTAATTGCTCTATATCTCCCATATCATTATTTTAATATTGTAAATTCCGATTCGAATAATAATTTTGTGAATAATTGTGAAAGCTCTGTAATTGCAACACAATCTACAACTACTGAAGATAATTTGAAAGTGGAAAATGCTAATTTGGATATCAGAAAATCAGAATTTGTAAAAGATACTGATAAACTAGTACTAGTCACTAGAATTATTGGAAACCAAGAATCTCTTCCAGAAAGTTTCCTTAATTTCCTAAATAAGAAATCCAAAGAGTATAATCTTAATTTGCTATTCATTTCTAATGAAAATTTACTACAGGAAAACACAAAGAAAATTCATCATTTACTAATTCCAAAAAGAATTGCAACCAATCGCCTCAATGAAGACATTCTTCAATCAGATATTTCACATTTTTTAGTTCAATATGAAATCTCAACCTATTCGATAGTACTGTTATCTGTCAAGTATGAATTGGAGTTGGAATCAATGCAATTTTCAATGAAGGATTTCAAGGAAAGTTTCAAACCTCCCATGACTTGTATTTTTCAAGTTACTCAGAGCTATTTCAATAGAGATGATTTTGGAGTTCAATTTACAAACTCAAATAATATCAGAAGTGAATTGAATCAAATTGAGCAGACCTTTAAAACAAAAGAAATAACATAGTTGTAACATATTTGAGATCCATATTTCGCAATAATTGGTCCAATCATTATAAAGTTTTAGTAGTACAAATTGTGTCCAACCCTTGAAGAACATTCTTAATTCATTTGCGTTTAAAATACAATTTACATCCAAAAAATTGATTCTTTCCTCACAGTAGTAGCACCACAAATACCATGCCAGAACGAAAACATTGGAAATGTGCAAGTCAAGCACTTGTATTCTAAAATCGAACACAACAATTATTAGCTTAAGTTGCTCCTTGTGTGAGTGCTAGTGCCGTGCCTTAGAATTCTTACGGTTGATGAAAGAATTTTCCACCAATTCATCGGCAAAATTATCACTTTTCATTCTTGCAATGTATCAGTCAAATATTTAATATTTGCAATAAATTTTAAACTTCTAATAAAAATTAGAAAAAATGAATCAACACCATCTAAAAAAATGAAAAGAAAACAAACCTTCGGAGATCAAAAAAATGAAAAGAAAACCAAAGCCAACACCGACTTGTTGTCATCAGGCAACGAACCATTCTATCTTCCGGATGAGATGATCACAATCATTCTCTCCTATTTACCAAATGCTCAAATTTTACGTCGATGTATTCTCGTTTCAAAGCAATGGTTGATTGTGTGTGGTAATTTAAACTTGGTTTTGAATACAAATAGCTGGTCTTCATGTGGTCCTGTCACTCTGAAAAAGAGGTTGAATAGTAGTTTTGCAAATTGTTTTACTAGTTTGCACATTGAAAAGAGAACTAGTTTGAAGGATGAAATTTCACTCATTGGTGAAAGCAAGTTGACTAGATTACAATATTTAACAATTGGGAAATCTAGTATTAATAACAGTGGATTGGACGCATTTTTGTCAACTCCTAATGTATCTCATCTCAAGTATCTGAATCTGTATTACAATAGCTTGAAGAGTGACAGTACAGTGAATGGTTTTAAAAATGTTCCAAACTTGGAAACTTTAGTCTTGAGTAGAAATATTCTCTCTAAGGACACAATTAGAGTGATTGTCGATAATTGTCCTAAATTGAAATGTTTAAAGCTTGCAGAGACGTTTATTGAAAGTGAAGGTTTAGAAATAATTGCCAGCAGTGAAAATATGTCAAATTTGGTAACATTGGATCTTGCACAAACACACTTGCTCTCAACAGGAGCTACATGTTTAGCCAATAGTCCCTATCTCAACAATTTAACTTTTTTAGAAATGTATTGGTGTGGCATTGAAACAAGTGGTATTAAGGATTTGTGTGAAAGTGGTAAACTCAAGAATCTTAGAACACTTGGATTGTGTAGAAATAGTATTGGTACTGAAGGAGCAAAATACATTGCCAATTGTGAAGATTTATCGCATCTCACAGAACTAAACATTGGTTTCAATGAAATAATGGACGAAGGAGCTAAAGCTATATTCGAAAGTTCTCACCTTTCTAAGTTGAGAAGCCTTAATATTTCCAAGAATAAGATGGGTGGGACAAGTGAAGGATATGATGCCATGATACAATGTAAATGGTTAAAGAATCTTCACACATTTTCCATTGCAGATAACACTATTTCCTACTATGGATCGACCCTATTCCAAAAGTGTGATTTAAGCAGTGTGGAATCCTTAGATTTAGACAATACACGTATCAAGACGAGTTCAGCAAAAATCATTACAGAATCTGATACCTATCAAAACTTGAACGATTTGAGAATTAGTAGAAATTCAACTCTTGACGATGATACAGCGCAGGACTTTGCCAATTCTACAACTCTCACCAAGCTCACCTATTTAGACATTTATAGAACCAAGATTTCAGTGAGTGGAATCCACCTCATTAAGAAGAATACCAATTTTCCAGCCAATTTGGAGGTTGATCTTCCGTTTGCCAATGTTGAAACCACTGCGAATAAGTTAAGAATCATAGAATCAATTGAGGAGGAATGAAAAGAGGCAATTGCCTTATTAACCTCTTATCCAAGAACCTATCCAATCAATCAACTTGTTCAATGTTAATAAACATTACAATGTTTCAGCAAATTCTCAATCTCCTTTCAAACACCGCTTGTGCTGTGGTTCAAATCTCAAGAAAAATGCCCAAAGACCTCAACAGAGCATCAACACCACACCCGAATAACAAATTTCATCAACAACAACAACATTCATATCAACAGCAACGGCAATATCATGATGGAGTAGTAGGTAGTACTAGTTGTGATCATCAATTAATATCAACATGCTCTGGTGATGGTGTGATGATGATGAATATGGAAAAATCAAAGGAAAATAGGCTAGAAAGTGTTGAAGCCTTGCCTTCGGAAAGAGTTTTACTTGTTAGTCATAATAGTAATATTGTTGGATCAATGACAATGTTGGACGAAAATAGTAATAATGAAACGAATAGTAGTACTACTGCTACTGCTGTGGTACCATTATCAATATCTAATTCTAGTCAAAGTCGAACGAATCATGATGGCGAATTTAAACCAACACTGAGTTGTGTTGGTTGCAGAAAACTGCACAGGAAATGTGATAAAAAACAACCGAAATGCACAGAATGTGTGACCTATGGACGGGAATGTAAATATACACCAGGAAAGAACAAACAATATATTAGAAAGAATAAGAAGGATAAAGATCATCATTCAGATAAAATTGAGGATAATTTGAAATATTTAATGATTTGGAATCAAAATATGGAACCACAAACACAATGGGCTCATACTTTTGTAAAGAATTCTGTAAAAAAACAAACTGTAGATATTTATTATAGAAAGTTGTCAATGGGAATGTCAACTATGCAACAAACGAGAATGGAGGATTTGTTTTTTCGAAATGGAACGGAAGAATTAGATGATAATGAATATAGTCTTTCACTTTTTTACTCAATTCAGGCTCTGTGTGACCAATAGTAAGTTGTTAAGCCATTACAAAGTATTGAAATTTCAAAACTCTGCAGCATGGGCAGAAGAGACAAAGCCATTGAAGCATTTAACGAGTGTAAAAAGTATTTAGGGAAAATTTATGATGATTTGGAATCATTTGCTGTTGCCTGCACATGTAATTATATTTCATTCTTTTTAGCTGGAGAGGGAGAGGATGAACTTTCGAGTAATTATTTAACACTGGTTGACCAGTATTTTAAAAGAAGAGCACGACAAATTGCTCGAGGTTTGCCATGTTTTGGAAATAGCGAACATTTTATTGTAAATAATTTAGATAAGAAGAGAGGAGTTACGAGTATATTTTTCTATGACAATAGATTGGATTGGAATAAGGGCCAAAAATATAGCAATCTAGTTGCAGTGTCTTACAAAATAGCAACAGGAAATGAATTACCACAGAATTTTGTTGAAATACTTGATGCGGACCTTAATGAATTTACTTTTGCGCAGCAAATGTCTGTATTGGATGATTTACACATTTTAATGAAGAAGAGCCACAAAGGAAGATCACATGTTCCAGAATATGTACAAATAGGTCTAATGATGGACAAACTCAATGTTGCTTTACACAGACTTGAAGCATTAAGAGTGGTCCTCGCAAAGAATCCAAAGGACAAACGATTTGTGAAATTGGAAATGCTCAAATATGCGGATGAAATTAGTGAAATTGTTGATAATCCCTATTTCCCAGGCATGTTATCAAGTTTTATATTTGCATTTGCTCTGGCAGCCCAAGTACATTTCGAATTATTTTTTGATAATGAAATTTCAAATGTACCTCTGATTAAAACAAATATTCTCAATTCCTTGGATAGAGATATGAGAGGACTAAAACACTTTTCCTCAAAATATGGAAGAACAACCAAAGTTTATGGACCTATTATGAATGCAATTGAAGCTCTCGTTGTCAACATTTCACCACCAAATTGTGGTCCTCCCTTAGACTCCATTTCTTCCTCAACAAATGATCAAGCATCCTCTCTTCCAACATCAAGTCATGAAAGCTCTTCAACTGCAACAACCTCTGCAGATGATCAGAGAAAGAGAGATTTACCATCAGCTCAGTTTTTAGCAAACACAATGAAAAATTTTATGCCAAGAATCGCTAGGAATTTCAATAATTAATAATTTGTGTGGGCAATTGCTTGGAATAAAGACTTTAATAGGTGATCCATAATTTTATGGATCTATAGATTTAGTTTCTCCAAATGTAAAACATTCTTTTGGTTCTCATACCATTGAAATCTGAGGCAGCTGCAGTTGTGTAAGCTCCAAAATTATTGAAAAACAAATAATCTCCTGCATGTAGCTCAGGTAATGGATATCCTCTACTCAAACAGTCTAATGAATCACATGTAGGCCCGAACAAGGTAGATGCATACTTCTTTTCATGTTTGGTTGACTTGGACATGATCATATTTACAACTAAGTGGACATAGTCAAAGACAATATTATTAAAAGAGCCATAAATTCCATCATTGAGGTAATAGATAAAATCGTCAGGTGTTGGAATGCCTTCCTTCTTCAATTGCTCATTCTCCAATCTCATATCCTTAACAGTGTGAACATTGCAGACAAGGGTATGTGAAGCACTGACAATGTAACGACCTGGCTCTGCAATTAATTTGATAGTCTTTGGATCAATGATTGAATCGTCTGCATTGGTTGATTCATCTCTCAAGAAGAGTTTTTGAATTTCAGGAACGATTTGAGAGGCTACAGTTTCCATTGGATTTTCATCATTAATTCTACCCATGAAACCTCCTCCAATATCAATCAAAGAGAGCTTGTATCCATATTTGATTGCAAGTTTTGCAAGCTCTGCAGCATCTTGAAGGGCCTTCTTATAGGAATTTGTATCTGAGCAATTGGTTCCAACGTGGAATGAAATTCCATAAATATTAACACCAAGAGCTTTTGCTTTTTCGAGGAGAATAGTTTGACCAAACTTACTACAGCCAAATTTGGCAGAGAAACCAACAGTTGCATGTGAATCATCAGTCTTGATTCTGATTACACACTTGGCAGCCTTCCAATGTTCTGCAATCTTTTCAATTTCACAAACGGAATCGAGCGTAGTAAGCTCAACACCAACTTTTGCAGCATATTCCATGTGTGAAATTTGTTTACATGGATGAGCAAATATGATATCACGTCCAGGAACAAATCTTCTATTCTTAATTTGTTCCAATGAAGGATCTGGATTAACAATTGTCAAACTTTCATAGAATTGTTGATTATTTTCCAACCAAGTATCAACTTCTTTACAAGTCTCACAAACGAGTGCAATTTCAGCCTCACTGGCACAATCAAATCCACATCCCATCATGTACAAAACCTTTACAATATTTTCATTTGGATTACATTTCACAGCATAGAAAGGTCTCACACCACGATCATCAATTTCAATCTTTTGTTGATCCTTTGGATAGATTGTCATTGCCTTTCTCCATCTCTCAATCTGTCTCACAATATGTGACAAATCAACAACAAAGAATGATTCTCCCTTTTCATTCTTTTCAGAAATTTTCTTTACAATTCTTCTCACAGTATTTTTCAAATGTGATTCCTGATCTTTGATTAAATGTAATTCAGCATGGAAATAATTCTCAAAAATTGGTTGTAAACTAGCAACCCATTCAGAATGATTATAGTGCGCTTGTGGTTCATGTTTATGAACAGGTTGTCTCAAATTGTGAAATAATGATTGAGGAGTTTGTTGTTCATATCCCAAATGTAAAAATTCAATAGATTTAACTCTGGTCATTCCATCATTTCCAGCAGGAACATTTAAATGATTTCCACTATGACTCGGATGCATTGACATTTTTCTAATTACAAAATAGATTAATAAATATTATTATATCATATACAATAAAAAAATCAAGCTAATGATGATGATACTATTTTAAAACAAAGTGTATCGGTGGTAGTATTTTTTTTCTTGTTGTTGTTGATTCCGTATGATGATGATCTTTTCAAAATCAAAAAGGGTTTTTTCAAAGGTATTGAATTTAATTATTTTTTTTTGTGATTTTTTTGGGTGATGAAAATGTCCGTAAAAGGTCCTCCCACGGCAAATGAAGAGAAAAAAAAATTTGGCGCTCTTTTAAAGACTTTGGAGAGTTTTTGACTAAATTACTTCTTTTGATAGTGAGAAATATTAAATTTAATAATTTGTGGATAGATCTAAGGAAGAAGATTCATTGGAATGTAAGGAATTTGTGGTAAAACTGTAGTTCAACAAAAATGTATTCAAAAAGTGAAAAGTGACAGGGAAAGTTTGTTGTTGTAATGGTAACATAAATTACACTCACTGGAACCTCCAGTTTCCGCATGTTTTAATGGTAAAATCAAGTTCATTCTTGACATTTCAATGACATTCGTTCCAATAGAATCAAAGTTTCGTCCACATTCATCTTTTACAAGATAAACAAAATGCAACAACCACACCATCATCTTGTTTCTTACAATTACTCTTCCAAACAGCTAAATCTTCTAACGATCTGTCTCACCTGTGCTGTCTTTCTTCTCCTGCCACTTGTCACATTCCAACAAACATGTCAATCTCTGTACATTGATGAAAAAGAAAGTACCACAAATGTTGCTTGTCCAATTTCCTTTATTAACGATGGAAATGGTTGCCAACCATTCCAAACAGTTTATGATAAAATCATGAACACAAATTGCTCCAAAGATTCTGATTGTAAATTCGGTTATATGAAATGTGTTTACAATAAGTGTTATAGTGCTGATAGAGTTGAAGGAGATTCATGTTCGCAACATGAACAATGTGTTACAACAAAAGCTTCTGTTAAGAAAGGAGGTCTTTATTGTAAAGATAGCAAATGTAAACCTTATAAGGTAAAGTTTACAAAGAAAATTGGTGAAAAATGTGGAGATGTTGATAATAATGAAGGATTGTATTACTCGTGTGAATTTGGAGCTTCCTGTGTTTTGGGTTCTTGTTTAAAAACTCCAATGGTTAGCAAGGATGAAAATTGTACTCGAGTTTTTAATCCATTTAAGGAATATAGAGTTTGTCAAGCTTCTTTTTATTGTGGAGAAGACTCAATTTGCATTAATTCGATTAGATTAGAAGCTAAATGTAATGAAACAAGCAGTTGTCAAACTGGTTATTCCTGTAGAAAGAGTAAGGATTCAAATGATGCCATCTGTCAAAGATTTGCTGATTTTGGTGATTATTGTAGAGAAGATTCTGATTGTGGAAATACAAATTCAGGATTGGTAACATGTTCCAATAACAAATGTAAAAGATTATTAGCAGGATTGAAAGGATCTACCTGTCAAAATAACACTGAATGTTATTCAGGTTATTGTAATAAGGATACAAAAACCTGTCAAGATGTTACACTCGATAATGGAGATACTTGTTACAATTCCACTTCTTGCAATAGCCTATCAGGTGGTTGTGTCTGTGGTGGCAAGGCCAGTAATGGAAATAATAAGGGAAAATGTTTGCCAAGTTGTGCAGGACCACTCTATGATGTCATTAGTTGTTTATATAATAAGGGATTGTATATTGGAACTCCATTGGCAAGTTCATTAACTCCTGGCTTGGGGTATGCTCAATATGTAGATGAGGATAGTAGTATTTACAGATCTTGTAAGAGATATTATGAAAGATATTACACATGTCAACACAGAGTTTGGAAGAATGTTGGACAATCATCGACAATTAATTCAATGAATGGATTCAAGATTTCAACTGAAAGTTCATTTGAAAATATTGATGTACTTCTTCCAAGAAGATCTGATGCTAATGGTCAAACAACTTTCAGTTTCAAGTTATTATTGGTTTCACTTTTTGCCATTATTGTAATTTTATTTTAAATATTAAATTGAAAATTAATTATTATTAATTATTTTGGTATTAGCAAGTCTATACCTTTTACAATTTATTAATATCATCTTGTTATTTTGTAATGATTTAAAATAAATATTTTTGAAAAATTGGAGCAAAATTGGGTTGGATAAAATTGGTGGAATGAATTGGCTGGTTAGGAATTAATTGGTATTGAGGATTTTGATGGTTGGTTTCTTGTAATGTTTCCATTGAGCAGAAGGAAGAACGTCTTCAACAATTTTAATTTCTTGATTGTCAGCTGAACAACGTCTTGTTGTAACCTTTTCTTGAATTTTTAACATGGTGAACTTCCTCAGTCTGTTACAAGATTCATAAACTTTCTTGGAATTGATGGCACCTTGAGAGTTGAATCGTTTGAACATTACTATTTGGTGGGCGTGTATTAAATGGAAAGACTTAGACATGGATGAAACTAGATCATTATAAATATGGGGATTCTCGCAGGTTATCATTAGGTGAATTAATTTTTTGTAACCAGTTGACAGTGTGGAAACAAGCTTTTCAATTTCTTGTTGCTCGTGAACTGCAATGGCCAAGGATTGAATTCTTTCATTCTGTTTGAATTTTGTTAGGGAATCAACTCTAGGTGTACAGAAGGACATGTCAATTTCGCATTTTGGTAAATCCTCTTCTTTAAGTGTAGACAATGTGTGCCACACAAAACATCCATCCAAATCAGAAAGAATAATTCTCTTAAAGACATCTCTATTACAAAGTTTCAAAATTTCTGGTAATGCATGTGAAATTTGATTTGAAATACATAATTCCAAAACTTCAGGTTGAAACTCTGGGAATGTAATTAACTTTTTAAAATGTTTCAAATTTTCATGAGTGATGGCACATTTAAATCTCTCTACTTTACACAATCCTACATTTCCCTCTAAAAAATCCTCTTCAAAGAAGAAGTTTGCCTTTACAGATAAATACTTGATAACAACATCCCTTTTCAATAAATCGAAAAAGTCTGTTTCCAAAGAGGTTTCCAATTTTCTAATGCAAAATCCTTGGTTAACTCCTTGTATAATACGTGATACTGTTAACTTGTCATTTGGAAATTTGGTATTATGAATGCAAACATCACTCAATGTACCTCTATTTGTTTCCAAAGCAGAATTAATAATATCCGAAACTTTGTAATATTCATGATAGTAATGCACATCAAAGTATAACTTTTTAACGCATTTCCAATTAATCTTGGGTATATTTACAGGTCTTCCAAATACTTGTACTTTAACAACATTTTCAAAAGGAAGCTCGCTCAACAATCTATAGTCAATGAATATCTTTTTCTTTTTTTGTTTTTTAGTATTCACATCTTCTTCCTTTTCCTCGTCATCTATACGAATACCAACCGCATATAACTGAAGTACCAAACTTCTGAATTGAGTGCTGACAAGAGATAGATTCATCACATCATCAAAAGTTAAAAATTTCAACATGTTATCATGAATAAAGCTTGATGAAAACGTTTGAAATAAATCTATTACATGATCCGAAGAGAGAGATGAAGAGGAAGCCTTCTTTTTTCTACTACTACTCCTACTACTACCATCTCTTTTCCCAAATAATAATTTAAAAAGTCCCATGAGGATGATTAATTGTTGTTGTTGTTGATGAAGATGTAACAACACACGTGGTTGGTTGCGCAACGTTCTCTAGATTTGATGAGAGTACAAAGCCTTTAATCGCAAAATGTTGAAAAAACTGCACAAACTCTTCACAACTCATAAACAAACAACACAGCTACAACAAGCAAATAATCAAGGTGGTGTTGTGTTGTGTTTTTCAAAATTGTCGTTGATGATAACGCTAATAAGAACGTTGCAAGAGTTTTTTTTCTTGTTGTTGTTCTTGGCAAAAGTGCACTTAAATGCCATAATCGTGCAAGTTAAGGTCGGTTTTATCAACTTGCCTGCGACACAGAGAATCGCACCCAACCAACAGTATTGTTGCCTTATTTCCCAAAACTAAAAAATACAAGTACATTGCTACGGTAGCCAATAAGGATCTTGTATTCTCTCCATAGCGCTGTGTTGTGTGAATATCTAAAGTTGATTTTTGGTTTGCAGTAAGCAAATTAATGCACAGAGAGATTAGATAACAAAAAATATGTGAATCTATTGTCCTACTTGTGGCGGAAACATCTCCCGATGATAAACAACACTATCAACAAGTTATTGATTATTTTGGCTATTACCTTCCTTGCATTTCGGCAGTCCTGTACAATTTCATCAAAACGTGTTGAATCTTCGCACAAATTTTCCAACACCTTTCATTCAATTGTTCTTTGAATTGACAATTGCAAGGTTCATGTTGTTGTGGGGAATGAAAGCATACTTATTTACTAGAGTCATTGACATGAGGTTTTAGGTTTCTTATTTAGGGGGTTTCTGTAATGGCTGTTGTAACTTATTTACAATTCACTGTACTGTAGATGTATTCTGTTGAGTTTCTGAAATAAGGAATATAGTCCTTTACTTGAGTATTTTAAAAGGTACGGTATTCAATGTATAAAATTTGTTCGGCTGTTTTTATTCATAACTTGAGAGACAAGTCGCATGCACCTATCATGTCACCAGTAAAATTTCACCCAAAATGAAAGGTGTGTATTCATTTCTTGTTCTCTTACAATAATTTCAGATCACATGATAAATGGCTTGAACACAAAGTTTCAGTTTCCATTCTCTTGTGGTGTTGTCTTCTCGGTTGTGAAAAATCCAACCCTAATCGCTCTGGTTCATTGTCTCAATAAAAATTGAATTTTGCTCCTCACCAGATTTTTGCTAATGTTGGATACAATATTGCATCCAAGCCCAAGCACCAATAATCAGCATGCAAGGTTTTCATTTCAATAAACAAATTTGGATATCATTTTAGCACGATTTTGTTGTGTAAATAATAGTAATGGAGAACTGTGATCTTGTTTTTTGCAAAAAGACCATTCATCCTTAATGCTTAAATAATTCTATTATGAAGCTGTAATTATAGCGCTCATGATGAATCCTAGATATTGATGATCAAATTTTTATTGCTGGTAATTTGTTGCTGTTTCATCATCGGAGAGTAAGGAACCTCTTTTTTCATCCACTCCCAATCAATGAGGAAATCACAAGGAACTGGTTTATGGGTGGCAATGGACACGTCTCCATATCGGTGAGGCATGAATTACAAATTCTAATGTGTGGAAATATTTATGAGAATATCAGATATGATTATTTGATTGGATTGTATGTTTGTAGAGGATTTAATTTCGTATCACATGTGATTGTCCTTTTGTGCAATAAAAATTTTAAAGAGTAGGAGAATTAAATATTGTAAAGAAGTTTACAAAATTACTTGTGAAAAAAAAGGCATCCTAAACAGTATGACAGAGTTACTGTTCGGATAGCAATCCGGTCTTTTTATCCATCGCACTAGGATATGCTTGAAATTTCCGTATTTTCAAAAAGATCTCGAAAGAAAAAAAATGTCAGCTGCCACATCAGAATCTTGCGCTCAACAAGCTGAAAAGTATGACAAACTCTCTTCACTCTACCACGGAGATGCCATTCCCTTCACTCTTCGTGAATTAAAGGAAGCCATCCCAAAACATTGCTTCCAAAGACCTGTCATGACCAGTATGCTCCATCTCATTTCAGATTTGGTTCAATTAATTGCCTATACTGTTGCCTATTATTACTTTTCCAATTTGTTAGAATCGTGGTGGTTTGCTAATTTGAATCAAATTGTAGTGTTGAGTCCAATTTATTACTTGTTGCAGGGTGTCTTGTTTTGTGGTTATGTTTTTATTGAAGGTTTTACATTTACTGGATTGTGGGTTCTTCAGGTAGGTTAATTATTATTCGATTAGGTTTATATATTATGGATTTCATCTTTATGTTTCGAATAATTCGTGTGAAATTGTGTGAAATATTTCGAACAATTTGTGTGAATATTTTATTATGATTGTAGCATGAATGTGGACATTATGCTTTTGCTGATAGTCCTCTTGTTTGTGATATTGTCGGTTACATTGTCGGAAGTGCCTTGTTGGTTCCATATTTTGCTTGGCAAGTAAGTTTAGTCAACCAGAGAATTTGTTAATTTTTTACTGGAATATTTGAATATTTTTTGAAATTCTTCAGAAATCACATGCTATTCACCATGCAAATACCAATCACATGACAAGAGATCAAACCTGGGTTCCTCAAAATGTCCAACCAATTCCTTCTAATAATCCAGCTCAAAAATCTCAAGTTGACAAACAAGTTGAAATGAAACCAAAATCTGAATCATCTCTTTCTGCCATTACTGATATGATTGTTATGGCAACTATTGGTTGGCCACTTCACTTGGTGCTCAATGTTTCTGGTCCAGTTAAGGAAAATGTTGTGGCCTATTATGCAAAGGGCATTCGTTATGAACCAACTATTATTACCGAAAGTGATGGAAACTCTCAAGATGATGAAAATGAATATTCTGACTATAAGCAAATTTCACAAAAGTATCCAATCAAATTCACCTCTCACTTTTTACCATCCTCTCCAATCTTTAATAGTAGAGAAACCTTAAAGATTTACTTGTCTAATTTTGGAGTAATTGCCATGTTATTCATTCTCTATCAATTATTCCAAATTTATGGATGGCAAGTGATGGTCACTGTCTATGTCTTACCACTCAGTATTAATTTCTTCCTATTGACCTCAATTACCTTTTTACAACACGTCCACGATGACGTTCCTCATTTGGATGAAGGTGAGTGGAATTGGTTGAAGGGAGCTTTGTGTACCATTGATCGTTCGATGGGTTCATTCTTGGATTCCAAATTGCATCACATTACTGATACACATGTGTGTCATCATGTCTTTTCAAAGATTCCATTCTATCATGCTGAGGAAGCAACGAAAGCAATTAAGGGAAAACTTGGAAATTATTATAGAGATGAGACTGATAAGAGTTTCTTTGGTGCTTTATTCGAAAATTTGAAGAATTGTGTTGCCTTGAAGAGAAATGAAAAGTTTAGAGGAATTTTGTGGTGGGATCATTAAACTTGAATAAATAGCAGATTCATTTACAATATTCTAAAGGTTTCTTCTTTTTCAATAATATTTAACTCCTTCTTGAAAGATTGATATCAAAGACGAAAACATAATAAGCAAAAGGTTCAGATAAGTTTGATGAAATACTTTCTGTTTATTGAGATTCAAAATTAATTTAGAAAGCAATGAAGAAGGATGAAACCAAAGCAACAATAACCATGATGAGCATATTCATTCCAATAGCAGAAGCACCAGAAAAAGCAGAAGCTCTTGGAATGGCAGTATTGCTTGATGAAGGTGCAGGAATAGATGAAGTACCTGGTTCAATAGGTGTTTCTTGACCTGATCTCACTTCATTGGTGACATCAAAGAATAAGGATGACATCTTCAATGGATCAACATCTGGACTAGCTGATGCACCACATGTAGAAACAGATCCCCAGGTCTTAATTTCACTTGAAGTGATAAATCTGGATGTTTCTTCAGTTCCTTGATCACCAACGAAACGAATATTGTCAATAATCATTTCTCTGTATTGTCCCTGGTTACCCAAGTAGAAGGCGAATTTACTGAATGGTTGAACTCCTTGGAATCCAATATCAGCAAGTGGATATCTAACTCTGGTGATACGAGTATCATCAATCTTGTAGTGTTGAACATAAGTAGCATTGGTTGGCATACCAGTCTTGATATTAATATAGGTCTTTGAAGTGGTATTGTAGTAAGCAAAACTAGTGACCAATTCAATCACACCAGAGTTATTGGTTCCCTTAATGAAAAATTCAAAGTACTTGTAAACACTGGTATCGACATTGACAACTGAACCTCTGTAAAGTTGGAATCCACCCTTCTTGAGACCAAAGTAATAAGAAGAATTACCACAAATTGGATTGAATGGATAGGTAATGTTGGCAACATAGTAATCAGGACTAGTACTAGCATAAGGACCATTGGTAAATCCAGTTGACTTGAAGGTAGCTCCTTCATCGTACAAGGTAATAACTTGAGATGCGTTCTTAACAGTACATGGAGAAGTTGTTGAAACTGCTGGTGGCAAATTACATTTACCACTACAGTACAATTGAGCTCTCAAGTGACCATTTGGATTTTCAGTAGAGGAAACCTTGATGAAAATTCTTCCCTTCAACAAGTCAACCCATTCACCATGAGATAATTGTAATCCAAATCTACTTTGAGAATATGGAGATGGAACATAACTGTAAGTGATATATCTTTCAACTGCACCAGGAGCACCAACACCAACTTCAACCAAACTTGCCTTATTGTTCAAATTGTGATGGAGAACAATGTCCAATAATCTGTCATTGTAATTCAAGAATGCAAAGACTGAACCAACAGCACTAGTAGAACCAGGGGCCAATGCAGAAACAGCAGCTTGTTGACACATTTCCAAACGACCGACGAATCTATCTTCCTTCATGTAAACTCTGTAAGTTTCTCTTGGATTTGCAGGAAGACTTGGAGTGGAAGTACCACAATAATCATTTGGACATTTGGCAGTAATATTGACAGCAACAGAGTTACCCCAATTACCATAGTCAACAAATCCGTACCATTCCTTCTTGTTACTCTTAGAGTTGGCATTCTTCAACTTGAGGTACAAGTGACCTGTTGTGGTATTGAAATAGTAGCATTGGGTTGGGAAGTTAATGACATCTTCCAATGAGTCACACAAATTGAGTGTTCCTGGCCCGCTTGAAGTAACTGTGAATGTAGAACCGAGTGGATATTGAATAGCCAAAACACTCCAATCACCAGCAGCTGATGATTGCATTTGCAAATTCATTGGATTTGGAGGTGGGAGATCCCAGTTGAACTTGATAGCGTAGAAACCACGAGCTGGAACGTTAGCTTGCATATAGAATTCTCCTCCACTGGATTGAACACCAGCAACAGTACCTTGAATATTTCTCAAGAGATCAGTAAGGAACAATCTTGGAATCTTCTTTGAGTTATCCTTGTAATCAGCGTGTGAAACTCCGTATGGATCAACAATTACTGATCCAGAAATGTTATAATTCAAAACTCTCAATTGGAAGAGTGATTCACCCATCAATGGACAAACTGAAGCATTATTCCAGTCATATCTGGTGATACAACCTTCCCAGTTTTGAATTGGGTCAATACCTCCAATCCAAGCACCACCAGCAATACCAGTGATGGAACCATCAATATCCATGAGGGCAGCACCCTTGTGGTTTTCATAAGTGACTGTATCCAAGAAAACTCTTTGAGGAGAATTTTCAAACTTCAAATCACAATATCTATTTCTAGTATGGAGTCTGAAGAAGTTATCAAGGACTGACAAACAACCAGCTCTCTTATACTTGTCAGTGACAAAGTTTCTGAAAGTGACATTTCTCAACAATTCAGCACCGCCGTTATCATAAGTTTCATAACCCTTAATAACAGTGGTAAGTGAGTAGTAAGCATTTGGTCTAGTTCTATTACCAACATCAACAGAAGGTCTCAAAGTATAATCACCAACATTGTCAGATTCAGCAATCATGATGGAATCAGTAATATATGAAGTACCTGGAGGAGAGTTCATTTGTCTCATATTATCAGTCAAGTACAAGTTTTTGAAAACAATATTACCACAACGAGCCCAAATACCATAACCTCTATTTTTGTAAGCAATAAAATTATCAATTAATGCCTCAATGGATGGATAATAACCAGCTTGTTCAGTTGTACCGTCTGGCTTTTCCATGTCATCGATAAAAAGACCATTTTGTGAACCGTGAGCTACATTTCCAGAAAATGGCTTTGGAGGAGCAGTTCTTGGATTGATAGAACCTGGAGCATACAGGGAAGCACTTGCACCTGTTGGGAAGGTTGGCATTCTAAAATTTAAAACATTAATAGAGGAATAAATTGTGATAACTTACGTAAACCAAAAAGCATGTTTGGAACCACAAGCATGGTTGTCAATAAATGTATTGTTTGGGTTGGTAATCCAAAAATTAGCAACATCACTATCAGATGGAATCAGACGATAGGTCAAGTCATAAACTGGCTTGGCACGAATTGCCAAATTATGTTTGAAAACATTACCTAACTCTGAACCATCTTCCAAAAAGTATTGATGTCCATTAGAATTGAAACAGACATTGTCTTGAAGCAAGAAATAATTAGTATCGTGAACAACGTAACATCTTTGGAATGAGTCATGAACTGAACATCCCTTAATATAGTATTGAGTACCCAAAGCAGTACCTTGAGCAGTATTTTCCAAAAGGTGAAGATGGAATGAATATCTTCCCATCAAACCATATTGACCAAACTTTCTAATTTCAATACCTTCAACTTGGAATTGAGTAACCAAACGAACCATAAAATGGCCACCAAATTGAGAAGCATCAGATGAATTATCTCCTTGGAAAACAATTCTTCTCGACAATAAACCAACTTCTGGCTTAATCTTATCTCCATCACTGTAGTGAGTATAATTGAGTGGAGCATCCAAGACAATAGTCTTACCACCATCCAAAACTTGAGTAATGATACGTTCTTCATTTTGATCTGGGAATTTAACACCTCTAGCCCAACCAATCAATGAAGAAGTTATTTTAGTATAGTCCAACATTTCACCATAATCTGAGGTAGCAATAACAATGGAATCACCAACTCTCCATGAAACACTTTCACTCAACTTGATTTGATTACTTCCTTTAACAGCAGTAACAGCAAGATCAGTAAATGTTGGTGAGTCAACTTGACCAAAGATTTGAACTCTAGATCCAGAAAGAAAACCAATTCCCTTTGATCCCATATTCACATTATCAAATGGATCTGTTCCAATTTCATTCTCAGTAGTACGTGATCCATAAAATGTCAAGACAATCTTATTAGTAATTGGACATGTGGCACTTCCCATAATCCAACTAGCTCCAGACTCGACTCTAATAAAATCAACATTCAAAGTCAAATTGGCGTTATCGAAAATAAGTGAACCTCCATTTAAAACAGTGATGGAACGAAGTTTGTAAGGTGGAGATTTGTCAACCTTGACAGCTGTGCTAATCGTAATTTGACTGTTAGCAGTTGAAAATCCAGAAATACTGGAAAATAATGTTAAACCTTGAGCGTCTTGTGGACAATTGGTTTGGCAAGTGACCAAACTGACAATTAACAGGAGTAGAAAAAGACCTGTCAGTGCTCGTTGGGTGTTGTTTGACATATTTTTTTTAATGATGATAGAGAAGAGAATAGGAAGTTGGTGGTTCAATGTTATTAAACATGTGGCAGCTGACACTTTTGTGCGTCTTGGAAAAATTAGAGATCTGTCATTATTGATAATTGACTGGATAATGCGAGAAGGATTGTGTAGTGAAAACAGCCGTATGTATTTTTCAAGATTTTTGAGTGCGACATAAAAATTGACGTTTGGCAGATGAGTTGCTGAATAGAGACATGTTATGCCAGTTTGTTATTGTTGATTCGTGCTAGTAAGGAAAGGTATTGATTGATTGTGACTTTGTGGGACTGTAGAAAGATTGTAACGAAATCATTTTGTTGGTCAACTTAGCCAACGACATTTAAATTGAACAATCCAGAAGTTGTTGTATTCTCATTCATACACGAATCTTGTAATCTGGATTGCTTGAATTCTCATTTGTGGGGGTATCTAGATGATTTGACTTTCCATTTCACAGTGCTATTCGAAAGTTTCGAATATTGGAAATTTCCACCACTGGTTCAATATTTTTGTATTGCTTGATGAAGTTACAGTGTACCAAAGTTTATTTACAGTCCATTCAAGTTCTAATACAAACAACGATTATTTGAAACATGGGAAGCACAATGAAAAATACCAAATTCAGAATTTGTACTTGGTGGTTTCGAAACTTATTGATTGGACGAAATTGAGATTTAGCACTTGGACTCTCTACCATTACACCTATTGATTGTGGCCGAAACTGTTTTTTAGGTTGGAGATTTTCCCTAGCAATTTCCAAAACCATTTCAAGTTGAATTCTTTCCAATAGATCTGGGTCAATCATTCTATGAATCAATGAACTTAAATTAATTGAAATTCCAGCTTCCTTAATCATTTCCTCAAGATCAGAATCATAATAAGAAGGATTGAATTTCTTTCCCAAGATGAATTGCATGACAGTTTTACCAAAACTGTAAATGTCACAGGAATAATTGAATTGTGTACTTCCATTTGACAATGCAGGATCAATAAAACCTAAAGTTCCACAATTAGGAATGTTGACATTTAGCCAATCCATAATCTGATTGATTTTCAAGAAAATATTCTCCAACTTTAGTTGCTTTCTTTCTAATTTCCTAAATATTTTCTTCAAAGCATTCAAATAGAAATGGGAACCCGTCTCAAAATGACTGAAAGAAGATGTTAGACATTTTTTTGTTAGTTATTAACATTTTGTCGGGAAAATGATTATTTACATATTTACATTATTTATTACAAAATAAATTTACTCTTCCAATTCAGAGGATTTAAATTCCAAATTCTACAATATGAAATAATTTAGTAATCAATAAATGTTGCTTACTTACATGAATAGTTCCAACTAGAATATCCTCTGCTTCTGTCCTAACAAATATGTGGAATATGTCATAATTGTTTTCCAATTGAAATGTATAACTATATTCTCTGTCAGAATGTTTTTGGAAACGATCTAGAATGGGAGTGATGTAGCTGCACTTCATAGAACTATAAAGATTAATGACACCATTGAGCCGAGTTGGTTCAGAAAATCTCAAGAACAGCGTTAGCGTCTGTCCATTTGCATTGACAACTTTAGAACCTGTGCATACTTGAACATACTTGCTTGGATCGTGTCTAATTGTAAATATAATTTCTTCAGAATCCAAAGGAAAACCATTAATCTTAACCACCATTCTTGCTTGAATTTTGAAATAATTGAAATCACAGGTGTTTGAAGTTGGCACTTCAAAATTAATTTGTAAATTGTTACTTGTCTGATTTACATTAACAACTCTAGAATCGCTAACAAGCACCTTACCTCTATCGTCTTCATCAAGCTCATATGAGATTGTTACAGATTCAGGTAGAACTGAGCGTGGTAAAGGTCCTGATAAGTTAAGAGTTAGTAGTTTTGGATTGTCGTTTAAAGGCGAATCAAGATTAGTAAAATGGATTTTTCCTTCAACAACATCTGGAACATCTGGGATAGATGGTTCACTCAGTTGCATGTTGGTTGATTCCTGCATAGTTCTCCAAGCATTTTTGGCTGCCTTTTCCACGACTTCAGAATTCTTGGTTGGCTTGATGAGATTGAAGAAATTAGGGAAGTTGTACATTTGTTTGTGGAAAGTTTGATTATGCTTGTCAGATAACTGTTTCAAGTGTTGCCATGTGTCACTTGAGAGAGATTGACCGTAATTTGTTTGCATTATTTTCTTTAACAATCTTTGAGCACGAACACTATCTTCCAAAATTCTCAAATAACTTTCACCACATTCACGAAGCAATTCATACATGAATTCCAATTCAGTTCTGGCTGCTTTTGCTTCAACTTCTGGATCGTCTGAATACCCACTGAAATGATATTTAAATGGAGCATCTGATGATTGTTTCACATATCCTGTTATTGTGTCCTTCAATTTTGGACATTCTGCTGCTTTAGTACCGTTGAGCATTGCTGGGATACTTTGCTTTGAATCCATGTGGAAAAAGTCTGGATAAATTGTCACATGTTTTTCAAGTGGTTTGCCTTCACATACATTGATAGCAAATTTAGCCCAAAGTGCAGATGGATCCCAAATCTTCAAATATTTCAAAACTGAAATGACATAATGTCCAGTATTGCTGTTCTTTTCATCATAGAATTGAGAACAGTTCCATGCACAGTTGAATTCAGCCAATCTATAAAGGAAGCTATCAATTTCTTCATTCTTTCTAACTTTGTAAATGTTACAATCATAGAAGGTTTGATAGAGGAAATTTTCTTTCTTTTCTTGATCTTCAATAACTATCAAGTGAGTTTTGTCATCAAAAGAAATAACAAACTTGGCAAAGAAAAGAGCCACTTTCAATTTTGGAATATTGTTTTGTGCATCTTGGGAAGGAAGTGCATTAGCATCGTATATAACAAATTTGAGATTGAGATATGGCTCTTTGTCATTTCTGGCGTGACGTTTTCCTGGATTGTAATTAGCTTCCAAGTGTTTTGGAACAACAGTGTTGATGACAATATATTCTTCAGCTTGTTTTGTATCAAGATCACTGCTTTTGTGTGCCAATGTTTGCACAGAGTTTTCAATCATCTTCTCATCTTCTAAAGAAATTCTATTTTGAATAGATTTTACAATCATATCAGTTACCTCTTCTGCGCCAAATACCTTTTCTTCTTTTCGGACCTCAGCTGGTTCAATTGTTACTAATTGTTCATTGGAACTAGTAGGACAAATCACTTCTTCAAATGTGACACCTTCTACCACAAATCCATTGGATTTGAGGAATCCAGCAAAGTTGTATCCAAATACGTCAATTATTTTACCGAATTGCATTTGGAAATTTTCAATGAAATGACCTAAATTCTCAAATTTATCCATAGATTGTTGGTATTGTTGTTTTGCAAATTGTCCAATGTTCAATATGGTAACGACTGGGGAGTATTTACTAAGAGAATAGTTTGAGGTTGTTTGGGTATTACCTCCTTGCTGGGTAGTGTACTGAACCCCTCTCAGATTCTCTTCTGTATTGTAATAATCTGTAGATTGAATATTATCTGAAATGTCAACAAATGTATAGTCAACTAGTCCATCAATTATTTCATTATCAATAACCAAGAAAACACAAGAATCCAAATCACCCTCAAAATGTGTAAGAACTGGAGAAGTAATAAAATGGAGGGCTGCATAATTTCCAATTTCACTGATGTGAAGTATTTGTGGAAGACCTACCTGAACTTCTGGGTGATGCTTTGGTACAAACCACATACTGATACTTTGCATTGAATGGTGTTTTATCAGTTCATACAATCCAGTTTTTGAGCTGTCTTTGAATGATAAATAAAGAGTATTTGGTTGTCCACCCTGTTTTGGTCCATTTTCAAAATGGATTTTTGTGAATGTGATGGTATTGTAAAAATCAGTAAGTGAATTTTGATAATCAATTTCATCATCATAGTTGTCAGATTGTCCAACAGCAATAATATCAGGAGTAAGTCTGTCAAGAGAATCTGTTGTGCCTTCCATGAAATTTACAAATTTTTGCTCTGCAAAGACACTTCCAAAGTTTGGCTTGCTGTTTGGTGTTCTCCTCCTGTTGGTTGGACTTGAACAATTACTTAAAGAAGAGCCTAAAGAGTTAAACCTTAAAAAAGCCTGAATGAATTCATCCTCCTCATTTTGAACAGCATCTGAAATGAAACAGGATTCTTTGGTTGTACAACCTCTTTGCTCAACACCACTTCCTCTTTGAGTTTTAATGGTGATGTAAGCTTGATAGTATTGATTCTGATACTGGATTTCAAATACGAGAGCCAAGAATTTGATTTGTGTTCTTCCTGGATTCTTTCCATAATTTCCCACTTTAATAAAAAGTGATTTACCATCCTCGGATTGTGTCACTTCTTTGGGTGAAATTGTACTTTGAATTGTAACCATTCTTGTCAATGGATCAATATACTTATCATTCAAATCATTCGAATATCCATTGCTTCCAACAAGACTCGTACTTTCACTACTTGGTTCACATAAACAGGAATAGGAATATATTAATCTGATTCTATTGCCATCATCATTATTCAATTCCGAACCAATGCAATTTATAAAAACTTGGAATTTTCTATTTTTCAAGTTGTGGAAGGGATTCGACAATTTAATGGAAAGGTAAATGTCACCCGATAGAAGTTTCTTTGACAAGACAGACTCCCTGCTGTTGTCAAATGACATTTCACACAGACTAGAGTATTTTCTGTATTTTTTTATTTGACATTTCTGATGGCAAATTCGAGCAATGGATTGAGAAAATAAACCACAATCACGTTTGTTCTAAATTGGGAATTTTATTGTTTATTGGTGAGGTGGCAATCTTACTCACAACATTGCTTTTGTTGTGCACAGTTTAGTTTGACTTTCGTCCAGATTACTCAGTTGAGAAATTCCCCAAGAACAAAGTATATATATTTACGTCTTTCATTTCCAATATTTACATCTCCACTCGAAAACAATGAATCCTCTGATATTACAGAAGCTCCTTGCACTATTTTGAATAATTTTGAAATTGCACAATCATCGACAGAGCTGCCATCTGTCTTGACAACTACACATACTAAAACATCATTTTTCACTTGAAACACCAATCCAATCAACTTGTTTGCGAATAATCCACCATATTCCGTAGAGTTTGGAATTTTAATAAACACCGGTTGACCAACAAGTATTCTCTGAACAATGTGATATTCAAGAGGAGCCATAGAATGTAAAGAGAAATGAGATAGAATATCCGTCATGACATTTTCATCGATCATTCCATGAACATAGTTTTGTGGTGGAGTTATGATCGACCCATAGGCAAAATTTAAAGTGCCATTACTATTGATGGTTTCAAGATAATTTCTAGTAGAAGGTGGTGGTTGGTTGATGACTCGGATGGAGATGTGAAAACCTGGGGTAATTGTATTGGGCAGGAATTGCATGTTTACACATGTCAAGACAATTTTTTTGGAAAAATGGAAAAAAGAACAATGCAGGGTTGTTTGAATTTTGTTACTAAAAAGGAAGGTTTAGTTTAAGTTATTTAAACTTATTTCGAAAGTTTCAGGTGAATATGGGAACAACCTTATTACATTTTATATTACATTTTATTATCGATGCAATGCATCATGATTAAACAAGTGTTGTGAATTTAACCTTTTTCAGTTCAGATTCAAAAGTTTCTTCTTCTTCCTTTTCTTCCTCTTCTTCCTCTTTATCCGAATCTTCCTTAGCTTGATCTTCAACTTGTCTCTTTCTCTTCTTTTCTGATTGTTCCTCAATGCCATGAATTGAATCAAGTAAAATCTTTGGAATTGTATCAACTGCATGTCCACTCATTACCATTTTAAGAAATTCATCTTTTGTAATTTTTCCGTCTTGATTTTCATCACATTCTTTCATCCATTCTTTTAATAATTCATCAGATTGAAGATATTGATCGAGATCAGACATTGCCTTTCTTAATCTTTCCATAATTGTGAGGTTTAGGTTTTTTAAAAGTGATTTTGCTTCACTTTCGGATAAAATTCCATCATGGTTGAGATCTGCTTCCTTCCAAAGTGATTCTGCTTCTTCAGCATTTAGTCCAGATTCTAAATGTTCTAGAGAGATGGATTTTACAACGGTTAACAGTTTGTTTTGTGTGATTCCCATATTGATCTAGGTCTGTACAATTAGTTGGCAGTTGTTGACGTGAGGTTGGATGTTGGTTTTTTTTTATTTTTGAAAACTCTTCGTTACTTGAGAAACCTTTTGAGATTATGAAAAAACGTTTGGATGACGATCAGTGAACAATTTAGAAATGATTGATATCTTACTTTTTAGGAAATAGGCTAGTTTACAATGAATTTTGAATATTTACAGGACGTGATAACTTGAAAAGGAGAGAAATCAGTTTATTGTCAAATCTGTTGAATAATTGATTATCATAAACACTTGTAAAATTGAATTGCTGAAATTCCATTACATTTACATAAAAAACTATTTCAAATACTGTTAAATTAATTTTTTATTGGTTTTTTTCAAAGTAATAGGAATTGACAATATTAAATATTGAGGCCACATTTGCTTCAATGAATGAACCATCAATTCAAGATGTTTGTGGTTCTGTTTCTCAGCTTCAGTAATTGCCAAATCAAAACACTTTCTGGCACTTTCTAATTTCCCCAAGTGAAATAATGATTCACCCTTGTTGTACAGAGCATGAATGTATAATGGATCTCTTTCTAATAATTTATCAGATTCTTCCACTGCCTCCTCATATCTATTTAGTGAAATTAGACAGTCAGTTGCTTCAGATAATCCTTCCAAATCTCCACTTTTATCGAAATATTGTAAATAATACTCTCTTGACCTATCCATTTCATTTCTAATTTTGTATCTTGTACCAATTGTAAATAAATAAAATGGAAAATATTTTACAACAAGAGAAATGTTTTCATTCAAAAGAGAATGATCGCCCTGATGTAAATTACAATATCCTTCAAGCACATGATAGAGAGTTTCCAATTTTTCTTTTGGAATACATGTGAAATTTTCATCAATTTTGTAATCTTTCAACAATTCTTTGATTGGTCCACAAAATAAGATCGAGTTGTCGATTTGCCTATCAGCTTCATATAATAAACCCAAGAAAATACGTTGTGAAATTAAGGTTTCTGTTTTGTTTCCGAATAGTTCTGAATATTCACCTTTGAAACTTAAATCAACTGTAATGTTACTTGCAATCTTCCCATAAATATATTCTACATTTTCTAGAACATCTCTGAAATTTCCATTCAATAAACATAAGCATCTATAATCATTATGTTGCATTGGATCAATTCTAATATTTTCAGGATTATTTTTATAAATTGCCTCACCAGCATATTGCTGAGCTAGTGTGAATTCCTTTCTATTCCAATAATAATCTCTCATTATAGTATTAATTTTAGAATATTCAGTGTAATACATTTCTGCAACATGATAATCTAGTTGTTTCACATTTTCAGCTTCAAATTGTTTAATAATGTCACTTGCCATATTGTAATACATTAATATCTTATCATCAAATAACTGTAAATTTACATAAGAATTCAAAATTATTCTTAAACAATACAATTTGGTTTTGACTCCTAATTGAAGTGATGTTTCATAATCTTGATTTCCACGTTCAAACATTTTATATTCAGAAATTAGAGTATTTCCTCTCAGTACATATAATTCTGATAATTCTTCAGTTGCTTCCAAACTTGATAGAAATTTAATTCCCCTCGTTAAAAGTTTAATTGATTTTTCGTGGTGACCATTATTGTCATAGAGTGTATATGTTAACATGAAAATTATATTTGAAGGAATTATATTAGCTTCAAAACATAAATCCAATGCTTTTTCTAAATGTAAAATCGCCTTTTCATGGCATTTTTCAACTTTCGAATACATATAGCCTAGTTGAGTATGCAGATTTACTAATCCTTCTATATTTGGATCAATCTCAATTGCTTTTTCCAAATCAATACAAGAATTTGTAAAATCATGCAATTCTTGATATAATAAACCTCTCTCTAACAGAGCAGGAGCAAAATTTGGATTCAAATCAAGAACATCTGTCAAATGTTGAATTCTATCTTTTTTACTGGATTCTATTGAATCTTCCAAAGTAACATTTTCAATAGCAGTATTGTTATGGAGTGTACTCTTGCTGTGATATTGTCTAATAGCATTATTAGTATTATTAATATTAATATTTGTAAAGGTATTAAAAGTATTTAATTTTGTGAATTGATGGTGCGAAAATATTTTCTTGTTGGTGTTATTAGAGAAAAGTGCCAATTTTCCAACCCTAACAACAGTTGACCATGATAATCTTGCTGCTCTTATGGACATTTTTTTTGTGATCACTTTATCCAAAAAACTCAATCAATTTAGAGTTCCAAATATCTTCCTAGCTACATAAATACATTGGGTTTTCTATATGGCACAAAATTGGTGATCCAAAAGAAAAATTGGAAACTCTCTATCATATACTAGAAGGATATTGTAATTTACATCATGGTAATGTTATGTCCGAATAGTTCTGAGTTTTCACCTGTGAAAAGTATGTGAAATCATACAGTAATAAAACTCTACATTTGACAGAAAATCATTGGCATTTCCATTTAATAAACAGAGGCATCTATAATTAACAAGTAGTTGTGTGTTAATCACAATGTTAGTGGGATTATTTCTGTAAAGTGGTTCAACAGCATTTTCTGAGCTAGTGTGAATTCCTTTTTATTCCAATAATAATCTCTCTTAGATATCTTAAAATTCCATTAGATTTGTAAAAAACTTTGTCAATAGAATGCAAGTAATTTTTCAACTGATTGTTGTTCTTTTCAAGAGTTCGTTTACATGATGTTCATCCATTTCCTTATTGACATAGTAGATCTTTCGAATAAAACTATTAGAAATGTTTGAGCATTTTTGACCGATTCTATTTCAAATATAGAAAGTCAAATTGACAATTAATATTGTTAACTGCATCATTTACATGTTCCCAAACAGGATTAGATCACCAAAAGAAACCGGACGAAACATAATTAATTCACACAAAAAAACATGTCAATTGTACCTTTAGAAGTTATTGAAAGTGGAGGTTTCGCCAACGTAACAACATCTGTCTTTCTTCCAGTATGGTCCTGTGCTCTCTCACTTTCGAATTGTATTTTCTTTCTAATAATTTTCATTGTCTACTTGATTGCACTTGGAATATTCTTGTTTCGAATAAGTAGAAAGGTGAAACTAGTGAGAAATCACAAGGTTTTATTTGTGTTGACAATAATCTTTGTTATTATTCAGATATTGAATTTAATTTGTAGATTAGTTCATGATTCGTTGCAAATACATGCAAGATTATTATCCGAAAGTGGTCAATTGGTGGAATGGAGTTTATTTCTTGCTATTCAAGTGACAGCAGGTATTACAACATTTGCCATGTATATTAATTTCATTTCACTATTCGAAATTATTTTCTTTGTTCAGAGATTATTGTAAGTTTAGTTTTGAACACTTTCGAATAATTTGTCTAGTTGGAAAACTGCAAGACTTTTAAGAGCCATTTCAAACAAGACACATAGAATTATTGAAATTATCATTCTAATAGCAAATGTTGTGGTTGTAATTATTGGAGTTTTGGTTGTGGTTGCAGTTTCTGCATTGTATGCAATTAAGAAATTCGAAATCATTTCGAATAACTACTTGACCTATGCCTTCGTTGCATCATTTATTGCAATTTTCATTATTCTAATCTTCCTCAGTTCATTAATTATCACTTCAGGAATTCTCGTCATGCGAACCATCAAACAAACAACACGAAACGTCACTCAATCTATTCGAAACACTTCACTTTCCGATACTCAAAACTCTGCTCCCACCAACAGAGCTTCCTTTGAAATCAAATCATTTGAAAAACGAGTCCAATCTCCCTTCAAAATAACTTTCGGCTTACTTTTAGGATTATTATTGTGCATTCTATTGGAAATAATTTCTTTGGCTCTCGCCTCCACCGTAACTTCATCCGAAGATTTCAAGGCAATTTGGCACTTTTTCAATTGTTTGGGAGTTTTGATTTATGCAGTGCTGTTAATGTTGCTTTTCTATCCAATGTTTTTGGATTCGGAAAATGCATTGAAGGAAATTGAGAAGAGAAATGAGTTGATGAATTCGAGCATTGTTGTGAAAATTGAAAATTCTGCAAATTCTTCACAGATTTCATTGAGTAAGGAAGATGTGTGATTGACTATTGAGTTGTGTCTTAATGGATTGAAATTATAATTTGTGGAAGAAATTGAAGCTTGCTTGGATCTGGAACTAATGAGAATAACTCTGCAATAGGGATAATAATTGCAAGATTACAACGGTCAACTAGAATCTCAACGAATAATCGTAAATTGTCGCAGTAAACGTTGAAGCTATTTGGAAATATTTAAAAAAAATGGCATTACTACTCGTACTGTTTATTGTAGCCGTGTTAATAGTAGCATTCTTTATTGGTCATATCTATTTGCAAAGTGTGAAATTTCCTGGTGTGAAAATTTCAATAATTGTTGGAAGTTTCCTAATCAAGTCAATGATAAAAATTCTTGGACCTAGAATGAAAATAATAGAAAAGGTTCTTTCCAAACCATTGCCACCTTCTCTAGAAACGGAATCGTTGAAAATTGAGACAATTCCAATTACATTTGACACTTCAAGTTCTGAACTATATTTGAAAGAAAATGGTCAACCAATTTCACACTATTCACTTCGAATTTACCAACCTAAACCTTTCAAAAATGATGGCTATCCCATTGTGATGTATATTCATGGAGGTGGTTGGATGCTTGGCTCAATTGACTCTTCCAATCAACTCTGCCTGACTTTATCCAAAAAAGGATTCCTAGTCGTGAGTGTAAATTACAGAAAAACTCCAGAACACGTTTTCCCATCATGTTTAAATGATAATTTGAATGCACTTTCTTGGATTGGAAAGAATTATCAGAAATATAATGGAAATATTTCACAATTGACCATAACAGGAGAATCTTCAGGAGCTCATTTAGCAATTACAACTCAAATTAGAATATTTTCAGTTGATAAAGAAATATTGGAAAGAGAAAATGTGCCACAGATAACTCAGCAAGGTTTACTATATCCAGTTTTGGAATATTACAAATATGGAAATGAAAAGTATGATTCGTATAAGAAATTTAGAGATTGTGGACTTTTACTTGATGGAATGATAATGGACATGTTTTGGAGTTTGTTAATTGGTGAATTGAGGGAAGAAGAAGTGAAATCGAATAGATTTTTATCACCACTTAGTGCTATTGACCTTTCAGATAATTTATTCTATTCCAAATTTCCAAAAGGTTTCGTCTGGCTTGCCGAGTATGATGTAGTAAGAGATGAAGGCGAATTATTTGCTACTTTAATTAACAAGGTTTCGAATGGAAAGTTGAAAATTAAGGAATGGAAATGTGGAACTCATGGTTTCAGATTTAAACGAAACTATAACGACTTGGCTGATGCAATTGTTGAATTATTACAAAACTAAACCACTCAATTGATAGACAAACATTATTTAATTTTAAAATGGTAATGTTTCTAATAATATTGTAACATGGTAAAAAATATTAGAAACAAGACGAATGCAACGACATTTTGGGATTTGAAAGTAACATGCAATGCTTCCATGTTGGTATCTTCGAAATGCATCTCTCCTCATAAAAGTATTTTCATAGCTGCTCTCATCAACCGAAAGTGCATTACGATTATTCGAAAGGTGTAGATATACATTTTCAACAATGGATTCCTCGACAAGAGATGAGTAATGATTCCAGTATCCCCACTAGTTGCGATATTTGCGAATCAAGCAATAAAATGCAACAAACTTTTCAACATTAAAAAAAACAAATCCAAATGTTCTATTCGAAACCAATTGAAATTAATGAATATGCTAACGTTACTACAGGTGCATTTCTTCCAGTTTGGTCGAATGCAATATCTCTTGCTAATTGTTTATTCTTTCTCATTGTATTTCTAGTTTATTTAATAGGTCTAGGTTTATTCTTGTTTCGAATAAGCACGAAAATTAAACTTGTTCGAAACCACAAAATACTATTCGGACTCACAATTTTGTTTGTTCTGATACAATGTTTGAATCTGATGTGCAGATTAGTCCTTGATTCCATGCAAATGCATGGCAGGATATTATCCGAAAGTGGTCAATTAGTAGAATGGAATTTTTTCGTTGCAATTCAAGTGATGGGTGGCGTTTCAACATTCTTTATGTATATTAACTTTATTTCGCTGTTTGAAATTATATTTTTCATTCAGAGTATGTTGTAAGTTTAGTTTAATTTTCAGTTTACTGAACTTTCGAATTCAAGTTGGAAAACAGCACAACTAATGCGAGCAGTTTCAAAGAAAACTCACAAAGTTATTGAAATGCTAATGATTTCCATTAATGTGGTATTCATTTTCGTTTCTTCCTTATTAATTTTGGCAGCTTCTATTTTATATGGAATTAAGAATTTCGAAATTGTGCCAACAAGTACAATGACATATATTTTTCCTGTCTTTGCTGTGATTGTTTTCTTCATGTTTGCTTTTGTTATTTCAATGGTTATCAGCTCTGGAGTTTTGGTTATTCGAAACATTAGGAAAACAACTCAAAATGTTACTCAATCCATTCAGAAAAATAATCACAGTAATAGCTCTGTAAGGATTTCATTAGAAACTCAAACATTTGAAAAGAGAGTTCAATCACCATTCAAAATTACCATTGGATTAATGATAGGTTTAGTTTTGTGTATTTTATTAGAAATAATTTCCGTTAGTTTAGCTGCAGGAGTCACAGCTTTTGAAGAAATCAAAGCAGTTTGGCATTTCTTCAATTGTCTAGGTGTTTTAATCTATTCAGTTTTGGTTTTATTTCTTTTCTATCCATTATTCTTGGACTCTGAAAAGGCGCTCAATGAAATTGAAAAGAGAAATGAAATTGTGAAAAGCTCAACAACAACAAAAACTGAATCATTAGTTTCGACACCAGTTGCTGCATTGTTTTCTGCCGCTAGTGAACATTAATTTGAAAAATCATTAAATTTAGGAAATATTTCTCATGATTTACTCATTTCGAATATTTTTATTGTTTTGCCAAATAAAGAGTATCAATATGTGCAGTTCTTACCTTATTTTGATCGAGAGCAATTCTCAAACCCTTTGGAAGGAAATATTTCTCATTATATTCCTTCACAAGTTGTGGAAGTTTCACATTTCTCATATTATCTTCTTCTGGTTTGAGTTTTACAAAGTAAATGATGGCAACATAGATCAAGAAGAATGGCAAAAATAAAAATAGAGCAAGAAATAGAGTAATGGACGAAACCAAAACAGACCAGTATAATGGGGCAGTTACAAATTGAAAGAAAACTTGTAAATTATTAAGGGAAATTGCATTCATTTCCTTAACAAGTTTCTCCCATTCATCTCCTAATTGATATTGATCCTTGATTGAGGCTGGAATAGTTTGATTAAATAAACGACATTCTCTATTATAGGAACATCTAGTTTCGTATAATTTGACTGGGGAAGCCAATGGTTGATTAGCAGGTGGCAATTGAACTCTATGTGAAACAACCTTAATTTCCCAAGCTTCAATCGGAACAGAAAAACTATTCAATGTCAATCCAACATCCAAAACCAATGAAACTCCCTTAGGATTATACAATCTAGCATTGTGATCATCCAAAATCCTTTGCATATTCTCTCTCAATTCAGCATCTCTCTTCTTCTTTAAAAACAACTCATCGATTGCATAATAAATGAAAAATCCAATAATTGGCAGCAAGAGAATTAATGAAACAATGGCAGCAATTCTCATGAATAACTCTTTTCTCTCCTCGTAGGCATAATTCTTGAGAATGAGAGTGTCTAATTCTTGACAGGTTTTGGTATAGTCTGCTTGGGAAAGTTGGTGAAAATCGTTGAATTGTTGTGGCAACAGAGAGGTTCCGTTAAAGTTTAGGATAGTGTGGGCGTAGGTTGAAGTGTAGCCGAAAGTGATGGGAATCATTTGGCGCACATCAGGTGAGTGCAAAGTTTGCACAGTGGAAACAGATGGGTTAATCATCTTGATTTTGGTCAATCAATTTGTTGTTGAATGGCAAATGTCAGGGACGCTTTTTTTTCGTGTGAAAAATCCAAGAGACACTTGTTGCTTTATTGGTTGTGGAATGAAAATCTCTTCAATACCGATTATTGTAATGAAAGGTGAACTGTTGATTGCTAAAAATGAAATTAGAATGGATATCGAATAGTTTTTTGTTGTAACATTTCCTAGTTCCAACCTTATCAATATTGTGAGCGAATCATATTTACAAAATGATGGTGTAGTATTAATGACTACAGATTTGGAAATTCAAAGGGTTAATTGTCCAATTCTGTAGTGTCGTTGCTCAATTGATAAGTGGTACCAAGATTTTTAAAATCAAACTCTCCAATATCAGAGTCGTATTCGAGCTCGTAGAGAGCTTCCTCTTCTTCGTCTTCTGCCTCAAAGAAACCCTCTTCATCAGGGAGGGCTCTTACTAAGTTTTCCTCATCTATTGTGTCCTTGGATGGATCGATAAATTTATCATCCTCTGAGGGATCATAGCTCCAAATTGGCTCTGTTTCGAAAATGTTTTCCATGCCATCTTGATAAATTCTCGATAATCTGCCACTATCATCACTTTGTAAAATTACTGAAAGAACTCGTTTCAATTCTCTATAATCTCCAATAATGTAATGTCTATTGTACAATGAGGCCTGCTTATCGTTGGTAAAATCTGCACGTTCTCTGAGGGTATTAAGTTGTTGATCTGTACAAGCAATTCTTCTGGTAAGGAATTTTGGTTTCTTTGATAAAAGGAGCACAAGCAAACCGAGAGGATGATCTTGAATGGATTTAGGCGTGGATGTCTTTTGTAAATGAATACCAATGATATCTCCATAGTCAATTTCCATCCAAAGTGCGTGACTAACCTTAAATCTATCAAATTCTCTTGATACTTGATCATTAAATGATTCCTTTGATGCTGATGACTCGACAATATAAGATTCCAACACTTCCTTTTCGTCTAAACTCTCTGGTCGTATGTGATACTTTGGAGAATATGTGAACAGTTTGTAGTAAATCTTTTTCAATAGTGGAGATGCCTTTAGCAGGAATTGCCCATCATAATTGAGTGTTGGTGACCATTGTCCAATTTTAATTCTTCTAATGTGAGCTCCATTAGTTTTGAATCTTTTCAGCTTGTCCAACTCATCCTTATTGGCTGCATCTTCATATTCTGGATCATTTGGATCGTCATCAAAATGTTCCATTTCATCCTTAGTATCAGGTGCTATGGCATTTCTATCACATTCTTCAGTCCATTCATAAAATAATTTTCTTCTCTCCTCTTTTGATTTGATAATTTGTTGAGCAATACGAATCATTTCACTATCTGAAAGAATATCATCCCTTTGAGAGCTTTTTGGTACAAAATTGTCATAAATTTCATTTTCCAAATAGGACAATGTTGGTTGAACTAGTTAAAATATTTAGAATGATTCAAACTTTGTTGAAACAAACCTTCATAGCACTTTTTCTTAATTTCCTCCTCATCAGAAGATACCTGAAGAGATGGATCGTTTTGTTTCTTTCTGTATGACTGAGTTATTAAAAATCTTTTCACATCCAAATAAAATCTCTTCATAGCACTTTGAAATACATTATAATAATATGAATTTTCAGCCATACAAGCTTCCATCAATATTGATGATGAAGATTCCTCAATGGCAGCTTCGTATTCTTTCAATGGAATACATTTGACAATTCCTTCAGCAAAATCAGTCATGAGTATTTCTTCTTCCTCCTCATCTTCAAATTGAAGTTGCTTTTCGAGAATATCCTGAGCACCACCTGTCACAAAATCAAACACATGTTCGGAACCAGCAGGTGGTTTAACTGGTGATAGTATATCTAGGGTTTTCATTGACTCCTCAAGAACTTGATCCATAAATTCCTTTTCCAATTGATCTCCTAAATCGTATTCATCGTCATAATCTTCGGAATCATCCTCATCATAATCTGAATCCTCAGCATCCAAATAATCTTGAATTTCATCCTCATCAAAAGCAGCTTGTACCAATTTTCCAGTTTCATCATCGAGAACAAACTTTGTCATCACGGGTTGTTGTTGCTGTTGTTGTTGTATATTACTTCTCAAAGGAGTTGCCAAACAAGTTGATGATGAAGCACCAAATGATGGTTTTGGTGAAGAACAATCCAATTCTTCATCATGATGATCTTCAATATGTATTTGAAGATTTGATTTTCCTTTTGTTGGTGTTGTATTTTGGCTTCGGGATTGACTGTCCTCTGCTTCATTCTTATTGGCAGCAGCAGATTTCTTCTTGTTGGTATCATCACTGCAGTTGCTTTGAGACATTTTTTACTATTAATAAAGAATCTCAAATTGAGAATTGAAATACATAAGTACTTTATTACAATTCCACGTGATATTAATTTAGATCAAAGAAGAGTTGAGTTGGAGGATGTAACTCATACATTTCGTTGTTTTCAAAATTGAACACTTCTGTTGTTGAGGTTGAGTCTTCATTCTCAATAGGTATGTAAGCTCTGTCCTCCTGAGAAGAAGCATCATGATTGCTGTATTGTGCAAGATCATTGACAAACTCATGATCTTTGAAACTAACATCTTCCTCACTATCACTCAAACAAAAGGTCGAATGAGGTGTTTGAGATTTGATATGATTACTATTTGAGTGTGATTTGATTGGGGTAGACTTGAGTTTTTCTTCTTCCTCCTCTGAATCAGAGGATTCATCACCAGAATCATCTTCTTCATTTTGATTAGATTCCTTCTTTATATTATTATTACCTTGTCTTGATGGAGTTCCCTCTGTTGCACTATCAGAACAATTCTCATCATCAGAACTACTGTCACCACTACTATCAGAGTCATTGTTTTGATAGGATGATGCTTGATTTGAAATGATATTGCGCATTTGAGCAGCTCTTAAAAGACCATTACGAACAATTTTGCTGAGTTTTGGTGGAACCTTAGATTCTTCCTTTTTGTAAATGAAAAAATAATTAACCAAATCAAAATAAGGTACCTCTGGCAAAACTGCCTTGTATAAATTCCTAAGAGAACCCTTGTAGAGATGGAATTCATTGAAGGCCTTGTAGAGTTTTGCTTCTTGTTCGTCAGTTAAAATCCTCCTTCTTGTGATTTGTTTTGGATGTTCCTTCACATATAATTTAGCTTGTTTGATGTCATTGTCGAAGGTATGTAGAATTTCAAGGGCCTTATCTGGTATAAAACTGTCTTGATCTCTGATGGTTTTAATGCAGAATAACTCAAACTCTTCGAGCATTCCTTCATTTTCTGAATTGGATTCAAGAGGAGTCCATATGCATTGTCCAATCTTTTGAGAGTAGGATACTGGAAATTTCTTAGGTTTTTGGGAGAGGATTGGAAGGGTTGCTTGATGGTTTGGACCAGTTTTTACAGAGGTAGGAGAAGGTGCATTATCAGACACCATTGAAACTTGGCTGGATGTTTTAATTGGAGTGGATAATGGAGATTTGGTATCACGAGGTGATGATAAATAAGGTCTTGTTAAATTAGGGAAATGTTGAGAAAATGGAGAAGGTGAAATCTTTTTTTGAGATACATTAGAGGATTGGCTGGAAGGTGTTGCAAATGAAGTTTTTGGAGTCTTTGGAGTGGTATTACCATTACTATTATTACTATGGGTTTGTGAACTAGAAGGAATTGGAGGAGTGGAGGTCGAATGGGATTGAGTGGAGGTTGTGCTTATGTGTGGTTGAGGATTACTACTGATCTTGTTTGGAGTTGCAAATCCTTGTTGTTGTGATAGTGGTCGTTTGAGGGAGACTGTTTTATGTGAAATACATGGCATTTCATCACTATCAATGGAATCACTCAATTCATTTCCTTTTGAATGCAGATCCTTCTTGATAAATATTATTGTTTCCTTAGTATCGCAACTATTCTCCCTTGAACTTGAAGAGGATGAAGAACCTGATGGAGAGTAGCTATTTTCATTATCAACTGCAGTGGATTGTCGTCTATTTACTTTCTTAGAAAGTGGCAATGTGTTGGAGGAAGAGGAATCAGATGATAATACTGATGGCAAAATGAAAGGCGTTGTAAAATGTTGGCCAATTATACATATTTGGAAACGTCGGTTGGTTTGTATTACTTACCTACAACTTTAGGAGAGGCTGATGAAGTAAACTTCTTTACTCTCTTATCTGGAGGAGAAGTTCTTTCTATATTGTTGTTATTATTATTGTTCTTGGCTTTTGATGATGTCTTTTTAGGTGTACCTCCGTTGGCTGTATTTTTGTGATCATCATAATAAAGCTCGTCAAACTTTCGTTTGGTGTTTGTAGTAAGAGGAGAAGCTTTAGCACTCATCACTATGCTTTGTATTATGCTCTCAATATTATTATTATAATAATTGTTGATGATGATGTTATTGTTGTTGGTGCGGATGACCAGCTAGCCAGAGAGAATTTTGTTGTTGGTGCAAAGAGATGATACGTTGAAGATAGGTTGCCTAATGTAACGCTGTTTTGGCGGCGAAGTTGGACTTGAATAGCACGTGAATGTATTTGGCGCAAAAATATTCCAGTCGTTACGGTATTGTTTTGTCGATATGTTTACTCTCAGAGCACAAGCAATGAATTTCAAGGTGGTGCGAAATTTTTTTCTTGTTTATGTTGACACCAAGTGTGTGCTGAGTAAATATTATTATTATCGGCTTGACAAATTATTTTCGTTTATTTGCAAATATTTAACATGTTTTGATAATAAGCGATAATTTATATAGAGACAAGGAATAAGGATATTGTTCAATCTAACTCTCAGCATTGGGTTAAGAAAAGTTATTTTTGGCTCAAACTATGAAAATAGGCAATCCTTGATAACAAAATTATTTGACTGTGAAGAGAACATTTATTGAGCAAAGACTGTTTTCAATATTTGAAATTAATACTAAAAATTATTTCAACCACAGAATAAAGAAATATTAATACAGTTTATTGTTCTCTAAATATAGAATAACATATTTGAACTACCAATGTCCATACAACAACAAGCAAGCTAATCATTTTCATTAATGAATTTGGATCCATCTTTTTGTATTGTAAACACATCATATTAATCTTGCCAATTATTTACTGAACATGAAATTGCTCTTTGCAAATTGGGAAGGAATTCTTTAAAAAGCCAAACAGGAAAACCATCCCTCAAAATTATCCCTCAAATTTGCCATATTCTTAGTAAATTGTGTTGGCCAGTTTACAATTCCACTTCAAACTGACATTATTTCTTTCGACACAATTACTTCGCCATGCAAACAATTTTTCTCAACAACTTAATCTACACCTCCAACACAATCCCAACAATTCAAATCTGCCACTCAATGGTCTTTCACTTTCCACTCAATTATCCCAAAGTTTTGAAGGCAAATTATTAAAAACCGCTTCTCTCAGCTTTGCCAACCAAAATGCAACGCTTCAACTTCAAAAAAAATATTCAAAATGGTACGTTATCAGCACCGCTCTTTTTTTCGCTGATCAAAAACCGCCTCTTTGTATGCTACAATGATGACGACAATTATTATTGTTTTACATTTACACATTCTTCTTCTTGGAAATTATCTAGTCTGGTAGTCCACCAAGAAGTCCAATGGGAAATAATTCCCCTCAACGTGATGAACCTCATAATAATAATAATAATCACTCTCCTCGTTCTTCTCCAAAGAGATACAACGATGATAGAAGATATAATGATGATAGACATGACGATAGAAGATACAATGATGACCGTCGTGATGACAGAAGATACAATGACGATAGAAGATACAATGAAAGAAGATATGATGACCGTCGTGATGATAGAAGATCTTACGATGAAAGAAGATACGATAGAAGACCTAGTAGTAGTGAAAACAATGTTGCGTATGTATTATTGTAGTATTTTATTGATTTTTAACACATAGTTTAGTCTCCAAGAAGAAAAGTCAAAGGCCACTTCAATTTTCCTTGGTAGCTTGGATAGTAACACAACTGAAAATGATTTGCGTGATGCTTTCTCTAAGTGTGGTGAAATTGCTAGTGTTAAGCTTGGTTTCACTAAACAAGGTCACTTTTTGAGATATGCCTTCATTTCATTTGCCAACAGAGAAGACACCGAAAAGGCCTTCAATGCTGTCAAGTCTGGTGAAATTTCTGGTCAAAACAAATGGGATGTTGACTATGATGTCGGTAGAGACAAGAAGAGTCAATTAGGTATTGCTCCATCTACTCGTGGAAGTAGAGGAGGTAGATTTGGTGGAGGTAGAGGAGGTGGTTCTCGTAGATATGACGATGATCGTTATAGTAGAAGAGACCAAAGATATCACCCATATTCCAGAAGATCACCACCATTCAGAGGAGATAGAGGTGACAGAAGTGACAGAGGTGATAGAAGTGATAGAGGAGACAGAGGTGATAGATCACCAAGTGGTCCAAGAGGTGGTTACTCTCCAAGAAGATCCCCTCCTTATGATTCTAGAAGAAGAGGCGGTGACCGTAAGTAGAATTAATTCCTTAATATTCAATATTTCTCATTCTCTTTTTTTTAATATTTTAATTGCATTGTGGGTCTCAAATGATAATGTTTTGCAATGTTTTGATTGGTCATATATTACGGAACTATAGGTTACAGCCCACGTCACTACTAGATTGTACTCCTTAGATATTGTGAAATAATAATAGAACTCCAGAGAGATTCTCTTATAGATTATTGAATAAAACAGATGATAATGATAAAGATTTTCAAGATTTACAGAGAAGACATAGAAGAATAAGATTGATCTTCTTTCTTTTTTAGACATTTGATATCTTTCTTGATTTGAGATTCGACTCAATCCTTGACAGATCTAGAGATGATGAATTGAATGAAATGAAACAGTCTCTAGGTTTCTCAACTTCGTGTGATGAGAATTTCGAGAAGAAGACAACAGAATTAACAAAGAAATATCGCTCTTTTTCAAGACACTTATCTTTCTAGATGAAAGCACATCGAAGAAGAATTGGATCAACATTAAAAAAGATTGGAATTAGATTTATGGAGCTCACTAACACCAACAAGTTGGGGAATTTCTCCACATGAAATTTATCCTCAGTTCATTCATTGGCCTTAAATGATGACCAATTTTCCAATCAAAAATAAATTCCTTGCATTTTAAAGCCCATGGGAATATTTAAATATTCTTGAAAACGAAAGAGGTAATTTTAAACACTTTGATATCTCTATTTTAAGAGGAACCAAGATAGATCCTTAATCTCATCAGGGAGTCATTATTTTAAATGCTCAGCTCATCATGCAGTGTATTGCCCTGATCATTTCCCAAACACCAATTCAACCACTATCGATGACGAATACATTCCAAATCAAGAATAGCATGACAAATGCCATCATACGTTAAAAAAAAAATGTCAAACAATCTGATATCTGTCCCCTGCTTTGATTGCACTTTTTCCGAATGTTTTAACAATGCAGAATCATTCCCAGACGTTATCTTTGAAACATTGGAAGGTAAAATCTATGCACACAAATTCATGCTCTATCAAAATCGATATTTTAAGAATTTATTTGATGTTCATGAGAAGGTTCTTACTCCGAGAGGATCTTCATCAGGAACAGTATCCAATTCATCAATTCTTACAATTCCCATTCAAGAACCTCTCAAAATATTCAAAAGTCTCATTGAATACTTTTACTCTGGAGTTGTCAATTGTCAAGTGAATGATTTGAGTGAATTTATAATGATGGCCTATCGTTTCAAGATTATCAATTTGATAACAGTATTGAAAAAGATATTGATGGGAGAAGCTGCTACACAAATCATTGCCAAAACTAAATTTGAAAAGACTGAAATTCTCAATCTTCCAGAAAATACCAAAATGACAATGGAAAATGCTCTTTCTCTATTTGGAGAAGTTTGTGGAAATTCAGTGTTAGAAACAACAGTTTTTAAAACTGAAATTACATTGGCAAAGAGGGTCATTCTGAAGAGTGTTTGCTTTTCATTACTGTTTAGTAGTAATACCACTATTGAGAAAATGTTAAAATTTTCAGTCAACTCTATGAATGAACTTTTACTGTTGATTGCTGAACATTTGGATTTGATCAAAGCTGTACAGAAATACCTAGTAGATGTTTCAATTATTAACACACCTCTCAATATGAAAGAAATTATCAAATTTACACTCAAATGGATGTGTTACATGAAGTCAGATCGTTTAATTAGCATTTCAGATTTGTACGAAACTTTAAATGCAATTGAAAAATCTATTCAGCAACCTAAAGAAGTTGCCGAATTTATCAAATCCATTGAGGTGATGAGAAATATGGCCTCAAAGAACCAAAACAAGCATCAACATGCAAACTCGGATACCTCTGATCATCAAAATGCAACAGAGAACGATGATTCGAATAATAGAAAGAGAGTAGGTTCAACACTTGTAAAACTAAAATCCATGTACTCATCCCCTTCTCAAAAGAATTCAAAAGATGAAGAGAGTGGTGGTGGATTATTGACAACAAGTGGAATTCAAATTGTACGTGAGGAAGAACCAGCTCAGGAACAGTCATCTCTGAGGAGAATGAAACGAACTTCAACATTCATTCAACCAAAAGTTAATTATTAATACTTGTACATTAAAATTTATTACTTCCTTAAAGAATTTAAGATTATTTGAATTTATCTTTTAATACTTCTTGATAGGTTTCGGTTGGTTTAAAATGATTTTCCAAAAAGTTTGAGGCAACCAATTTCAATTCATCAAAACTATTACAACTTTGATTGAATAAAACTAAACTGGAGAAAAAACCCTTGAGGCGATCCATACAGTAATGATCAATAAATTCCATTCCCATTTCACTTTCTATGTAATCATCATCTGATAGAGAAAGAACATCATTATCGATTGGAATTTCAAAGTGGTATTCATTTTCATTCACAATGCAAAATATTTCTTTCTTTGTATTAGAATTCTTGTGAGTAAAGACACGACATGATTCATTAAATGTGCCAGGATATTGTGCATTATTATACGAAACCCACACATCATTCCACTGACATAATTCCAATTGACTTGTGAACTCGTAACATTTATCACCATTATTCAAACTAATTCCAAAAGGATTAATACCAAACCAACTGTGTCCTCCTCCAAACATGATTATTACTCCTCTCTCATTTGACTGAATAAATACCCTCAATAATAAAGTAAATCCAGTTGGATTAAATAACTCAACTGGAGGATACAGAACTGAAGAATTTCTAGAATACATGCCTTCGAATATTACACCATGCTGTGGATGAATCCATTGATCTCCTATCTTGTGATGATATCTTTGAGTTTCTTTGTTTTCAGTGTGAAATTTGAGAGCTTTTGGACTGGAACACAACAAGGAATGATTCTGGTGATAAATATCAGTAATGAAACGATCAAAATTTCCATTAATGTCAATTACAACAGAGTGGAGCCATTTCTCGAATGGCAGTTTTCTCTGCATTGTTTCCTTCAATTTGGAAAATATATAATTATTCTTCTCATCATCACGATGAAAATCAATCAAGAGAAAGGTAACAAGACTTTTGCTATCACTACTATCTGTCATTTTTTTCTGTGGACAACCTTACTTGAGCATACATTGAATAATTTAAGATTTTATTCTCTGAATACACAGAGTGTTTTTTAATGAATTAATAAATTAAACTTGTTCGTATTCCTTGTTGGCAGTAAACTTGGCTCTAACCTTCTTTACAACAAAGTAAATAACACCAATCAAGACGCAAATAAGGAATTCACCACCAAAAACTCCAATCAACATGTATTGCCATCCATCTCTAATAACCTTTGGAATACAAGAGAATGAAAGAGTAGAGACAACAGCACCATTATCATTGATATTCCATCCAAGGAAGATGTGGGCATGGGAGTCTTTGGATTGACCTGGGAAGTATTCAACCTTGAACAAACGATTAATACCTTGGTTTTCTCTCATGATCTTTGATCCAAGAGGTTCATCAAGATTTGAGGCACTGTATAAGTGAACATAACCCACCAACTTTGGTTCAACATAGAATGGATCATCCTTAAGCTTGGTACGAATGACTGAACCAACAGCAATAGTATCATTGAGTCCATAGAAATTAGCAGTAACAGTGAGAGCATCTGAATTACTAATTTGAGCTTCATCATCAGTGATGAGAGAGAATCTTTCAGCAACTGGAGTAGATTGGAATGGAGTATAGTCATCAATATTGACAGTATAAATAAAACCATTCTTATCAGTTTCACCTTCGGCAGTATAGATCATAGTACCAACAACTACAACATATTGTTCAGAATCACCAGATAAAGTAATATCATTGAGCTTCCATGTCTTGACATTTCCACTAGCAAGAAGTTCGGCAGTTGATTTAACATTGTTAGCAGTGAGGATTTGAGAAACCTTGACAACCTTCAAATTGCTGAGATCTGAAGCATCAAGAGTAATGAGAACATTGACAAATTGAGCATTTGAGGAGAATTTGATAAACTTGTCATGTTCAAGTCTGTGGTAGTTTTCGAAAGCAACTTGTTGATCCTTGTAGAGGGTGACAACAGCATGCAACAATCCTCTCTTTGAGCTGTAGACAATTCTAGCATTGTTTTGGACCATAGTTGGCTTTAAAGTTTCACTTTGGATTGAAGGAACGAGAAGGTATTGAGAAGTAATTCCAAATGATTCATGGAAAGGAGTGATTCTAATAATACGGATAGCATTAGCATCTGACTTGTGCAAAGCCAAAATTTCGTTTTGATTGGTTTGATTATTAATAACATCCAAAAGTAAAATTGGTTTAACAAAAATGTTGGAAGTGACATTGTTGGCAGAAGTCAAAGTTTCATATCCTGAAATGGAACCATCTTTAGCATAAATTGGATCCTTGTCAACATTTGTAAGAATAATTGGGAATATAGCAATAGCATCAGTAATTGAAGCATTAACACCATATGAAGTAATATCGGATGTATATAAATATGGGATAATAGATGAACTCAAATCACCACTTCCGAATTGTCTTCCAGAAATAATATTCCATAAAGAGTATTGATTCTTTCCTTCAGTTGTAACAGTATTTGGAAGCATTGTCAAACCATCACAGTAGGCCATTTCATTTTGAGCAACTCTAATGTTGCAATCCATCAATTTTTGGACACTACCTCCTTGATGCTTGGAGTTCATGACGTAAACAGTCTTGTAGAAGGCCTTATCTTCCTTGTTTTTAACAACGTGGAACATCATTGAGAATGTTGTTCCCTTCAAAGCATCATAAATATTATCATTAGTTTTCATTGGTTGTGGAGCTCCATCAATGTCAACCATAAATTGGAGGTCAGGAAGTTGTGGGAAATAAAGTGGATATGGAGAATTAGGGAAACTTGGATCGGTAACATTCCAATGAAGCAATGTCACATTAGAAGATGAACAATAGTGTTCTTGGGCAAGGGTCACTGAAATCAGCGAGCACATAATCAAAACTGTGCAAGCAAATAATGTCCTCAACATTTTGGCAAAATTGGTGATGTATAAGAGAAGGTTAAAATTGGATCGGGTAATGATGACGACTGGTAGTGTTAATCAATAAAAAAAACCACAACAAAACAACAAAAATAATTGATGAAGATGGGAAGGAAGACTTGAGAGCGAGTTTTTGTGTGATTCACCTATTCAAAGCCTTCAACGTTGTTGAAATATTTTTTTGAAGCGCAAAATTTGAATTTTATTGTTTATTGGTGTTATCGGGGTTATTTGCTCCATTACCCCTGTGGGATTATCCTCTGTATTACTCAAAGATTTAAAATCTAAGCAAATTTGATAGTGAGGTAGATTTTGGTAGGTAGTTGAGAAGCAAGGTGAGCACAATATTGTTATTCGGAGTTTGTTGAGAGAATTGATACGCCCGTAAAAAGACTAGCGCAAAAAATATTGAGGACAATAAAGATTGAAAGATATACCTATTCAAAAGTATTCTCCCATGCCGGGAATTGAACCCGGACCTCCTGGGTGAAAGCCAGGTATCCTAGCCATTGGACTACACGGGAATACATAATTATGAATTATTATTCATATATTTGTTTTCATATACAGCATTAGACAATACCTTGATAATCATTCTTTTCTCCATCCACAATGTTGAATATAAGTCTCTATCCAAAGGTAAAAAGTCACTTTTTTATGAGCAATAGAAGTAAATAATGAATTCATTGATTAGTTTAATTATAATAGTTTAGAAGAGACTTAAAATAAGAACAAACAATCCAAAAATTATCTTGAACGGAACAATTTGGAAGAATCCATAACTTCCTGACACAGTAATAGATCCATCCCAACAATCAGCTGTTGGAAAATCGTTGCAATTATACCATTCTGGATAACACAACATATTCCTTTTCTTTTCACAGACAGATCTACAAGCCTGAAAAGGTGACCATATCTTATAATGGTATCCCTGATTCTTTGGATGATATTGAGCACATACCAATTGTTTTACATCAACGAAACAGTCTTCATTTACAAGGCCACCATAATTATTAATGAGCTTTTTCATTTGTAATTGAGAATTATATGTGAAGCATGTTGGATAATTTCCATTTCCACATGCTGTGCAATTCGGACACGGTTGAGGAGCTTTTCCTACGAGCTCACCAAACTTACAAAGTCCATCACTTGCCATTGCCTCTGAAAAACTGAATGTTGGATCATCCCAACAATCACTATCATATTCAACATCATAGCTAGAGTAACAAATAGAAGACATTTTGTTAGTCCAACGTTTACAAAGTTTGAATCTGTAAGTTGGATTATAATAAGGATAATAACTGGGTGAAACTACCGTCCACAAATTATCATTTGTTGGATCAGAACTGGCACAGTGCTCTCTCATCATTGCCAATTTACAAGCAAGGTTTTTGTTTTCGAATTGTAGAGAGTTAAATATGCTCTTCTCTCCATTGAAATTTGTGCATGTTGGAGCTTTATTGCAATACTTGCAATCACTGCATATAATTGGTGGTAAACCTGTTCTTTCTCCAAAGTGGCAGGTTGCTGATGATTTGACCAGTTTTTTCTCAGGGGTTTGATGTGAGGTGGTTGTTGAAGCAGGCAATGCGACCTTAACATCGAAGCCACAACAAACACTCATTAAGGCAAGAAGAACAATGAAGAAGAGAAGTAATTGACGCATTTTTTTGAGAATTCTTTGTAGAATTTTGAGAGACAAATAAAGCTTGAAATAAAATTCCGTTGGCTGTAGTTGAATATTGTTGAACATTCTTTTTATATTTACATCTGGTCAATGAATTTTAAAGTGCTTAGCTATCTTTAATAATGCAGAAGATTTGTTAGAAATAAGAAAATCATATTGGATATGAAAGATTACCTTGCTTACGAGTTGAGCAATAAATAATAAATGTGAAAAGTAATCACTCAGGATAAAATTTTGGCGCCACTTTTCAATCGTTACGCCATTCAAATAATTATTAAAAACAAGTAAAAAAAATGTCTTCACGTAATCGTCGTGATTTGGAGGAATTATACGAGGACGAATTTGATGGTTTTATTGAATTTGAAAATGATGACCAAAAATATGAACTTTTGAGAGAAGAAAGAGCGCTTTTGGAATCATATGATGAGGAGGAGAGTAGAAGACCACCTTCAAAAGCATCAAGAAAATCAGTCACCAATTCTTCCGCAGCAAAAACATCAGCTGCCAAAGCAAGTGCTGTAAAGAAGATTACACGTAAAAAGGCTGCTGGTGTTACAACTGCTGATGGTGATGCAAGTGGTGCTACTCAACAAGATGAAGGTCCAAAACTTCCACTCAAGTATAGAAGAATTGAAAAGTATACAGATAAACAGATGGGTTTCCATGTGTTACATCAAGCTTTGAGTGAGAATAAGGAATTTAAACAATTAGCAAATGTACCATTGGATAGTGGTAATGAAAAACAAGTACTGACAAAGAGACTCAATATCTATCTTGATACACTTCACGATTGGTGCAGGACTGTTTTTCCAGATTTACAAATGGATGAAGCTCTCTCCTTTATGGAATCTCAATCTTTTAGTAATCGAGTTCATAAAGCTATGGAATGGGGACGATCAACATTTAGTTCTCGTTATCAAAAAGCTGTACATAATAAGGAACAACGTAAAAGAAAGAGAAAGAAAGGTCAATCTAAGAGTGTTCTTCCATCTTATCACGAGGGTGATGAAGAGGAAAATCAAGATGATAACCGAGAAGAGGAACAAGATGAAAATAATGAACAAAACGAACAAAACAACGATGAAGATAATGTAAATAAGGACGATTCATTCTCCACATCTCCATACAGACCTAAGCCATACTCTCAAGAAGATGGAGAAGAGGAATTCCAATTTGAAGATGACAATACAGTAGAGCCATCCCCAAAGAAGAAAAAGAGATCAAGTCAAGGTGGTGCTGAAGAAGAAAATGTTGGTGGTGAAGCCGAAGAAGAATCTACACCATACGAACCATCTCTTGAGCTTGCACCAAATACTGACATTCCAGAAAGTGTTGAAATATAATCTGTATAGTTCAATTTAATTATTGCAACTGCAGTTCATTACTAGTAAAATTATTTGCAAAGGTCAACTTTCTGTTGACGCTATTACTTCATCTTCAATTAGAATTTTAATTATTATTTATAAAAAAATACGAAAAAATGGTAGGTGATTTTTTTGTTTTATTTTAAAGCTGATCATAATGACAATTTGATGATATTATTTATTGTGTTTATTATTCTAATATAACATTCAATATATTATATTAAATTAATGACAATAATTTGTGGATAATGATGATTGTATGAACTAATGAAATTGTGTGTGGATTAATCGGATCATAGTCAATGCCAAAAAACTCTAAACTCTACCAATTTCTCAACTATCGTATGAGAATAACTCTTCAAGATGGTAGACAAATAGTAGGAAAATTTATGGCTTTTGATAAATTTATGAATCTAGTTGTTGCTGATTGTGAGGAATTTAGAAAGATTATACCAAAAGGAAGTAAAGGAGAAGAAGTTGAACAAAAGAGAAGCCTTGGATTTTTACTTATTCGTGGAGAAAATATAATTTCAATTGTTGTTGAAGGACCGCCACCAGCAGAAGACTCTCGAGTTAAATCAATACTTGCAAAACAAGCTACCACCAATACATCATCCATTCCAAAGGGAGTTGCTGGTGCAACTTCAGGTGTAGCTATGTCTGCTGCTAGAGGAATGCCACTAAGAGGACAAGTTGTTCCACAAACAATGATCGGAATGGTTCCTGTTGGATTAATGTCAGGACCAACATCTCTAGGAGCTGTATCAACACAACAAGGAATGCAACCACTTGGTGCAGGACGAGGAATGTCATCTAGTATCTCTGGAGGACGAGGAAGAGGTGCTCCAAGACAATAATTATTCTGTAAATAAATGTATACTCCTAAATTTATTATATAACACTTGCTATTTAAAACAATTACACAATGACAAAGATGATGACAATATTAATACCATCACTGTTTGAATTTGTAAAAGAAATTGAAATGAACGAATTTTCCAGTTTATTGGTTGTATTAGTTGTCTGAAAAGTTCTTTGTGAATGGATACAAGGAAGAGCAATATCGTCAAGTAAAATGTTAAATTAGTAGTACTGGGTTTGTTTAGCTTGATTAAGTTAGTCAGATTCACAAACTTTGACGTTTAAGGTTACTACAAATATTTACAGAAATTGTAAAATAGACAAAATTAAGTATCAAAATTCCTCAAGTTTCTCATCCTCTATGCAAGTATTAAGATGTGATATCGGAAGTCAAGTGTCCAAATTTGATTCTGAAAAAACACGTGTTTCCTCTTCCGATATTCAATCTGATCAGACAATTAAAAAAAACATACCAACAGCTACACAGATGGCCTCCTCCAGCCCATCTTCACTATCAGCAATTCAAGGATTGTGGCTCGTTGTATTGACAGCTCTCGTCTCATATCTCTTTTACATTGTAATGGTCCAACAGAAGAGAGAGATTGATCTTTTACAAAAACAAGTGCAACTTCATCACAATTTGTGGAAACAATGGGTTGATTATGAGAGTAAGAGAAAGGGACAAGTCAATGTCAGATCTTCTAGACATGTACAAACTCAGCAAGAAGTTGGGGAGGAGTATTTACAAATTGACTTTTGGAGGGAATATGTTCAGAGAGCTCTTCCACCTGGCTGTGAAGATTCGGAATTTCATAGACAATGGTTATTGGAAATGGATTCATATTTTTGGAATAGAATTTCACAGGAGAAGAATCATGTCTATTTGAATTGTGATTTGATTGAGAAGGAGGGATTGTGTGAACAATATTCTCAATTCTTGGAAAAGAAACTTCCTCAATTCAATTTTACAATTCTCAATGAAAGCAAGCTGATTACAAAATCTCAAATGGTGCTCAAAGTAGTTGATAATTCAGAAAAATTGAAAGAGTTGACCAAAGCTGATGAAAGCGTTCAACATTTGGATAAAATTGTTGCTTTTATTGGTGATTGCAATCCAGACCACTCCAACCCAAACAACCCATGGTTAATTGTCAAATTTGCCATTGTAAATAATTCAATTGTCACTTGTGATGATGTTTCACTTTCTGCCCTTAGTAATTTTGTTTGGAAAAAGGGTGTAGAATGAATAAAGCTCTCATTCTTTCCGAATCAGACTAACAACCAAAAGAAACCCCATAATTGATAAATGAAATTAGTGAAGTTTTTTCAATGTTGAGTTCGATTGTTTACAAGAATTTTTCAATTTTATAAAAAAAATGGGCGTAAAAGGGTTGTGGGATTTGTTGCGTCCTGCGGCATTTCAAGTGCAGAGTCTTGATGTACTCTCGGGAAAGACTGTTGCTGTGGATATTAGTGTTTGGCTTCATCAATTCATGCTCGGAATGGGATTAGAGGATCATGATGATGAATTCTTCTTTGGTCGAGGAGCCAATAATCAAACAGGTCAAGCATCGTTTTCTCAAGTTAGATATTTGAAGGCTTTATTTAAGAGAATTTGTAAATTATTATATTATGACATCAAACCAATTTTTATATTTGATGGTGCAACTCCACTTGTAAAACAGAAAACAATTCAAAAGAGAAGAATGAGATCAACCAAACATAATTTTCGATTGAAAAAAGTGGCGAAAAAGTTATTGAATAGAAGAATGTTGGAGAAACATTCGGGAGTTTCTTCCATAGATAGAAAATTGATAAATATGAAAAAAGCTAAGGAACCTGAGTCACCAAAATATGAGGAGGATTTTGATTTTGCAATGCCATCATCATCTTCTTCGTCGGTTGCATCAAGTAGTGGTGTTGCAAGTTCGAGTGGTGTAAATAGTTCAAACAATCAACAAACAAGTGTAAAGGATGAAGAAGTTTCAATATTGTGTGATGAGAGAAATTATGAAGGAGCAATGAATGATTCATTTGAAGCTATTGAAAGAGTGGATATGAATGCAAATTTGGATTTAGGATCTGGAGTTGATCCAGAGGTTTTTACACAACTGCCAAAGGAAATTCAACAGGATATTATCAAACAACTGCGTAGATCTAAGAGATTCAAACCCGATTCCCATATTAGAGATTTGAAGAAAAAGACTCCTGAAAAATTCTCTACTACTCAACTTGATTCTTTTATTAAGGGAAGTCAAGCATCATTACAATTGAAGAAATTATTGGAAGTTTCAGAGAGACAACATTTATTGGATTCTCTACCTCAGAATATTGGATCTTCACAAAGCAATGATGAAATAACAATGGTTAAAGAGGAGCCAGTGGAAGTAGAAGTGGAACAAGAATCTGATGAAATGGGTATGGGATTCTTTGAAGAGGATGAGGAGCCATCAATTTTCCAATCAGCTTCACAAACAACTCCAAAGTCGAATAGAGCCTCTTCATCGATTTCCTCTGTGGAAGGTGACATTGGAAACTTTCAAATTGTAGCAGGTGGTAGACTGGCATCAAATCCAAATCAAGGATATGTCCTCCTCGAGAAAACTCCACCAAAAGAAAAAGAACAAAGAGAGACTCCTATCAATACTCAAAAGGCAGAGTTAAGTAAGGAAACAATTCAAAGATTTAGCGACTTTCTCTCAAGAAAGGAAGTTGTAGAGCAAGAGGAAATACTACCTGCTGCAAAAGGTAAAGCTCCTATCAATGTAGAAAATGAATTTGATGATGAAGACGATGAAATTCAAATAACATTTTCAAATAATGATCTTGATAATATTTCTGATAGTGATATGCTACCAGATTCAATATTTTCAACAATAGTGGAAAGTGGGGATTCTATTAGACGAAACATGAATGAAGAATGGGAAACCGCTCAATTAGTGGAGGAGGATGAATTTGAGGAGGTTCAAGGTAAATCACCACCAGCTGTGGCTGGAGGTGACACAGATGAGTGGGATGAAGTGCAGGCTCAACCAGAAGAACCAATACCAATAGATATTGATGAACAAGTAGTCATTGAAGATGATTTTGAACCTGTTCAAATCGACAGCAGCGATGATGAAGTGGAAGAAGTCACTCCCTCCCAATCAAGTGTATCAATTACAAATGAATCCATGAACTCTATGGATGATTCATTTGAAAATGAACAGGAAGCATTATTGAAAATGAGTTCGGTTCCTCTGGTTAGCGATGAAGAGGCAAGAATGCAAGAAATGAATGCGGCTAGGTTTGAGCAGGCCATGTTCGACTCTGATTACCCAATGATCGATCTCTTTAACTCCAAGTCGAAAACAACAAATCTCTTCTTCGCCTTGGTGGACCTGGCCAAAGATTTATTGACCTATCTTGGTGTTCCTTACTTGGTTTCACCTAGCGAAGCCGATGCTCAATGTGGATTTTTATCTAAACATAATTTAGTGGATGCTGTCATTACTGAGGATTCTGACTTGTTTTTGTTCGGTGCAAATTGTGTATATAGAAATGTATTTGGATCGACAAGGCATATCGACAAGAATATTATTGAAGAATATAGAATGGATAATATTTTCAAAGTTTTGGGATTTACAAGGACTAATCTAATTCAGATAGCTCTTTTATTGGGCTCTGACTATACGGATGGTGTACATAATGTTGGTCCTGTGACAGCAACTCAAGTTGTGGACGCCTTCAACCCTGAAGAAAAAGAACTCGATGAAGATAATTTAGAAGAAGTTACCCAGGGATTGAAGGATTTCAAATTATGGGTTGAGGACGACACTTTCAATATGGGACGAACTCAAAAATCATGGGGTAAAAAGGGTGATTTCCAATTCAATTACAAGGGTTCCAAGAAGAAATTCATCTTCCCAGAAGGATTCCCAGATAGTAAGATTATTGATGCCTACACGAAACCACAAGTAGATGATTCTCTTTCAGATTTTGTTTGGGCAGATATTGATAGTGATCCATCAACTCAATCCTCATCGTCTCAAGTTACTGCTTCTTCTTCTTCTACTGACCCACCAAAATTGAATTGGCAAGGATTTTACACTTTCTGTCTAGAACGAATGAATATGTCGAGGGAGGAAGTTGATTCGTACATTCAACCAATTCTAACAGAGAGAAAGAAGAGGCAAGCCATCAGAAGTAAAAAAGTAGAAGAAATGACTCCCCTCGAACGATTCATATTCGAAGCAGACAAGAAAAAGAAGAAGGCAGCTGAAATTGAGAGTAAAAGAGTTCTCAATGCAATTGGATCCATTAAGAATAAGCAAGCCAAGAAGAGAAAGAAATAAACATCCTCTTCATTCACTCAACAATTCAATAATTCAACCATGTTTTCTTGAAATGAATTAAAATCAAGTTATTTTTTGAACTTGAAAAAAATGATCAAAGAAGAAGACGTGCGTGAATCTGTTGATGAGATTGACTATTCTTTGAATGAACATTTCATTGTGAAGAATGATGAAAAGAATCAAAAAATCTACGTCCCAAAGCCAATTATCGAATCGGAATCTGTTTTTTCTATTGATTTTCATCCTAAATTGGATTTATTAGCTGTTGCTTTAGTGACAGGTGAAACTAAAATGTGAGTAATCCACATAGTTGCAAACTATTAATTAAATAATTTATTTAATATTAATATTAATTAAATTCATCATCAAAAGATATAAATACTCTATTGAAATTGAAAATACTTGTGTAGCCACATTTAATCATCACAATGAAGCTTGTCGTAAAATCTTCTTCTCCGATGATGGTAAAACAATGCTTTCATGTGGTTCCGATCGTCGTTTCAATGTTGTGGATGTTAAAAAGGCATCAGTTAAATTTTCAATTAAGGATGCTCACAAATCACCAATTAATTCACTCATCGTTATTGATGATGATAGAGTTGCAACAGGAGATGATGAAGGAGTTGTTAGAATTTGGGACGTTCGTCAAAAGAAAGCCATTCAATCATATAAGGAACATGGAGATTATATTAGTTGCTTTGCTTTTGCTCCAGAATCTGGAATGTTATATTCTGCTGGAGCTGATGGATGTATTAGTGTTGTGGATATGAAAAAATCAAAGCCAACTGGTGTTGGTGTGACTGAAGGAGTGAATGATGACCTTGTTGGAATTGCTACCATGTCAAATGGTGATTTTATTTATGCTGCTGGATCATCAGGAACTATTTATGAATTCCAATCACACAAATTATATCAACCAAATAGATGTATTTCGACATTGACCAGTAATATTTCAGTAATGAAACTAGTTAAGGAAGGTTATTTGACCTATGCATCAGATGATGGTGTCATATTTGGACTTAACACTAAGAATACTAAACGTCAACATAGATTAACAGATCAAACTAATGAACCAATTTTCGATTTGAGTATTTCAAGAGATGCCAAATATTTAGCAAGTTGCTCTTTGGAAAATATCAGATTTTACAATGCCATTGGTTTGTTTGATTTGAATTTGGTTGATGTGGTCGATGTTAAGGAAAAGGAAAAAGATGTCAAGAAATTAAAGAAACAAGAAAAGAAAATTGAAGAAAAGCTTTTAAATCCTGAAGCCAAGACTGTTTTGGAAGAAGCAGAATCTAATAAGAAGAAGAGAAAGAAGGCAGGTGGTGTTCAAAGCTCAACCAAAAAGACCAAAGTTATGAATCAAGCTCGTAAACAATTCTTGCATGATTTATTAGTGGATTATTAAATATGAGGTTTTCATTCTATTCATCTATTTCAATAAGGTTTTAATTTAAAGTTTATCTGTTACCGCCTTTTTCTTCCCGCCAAAATTCTACATTTTTGAGGTTGCTTAAAAAATTAAGCGCAAAACTTCATTAGACACAAAAAAATGAGTAAATATTCTTCCTCGTCGTCGTCAACTGTTTCTGACGCTGGAGAGGATACGGACCGTTCATCATCGTATGTTGTGAGAAGTTATCCATCATCAGTAAATTCAACCCCGAGAAGAAAGAGTCCAACAACTGGGGATGAGGATTCATCAGAATTATTGTCGAGTTTAATGTCAAGGCTTACGCCACCTAGTGTACAAAAACATCATAATATTAGTGTCACCACAACAAGTACTGCTGCTCTTGGAAATATGAAAAGTCTAAATTCTTCCATGATGTCTAACTCTTCATCGGTATCAACAAAGTGGGAGGAGATGAATAATTTAGCAAAGGAGATTGAAAGTAATGTCAAAAAAACAACCTCAAGTGCCTCAAAACGATCTTCCTATGCTGCATACGATGACTTGAGTGATAGCAGCCTTATTCATCCTTCCAACAAGAAATTATCTTCAAAGATTTCAGAAAACATCAGTATGGACGATTCAATTGACTCTACAGCAAGTGCTTTGAAACGATATTTGGAAAAATACAATGAAAAATCAAAACCTAAACCTACTCAGCATAATTTGGATGATTCTTTGAGTGATCTTTATGGGAAGTTGACAGAATTCTCGAATACATACAAGCCAAGAGATATTGATACATCTCTTTCTTCTGTCACTCCATTGAGATCAAACAGAATGGGACCTGTGGATGATATGATATCTACTGCCTCAAATATGTCGACAAACACAGATGAATTATTTACAAAACTTGATAATTATGGAGAAAAATATATGGAAAATGAAATCTTCTCTGGAAAATCTGCTAAAAACTCAAAGAAAAAGAAGGCTGATATTTCCATAAGCTCTGTTGATAGTGACAAGGAAAATTATGAGCCAAGAAGGATTAAACCATCAAGAAAAAGTACAACTCCAAAGAGGCCGCAATCCGTTAAGGTAAGCTCGATGAAGGAAGAGAAGAAAGAGACATCTATCAAATCTAAAGTCGCAACAACAAGATCAAAAACACCAACCTCCAAATATACAAAACCAGAGCCTTCAAAGAAGACAGAGTTGAAAAAACCTTTGACATCGTCAACCTCCAAATCCAGAGCAAACCAAGCAGTAGAAAATATTTCCAAAAAGATTAGCTCACGAGAACCTGTAAAATCCACATATGCCAAACATTTCCAAAAACCTCAACCAAAGAGAGAATGCAATACTTCTGTTTCAAGTGACGACGAAGAAAAGCGAGATTGTAAATCGTGTCAAACAAGCATGCTTCGTGACGTTCAGACAACACCAAACATGACAACACTGGCAAGTATTAATTCCATTCCAATGTCCCCTGGTCTGTCGAGCTCATCCAATGAAATTGCATTCAAAATTGTTGGATCCACAGACAATATAGAAAAAGTAGAAGTATATCTAAAGAACTCAACAAGGCAATCCTTCTCTGTAAATTCATCTACTCAAAACCCATTGCTTAGTGATACCCTTCTCAATGAGACAAATATAATCGAGTCATTCTGCTCTCCTAATCCTCCTCAATTTAATCCATCTTCCTCTACTTCATCTCGGTATTCTAATAATTCTCCAGATCATGTTTCACAGTCCAATAGCATGACTGAAAGTCAAGAGACCCTACAGCCACTCAAATCCTTTTACAGCAAATACTTTGTCAAATAAACATTACCGAGTTTCTATTGAAGGAAACATTTTTTTGGTTTTCCAAAAGTTGTTGCAAAGCTGTTCTCACTTGTTATTATTGGTTTGTGAGTCATGAGAACAGATTTGACACATAGCTCAACAAATTGATTCATTTGGTCATCATCTGCTGTGAGTGCTGATATTTCATAATAAGTGATACAATTAGACTGTTGTGATAACTTCTTCTCTGTAATAACGTGTGTATTACTTTTTTCATCTAGTTTCGTTCCCAATATTATAATTGGTGCATTGCACATGTAATGTTCAATTGTTGGGATCCACTTGATCTCAACTCTTTCAAATGAAGAATGCGCATTATTGAGAGAAAATGTTGGAACGAAAAGATCACAACCATACAAAAGCAATGGCATTAATCGTGAATATCCAATATCTGAAAGGTCAATGAAATCAATTGAGAATTTTCTTCCTTCTTTTACAGTTTCATGCCTAAAGGTTTCCATAGCCGGCAGACTTCCAATATTTAATGCTGTTTGTGGGAATGCTCCTAATTTCAATCTCATCAACAGAGATGTGACTCCATTTCCTTCTCCTAAAATTGATATCTTCATGTGAGTCACTTTCGAATGCATTTCATCAAGTGGTTTTTTCAGTATTGACTCATATTTTTGAAATTTAATCTTCCCATCCGTTCTTAAATGTTGCAATTCATACACTCCCATCACATGATATTTGTAATTTTCTGTTGGCATTTCCTTGTTAATGATGGAGAGATGACCACACAATCCAAACTTTATATTTTGATTCGGATGCAAATCTGATGACCAACTTTTCCAATAATATTGATAAATACTCTTCCATATGATATCACAAGATCCAATCCGATAGAAATCCCTGCATGCCAATTGAAAATTTAATAAACTTCTAACATTCATAAAAGAACAAATAATAATCCACTCATCTTGTAATGTTTCCATTTTTTTTGTAATGAGTTTTAGAAAGTGTTGAATTTTAGAACAAGATTCAAAATTGGATTGTAAATTTATTTAGCATATCTGGTTGGAACGAATGGCATCTTGGTAATCTTGGCAACTTGCAAAGTGTTTCTGATTTGAATACCAAATTCAGTACCTTCCTTAGCAAATTCACTCTTAATATAACCCATACCAATTGGATGACCCAAACATGGTGACAAAGTACCACTGGTCACATAACCAATTTCTTCACCAGTCTTCAAATCCTTGAATTTATAACCTTCACGAGCAATAACAGCTGGCTTACCAGAACCAACTAATTCTTGACCATATGAGAAACCAACTCTCAATTGTTGAACACCTTCTTCCAAATTCTTCTTGACAACATGATGACCTGGGAAACCACCTTCTTCACGACGACGCTTAGCAATTGTGAAATTCAAAGCAGCTTCAATTGGTGTAATCTTTGGAGTCATATCGTGACCCATCAAACACAAACCAGCTTCAAGACGCAAAGTATCTCTGCAACCCAAACCAGCCAAACCAACCAATGGTTCAGCACCACCAACTTGCAACAAGGCACCTGACATGGCAACAACTGATTGATCTGGAACTGAAATTTCAAAACCGTCTTCACCAGTATAACCACATCTAGAAACTTGAACAGAGGTCTTTTCACCACCTGGTAAAACAATAACTTCATCAGAGCAAGTCATGAATTTCAATGATTTAACTCTTTCTCTGGCAGTATCATTTTCCAAAAGTGGCAACAAGGCTTCAACTGCCTTTGGACCTTGGAGAGCAATTAAACTCTTACCATTAATCATTTCAATCTTTAAATCAGATTCCTTGAATGACTTTCCAGTTCTATCACACTTCAAAGTGGAAACTTGAGTAGCCAAATGAGCCATGTCACTATCAACACAAGCAGCATTGATAACAACATAAAAATCAAAAACTCCATTAGATTCGGATTTCTTTGTGATCATCAAATCATCCAAAATACCACCATTTTCATTGGTGAATTGTGTAAGACGAGCTTGATTAATCTTCAATTGAATAATATTTGCAGGTGTGACCTTTTCAAGGAATTCTTGAGCATCAGCACCAGAAACTTTAACTTGACCCATGTGAGAAACATCAAACAAAGCTGCAGAATTTCTGCATTGCATATGTTCTCTCTTCAAGGCATCTTTAAATTTACTTAATTGATACATCACAGGCATCTTGTATCCGGCAAAATCAACAAAAGTAGCCTCATGTTTAGCATGGAAATCATACAAGAGTGTCTTTTTAGCTTCGGCATTCATGATAGATGATGATGAGAAACAACGAACAGAGTCATTCTTCTTGATTGCGGAACAAGAAATCTTGCTGGTTGTTCTTTGGACGATCTTGGAGGCGAGCATTTTCAAATATTTTTTTAAAAAATTTTAATTTTAATTGAAATTTTCCAAACTCAACCCAGCGTGTGCAATGATATTATTTCGAGTTGAAGATTCACCTCCATTGTAAAGTTGAGTCCTGGGCGAAGCTGGAAGGAAGGGTTTGAATCATTGGATAAAAGAGTGCAATGTCTACTCTTAAATGATGCTTCAATGTGTTTTCCAGTCATTGTTAACTAGGATTAATGGCAACAGTTTCTCATCTTGTAGGTAATGAGTGGTCTCATAATGGCAACAACTTCAACAACCCCAAAATGAACTAAATCTGAAATGACTGCATCGATATCCTTGTAAGCAGCAGGTTGTTCTTCAAAAAGTAAATTCTTATCTTCACAAATGACATGAGATCCGAGGTCAGTAACTGTGAAGGATTGAACATTTTCCTTTGCGGCCATACCAACTGATTTGGAACGCTTCCATTTTCTGCCAGCACCGTGTGCAGCTGAAAAATTACAACGAATTTGGCTTTCAATATCTTCTTCACGTCCACGAACAAGATAGGAGAATGATCCTCTCGAACCAGGAATGCAGAAGTAACCAGCATCTGTTGGTGCAGCACCCTTTCTGTGAATGAAAACTCTTTCATTTTCAACTTGTTTTTCTACAACATTGTTGTGGCAAATGTCAAGAATCATTTTACCATTTCCGTTAATGCAAGTAAGGAACTTTCTGGCAATGAGAGCTCTGTTGGCCTTTGCCCATCTACAAGCATTGTCGTGACATTTCATATAGTGCTTTGCATCATCCGAGTCAAAAAGCAAGCCACTATTTCCAAATTTATCCTCATGTTCTCCAAGAATATGATCACCAAGGGATCTTGATCCACTATGAACCATCAAAAAGCAAGCATCCTTTGAAAGTTTCAATTCTTCTTCAAAAATCTTTTCATTACAAATCTTTTCGACGATTTGAAGCTCTGCAAAGTGATTTCCACCTCCGACAGTACCAAGTTGACGAATGGCAAATTCCAAGGCCTTATTTTCACTCTTTGGCGGAGAGGTAACACCCTCTTCCGATTCAAGATTTGGAGTAACTTCTTGGAGTTGACCCAAATCTACATCAAAATAGGTTAAATATTTTTCAATAAATTCAGTTGTGGCTTCATGTAATTCAAAATCTACATTTTCAGAGTTAGTAGATGTGGCTGAAAGCAAATCCTCACTAGAATCCAATCCAAAGAATTTTCTTTCAACATCCAATACAGGTCTACTTTCATCGCCGCTAATTCCTCCTCTTTCTAATCCGTTGAGTTGTTTCACCCATTTTTCTAATTGTTTCAATCCTCTATCTGATGTTAAATTAGTTTGATACAAACTCATACCACACCCAATATCATTACCAACGAGTGGTGGGTAGATGTAATCTACAGTTGAAATGGCAGCTCCTACTGGGAATGTTTTACCTGGATGAAGGTCAGGTTGACCAGTGGCTCTTCTTACACATTTCAATGTACGAGCAGTATCTTGCAATTGTTTAATAGCTCCATCATCCAACCAACTGTCCTTTATCAAGACAACTACTTCTGGTGTCTTTTCAACTGATGATGAAGATGTTGTTGTATTATTGTCACTCGATTCAACTGGTTGCGTAATCTTTCCTTGGAAAGTTTGTTTTAAATTGGTCGAAAAAACAAAGAATAAATCATCGGAAGGCTTTGATCCTAATCCTGTTGATCCAATTAATTGTTCTTCCTGTAATTGTTTTCTCTTAGCTGTTGTAAAATCATTGAATAACTTTTGAATAATACTATCCGATTCAATGACTTGTCCTGATTTTCCATTATAAAGTGCAAGCACCTTCTTCTTTAAATTTAATTTGGCTTTTCCCAATTTGAATAATTCATCAATGCTCTTTGGTAATTTCTGAGAATCAACCACGATGAACTTTTCTTCTTTAACTTTGGCATTGTCAGCAACCCGCACTCTGAAGGAAAAGCTTGTTTGTTCTGTATTATCTTGTGATGGCATTTTTTTGTAATGTTATTAGAGTACTGATGGACTTCACAAGTCTTAACATTCGTTTTGAGTGTAAAGTGTGAAATTGAACAAATTCAAAATTGACTTCCCCGGTTCAATGAAACTAGGTTCATCTTTGCACGAACATAAGAATGAAAATTAATGTAACAGAATAATTAAAATAAATATATTGGGAGAATTGGTTTAAAATGTTAGAAAGTGGGAGTGAGAGAAGGATGGAGTTGGAATAATATTAATAACAATAATTAATAAGCAGATTGGAAGATGGAGAAAAAGACAATCAAATAAATACCAACAGCAACAGCAGCAAAAACAAAGCTCAAAGCAAAACAAATAATTGAAGCCTTGGCAAACTTTCTTGCGGATTCACTTGGTGAATTACGATGCTATTTAATAATAATACATGTTAAATTAAAAAGCAAATAATAATAACTTACGAGAATAAAGTTAACAATCCACACAATACCAACAAAGAAACCAATAATAAACAACATCATGGAAGTTTGATCTTGCTTTTGCTTTTCCAAATAATCAACATCTCCTTGTGTGGTGGTTGTCACAACATGGGATTGTTGATAAATAGGTTGTGTTGAAGCATAATATTGTTGTTCTTGAGTATAAATTGGTTGCTGGGAGTAGACTACATTTTGAGGTGGTACTTGTTGTGGTTGTTGGTAGACTTGATTTGGATCGTATTTGGTTTGTTGATTCAAAGGTTGGTATTCCATTTTGTTTGTTGTTTACAGTAAGAGGCTTTTGAGGCTTTTTTTCTTTGTGAGCGAATTAGAACGGAGCCTGGTGTACTGTTTTATAAACTCCAGATTAGAAATGAAAATGAAGCGAAGGAGTAGCAATGATAACAGTAAATAGTAGATATTAAATTGTTTCCATGATATTCTTAAAAGCTTCTAACAACATGACAATAAGCCTCTATTTCTAAGGGTCATTTCAATTTTTTCATTGTTTTCATAAAATTTTGTTTTTTTAACTTTAAAAAAATGGGAAATGATTCGGAAGTGTTACTTCAAGCTTTTTTCAATCACTTGATGCAAATTAAAGCCAAGTATGAGTTGGAAAAACAGGAAAGAACTAGAATATTGTATAATCTTGTTGAAAAACAAAAAACAAAATTGAAAAATAAATCCGATTCAAAAAAGTGGATTAATTTGGATTCATTATTGGAAAGTGATAATATGAATGCTGTTTTGAATATGAAATTTAAATAATATTATAATCAGGAAATATTCAAATTAATTTATTTAATATGTAGATTCAAGTTAAATCAAAACTTAAAAAAATGAAATGGAGAAGAGTAGCCACTGGCTTTATTGAAGTGATAAAGGAAGAAAAATCACATATTCTACTATTTAAAAGATCGGAGAAGGTTAATTCTTATCCGAAAATGTGGGCTTCAATTTCTGGTTCTATTGACTTGGTTAACAATCCACCTGTGGATTATTCTTCAAATGATCGGTTTGATTATAGGGTTGGTGATTATTTTGTGGAAAGCCCGATGGAGTGCCTTCAGAGAAATCCAAGAAGAAACACAATTACAAGTTGGAAAACATTTGAACTTCATCCGAAGTGGTCGTCCACAATATTTGCCTTTAAATAATGGAAAGGGATTTATTGTTTATCCTTTTCTATTTAGATTGTCAGTAGAAAATTCAAAAGATATCCCTAGCCAACTTGATAATTTAGGATTCAAGATTGATTGGGAACACGATTCATTCAATGTTTTTGATACTGAGCAATTTCTGAGGAAGGGTATGAATGACAGCACCACTCCCACCCTACATGAAACAGTTCCCAATCTAAGAGACACTCTTCACAGATTATACTTTTTCTATGGATTGGAGACTGAATTATTGGTAGAAATAGACAATACCATTGTTAATAATTTTACAGATGGTGCAACTACCATTGCTTTGAAAACGATAGATATTATGAAAAAGGCCTTGAACTTATTTTCATCTGAAGATATACCAGATTATTTCAAATTGATGAATTCTTCAATAGATATGGATAGCATGAGAGCTGTTTTTTTAACTTCGAAACTGAGAGACATTGTTTGGATTTTAGATCAATGTAGAATTGAAATGCCAATGATTAGGAATGTGGCTGTTCAATCTCTTGTAGAAATAATGAATGGTGAATTACAATTTGATCAGGATAGTATTGTCAAACAAATTTCTGAACAAACTTTTGAAAATATGGTACAGAAAATGAAAGACAGATTGAACAAATTTGGCATTAAGATATCAAACAATACTCAGTTACTATCAAATAAGTTTCAAAATTATGTGAAATCAGAATTTTTAAAAGATAACACCCAGAAAATCTCAATATTGACCCACAGTTGGAGCAGTGTTGTTATTAAATCATTGAAAGATTTAATGTTAGACTTACATGCAAAACATGCATCCATTGATTTAACCATCTATTGTACAGAGTCTCAGCCAGAAAAGGAAGGGTACAAAACAGCTAAATCTCTGAAGGACTTTGCCTTAGATCAGGGTATCAAAAATCTAAGAGTTCAAGTTTGCACTGAAGCAGCAGTTGCTTTACTCTCACGTTCTGGAAAGGTTGATCTTATGTGTGTAGGATCAGATTCAATCCATTATAGTCATGGAGACATTGTAATTTCTAACAAGACTGGCACAAGCGTACTCTATTCGATTTCCAGATTTTACAATATTCCTTTTGTGGTGCTCTCAGATACTATGAAAATTTCACAAGAAAATTCAGACACCTTTAACACGGAGATGGATGATTCCATCCTTTTAAAACAACCTTTATTTGAGCACTTCACTCTAATGAATGATTCAACTCAAACCAAAGTGCTTTTGGATCAAAACACTGATTTAAATCATATTCAATCACAATTGGAAATTCAAAGATTAAAAATATTTGGAAAGTAATTTTATTCTACATGATCTATTTAGAACAGACCCATCAAAAATCCTACAATCACAATGAATACAAGTGAAATATTGAAATTTGAATTGGAAGAACTAACTCTGCTCTGAGATGGTTTGATAGTACCATTACTACTAGTAGTACCAATTACTTTGGTGGATGATGCAGTATTGGTTTGACATGGAAGAACAATTGACTTGTCCAATGAACCACCATAGATACTTCTTGTGTTTTGAGAAGCAATACAACAGACACAAATTTGTTGGTATGAGACAGGTCCAAGAGAAGCACCACTATTCAATGGAATTTGTTTTACAATCAATCCACTAGTCATATTAAGAACTACAATCTTGCTTGTATCTTCCAATGTTCCAATAATGACATTTTCCTTAACGTCATAAGCCTTGTCAGACAGGACCAATGAATTAAACCTTGTTGAACCAATTACAGTGACATTTGTATTGCTATCAATGGAAACAGGAGCATATTTTCCTTCGTATTCAGCAATTGCAAGGACATTGGATTTACCTTGATAACCATTTGAAAACAAAGCAACATAGGAAGTAATAGAAGGAGGATTGAAATATTTCCAACTTCCACTTGTTAAATTGACAGCAATCATAGTATTGAAATAGGTACTATCATATCCATAAATATACATCACAGATGTTGCTGGATTAATATTACGAATCATATTGGTAGATCCTTTGAGTGGAGTAGTTGCAACAATTGTATCCTCACCAGTTTCCCAATCAATATCCAAAATTGTGACCATTGAATCATTGTAACCTAATCCATAGAGATTACCCAATGCTGGTTCAAAAACCAAGTTGGAAATTTCAGAAGTATTCACTTGATACAACATTTTACCAGTTAATAGACTGTATGTTCTCATTGTTGGAGTTTGAGATGGAACAACCATGATGAATAATCTGTGGTTAATTGGGTCGATGGCGACACCACCCAATGAATAAGAATTAAAGACATCATTACCAATGTAAGTAATGGCATTACTGTCCAAGTCAATCATGGCCAAACGATAGCTAGAGCCACCCTCAGCATATAACCCAACCAAATAACCAGATGAGATTGGATTCACTGTATTATTCTTTGTCTTTAAGTTGCAAGAAAGTTTATAATCATCAAATGAGCTGATAAAACTAATGTCAGCACCATTCACAGCGAGTGCTAAAACACACAAAGCCAATAAAACAAGGATTGTTCTCATTGAATTTTTTTCGTTTAGTTTCCAGTGTCTGTGCGCTAGGTAGTTGGATTCATTTATTTTAGGTTGGTTACACATCTTGTTGTTGATGTTTGTGATTATTAAAGTGAACTTTTTTGGTCAATAAAAGCATCAGACGTTTCCTGTACAGAACCAATGTTACAGTATTTTAGAGATTTGATTTGGTATAGAAAATGGCAATTACAAAACACTGTCTTAGGTTCCGATCCTTTTATGTCTTTGCAACATCGTGATAGATTCTACTCTCTTAATGAAAATTTATCAAGAAGAAGTTTATTCCTGAGTAAATGATGTTACCCCTGGTTTTTCTTCTCCACTATCTTGCTTCTTTCTTGTTCAATATGCTTGCATGATTGCTAAAATTGAAGTCCTATCAATTTCTCTAATACTAAACAACATAGTGAATGGATTTGAGGAAAGGGACTTCATGAGAAAAAATGTTGAGCTTTCAGCTATTTTTTAAGGTCTACTTATATTCAGAAGAACCTAGAGAAACTTAATCTCCTTGAATCCCTTAATGAAAAACTATGAGCATTAGAAAATTGTCCCTTGTTTACTTACACACTTTAAATCTAATTTGTTTATTCAATTTACCAAATAGCCCTCTTGTTTGGTTTTCTGTCAGTCAATTCTGTACAGAAAACTTTACAACCACCCAGTGAAGCTTTTTCCAACATGGAATTGTGAATCATATCCAAAGTGCCATTGATATATTGAGCAGTGGGTTGATCAAGAGAGACTGTCCATTTCTCCATTGTCTCTTCTACAGAGCTTGGCTTGGCCAGTTTCCTTTAGACCAATTTCAATTCTCAATGGAATACCATAAAGTTCCCAATATTTGAATTTCCCAATTTGAGTCTTTTCCAAACGATAATCAATCTTAATACGAATCCCATTTTGGTCTAGGAGAGTGAAAATTTCCGTTGACTATTATCCTTATTCTTACAGAAAAAGGAATAAGAACAACTAGAGTGAAGGCAACTTGGTGGCAAGACCATATCCTTGTCATCACCATGATCATAACACCCAACTTATGGCAGCTTGATCAGCTCTTCCGTTTGTTGGAATGAAAGCCTCAATGGTTGTTGTGAAATCTGCGGCAGAAAACTTTTCAGTTTCAGTCTTCCTACCCTCAATAACTGGAACCGCAAGAATTTCTTCATAAGTTCATTTGTGCAATTGTTCCAAATGGTTTCCCCACTTCATAATAATCAAGGAAATCACTCTTGGTAGAGTACCACTCAGAGTAGTTTTCAATCTTCTTCACATCAACACTTTCATTTTGTTTGTTTCCACTTGCTGATGATGTTTTTGGTTTGGAGCCATAATAATGATTTTGAATTGAGGAAATTCATAAATCTACATCATATTGATCAGCTTTTTTATCCTGGATGTATTTTAAGAGTATTATTCAATGTGCATTAGATTAATTTAATAGCTGCAAATTAAAATCTGCAAATTGGAATATGAAGGATTGAAAAATTGTGATTTTTTAGTATTAACAGGACGCTCAATTTTGGCAGCAATGAATTCAAGTCATGTTAAATTTTAATATTTATTAAATGTGAAATGATATTGAGGGGAATGAGATCAGAGTTGAAACACCACAATTTTAAGCAACTATATTAGATATTTTTAATTCATGAGAAAATAATAAACTCCGCTGATCCTTTACAACAACCCAAATCCAGAACGTTCACAAATTTCAACAACCACAATGAAAAACAACATGAAATAATCTGATTTGAAACAACTGTAAATTCATATCCATATTATTTTATTATGCACCAAAAAGAATCCACATCTTACAAAACGACGATTATTTAAAAGGAGCGACGCTGGAAACCAAGTTTACAATAGAGATTTTTAACTCCTAGCTGGTGGTTCATTGCAAAAACTCCTCCAATATTGTGTTGAACCCAGTTAGGACTTGGTTAATGCTTGCGCGGCGACAATTTAAAATTCTTTAGAAAAAAATACATTTTTTTTCTCTTTACCCACACACTTAAAAGAGTCTTTTAGAAAGCAATCAACGCACACTACATAAACAATATGTCTGCCAACAGAGAGTAAGTATTGTATTGTATTACTATCGTAGAATAACAACCGATGTTGTTTTTATTTTTAAAAATCCATCTTGTGTGGTGTTTGTTGCTTTTGGTTTTTTGTTATTGAATTATCCAATTATTATTTATATTAATAATAATTCAATAATTTTGATCCAATTCATAAAATCCACTTTGATGAATATATATGTGCTTTGTTATATGCATTCAACTAAAATTCTACCAAAATTCAATCTCGCATGTTACCCACAAAATTCTAACCCATGATGTTGTAAATGTAGACAAATTTTTGATACCGTACTTGATGCTATTGGTAACACCCCAATGGTTCGTTTGCATCGTGTTCCAAAGATGCACGGAGTTGAATGTGAAGTCTTGGTTAAATGTGAATATTTCAACGCTGGTGGTTCAGTCAAGGATAGAATTGGTAAACGTATGCTCTTGGAAGCTGAAAAGAGTGGCCGTATTAAACCAGGTGACACTCTCATTGAACCAACCTCTGGTAATACTGGTATTGGTTTGGCTTTGACTGCTGCTGTTAAGGGATACAAGATGATTATTACCTTGCCAGAAAAGATGTCTCAAGAAAAGGTTTCTGTCTTGAAGGGTTTGGGTGCTGATATTATCAGAACTCCAACTGAAGCTGACTGGAACTCACCTGATTCACATATTGGTGTTGCTGCTCGTATGAAGGAAGAAATTGGTGAAACTGCTCACATTTTGGATCAATACAAGAATATTGACAACCCAATGGCTCACTACGAAGGTACTGCTGAAGAAATTCTCAAGCAAACTGGTGGTAAAATTGATGTTATTGTCATGGGTGTTGGTACTGGTGGTACTGCTTCTGGTATTGCAAAGAAGCTCAAGGAAAAGGTTCCTGGTATCATTGTTGTTGGTGCTGACCCAGTTGGTTCACTTTTGGCTGATCCTGAAAATGATAAGGTCGGAACTTATCAAGTTGAAGGTATTGGTTATGACTTTGTTCCTGATGTTTTGGATAGAAGCTTGATTGATGTTTGGATTAAGACTGAAGATGAACCATCATTCACTATTGCTAGAGAATTGATTAAGGAAGAAGGTCTTTTGTGTGGTGGTTCCTCTGGTACTGCTATGTATGCTGCTATTGCTGCTGCTAAGAAGCTCAATCTCAGTGCTGACAAGAGAATTGTTGTCTTGTTGCCAGATTCTATTAGAAACTATTTGTCAAAGTTCTTGAACGATGACTGGATGATTCAACGTGGTTTCAAGGAAGGTGACAAGATTGCTGCCAGAGAACGTGAAATGGAACAACTCAAGAAGAGAATGGAAGTTTTGGAAAAGGAAATTTCTACTTTGAAATCCCAATAATCTGACTTATGATTTTCTCACTTATACCTCCTTATATTTTTCTAAACTGTACTAAAAACCAACATACATAAATTATTACTTTGCAAAAACTTATGTCCTAATCTTTTTTATAATTTCTAAAGATCTCTTTGAATTTTACAACAAGAGGAACATCTTTAGTGAACTAATTTTATTTACAGCTCTTCCTTTAACTTCTCCACTTGTTCTTCATAGACATGTTTCTCATCCTCACTCAGGTTCATCCACATTTCATCTAGCTTTTTCCTTACTTCAAAGAAGGATGCGTTTGGATTTTGTTGAGTGAGCTTAGGTCTATTCTGTTTGCAGAACAAGAGGAAAGGTGCACCAGAGATTGGGATGTCCCCAACACGAGTGATTTTTGGTTCCTCTTCTTCAGTACTGCTATCGCTACTGCTTGATTCCTCACTACTGTCACTACTGGAATCATCATTGAAAGATTCTAAATGATCACCACTATGAGCTCTCTTTGACAGTGGTTCTGCACTACTCTGTTGTCTGACAGGTATGTTTCCAGATGAATAGCTCTTTGGAGAAATTCTTGGAATGTTAGTCAAAGATGTACGTACAGGAGGAAGTGTTGGTTGTTGAACTTCATCTCCAACACCAATATTAGTATGAGACTTGACTGATTCAACTCTTTCAATAACTACTTCTTGCTTTACCGAGTCTTCTTGAATAGGACTAGAGGTAACAATACGAGAATCATTTCTCATCAATTCTCTGAATTTCATCCAATCTTTCCATAAAGTGTAAACCTTTAAGGTTACTTGGAATAAGAGTATCTTATTAATAATCAGAGTGATGGCAATCATAAGTATGAGAATTATCAAAATATGGAACCATGAAGTCAAGTGAGTTAGTGCTTGAAAAACAATTCCAGATGAAGGAGTTAAAAACGAGGAGAATGAAAAAACATCTCTTCCCAAATGACCCATTAAGAAACTCAAACACCCCACAAATATCAGCATTAATTGGGGATTCTTCTTGTAATAAAAGTGTTGTTCTGTTATGATATTTCTAACCCATTTGGTGTTTGGAGTTGCAGCTTCTTCAGATTGCTGTTGTACAGAAGCGTTTGAGCTTTCACCTTCTTTCAGTGACTTGCTCCATATATACAGGGAGATTCCATTAATAACAGCAAAAATTAAAAAGCACAATGTACTGAACTCTTTTGTCAAAATGTGGGTAATGATTTGATATCCTCCAAGAGCCCAACTCATACACAAAATAAATATTCCAATACTAACAAGTAGTAAACATATCATCACAATATTCAATTCTCTCATAAAACTATTTCTCCAATGTGGAACTTGTTCTTTTAAAAAACCTTTCGAAAAAACATCGACACTATCTCTAACTGTCAAATCAATTTTTGATAAATTATTTTCAATACTTGTATCCAATTGAACAGCCAATCTATTAGCTGTATTATTTAAACCATTTTCCAATTTATGACCTAAATGATAGAATGCTCTTTCAATACCAATACCCCACTCTGTAAATCCTTCAACTGCAGTCTCTTTAAAAACCTGGGAAAATTTATCTAATTCTTTTGATATTCCCTTTCCGGATACTCTCAAATTTTCTTTAATACTAGTTGTAATTTCCTCTGTACAATTTTTAAGTGATTCTTCAATGGCTGCTCCCAAAACTCTTGCAGCATCTTCACCGAATTGAGTAGCACTTTTTACCAAAACTTGTGTTGGTGCTCTCGTTAATGCATCCACAAGATATTCCATTTTCAAATTATTATTATTCTAGGACTATTTTGATTAAAAGATTACGATCCAATGATGATTTTAGAAAAAAAATTCGTTTTAAAATTATGAACTGTGATCCGATCAATTTTTTTTTAAATTTTAAAAATAAATTATTAATTTTTCATTAATTGATCAAAGCCAAACTTATTGAATAACAAATCCGCTGACCATGTCCTCTTTGACCATCATAGATCTCAATTGATTTCATTGCTGTCGATATTACTTTGTTGGATGAAAAACAAGCTTGAAATTGTCTTCAAGAGGAAAGGAATTTAATAAGTGATGGGAAAGAGGAAAAAATATTTTATTTTTAGATCATTATTGAAAATTATTAATATAAAAAAATGCTCTCATTCCCATCAACAAAGACAACAAAATCATTCAAGCAAGGAGCAAACTTGTCGAGTGTATTATCGAGTGATTTTACTTCACTTTCTATTGGACCTCAAGATGAAGATAATGTTATTCTTCAAGATCCTTGTTTAGATATTTCATACGGATTGGATGGACAACAAGGATTTGCTCTTCCACCATCACTCAATAATTCTGGTTTTATACATCAAAAGGAAAAATTGGAAAAGACTTATGCCAAGGGTACTACAACATTAGGTTTTGTATTTAATAAGGGTATTGTGATTGCAGTCGATTCCCGTGCTTCTATGGGTAATTACATTTCATCACAAAATGTTAAGAAGGTCATTGAAATCAATCCATACCTTTTGGGAACTATGGCTGGTGGTGCTGCTGATTGTCAATTTTGGGAACGTTATTTGGGTATGCAATGTAGATTGTATGAATTGAGAAATAAGCGTCGTATTTCTGTTGCTGCTGCATCAAAGTTGCTCAGCAATATTGTATATCAATATAAGGATCATGGACTCTCTATGGGTACTATGATTGCTGGTTGGGATCACACAGGTCCAAACTTGTTCATGGTTGATAACGATGGTACTCGTTTGAAGGGAACAAGATTCTCAGTTGGTTCAGGATCATTATATGCCTATGGTGTTTTGGATCAAGGTTATCGTGCTGATTTGACAGAAGAAGAAGCTTGTGAATTAGGTCGTCGTGCTATTTATCACGCTACTCACCGTGATGCTTACTCTGGTGGTATTATCAATGTATATTTGATTCGTTCTGATGGTTGGACAAAGATTTCCAGCACTGACATGAATGAATTGCACTATGGTAAATATGCTCCTGAAAAGGGTATTTTGGACAATGTTCCATTGCTCGATGGCAATTAAACTCTCTTCATCTCTCTCAGATGAAAATGTAATGTATAGTTTGTATCAAATAAATTCACTGTTACCAATTAATCTTTTTTTCGAATGATTTATTCTAAACTTAATGCCTTATCTTTTCTCCATCCATGATTGTAATGCAAATCAATCATGGATGTAACCCCATCTACTAAGAGCACCCAAAAACCAAATGTTCATCCTCATGTACATTATTTCGAATTGCCATCCAATTATCCAAAATCGAACAATACACCAAATTGTTCTTTTTAGAACATAAGAAAAAAATACCGGTAAACCTCATTGCATACTCCACACCATTAACACATGACAACAATCACTGCTCCAGGAGTATCTGTTGTTGATCCGATCAACAAGGAACCAGCACAAGCACAAGAAAATTTCAAGCCAATTATTAGAGAGTAAGTTGTTCTTTAAATTAAACAAGTGATCATATTGATAATGATGATGGTTGAATTGTCTCATGATGATGACAATGATATTAACAAATGATGATAATTAGAAAAGGATTGGGTTTACTCCAGGAAATTCCTGATGATGGTATTGTTGAAATTATCATTCCATACCTATCAAAGAGTGAGCTTTGTAATCTTTCATTGGTTTCTAAAACTCTACTCGTATTGAGTGAAGATCATAGTATGTGGAGACAATTTACATTGAATGAATTTCAAGGAAACTTTTGGTATGAAAAATCATGGAAATATACCTATATCCATGCATGGTGGTTGAGTAAAAAGATTGAGAAACCATGTCCATTTACTGGATTTTCAGGTACCTTGTACAGTAGATGGAGTAGATCTCAATTTGACATGTCACTTTTTGATATTCCATTTTCACACATTGAAAGAATACCTGCCGAGAGTATTACTTATGAACAATTTACTGAAAAGTATAACAAGTTTCAAATTCCTGTAATTATTACAGGAGCTCTTTCAAGCTGGAAAGCCATGACTAATTGGAAATTGGATTCATTCTTGGAAAAGTATGGTGAAGTTGAATTTAAAACAGATCAACAAGTTTCACACTTGGGTCCTCATTATTCAGAATTGTACAGAGAATATCTTCAAGATAAAAAGGAAGGAAAGGATTTGAGTAAATACGATGAACACAGAAAGGAAGGCAATATCAAAATCAAGTTTCAAAATTATGCCAATTATATGAAACATAATCAAGATGAAAATCCAATCTATGTTTTTGATTCAAAGTTTGCAGAAAGAGATGTAAGACTTTTGGATGAATATGAAATTCCACAATTATTCAAGGAAGACTTTTTCGAGCAATGTCTATCACTTGATGAAAGACCACTCTTTAGATGGCTGGTTGTTGGACCTGCAAGAAGTGGTACTCAAGTAAGTATTATTTGTGTTAAATTATACTAAACAGAGTAATTAGTTCCACATGGATCCATACTTGACAAGTGCTTGGAATGCCTTATTGAGTGGTCGTAAGAGATGGCTCTTCTATCCAATGAGTCATGTGAGTGAAGATTTGGAGGAAGCAATTGAAGAAATGAAGAGTGCAGAACAAGAAATGATTCAAGAAAAGTTGCAATTCGAAAAGCAAATCAAGACTAAATTATTACACGAAGGTAAAATTAACAAGATTTATGAAGATGAATTTGAAATTAAGGACAATGCTCAACCAGTTCCAAGCTATGTACCTTGTTCTGAACCAATTCAATGGTTGACCAATGAATATTATGAAGCCCTTAATCAAGGAAGAAGACCTTGGGAATGTGTTCAATATCCTGGTGATTTAATCTTTGTACCAAGTACTTGGTGGCATATGGTCTTGAATTTGGATGATACCTTTGCAGTCACTCAAAACTTTTGTGACAGCTCCAATGTCCATTTGGTTTATTCTGATCTTGTTAAGAGAAGCCCTCGTATGGCCAAATTATTGAGAAGAGGATTGCAAAGAATTGGTAAACTCGATCTCATTCGACCATACCTCTCTGAAGAGGAATATAAGGATGCTGTAGAAAAGGCCAATGAAACTGACGATATTGAAATGAAAGATAGTTGCAATAAATAATTTACATATTATTTATTATACATCTATTTCTTTTTCTTTAAAATAGTATCAGTTTCAACTCTGTAAACATAGATTTGATTCCATCCTCTCTCACCAATCAATTGATAACCATAGGTACTCATCACTTCTACCTTTAAACCAGTGCCATGAAGTCCTTCATAAATCAAATATAATGGTTTATAGCCCTCTCTCAAGAAGTTCAATAAAATCTTAACATCTTGACCTTCAGCATCGATAGACAAGACTGAAAACTTCTTTGGAAGCTCACTTTCCGCAGCAAATGTTCCAAATTTGAGAGTTTTAACAACTGGAGCATTACCAAGATTTCCAGCATTTGGATTCTCCTTATCCACAAAGAATTGCATTCCCCAACTATCCTTCTCATCTCTATTGCCCAAAGTTGCTGTTCCATCAGCATCAGTAATGGCAGCCTCCACAAATTCAATACGTTGACGAGGATGATGTTGATCAAATTTAAATGTTCTTCTAGCTCTCTCCAAATTACTCTTACACAATTTCATATTAACTGGAGATGGCTCAACAACAATTGCATCGAATCCCATCTTGATAAAATTGAAACTATTTGAACCACTAACACAATCATGAGCTCCAATATCAACAATGGTATATCTCTTCTCATTTCTATGGATTTGTTCTTCATAATTCTCAAACTCTGGATTATTTAACATGTGTTGAACGAGAACCGAGAATTCACCATCATGAGAAGTATCCACTGCAAGTTGATATCTTGGATTTTTGAAATCTCCCTCAACATCATACAAATAAACACGATCAACCACTTGTTGTAAAATGTGTTTTAAATTTCCTTTACGAACAATTTCATGAACAATAAAATCACCTGCTTGATCTCTTACCCATCGGGAAACAATCATGTAAAGTACAACTCCCAATATAAAGGAGGCAATTAGAAAACCAAGTATTACTAGCATTAATATTTTACAATATGGAAAATTGGTTTCGGAAGTTTGTTCCACAACTTTTCTTCCAACAATACTTTCATCATTTGATGAAGTAAAACTACCAAAAAATGGAATCTTATTGCAACAACTTCTCACAATTCGCCTAAAGATATTAGAAATCTTCTTATTCGAATCGACTGTTCTTTTAAAATTAGGTATTGGATCTGTTTCCTTCTCTACATTCACTTGATGATGGTGGATATTAGCAGGTAATGTATTTTCCTCTGCATTTGACAAGTTACTGGTGCTGCCAGAACTTGTGAATATCCTACTTCTTGTCTCCATATTTTTTTATATTGTTGTATTTCATTCATGCCGAGAAGACCAAGTGTATTGGGAACTTTCTTTCTATTATTGAATTCCCTAGATGGTCAATGGAAAGCAAAATTGTTTGGTCAATTCCAAATATAAAGAATGCAAATAATAAACAATTACATCCACACCAATGGAATTGGTTACCAAATAACCAACCAAACACTATTCCACAATGGAATATTCATTCTTATATGAATCATCCCTCAAGGTTTGTTTTTTATTATTATATTTCAGATAATGATTATTTGAAGTATTGATGTTAATATTGGAAGCTCATCTATGCATAAATCTGAAACATCTCCTCCAATTTTCAATCCTTTCGTTGGACTCGATTTTCAAAATGTACAAAGTGGGTCCCAAGATACCTTTTCAACAAATACATTTTCCAATTCTCAGATGAATTCAACCTTCCCTGTTTGGAAAGATGATGCACAAGAATTGGCACAGGACCAACTGTCCACAATCAGCAGTATCACTAGAGCATCAAGTGTAGCCTCAAGTGCAACATCAAGTTTTAAAGGTAAGTTATAATTATTATATTTAATTTTTTATTATTATTTCAAACATTGTAAAGTCTCAAGTCAACTGTGTAGTAAGTGTCATGGTCGTGGTCACAGAAGAGGGACTTGTACAGAAAAGAGCTGCACAGGTGATGGCGACTGCCCAGAAGGAGAAGAATGTCCCTTTTGGCAAAAAAAGAAGAAAAAGGAAGAGAAGGAGCAAGAAAGGGAAAAGAAGAAACAGGAAAAGCAAGCCGAGGAGTTGGAGAAGGAAAAGAAACGCGAAGAAAAGAAAAGAACAAGAGAAGCTGAACAAGAAAAGAAAGCATTAGAAAAACAAGCCAAACAAGAAGAAAGAGAGGCAAAAAAGAAGAAAATTGCAGATGAAAGGAACGAAAGAGAACGTGTCAAACAACTCCAATCCGAGCAAAAGTTTCCTGGACCTGATGATTTCCATGTTGGTAATCCAATTAACAATTTCCGTAAGCTGATGAATACTGCAAGAGCGGCTGTTGAAGAGCACTTGAAGTAAACGTGCTGTAAATTGTAATAAATTAAATTTCTAAAAAAAATTAAAAAAATGAAGAACGTTAAACACTGGAGAAGGTTTGTAAAATCTAAATGTGCAGATGAAAGAACATCCTTCGTCTTGAACATGTGATCGATAGTAAGAGTCCAACAATAACTGCCGATGATTGGCTATTAGCGCAACTCATCAAATAATAACGTTGTTCCCACAAGCACTATCAATATATGATTAGAGCAAGAAATTCCATGTGTGGACTATCAAAAAACAAACGCAATAGTTTTTAAAAACCAACTAGATACAATTCCACAAGAACAAAATGAAAGGTTAAAAGAGTTAATGTATTTAGAGTAGGAAATGAGCCAGTTGACTGAAGGGAAGTGCTTTCTTTGAGCCAATTTAAATCGGCAAAGTCACCACTCTTTTTAGCTGTTTTTTTTAACTTGCAACAAGTTAAATGTCCAACTTGGAATTACATTATTTAATAAATGCGTTTCCATCACGTTGTAAAGAAAGCACGATCACGTTTCAAAAACAACTATAAAAAAAACATCACCAACGTGATGCAAAGATTAATTTAAAAAAAATACGAAAAATTTAGTGGATGTGATGCCGGAGCAAACTCTATCTAAGAAGTTATTGGCTGGAGATGGGTTGTATCTTTCCTTGAAGTTGTGGAGTCCCTTCCATAACTTGAAAAACAGAAAATTCAACGTTTTTATTGATAATCCCTATGGAGATGGGAACATTAGGTTGTTGTATTCGGCTGCTTGCTTGTGTGAACCAAGTAGTGTAATAAGTACGAGAAATAGCAGTCTTGGTGGTAGTGGAAATTTGAGTGATATGCACATTGACCCCTTGACAAGAATTGTCACATTTCAAACTTCTATTACACCGAAAGAGGTGACACAATCTGATGATGGTAAATCACTTTTTATTAAAGTGGGAAACTATGGAAAGAATCCAGGAAGAACACAAATCAAGTTCGTAGCCCTGGTATTCGAGATCCAGTATCAGAACCAATACTATCAGGCTTACATCACTATGAAAACTCAAAGAGGAAGTGGCGTTGGAGAAAGAGGTTGCACAACCAAAGAATCATGTTTCATTTCAGATGCTGTTCAAAATGAGGAGGATGAATTCATTCAGGCTTTTTTAAGGTTTAACTCTTTAGGCTCTTCTTTAAGTAATTGTTCAAGTCCAACCAACAGGAGGAGAACACCAAACAGGAAGGCAAACTTTGGAAGTGTCATTGTACAACAAATATTGGAAAATTTTATGGAAGGCAAAACAGATTCTCTTGACAGCCTTACTCCTAACATTATTGCTGTTGAACAATCTGACAAAGATGATGATGAAATTGATTATCCAAATCCACTTACTGATTTTTACAATACCGTCACATACACAAAAATCCATTTTGAAAATGGGCCTAAAATGGGTGGACAGCCAAACACTCTTTATTTATCATTCAAAGAAAGCTCAAGAACTGGATTGTATGAAATGCTAAAAAATCATTCAATGCAAAGTATCAGTATGTGGTTTGTACCAAAGGATCACCCAGAAGTACAAGTTGCTCTTCCACAATTACTTCATATCAGTGAAATTGGAAATTATGCTGGCCTCCATTTTGTTACTTCGCCAGTTCTTACTCATTTTGAGAGTGATTTAGAGACTTGTATTTTCTTGGTAATTAATAATGAAATAATAGATGGACTAGTTGACTATACATTTTTTGACACTTCCAAGGCAGCTCAATCAAATAATATTCAACCAATAACTAGTTACAATCCGGAAGATAATGGACAAAGCATGAGAGGGGTTCAGTACACTACCCAACAAGGAGGTAATACCCAAACAACTTCAAACTATTCAAGCTTTGGTTACCAGTGGGACAACTCGGTTCTTAGTAAATACTCCCCAGTTGTCACCATATTGAACATTGGACAATTTGCAAAACAACAATACCAACAATCTAAGGATAAATTTGAGAATTTAGGTCATTTCATTGAAAATTTCCAAATGCAATTCGGTAAAATAATTGACATATTTGGATACAACTTTGCTGGATTCCTCAAATCCAATGGATTTGAGGTAGAAGGTGTCACATTTGAAGAAGTGATTTATCCTGCTAGTTCCAGTGAACAATTAGTAACAATTAAACCAGCTGAGGTCCGAAAAGAAGAAAAGGTATTTGGCGCAGAAGAGGCAACTGATATGATTGTAAAATCTATTCAAAATAGAATTCCTTTAGAAGATGAGAAGATGATTGAAAACTCTGTGCAAACATTGGCACACAAAAAGAGCAGTGACCTTGATACAAAACAAGCTGAAGAGTATATTGTCATCAACACTGTTGTTCCAAAACACTTAGAAGCTAATTACAATCCAGGAAAACGTCACGCCAGAAATGACAAAGTTCCATATCTCAATCTCAAATTTGTTATATACGATGCTAATGCACTTCCTTCCCAAGATGCACAAAACAATATTCCAAAATTGAAAGTGGCTCTTTTCTTTGCCAAGTTTGTTATTTCTTTTGATGACAAAACTCACTTGATAGTTATTGAAGATCAAGAAAAGAAAGAAAATTTCCTCTATCAAACCTTCTATGATTGTAACATTTACAAAGTTAGAAAGAATGAAGAAATTGATAGCTTCCTTTATAGATTGGCTGAATTCAACTGTGCATGGAACTGTTCTCAATTCTATGATGAAAAGAACAGCAATACTGGACATTATGTCATTTCAGTTTTGAAATATTTGAAGATTTGGGATCCATCTGCACTTTGGGCTAAATTTGCTATCAATGTATGTGAAGGCAAACCACTTGAAAAACATGTGACAATTTATCCAGACTTTTTCCACATGGATTCAAAGCAAAGTATCCCAGCAATGCTCACCGGTGCTAAAGCAGCAGAATGTCCAAAATTGAAGGAAACGATAACAGGATATCTGAAACAATCATCAGACGCTCCATTTAAATATCATTTCAGCGGCTATTCAGACGATCCAGAGTTCGAAGCAAAAGCAGCCAGAACTGAATTGGAATTCATGTGTGAATTACTTCGTGAATGTGGTGAAAGTTATTTGAGAAATATGGAAGATGGTGTTCGTGCTCAAAGATTGTTAAAGAAAATAATGCAAACAAATTACGGTCAATCTCTCTCAAGTGACACATGGCAACACTTGAAACAGTTATCTGACAAGCATAATCAAACTTTCCACAAGCAGATGTACAATTTCACTAATTTCTTCAATCTCATCAAGCCAACCCAGAAATCGGAATTTGTGGAAAAGGTAGCCAAAAATGCTTGGACAAATATTCAAAGTGAACATATGCGAATGGTTGATTAATAAATCTATTAATACTCAACAAATTATCTCAATTATCAGAATTAACTGCTGATCTCCTAAAATCATACAAAAAATGCTACCAAATACCTTGCTCCCTCAATACACCATCATACAATCTAGAGAGGCAAGAACTTCGGAAATAACAAACAACTTTGAAGCAATGACACCAATCAAAAATACAACACCAACAACTGGAGATGAATCATCGCCAAATATTTATGAAAATGTTTCAAATAGTTTTAATTCGGAGAGGAGAAATACAAATGGCAGTGGGGTGATTACAAATGAATTGGGAGTTAAATTATTAAAATTGAATAGGAAAATATTGGAGCCAATATTGAAGGATTTGGAAATTGCTAATTTGGTATTTTCATCTGTGAATGCTTCCACTAAAAAGGCATTGAAAGAATTTGTGTTTTTAAAACAAAAGGAACAGATTGAGAGGGCTCAAATTAAAAAGATGTTGGAAGAAAGAAATGCTCAATTACTGATTGACAAGAAGAATAGGAGAAGGAAGGTTCCAAACTCAATTCCACTTAAACAAGAGCAAAACTCTGTAAAATTTGAACCCCCTCAAATAGAAACACCAAAACCTAAGCAAGTGGAAATTCTGCCAGAACCAACACCTCAACCAAATAGAAAATCAATTCCTCAAAAGAAGGCAACCATTGCCCAGAACTCAACACCTGCAAAGAAAGGAACTGTTTCGAAAACTGTAAATGAAAAAAACAAAACTCCTCCAGTTGAGTCAAACATTCCAGAAAAACCAAAACCAGTAAGCAATCAGAAGAAAAAGCTTGAGGATATTCTTGCAATGGCAAGAAAAATTAGAACTAGAGAGGAGGAGCCAGCAACTAGAACTGTAGTTGAGAATGAGGAAAAATATGTAAATATTGAACCTGTACAAAAACAAATTTTGAATGAGGAAACGGAACCTGAGGAAGAGCCACAAAACTCTATTCAACAATCTGAGGAAGAACCTAAACTAAGCTTTGTAACAATTGATGAGAGGTTCCAACACTTTGTTTCTGTTTTACAATCTTTCAACGATGTGAATGAAAGAGTTGAGGAATTATCTTCCAAATTATCAAAAAAGAGTGGATGGCACCTCATTCCTCCAAAACATATTCATTCTAAGAAAACAGCTGCTACTCAACCTCCTAAAATATCTATGCAAAATAGATACAACTCCATTATTACTAAATGCTCGAAAGCAAAGGAATCATTTAATGATATTGAGGATTTCAAAAATAGATTTTGTTTTAATGAGGAAGAAATGAAACAATTGGAGAAAGAATTACTGCTCAACACTAAGGATAAGAGAAAACCAGAAATCACATCAACTAGTATTATTTATTCAGACATTCCAAATAGTTACATTTGTAGATGGTTACCAAAGAGAGTGAATAAGCAAACAACTCAAACTATTGTTCCTCATCGAGATCTTGCCAAGAAATTTGACAAGAGAAGGGCTAGATTCCCCTGTCGATTGTTCAACTTTAAAAATAAGAAAGAACTAGAGAATATCTATCTCAAAAGATTTGAGGTTCAACAATTAATGCTCAAAAACCATTTGTACCAAAATATTTTTAAAGGAGATTCGAATCTCCTTAATTATCTACCACAACTCAAAGAGGAGGGTCAAGAGGATGTCTATTATAAACTTCTCCGAACCCTTGAAGGAATTATCCCATGTGAAGCACTGAGAAATGAAAATCGCAGAAATATAATTAATTGGAAATCCTTTTATCATTTCCTTCCTAGCTCAAATAGTTGTAGTAACAGCTTGACAGAAGAAGATAATTCATTCATTGAAGACACGGAAGAACCATCTGATGAGGAATAAGATAGTCACAATAGAGAGGATAATTCTCATAATTCACAACATTATCAATTTTTCAAGAATGCATGGCAAAATTGTAGATAGATTTTCGTTTGTGTGGGCCTTGTGAAAAAAAGAAGGGCAACAAATTGGGACTAGCAAGCAAAAAAGTTCATGTTTTCGGAGCCAGCAAACACCACCAAAACAAAACACGAACGCATTTAAAGCCAAAAAAAATGCATAAGTCCGTCCAAACAACAGTTAGAAGTGTCTCCTCTACATGCATGAAGACCACTTGTTCTACGAGAGGTTTTTCAATGACTTCATCAAGTAGATTAACAAGTCATGGTACAATTAAATTACCAACTATTACTAATGAACCAATGGTATGTTTTTTTGGATTGTTATCTGGTGCTTATTGTAAACTTGGGATCAATTTTAATAGAAAACCTATGCTAAAGGATCATCCGAGAGAGTTGGATTATTGGCTGAATGTGATAAGATTTTAAAGAGTCAGCCACTTGAAATTCCTTGCATTGTTAATGGAGAACGTATTTACCAATCTAATCAAGATTTAATATTTAGCAGAGAAATGCCTTCCCTCCGTAGTCATACCCTCTATCATATGCACGGAGCTGATAAGCAAGTTATCCAACATGCTATTGAAGGTTCTCTTTCTGCTAAAAAGGAATGGGAAGATATGCCTCTTGAATACAAGTGTGCAATTTTCTTAAAGGCAGCCGATTTACTTTCAAGCCCAGATTTTTATAGATACAAGATTAATGCTGCAACCATGATGGGTCAAGGTAAAACCATGTACCAATCTGAAATTGATAGCAGTGCAGAGTTGATAGATTTTTTGAGATTTAATGCTTATTATGCATCACAACTTTTCGGAAAGCAAATTGACCATCACAGTGCAGGAACATGGAATCGTGTTGAATATCGTGCACTTGAAGGTTTTGTTGCTGCAGTTTCACCATTCAATTTTACTGCTATTGGTGGTAATTTGGCTTGTGCTCCTGCTCAAATGGGTAATGTTATTTTGTGGAAACCAAGTGAAACTGCCTTGTTGAGTAATTATTTATTATATTTGGCTTTGGAAGAAGCTGGTTTACCAAAGGGTGTTATTCAATTTGTTCCAACCAAGGTTCCATCTCATTTTGGTGATGTTGTTTTGAATGATACTAATTTTGCTGGTCTTCACTTTACAGGAAGTACCAAGACATTCCAATACTTGTACAATGAAATTTCTACTAATCTTCCAAAATATAAGAGTATTCCTAGAATTGTTGGTGAAACTGGTGGTAAGAATTTCCACTTGATGCATCCAAACTGTGATGTCGATAACTTTATTAATCAAACTATTCGTGGTGCTTTTGAATACAGTGGTCAAAAGTGTAGTGCTACCTCAAGATGTTATATTCCAAAATCTAAATATGCTACCATCAGAGATAGATTAGTTGAAGAAACTAAGAAGCTTAAGATTGGTCAACCAAATGATCCTACCTCATTTACTAGTGCTGTTATTGATGAAAGATCATTTGATAGAATTTCTGGATTTATCGAAAGAGCCAGAAAGAATCCATCATGTAAGATTATTGCTGGAGGAAATTGTAGTAAGGAAGTTGGTTACTTTGTTGAACCAACAATTATTGAAACAACTGATCCTAACTCTGAAACTATGGAACAAGAAGTCTTTGGTCCAGTTTTAACTATTTATGCTTATGACGATTCTCAACAAACATACCTCGATCAAACTCTCAAGTTAATTGACTCAACTTCAGCTTATGGTTTGACTGGTGCCATCTTTGCTCGTGATCGTGCTGATATTTCCAAATGTGTTGAAAGATTAAGACATAGTGCTGGTAACTTTTATATTAACGATAAGAGTACAGGTGCAATTGTTGGTCAACAACCTTTCGGTGGTAGTCGTACTTCTGGTACAAATGATAAGGCTGGTTCTGAGTATATGCTTTTGAGATGGACTAGTGTTCGTGCTGTTAAGGAAACATTTATGCCACTCAAACACTGGGGTTATCCATCAGTCGATATGGAATAAATCTTAAACTAAAATTTAAACTAATTTGGATTTTATTTGAATTTGGAAATATTCTCAATTCATTTATTTAATGAGAACCTGTTAGGTTATTTGAGTACACTAAAAAATGTCAGACAATAAGCAGGAAAATAAGCAACAATCAAAAGATACAGCATTCCAAAACGAACCAAGATCCCCTCTTTCAAGATCTTTGGCTTATGTTAACTATTCTGATAGTCCAACTTTCATCAAGGAAAACCTTTCCATGTTTCATGTAGAAAACAGAGAAAAGGATGAAAATTTGAATGAAGATGAAAAGAAAGTATCTGAAAAGAAATAGCTTGTTGGTTGACCAAATATAAGTACAAATAAAAGCTGAATAGTTTAATTAAGTATATAAGTGAGTATTGTTGCTACAACAATAGCCAAGAAAAGGAATATGACAATGAGTTGGAAATTATAACTTGTTGAATTATTTCCTATCAATTGAGCAAGTGCAGCATACGTTTCATTGCTTACTTCGTTAGTGGAGAGTCTATTGTTAGTTGGTTCAGTTAATGGTTCGTTTGTGTCTGTTTGATCATTTTCTGCATTGATTGTTTCAGAGTTTGTTTCTGGGCTTGGGGTGACACTAATGACGGGTTCAGGCATATCATCATACAGCTCCTTCTTATTGAACATTCCCTTAAATGAAGAGTTTTGAAGATCACTCTTAAATTGCTCCTTATACTTCTTCAATTCAGCATCGACAAGTTTTATCAGAGCTGGATCTTCTGGATATTTTTCTTTCACTTGTTTCATTAAATCTTTGCCCTTTTCAACTTCAATTCCGTCCAGATAACATTTGGCACGTCTGAAAAGTATTTTCTTTTCAGATGGCTTGTCCTTGTATTCCTTATTGTATTCCTCTGCAGTATCTAAGTGATCTAATGCTTTTGAGTATTTTCCAACTTTCATAAGACATTGAGCAATGTTGAGCTGACAAGCTGTTTGAAAAGGAATTACATAGGTCATCTCCTCAGGAGAAGTTTCAGTCTTTTTGAAGAGCACACCCATAAAACGATCCACTTTGGCATATTCCTCAACTGCTTCCTCAAATAAATTACGACGATACAAATCATTTCCCTTTTCTTTCAATAATTTCAAAGCTCCCAGTCTATTTTGAAGAGATTTAGGTAAATGATCAAATTCTTCCAAGCTAATATCCTTCTCAGTAAGGGTTGATTCCTTAGAAGGATCGGAAGATGTAGTGTTTGCTGTTGTATTTTCATTATTTTCTTCCACAATGGCTTCCTCTACAACTCCTTCCTTTTCATCCATTTCCTTGCATGTATCACAAACACATTCTTTCTTATGTTCTCCAGATGGTGGCTGGCTTGCTATCATATTGTATTCAATTCTTCTTATTCCGAGAGAGAAAAAACAAAACCCTTCCTTTTTCAAGTTTGTTCTATTTTTTGATAATTGTTTTGATTTCCGCAAATACAATTCAAATTTCCCTCCAAAAAATTACATTTTAAAGTTCTTGAGAAAAAACGTGTTATGATTGAAATATTAACAATTTTTACAAAGGAAACAATAATTTATTTACATTCAATAAATTCAAATTTATTATAATATTTAATGCAAAGATGAAAAAAATGAAGAAGGGAGTGGTTTCACATTTTGCCTCCAATGTACAAGAGGCTTTCCGACAAACATATTTTAACGTGTCGAAATTGATTGAACAAACTAATGGACCACATAATAAGGTTCCTGTGCTATTGAATGAATTGCAAAGATTTAATGCAACACTGGCGGAATATAATCAACGATTTAAACATCAAAAACAAACTGTGAAAATGGAGGACCAATTATTTCCGAAGATTAATTTTTATAGGATGAGTTTATTTAGTTATCAATTGGGATTGTACACAACAGAGTTGATGAAACTTTCTTGTATGAATCCACCTAAGGAGGCTAGAAAAAAGTTTAATGCTTCGATACCAGTTCATCAGGCATTATTACTACAAAATCAAATGATTAACATGTTTTTACAAAATCAAACTTTTTATAGATTTGAATTATTAGGAAATTATTCCGATGATATCTCAATAATTATGGAAAAAAACAAGGAATTTTCATCGAGCATTGACCCATTATTCAAGGATACAATCTTATCATCGTATTTTAAGGGAATTAATTTATTTGATCTTTATTTCAGATATTGTGAGACATTATATCAAGAGGGAGTGTACAAGTCATGTCTTGTAGCCTATCAGAGATGTATTCAAGAATCGAGAGAAGTGGAAGGAAAATTCTATAGCACACCAGAAGAAATATGGCAATTAAAAGTAATGCAAGCCATGTGTTTTTATAAAATTGGCCTCATTCACACAAGACAACAAGGTAAATTTGAAATTTTAGGAAAAGAACCTTTGGATGATGCACTGAAATATTGGTTTGACCAAGCTCACAATGCCCTACCTGAACAAACTTTTGAAGAGATGGATAAAATTACAGGATATCACTTTCTACTTTATAGTGAACTTGACAGAGAATTGCCAAAGTTGTTGGGATAATAAAATCCATTTAAAAATACCACCAAACTTTTTATTTGGAAATTGTAGTTTTCCCGCCAAAGACAATACAAAAAAATGAAGCAAGTTGTTGGAGGTGGAACTCAACAACGTAAATTGAAACCCATTGTATCTAGGAGTTCTAGTAATCAACAACAAGTATCATCAACAACTCAACAGCAACAACAACAACCATTATTAAAAACTAAGGCCAGCCTCTCTGCAAAAAATCTCATACAAGCTGCTGCTAAGGAAACACCATCCGATTTAACTGCATCAAACGATAATGATTGGCAAACAAGAGCATATGGTGCAGTTGAACTTGTAGATACAGCCTCAGCTTTTTCATCATCAACGGAGCACGAGATTGAAGAAATATCACCAGAGGATAGAGTCCCTTACTATGATGCCTCTCTAGATATCAAAGTCTCAAATGTTGAGAAAGCAATTAATGGAAACAAATTGGCATCACAAGTAGTACAAGAACTAGGAGAAATTGTTGATGATAATACAGATACACTAATTGATGAAGAATATGAATTGGAAAAAAAGAAATTAGTAGTGCTAAAGGATCTGCAAAAAAAATACCCTCTCTTTAACTCGCTAAAGGATCAACCCCTTTTTCTTTCCTACATTTCGGAACCAACTTTGCCAAGTCAACTTCCAATCCAAACAACACAGGAAGATGGTGAGGAAGAAGAGGATGAAACAGATGAAGAAAAACAAACACCAAAGGTACAAGCTCCTGAACCAGTTGTGGAGAGAACCGTGATGGGAAATGTTACTCTAGCAGAAATATTATTGGAATTGGAGTTGGAAAAAGTACAAAAGAAAAGGGATGAAATTGTTGATGGTAAATCGTCGATAATGACAACAGCTGCTTCCGATAAAGTTAAATTCAGTTCAGTGCCTTTCAGTGAGCAACGAAAAACTTATTTGGATTATAGAAAGGAGAGGAATGAACTTTTAGAACAAATGCAGACGCTGCCATCAATTTCGTACAAGGAACCAACACACAAGTTATTGGAAAAAAAATTGGATTTTTCTATTGAGAAGAAGAATTCCAAAACATATATGGAGGGATTTGTTTGTAATTTCTATAACTACTGGAGAGAAATACTAAGATTACAATACTACAAAGTTAATACAAGATGGCAAAAATTTGCAGATAGGTCAGATATTATTGAAAGAGCACAACCTATGTATCAAGCAAGAACAATAAGAATTCAACGAGAATTTGAAACAGCTTCCATAAGGGAAAAGGACATCCAAGCACAACTTGGGAAATCACTTTCTAAAAACATCATTCAACCTTCTGACCTACAGACGATAATTAGAAAACAATTGTATGATATAAGATCAAGACGAAAAGTAGATCAATTTCTCGTAAAGATGAATTGGTTACCGTATTCTGAAAGGTTTAATTTATTTAAAAAAGCATTTGACCTCCCTGGAATGCAGACAGATTGTAGAGCACCAGCCCTTTCAGTTGTAAAAACAGAAATTGAGGATCAGTTGGAAATGCTGAAAGAATGTGTTGAAATGAAAAAGCTTCCTGCTGATGAAACAGGTCAAGAGTTTTTATATTTGGTAAGAAATAAGTTTGATGCTATTTTCAAAGCCCAATCAGCGAAACTGAAAGTATTGCCTTATCCTTATAAGGATATAGACGAGAAAAAAGCAGAATTGGCATCAGACACTTTCACATATCTCAAGGAGTCTAGCTGGAATAGAGATGAGGAGTTTAAATCATCTCAAGTCTTTTTCCCTGAATCCTCTTATTTAGATCAAAAACAAAGGATTTTACTAACAAACGATCTTCGGGTGGATCCTCAATTACAAATTGAATGTGGATTTTTACATACAACAGAATTACAATATGCTCGTAAAAGGCTGAAGGAACAATCAGACACTCATTTTAAGAGAGCAAGAGTGGAAGATGAAGTGCAAAATTATTTGAATGAAGGATATGTAGCAGAAAGAAAAACTGCAGAAAGTGGAGAGGAAGAACAGTCAAGCAATGAGAACAAGTCTTTATATAACAAAATTTCAGCTTTGTATTTATTGAGATTTATTAGAATAAGGGAATTCAAGAGAAAGCTTCTTGATTTGCTCAATTATTTTAGATCTGTCGAAAAAAGATTATACTTTGATTCTACTGGGTATTCTATTAAGCAAGGAGGGAATAGTTCTACATTTATTAGAAAATTCTTTGTTGCAGCCGACGATCTGGAAAAAGCAACAATATCAGACTCTCTTCCATTGGATGTAACATATAGGGATGATAAGTATTCTCTACATTTAAAGAGGGATGTGGTAGTTAGAGATGCGAACGGTCTCAAAGTAATGTATGATAGTGCCTTAAGCGATTATGAAGAACTGGAGGAACGGTTACTAAAGATTGGATCTTACTTTATTGAAAGAAACCAAGCTACCCATCCCAAACTGCAAGTTGACAGATTTATGGTTCTTGAAAGTTTATTAGAAAGCGAGACTTGGTATCAAGATTCAAAGAGAAAGGTTATTGATTGTTATATGGAAGCCTATGAACATTGTTATGAACCAAAAGAACAAGAACGTTTGGCAACTGCTATTATGAAAGTTATGAGACAAACACCAAAATTGAATCTCGAGAGTCAATATTTTTCTGAAAGCTATGCATCTGAAATTATTTGTCATGAGCTTTATCACTCTTTACTGAAGGATATTATCAAAGAACAAATCAAAGATGAGAGAGATTACCTCTCATTCATTTATGAAGCACTGGAACCAACCTCAGAACGGTCAGGTTTTCCAGACAATATTAATACAGAAAATTATGCACAGACCGAACTATTCCCTGGCTCCTCAAAGATAGCATTTTTAGACTTTTTCCCTTCTATTGTTACTATTGGCAGAATACATGAACATCTAGAAAAAGTAGTTAACAATATTAATGGTTCTTTCAAGTTTAAAAATGTACTTTCTCTGAATGCTGTTAAGAGAGCTGTTTTGCAGCAGTTAATAGTGGAATGGAAGCTTATTTCTAAGGAGGAAAAGATTCAAAGAGCACTCAAAAATAAGCTCTCCGACGAAATTGACGATGCAAACTTATTGGAGGATCCAAACGAATTAATTTACATGCTTGAGGGTGTAATTGAAAACGAAAGGGCCAGTAAGCATAACGATGATCAGGAAAATGTTGTACAAAGAGAGACAGAAGGAGGATACCACATGAGTGAAAAGGAGTCAACTGCTCTACAATGTTTTTCTAACACAATTGAAATGATTACTCTGTGGAAACAACTCTCAAAAGAATTACACGAAACAGAGATTTTATCTTCAGTTTTTATTTCTCAATCAAACATGATTGGTTCAACCCAACAAGTCACCAATCCAACATTAGCTCCTATCAATTTTGATAATAAGGATCTATTTAATGAATCAAGAATGGATACCAGTGAAATAAGAGCTCAATATCTTACAAACCTTGCAATAGTTGAGTTTGATAGTTCTATGGCTGAAGTTAATTTTACAACATTTGATGGAATCAAAAGGTTGGCTACTTCAGTTGGATTGTTTGAACTTCGCCACGTATATCAATACCAATTACTCCAAAAGATACTTTATGAAACTGCTGTAAAGTATAATCAAACACCAATGGATGAATACTTTGTCAATCAAGAAAAGAAGGAATTCTTTTTGACTTCCATGAATACTAATAACGACACCTCATTATTCTTTACAAAGGAAGTTTTACAAGAATTGTTCCTATCCTTCAATAATATGAAAGTTCCAATCAGACAAAGAATACTTAAAGAATATCAAAAATTGTCTGACAGTATCATCAAAAGCAAAAGGGCCAACACTGTTAGAAGATACTTGAGAGAACTTAAATTTCGATTATCAGCTAGTTTTTGTAGTTCCATGATGGCTGCTATTCAACCATATATTCTCAAATGTGAAGTTATTGAAGTGGTAAAGGAATACAGAAATCTGGTTTCAACTATTCCAGAAGAGAGTGGATTTTCATTGGGAAGACCTGAGCACAACGTGCAAGTTGCATCTCATGGTGTTGTTTCAAAGAATAAGGATGATCACTCCAACAAGTGTGTTCTTGCTAAGGATGGTGAGGTTGTAAATATAACTTATGTTCCTCATTATGTTCAAGTGATGCGAACAACATTCATTCAAGTCAATGAAGAGGTAGATCCTTCTATCGAAAACTTCTCCAATCTACTTCAAATTTTACAAAGAATTTATTTGATTTTGCGATTCTGGACTGTGAGTATTCAGGCAACTCAAAGACTATACGATGTAACTTTGAATGAAGGAAATGGATTGTCAAAGCCACTAGGCGACTTCTGCAAAGCATTAATTTCTGAATTAGAACATTTACGTCAACCTGAAAATCCTTTGTCTGTTATAATTTACTTGAGTTCTAAATGTGATCTCTTATTCCACAAATACCTACTTGTATTGGATAATTTAAAACACAAGTTAAGGAAAGAAAATATGAACTCGTACACTATTCCTGAGAAATACTTTTTACAGCTTTGTAATGAAAAAACAGAAGAGGCGATAATAGACTCTCAATTCTTCACCTTTTCTCCTTGCTACATGGATGAAGAAATAAGAATCAAGTACAAAGGAATCGATTACCAAAATGCTCATATCCTTCCTCTTTCATGTTTAAAGTCTTTCCTTCTGGATTTCCCTGACTCTGAGAGAAACTATTTCTCAGCTGAAGATGCGAATGTTTCACTTTGTATGGAAGAGTTACTAACAGAGGAGAAAGTCTATGCAAACAGTATGCCCGAACAAGCAATTAAGATTCAAGTAGAATTTGTGAAAGCATCAGTTCTAATGTACAGACTAAGAGATATTTTCTTAGAATTGAGTTGTGAAAATTCCAAGTTGATGCTTATGGATGAAGCAAAGATGGAAGATTTATACAATTTTACTGTATTTAGAAAAGCCAAGAGGATTTATGAAAAGCAGCTCAAAGGTCTCATTGCTACCTTAGAGCAAAAGACAACAAATGACATTTTTGATGTAGCTACTCAGCAAAAAGCCAAAAGAAAGAGAGAAAAGGAGCTCAGAGATAAGCAAGTTCAAATTTTATCGCAGGAAATTTCAAAACTACTAATCTCCAAACATATTCAAACAATGAAAGAGAATACTTCTGCCTTGAAAAAGGAGTTATTCGCTATGGAAGAAAAAGATTTCGATGATACTACTTTGGACAGCAAGTTAGATATTTTCCACAACTTTTTAGAAACATTGACCACCAGAGGAGGTAAAAGTACTTCGAAAAATGGTGAAACAATAATTACTATTTATGAGAAAGAATTAGAAAAATCATTGGAAGAAGTAGGACAAAAAATTAGAGACTGGAAAAATGATTATGTACAAATTGTAGAAAGCAAGACATCAGAAATAGTCGATCACCTCAAACGAAACTTGTTTTCTTCTGAGCAAAAAGTAAAGTTTTTACTTTACAAACGTGATGTAGATAGAAAATCTCTCAAGCGAAGAATTGACGCCGAAGTTGATGATAAGAATTATGATCTAGTATTTTTGGTTAATAACATTCTCTGGAAAAACAAAGAACTCGATCACAGACTCAAAGAAGTCAAATCAGAAGTAAGGAAAGAGCTTGTTGGTGAATATGAGGATCTTGTACGAAGTCTTTACAAAGAACTTGTTTCCACCAACGGTAAAGTAGCTAAATTCAAAAAGGATTTCTTGCAAAACTTGGATCAAAAGTTTTACGAAGTTAGAGAAAACACCTTCTTTGAAATTGCTACCCAAAAAGATTTTGGTGACGCCTCTTTCAAGAAGAAAGCTATAGATGTGGCAATGGAAGACAGTGAGTTGAATAAGCTTAGAAGAGAAAATGAAGATTTGAAAGTACAACACACTCAACTCCTAGCCTTACACAAAATCAGAACAGTTTCTCTCCGATCAAAATATGAAAAGTTGATCAAAGATGCAGAGCTTAAACGTGATGAAGCCCTCAAAGAATTTTATGCAAGCAAATATGAGGTTGGACTTAGAGAAAATCAGCTCAGACAAGAGTTACTCAAGACTCAACAACAACTCAGTAATGCAGAAATGGAAGTTGAACAATTGAGAAAGGACTTGCAACTTCAAATCAAGAACAAACAAAAACTTGTCAATTGGAAAGTTAAAAATGCTCAATTATTAGAAGAACTTGAAGAGAAGGTTGAGAAGTATGAAAGATGGAGTCATACCAACGTAGATAAGCTCTTACTAGAATTGGAAGAAAAGAAGAGAGAGGCTGGTCACTATGAAAAATTGAAGGAAAGAATGAAAGAAAAGACCAATGCCATCGATTTCAAGAACCAAAAGACTATAGAAACTCTTAAAAAGAAACTTGTTAAAGAGCAAAGTCTTAAAAGTAAGATAATGGAGCAACTAGAAACCTTAAAAGATTACAGAGATTCAACTGGACAAGTTGATTGGCAAGGAAAATACCATTTATTGACAGAAGATTTCCAACAATTAACAAAGGAAAACGCTATTCTTAAAAATGCTCTAGAAAGATATGCCAGTGGCCAAAATGAAGATGTTTCCAGTATTTTAATGAATGCTCCTCTAATGTTGGATGGCATAAATGGTACTCCTTCTCCTCCAAGTTCTGGTAGAAAAACTGCTTCACCTTCAACACTTTTGAGACCAATAACCGAAAGTGAATCTCCACAAAATGGAATGAACGGAATTTTCATGATTGAGCAAACAGCTGCAAAGAAAAGACCGGCCACAAGTGGTGCTGCAAGAGCACAAGCTAAGGCCAATAGTAATTCCAGTGTCACACAGCAACAATTACAACAATTCAAAAAGGCATCTCAAGCTATTGGTTCTATTTCCACAACTTTGTCTCGCCCTTTAACAGTCCTACCAACATATGGCAAGGATAAATATGGAGCTATGCCACTCCAGAGTCGTCGTTCAATGAGTGCAGGTGTAAGAAAGCAAACTCTCCTAAATAATGTAAATAGTAATGTCACTAGTACAGCTAACAGTGCAAGCACTAGCAATAATTTGGTTGCGAATAGTCAACCTCAATCCTCCCTTTTGTAAAAAGTTAACTTGGAAAAATAAATAATTTATATTATCATTACTTTAATCTCTCAACAATAACATTGGCTGCTGTTATTAAGTTTTGGGCTTTTTGCCAAATCGAATTCTTTAGAGATTCCATTAATTTTTCATTTGAAAAATCTCCAACAACTTCAGTATTATTATGATAAATTAAATGCATTGCCAATAGAATATTTTGATCTTTCTTTTTTTCAGATACCTTTGGAGATGCATTTTCCATCCTTTTCAAAAGATATGCGTACAAGACATCCCCAATTTCAAATAAATCAAATGTTGGTTGGGAAAATTCACGAAATTCCTTAATAAGTGCTACAGTTTCTTCTGGTGTCAGTGATTTTGTAGCATAAATAATAGTTTTAGATAGAACTCTCCATGGTGAATCCAATTCAAAATCACTTTCAATATACTTCCACAATGATTTCATCAGAGATAGTACTTGACCAGCATTTAGCTTGACTTTTAAGCTCGTTACAGAATTCTCAAAAGCATAAATATTCAAAACCTTTTCTGCTATTGTCGAGAGTGGATCCACCTGTAATATTTCCAAAGCAAGAGAAACAATTAAATGTTTTTCCTCCTTACATAGAGACATTAGTATTTTCATGTATTTCACCTTTGCATAAATATCATTTGGAGCATTTTCATAAAATCTAGCGTGATAATCCTTCACAAGAGGTTTTTTGTTCTGTTTGAAAGCACACTCTGACAAGAAATCCAAAAAGTCATGATTATGAATAAAACCTGGTAATCTGAATAAGAGGTTCTCCAAAGCAGATAAATCAACAGCATTATAACCACCAGTTTGTCTTGTAACCAAAATATCATAATAACCTCTACAAAATGAAGAGAATACCCAACTCAAAGTAAATTTGTTTAGCAAAAATAAACCCTTCTCTTTCTTTGTCATTCTGAACAGGAAGAATGAAACTTGCAATAATGAAGTAAGATGAATCTGATCTGAAAACATCTTAGTGTTCATGTAGGCCTTGACACCAGTCTTGTTGATGTGAGATTTTTCAAGCATGGCTGTCGTTCCTTTCAGAAATGCATTTGCCATAGCTACCTTAGTATGTGTAATTAACAACTCTTCTCTTTCCATCCATAATAATGGATAATGTCCTGATATTTTCTTACTGAAATATTGACCATGAGTGGCCATAATCAATAAAATAGAATTACCAATAGTATCTGCTTTGCTAAATTCCTTCTCAGCTATTAAATGTTTAAAATATAGATATAATCTCTCAATATAAGATATCATTCTAATAACTCTCGTACTATTTTCATTATTTCTTGGCTTGGGTATTGACCAATGATGTTCCAATATTCTTTGTAATCTTCTTCGATTGTAAATTAATCTATCAATCAAATCATGAGGTGGTTTCAATTGTACTTCTCTTGAATTCTTCCCTACCGATGCATTCTCCTTTTTAACTTCCACTTTCACTCCAATGTTTTCCACTTGTTCTGAAGATGTAGAGGCACCACCACCACCGTGATATGTGCTCAAAATGTGGTCAAACATTAGAGTGGATTGACCCTTCTTGTACTCTTCAAAACATTTTGGACATAAGGGAATCATTCGTTTAGGATACATAAACATGGGAATAATTTCAAAAGCCTCATTGTTCCAATCAATAATCGGAGATTCAGATTTACTACTACTACTACCACTATCCAAATAATTATTCTTTAATAGTTGAGAGTAGATGAATATTTGGAATTTCTGGTCGCACGGAACAAAATAACTGATAGCAGACCTTGAATGTTTAAAGTATTTGCAATCCCGAAAGTAAAATCTGATAAAACACGATTTTTCAATACCTGCTCTCTTCACTCTCACACTTTTTAGTTCCAATTCCGAAGTTATGAACAAGTCATTTTCTTGTTTGATACGACCTCGTGATGATGTTACAAATATGACGTCATCCTCTTCATCAATATCAATTGCATTTTCCGAATCCAATCCCATTTCAATAACATCTGCTGTTGTTTTCTTCTCCGATTTAATATTTTCAATTTTAATGTTTTCAAAATTAAAGGATATGGTTGATGATTGAGAGGAATCATAGGTTACCGGTTCATCATCTGACATTATTGAATCATCATCCGATGAGTTATCATCTTCATCACTACTACTATCACCAGAAAGATGTATCCTCTTGAATTGTGTTGACATTTTTTTTATTAATTCTTGCAATTTCTTGAAGGAGAGAATTTTAAAGTTTTTTGAATTTAAACTTTGGAGTAGTTGTCGTAGTAGAGCTGTTGCCATTGTTACTATTGTTAGTAGTTGTGGACTGGTAGTTAGAGGTTGAACCACCACTAGGAGTAGTAGAAGAAGAAGAGGTGCTATTGAAAATATTTTCAGTCAACAAGTCGTCATCCAAATCTTCCACAAGATTACCAATATCATCCCATTCCTCTTTTGTAATACCTAGTGAAGCCTTTTTTGATGGTGCTGTTGGCTCATCATCGTCTAGAACTATATTTTCCACATCAATATCATCATCTGAATCATGGACAGTTTGAGGACGTGTAAAACTTGTTTTAAAATTGAGTTTTGAGGTATTGCTACTACCAGTACTACTATAGGTTTCTCTAAACTTTTTCTTTTCAGCTTCTGACATTGGTTCACAATCTCCTATTGCCTTATGTCTCATTGAACGAATTAACTCTAAGAAAATGAGACCAAAGTTAGAGAGAACATGTCTACCCATACCTGGAATGGAAGCAATAGATTCCATATCGAGTGGTTGTTTTTCACTGAGATCTTGTAGAATTTTGGTTGATAAAATTGCATAAGGTCTTTGTCCTCTAGCAGTAGCCAATTCTGATCTCTTTTGTGTAAGAGCTTCCTTGAGAGCATTTTCAAAGTCTTTCGAAGAGTTTGATTTTGATGACTTGAGATGTTTTTCTAATGAGGTCTTTGGTGCCTTCTTATTCTTACTTCTTGCCAGAATTTCAAACTTAGCTTTACCAGTAATTAAAAGATCTGCCTTCTTTGAAGCAGCAATTTGTGAATAACTTCCACCATACTGATCATTAACATGTACTTTTTCTTCAATATATCCCTCACTAATAAGTTTGGAACCCAGGAAATCTGAAACTTGTTTAGAAACTGATTTACCAGAGCCATGCTCACTAAGCTTATCATGTTGTAAAGTTTTGATTTTTTGAGTGTTAGAACCTCTCCAAACTGATACAACATGTGACAGAGTACATCTAAAAGCACCAATACTCTTAAGAAGCTTAACAAAGGATGCTGCTTCTTTTGTGAAATCCTTTCTTTCAACAGGTGTTTCATCACAACAATTATCGCACATTTTTGAACAGACTTTTGGATCAAATGATTCACCAAAGTGTCTCAATTGTACAACTCTTCTACATTCACAATCATTTTCACAATATGATACAATCTTGTTAATATTTTCATAGCCACTCTTGTTGGTGTTTTCATTTTCTAAGAACTTTTGTTGTCTTGCCTTGTCTGCATATGAATAGAAAAGAATACAATGACTTGGTAGTCCATCTCTTCCAGCTCTTCCTGATTCTTGATAATAATCTTCAATAGATTTTGGTAAACTGTGGTGAATAACAAATCTAACATCAGGCTTATTGATACCCATACCAAAAGCAATAGTGGCAACAATAATCTTAAGTTCATCTCTGCTCCATTTTTCATGTACTTCTTGTTTGTCTGCTGCTTTAATATCAGAGTTATAAACACCAACATCATGTCCAAGAGTGGTCAATTCTTCAGCCATTTTTTCACAATCCTTCTTACTCAAACAATAAATAATTCCTGATTGATTTGGATATTTCTTATTAATAAATTCTGAAATTTCTTTTGCTGTTTTTTCTAATGTTTGTTTCTTTCTAACTTCATAATACAAGTTTGTTCTATTGAAGGAACCTTTCAATGATACACAATTCTTAATTTTAAGTTGATGAATAATGTCTTCTTGAACAATTCCTGTAGCAGTAGCTGTAAGTGCAATTAAAGGAACATCTGGAAATTCATCTTTAAAAATACCTAGTTTTCTATAGTCAGGTCTAAAATCGTGACCCCAATTACTAACACAGTGAGCTTCATCAACAACTACTCTCTTAAATAATCCTCTTTCATGTAATCTTCTCAAAATATTTAAGAAAGTTTCACTCCTAGAAATTTTTTCTGGTGTTACATAAAGTAATCTAAAACTTGGATTTCTAGATCCTAATTCTCTATAAATATCCTTTGTAGTTTCTGAATCTTGTTCACTTGTCAAAAATACTGCTGGAATATCTAAATTGATTAATGACATAACTTGATCTTGAATTAAGGAAAGTAAAGGAGAAATGACAATAGTTACACCTCCACTTGATCCTACATCAATAATTGCAGGTAATTGATAACAAAGACTTTTACCACCACCAGTTGGCATAATAATAAAAACATCTCTTCCCGATAATGTTGCATTAATAGCTTCAAGTTGTAGAGTTCTAAATGATGGAATACCAAAAACATCTTTCAAAGTACTTCTTAAAACACTACTCCATTCAAAAGATTCTTTAGCATAAAATGAAGCATCATGATTGCTTGAACTACTGCTACTAGCAATTGCCCTGCTACTACTTGTTTTAGAAGAATATGAATTATCGTTATATGATGTATAATTGCTTGAACCATAATTTGAAGTTACAGCACCATAACCATCATCGTCATCATTAATATTTACAGTGTTACTATTATAATTATTCTTTGTAAAATTATTGTTTGTGCTAGTTTGATAATTTGAATGATTAGACTGACTTCCAGTAAAAACAACATCTTCATCATCCAAATCTTCTATCTGGACTAGATTGTTATCACCACCAAGTGGTGTATTGTTGTAATCGTTGTAATCATCATAATAATCATCATTTGGAGGTGAAACATTTGGAGTGCTTTTTGTGAATGTATTGGAGGAGAAGATGGGTGTAGACTTTAGGCTTGTGTTACTATTTTCTGTATAAGATTTGGATGTGAGGGTAGGTGTGCTATTTGAAGTATTCTTATTATTGGAATAATTATTAACTGGTGTATAAGGTGTTGAAATATCATGATTATTTACATTTTCTGACTGCAAGTCCAAAGCTTGACTTTCTAGTGTTTTCTTTAAATCTTCCAATTGTTCCCTGTGCTCTTTGAAATCTTGGAGAGTTTCATTATCTGAATTTCCATTATGTTCAGCAAAATCAAGACAATCACTGAGAAGTCCACTAAAATGAGCAGTCAATCGTTGATAACTTTCTACAAGGTTTTTCAAATTTGAAATATCACTGCTGCTACTACTACTAGAAGCACTTTTTGGTGTGCTTTTTGAAAGTGAAGGTGAGGTGAATAAATTTGTTGTTGACTTGGTGCTATTTGTTGGTAATAAACTCTTTGGCTTGGCAGTATTTGTATCTGCTGGTTTTGAAGGTATTACAAATTTCTTTTTTGGCATTGTTTCAGTTCTAGTTGTTGAATGATTTGAATTTTCTTCAAAAACAAAATCATCATCCACCATATTTGTTTCAGTTTTGTTTGAGCTCTTTGAACCATTAGATGAGCCAATATTATTATTATTACGTGGAGGAAGTAGTGAAGTACTTTTAAAAGTTGGCAATTTTGGTTTTGATGCTGATGTACTACTATTAGATTCATCTAATTCATCAAAATTTAAATCATCGGATGTAATATCAATTTCATCAATATTATTTACATTGGATGTGGTTGTCAATGAAATCAATTCATCCATTTCTGCATCCTCTTCATCTTTATCCTTCCAAAGCCTTTTTTGATTTGACTTGAATGTGACAGTGCTCGAGTTATTAGTAGGTTCTTGTTTTGTTTTAATTCGTACCATAGATTTTTGTTGTTGGGCTATGTTAGTACTTGTTGTCGTTGTTGGAGGTTTTAGTAATGAAGAGGCTCTCACAAACGACGATGGTTTGCTACTATTTGAATCGGAATCTAAATCTTCAACAATTAATTCTTCATCCTCCTCTTCTATTTTTCTCTTTTTAATTGTAGGCTCTTCTATTGTGGTGGATGATGGCTTTGGATTTAAAATTGACCCATAACCTGATGTGTCACCACCATTTCTTGATGAACTATTATACCTATTATTTGTTGTTGTTGTGGATGTAAAATTATTTGGTGATGTTTCAGCCTTTCTTTTAAATGTGAATCCTCCTGTTGTTGATGATGATGAAGATCCGGAGTTGTTAGTTGAATTTGAGGGCTTCTTATTAAAGCCTGCCAAAAGTTGGCCCAAATTATTTTGCATCATGTTATCGAAGTAAAACGACTATTTTTTTTCATATGAATATTTTTTAAATTTTCTAGTTAACAATGGAAGAGCGGGAAAGTCAATTCTTTCGAAAACTGGATGTTCAAAATTATTTGACTTGACTGAATCAAAAAATTACCGAATCTTAATGGTAAAGTGACTTCAACTCTAAGAATTATTAACTATTGATGATGCTCAATAATTTTCTTAATAAAGTTCTACAGTTGTAAGAAACGAAGATGAAAAATTTGGCTTTGTCATATGGCAAGAGGAAGTAAAGTTCTATTTTTAAAATTTAAAATCAAAAATACATTAAAAAAATACAAGTGTTCTATTGTTGCGTAATTGCTTTGCATTAACACTCGTGTTGTATATCCATCATCAATTTGCAAGCCAATCCATACTAATTTAATAATAGTAACATAATGCCACTTCCAACATTCGATCCAGAAGATTCTTCTGAAGATCAACAAAGTAAAAAGATGAATGTTGATTATACCGAACAAACCGAGGCCACTCTTCAAAGTGCTTCTACTGCTTTGGATCAAGGAGGAATCAACAAATTAAAGGAAGTTCTTGAACCTGTTTTAGCTTTGGAAAAGACTGTTCGTCTTGCTGAAGATTATGAAAATCTCTCTAAAATTCTTGTCCAAATAATTGCTTTCTGTGCTAAAGTTCAAGCTTGGGATGAATTGAATGATCAATTAAATAGTCTTAGTAAGAAACGTGCTCAATCAAGAGGTGGTACTCAAAAGATGATTCAAGAAGCTATGAAATATATTGATTCTACTCCATCTTTGGAAAGAAAGATTGAATTAATCAATAATATTCGTAAAATTACTGAAGGTAAAATATTTGTTGAATTGGAAGGTGCTAGAGTTATTAGAATGTTGGCAAAGATCAGAGAAGAAGAAGGAAATATTGCTGAAGCTGCTTCATTGTTACAAGATGTTCAAGTTGAAACAATCGGAAGTATGGAAATTAGAGAAAAGATTGAATTTATTCTTGAATCTATTAGATTATGCATTGAAAAGCAAGATTTTGTTCGTGCTGTCATTGTATCAAAGAAAATTACAAAGAAGAGTATTTCTGAAGAATCTCACCAAGATTTAAAGATTCGTTTCCATGAACTTATGATTCGTTTCTATAATAACAAGAAGCAATATTTAGATATTTTCCGTTCATACCAACAAATTTTCACTACACCTATCATTCAAGCAAATGAAAAGGATTGGATGAATATCTTACAACGTATGGTTTTATATATTGTTTTGGCTGAATATGGTAATGAACAAAACGATCTCATGCATAGAACCTTTGAAGAAAAGAAATTAGAAGAACCACAATTACAACCATATAGAAACTTGCTTAAGCAATTTGTAAATCGTAGTTTGATTAATTGGCCACAATTCGAATCAACATTTGGTTCATTAATTAAGGATCACCCAATTTTCAAGACTTCTCCAGAAACTTATGCCGATCTCAGAAGTAGAATTGTTGAAAAGAATATTCGTGTCATTGCTCAATTTTATTCTAGAATTCCAACTAAACGTTTGTGCTCATTGTTGTACTTGGGTGAAGAAGAAGTTGAAGGATACATTTCAAGAATGGTTACCTCCAAGACAATTCTTGCCAAGATGGACAGATTGGATGGTCTTGTTGTTTTCAAACAATTACAAACTGGTGACAATAATGAAGTTTTGAACTCTTGGTCACACGATATTGTGAATTTGCTTCAATTGGTTGAAAAGTCAAACCACCTTATTAACAAGGAATACATGATCCAAGGTGCTAGACAATAAATTGTAAAATAATTTCTCTGTAATATCTCCTGCATATTTTATTAAAATCAAGATTCAGGAAAAGTCTGGTAAAACGATTTCAATTTTCCCTGCTTTTGCTTACACTAGTGGAACGAGCAAGGGCTGTTTTTGGGTGATTTAAGAATTGGGAGTAAAAGATTCTAAAATGAATAGCCAAACATCTCAGGATTAACAAAATCTCAAATAAATATCGCTGTAAGATTTAGGAGTTTCCTTGAATAATTGTCTAAATTCATCATGAATTTTAAAGCAATAGTGAACTTGGATGACTGTGTGGAGACTTTCCTTCCTTGGTTGACTATGTGCAGTTCTTGTTTCACAGGCTGGGATAGTACAAATCACATTTACCAACTCTGGATATCCCTTAAAAGGCTGATAAGCCACCAAATCAACATGCAGGAAATCGGCACCCTCAGTTCGTACTTCAGTGCTACTCTTTCTGAGAGTGATATGCTTTTTCTTGATGGTAGTTTCAAATCCATCATCATCAACTAGAGTACCCACTTTAGTAATTGGTTGTGAGCTCTTCAAATTTCCAGAGTAGGGTTCAATATTTTTGATTGTTGAGTTTTTCAGGTCAACTAGAATCCATTTCACATTTTGAGTGAATGTCCCCCAATCCTTATATTTAACACTGTGCCAATAAGGTCCATTTTTACAAAGCATAAAGAGGAAACAACTATCCGTCAATCTGCAAGATCCAGAAATGTTAGAATTGTCTGTGAAAAATTTAAAAAAGTCCAGTAAGGGAGATTTTGATAATTTTCCGCTGTATAATTTGGTATCTTCATCGTATTGGATAGATATTTTTCTAATAATGTGACAAATCTTCTTATTTTTTTCATCTTGATAACTATAGGTCAGATAATTTTCATCAATACAGTCTAGTCTTGTTAAAAAACTCCAATATAATGGATAGTTGTTTGAATCCAATGGAAGAGGTTGTATTCTAACATCGTATTTCCTCAATTCGTCCAAAGACCCTTCATCTCTAATGATAAGTGGTTTCAGTACTGTATCCTGTTCGTTATGAACAATCATACACATTTTGTTAAATTCATTTTCATTCGGTTTGTGAAGGAAAATATGCTGAGGAATAACGCTATTCCAATTTGAAAATATTTCACTTCTCAACAATTTTGGTATCTTTTCAACATTCAAACTCGAATAAAAAATATTTTCCTGATTCAAATCAATAATGAATTTAAAGCTATCCTTCAAACAATAGAAATCAATGACCTTTCTCGTTCCATTATTTGTCGATGGATGAGCCTCAACGAATGGTGTTGAATAAGCATATTGATACCTTATCTTTTTAAATTGAAAATCATTTCCAAACTTTTCCATCTTACCAATATTATAAGGTTCATTCCATATTGAATTTACTTTGATAATTCCAAGTCTCGTTGAAACCTCTGGAGAATTATACAATCTAGCAACACTTGATTTCTGAACTAGACAAATCATATGAGAAATTGAATGGCAAGCCTGCGAGAATTGATAATCAGAAAAATAATAACCATGATCCGTAGAGTGACAAATCATAGCCAGAGATGAAATTGAATATTCATCCCGAAGGTATTCTTCATCCAGCTGCTGTTTGGGCATTTTTTTAATTACTAATTTTTTCATATTGAGAAGAAACTGAAATCTTAATTGAAAATTTCAAAAAGTTTGTAAAGAACTCTGATAAATTACAAGAAGATTGATTTTTATTATTTAAAAAACTTTGAGGCTTGCCACTATATGTAACCACAAGCAAAAACAATTAAATTTTGTTTCCAATTTTCTTCAAGTAATTCTATCATGCTAAAAATAAAACACCATTCCATTCTCAACGCTGGAAAACCTTTGTTCTGAAGAAAAATTAATCAAAAAAATATTCAATACCTGAAAACACCCTGCTTGTGTTAGGAAATTTTCATCAAATATTGTAGGACAGGAATTTAATATTCATCATATTTTGTATATAAACATGTCATCAACAATTGGAGGCTTTGAATTTGATAATGTTGCCCGTAACATTTATCTTCAATCAAATCTTAATGTAACACCACCAAAAGTACTCAAGACTGGTACAACAATTTGTGGTGTAGTTTACAAGGATGGTGTTGTTTTGGGAGCTGATACAAGAGCTACTGAAGGTCCTATTGTCGCTGATAAGAATTGCGAAAAGATTCACTACATTGCTCCAAACATTTATTGTTGTGGTGCTGGTACTGCTGCCGATACTGAAAATTCCACTGCATTGATCAGTTCTAAATTACAACTCCATCGTTATGCCACAGGTAAACAATCACGTGTTGATACATCAATGACAATGTTTAAACGTATGTTATGGAAATATCAAGGACATGTTAGTGCTGCTTTGGTTTTGGGTGGTGTTGATGTTAATGGACCTTCTCTTTATACAATCTATCCTCATGGTTCTACTGATAAATTACCATTCGTTACTATGGGTTCAGGATCATTGGCTGCCATGTCAGTTTTTGAAGCTGAATATAAGGATGATATGTCTGAAGAAGAAGCTAAAGCTATTGTTCACAAGGCTATTTCTGCTGGTATTTACAATGATTTGGGTTCTGGTTCAAATGTAGATTTATGTGTCATTAATAAGGAAGGTGTAGCTAACTATATTCGTGGTTATGACGTACCTTCTGGAAGAAAGTATCGTCGTGAATATGTTATTCCTCGTGGTACGACTGCTATTTTGAACCAAAAGGTTCTTGAATTGAAATCAAAGTTGGTTGTTGAAGAAACTATTAGCACAGCAATGCAAACCTCTGAATAATTCCATTTTGTAAATTATCATATAAAAAAATTGTAACTATCCCAATCTTAAAAATATCAAATTCTTCTTAAAGATGTCAATCTAATGAATTGGGTTTTAAAGAATTTTGGATTATCAAAGAGAAAAAGCAAATCCTTGCTGTTCAACACTAACTGAGAATTTATTTACAATATGTCTACTTGTTTGGACTCAAATTATCAACACCATACGGATTAAAGTTGGCTTGTTTGTCACTGAATACATTTTGTTGATTCTGATCCAAATCTTGATTTACATTGGAAACATTTGAAACATTTGCTTGTTGTTTTTTAGTCTTTTTTGGCTTGTGTTGCTTACTAATGGTGGTTCCAAACTTTTTCCGTTCCTTCTTTGAGATTTCCATCTTGATTATTGTTTTTTTTGTTATTTAAACTTGTTTTTGCCTATTTGATATTTAAACAATTTCTCACGTTGTTTAGTCAACTCAAGTAAGGCAATTTTCTGAAAATAGCTTTTCTACATTTTCTAATCATCCTCTTAAAAAAGAGGTTATTATCTTTGTGAATTCACCTGTTATTCAACAAATAGAACTAGAACAATTATCTGGTTTGTTAACAACCTCTTCTTGTCATCGGATCACAGCTTTGTATTTTCATCAATAATTTTAAATTAAATTTTTGTGATGATCAAAAACTTCAAGCCAAATGCTGCGGATTTCTCAAGTTATTTTTGGATTGAGGGAAGTAATAAACATTATAAAAAATGAGTAGAAGATACGACAATAGAACTACAACATTTTCACCTGAAGGACGATTGTATCAAGTCGAATATGCTATGGAAGCTATCAGCCATGCTGGTGCTGCTCTCGGTATTATTGCCACCGATGGTATTGTATTAGCTGCTGAAAAGAAAATTACTTCCAAGCTTCTCGATAATGAAAAGAAAACAGAAAAGATGTACAAATTAGATAAACATATTGGATGTGCTGTTGCTGGTATTACAGCTGATGCCAACATTTTGATTAACTCTGCTCGTCTCCACGCTCAACGTTATCAATTCATGTATCAAGAACCAATACCAGTAGAACAACTTGTAAAAACTCTCTGTGATTCAAAGCAAAGTTACACACAATTTGGTGGTATGAGACCATTTGGCGTCAGTTTCTTGTATGCTGGTTGGGATAAACAATATGGATATCAATTGTATCATTCTGATCCTTCAGGAAATTATGGTGGATGGAAAGCTACAGCAATCGGAGCTAATAATCAAGCTGCTCAATCAATCTTGAAACAAGAATGGAAGGAGGATTTGAAGATTGGTGCTGCTAAAAAGTTGGCTGTCAAGGTCATGACAAAGACAATGGATAGTACTAGTTTATCAAGTGAAAAACTAGAGTTTATTACTTTCACCAAAGACCAATCTGGAGAAGTTGTTTATACAGTCCTTCCTGATACTGAGGTAGATCAATACTGAAGGAAGCTCAAGAAGAAAAGGAGAAGAACAAAAGAATAAGAATATAAATTATTGGATAAATTTCTTTATTATTATAAATTGGAATAATTATTTTAATCATCAACATCTTCGGAATCATCATTTGGAATGAATGGAGCCACAAAGAATTGGAAACTACCTCCCTCTAATCCATATAATATTCCAAGAGGACCATTCTCACAAACTTGAAACAATACCTGATCTGAAATCTTACTTGCACGAGAAATAACTGATAGTATTTTGAATGGATATTCATTACCAATATTAACAAATTCTTCTTCCCTCTCACTTATACTAATGGAAACATTTTCTTCACCATTGGAAATATCAATACTTGCCTTGATGAATTCATTCCAAGTTTTGAGAGTTAGTACAAAATCATCCCTCTTCTCTACTTCTAATCTGAATCGATTACCATTCAAGTGGTGCAAGTCTTGAATCATTTGAGAAAAGTTTTGAGTATTCATTAATATTTCCACTCTTGCTTGTTGGTCAAAATCATTAATTTCATAACTTTCATTATCACATATTTCGAATTGTGAGAGTTGATAGGTAAACTTTCTGAGTGGATTCTTCTTCTTGATGTGGAGTAGTATGTCTGAGGCTTCGTCATTGGATGGAAATTGAATATACAAACTATCATCGGATTTCAAGCCTTTTGTTACTTGGGAAAATATTTTCAAATTAATTCCATAGTGCTTCTCAAAGTTGGGTAGTTTAATTCTTCTAGTTTGATCCTGATTAACAAATACGAAGGCTTGATTTTCCAATAATCTAAATTCAAAGAGAACAACCTTATAATTATCCACAGCATGAATGAATAGACTTGAGGAGGATACTTCAAAGTTGACCAAATCTGTAAAGTGACTCATCAATTCTATTACTTTGGAAATCAAACTCGGATCATTAATCTTACAACCAATCATCTTTTAGTCAATCTAAGGATTCCCTCTCACTGTAGAAGCTGTTTATTTTTTTGAAAAAGTTATTCGCAACAAGGCTTGTTAAGGCTGTTTTTTTAAATCTTTTAAAAATCAAATTCTGCCATCATAGCTTTAAGGGATGTCACTTTCTTTGTGTTCTTCTCCTGATTATTAGTTTTGGATGGAGAGGAAGATGAAGGTTTTGGAACTGATGAAGTAGATGAGTTTGTAGATGATGAAGCTGGAGGAGGTTGTTTCTTTGTAGATTTGGAGAAGAAAATATTGGCAAAACTAACATCTTCCTCATCGTCATCTGTTTCATCCATATCTTTCTTATTGTTTGGAGCTAGTGTTGGCTTACTTGTTGAAGAAATATTACTCGAAAGTGCACTAGTATTCGAAACAGTTGATTGTTTTGTAATAATTGGAGAGGATGGTTTCTTCTTTGTTTGCTTGGAGAAGAAGATATTTGCAATACCACCTTCTTCGTCATCATCACTTTCTTCCATTCGATCTTTACCCAGATTTGAATCTTTTTTTTCTGTTGTTGAGCTAATGGGCGTAATTAACTGTTCTTTCTTCGTTTCGACATTTGGTTTCTTTTTAGAGGAGGAAAAGAAAATGCTGCTTGCATCTTCATCATCGCTTTCATCCATTGCTTGTTTTGTTTCATGGATAGGTTTTCTCTCTTCAACTGTATTACTTTGCAAAACAGGTTTAACAGGTTTTACATTAGTTTCTTCCAAGTTATTTGGTTTCTTTTTCTTTGATGTTGCAAAGAATATACTGCCAACATCCTCATCAGAGGATTCATCCTCTTCATTTTGTTTCTGAACTGTTGGCTTAACAGGACTGGGGAGCTTTCTCTTTTTAGGGCTCTGAGGTTCTTGCTTTATGATGACACTAGGTACAGAATTGAGAACTGGTTTTTCACTGGTTGTGACAACTGAAGGTTTAGATGACGGTTTTGAAAAGAAAATATTTCCAAATGCTTCATCTTCGTCATCACTGCGTTGTTCCTTCTTCACAATTGTTGCAGGTTGTGGTTTTGATTTGGTGACATTCTCTGGTGACATTTCTGGAATTGGCCTTATGGAGCTATCCTTGGATTCTTGCTTGGCTTCAGAGGATTTTTGTTTTTGTTTTGAGAAGAATATATTTCCAAATGATTCGTCTTCCTCTTCATCACTCTCTTCTATTGGATCATTATCCACAGATTCCTTTTTCACTTTCTTTTTGTTTGTTTTTGGTTTTTCATTCGTGCTCGTAGACTCTGAATCTGTTTTGTTTTTGGATTTAATTTCCTTCTTCTTCTCGGCGTATTCATTGGCTAATTCCTTGTGCTTGTCAACATAAACTTGTTTTTCCTCTTCTGATAATTGCTTCCACCTGGCTCCTAATTCTTTTGCCACTTCAGAAGCAGCAACCTTTCCTCCCAACTCTTCCTTAACTGCATCTCTATACTCATCACAATACAAAAAGAAACTAGTTTTTGGTTTTTTGAGATCCGATTTTGAATCAGACTTGGTGGAGGAAGACTTTTGTGGCTTTTCTTTTGAGCCACCCATCCAACTTGGTAGAGTTTTCTTCTTTTTTGGTTCTTGAGATGGCTCTACAGATGATTCTGGCTTTACAGCAAATGAGACTGGTGGAGGATCTTGGGATATGACTTTGGATTCACTGAGTTGACTTTCTGATTGAGAGCCAAGTGATCCAGATTTTAGAATCTTTTCCTTTTCCTCAATTTTCTGCTCATTTCCCATATTCCTGTTAGAAATAATGGACACATAGGATAATATACTGGCACAAACATGTTTACATTTTCCTTGGCTTCCAATAGGGCATGTACAAATTCCTTTAACAATTTTACCTTGTTTCATAAGGATCTCCTCTCTGTAAAAAGTATCCTTCTCAGTTGCGCTGGAACACTTGGCATATAATTTAAAATGATTTGGTTTTTCTGGAATGAGTTTTACCATTACATCATAAATTTGGGTTTCCATGTCCCTTCCTTTCTGGAATGTCAGTAATCCAAAGTAGTCACAAATTGAAGAAATACTCATATCTGTTACCGGAAATTGATAAATATCTGAGGTTTTTCCATCAGACGTTGTTACAGGAGCAGAAGCTTGAGATTTCGAAGAGCTTGGGCTATTAGTTCCAACCTCAAGACCCTTTGATAACCTAGAAGTTTGCTTTGGTGAAAATCTCTTTCTTTCATTATTCATGGTTTCTATTGCGTTGTTCATTTGATTAGATACACTATACTCATTAATTCGTTCATAGTATTGTACAAAGTTGTTGAAATCATTTTGAGAAGAGAATTGTTTGATATGGTGAGTGTCTAATATGACGCCAAAGAGTATTGATTTGATTTCCTTCTTTTGAATATCCTTAAAAATACCAATACTGAAATTATTTGTGTGATTTACAGTTAATTCTTGAACAAGTGGAAATCTTCCTATAAATTTTGAAATAGATTTACCATCTGGTTTCCAATCGTTAAGTTGAACAAATTCAATTTGTTTAAAATAGGATGGCTGATTAGTTCTATAATCTAATTGACAAAGTGCAAATTTTTGTTCCATTTGAATGCTGTTAATTTCTGCTATTGATATTTCTGAAATACTTGAAAAATCCAACAGCAAAAGTCCTATTTTAGACATTTTAAAGTACAAATCGCTGTTAAAGTAAATACACGAATCATCTAGGTTACATTCTTGCTTGAAAAATTTCTTGTGTCTTGTGGAGGCAGTTGTATTGGCACCACTGAGTTGGGCTAAACTTTGTGATATAAATGGAGAGGTCAGAACTAGTGATTCCGAAGCAGCCAGTGATTGATAGTAAAATAAGGTAGAAAATAATAGTGTTTCATCTCTTTTGAGTTGAGAGAAATTAGAGTTACTAATCTGTACAGTATAAATTGGGAATGGAAAGTATTTACAACATGTCTTTGATAACCAGGTTTGAAATTGTTCGAATGTTTTCTTAGATTTGAGGGAATCACACAGCCTATCAAAGTCTTTCTCGATAAGAATTACAATTATTCTACCGTTAGGTTTGATTTTCATCCATTGAGTAAAAATCCAATGAACATGGGACAGAGGTCCAGAATCTGTATCCGAATCGACGAGCATTGAATGAACAAATATTAACCCATCCACAATTAGTCCCTGATGATTAAATTCAATTCTATCCCTGTTCAGTATAGTTAATTTTACAGGTTGTTCAATAATTGTATCAAACCCTTCATCCTTAGTTGGTACTATTGATTTCTTCTCATCATCCAAAATGTTTGATGTTTGAAATGGTCCATCAGTAGTAAGAGTTAGAGGAATAGAAGATGAATTTGAGCAATATCTATCCACAAAAAAGCTCATTGTTTGATTCATGTAAAATTGAAACTCTAATAATTTTGGATTTTCACAATTAAAGTAGAGTGCCCCAACTGTGCATGAAGGAATACTTTGTTTGATTTTGTCAATTAGAGATTTCCTAGTTTCTTTCACCAAATTAGTGTCATCAATAACTACGTTTTTCTTTAAACTTTCTAATAGAATTCCGCCACAAATACTATACCTTTTCCAACTTTTTAATAATCTTTTTAAATGTAGCATGAATAGATAAATTATCCTTCTTCCACTCCTCGAGAGAAATCCTCTCATGGCTCGCTGAAAAATTCCTCTGATAACAAAGTGTCTTATTCGAACATCTTCTCCCAATCAACAATATTAAATTACAACTCTTCAACGAATTTAAATCACTTTGATTTTCCTTCTTCATCGGAGCAGAAAGAAGAGGATTTTGAGACATTTTTTTCTGCTTATTGGCGGGTTAAAAACTTCCATCAACAAGTGGATGTTCTTCCAATCTGAAAACGATAGAATTTTATTAATTACTTTGTTGATTGTAAAAAAGTGAGATGTTGGATGCATTATAACGCGTTCCTCTCATTACGTGAGGGGTAGCAAAGCCTGCTCTCGACACTATGTCACACTATCAAAGACATGACCTTCTTTTTCAGAGATGGGCAGCAAGAGAGGTGTGAATAATTGTAAATGTCTAAGTTTATTGGAAGGAATGCAATGCTGAAAAGCATTGGAGAATATTCCTTGCTTATGTTTGTGGGTTGAACATTTTTTGAAAAAATAATAAAATTTTGAATCTTTGAAATTTTTGAACGGAGTATCAGTTGCTTCGGGCCGAGCCAATGTGACCATGAAAAGTAATCACTGAGTTATGAATTGAAAATCAATTGTATTTCTTATGGTTGATATTATTGAGAAGCTGAAAAAAGTCTAAGAAGGTGGCGAATTGTTTCAAAATTGTCCTCCAAACACATTTTATCCAAATTAAAAAAATGACTGAATCATCATCCAGCAAACCATCATCATCTTCATTTACACCTCTTCGTGAACACAGTGCAAATGGTGATATTCCAACTTTATATAGTACATTCCACAAACAATCTATACAAAAATCCATTGACGAAAAACAAAAATTAGGTGAAATTCCGACCCGTGCTGTAAAACAAAATTCCTTCCAAAAACTTCTTTCCCACATTCCTCCTATTAAATATAGATTTGGCCGTGAAGCTTTCAAGTTTGGTTGGTATTTGTTGTATCCTTTCGGAGTTGTTTTTGCCATTTCCCAACCAGCTATCAAGGAGTGGATTGTTTCTAAAATGCCTGAAACTAAATCCTACATGGATAATTGGCAATCTTCACAAAGTCAAGAAGAAGTTGATTTGGCCAAGAATATGCAACAAGTTGAACTTGGTAATGCCAGTAACTATAATTTGTATTGGCAAGAAAAAACAAAGAATGACGAAAGAGTCAAAAAGTTCTTGGAAATGCAAAGAGGAAGAGTTGAAAAGGATATGGATAGAAATGATTAAGATATTTCAAAAGAAATTGATACGGATATTTGAAACCAATTTAAACTTTTGAAAACTCAACTAGTAAATTAGATAGAGCATTTTAAATGTAAATATGAATACGTAAAATGGAAGAAATTCTCTCAATAAAATTAATTTAATTAAGATTTCTGAGACACTAAGAGCAAACTTGGATTTTTATTCTGAAGAGTATCATTCTTGAGCAGTTGGATCTAATTTGATAACTTTGGTTCCATTTTGGTCATAAGTTTTAGCTCCAATTTCCTTCATGATTTGGAGAACTTGGTTCTTTCTTTGATCTTTTTCCTGTTCAGAAGAGCAATCTTTAAAGAACTTCTTCTTGAAACGACTTGTCTTGACTTCACCCTTCTTCTTCAAATACTTTAGGATTGAGTTCTTTAGTTTGTCATTCTCTGACACTGGCTCTGTTTTGACCTTCTTGGCCTCTGGTTCTTCTGTCTTGACTTCAGATGAACCAGAAGAGTTTTCTTCGACCTTTCTCTTTTTGGCTTCTTTGATCTTTTCCTTCAATTGTTCATTTTCATCATCTTCCTCATCGACCTCCTCTCCATTTTCTTTCTTGATGAGCTTATCCAATTCTCGTCTTGAGGTCTTTTCCTTTTCCTTACGCATCTTTTCTTCGTCGTCAGAGTCAGAATCCGAGTCAGATCCATTTTCGTCATCAGATCCGAAAACTTTCTTTGCTTCCATTCTATCTTCCCTAGAAATTTTCTTTGAATATTCATCTTGTTCATCATCATCATTAACATCCTCAAAGTCCATTTCATCATCGATTTCCTTTTCCTTCTTTCTCTTTCTATCATGTTTTAATTCCTCAGCAATTTCAGGTTTAATTCTCTTCCATTGATCGCTCATCAGGGAATCTTTTTGTTTCATCTTTTTTTCAGCTTGTTCCAAAGTTAGAGGAACAGCATTGGCTTTTAAAATTCTTGGCCTGAAAGTCAACCATTGTGATCCGACAGGTAAAACTCCAAATTCTTGTTGTCCTGTTTGAGGATTTTCTCTAATGATAAAGAGAGCATATTTGGCATCCTGAGTTTCCTCTGGAATACCTTCAAAAGCTTTCTTTGGTGGCTCAGCATTTTCGAAAATATATTCATGTTTTTGATTTCTTCTTACTTGTTTCTTTTTTTGGAATGGATTTTCTTCTTCTGGTTCTGGTTCCTCTTCTTGTGGTTTTTCCTCCATATCAGCCTCTTCATCCTCCTTTCCTTTAAGTCTGATTTTTAATTGTCCAGGCATTGATTCAAAGTCCAAAACCTTTGGGAATTTACAAATGTAGTATGCATTCGGTGTAGCAACCTTGGTAAGACGTAATTCAGTAACATTTACATTAGGAGGTGGTCTATTATAATTTACATTTTGTGGTGGTGCTTGTCTTGGTATATGTGTAGGTGGTGCTGATCGGTTTTGTATTATTGGTTTGGGAGTTGGTGATGATGATGATGCCGATGGTGTTGCATTACCACCTTGTTGTCTTTGTAACATCAACTTCCTTCGTTGCTCCTTCTGGAGTTGAAGGGCAGACTTGGCGAATGGATTTTTTATTGATTGCTGTTGTTGATTATTCATTTTTTTTAATAGTTTAATTTTTCAATTTAAAAACTTCATCCTTCTTTTGTTGTTTTAATTAATTAATTTGTGATGGTTTTTATTCACCAACTTCACACATAAAACCTTCATATTAACTTATAATATTATAAATTATAATACTTAGGATTCGAAATTTAAAGTTTTCAACATTACAAAAAATGTCTTTACGTACCAATGCAGCATCCTCTCCACTTGGTGAAGGAATAGAAGTAGAACAACCCAATGTAACCACTCACAAGGAATCGGATATCATCACTGATGATTCACCTACATTACCGAGTAAATCTTCCACAACAACAACATCTCCGATTTCTAATTTTCTATTGGAAGAACATTCATTCTCGGAGACGATCAAATCAAATTTAATAACCTCATGCAAAATTATACTCTTATCAATATTGTTTTTATTTGTAATGATTAGTATCACACGGGAGGATAGAGCACAATATGCCTTTTCAATGATGCGGAAGGTTTTGCCATCTTCAATGTTTGCAAAACATCACGACACTACGGGTGAGGAAATACAAAGGAATGAATTGGATAGAATTGATAAAGCTCGGAATTATATTAATAATATGCCTACAGAATTGGTTTCTCTATTGAGGAAATCATTTGAACAGGCCAAGACACCAAGTAGTGGACCAGTTGAGCATTCTAAATTTTGCATCTCGATACCTTCGATTACCAGAAACAGACAATACCAAGAAGTTTTGATTCATTCAATTTTGGCCAATACCTCCATGAATGATTTGATACCCACCTCCAATATTGCAATCAATATATTTGATGCAAGTTCGTTCCCAACTGGACATTTGAACGCTATTAAGGAAAAGCAAATTTTTAACATTTTTCACAGGGATGATATCAAGGGAGATAGACATTTCTTCACTAGTAATTTTGATCAAGTTTATAGTATGAGCTATCATCAAAAACAAGCTTTGGACTATATAACAGCAATTGAATATTGTACGAAACATTATCCTCATATGGATTATATTATCATTTTGGAGGATGATGCAGTAGTACCAAAAGGATGGCTAGATAGTATTAGAGAGCTATTGAAAAATATGAATCACGATTTCTACGACCCATCAAATAGGAATGAAGACAGAGAGAGACTATTCAAAAATAGATCATTTATGTGGATGAAATTGTATTTTTCTCATTCCTACAATGATTACAATGAGAAGAGATTGCACTTGATTTCTTTTGTAGCTTTATTCTTTTCCTTCATCATGACCATTGGTTACTTTACAATTCAAGCAAATCAATTCAATAGTGGAAATGACAAGATTATTCTCAATAGATTTAAATTCTATTGGATATTTGTGTTACTGTTTGCCATTACACTCGGATTCTTACTCTTGGTTCGATTCCACTATTTGGAATCCAAATTCATCAAGCTCACTAAATTCTTCTCCAATGAATATGAAGGAACTGGAAGAAAATATCATTTGCAAAGAGATTTCCCTCATTATGGTAGTGCGGTTGGTAAGTTTTGTATTAATATTTTCTAGTTATTAATATTTAATGTACTACTAGCCATGCTTTATCCAAACAAACCTGAACTCATAAATCCATTTCTTGATTATTTGAGAGAATGGCAACCACAAGCCTCATCAGAATATCCAAATGATAGAATAATTTACAATTACGTTTACAAGAAACGACACAAGGATCTCGATTCATACTTGGTGATACCCGATCTAGTGGAGCATGTTGGTTCGGTATCATCACGACTTTCTTCTTATTAATTTCGCCTATTTAATATTCTCAATGCGTTTAATGTTAAATAATACAGAATATTATTATTTCCAAATTTCTTTTATTATTAAATAAGTGGCATGAGCCGATGCTAGATATCCATTATTACTAAATGTGAGTATCCACCATCAAGTGACAATATGATCCGATTTAAAAGTATCCACAATTTTAAATTATTCTTTGAGCTTCAAAGTATCTGGAATGACAACATCGGCAAAGTTTTCTTGTTTCATACTCTTGATAGTGTAGGAATAAGAACCAACAATCAATGAACCTAAAGCGAGAGCGACAAGACCGGCACCCTTCTTCTTTTTAAATTGAGCAGCTTCCAATGGAAGGTTTTTAATTCCGGTTAATAAAGAGTTCACAGTCTTGCTTTGTGTTGCCTTTGATGGAGTAGTTGGAAGATTGTTGAGGACTGGAGCTGCTTTAGAAGATGGAGTTTTTTGTTGCAATCTTTCAAATGTTGCAGCTGGTGGTGTAACTTGTTTGTTAAGTTGTTTGTATTGTTCGGATGAGAAGTTTGATGGCATTATTTTTAATTTAAATTTTATTTTTAAGGGGCAAAAACTTTTTGGTTTTAAATTTTCTAAAAATAAAATGATAAATTAATTTTTTTTTAATTCATTTTCCTGTTCTTGTGTATGATTGGATCTATTTGATTCTTATTTTCAAACTAAACTCATCAAAGAATGCATGGGTCATGCTCAGTTTCGTATTCACCATGCTATTGCCTTGCTCTTTAGATTAATTTATAATTCGACTGGACTTCATGTGAATATAAACTATTGATAAGGAGACAGTGATGGAAATTACTGTGGGCAACTGCATTCTTGGAGAATGTCATTCCTTCCTTCAAATGATTCCTTTCAGTTGTTTCATCATGTCTTTCATTTTGACCATTTTGAAAGTTTTTCTTTACTTTCGAATATTTAGGATTGAAATAGTTACAAACAGTTATGGGTAAAAGAACATCAACTGTTATTTTTGGATTGTAATGGTTACTGTTTCTGTATCTAATGGTACGGTCAACTTGTTGCTCAAATTTCAAGAAATTAGATTTGCCGTCACTCCAATTTATATTTCACTCTTTGTATTATACCTTTCCGTTATTGCTACTGAAATAGTTCTCTTCTTGGTAAGTGGTATTCGTTTAGTTTATGTTATTCGAAAGAATTCCTTGAACACAACACAGATCCAACACAAAAACTCACTCTGTTGCTTTCGAATAGACCAAAATTCTAAGATTAAATAAATATTGAAAATGCAGTAATGATTCAAAGTTAAAATTTGCCGACACCAGGGATCGAACCAGGGACCTTAAGATCTTCAGTCTTACGCTCTCCCAACTGAGCTATGTCGGCTTCATGTTCACCTCAATTGCTTAATAAACATAAAAGAATTCACAACAATTAAAAGAGAAATTATTGATCTTTAGTGATTTGAGACTAGTAAACTAATTGAGAAGCGTTTTGAAATCTTTCTAAGGGATTGTCTTTCAACATCTTTTCAAGAATACCTAAGCTCATTACAAGTTAAATTTTCCAAAAGCTTTTCTTTGTTGTTTCGAATGTAATTGGGATCACTGCTTCCATACAATATTTGGAGGATGGAAAGTCCTAATGAGTAGATATCAGCTGAGTTTGAGCCAACTCTAGTGCCCTCTGGAGAGATCCAGATGTGTTCTGGCTTAATATCTCCATGAACGTAATCATCTTTGTGGATCTCATTAAGAGCGAGAGAAATCTTTTGTAAAAAAGAAAGCATTTGCTCACAATCATGTATCATTCTCTCCAGTACCAGTAGAAATTTCCTCATCATCAATATTTGAATGTGATGATAGCATTTTCTATTAATTAATGGAAATATTTAATATTATGTATTTAACAATTTAATATTTAAATAGTTTTAATTCAAAAAAATGGGTTTATCCAAATCGAAATCCAAGCGTGCTAACAAAGAAGACAAAAACCTCCAAAAAGTTCTAATACTGGGATCATCTCATTCTGGTAAATCAACTTTTTTTCGATCCGTTCAAAGATGCACTATTAGAAACTTTGATGATGACAAATTCGAATATAATTTACAACTTGCTAGTTTTTGGATTATTGAACGAATTTATTACTCGATGGATAAGGAGGAGGCAAAGCAGCAGTTAAGAAAAATAGTTGAACATCTTGATGAAGATATGGGAAATATATTCGAATCAACTACTGACGAAAGTTTTATCCAAAGGATACAAGATGATTCAGCATGTGGCTATTGGTAAAATTGTGGAATTGTCCATTCTTTAAAGAGTATTATGAATCAAACTGGGCTAAGAATGCAATGTTATATGAAAATGTGGAAGAGTTTGTCACAAGAATTGAAAGAAAGAAAATATTTGATCCTTTCTCATTAATTAAATTGAGAAGCAGTGGAATAACTTCTTATAGAACTATTTGGAATAATTCAAATGTTGAATTTCTTGATGCATTTGGAAGAAGATCTGAAAGAAGAAAGTGGATCTACTGTATTGAAAATATCAAAATTTTGATCTACACAGTCTCCCTTTCAGAATTTAATTTAGTGGAGTATAATAATGTAGAAGTGATGAATGATTCTTTGGAAATGATAGGAAAATTGTTTGGAAATGGGCTTCTTTCTGATGCTCGTAAAGTAATTCTCTTTACAAAGCCAGATATTCTGGTAAAGAAATTGCAGAAAAGAATGGAATATAGTAGGAAGATTAATTCAGTTGTGAGGCCAGAATTGGAAATAATTTCAAATGATTACAATGAAAGAATAGTTATTAATTCCATCATAACAGAATATTTGGAAAGAGTTTCATTTCATCTCGATTCTTATCATATTGTTAATGTAACTTCAGAAGAAGAAGTAAGATCAGTTACTGAACTAATCTTTGATAATGTCACCACTCCTTTTATTTCTCCATGTTTACTTCCAATCACCAATAGAATGATAACAACTATGTATAATATTTATCTGAGGAAATTACTGACTGACATTCAAATCATCACAACAATTAATGAACTATCTCCATAAAAATACATTTTCTATTCTTGTTTCAATAACCATCCACGTATTTCATCAAATAGCACCAAAGTACAAGCTGGTTTAATACTTGAAAGAATAGGGTATCCACCAGAGAGCCCTCTAAACAAACCTTTCACTCCTTGTTCTTTTCCAATGTTAAATAATTCTTTTAAGGTACCATTATAGAATTTCCTTTGAGATACAAGGTTGTGTGCTTTTTCAAATGCTTCTCTTTTAGCCATTCCAACTGGATAAATTGCTATTGTAGAAATAAGGGAAATTCCATGAGCCACACCAAGTTTTTCCACAAAGGAATGTTGATTCCTTCTCATTTCTTTCCAAATATCAAATAATCCAAAATATAAACCACCATAAATCATACTACATCACCAAGTCCATTAAAGCAAGCTCTAAATCCTGGTTTTAGATCACGATATTCATAAGTAGATAAAAAATCGAGAGGATGTTGGAAACTTCTTGTGGTAAGAACTGCTAGTCCACCAGATATGAATTGCATCAACATGTATTCCAATTGATTATTGACTGGAGAAAATTGTGGAAGAATTTTCTTGAATGATGCATGAAAAGCAAAGTTAAAGGCGACACCTGACACTTCTCTCAAATAAATTCCAACATTGAAAGCCCATAAGCCTCTAATCCCATTATTCTTAACAGTATTTACAAGATAATTGATTATTCCTGTATATTTTGGTTTATCAGAAAAAATGTCTTGTGTTCCCAAGTGGAATACAGCCCCTCTAATGGGATTTGTTATTGTACACGAGGCAAAATACACTCCTCCTGTGATGGAAAAGTCACGAAGGAATGCAAAGATGGGATAAGATTTTGGTTGCATCTCAGTTGCTGACATGTTTTTTTGCTTTGAAAAGTTCACCATTTCGTATGAAGATTGGAAATTTAAAGTGAACTTTGGTTATTTATTTTGGATTTTGATGATGTTTTCATGATTAATGAATTGATTCATATAAATTTTGATTTGATTGATAATTATTTTGATGGCACTTGTGTTCTTATATGGACTACATTGAGTGGTAACGATGGTGGTTAATTGAGGTAATTTAGAGTGTTTCAAGTAGGATTGAAATGTTTTCAATCCAAGAATTCTCTTAATACTGTTCATTCTAAATTCACAATTTTCAAAATCAATGTGTTGATAAATGTGTTATTGCACAATGATTAAGAAATTGAAGTTGGAGGAAAGATTTTTGAAGTCAAGAGAGCTAAGGTGAAAGATGTAAAGAGAATTGCAAGAAGAAGGCTGCTTGGGATAGTTTCAAATAAACTTTTCATTTAGGATATCTTGCAAAGCATTATCTTCTTTGAGAAATATGAAATTTGAATAATTTTGAGTATTCTGAGAGATGAAGATCATCAATGAATCTACTACGATTTTGATTTTCGCATGATCTGGATGGATCTCACACTCTCCACTACACACCACTCTATCATATCCCCAAAAGTACTATTCTTGATGATAACTATGAGTTTAAGATTCAAACTAGAAAGATGTACATTACAATCTATCGAAAGTGCAAGAAGTTGAAATATTCTTGTTGAAGATTAGAAATTCCATTAAAAATATAAAAAAATGTCATCACAATCACTTCCTCCAACCATGAGAGCCATTTACTATCAAAAATATGGAGGCTTGGACGTGTTGCAATATTCTGATCAATTTACTCCTGTTCCTTCCTTCGAGTCGAGTAAAAAATCATCAAAGGAATTGGAGAGGAGTGTTCTAGTTAAGATTGTCTATTCGAGTATTAATCCTTTTGATTATAAAATTAGGAGTGGTTTCTTTCAAAATATTCTCCTCGGAAAACCATCATTTCCATTGATACCTTCATCGGATATGAGTGGTATTGTGGTACAGACAGGATCATCAGCATCGAGATTTAAAGTTGGAGATGAAGTATTTGGAATTAATGGAGAAGGAGGATGTTTGGCTGAATATAATATTTTTCATGAGGAATCTATTGCATTGAAACCAAAGGAACTTTCACACGCTGAAGCAAGTACAATTCCGATGGTAGGATTGACTGCTCATCAAAGTTTAGTGAATATTGGAAAGGTAAAGAAGGGGTCAAGAGTTTTAATTTTGGGAGCTTCTGGAAATGTTGGATCTTATTGTGTTCAATACGCTAGAAATGTTTTAGAAGCAGAAGTTTATGCAGGATGCACAACTGATGCTGGTATGGAAATTGTGAAGGATTTGAAACCATTCTCAACATTTTCAATTTATGGAGATGCCAAAGTGGAGGATAAGAATGAAATTAAAGAAGGAGAAACTGTAAAAGATTTTGAATATAATACACCTGATGTGGATGTTATTATCGACCTTATTGGAGATAAGGATTTGAAGAAGAGAGCTTGGAAATTCCTCAGATCTAGACAATCAAAATATATACAAGTTGGTCTTGCTAATGAACCAATTTCACTTCTCAAAATGATATCTATTGGAACTTACAATTCATGGAGAAGGGTCATTTCAACTTTAGGTCTAGGTCCTGAATATGTCTTTTTCACAATCAATACTAAAAATCAATCGGATACACTCGAACAATTGGCAGAATATCACACCACTGGAAAGATACAAACACGAATTGCCGAAGCATTCAATGAAATGTCTTTGGAGAGTATCAAATCAGCATTTTCAATGGCCGAATCCAGAAATTCAAGAGGTAAAATCCTCATGCAAGTTTGCAAGTTGTTACCACAATATGATCGTTCAGTGGACTTTATCAATAGATCGAAATTACCTGCTCACTATCGTTTTGCACCAATAAAAACTTTATAAATCAGTTTGTTTTATTTTTTACCGCGTATTTTCAATATTTCCAGCCTTCTCTGGATTCCAGTGGTGAGTGGAAACAAGCCTGTATGTTCACCAACTTAAAAATAACAACAAAAAAAAACTGGACAAGGTGCTCTTGGATTAACCAACTACTTATTAAATAGGCTCTTTTCATCACAAGGCTTTGTAATTTACTCCGATATTTTGAATAACATACAACAAGATGATGAACCAATTCGACTCTACAATTTTTATTCCTACCAACAATATGATGCACAACTCGGATGGATCTTCTACTAATAGTGTGCTGCTAGGCTCTTCAAACAATAACAGCTATCTAGATCCAAGCCTCTATAGATCGAGTGTAGTGGAAGGAAGTCAACATATTCATATTGGACACTTTGCTTCTATGCCAATATTATTGTCCTTGCCATCATCCGATGACACCTCTTCTTCTGATAATTTAGTTGCTTCTGTGGATGGAATGACATGCTTTTTAGATCAAGAATATCAAGATTGTAAGAATAGGCTTTTAATGCAAAATTTTGTTCTTCCACGTTCATCCATTGCTTTGATTTCTCATCAACATGCTAGAAAAGAAGTTACTTCCTTCATCAAAGTTAGTAAGAGTATTTCAGTACTTGATAAACCAAGTGAAGAGTTAGGTGTTAGTAAGAATGAATTTTCATACTTGACTGATTTATGGGGTCAAATGTTTAAATTACCTCAAACAATGTTAAAATACAGTGGTAAACATGATAGTTTCTGGAGAGGTTCCATCTTTTCAAATCTTTACAGATTTATTACACGTGACTTTGAACATTTATTTGATGAGAATAGAGATTTTCAATTAACAAATCAAATGGAAAAGACAAAATTTGATGGATCTTTCTTCATTGGACTTAATCATCAAAGAAATAAGGAAATTCGTGAATTGACAAGAAGAGTTTCTCAAATTACAAGTCCAAAACCAATGCAACAACCTAATCCACTTCAAATTGAACAACATTTCCTTAATGGTACATTCCTTCCATTCTTCTGTTCTAGAGAATGTAACGATATTAATGGTAATCAATTTCAAGCAGAAAATGAATTGGCAATAATGTTGAAAGCTTTCCTTGAAGCTCAATATAACTTTTTCCAACAAAGTGGTGCCAAACCAAGAAAGAGATTTGTTACAGGTATTACATGTGTTGGTCCTCTAGTAACTTGTTATGTAATGAGAAGATTTTATACACTTGTTGAAAATTATGGTGAAGAAGTTTCAAAGAAATCTGAAAGTGTTGAACCAGTGTACATAATGCAATCCTTTGAAACATTTAACCTTTCAAATTATGACGATTTATTGAGATGTGCTAAATACATGACAGGTGTAAGAAAGTTTGCAGAAGTATTTTATAATGATATTAGAAATTGTTTGAGACATATCTGTGGTTTACCAATTATTAAGACTGTAACAACAACCAATAATGGAAATGAACAAAAGGGAATAACACCTGCATCTAACGGTTCTAATATTTCTCAACAAGATGGATCTTCTCTACAAACTTTGGATACTAATATGACCTTACAGACTCCACAGAAGGCTAAAGTTAAACAACAACAACAGGTTTCCTCTGCATCACCAAAATCTCAATCTAAGGAGAAGGTTGATTTGAAGAGAAAGCAAGCACCAGAAAGTTCTAAAGTTTCAGAAAGATCAGTTTCCATCGCAAATCAATCACAAAAGAAACAAAAAGTAGAGATTTCACCTGAAAGATCCACCAAAGAAGTTGAAGCAGCTCAAAAAGACTCTTTGAATACATCAGGTATTGAAGATTTAAGTCAAGTTTCAATGGTTGAATCTGGCAATGGAGATGATGCTCGTGTTGAATCTGGAAATTCTAGTGATTTGGATGAATAAATATGTACTAATTATATTGATACAAGATCAAAAGTTGAAAACAATCTAAACAATATCCTATCAGAATAAGTATTCAGAATAGTTGGTGTAATGCTCTTAGTTTCCAATTTTGCAGTTTTCACTTTATCTTGAGTGGAAAAAGTAAGGACCTTTCCATTACTCACCTCATTAACACCAAAAAATTCAAGTAAAATCTCATTCTTTGAAACATTCTATTGTTGTATTCACAATATGAGAAAAACAGCATTGTAAAAGCAAAGGCTTCAAGTTTTAAGCACAAGAAAAAAAATGTATCCACTCAAAGGCTTTGAAACATCATCAGATTTATCCAAACTCACCAATGATGATGGTTATCACCAATCGGAGGAGTCTCTCTTTGCCTCCTTCAAAAGAAAAGAATACCAATTACAAATGAATCCCTTCTCATCACCTTATGGAACATTGAACGAAGATCATGCATTTTACTATTCGGATTTGTTGGATATTATCAATCATGAACGTGATTTGAGCAGGAGAAGACACAGATTCAAAGTTATTTTACACGGAAGTAAAACAAAGCAAACTCGTCCATTGTTCCAACATAATGAGGCTCCCACAACTTGGACAAGTTCTTTGAGAATGACAATGAGAAGATATGCGATGATGGGCTTTGCACCAAGAGGATTGGATGAGAATTTTCAAATGATGGTTGAGTTGGGATTTGTCAATCACTTGCTCATGTTCATGACTCATTCCTACAGATACTTGTATGAAAAGAAGAAGTTTAAACATTTGAATTTACCAGTTGCTCCTGAGAATGTGGATTGTTTCATGTATGAAAAGAAGGATTTCTTAGATGAACATGCACATTATCCTGTGTATTCGGCTGAGCTTTTGAATTTTATTTTACTCACCTCAGATGAAAAAACTTTCAAGGCTATTATTGAAAGATATTTCACAGAAGAACAGAATGGACCAAATAGCTCTAAAATGATTAATGATGGAAGACATGTAGTTATGAACGGTGTTGGTGTCTTGTACAAGGTTTTGAAATATGGTGTGGTCACTCAACGTGATTTGGTCACAGGAATTATTAGAACAATTATTGACAGATGTGCAACGTTAGGTCTTGATATTCCTAATTTCATCCTACTCAATGAAACATATCCACTCAATGAGGCAATATTACAATTCATCAAGGACTATCAAAATCCTGAAAAAATGTGGAATGAATTTAATGAGGAAGGATTTTATCAAAGTGATATTTTCCCTAGTATGGATGCCGAGTATAATGAGGATGGCGCAAATAATGCTAGAAGATGGTTAATATCTTCATTGAAAAAAGCTTCCAAAACCATGCTTACTCTTACATTGACAGCAAAGAGAAAGGGATTAAGAAAAAGAATGTTCACACAAGCAATGCTGTTTGAATTGTTGGACTTGATCGACAATTTCCCACATGTTGACAATTTTATGACTCTATTTAGTTCTGTTAGAACCTTTTTGATTAACTTGTTCTCACTCTTCCTCTATGACGAGGAGAAGTTGGACCAAGACGGAAATATAGAACAGCCATTCGAAGTTGATTATCAATTATTAGAAGAACTCACAACTTTCCCAATTGAAAGATTCTGTAAGATGCTGACCAGAATTGATTTTGACCTATTCTATTCTATTTCAAATATTAAGAAATTAATGACTGAGTGTGAAAAGAATGATAGAGGGCTTGAGGATAGGTTATCAACAGCTTTGCAAAATATTATTGCAGAAGAGACGTCTTTGGTCTATGTGTTATCCTGGCTTTCACACAACCCAATATTGGCTTCCAAAATAGCTAATTTTGAAAATGGTATTCTTATTGATATGTTGATCAACTCAACAGTTATTGAAAAACAAAAGAGTGACAATACTAACATGAGGGGATACGATTCAGAAATCACTAATCGATCAAACGTAGTGTGTATTGTTGATGATTATGGAAAAGTGTTTCACATCACCATTCCAAGATTCGCCTCATCATACATAATATTGGGAAATATTCTTCAAGCAGTACCAGAGTTGAATGGAAAAATCAATGACGATGGACAATTTTATATTAGGTATTATGTGTCATTCATTGGTTCTAAAAGAAGTATTAATGATTTTGATGTTCAATTAAGGGATTACAACCAAGCAATTATTGGATACAAGAACACATTTGTAATTCTTAGTGATATCCTGGAAGAAAACTACCCAACCCCTGAAACAATTAGATCGGAAAGGGTGATAATAGCAAGTAATATTGCAGAGATGGCTATTCGATTGAATAACAAACACTTAGCAGAGAAATATGTTGTCTATGCCCTCAAATTAGATCCAAATCATGAAAAGAGTAAGAAGAGATTGGAAACAATTAAAAAACTTTAAATTTATGCTAGCTCCACACAACTCGATATTGCGTACAAATACCTCTAATAATTCGAGTTATCAAAATTTCAATATACCAATAATAACACACACTAATGAATTTCAACATTTGGTTTGGCACCCAAAGCTGCCTTAATTCTTCCATAAATAGCAAATTGACCAGCTGTTATAGCTCCAACCATAACAATTCTGGGTCCCAAGCCACGGAATAATCCACTTGGACCTAATTCCTTGACGAGCAACACCAATCTAGACGAAATGGATTGGTCACTTGCATTTTGCTTATTCATCATACTCAGTAAGGTATCTGCAGGTTGAGAAATAATTGCAGCACAGATACCAGCTGTTAAACCACTTCCCAAATCAACAAGGGTTTCATTTGTTGAGGAGAGTTCACTCTTTTGCTTTCCAATAATTGCCAAAATATTTGCCAAGGCAATTTCATAAGTGGCAAATTTGGTAATATTGTATGGAATTTGTTTCAATAGAATTGGGAAGAAACCAGAATAGAAACCCTTCAAGACACCTTCCTCTCTATATAATCTTGCAAATCCTCCAACTAATCCATTTGCAAAACTAGGTTGAGAAACTAGACGAATCCTAGTTGCCTCCAGAGGACACAAGAAAATATCGGCAATAAACTCAGCCATAGCAGAGGATGCAACATAAATTGAATTCTTATTCTCTCTAGCACGTTCCATTCCCAAATAATTTACAAATTTCTCCTTAAACACTTCATATCCACCAAATTTGAAAGCTCCCTGCATGAAATATCCAATAAAAGTTGGACCAATTCCAGTCAATAAAGCAGAAGCACCTTTCTCATTGACAACTTGTCTAAAAGTTGAAATCATTCCCTTATTGTACTGTTGAGGATATAATTGTTTGAGAGTTTTGACAACGTCAACAGGTGTGACAGCTCCATGGGTTACACCACATGAAATGGCTCCTGACAAGGCAAATCTTGAATACAAATCTATTCCTGTAACAGTTTGATTATTGTTTGATGACATTTTTTTTGAAATTTACTTTCAGTTGTGTAATTTGATGACTTTATTGAAAAGGATTCTGAAATTCCCTGATTTTCTAAAATTAACGCAAATTGATTGATAATTAACGTCCTCGTTAAAACTTTTACAATATTGTTCTGATGAGGTGGTAATACCAATTTAATAGTTTTTTCTATTTTTATGTTTCGTATGATCTTTAACTCCTTCAAACCAACAGAATAACAACACTAACAATAAATTTCTAGTATATATGATTTTTACAAGTTTTACAAATTTAATCTCTAAAGAATACTCTAGCTCCAGAGAATGAGAAGAATAACAATTCGAATTCTCTCTTATAACTCAAAATTCTGTTAAGGGTAAGGTTCATGGTTTGAAGCTCGTCATCATTTTGTATCATCTTTTCTCTTTCCTTTTCAGACATCTTCTTCTTATTGCCTTCATTCTTCTTTTGACTAAGTTCAGCCATTACACGTTTAGTATCTTCATATTCTTGCTTGAAAGTCATAGCCACACTTTCAAACCAATGCAAACTGTCGAATTTTTCATTTTGACACAAAACCTTCAAAATAAAAGCAACACCTAAAGCAAAACCATCATCGGTAAAGGAAGCTTCCTTCCCTGAACGTAACATCTTATCCTTAGAAATGAGCATTGTTTCAACAAAGCTCAGAGTAAGAGCTGGAATGATAATATAAAAGTTTCTCAAGTGGTTGTTTTGTTCCTTCAACAATTCATTCTTGAATACAGTTTCCAATGTCTTAAAGTAGTCACTTCTTTGAGATTGTGAAATCTTTGCCATATTCAAAACGACATTGTGTAAATTATTGGCAGCTTCAATAGTTTCTTGTGAGAAGACATCCTTACACAATACACTCATATTGTTGGCATCGTCTTCCTTCTTTTCTTCGGTTGCAGTAGTTGGTGGAACTGAACCATCAGTTGTGGCAGCATCTGGTGTTTCAATCTTCTTTTCTTCTTCATCTTCTTGAACATCTGGGAAACAATTCATTGGAACGAATTGAATAGCATCGTTAATATAACGCAAACCACCAGCACGAACCATTCTTACATAACCCAAAGCATTACCAATTTCAGTAATGAGAACTCTGAATTGATCAAGATAAGAAAGTCCACTTTGAGATGAAAGACCCAACTTTTTGATATCCTTAATGAATTTCTTGGCACTCTTGAGAGGGAATTTGTTGTCTAAACTCTTGAGAGCTTCATCCTTGTAGAATCTAATGTCCTTGAGGAGTCTGCTCTTAATGTGATCATCAAACAAGAATTGGGAGAAAATGTAGAGTTTCTTACCCAAAAATCTATACACAAAGTTGATGGTAGTATTCATAATACCAGTACCGTGAGTTCTGATCGAGTTGGCAATATGTTTAATGTGCAAAACATTGAGACTCTTGGCTTCGGATTTGGCACATTGTTCAATGAACATGTTCTGATTCAAATTGTAGGAGAATTTTGAAACAAAAACATGAATATTTCTGGTAATTTCAAGAACATCAAGACCTTGTTCCAAAGTTTGACCTGGCAAATAAACATTAATCAAGTTGAGTCCGTACTTTTCAAAGGCCAAATTACGCATTTCTTCATATGTCTTCCAATCGTGGAGAGCAATAATAGTAAAATCGTAGAATGTCTTGTCCAAGTATTTTTCAACAAGTCTCTTAATTTCAATGAGCTTGTTATGGAATCTGATTGGACCCAAAGTCTTGAAGAATGGAGACAAGTCCTTTGTTTGAGAGGCAATGGCCTTCTTCTTGAACACATTTGTATTGTGGATGTGCAATCTGAGATCAGTTTCAATTTCTTGACACAATGGATCAACGATATGAGCATTGAAATAGCTCATAATTTCATCAACATAATCATCTACAAGTGCCTTGCCGCCATCTTCCAAGTGAACAGCAACTGGTGTAATACCATCCTTACTTGACAAGAGTACATTGTAAAGAGGATCTTGCAGAGCAGACATCATGAGGTGAAGTTGAGGAGCACGAGATGGATTCTCATAAACCTTATCAAAGAAGGCTGGGATTACATTTCTATTCCAGTACAAGTAAGAACAGTCGCAGTATTCTCCCAACAAGACATCAAAATGAGCCAAAACTTCCAATCTCTTCATCAAAACCTTAACTTCCTCATATTCAGACTCCTTGAACAAACCAGAAGCACGTGAGAAAGCTACAGATAATGTGAGACTAAGCAAGACCAATCTCTTCTTACTTGGGTGTCCAGAATCAAGCAAGTGCAAAGCTAAGAGTACAGCACTCAATTGATCAGCATCAGCATTACTTTGCTTTTTCTTTGTTTGAAGTCTATTTCTGAGAACAACCAAGAATCTTTGAATCTTGAAAGTTAAGAATTCAGTAATGTAACTGATGTGCTTGGCAAGTTGAGGAGATTTTCTGTAAAAACTGTTTTGAATACTCTTTACCATTTCTACCATGCTACATAATTGTAAAACTTGTGACATGGACAAACTCTTTGCAGCAAGAATGTGCAAATAAATACCATTCTTAACAAGAGTATTGATTTGTTGAGCAAGTTCCAAACCTTGCAATAACAGTGAGCCTTCAACAGCAAGTACGTCTCTACCAGCAGAGGCCAACACATCAAAGTTGGACTCAAATCTACTTTGCCAAATGTTCATCTTCAAATTGAGTTGATTGACCATGTTAGGGAACAAGCTCTTAATTAAACCGTCCATATATTTACTTCTGTCGACTTCAATTTCTTTCTTTGGATTCTTGACACCTGAAAGTCTGACCATATCTGGTACCTTGGCAAGGAAAAATTCAGCAGAAGACCAAGCAGTATTACCATACAAGTGAATAATTGGACATTTTTTGTGGAATTCCCAGACTTGCTTGAAGAGCTTTTTCAAGGTTTGATTATCCATCCACAAATTAAAGTATAAAATGTAAAGACCACAAAATCCAACAAAATCAAATCTCTTTTCAAGTATCGATTCCAAGAATGTGGCGTTATTAGCGTTATTTCCTGAGAGAGAAGCAGTTCCTGAAGATTGAATATTAAATGTTGTTGTTGGTTGAGGAAGGACAGTTTTCAAAATTTCCTCGAATTGTAATTTCAAATGATGTTCAAATTCCATTTTAAGAATCTTATTCTTTTGAATAGCAATATTAAGTGATTCATATTTTTCTTGTGTTTCTCCACTTTCAGATTGAACTAATTGGGTATATGTTACAACATCTTCAAAAGCTTGGTTAATACATGATTTGAAGATTGAATCATCAAGAACATCTCCTTCAACTTTTTCTAATAAATAATAAACCTTTCCTACATTTTGCTTTGTGGTACCGTATCTCTCAGGTTCAGTCATAACTATAATGTGAGAAAATAATGATCAGTCTCAAATTAATTAACAACAATTAGATACATACCCTTACTGATCATTCTCTTGTAAAGAGTGAGCTGATGAGAGAAGGCACTGTTTTGAAGAATAATTTCATCCAAAGTTATCAAAACTCCTAATAATTCACCCAATGTTTCATATACTCTTTCAAAATGTGAATATTGACTTTGTGAACCACCAGGACCTCCCAAGTAAGTGGCCAAGTTTTTGTCATTTACATTAGTATCACAAAATAAGCTTGCCAGTTGTTGTATTGTTGATTTGACGACATAGTTAGATCTGGCACAGAAATTCCACAAATCCATAAGAAGTGGAATGGCACGTCCAAATTGTAATTGTTTTTCACCATCTAATTCATCTTGATCTTGAACAGTAACTCCGAAAAGTGAAAGTGCAGGGAAGAAGTGTTGTTTGGCAAATGTAGAAAGGAAGGACATTTCTTCACACAAGTGAGCAAAGACTAAAAGAACTTTACGAAGTATTTGATTTTCTGTTGAAATTTGTAACAATTCATCAAATCTAAGATTTTCATTTGGTGCAAAACTGAAACGAATCAAAGGTTGTGAACTTCCTATTAATTTTCCACAATGTTAATTTCCACAATCATCATCAAATAAATTACAAACATACCAATACTCCCCACAGCAGGCATACCCGATGCCGAACCAATTTGATATTGATCATGAGACTCCAACAATTGTGTAACAACATCATCATGAAAACTATCTTGCATATTTGATGATAACAATTGAAACTCATTTAAAAAAGTTTTAAAATTTTCATGATGTTGTTCTTGTGGAGTAAGATCGGCCGTCTCGATAAATTCATCATACAGATACGATGAGTTTGCAGCACTCCCGAAAGGATTCGCAGTCGATGGAGCAAAACTTGCTGGCATATTTTTTATGATGATATTTAATATTATAAATTTTTAAAATTAAAAAATTAAAAAAATTGTGATTGAGACTCCTCTTTTGACTCCGAAAGATTTTTTCCAATTTTTTTTTGTTCAAATCTAAGGAGGCTTTGATTTTGTTGTTTGAGTCGAAAAACTGCTTCAAATGATGATGAATTGTATATTAGTTCCGAGAGATGGTCATGTGCTGATGGCACTGTTGATGGTTGTGCTTCTTGTTGGGTTTCAAATGGCACCGATCGTGAATGGAGTGCAATTGACTATCAATCAGAAACAACAAGAACAGAGAAAATTCAAGATCGGAACGAATCGTATGGCGGATCCGTACAAGATTGCCACTTCTCAATATATTGTTCAATCAGTGTCAGAGACTGCTAGTGGTGTGAGTGGAAATTTAAGATTATTGGATGGGACTGGAGGTCCTTATGGGAAGGATATTCAAAATTTAAAGTTTAATATTACCTATGTTTCGGATTCAATTCTTCGTGTAAAAATTACTGATTTGGAAGGAAAGAGATGGCAAGCAGAACAATATGTGTTAAAGAAGGAAGTCTTGTCGAGGAGGATTTCTGCCAAACAATCCAAAAAGTATGCAATTGAAGTTGCCCAAACTGGTCAATCGTTTTATTTTACAATCAATAGAGTTGGATCAAGTATTCCTGTATTTACGACAAAGGGTTTGCCATTTGTGTTTAGTGATCAATATATTTCAATTGGTACCACTTTGTTCTCCACTCAAACAGGTGATGCTCCAAATATTTATGGTTTTGGTGAGAGAATCGACAGAATGAGTTTGAATATCACAAATAATGAATACGTCATGTGGAATAATGATAATGGTAATCAAGAAAAGATGAATCTCTATGGATCTCATCCATTCTACTTACAAGCTGGTACTTATTCAAATGCTCATGGTGCCTTCTTGCTCAATACCAATGCTATGAGTGTTAGAATTGAATTCAACAATAATGCAAAATATATTCAATATCAAACTATTGGAGGTATTTTGGATTTCTACTTCTTCCTTGGTCCAACTGCTGAACAAGTTATTCAACAATACCACTCAATTATTGGAAAGCCATATTTGCCTCCTCTCTGGTCAATGGGGTTCCATCAATGCAGGTGGGGTTATAGAACTCTTGATGAAGTGCAAAAAGTTGTTGCTGGATACGATGCCAACCAATTGCCACTCGAAGTCATGTGGACTGATATTGACTACATGTACAAGTATTGGGACTTTACATTTGATCCAGATCGTTACCCAATCAATGATGTTAGACAATTCGTTACCAATGAGTTGCACAACAAGGGTCGTAAATATGTTGTTATTGTAGATCCTGGTATTCCAATCCTTGATTTGAATAAGGAAACTTATGAACCATTAGAGTTGGGTCTTTCTTTGGATATTTTTGTTAAGGGTGCCAATAGCTCCAATTATGTGAATCATGTTGTTTGGCCTGGAAACTGCTATTTCCCTGATATGACTCATCCAAAGTTCAAGAATCAATATTGGAAACCAGTAATTCATGGTTTTTTGAGTACAATTAATCTTGATGGATTGTGGACTGATATGAACGAACCAGCAACATTGGACTTTTTCGTTCCTGCTCAAAATTCATTGAATTTCCCTCCATTTGTCCCAGGTGGAGATAACGAACCTCTCTATCACAAGAGTATTGACCTTGACTCCCAAATGAGTGCCAGTACACATTACAATGCTCACAATTTATACGGATTTTTAGAGTCAATTGCTACAGCTGAAGCTTTGCAATCTTACTATGGAAAAAGATCATTTGTCTTGTCTAGAAGTAGTTATGCTGGTAGTGGAGCCTATGTTTCTCACTGGACAGGTGATAATGATTCTACATTTGAAAGTCTTAGAAGTTCAATTCCATCCATCATCTTGAATGGTATGTTTGGTTTTGCACATGTTGGCTCTGATATTGGAGGTTTCAATCAAAACACAACAAAGGAGCTTTTAATTAGATGGATGCAAGTTGGATCCATGTATCCATTCTCAAGAAACCATAATGCTATTGGAAATCGTCCTCAAGAACCATTTGCTTTCGATCAGGAAACAACTGACATTTCTAGAAAATTCATTACCAACAGATATAGATTATTGCCATACCTCTACACCACAATGGCTCAAGTCAGTATGAATGGAGGTTTAGCAGCTCGCCCACTCTTCTTCTCATTCCCTAATGAAAAAAGTACATACACCATTGAGGAGCAATTCATGTATGGTGAAGCTTTGCTTGTTTCACCAGCTCTTTACTACTCACAAACAGTTGTCACAGCCTACTTCCCAAAAGCAGTTTGGTATGATTTCTTTAATGGAAAGTTACAAACCAATACTGGTGGAGTGACTATTCAATTACCTGCTGATCTTCACACAATGCCTATTTCAATTAAGGGAGGAAGTATTGTTCCAACTCAAACACCAGGTATGAATACTGTCCAACAATTGTTGAATCCATACCAATTGATTGTTGCTCTCGATGCAAATCAAACTGCAAGTGGAATGTTGTACTTGGATGACGGTGAAACATTAGATACCTTGGAAGATCAACTCTACACTACAATTCAATATTCAGTTTCAAGCAATTCAAAGACTTACTCCTTTAAAGGTATTCCAACCAATTTGGGATACAATAACGCCAAACAATTAATTCTCGACCAAGTGATCATGTATGGTTTGAATAATGGAAATAGTGTCAATTCTGTTATTGTTAATGGAGCTGCCATCAATACTTTCACTTTCGATTATTCTGATAGAGTTTTAAAGATTGTTGGCCTCAATCTCTCCATCACATCAATCCTCAATGTACAAATTATCATGACATAATAAATAATTTATTTCTTTCTAAAGACTGGGAGTGGAATTCTTACATCTTCGACTTCGTAATCCTTACCAACAATACTGTTATTAATTTCTGTATCAACACTTCCATTGAAAGGACACAAACAATCACCATTATCAGCAGTCCAAGGTTTAACATCTGGATTTTCGGCCTCCTTCGATGATTGAGCACGCAACCAGAAAGCTCTATCGAATGACTTGAGTAACATGTAATCATATTTACCATTGGCATCAAAGTAGAGTGGTTTGCACTTTTGAATAGTATGTACAAATTCGTCCAACATTTTGTGAGTCTTGAAAGTAACTGATTTACCTGCCACGAACTTTTTCAATTCTTCACTACAATCGCTGTTAATAATGGCATCTTGAATAGTTGGTTCGAGATGATATCTCATATCACAGACACCATCATTCTTCAGACGATCCATGTATACACGCAATGGACCCTTAATATTCTTTTCAAATTCAGCTCTGAGGCCAAGATATTCAAGAACAGCACTGACAAAGTGTTGACAGTTACAGGCCTTGTTATCATAAGTCTTGTGAGCATTCCAGTGAGCACAAATAGAAGCAATCTTATCAATAGATTTAGCAACATTTTCCAATCCCATAACCTTAGCAACATCAACTGCAAAAACAGCCTTGGAACTAGATTTACTTCTAACAACGGCAATAGATGAATCACCCCATTCCAAATACCAAGGTCCAATAATTAAAGCAGTGTGGAACATTCCGTATTCCATTTGTTGAATTGTTGAGTGCTTGAATAAAGAGCCGAATCTTCTGACGAAACGGTGAGCAGCACCGTCACCCATTTCAGTGACAACCATCTTAACCTTCATAAATGGTTGATCCTTTGCTCTTTGATTTGCATAGATTGGCAAACGTTGTGGATTAAGATACTTGTAACGGAATCTTTCTGGGAAGGTCAAATTTTGACAAATAGTACTAATAATGTTAGTATCATATTGTGCTTTCAGATTATCCAACTTGGTGAGACAGAATTCAAAGTCTACGTCACTAGTCAACCAATAATATTTCAATTTTGAAACTTACTTGTCTTTTGATTAGCAGAAAATTCGTTAATACTCCACAATGGTGCTTCAGGTACTTGATTAAATGATTGAATACCAGTTGAAGCACTCTTACTTCCAAAATTACTTGCTCCTGATGTAGTACCCATATTGATACCTGTTGTTGGACGATCTTCCAAATCACGTGCAAGTTCTTTATCATCTTCCTCTTCTTCATCTGTCTTTTGATTTGGTTTAGAAAGAATTTCATTATATTTGCTATTTGGATCGACTGGAGAATCTCCAACTTCATCATCATCATAGGATGGTGGTTTTGAAGAAGGAGCATTTGTGGTTGGAGTTGTTGGGAGTGGTCTATTTGTTTGTGGTTGGCCAGTTGTTGATGTGGTAGCCATGGATGGTAATTGTACAACGGAATCTTGGAGAAGTCCTGTTTGAATTTGTTTGATCTTTAACTCTTCAATTTTGTTAAAGATTGAGAGTGCACTTCCTTTAGGAATACCACTATCAGTAAAATCTTCCACTTTGATGTGCATCAGTGCAGCACCATCAAATTGTTGTTTGGCCAGTGCTGTTTTAATTGTATAATAATAATAATAATAAACCAAGCGTATGTAAATATATATTAAATAATATAATAATAATAATAAAATTGTTTTTTCAAATGTTGTTGTTGTTGTTAATTGTTAATTGTTAATATCACGACATTTGTATTTCATTATGTTGTTGTTATTATTCATCAAACATCATCACACAAATTGATGATCGGTAAGTTATTCATCACCACATGATGATTCAAAGTGTCCATTTATGATTTAGAGACAATGTAAAATAGATAAAAACATACGTGTAACAACATTCTTCTTTTCATAGCCTTCATCGGTGAGCCATTGTTTAAAGTTATCGCTAGTCCAATTCTTTAATGGTACATCTTCAATATTTACTGATTTGGAGGCACGAGAGCTGAAAAACTATAATTTCCAGAATACATCATTGTTGTGGATTATGAAAATAAACGAACCTTCTTCATGATGATGTGGTTGTATTGTTAATTGGTGGGGAAGAAATGGCACGAAGAAATTTGAGATTTTTTTAAATAATATTTTCCAAAGTTTTGTGGGTGACGAGTTCACATGTCTGTTGACATTTAAGCATTATCCACAAAAACTTTACATTCCTATATTGTGTGGTTGAAACGTAATATTAAATTGTAAAGTTTAAATAATAGAGACTATGAGATGAGGGAATCTTCAACTGAGAACAATCTAAAACTCATTTCTGACTCAGTTGACATTTTGTGGAAAATATCAAGTCGAGAATCTTTTTGAAAACTGGTAGTTCTTTATTGAAGGTCTTGTAAAAGTTTTTCATATTCAAGGAAATCATTCTCTCTTTCTTCTGCGAGTGAGTCTTTAATAGATGATCTTCTTGATCGTACCTTAGTGGATTTCTTTTTTGGAGATCTTGAGGATGTTTCTATTAGTGGATTTCCACTGTCTTCTCGAAGTGTCAGTTCAAGACCTTTTCTAACTAGATTTTCCATATAAAAAGCAGGAATGAAAGTAACAGATTTTTTCTTTTGGAGCTCTATTTTTGCTCTTTCAATTTCTTCCTCTTCCTCAATGATGTCTATTTGTTTGGCAATGATTTGGTTGGTTATGTCTGCATTAAGTACAGATCTTTTGTGAATTTCTGTAAATTTCTTATTTTGTTCATTAAGAGCAATAACATTTCTTTCTTGTCTTTTTTCATTTTCTTTTTCTTCAACTTGGATTTGATTCATTCTACGTGCAAGATCTTCTCTAACAATCTTCATTCTAATTTCATCTTTAGTCTTTGTTGCTCTCTTTCTTGGAGTTATTCTTAACATTCTACCAACTTTTAAAATTATATCACTTTTCAGTGATCCTTGTTCTATGATATGTATTAAATATGGGAAATCATCCAATCCCTTGTTCCATTTATCACTTCCTTTGAGGACGGAATCTACAGTTGAGAGGAATGAGAATTTTCTTCCTCGAGGGGAATTACTCTTTGTTTCGGATTTTGAAGTAGAGGAGTCTCTCAATTCATCCATTACAAACTTTTGAACAGCTTTGAGATTCTTCTTTGCTTCTGTAATGGCTAATTTGGTTCTCCTTACGCCACTTGTATCATCTGAAAATCCACTGTTGGCATTATGTGTGGGAGAGGCATTTTGTTTTCTTTGAATAGCTCTGGTTTCTGTGGCATTTACTGGTTCTTCAAAGAATGCTGTTTCCTTCATCTTTTTCAAGACATCAACAATTTTAAATCTCACTTCTTGGAAATCTTCCTTAGCTATGCTCTTAATAAGGTCTCTCTCACATCGCTTGTACTGTTCATTAAGAATGTACAAATGTATTCTTCTCTTAAACAAAAAGTGCTTAATAAATCTTTGAACTCTCTTGACTGCTGTAACGAATCTGGATACAGCTCTAACAATTCTACTCGTCTTGTTGATGTCATTAATAAATCTTTCAATAAGGTTGGCAGCACGTTTCCTCCGTCTAACCCTAAAGTTAATGACATAGATAAGCCAATTTTTACGAATAACTTCGAGAGCAGCTTTTTGTCTCTGCTCCCTTCTTTTAAGAATGTAAGGCAAGAGTCTCTTTTTCATAATGCAGTGGGCCCATTCCACGTCTGCATTGTGTTTTCTGACTTGTCTTGCTTTGAGCATTGGTTCGCTTAGCTGGGTAATAAATAGAGAGAATTTGATAATAGGAAACCAAGTCTTTTGCAGTTTCCACATTTTCTGTTTGTAAAGTTTGGACATTTTCTCACTTGTTGCATTTTGTCTCCTTTTTTCCTTTTCTTCAAATTTGGTTTCAAGTATTTCAAACCGTTTCTTCTCTTGTTCTTGAAAAGTGACCAGGGCTCTTTCTCTTCTGTCTGCGAATTTATCTTTTACACAGTCCTTCTTTGATTGTATTGACTCGAATGATTGCCTGGCAGTATTTAACTTGATATGATCTTGGATATTTAGTTTCTTTTCCTTTTCCTTCATCTCCTTCTTAATTTCCTTTACTCTATTCTCTAGCTCTGTATACTTCCAAGAGTATTTTTTAATTTCTGCAATCCTTTCATCAAGAATCTTTTGGTTGATTTTTCGTCTCTTTTCCTTTCCTAGTGTAAGTGGTCTGTGCTCAGCAGCTTTTTTAGAAAAATGAGCTTCCTCTTCAGAATCACTAGATTTGGTATCATTCTTAGTCTGTGTAATATCTTGCTTAAAATTCTTAATTATATTGATGATATCATCTTCTGTTTCAACCTGCTTTTTTTGAGTAAAATCTTCCAAAAAAGTTTTACTAACTTCGAAACCAAAAAACGATGGATTTTGTTCTATAATATATCTTGAAATTTCTTCACTGTTTTTCTTTGCAGTTTTCATTGCAGCCTTAGATCCGTAGCCACTAATGAGTTCGACTGATTGTTTTAAATCAGCCATTTTTTCAATGGCCTGAGCATCATTGATAACTGAATCATATATTTGTTTCTCTTGACTAGTTTGAATATTATTACCCCAACTGTCCATAACTTGATTGATGGATTTTGTGATATTACTGAATTGGAAGGTTTTAGAATCTGTTAATTTTTCTTTTGGTTTTTGATCAGAGCCTCCCTTAGTGTCAATTATTGGAATGTTAAGATCTATTCGTATATTTTCATCTTCATGGAATGTGATAGGAATATCTATCGTTGAGTAGACAATTTCCTTTTCCATCAGATTTATGGAGGTTACCGTTTCTTGAATTTCTTCCACCTCAAGTTGGTTATTTTTCTGCTTATCTGATTTGATCAGATTGGTAAACGCCTTGTTTTGCCTTTCTGCTGCTTTTGCAAAACTGGTTGTGTTAAACTTGTTTCGAGACAATAAAAAGTCATTTCTAATCTGTGGTGAGGAATGAATTCCCATCTTTTTGCTAGAAGGACTTCTCTGTAACTGATTTTTAGTTTTAGGAAGGGCGAGAATGTGGGTTTTAAGGACAGCAGTAGAGTCCATTAGGGCTGACTCAAACTCCTCCCCTAAGCCGAATGTTTCCGATGAGAATTGTGCAGATGATTTAAAAACACTCTGTCTTCTATTACTGGATGAAGATGGAGTTTGTTTGTTTTGAGGTGTCGTTGTTTTGGAGCTAGGTTGGGATTTTTCATTGAGGGCTACAGTTATATTCAATTGACTCGTTGTAGCATTAAAGTTTGTTGGGGTACTCGATGGGGTACTGCTTCTACTGGAAACAAAGCTTCCTGTTCGTGATAGGGTTGGTTTCTTTTCTTCAGCTTTCTTTTTGGTAGTATCAATTTTCAATTCACTCAAGTCTACTTCATATGGTTTAATATCCAATTCTTCAGAATCAGAGTCGCTAGCTTCTTCAATACAAGGGGTGGTTCTATTACTTGCAGTATTGGATTGAGAGGGATTTTTTACAGAGGATGTAGATGTAGACTTTTTCATACTAGCAGAACTATCAAACGATGATGAGGAGCTGTACTGTTGTGTAGGTTTGAGATTACTATACTTTCTGGGAGTATTGGCGACCTTCTTTTCAATACTTTCCGATGTGGGAAGCGAGGTGCGAGAAAGGCCATGAGGGGAGGTCAGCTCAGAAACTCTACTAAATTTAGGTTGGGATGCAGATACAATGGGTTTCTCTGATTTCTCATTCTGTAGACTTCCAGCAAATCTTGGTGTTTCAGTAACTCTACTTTTTTTTGAATATCGCATTGATGAGGAAGTAGATGAAGACCATGGCCTTGCACTTTGTACTACTGCCGATCTTGGTCTAGGATTTTTATGTTTCAAATCTCCGCTATATTCTTGTCTAGATTTGTTATCTTCATTTTCATCATCTGATTCCTGTCCTAGTTGTGTTGTAAATGTTTTTTGAAAAGGGGGTCTCCCTTTCTTTTGTTCCAACATGTTTTTTTCAATTATTTCTCTAAAATTTTCATTTGATAGCCCTATTTTGAAAGTACTGCTGCTCTTGGCTATTGAAACTGCTGACCTAGAGGCTGATGTAGGCCTAGAATTAGTTATATTCTTATTACTTGCCACAATTTTACTTGATGGTGAGGGAGAGGGTGATCTTGCATAGGGTAGTGGAGATGTTGAAATTCTTAGGAAGCACTTAGTTTTATCAATTTCTTTGGACTGTTTCATACTATCCTTTTTGAAAATTCTATTTACACAACTAGCAGATGCTGGTCTGCTATTATATTTAATAACTGCCTCATCGGATAGTTCTTTAGGTATTTCTGTAGTTGATTTAAAGTTAGGATAGAACAACACAGGTTCCGGAGCAAAAGTCTTTCTGGTCACTCCAGCACTAGCTGGCCTTTTAGTTTGATTCATATAATATGTTCTTATACAATTATATATTTCAAAGAAAGAGAATAATATTTTGATTACAATTTGATGACGATAACTTTGAAGAGATGATGAATAATGTTCTAGTAAGAGTTTTGCATTTTTCTTTTTAAAAGTTTTAAATTTTGGCGCCAAATCAGTCCACTTTACAGCAGTGTTTTGTTCAATAACGCATAACAATCCCAGAAGAAATTTTATGATCCGTTCAGATGCAATTGGCAACAGTGTTCATTTGTATTAAGTGAAAATACATTAATAATATCATTTTTACAATGAATAGTACTTTAGTGGTTATATGTTTACAAAAGAATCAATGATTAACTGCTTTCTACACCGTAAATTAAGAGCGCAATATTTTATTAAGCTTTGCCCTCCTTATTGATTACATGGATTGAGTCTTGTCTGCAGCAGAGAGATGCGACAAGTTCAAAAAAATTGGCAACATTATAACCACATAGTATGGGAATGAGTAAAATTACACCCTCTCCCTCCAATGAATCTCTAGAAGTTGTAAGGAAGGAAAATTTAACGAATTCAAGATCCTCCTGGCAGAGAACTCGTCAAGAGGATTCACAAGGGCATTTGGCTCATGGAGTGAATATGCGGGATTCTGTTGAGGAAATATTTACTAGTAAAAATCAAGTGTTGAAAACAGCCGATTCCAAGATTGATAAGGAAGAGGTAAAAGTGGAGCTTCATGATAATCATAGGGATGTAGCAAAATCTTTGAAAAAGATTCTCTCCATCAAATGCTGCTTTTCCCTTAGTATTGTTTTGCTATCATTAATTTCAACACTCACCATCTTTGCCATCACACTTTCTGTACAACAACAGTCTATTGAGGAATTTACCAAAGTGATGGGTTCTAATTTAAAATTTTCAGCATCAGAATTTATTTCCAATTTTATGGCAGCTCCTTTCAGAATTACAGAGAGCGTGGGAAGAAGTTTGTACAATGAGGAAATTGTACCGTTCGAGTACAGTAAGATTTATTCAACACTTTTTGCTCAATTTGTGGTGAATAACGTCTCATATGTGTCATATACTAGAAAGGATGACCTTTATATTGGCTTGTTTTGGTCTGATAGAGGGCTACCAGCTATAGATGTTTATCGAGATGGTTGTTGGGTTAATGGAACCTATGAGGTGACTAGTATTGATGCAAGGACTGATGTCGTTCCTGATCCAGTTGATTATTGTGACAATTATTATGTGAACCACTTGGACGATTTGTATTGGTGGAAGCAGGGAAACATACTAGGTAAAATAACATGGGGGGATGCCTATTGTGATAAGGATGGTTTTTATTGGGTCAGTTCCTATTTTCCAATCAAGAATGAAAGTAATATTGTTTTAAACAAGTACACCAAAACACTGGAGCCTGAAATGAATGTATTGATATCAGTGGATATGGATCTTGCAAGTGTTTCTATATTTTTGTATCAAAATTTAGAAATTAGTAAGAACTCGTTTATCTATGTTGTCCAAAGCAAGGATATGGTTATTGTTGCCACTTCCAAATTGAACGATACAATTTTTATATTTGATTTGGAGGCAGAAGGGTTTATTCAAAAAAAGAGATTGAATGAAAGTAGTATCCCAACTGTTGCCAAGATTGGATCTGAATTGATTCACACATATGGAACTTCTTTGGTAAATGTCTCAATTCCATTAACAAAATTCTACGTCAATGGAGCAGAGTACAGATTAGAGGTGGTAGACATTAAAGACAAGTACGGTTTGGATTGGAAGTGTATGATTTTCATTGCAATAGACGACTACATGGGAAATGTGTATACATTGAGAGATGTTGTGTTAATAGTAGATTCTTTGGTGGTAGTTATTTCTTTGGTGGTGGGAATTATAATTTCTTATTTTGTAACCAGTCCATTAACACAACTGGGAAAGAAAATGGAGGAATTGCAAAATATTCAAATTGATACCGCTGATTTGATTAGTGAAGTTACTTCTAGAGCTTCAGAATCTGATAGAAATGATCAAGAACAAGATATGGACTTGGAAAAGGTTGAGGATCAAGGAAGAAACTCTATATTTTATGAAGTTTTTGTTTTGCAGGACCACTTTTCAAGAATGAGCTCTGTAATGAAGGGATTTATGAAATATGTACCAGTGGAAATTGTCAGCACATTTATGAAAGGGGATCAATCAAGTTTTGAGCTAGGTGTAAGGAGCAAGAAAATGGCTATATTTTTCAGTGATATTAAGGGATTTACAACTATTTCAGAACAATTGGAACCAGGTGTGCTTATCAAAATGTTGAATATTTATTTTGAAAAGACTTGTACCATCATTTACAAAAATAAGGGAGTTTTGGACAAATTTATTGGTATGTTTATTAAGATACTATAATTTAAATATAATTTGAAAATAGGTGATGCGTTGATGGTTCTATTCAATGCTCCAGATACTATTGAAAAGTATGAATATTTGGCAGTTAAGTCAGCTCTTGATATTCAGAAAATGCTAAATCTTCTCAACAAGAGATTTATCAAGCATAACTTGCCTCAATTATATACAAGAATTGGAATAAGTGTTGGTAAGTATTTAGTGGTTCTAATCTTTCAAAATGTAATTAGGTGATTGCCTTGTGGGAAATATTGGATCTAGTTATAGATATTCATACACTTGCATTGGAGATACTGTGAATTTGGCTGCAAGATTAGAAGGAATTAACAAGCTCTATTCAACCAATATGCTTATCTCTGATACTTGTTATGAAAAGGTAAAGACATTAGTTGTTTGCAGACTGATTGACTGCGTTGCTGTTAAAGGAAAAGCAATTGGAAGAAGAATCTATTCTCCAGTCGGTCAAAGATTAGAAATTGGAGATGAAGTACAAAGAATGTGTGATCGTTATGCAACCATTCTAGAAACCCATTATTGGAAGAGAGATTTTAAAACAGCCCTAAAAGAATTTGAGATATTCCTTGAAGAGTATCCAGATGATGGACCATCTCAAGAAATGATGTCAAGATGTTGCATGTATATGAGTGGTGAATTACCAATGCCTCCTGAAAATTGGACAGGAGTCTATATGGCCACAGAAAAGTAATTTTTGAGTATGGTGAATGGCCGCAACTTCTCAATCCGAAGTTAACATTTCGTACAAATGAATCAGGCACAGAAAAGTAATGTTTCTCTTTCTAATGTTCAATTTCAATGATGGAGGGGTTTTCTTCTTCTACCGAGTAAATGTCTTCCACAAATTCGCCAGAGATTAAGGAAAGACGATCTTGAAATTCTGTTTTAATTTCAGATGGCAAGATTTTGCTTGTTGAAAGATGTAGAAGACCCTCAACTCCAAATCTATTAAGTGAAATATCAAGAATTTCAATATTTTTCAAGTTTACACTCTCAGATATTTCTTTAGCTCCCAAATTGTGAATTCTATTCCCTCTTAAATAAAGTTCTTTCAAATTCTTCAAATGTTGACAAATGACCTTACACCCATAAGATTCAATCATATTAAACGAAAGGAATAGAAAATTCAATTTTTCCAAGCATTTTGACTGAGCCAAATAGGATGCTCCTCTTGAGGTTAATACATTACTATTCAAATTGATCTTTGTTAAATTCTTGAGTTTGTTTGATTTGTAGATATTCTTTGCTCCCTCATCACTCACATTGTTATTACTCAAATTAATACTTGTCAAATTTTCCAAATAATCTGAATTGAATAGTGTATTCACACCATTATCACCAATACTTTTAGCTCCATGACGATATGAAACCTTCCCTGCCATATTTAAAATGACAAGATTTTTAAGGAATGGGCAGTTGGCAATAAAATGGGTTGCCTCCTCAAAATATTCATTGTAACCAATATTCAATTCGGTCAAATTTGATAAAACTCTTTCTGAAGCCACCAACCATTCGATTGCATCATTGTCGAGTTTGTTTCCAAATAGATCCAGAGCTTTCAGTCGTGGGAATGTCTCACACGCAATCAATGAAATCATACTTTCTGCATCCAATCTATTCTGAGCTAATGATAATCTTGTCAAATTGGGAAAATTTGACCAATCCATGTTACTAGTCAATTGTAAAAAACCTTCCTTTCCAATATTTGGAGCTTCGTGTGAACCACTCAAATCCAAAACCTGCAATTTTTTCAAAGTAAAACTTCCCATCATTGAAGCTCCATCCACTCCAATCCTATTCGATCTCAAATTCAAATATTCCACATTATTGAAATAATAGACCAAGGCAACAGTTGAAATCTTTTTTGTTTGTCTATTAATTTCTCCCCTCATCACATCCTTGAAATCCTTAGCTTTTCTATTACGATGATTAATCACATAGACTGGCTCCTCAATTTGTAACAAGGTCAAATCAGAGACACAACAAGAGAATGATCCACTCTTCACACAATCAACAAATGATTCTGAAATTTCATCACCAGAGAAACACAAATCCAACTCGAGTCGATCCATCTGTTTGGTGATCAGTTCATTCCACTCCTTACATATCAATCTTCCCACAGAAAACAACCAATAAATATCAAAGAAATGCAAGAATACATGTGTTAGCACATCATCGGGAATGTTCACAAAGTTTTGAGTGATTGGAAAGAAGGCCGATTGTTTTTGTCGTTTCACAGTTTGATTCTCAACACAACAACAACCTGAATCATTGGCAGTTGATTTTTCCTGCTGTTGAAGATTTCTTTGCTGTTGTGTTCGAGTAATTTCTTCGTCGCCAAATGGATAGACTCTCTTCATGCTTGTGGAGTTGCAGAATTTTTTTCTTATTGTAATTGAAGGTGAAGTGAATACTATTCAATTCGAAAACAGTATAGTTCAATTTAGATTCATAAGAAGCTTATGGTTTATTACTGTGAAAACTCTGTTATGGAAAGAGTTGGTTTACCAAGGGCTTGTCGTTGTTGTTTGATAAAGGTAAGCTCTTTTTGTGCGGCTCTGATACTTGCTGGGGAAAGTTGTAAGTTGACTAGGGTGTTGTTTTGGATGAGTACTTTGGATCTGTCTGGAGAAATGAAGACATTTCTCAAAATACAGCTAGCAAGTCTTTCATTAGGGAATATGTGATTAAAGCAAACATCAAATCCTAAATGTAAATGTTTCAACTTTTGACAATTTCTCATTATTGACAATAAGTCAACTTTAAAGTGGCTCACCAACGCCAGGTATCTGAGTTCCTTTAACTGATCAACTCTGAGATTCTCATCGAAGCTACCATTAGAAAGGACATTAATATAGAGTTTTGTTAACTTGGACAAACTAGTAGGAAGGTTTCTCAATACTGTTAGTGGGAGTTCAGAGACTTCAATCTTCAAAACTTCCAAATTACGCAATTTCAATAGTACATCATATTGATTTGGATCACTCACAAATATCTTTTCAAAGTGCAAACTCTTCAAATTGACCATTTTAGATATAGCTTGCAAAGTGTGATTAGGAAGCATACAATTATACAATCTTATCTTCGTAAGAGTATTGGTGAATGCTAAACAATCGACTGGTCTATTAGTTCCAGGTCTCATGGATACTTTGAAAGGAACGTATCCCTTAATATCGACAATCTTCAGTTTTTCCAAAACTCTACAATTTCTATAAACTTCTCTCAAAAAGCAAGATCCCTCAGATCGAGCTCTTCTCTTCAAACCAATAACGTGACTATTCTCGTCTTCGATAAGCTCAAAGCTTGATAAATCAACTTCATCTTCCGAGGACAGATAACCCATTACATCAGTTTGATTAGGTTTTCCATTCTGTTCGTCAGACATCATTGAGATGGCAAGATTAGAGACATTTTTAGATAAATTAGTACTTCTGTTGTAATAAATAAATGTTTTAAGAGCATTTCCAAGCTTTTTCAGATAACCAGTTTCACATTCCAATGGTTGGTTTGTTCTTCTTTCTATTGTAAGGCTTTGGATGTTGCAATTAATTGCTCCATGGTTATTAGTTTCATCTAGAGTTAAAGGACTATGTTGCTCAATTGTAACAAATTTGAATAATGGCAGAATTTGGTTATTATACCTAAATCTACCATACATATTTCTGATATCAGTAAACCAATAGTCCTTACCAGAAAAACTCAAAAATTCGAAAATATGTAAAACACAATCTGGCTCTAGTTGATGTAAAACACTTGACAGTGCTTCCAAATTTTCCACTTTTGACAACATTTTTCTCTTCTTGGTAGAATTATCAGTGGTTGAAGAAGTATTATCGTCTGACATTTGTTCATCCTCATCACTTCCTTCCATACGTCTCTTGTGACTTTTTCTCTCCAATTTATCTTGTAATCTCAATTCGGCTTCAACCTTATCCTCTTCGCATCCACACGTTAAACAAACACTCTCATCACAATTTTCAACACTAATTTCTTCAGCTTCATGCGAGAAACTTCTCTTCTTGAAATCAAGAGCATGTTTTGGAGAAGTAGTCAGCAGTGATGGATTATTATTTGGTCCATATTCTTCTTCTTCTTGTTTCTTCAAGTAATAGGCAGAGGTTGGAATGGTTGGGTGATGATCGTCAATAATGGTAGATAATGAAGGAGGCTCCAACAAGAGTACACTAGCAGGAGCGTCGAGTAATTCCTGATTCTTATTTACAATTTGTTCTTGTTGGGATTTTGTTGTGGTAGAGGAGGTATTAGTCTTATTACTGGCTGAGGATGATGATCGTTTTCTTTGACTACTAATACTATCCGAATTATTGTTACATGTCGATGAATTATAATTATAGGAGGAAGAGCATTGGTTAGGAACAAAAACATTGTTACTAACTGATGATGATAATTGCTGTTGTTGTTGTTGCTGCAAATTGTTAGAACATGAATGTGAGGATGAGGAGGAACAATTTGAACAACCACTATTAGTAGTAGTAGTAGTATTGTTGTTTGCAATTGTCTGTTGTTGATGAACACTTGCATTATTATTGGTTATAATTACTTTTGATGGTTTTTGGTTATACTGATTATCTTCATAGGGATGGTGACGACGATCATCATCAGAATCATGATGAAGCAAAGAGAAGAATCTACTTGGGGGAGGAGCAAAAGTAAAAGGTAACAGAGAAGCTTCAAAATTAGTATGGAAGGTATTATTCACAATATTTGGCATTGAGAAGGGAATGGAGTGATGATGATGGTTAGTAGTAGTGGATTTTTGCTCCGAATATTCACCCAGAGAGCTTGTTGTTGTTGTTGATGTTGTACTATTCATCATGATGATATCTTATCTAAATTGTATTATTATTATCTACTGATAGAGTAGGACAATATAACACACTTGTCTATAATGTCGTTTTTTGCAATCTCTTTTGTATTTGAGAGAGAGGAGGTTTAAATATTCTAAAGAATAAACTTTCGATGCAATATCGCTCGTTGTTTGACAAAACACAGGATGATGGTTTGTTGTTGTGATGATGATGGAGTCCTGTGTGCTGAATGGTTTTTTAGTCTATGAAACTTTTTTTGGAAGTTGCGATGGACGGAAATGAATATCAAACAGCCAAGATGATTCTTTTTTTTAGTGTTAGAAAAGAAGGATGATCACCGTGGTCTTATTCTGATGATGATAAACAGTTCAAATTGATGTTATTTGGCGTTTTTCAGAATTTGAGATGAAACGTTGTTGTTGAAAAGGATCGTTGAATGTGTATGACTATGTTAGTAAGGATTTTTTAAAGAGATTTGCGAGCAGTTTTATATTCAGTCAATTGAATGTGCGTATCAATTTCCGTACCTGCTGAACTACTTGCATTCTCCATGATGGATTCTCAAATCAAACTAAACAGCAATGACCATAGAATAGCCATTAAAAACAGTAGAAATGGATCAGGAACAATAATAGAAATAGCTTTTAAACAATTGATTCTTCAGCAACCGAAGCTATGAATCGCAGTGAAGTAATAATGGATTTATTTACAAAATGTGGAGTGCGTTGAGAATATTATTGAAATAGCTACAATTTTCTTATTTGTCCAAGTAAGACTTATTAACTTCGAACCATCTCCTTAATACTGAGATCCACCTTCTCTTTTCGTCCTCATTAGTGGCACAGAGGAAATATGTTCGATTTGTGGTTACAAGCTTGAATGCAAATGGTTTTCCTTGAGAAATATCAGCAGAAACATCCAATGAATCTTCCATAGATACATCAACAGTGTCTAATGGTTTAACATCTTCTACAGTTTTGAAATAACTAAATGTTAAATCTCTTCTAAAGACAAACCATCTTCTCTTCCAAGATTTAACAGTCTTACCAACCTTCAAGAGGTAACCAGCAGTTTCTCTAACTTGATCTTCGCTGTCTTTCATAAAGTTACTGAACTTTTGTTCCAACTTATAGTATTGATCCTCAGCAAGTTCGCAATGTGTACTAACTTGCTTTTGTAATTGAGTCGAAAGAGATTGGAAATCATCAAGGAATCGATTAGTAACCATTTTAACATCAGTTTTCAAATTCTTATGATCAAGCTTGACTTCCTTAATTTTTGTTTTTGCTTTAGCAGCAAACAATGAAATCTTCCTTCGTTCACTCTCCGACTGCTGTGCTTTTAATTGTAATTGAGCAACGGTACTTTGCAATTGTTCCACTGATAGGGAGAGTGAATTTGTTGAGGCTTCTCTCATTGAGGAATTCTTTTTCAAATCCTTCTCGAGGTCCTCACATTTGTTCTTGTACTTTTCCTTTTCTTCTTGTTCTTGAAGGAGAGCCTTCTTGTATCTTCCTAACTTTTTCAACTTTTGTTCGGAAGTCTCCAAAGAGTGATTCAAAGAGAGGGCATACTATTGTGATCCGAAATTATCGAATTCATTACATAAATAATCAATACATCATCAATAACATTTAAAAAGACTTACATTCTCAAACTTTATCTTTTCATTCCAAAGCTTTTTATTTTGTTCCACAAGAAAATCAATTACTAGCAATGGATCCATCTCTCCCAAATCTGCATCCAAACTCTCATCCGACTCTATAAACTCTATCAGTGATAACTCTTCTTGAGGTTTCTCAACTGTTGAGGTCGCCCCCATTAAGGGTGGTGTTGAGGAAAAGACACTCATTTTTTTCAAAAGATGAAAAAATTCCTTACGAACAACTGCAACTACTTCTTCTGTGTGTGTGTGTGTGCAGTAAATGCAGACAACGTTGGTCTTTGTCATGTGTGTATGAGAGAGAGCAAGCAGTAACGTTCAGAAATGTGTGAGTTTGAGTGATTCATGGCTCTTGACTCCCTCAGAGGATTGTATCAATGAGATTGTCCATCTGGAGTTGGTCCTGTTTGGCCGTGATGAGATATTGTTGAAAGGTCTTTTTTTTCAATCGCTCAGTAATTTCCCTGTTAGCCATATCGAACATTTGGGGAGTTGGGAATAGGAGGTGGGATTTGAGAATGTCTTCACACTTGGAGGAGAGCATGATGCGAGCAATTGGAATGATGCTTTGTTTGCGTGATGAATGAGATTTGTTATTACCACTGTTGTGGCCACCATTTTCAGATTCATCAATGGTGGACATGGACTGAGAGTGCATCATTGAGTGGTGTTGATCTGCCTCTTGATTGTCTATAACTGGCTTTATACCAAAGAATTTTTCACAAATGGCCTCTGCTTCATTTCTCATAAATCTTTGAACACTTTTCTGTTCTTCTTTGGAGGAATTTTGAACGGAGAATACTTCTTCATATTTGATGCTTCTGCTCAGGAATTGAATCAGACTCAATTGTCTTTCCTCTTTCGCAATTCGTTTCAATTCTTCAAACACATTCTTATCCTTGATTAGTTTCTTCCAAAAATAGCTGTCTGGATTACCATTCTCTAAAATTCCCGACTCTAGCTCTTTCATCAATAAAGTTTCATATTGATTGTCCATTTGTTTTTGTAAAACTTGATTTTCCTCTTCCAACACTTGGACTTGATGTTTCATGAGCATGAGCTTCACTCGAAGAGAGGAAAATTCACTATTGAGAATTTCATCCATCAAACTCTTCAAATGATCTCCCTGTTGTTTCATCCTCTTCTTATTCAGTCTTATTCTAGTCAAATTTTGTTGCAATTCATAATTGGAAAAGTCAGAAAATTGTAAATTCTTCAATATCATATTACTACTAGCCATGCCAGATACGTGGAATGGATCAGAGACATCTTCATTGCTTGTTACTGAACTGGTTGAGGAAGTATTAGAAGAGGGGCTACTAGAGAGTGGTGAATGATTCTCTGCATGATACCAATGCTGCTGCTGCTGTTGAGGATGTTGATTCATCAAGTGGCCGAATTGCAAGTTGAGAGAAGTTCTATGATTAAGCCAAGAATCTTGTTGGACATGATGCTGATAGGGCACATCTGGATCGTCATAATCCAAATAGGTATGATCATCTGCAATATTGGAACAAGATGAATTTGATTGACTGGATTGACTGGATTCTGAATCGGTTGACTTTTCATCTTCATCTTGGAATGCAGCTACTGTCCATGACTTGTGCATGGTTGGCTCCTTTTCTTCCAAAGAAGATTCGAATGTCTTGCTTCTAAACACAGCAATATAAGCTGGTTTCATAGATTCCATTGAGGTATTTGACATTTCTCCAAGTGAAATCTCAACTGGAAATGTCACACCATTAGATTTCTTTCCCAAAACATTTCTAGATTTTCCAATTAATCTCTTATCTCTTCTCCTCAGATATCTTTGCAAATATTCATCGTGTATTCTTGCCAAATGAGATGGCATTAGTATTTTAACATTTTGTCCAATCATTTCCTCTTTCGTATATCCAAAAACACTTGTCATGGATTCATTGACAGCTAACATAGTTCCCAAAGTATCAGAAATGACAGCAGCATCCAAAATTGCATTCAATAACCCATTCATTTGTTCATATTCCTTATCAACTTGATTAACTTGTTGAGAATTTGAATTTGAATTTTCCGAAGAATGAATCATTTTGTAAAATACATTAAACCACTCTTCATATTCCAATTGATTTTCAGCAATTAACATTAATAGAATTGAATTATTGGTCTTGCCATTGAAGAGTGTCAATGCCATACTATAATTCTTTCCACAAATATTCTTTGCACTTTGAATTTCACATTTTTGATTTTCCACATCATCATTCGGAGAGAGAATGTATTCTTGAATTGGTTGATGAGAACTATCATTCCAATTGAGAGTAAACTTTTCTGTTTGTTTTTTAAATTTGAATAATTTTCCATCTTTTGTCAACACAAACCAATATCTATATTACACATTTCGTCCAATCAATTCGTCAACAATGTTAAAAACAATGCAATGCTATTACTTACTTTTTCCATCGATTAAATAAACTTCCCTCTTTCTGTTGAAGGAATCCACTAAACACAATGGATGATTCATCCTTCTTGCTGGTGTGATTGGTCATCATTTTCTTGTTTCGAATAAAATTGTGTGAAACTTCTTACTCGGGTTCAAAATTGGAAATTGGATTACAAGTTTAGTGTGCAACTCTTTCTACTCGATAAAATTGAAAGAAGTGACAAATACCTAGAGAATGGTAGAAGAATGTGAGAAGTTTTTTTCTATTGTTTCGTGTGGATATTTCTCTTCAACACAAAACTTGTATCCGAAACTTTGCAAAATCAAGAATCCTTCCAAAAGAAGGTCCAAGAATGGAGAATTGGAAACTAACAGCAAAAATTGCTGAGAGGTCTCTTAAAAGTTCTGATTAATACTCTACATTCTAGTAAATCCAATGCAAAAAAGAATCTTTCTAAGAATCGTTGTATTGAGCTTTACAAAAAACTGAATCAATAAATATCTTGCATTTACCAATATGTATTATCTACATTTAAAAATACAGAGATGATTTAGCTGCTTGACTAATAAACAAGCCACAATTTTTCAATTCTTCCTCAGCACTTTCTCTCAACAATTTAAAAGAAAGATTTGGATTTGAGGAAAATGCAGTTCTAGAACAAGCCCTAAAGATGCAATTTTCAATATTTCCACCAGAAAATTCAGAGTAGTGTTCTGCCAATTCATCATATTCTTCCATGGTAATGTTCTTTGGCACTTTTTCTGGAATGAGTCTTTGCCACATTTGTTTTCTCTCAGTGAGGGATGGCGAAGGTAAGTTCAAGACAAATTTAAATCTTCTTATTAATGAACTATCGAGGCAAGTAAGTGAGGATGTAATGACAATGACAGCACCTTCGTAGTGTTCCAAGTGATTCAATAAAATTTTGATTGACTTGTCAAATTGATTGCCTGAGGAATCATCTGTGCTCATTTCCAATACAAGAATTGCATCGAGCTCTTTACATTCTTTAAAGAGGGCTTCAACATTCTTGGTTGTGTGGAAGCTGTATTTGGTCAATAATTCATTAATATCAACAACTTTCATGGCCTTTCCAATTTCATAAGAAATAACCTCAGCACAAAGTGATTTTCCAATTCCTGTTCCATGTCCAACAATTAAACAAGTTGTACCCTGCTTTTTAAACAGAGAAGAGTCAAATCCCCATAAATTGAACAAAATTTTCCTAGACTTTTCAAATTGAATAACTTCCTTAACTTGATTTTTCAAGCTCTCTGAAAGAATGAGATCTGGTAGTCCTCTTTTTGGAATAATCTTCTTTTCGAATTCTCCCATTTTGAGATGACCCTTTAGTTGTAATTGACATGCTTTTACGAGGTCATTATGAGTAATGACAGGATTTTCAGAGTCTCTTGAAATGGCAAAAGTGAGAGCACTCAAAATTGCATTCTTAATCAAGCCACCAGTGAGTTCAAAATCTTGAGAAAGACTTTCCCAATCTACATTTGCGAAATTGGCTTGAGGAGGTATGTGCTTCTCCCAAATTTGCCTTCTCAACAATGGATCAGGAGCTTTAAACTCAATGGCCAATGTGATTCTCCTATGCATGGCTTCATCCAATTCATATTGTTTGTTGGTGGCCAATATAATCAAGCCATCAAATTTTTCAATCTCTGTGAGTAGAGCTGTAACGTCAGAGTTTGATCGTTTTCTAGATTCGAAAAAGGATTCACACTCATCAAAGAAGAGAAGGGCATTATTAATCTTTGATTCTCTAAATACGTATTTCATAACTTCTCCCTTCTGTTCAGTCATGTTGGAAAAATTAACAAGCAGCAGTTTTTGGTTGAGATGATTTGCTAAGGCATTTGCCATCATTGTCTTTCCTGTTCCAGATTCTCCGTAGAACATTATGACAATTGAATTACCGTACGAAATGATATCTTCAAAACCTAATTGTAATCTGGCTTTTTTGAATCTTTCATAATTGGCAACAGTGTCAACAATTAATGATTTTTGAGAGTCAGGTAAAACAACATTTTCTAATTTCACTTTGGGGAAGAAGAGATGAGAACCTTCCACAACCTGTGAAAATTCAAAGTCCATATTGCATAAATAATCTAACATTCTTCTGTCCATATCTACATAACATTCCATCAGATCATCACTCATTTTGTCACTCAATCTAATCATACCATCCAAAATCAATTTGGACTTCTTGTAGAAATAGGAACGACATGCCATTCTCTGTTCCAAATCATCACATAAAATCCAAAGGAGATAGCCAACAGTAAATCCTCTTGAAAAGTTTGCTCTGTGATTGGTGGCATTTGCTGCCATTGTCACCTCAAGACATATGATTGTGGCTGCAGACATTGTCAAAATCCATTTTTCAAATTCATCCAGTCCTCTAATGGCTGCCAACTTTTCTAATCTTGGAATAAAGTTATTCTTGGTTTGTTCTGATCTCTTCTCAATCTTATTTAAGAGAAGACGACATTTTCCTTTCAATTCTCTTATAATACTTTCATGACTTCTATCTCTTGTAATTTTAAATCCTGCATCCTCATTTTCTTCAGACATTTTATCTAGTTCTACATTTCTAAGTCTGATTTTTTGGCAAAGATATTTAAATCTATCGTCCAGATATTCTATATCATTTTTGTAAGGAGATAGAAAGTCCTCAGAATTTGAGACTTCAATATTTGAGGTTAGAGGCTTCTTTGGTGGAACTATTGCCTTTGGATCTGATTTGTCTTTTTGAATGAATTCATAAACATTGAAATTATTATCTGTTGTACCCTCCTTTCCATTTTCTAATAGAGCTAATTCTCTTTCAATTTCATCATCGTCAATTTCAATATCCTCCAGATCTTCCTCATTCCCATCTTCACTACTCTCCAAACCTTTTTGTTTTGTGACTGATTTTATACCTGGTAATTCAAATGTACTTTCCTCAAGCAATACATCTGCCAATTTAGTCTTGTCAATTTTGAGAAATTCCTCTGGAGTTAATGGACACTTCACCAGTGCATTGATACATTCTCTTGGCATTTTGAGAATATTAACTGAAAGACTATCTCTAAAACCAGAGTCAATGATAATAATTCCCTGTTGGATGTGTTCTCTATTAGGACTCAGAAAACTCAAAGTTTCAAGAGTACTCATCTCTGCAATTATAGACATGGTAGCAATAGTCATTATATTACTCATTCCAGAATTATTTTTCGATGATCTAGACAAAACCACTTCTGCCAATAAATTGCTTGATTGACAAGTAAAGATATATGAAAATGCAATAAACTCTTTACAATCTTTCAATTCAAGATATTTTGCCAATCTGATCAAACGTGGAATCTCCTCAGGTAACATATCTGATGTATCCACACCTGCATATCCATCATATTGTTTCTTAATAATCTCCAAAAAGAATTGAGAGACAGCAGCAAAACTCTCCAAAATTTTCACCATATTTTGTGTTTGATTTTCTGATCCACCCGATAAAGATGAAATCATTGTCGATAATAAACTGGTTTCCAATTGATTTTTAATATCCTCCCTCTTTAAACTCACTACAAAATAATATTCAATTATTTGTAATAATTCATGATCGTGTAATAATTCAAATTTTTCATCCCGATCACTATTCTTCTTCTCCTTTGTGAGGAATTGATTGATCGGATCAGGAAGAAAAACCTCCAATATTTTACATTGCTCGAATGGTTGCATTTTTTTAATGTTTCTTTAATTTCCTTTTTCCTTTTCGAAGTTAAATTTAGATTCTTAGTACTTCTAACAATTAATTGACTTTCCAAAATGGAGTTGACTTGACACAACAAGAATTGTCTATTGATAAACCTGGATATTAAGGCAAGTTAAACTTCCTTCTGCAATTGGTCAATTTGTCCATATCTAATTGTTTCATTCATTTGGTTTTACAACTATTCAACACTAAGTATAATAACTCTCCACACACTCTTCAATGTCAATATGTACAAAGCAATACCTTGAGCAATAATCTGACAATACAATTAGATCTATCATTTTGTAACAGGTATTGTCGAATTTAATCGTCCAATATTTAAAATATTTTCCCAAACGTTCATATTTCTTATTAAATCCACAATAAATCCCCCTATATGATTCTGCAAGTATTTTCTGATCAATTTCTCTTGTTTCTCGATTAATAATTTGGTTTTGCAACAAATCGAAATAAATCTGTTCGAAATCAATCAAATAAATTAAATTTCCATCATCAAATTCAACATATTCCACTACTTTCACTTTCGATAATAATTCAGAGAGCGTAAATGTCTTGGTTGTAACTTTGGTGCTATTATCCTTAATAAGCGAACCACAAAGATGGACTTGAAAATCTCCATCCGACACACTGAATACCTCTGATTTCTTTACATAGAGACATGCTGCAAAACAGTTATAATCAAGCTCAGGACCAGCAAAACCTCCAATCACAATAATGTCATTTTCACCAACCCACTTTTCTATCATCCCCTCCTCAGTGTCATGTGTTTCAAAAGAAAAATACTTGGGTGTTGAACTGTCTGTATACTATAATTTACAATCTACAAATTCAATACTTGTTAAATAGATCACACAATCTGGCAATTCTCCATTCTTATTTTGGTGGATAATTAATGGCAATTTACCCAATCGCTCAATTTCCTTACATGTTTCATTCTTCAATGGAGTATCGATAATACTTGTTGATATTTCCAATTTCTCTACTCTAATTGAGTTAGGTACTGATGACGTATCTGAAAGAAAAAATGTCTGAGAACAGTTTTCAAAATGCAAAATAGGATCTGAAATTGGAGGGAATGAAATTAGTAAAGAGTTCGTTTTCTTGTCATAGACATATCCTATCATATCACTATAACACACGAAATAGGTGGCATCAGCTGGAGTTGCAATAAAATCAATTTCATAATCGATCTCAATGAGGCTTACTTTGTTTGATTTTTCGTCCCAGATAGCGATCCAGTGCTCATCTGATACTTCGTCGTTATCAAAAAGTCCCACTCTAACAACGAAATATAATTGCTCTTCTTTTTCATCACAAAACATCTTTGTGGATTTAGATGCTACATCTACAAAATACAATCGTGAATCGAATTCTATTGTCATATTTCTCTTAATCGATCCATCTTTGGCATTAATTACTCGAATATCCATTCTATTATTCCTGAAATCTTGCCTGTACATGTAAATTTCATTCTTTGATCTATAATAATACATATCATATTCATGTCTTAATTTTGAATTGGGGCTTACAATATCAACATTCCACACCAGAGTCAATGAATCGTCAAGTTTCTTCTTTGTCAATAAATGTTTACGAAATAAATAAATATGCTCCCCTTCGTCATCCACCTGAAACGAACGAAACTCTTCAAAATCTTCTCTATTTAAACTAATAGTCCTCTCCATCAACCCACTTTGCAAATTAAATACATAAATACAATCATCCTTTCCAACAAATAGCTGCCCCATTGAACAACAATAAACAATCATCATCACACTCCAATAATTAAAATTAAAATTTGGATCGCTAATGAGAATGGAATTGGTCGGAAGGAAATCAGTAACAAATTTCTTTACCTTACTTCCTCGTAATTGTTTTTTCAATCCCGATAAGAGATGATTCATCATTGGTAGGTGCATTTCATTGGGAGGATCATTGTCTGAGAGTATTATTTTTACAGAGTCATTTTCAGAGTTGTTGAATTTCCTCTTCTTTGGTTGTGATTCCATTTTTTTTTTGACTCGGAGGAATTACAAACAAGAAATTGGTTTACAAAGGATTTAAATAGTTTACAATAAATTAAATATTAAAAGCATTGTCAAGTGTTTGATGAAAGGAAGTTATAATTAAGGTACCAAACGTTTATTGTATTGACGGACAATTGTAATGATATTAATTAGTGTTACATCATTAAATCATGTTGAAAAAGGATTGAACACTTGTAACTGTCAATAATCAAAAAAAATGTCAGAAGATTTACTGGCAGCTGTGGAAAGGAGTATTGGTTGCGATTTTTTCACAACTGAAAATCTTCACACCACACCAAATACCAAACTCTTCTTGTGTAAATCAAGTGACGGAGAATCGTATTTCGTTGTAAAATCCAACACCCGATTAGTTTCCTTCCCAGAAGGTGATTTAATTTTGAAAGTGGACGAATGTTTACACAATGAACAAGAGAATGAATATTATTATTATAGCAAACTGAAGAATTCATTCAAAACTTATGTGAATTTCATAGAACAAATTCAGGGAGAATCATTTTCATCAACCGAATGGAAATTTGCCAAATTATTGAATGAGAAGGATGTCATGACATTGTGTTGGCAGTTGATTTATTTATTTTCAAAGAATTCAGGACTTGTGGGTAGGGAAACGATGATTATTGAAAGGATGGATGATGGAGTGGTGAATTTGAGAGTGTTTCCTGTATCTATTGGAAATGATTCGAAAGTTGCCGAAAGATTGATCATGTTATTATTGGAGCTGGTGGCAATTTATTTGGATTTACCAAATATTCCTCAACACTTTGATGAGGTAAGACAAGTAATGGATACAATAGAAAATCTACCTCTTGGATCGAATGAATTGCTTATTCACTCAATTGTACCAACTTTGAAGAGTTTGATTAATGTGGAAAAACCAGATTTATACGAAATTCTTACTTTATTCCTCTTTCAAATGGTCAATTTGGATTCTCATCAGTATTGGTCCTTGTTGAGTTCACTTAGTTCCAATATTCACAATAGAACTGTTGTTGATATTTGGATTGAAAGTCAAAAACTATTTGAACAGAAACAATACGAAAAAGCGCTCGCAGCCATTTTGGATATTAAGAAGGAATATTCAGACTCGCACCCAATAGTTTCATTCTTGACTGGAGAAATTTATTACGAATTGTACAGACAATCCTTCTACAAGTTGCACTATCCAGGTGAGGCAACATTATTAGCATGTGCTTTGCATTATTTCACTCAAGCAGCAAATATATCGAGAAATAACATTCATTATTTGGAGAGAAAACTGGAATGTCATTTTAGAAAGTGGATTCTTGATAATGAACTCAATTTGGATAAGAGTAATAAGGAAATGAATGAATTGATTGCAGAGATAGATCATTTAATTGAAAATAATCCAAAATCCAGCTCTCTTTACTCTATGAAGAGCTCATTATTCTTTGTTCATGCCATTAGATTTGGAGCTCTTGCTGAAGACAGTCACATGACTACAAGTTTAACCTTGGCAGAGGTGGCAATGAATAATTCTCCCTCAACTCCTCGCTATCAATTATTATTCGAATGGATTAGTTTCTTTTTCTCCAAGGAAGGAAAAACCAAAACCTTCTCACTTGAAACAGATGATGCCAAATTCATTCTCTTCCAAACAATTATTACATGCTTTAGAGAACAAGACAGTGATGAGCTTGTTTCCAAATTATTAACTCATACAGATTATCGTCAAACAGTGATTGACACATTGTGGGATTTTCCACTCCTTACTGAACTGTATACTTTACACGTGACAGGTCAAGTAATCCAAGGAAAGGCCAATGAAAAGTACATCTCTATCATTACAAAATTGAATCCAGCACAATCCTACCTTAAAGATGACGAAACAAAAACCTGTATGAAATGCAACACCAAATTCACACTCATCAATCGAAGACATCATTGCAGATTTTGTGGAAAGATTTTCTGCAATTTGTGCAGCTCTAAAAAGGTCAAGAGGAAGGAAAAAGAGGAAAAGAGAAGTTGTGACGATTGTTTCAATTTCCTTTCCATTGAATTTGCACCACTGAATAGTACCAATACATCACCATTGATTAGTAAGGATAAGAATTTACTCATTGTTGATTGTGATCAATTCTTTGAGGATCAAGTCAGGTCAGTATGTAGTAAGACAACCTGTGAAAATGCTTTCAATTTTCAGTTGACCAAATAAATAAAAGAAAACCAAAAAGTTCTGCAGGACTTTGAATATGGACACAAACATGCTTCCTGACGAAAAGACATTCCAACCTTTCGAAATGGTCATTACAACTCCTTAATTGCTTAACGTACGCCGTAATTTTCTAACGGTTTTTTTAAAAACAACACAAAAAAAAATTAATGCAAAAGACCTTACGACCCAATTCGCAGGTTCATCAGCAGCACCAACAGAATCGATTTTCTTCGGAGGGATCTTCGACTGTTAAGGCCATACAACAGTGTTTGGCATCAGCATCACCACATCCTCATCAGCATTGTATTAATCAACAAAAACAAGCTGATCCTCATCATTCGCAACAAGTGCAGCAGACAAATCATCAGCAAGGAAATTCAAGCTCTACTTCCCCTTTAAAGAAGAGTAAGGAATGCCATGGGTTACTTCCGAAAATTGGAGGATCTTCACCGGAGAGAAAAAGAATTAAGAAGAATGACTCTTCGGATCAGCAATTAGTTTCTACTGCTCTTTCAAAGAGATCCCATTCGACTTCTCATCGATTTTTGGATGTAATGGTTACGAATCAACCAATTTCTCCCAACCACAGACGATCAAGATCAAATTTTAATTCTCAAAGGAATTTGAATTCCTCACTTCCAACCCCAAGTAGCTCAACATCTAGGAAAACAACAAAACAAGTTAAACAGAGGCCAACACTGCTCAATACTCATCAGGTATCTCCGACTCATACTTCAATGCTGGAAGAGGAGGACGATGATTGTTATCAATTAGCTTCACCAAGAAAATCTAAGGAGAATTTAATCAAGTTATTGTTCAAAGAGACGAATCAAGATTTAACAGTTCATAAGGAATTGATTGTAAACCCTTTTCAAAATCATCCATATACCGATCTTCCAGAGGTTCCTAGGCCTAAATATCCAAATTTATCTGACAAGAACCAAAGCATGTTCACCAAATTATTGAAAATCCAGAATTTTATATCAGCTTTCGAGTATAACTATATAGAGCAACACTTTTTTGATATCACAAGATTGAGACCCTTGAAGAGTATCATTCAGACGGCAAAGGAAGTTGTCAGTGATTGCCTTCCAATTAGATGCGTTGAGGGTACTTTTCTCTCCCTTTTTTGTACACAAGATTTTGAAGATGTTGACAGGTTTAGTGTCTTTTTTCAAACAACAATGACCCAGAGAGTTTACAGACATATAGTTTGTGTTGTTCGATTTAAGGGAAGATTTGGAGCTTTGGGTCTTTCGAGGAAATCTGACTTGTTTTACAAACCATTGATGTATTTCAAAATCTCTGAAATACTACGAGAATATGTCTTGTCCTATTCAAAGTATGGGCACTCTGTTCAACTGATCTATGTTTCACTACCAATATCTCACGATTCCTCTTCTAAGGATATACCAGTTTGGAACTTTTTAAAATTGGATTTTGAAAAGCATGAAATTGATACACTAATGGATAAAGCAGATAAATATATGGGTGAAGTAACTTATAGCAATGGAGAAAAACTTTTGGAAAGGAAAAGGAGAAAGCTCAAGCCCATTCCAACACTTTCAGACGATGAGCAAGAAACAGACTTGTAAATATGTAAATATTGTCAATTATTTATTTTAATCTAGGTACGAGAGATTGTGAATCAATCCAATTCTCTAAACAATTAACATGTTCAAGTGTTCATCAATAAATGAAAGAATGAAAGACTCTCCAAAGATACATCCAAAGATACCAAAAGTAAGGACATTGGCTATTCTAAACATCCAAACTCTTACAAGATATGAACATCCATCCAATTGACTAGTATATCTCAACACGTTTGGTGAATTGGTAACAAAACCTTCCAAGTTACCATTATTGTAAACTGCAAAGGATCCTCTACCACCAAACTTGGCATACATGACCTTTTGTCTAATATACCAAGCTTCAATGAAAGGACCAAGGGTGAAAAGGGTACAAGCATTCACAATTTTCAAGAACCAATAGGTAAGCTCAGTATTAGTTCCACAATAAATACTAAACCATTTGAATGGTTGATTATTGGAATAGTTGTGCCAAACTACTCTTCTGTCCATGTCCAAGTCTTCCTCTATTGGTTTCCAAAAAATTCTCTTATCAATCTTGGAAAAGTAGAATCTGTGAGTGAGACCCAAAGCTCTCCATAAACCACAAGTATAAAAATTACACAAATTATTCAAAAAGTGAATAATTGGAATGGTACAACATGCATCTGAACTGTCCATATCCAATTTTCTATTACCAATCACCATTCTTCTAACATGAAATTTGGTTATTACCAAAATGAATAAACTATCAAAGAATCCACAAGTTAACTTTCTAATTTTTCAATCCATTAGAATAAAGTAATTAATAATACACAAACCTTAACAACCAGGTGACGGCCCAGAACAAAACCATAAGACAATCAACAAATTTAACATCAAACAATCTATTCTGAATTCTTGTATACCAACCACTGTCAAGAGTGACTCGTGGCATGTTCATAAAACTACTTTCGTCCATTTCTTCTTCAGGTTCTAAAGCAATTGCGGAAGCAGACGGATACAAACAACATACGAAAACCCACAAAGCTCCACAACTCACAATCATTGGCAAGATAATGAGACAAATCGACAAGATAATTGCAATATACCCAGCCAGGACAGTCAATTGTGTTATTCCATCACCTGGTGTTCCATTATTTCCATTATCATAGTCAGCAGGAAGGAAGGAGGAGAAGATGGAAAATTCTGGCAGATGAATAATCTTTTCTTTTACTTTCTCATTGGCAAGAATTTTGGACGAAAGTGTATGCACTGAGAGTGAGGCGGAGGCTCCAACTTGTTCGCTGCATAAATACAAAGCAAAGACAATTGCAAAAAGCAAAAGAACAGAAAAGCTCTTCATTCAATATTTTTTTTTACGTTTTGTACAAGGCAAGCTACTTGACATCATATCCAAAATAGTAATTGTCAACTTTTTGGAAATCCAATTCCATTCCTAGTATACTAATAGTTTACAATAGTTATTAACACAGTAATAAAATAATAACTTTTGAAAATTGTATAAAAAAACTTTAAAAAAAATGCACAAAGTTAAGATTCGCTCGCCAGCAGCACAATTTACTAATTTATTTTTTCGTGCAGCTGCTACCACTACTCGGAAAGTAAATAAGAATCAATTTATTGCTGCCATTGTTGGAAAGTCATCATGTTTGCAAAAATCAACGACTAGTAAAGTATCACCATCTGATTTTTTGAAAACTTCATCACCCTATTTTACTCCCGATAGGATGGAAGAGGGAGCCTATGAAGTTGTTAATTCATTCCGAGAGGTGGATACAGAGAAAATTAAAGTACCTCCATATTTTGATAAGGAGTCGTGGGATTATTCAATGAAATTGGAAATACACAACGATGAACAAGATGTGAATAGTATTAGGAGAGTAACTAAGTTGGCTGGAGAGGTTTTACGATATGCAGGAAGTTTGGTAAAGGAAGGAGTGACAACGGAGGAAATTGATGAAAAGGTGTTTAATTATATTGTGAGTATTTGATTATTTGTGTGGTTTTTGGAGTAATTGACCAAAATATTATTTTGAAAAAGATTGAGAATGGAGCTTATCCATCACCTTTGAGATATAACAAATTTCCAAAATCTTTGTGTACATCAATTAATGAAATTCTCGTGCACGGTATTCCAAATACTAGAGCATTGAAGTATTCTGATTTAATTAATTTGGATATTACTGTTTATTTGGATGGATTTCATGGTGATACCAGTAAGACATTTATTGTTGGAGAAAATGAGGAAAAACCAGATCAACCAATCAAGAATGAATATAAATTATTGATTCAGGCAACGAGAGAAGCATTATGGGAAGGCATCAAAGTTTGTGGACCAGGAGTTCCTCTCTACAGTAAGTTTATACTCTGCTGTGTGAATCATTTCTAATGAATATTTATGAAAATATAGAAATTGGATGTGCAATTGACAAATACTTGTCTAAATTCAATGAAACTCATGGCACTTCATTCAAATCCAGTCCAGACTATGTTGGACATGGTATTGGACGAGAATTCCACGGACTGCCACAAATTGTAATGGTCAAAAACAAATACGGAAAAGATTTTGTTGGATCTGACAAGATGAAACCAGGCATGGTCTTTACAATTGAACCAGTTATCTTAACTGGCTCCACAAAGAGTAAAACTTGGAAATCTGACTCATGGACCATCACTGCAAAAGATGGTTGTGTGAATGCACAGTTCGAACATACCATCAGAATACGAGCCACAGATAAGGAAACAATGACCGAAAATTGCTTAATTGGTTGCGAAGTTTTGACTCTCCATGATGAGTATGACAAGGCAATGCTTCAAAACATTCTTAATATTCAAAGTTCCGACCCTGAACAAGCAGCAACTGTTGAAACAACTGCCTCAGACCAATAAGAATGCATTCTGTTTAGCAATTACAATGAGCGACTAATATGAGAAAAGCATTTTGCCCTATTTGCAGATATTTATTCACCTTCCATTGTTGTGTGTTGAACAATCATGCATTGTCCTACAGTAATCATCACTCTCTTATCAAACTAAAATTTCGCATATTGTCAATTCAATCAAAATACACCCACTACATTCAACAATTTACATGAACCAAACCTTTCATAAACTTATTCAATTGGGAACCCTAACCACACTCTGTACCAACCAATCTTCTCATCACCCACAATATTAATTTGTTCGACTCACAAACTTGGCGATGAAAGTTTTTAGCTTTATGAACCTGAGTAATGTTCTTTGTGCCCTCCTCAATCAATTTTTTTAAAAAAAAAACAACAACACTTTAACCCTAGCAGTTTTTTGGAAGAGAGAAAATTTTGAATCCCATATTGCAATCTCCTCCTCACTATTACTACTGCAGAACAACATCAAGAATTTATAAACACACAATTTTGATTATAAACAATGCAAACTACCATTCCTGAAATTGTAGAGGAACACGAAGAAGAAGAAGAAGAGGAAGAATTTGAAGTCTATGATCTTCCACATTCTCCATTCTCTCCTCCTCACTCTCCAGAAGATACAATTACAACAACTAATGGCAAACCAAGTCTTTCTATCACAACTGCTAAACCACCTCCAACATCAGCAAATATGGCTAGACATTTGTTAGAAGGAGGTGCTGGTAGGAAAAAGAGTAAATTGGAAGTTTCTAGATCATCATCAAATTTTGATACAAACTTGACAACACCACTCTCAACTATGGTTGAGCATAGTTTCATTCCAAATCCTGTTGCAGTTCAACAAGCAGCAGAAGAATTGGAAGAAAAACAAAAGAGGAAGATCTCAGGAGGAACTCCAATACCAGGACAAGGATCCACCCTTACACCCTTCCCTACTTTTGCTGATAATGTTATCATGACACCAACACCCAATGTAAATATTGCAATTCCGATCACTCCTGCTGTTCAGGTTCTTCCACACAGTGAAGACACTTTTACCTCTAATTTGGAAGACCTCCACTATGAAGATGATGCATCAATGTTGGAACAAATCAAAGCAAAGGAAGCTTGTTTTGCAGAAGAATACATTAGTGAAGAAATAGTTCAAGTTTGTCGTGATTTATACAAAGTTTTGGATATGAGAAGAAAACATCAAGTGGGAGAATTTTCTGAGGATGAAAAAAAGGAATATCGTCCTTGGAATTGTTTCTACAGCAAGGATGATTTTATTGGAAATGTTGATGAAGATGATCTTTTATTGCATTCTAGAGGTCAACAAAATGTTGGGTCAACTGTACATGCACCATTCGATCCAAATGATGCAGAATCCTGTAAACGTTATCCTTCGACTAATGAATTTTTTGAATGTAGAAAGGGTGTCTATTATGTCAAGAATGGTGCTGGAAGAGAATTCTACCCTCCTGTTTCTTTTGAGGACCATTTCAGAGATTATAGATTCCTTTCAAATATCATGTACGATGCTCCAACTAAATCTTTCTGTTACACTAGATTGACTGCTTTGGAACTTAAATTTACCTTATACAAGAAGTTGAAGCAATTTGAAGAAGTCAAGACTCAAAAAATGGTTCCACACAGAGATTGGTACAATGTCAGAAAGGTTGACGGTCACTTGCACTTGTCATCCATGGCTAATCAAAAGCACTTGTTGAGATTTATCAAAACCAAACTCAAGCAATGTCCAGATGAAGTTGTCATTGTAAGAGATGGTAAACAATTGACTCTTTCAGAGGTCTTTAAGAGTTTGAACATGACACCATACGATCTTTCAGTTGACACACTTGATGTACACGTTGACAAGTCTCAAACTATGCACAGATTTGACAAGTTTAACTTGAAATATTCACCATTTGGTCAATCTAGATTGAGAGAAATTTTCTTAAAGACTGACAATCTCATTGAAGGAAAATACTTTGCTGAAATGAATAAGGAAATTTTCAAAGATTTGGAAGATTCTAGATATCAACACGCCGAACCAAGAGTGTCAATCTATGGTAAGCAAAAGGACGAATGGTATTCACTTGCTAAATGGATTTGTAAATTTAAAATGTTCAGTGATAATATTAGATGGCTTATTCAAATCCCTCGTCTCTACAATATTCACAAGGAATTCAAGTCAATTACTAATTTTGAACAAATGTTAAAGAATATCTTTGACCCACTTTTTGAAGCAACTAGATCACCAGAAAAATATCCTGAATTGAGCACCTTCTTGGGTATTATTGTTGGTTTTGACTCTGTTGATGATGAAAGTAAGCCAGAACCAAGATTCCATCTTGATTTACCTTCACCAGATGAATGGACCAATGATGAAAATCCACCATATGCCTACTATTCTTATTACTTTTATGCCAATCTTAAAGTTTTGAATGCTTACAGAAAGTCAAAGGGTATGAATACCTTTGCTATTAGACCTCATGCTGGTGAGGCTGGAAGTGCTTCTCACTTGGTTAGTGCCTACCTCCTTTCTGATGAAATTAACCACGGTATTGAATTGAGAAAGGCTCCAGTTCTCCAATATTTATACTACCTTTCACAAATTGGTTTGGCCATGTCTCCACTCTCCAACAATTCACTCTTCTTGTCCTACGAAAAGAACCCATTCCCACAATTTTTCCAAAGAGGTCTCAATGTTACACTCTCCACAGATGATCCTCTCATGTTCCACTTTACTCGTGAACCTTTAATGGAAGAATATTCTATTGCTGCTCAGGTTTACCACTTGTCAAATGTTGATTTGTGTGAAATTGCTAGAAATTCTGTCATCCAATCAGGATTTGAAGATGTGTTCAAAAAGTATTGGTTAGGTACAACCAGATTATTTGGTCGTAACGACATTCGTCAGTCAAATGTTCCTAACCTTAGATTGAAATATCGTTTTGAAACACTCTTTGATGAACATTTATTCATTCAAAAGGCTCTCGCTGTTGATTATTTGAAGAAGAAGGTAAAGGGTGTGAAGTATGCTATTCCTCCACCAATGCCTCAAACTGAAGTTTTGGCTCACCTCTTGCGTGATAAACCATCCTATCTTGCACTTTCATTTGGTTCTATGGGAAGCCTTACCAATTATCCTGCTTTAACATTAGCCACTCCAAAGAATGCAGAACCTCCTGTCAGTCAGGCATCTATTGAAGCTACCAGGGTTAAAGAAGAAAGAGCTAAACAGGAAAGAGATGGTAGATTTAATATTTGGATTTTGTCAGCAGCAATTCTTGTTGGATCCCTAATTATTGGACATTCTTTGAGGAAATAAATGTGAATAAATTATTTGAATTCATTGATAAATATATTAGTTCAAATAATACGAGATTTCTAATTGAAAAGAAGGCAATTCGTGACCGAACATAGAGATAAAATCAGTATTGAATAAATTAATTTAATAAATTAAAAAGTGGTCAAAAGTGTTTCCAAATCTCTAATATTTCCTCTCAAGTCAGTATTGTCAATCATATTCTTGACATCCTTCAAGTATGGTGAAATGACAGCAAAGGTTTCCTTTCTGGTTTGGGAAGTCTTGAGGACAGTATTATTAAGATCCTTGGTAGTCTTCATCATTTGGGTGGTTTCTTTAATCAAATCTTGGAATTCCTTAGTGTTTGACTTGAGGTTTGATGCCTTGAAGAGTTGGCATTGAGCACGTCTACAAGCAATACGGATTTCAATCAAGACACACCAAACAGATTTTCTATAAGCAGGGAAGCTCTTAATTAAAGCATTCCACAATTCATCAGCTTGTTTCAAATTTTCCAAAGAAGAATCAAGATTTTCGTTTGACAAATCATTTTCAGCTCTCTTGATAGTATCAAAAATAATTTCAGTCAACCATTCTGGTGGATCTTCCAAAGCTGGGTGCAAAACAAAGAAGGATAATGGAAGAACAGCTCCGAACAAAACAGCAATGAAAGTAGTGTAAAGAACGAATGGTTTTCCAGGATTCATCAAAATATCAGGATAAGTTTCATAATCAAAGAGGTCAACCCAATCAGGATCTCCATGTTCATCAAAATTCTTACGTCTCTTTTGATTCAACAAAATGTCTTGTGATTCCTTGATTTGGAGATACTTTTGTTTGGCAACTTCTGGTTCATCTTGAGTGTTACGGTCAGGGTGCCTATTTAAAATGTCAAAAATGTCAAATTTAACATTATAAACTTACATAGTTCTTGACAATCTACGGAATTGACTCTTAACTTCTTTATCAGTACAATTCTTATCCAATCCCATCACTTGATATGGATCAAACTTGACTACACCAGATGATCCAGCACCTGAAAATGCAATAATCAAAAATAATCCGATTAAAATCAAAGCTCCAACAAAAATTCCAACATAGGTGTAGAATTTTTCTTCGTTTTTCCAAACCTTCTCATAAAAGTTCTTCTGAACAGAGTCCCATTGCTTGATAGCCGACGATCCGAGTGAATATTTGAGTGATGCGAGAGCCATTTTTTTTGTGATGATTTTAAAAAAATTATAAAATTCGCATCAGCTACCTTTTTACCTTCCGAATCGTAATGATCTTGCATACATCATCATCATCATGGGTAACAAGATAGAGAGCATGATTACGATGATGAGTAATGGTGAGTACTTTATCTTTTGGGTGGATGATGTAAGTACATTTTGGAGAAGTATGAGCTTTAGATGTTCATGATGGTGAGATGAGAGAGATGAAGCACCAATTATAAAGCAACATTTGGATAGAACTATAATGGGATTGAGAAAAGCTCTTTTTTAAACCAATGCCCAGAGGTAGAAGTGTGCCTGATTGAAACTCTTGCCATTGCTGGAGGGAGTGTATGAACGATACTTGAGATACTTGAAGGATGTTGTTCATTATTATTCTCTTTCCAAATGGATGTTGTTCTCTCATCATTGGATTTCAAACAACGGCACTAAAGAACAATGAAAAAAAAAAGTAACTGAATTGGCGCCACTCGAGTTTTTATCAGATTTCTTACCGCCAATTTATTCTTTGAGTTGTTTTTACTACTTGTTCAGAGAAGCACTAAGGCTAATTATAATTTGGAGGCAATTGATTGACCATTCAAAAAAAGAAAATAACTGATTCATTACCTCATCATTGAAACTCATTAACTGATTAATAATAATGAATCAAAAATCCTCTCCTTCTCTATCTTCTTCGGAGGGAGCAAATAACTTTCAAGAAAAATGTAGGAAAACCTTAAATTCAATGAAGAAGGGATTGGCAAGCCTGAAACAATCTTTCAAATTGATTCCAACAAACGAACATCGTGATAGAGGATCGTTTGAAAGGTTGGCCACCCCAAGACAATACCAACAATCACAACGTACACCCACTCTGAATGCTCATCGTCAGCAACGAGAGGAGATTCAATGTGGTTGTTTGGATTTTCAATCGAGTTTATTCTTGAATAGTTCAAATTCGTTAGAGCCAATGGACGTAAAGGTATTGCTATTGGGAGCCAATAATGTTGGAAAGAGTGCTCTCAGTTCTCAATTCATTAAGGGAGAATTTATTGATGTTTACCATCCAACAATTGAAGATCAATTCAAAAAGACACTAACTGTCGATGGGAAACAGTACATGTTGCATATTTTAGATTCTTCAGGAAGTGTGTTGTTGAAGGAAGAGGAGGAAAATGATCATGAAAGTGTCGCCTCTCAATACACTAACAGTACATCAACACTTGATGATGAAACAAAGGTTTCGAATTTCAATACGGTATTGACAGGCTCTTTTCCTGCCGAAAGTTCTTCCTTTTCCTCTCTTCCTGCCCAATGTGTGGATGCTATTGAGAATGAAGAAAGAATAATCTCAACAGAAGAAAATCCACCAACCCAAAATGTAAATACAACCCTTAACACGAGTCAAGTCCCTTCAGAATTTATGCAAAAATGTCTCAGAGATTCCATCATTTCGCACATAAGTCCAAAACCTAAGAGCAAACGAATTAGTTTGAATCCTGAAACGATATTTGCTTCCAATGTAATTATTTTTCTGGTTTATTCTATATCAGATCACTCCTCCTTTGAGTCAGTAGTCCAAAGGTATGAGGAGCTTAAGCAACTTGTTATTGAATCTCAATTGATCAAATATTTTAAGGACCAAGATGAATCTCTTTCGAATAGAAGCTCTCTAAGGGCTTTTCTATCCTCCTCTAAGAGATCATCATTCAACTATTCATTTCAACCAACTATAATGCTTGTTGGAACGAAAAAAGACCACGACACATCAGTCAAGTCATTATCCGAACTCAATATATCGAATTCACCAGGCTCTTTTGGAATGCATGGTTTCTATTATGGATTTGGCCATTCGAATAGTAGCAGTTATGACCTTCCTGCAAGTTTACCAATATATGGACCTAGTCCAATATCTAGAAAGCCATCCATCTACTCCCAATTTGAATACTCATTGTGTGGAGTGAGTGAAAACAAAAGACAAGTAAGCTACGATGAGGGAGAACAATATCAACAATCTCTGGGAGAAAACTGCTTATTCATGGAAGTCTCATGTCAGAATCCTTTAGATGTTGAACAAGTGTTTCTTCAAGCATGCCGAAAGGTTAGATCAAGAACCATTGAACTAGATAATTCTGATCATGCTCATGCCTTTAGATCCAAAACAGTTAAAAACAGAGCTAAAATACCAACGTTTGATGTTAATAAAGAATCTCAATAGTTGTAAACTTTTCATTGTTCTATTTTTATACAAGCTCTTGTTCTTTTCTTGTTCATTCCAGTTGACCAAATTCCAATCAGTTTGTTCTAAGGAAAGATTTGAATGAATAAAGAAAGCAAATCAAAAAAAAAGAATGAACAGACATGATTATCAAGATTTATTTGCAGTATTGATTGCAGGTTTTTGCTTCTACTTTTGCTCAAAAGATATTTCAAAAAAACAAAACGGTTATTGGAAACACAAAGAAACATCACAATCCAATTCGCCCACAAACAAATAGAAATTGCCAAAAAACGCAACTAAATAAAAATTAAATTCAAAAAAAATGAATCCATTTTCTCTGGATGCAGCCTTTGATCTTGAAACTCCTTCGGAAAGCAGACAAACCCTGTTTCCTTCCACACCAATCAATACTCAAAGTCTGAGTGATATTTCAGCATTTGTCTTGACGAGTATCACCCAGGAGGAATCTAGTGATCCGAGCTGTATTATACGAAATAATTTAAAGAATATCTTATCCTTCCTTCCAATATGTCCAGCCTTGTTCTACTTTAAATTGGTCAGTAAAGAGTGGAGTGAAACGATCATGGATATTAGAGAGGAAATTTATCAAGGAAAGGCTTCAATTTCACTTTTAACATTTTCCAAGCACAAGAAAATCATCAATGGAGTTAATGTTCAATCCGATACTATAGTCACAACAGCACAAAATACACCACAAAGCTATCAATCTACATCCAAGTCGGAATTGAATATTAATTTTCCTCTGGCACTCTTGGAAAATCTGTGTGACAATAATCCTTTGATTGGACCTAATACTCACATTCAATCTGTGGAATTACTAGGATTAACAATTTCAGAGATGGAATTTGTTCTTAAAAAACTAGCACAAACAAGAAATAGTAGTGGATTTAATAAGATGATAATGCCATCAACACCATCATCAGGATTATTGATGGATAATTTTGATGCCTTTCCTCCAACCCCAGCAGTTTTTAAATCAGCAGCCAATCAAACATTTAATAATATTCAGCCACTCATCAAGAATTTAGTAATTGGTTGGCCAAACACAACTGTTGAAAATAATTTTGTAATCCCTCAACTTTCCAATACAGCTGGTGGACCTGTTAATTCACAAGTATTTTCACTTTCTGCATTAGACACAAGCGAATCACAAATTCAACTACCAGATGACGATGAAGAGGATAGTGATATGGATGATTTCATTGAATATGATGACGATAATCAGGATTACACAACTGTAAACGGAGCAGGTGAAGATGAAGAAGATGATGATATAGTAACCTCACTCAAAACAACAGTTTCATTCAATACCAGTACAATATCAGTTTTACAATCAATTGAGACTATTCTCATTATTGATGCTGTCAATGAGAGAAGTTTGATCAATTATGATATTCTGGTTGATTCATTTAATGCTGAGGCTTTATCATCTATGGATGATGTTGACTTTCGAGTTGACAGTTTTTCTAAGGAGGATTATACACCCTCAAAGTTTAACCATCTCTTGGATTTCATCTTCTTTAACACAAATCCAATATATTCTTGCAAGATGAAATTCTTGAGGAATCCATTCTTTTACTATGCTGAAGATAGCTATCATGATATGGTTAATTCTGAATTAAAACCATACCTAAATGCCCTGACACAGTGCAAATCATGTGGACCACTCTTCCACTATTCTAGATGCCTTCTTTCTGATGTAATATCGAATGAATTTCTCATCGATATAAAGTTCCTAAAGGAAAATTGGAATGTACTTTTAAAACCACTCTATGAATACAATTTATTGAATTGGAATGATACAGTTTACAAGTACTCGACTGAGAAAGCAGATGTTATCCAAACTGTTTTGAAATTTGTGTATGAACTCTACGCTAACCCTAATGCTCTTTCAAGTCAAACATTCAAACAAGATTTGATGAGCTCATTTTCTGAAACCTATTCCACCTTCTTGGAAAATGAAAGTGTCAGTCTTGCTACTAATATTTTGGAAACACTCGCAGAGTGGAGCAGAAACACACTTCCTTCCAATCTAGATTTAAAGCCATACGACATTCACCACTTTTCTCATTGCTTAAATATGAAATCATCCTCCTACTTTACCAAGGCAATTGATCACTTCTTTATGGGCATAATCAAGACCCTTGACTCTGAAGAAACCACTCGTCAAATTAGGAGCTGGAATAGTCTATTAGAAAGTGGCCAAAAGAGAAGTCTTTCAACAGTACCAACACCTGAAACCAAAAAGAAGAGAATTCAATTATAAAGACGTTTCCTCACACAATAATAAACACAACCTTTTCGGCTTGCATCAAATTCCTCAAAAATAGTGAAAGAATCTCAGCATTCCTAACATGGCCATAGTCCTAAACATGTAGCGATTCGCGCATTTGGAAGGCAGGTTATATTTTGTTTGAATTTTTTAAATTAAAAATTTGAAATAAAAAACAAAATCTGTGCAAGCAAGTAACGAACTGCGCTGTGCTGGAACAGAGAGAAGATAATAATACCCTCCTCCACAAACCCAACCAACCAACACTATCATCTACACACAAAATTCACTACCCACCCTCTGTAGAGAACATTTTTGAATCATCACAAACATGTCATATAGCAGTATCAGCAGCAATATGGAGTTGTTAGATAATCGTAAGTAGTTGTTATTATCATCATCATGGTTTGAAACGTTGATGAAACTCTATTTCCTTTTAACGGCATGCCGGTCAATATCATCACACAAAATATCTTTCATCACTATCTGAAATATTCATCCAATTTGATTATTATTGTTATTGCCCCTCTACAAATCAATTATCATCACATCATTACGCTCTCTTTTGGAAAATATATGGAAATTAATTGTTGACAATTATAGGTATGAACAATAGAGCTTTAAACACTGTTGCCAATGGCAATCAATCTGTTTCAACACCAACAACTCCTAATAATGCTAATCAACCTCTCACTTTGGAAATGCTCAATCAGAAAGTGCAACTCTATGAGCAAACTATTCTAACTTTGATGGCTACCATTCAAGAACAAAAAACAACAAAGAAGGCAACTAATGAATTTGAAGATGAAATTTTGGAAGAAGGAGAAGAAGATGAAATTGGTGGACCTGGTTTCTTTGAACCAAGTGAAAAGGAAGTGTTGACTCACTCAGTTGATGCAGATCATTATAAAGTGAAAATGGGACATAGAGTTCAAACTGCTCAAGAGAAGAAGATAGCACTTGAACGTAAAAGAACAGAGAAGGAAATGCAAGAAGAGCAACAAAGAAAGGAAATGGAAGAAGAAGATAGACTCATTCGTTGTAATCCTCACTCTCGTCAAAAAATCATGACCAAGATTGGTATGAAGAAGGTCGGTAAGACTCTCGATCAATTGATTATCCTTTCATTTCTTGGTGGTGCATTCATTGGTATTGGTTCTATTGCTGCCCTTAAGACTGGTGGTAATATGCCTGGTCTTGAAAAGGAAAATCCTGGATTGACCAAATTGTTTTTCTCTGGTATTTTCTCAGTTGGTTTGACATTGGTCTTGTTGACTGGTTCAGAACTTTATACTGGTAATACCATGACTTTGATGGCTGCCTTATTGAGAGGTAAAATTAATCCATATGACCTTGTTAGAAATTGGACAACCAGTTTGATTTTTAACTTGCTTGGTGCTTTGGCTGTTGCCTACTTTTTCATGTATTTACCAACCCCAGCTCACGATATTGAAGAATCAACTAGAGCTGCCTATGTAGACTATGCAATTCACTTTGGAGAGAAGAAGGCGTTTAGAGGATTTTGGGGGAATTTTGTACTGGCTATTGCTTGTAATTGGCTTGTAGGTCTAGCTGTTTATACTACGTATGGTTCTAAAAAAATTACAGATAAGGTTGTTGGTTTGTTCTTACCAATTTTGGCTTTCGTTTCATCAGGTTTTGAACACTCCATTGCAAATGGTTTCTTTATACCTTTAGCGATGATGTAAGTTTCTATTTATTTAATTTTAGTAACAATTTAATTTATTTTTACTAATTTAATTTTAAAAATTAATATTTTTAATAATTAATAATTATTTATTTTTAATCATAATAATCATAGGTATGGTTCCCCAATTACTGTCTATGACTTTTTGATTGGTAACATGCTTCCAGTAACTATTGGTAATACTATTGGTGGTTCTATTTTAATTGGTGTCTTGTTTTGGTGGGCTCACGGTTGGAGAACTGAACACAAACACCACATGGACAATCTCTTCATTGACAAGCTTAAAAAGACACTGTCCACACCTATTCTCTCCCTCTATGATAAGATTAAGTGTAAGATTCTTGGAACTCCTTACTTAAAACAATCAGAATCGAGAGAAGAAATTTAATAACAGTTGTTATATACTCTCGAGTTGTAAAATTAGATCAGTAAAAATATTAATTTATTAATTCCCTTAAACAGAAGTTATCCAAAATTAAGAAATAATTCTTAACAATAAGAAAAAACACAACTGATTTCTTTTGAACAATTAGAATCTTAGTAATTTATTTCAATGTTACATAATTTATACAGTTAGTTTTCTTTTTGTACAGATGCCAAAGGAACCTCCTTTGGTTTATTCAATTCATAGTTAATCTTTCTAGTCAAGTGATATCCTTGAACACCAGAGTTAGCAACGTGCATTGAAAGCATGAGTAAATTTCTTGGAATGATAACCCAAGCAAATCTCATAAAGATACCACTGTAACAAAGTAAGGCAAAGGTCATTGGTCCAGAGACCTTTTCTGGTGGACGATCATGATCGATAACACCAGCAATAACGATTCCCCAGTTAACTAGACCATTCCGAAGCAGAAATTATATATTAAGGAAATTGTGAACACGAGTTAGAAATACCTACAGAATGGTCCCCAAAAGTGAGTAGTCTTTAATCCTAAATATTTTCATCATTTACATGTAACATCACCCAATCATACAATATGATCATATATAATCCAAAATATTATTTTAAATCATCAAATCCTCAACATTCCAACAGCTCAAACTTTCACTACCTACCTACAGGAGACTCCCACAACCTACGAAAGAGATTAGCAATCATGTTTTTTATTTTTTCTCTATTTTTTACCTCAACTGAGTGAGCTTATGTTGTGTTTGTTTTTCTATTAATTTGCCCGATAAATGAAGAGAACAAAAAAACTCCCCAACTAACAAGTGTTGCAACTTGCTTTCTCTTGTTGCGTTGTTTGATCAACAATTTGATTCAGTTCTTAGAAGAAAACGCGAAAAATTGCCTCTCAAGCAATTTTCGCTCAATAACACAAAAAAAAGAATCGAGCGGGAGATGATTCACATAATTGGTCCACATGCTGTATTTGCACTCATTACTGATGGTGGAGGTGATGGATAAAAACTGTGAGCTCTTTTGAAAGTTTCGTTTTTTCTGTTGGAATAGTTTTGAAGTTTCGGCAATATTCTACTAGTATCTGGCGAATTAAGAGAGATCAAAGTTTTATTTTACAAGGTTTTTTTGATCATGAATGTTCACATTCTGTCAAGTTTACAACAATTAAGCATAAATCTTGAGCTTGAGAATAATTGGAGCACCATTTCTTCCACCTCTAACTTTGACAGATCCATTTCTGAACTTTCTTGATTGCTTTCCTCTACCTTGATTTCCACTGACTGCAACTTGAGAATTTGATTCACTTCCACCATTATTATTATTATTATTATTATTGCTATTACCAGCATTTGATTGTTCAGCAGCACCATTTGCAGAAGAAGATGAAGATGAAGAAGATTGAGAATTACCATTGTTTGATTGTTCAGAGGCAGCAGCAGCATTGGATTGTTCAGCAGAAGCAGATGATTGTTCGGATTGAGAATTACCATTGTTTGATGATTGTTCAGAAGCAGATGATTGTTGTTGTTGTTGTTGCTCTTCTCCATTTTCATTAGAAGATGAACCACCTCCTGCACCAGTAATCTTATTAAGAGCAAAATCCTTAGCTTGATTGACAAGATCTGGATTATTACTAATGACATTCTTAGCAGTATTGAGCCACTTTGAAAGACCACCACCACTATTGGCAGCACCTTTGGAAGCAGCTGCAGCTCCATTTCTTCTACGACCACCAGTTGTGGCAGGTTGTTTGGCATTTCCATTTCTTGAATTGGCACCTGCTCTAGTATTAGCTCTATTAGAAGCAGTTGAGGCAGGCTTTCTTGAATTGGTTGCTGAAGCAGTTGTCTTCTTTGGGGTTGCAGTAGCTGCAGGCTTTCTACCAGCTGTTGTGGAGCTAGTTGTCTTTTTTGGAGTTGGTCTGCTTGCAGTTGCTTTTCTAGCTGCGGCAGCTTCAGTGGAACCTACAAAAACCAATACAAGAATGGCAGCAGTCAAGGCCAAGCCAAGAAGAATGTTTCTTCTAGTGTTCTTAGAGTTGTTCAACAACATTTTGTTTTTTTTTGAATTGAGAAGATTGAGTTTAGAATCCAATGATTGAAATTTATTGAAATTCGTTTGATGTTTATTGATATTTTGAGTAATAATACAAGAGTGAGTGTATTCGAAAATGTATTGTAAATAATTTATGCTGAAGAAGAGCTTGTTGCTGAGGTTGATGTTTTGTATTGGAGAGGATTGAGAGGAAATGATTTGAGGTTTGAGGGGAATTGATTTCATTGTATCGCGCGATACATCAAGTGTTTTACAATACTTCAGTATATTGAATAATACAATTCATCAGATTTCGTATGAAGAATGGATTATTACTGATTTGTGTGTAGAATACAACATTCTGAATTTGGCTATTGACATTCTGTTTAAGAATGTTAAAGATGAATATCATTTCAATAGCCAATACATTGTTGTATTGAAAGAGATCAATTTAAAGGACTTGTTTCAAGATTATTTGGTTTTAACCAAAGTATGAATGTATTGAGTTTTCTGGCCTTAATCATACACCAATTGTGTCATAAATTATGCTTGTATTGAATAGTATTTGTACAGTTTATTTATTTCAATAAATATTCGTGTTCTCCGTCCGTCTTTCTCACGTGAGCCTTGTAACCCTTTTCAAAGTCCTTGGAAGTAACAACATATCTGTTCTTTCTCACAGCTTGCATACCTGCTTCTTGACAAATGGCTGTAATTTCAGCACATGAAATCTTGTCTGGACGAGACACAAAATCTTCCAAATCAACATCTTCACCCAAATTCATCTTGCTTGTACAAACTTGGAAAACAAGACGTTTTTGTCTACGATCTGGAAGTGGGAATTCAATCTTTCTGTCCAAACGACCTGGACGAAGCAATGCAGGGTCCAATGTATCCCATCTGTTTGTAGCCATGATAACCTTAACGTTAGTGGTTTGGTCGAAACCATCCATTTGATTAAGCAATTCAAGTAAGATACGTTGCACTTCACGATCAGCACCAGTTTGAGCATCGAAACGTTTAGTAGCAATTGAGTCAACTTCATCTATGAAAACAATGGCAGGTGAATTTTCACGAGCCAATCTGAAAACGTCACGAACCATTCTTGGACCTTCACCCAAATACTTTTGTACAAATTCTGAACCAACAACTCTGATGAAAGCAGCAGTAGTGTGGTGAGCAACAGCCTTAGCCAACATTGTCTTACCTGTACCAGGAGGACCATAAAGCAAAACACCTCGAGGTGGGTCAATACCAATTTGTTCATATAATCCAAAGTGTGTAAGTGGAAGTTCGACAGCTTCTCTGATTTCTTGCTTTTGAATATCCAAACCACCAATATCGGAATAGGTAACATCTGGACGTTCATCAGCTGACACCAATTGTATGCTTGAATCAGCTTCTGGTGGTAAAACTTCAACCAATGCATTGGAGTGTCTGTGAAGAGCAACAGAAGCATTTGGCTTAAGAAGTTCTCTATCAATAGTACTCAAGATACGGACATGGCTTGAAGATCCTGTTGTTGATGAGATGATACCACTATTTTGATCGATCATTTCCAAGAATTGTCCAATAACAAGAGGAACAGATTTGATACGTTTAACTTCTTCCTTTGCTCTCATCAATTCTCTCTTGAGGTTCTTTTGTTCATATTTGACATATTCTTCTTGGATATCATTAAATTCAAGTTCACTTTCGATGTGTTTAAGCTTTTTGTAGAGGTCTTGCTCGGTAATATCTTGCAATGGTTTAAGCAAAATACTCAATTCGTCTTCTGTATTCTTTAAATCGACTTGGGTGCTTTCAGTATCAACATCCATTTGATCCTTATCACCTCCTGTGGATTGTTTCTTTTTGGAGAGTCCTAGTTCGTCCATTGTATTATTTGTTTATAATTTACAGAAAATTCTTGTGATCCAATCTTGATGTATATTCTTCCTTTAAAGATAAAGTCTTGCTGTGTTTTTCAATTTACAAATACTATGTATAACAATACAACAACCCGACCAAATATTTAGAGTGTATGAGATGAGAAGGAATGTATTCCGTGATCGATCCACTTAATTTTTTTGATGTTGTGATTCTGTTTTTAAAATTTAAAAATAGTTTTTCTTCCATGCTAAAGCAAAACACTCTGGCAAAGGCTTGTTCCCAAGCCATCAAATAACTTGGCTTGACAGAATAACTCTTTCATGGATTACTATGAGTGAACAAGAAAACACTCATCATATACTAGGAATATTATTTGATAAATATTACCAGCTATCTGTACTTCACTCTCCTTGATGATAACAATGTGTGATGCCACCAAAAAGGCTAAAAAATGAAACAAGCAATTTCTTCATCATCATCACGTACCGTCGTGAAACAAGTTATCGGTGGAAGAAGTACTTTAAATCTTGTGAATAACAAGGCTTTAACATCTGTTGTTAATTTCTCAAAAACTTCACGCGTTCTTAATCAACCACCAAAAGCACCAGAATCAGTTAAATATAACAAGAATGAACAATTAAAATCTGTTGCTTCAAATACTAGAGGAGGACAAGAAAGCAAATCTGGACCATCTTTATTATTTAAATTCCTTGTTGGTGGTATGGTTATTTCCGCAGGTGCTCTCGGTGTTTTGATGTATCTTCGTGATGATATTGAAAAGCTTCGTACTTTGGAAAAACAAGTTGCTGAACAACAATCATTACTCAATCAATATACAGCTGGTTCATCAACTACCTCCTTCCAACAAAATGACACTGAAAAAGATAGAGAAGAAAAGATCAAACATTTTAATAAGAAAGCTTCTTCTGAAACATCTGCTTTGGAATCACAATTGGAAACTGATTTGAGACAAATTGAATTCAAATTGGGTACCATCCAAGAACAACTTTCATCAATTCATAGTGAAAAATCAACCATCTCACAAAAAATTTCTTCTCTTCAAACTTCTCAAGAATCAATTCAACAAGAATTATCAAAACTCCAAAATGAAAAGAAGGAACTTTTACAATCCATTGATAATTTTGCCAAACACACCTCTACTCAAGTTGACGTTTCTACTTTGAAATCCAATGAAGGACCAGTTAGTGTTCAAGAAAGAGAACAATTTGTTATCCGTATTCAACAAATTGAAATGCAATTGGCTGCAAAGGAAAAGCTTCTCACTCAAGTTCAACAAGATTATGATAGCAAAGTCTTAAAGATCCAAACACTCTCTGAACAAGAAACTAAACTTGAAGTTGAAAAGATGTCGACTCAATTATCTGCCAAACAAACTGAATTGGAATTGATAAAGGAAAAACTCCAAAGAGAATTAAATGATGAAAAGATTAAACTCCAAGAAGATATGGCCAAATCCTTGAAGGAACAAGCAACTGAAGTTGGTTCTATTTATGCTTCTCATCTTGCCAAGAAGGATCAACAATTGAAACAAGTTGAAGAACATCTCCAAAAATTGGAACAAACATTTAATTCTTCAATTGGATATATTAACGACAGTCTCAAGATTCAAGAATACACAACAGCTATTATTTCTCTTAAGGATGCTGCTGAAAATAAGAAACAAGGATTCAAGAAGGAATTAGAAAAATTGAGACAAATTTCAAAGGAAGACGAATTAGTTCAAACAACTTTAAGTTTAATTGATGATAATACTGCAACAAAGGGTGCTTGTACATTGGAAGAGTTACGTGACAGATTTGCCACTGTTAAGAAGAGAGCCTTGACATCATCTTTGGCACCACCAAAGGCTGGATTCTTTGGTTTTGTTTTCTCAAAGATTGCCTCTGTATTTGTTATTGAAGAACAAGGTTTGGCTGAAGGTGACTCTGTGAATGCTTCACTTTCTCGTGCTGAATATTATTTGAAACATAGAAGATTAGAAGAAGCTTTAGTGGAGATTGTTAAGGTATGTGAAACAAAGGACAATGCTGATTTGTCATTTGTTTTGGGTGATTGGATGAAGGAAGCTGGCGATAGAGTTGTAATTGACCAAACCATTCGTTCCCTCCAATCCCATTTATTAATTCTTTCCCAGTCAGTTCAATAATTTAATAATAAATTAAAGGATATTATTATACAGTAAATTTATGGTAGATTTTGATTACAAGTATGTCAGTAATCAAAATCAAGGAGTGTTCAAACTCTGACAATGAATTTGAACTAATGTGATGTACAAGTTTCTTCTCACAGTTTACAATCTCGCACTCTTTCAGAAAATTACTTTCCTCCACATGGACAACCACCTCCACTATTATTGTTATTATTTCTATTATTATTGGTTGAGTTATTTTCTGGGGGTCTATCAGTATCCAATTTAATTGGTTTTTCATCTGTATTTGAAGGTGGAGCTTTGTCTTGTTCTTGTTGTTTCAAATAAGCTCGTCCCAATCTCAAAAAGACATCTGCAACACCACTAGAACTTTTTGCTGATGTTTCATTGAAAATAGCTCCAACTTCTTTGGCATATCTTTCTCCTTGGTGTCGTTCAATTTCACGTAAATCATCCAAATCTGATTTATTTCCTGTTACTGCAATTACAACATCCTCTGGTGCATGGGCTCCTAATTCCTTGACCCAATTCTTTGCATCGTCAAATGTTTTTTGTCTTGTAATATCATACACAACAATGACTGCATTGGATCCTCTAAAATACAATGGTACAAGGGCTGTCAATAATTAGTTGTAATAATAATAATTATTTTCCAATTTGTTGTTATTATTATTGTTGTTAATTATCGTAATGTTGATAATGATCAAATATTATTCTTGTTCAGTACTACATTCCACAAATTGAATTAAAAACAAACCTCTATATTGTTCTTGTCCGGCACTACATATCCACACACACAATTAAATACTATAAATAATACTATTTAAAACTTACGTATCCCAAACATTGAATTTGATCAATTTATCATCAATTGGCAAAATTTTAGATAAGAAGGATGCTCTAATAAGAATGAAATCACACACATGTAAAGTTTTGCAAAAAATCATAAACCTACCCTATTGTTGTTTCAATATATTCCTGAAACGTATCATGTATAAATCTGAGAACTGTCGAGGTTTTTCCTACACCCACACTTCCAACCAGTACAACCTTCATTTCGGGTATTTTGGCTTGAGGATTATTCATCATGGCTGCATGACCGTTATTATTCATTTTTTACACTTTTGTGATGGAGTTGATATGAAGAATGTGCCTTCCTGATTGGAGTACAGGAGGATTTAATATTGAATACCAAATTTGCTATTTGATTGTGTTATCTGAAAGCGATCTACTTTTCGAAAATAATTTAGAGAATGCAGGTTAAGAAAATAATAATAAATTGAAATTTGTGTTTTGCATTAAAATTTAGAAAAAATGCAACAAGAGAAAACATTCCGAAGAGATGAAACTCTAAATGCTATTGATGATGAGGATAGGAATAAAATACTTCTACCGTATGTTTCGATAGAGACTCATAACTTTTCGCTGATTCATTTGGAAAAGTTGGATGCTTTGGTTGAACATATTCAAAAATTCATGATTGAAAATAATTTTGATTCCATGATGACAATGGTGAATACAACAACGAATAAGATGATGGATGGAGAGGAGGAAAATGATCATTCCGATGATGATCATAATGTTAAGGTGGATGTATATTCGACTTTTGTTGAGGAGGTAAAACCGATGAGTGCTAAAGTAAATCAGGAAATTTATAAATTGAGAGAATCGCAAGAGTGGACTTTGGAAAATAATAATACTCGTCAACAAACAAGACATAGTGGAAATTTACCTGCTATGAGAGTACATACTTTTGAGGAAAAATTAGAAAATCCAAATACTGCAAAGAACTATTTCAATACTTTTGGACCTTTATTTTTCAAACCTGGAGAAGTATTAAGTGATCGATTAGCTTATGCTCTTGATATGGATTCTGGAGAGGAGGTACCACCCTATGTAGAAAATATGAAAAAAGTTGGATATCCTCCCAGTTATCAGGGCTATGAAGGAAAGTGTTTTGTGGAGGGTTTTGATTTAAAGTTTGATGAAAAAGTTGGACAAGACGAAAAAGCAACTCTATGTATTCCACCAGATAGGAAATACATAGGCTATTTTGGTCTCAATATTGCACCACCATACGAGGCAGATAGTCACAGAAAATGGGTTTACTACGATAAGAGCAATGACCCTTCACTGATTGGTAGATTTACAAAACATTCAAGCTCAAATCATCACGGAAAGTTCTTGAGCTACATGTCATTGAGAAATCACTTTCCAACACATAGACATAATTTTGATGCACCATTTGGAAGCTTTATTAATGATGATTTTAATGAGAATGATATTATAATGAGTGATTAATATTTAATATTGAAATTGTTTTAGTAATGATAATTGGATCATTTCAAAGCAACAAGAGATTTATTTATCACCATATCTACTCTTGAAATATTGGCAATATGCTACCAATTGAATCAAATTGTCAATCAAATTATTATCAGATTGTGTGGCCTCGGAATTACTCAATCCAGTTGGTATGGTTTGAAAGACAGAGAATTGCATCTTGATATTAAGAATTTTCTCCATCGTTTCCTTAGTAAATCTAAAACTTTTCTCATATTTCATTATTGATCTGTGTAGAGTTAACAATTGCTTGTTCTTTTCAGCTGTATGTAGGGATGGGCTACTTGGTTCCTCTGGTTTAGGCTGTTCATCTTGCGTTGTTGGGGATTCATCAACTGGTTTGCTTAGAACTATTTCTGTAATGATGGAAATAGCAATATTTGAAAGTTCTCTAAAATAGTTTACAATCTGAGAAAATCTTTCAGATGGAATGACATTTTCGTGCCTTGAGCGAAGATGAGTGAATTTCTCGCAATGATACTCTGCCATATTGGCTACAGTTCTCATGTTAACAATTACACATGATAAAAACAGCTCATTCAGCTCGTTGATGGTTGCCATCTCATTGAAGAATAAGCCTCTGTGATTATTAATGATGGTAATGAACATTCTCATGGTCAATATGGAAATATCACTATCAACAAAAACCATGGTATCTCGTTCCACAAGTGAGACAGGTCCTACCTCAATTCCTTCTACTTCGCTGGCAGTGTCATCACTCTTCTTTAGATATTTTACAGTTTCCTTCTTGATATTATTGATGGAAACAACAGTCAACCATTTGATGAAAGACAAGAGCCTACCAGACACAATTGCCTCTTTCATATTAGCATTCGAATATAAAAATGATTCTAAAAGATCCTTCTCTTGTTTTTCACTCACAAACTCAGTCAATAGCTTGAATCTCATATCATTATTCTGTATGGCCAAATAGAGAAGTTTCAAAATTTGCATGCTCTGCAAAAGCCATTGTTGATCGTCCAATGACCTGAAAAATGCATTCTTACTCAAATCCTGTGAAACTCTACTCAATAGCATGTCCCAAAACAAGTGAACTGCCTTTGGATTACTGAAGAAAATATTTCTAAATTCAGTATTCATCAAGGTGAACATGAATAAGAGTTTGAGAGAGTAATTACAGATTGAGTATTGGTACCGTTTCATCATGTCTTCTTCTTCCTTCTTTTCTGGATCATTTATACATTGTAAGAGCTCACTCATTGATTCATAGATCAGTGGCTTATTATTAGTGAGAGTAGTATTTTCAATTATTTTCAGAGCATTCTCTTTCTTGGTGGTATGAATTGAATATTTACTTATATGGAGAAGGAATAAACTCAATAGACTTGATAAGTTCTTATTTTCATTCTTACGCTGTGGTATCATTTCTTGAGTGATTTGATTATTAAAATTGTTATAGGAAAGTAAACTCCACAGAATGCTGTAAACTGATGGAAGACAAATGTGTAATTCCTCTCTCTTTTGATAACACAATAATCGATCCAATTGATTTAAAAATACAGCATCTAGGGTTGAGTTTTTAGCTATTCCATTTAGAAATTATAATTTAACATTCTTAAACTTACTCCTCAAATCATTGATATAAATCAAAAACAGTGGTCCATATAATTTATCATTCAAAAGGAAGGCAAATAAAAAGTTTGAACTCTCAATCACATCAGGCCTGAAAACTCTCTCATCTCCAGATAATAATAAAATTCTGACCATATTCTTGAAAAATTCATTTGTAAAATTTGGAGGCATCAATTCTAAATTTCCATTATTATTGACAGTAATATTAGGATTGAGTGATGATTCACTGCTAAAAGCACCTGTAACATTACTAATGGTTGGTATTCTCAAATCTGATGAAGAAAATAATGAATTTTCACCATTTGTACTATCACTTGTCACATTTCCTTTTGTTTGATCCCAATACAATTGAACATAATTTCTCATCATTTGATAAATCAAAACAATTCCATTCCTCAAAGTTAATTGTGCCTTTGGCGAGACAGATTCTTTACACCTATCAGCTGCCACAAACAAGAGAGAAAATATTTGATTTATCAACATTTCCATATCGTTAAATTGTAAAATTTCCTTGAAAACATCTTTCGGTAAACATTCGGTCGGATGAAATTCACCATCAATGAACAAAATATGTGACCAATTAAAATGTATCCACTTTCTCGATCGTAATGGTTGAACACCAAGATTAAACTCTTGTTGTACTTGTTCCTGCTGTGATGTAAAGAAGGAAGAGAAGAGAGACATTTTTTTGAATTAAATTGATTATAATAATCGTCTTCCAGTACTTGAAGGTTTTGATTTTTCCAATCATAATTATCTTCCATATGAAATAATTTCTTCTCTCATGTTTTTTGAATTAAGTTTGTTAGTTACTACAGTACATGCTCATCATTGAGAGTTTGATTCTTTGCAAAGGCTTGCGTAACAGTTACATTTTTTAAAAAAAAATTATAAAACCTTAACTTCCATTAAGAGAGGGAAAGAACGCATCAACTTTTACTATATTGCTTGTGTTTTCTAAGGGATTGAGGCCAAAGTGGAGCAATATAAAATTGTTGTTTACTGCTGATAACTTACAGATATAATATACAACTAGGTAAAATATACAAATAATAATAATGGAGAGTGAGAGCTTAATTGCTGCCGAGAGGGAACAAAATTATGATGATAGTGGTGAAATAATACTCGAAGATGATGTTACACTTTGGAGGGATAATGATGAATTGGCTGGGATTATGATGGGTAAGGTAACTGAAGAAGAATTGGATATGAGTGATGAAGATAAGATTGAAAAGTTAAAGAAGGAGATTGCCCTTCTGAATGGAACGATAAAAGAACAAGAAAAGAAGGCAAAAGTTGTTGCTCAACAGCTTTCTGGAGAACCTGTTAAAAAGGTTTCATCATCTGTACCAACAAAACCGACCTCAGAATTACCATCCTCCTCAACCAATACTAATACATCGATCGTCACACCATCGAAGACTTCTGCAGCTCCAGTCGATTTATCACCTTCTTCTGTGAGTTCTTATAGAGATGAAACACCATCAACTATCACATCACCAAAGTCTGAGAGAAAACCATTGGTGAATCCGATCAGACATTCAATAGTTCAAGATCCAAACGATATTTTATTCACTCAAGACCAATTAAGCTTATTGATTGAAGAATTAGAAGAACAGCGATTGGTTCTTGAAGAGGAAGGTTATTTTGTTCAAGCAGAACAAGTCCATCAGAAAATTGTTGATGTATACAGGAAGGAAGCAGGTAAAATAGAATTGTCATTTGTAAAATTAGGAGAATTATTAAGAATTGAAATCATGTCAGTGTTGGCCATGGATATGGACGCATTTGATATCACATGGGATCAAAAGCAAAAGTTATTCGAGAATCAATCTAAGGAATTATTGAAAAATACTATTGAAAGACAAAAATCTGAACTAGCACAAACTGAAAGAGTTCTTCGATCTCAACTCCATGTGCATAAACCAAAGTTCTCTAAGAATGTTCTTGACCAAAGAGCCAAAATTGTAACACTGGTCAAATCAAAGGAGTATCGACAAGCTGAAGCTGCTAGAAAACAATTACTGCCTTTAGAAATTAAAGAAATTGAGCAATTCGAGAAGAATCAAGAGGAAAAATTAAAAAAGAAATTGGTGTTCGTGGAGAGTAGACATAGACAAGAAATTGAAGTGTTGAGTCAAAGAATTTTATCTGGAAAGAGAGAATTGGAAAAGATGAGGAAAACTCATTTGATTTCATTAACTCAACAGCAAAATAATGTCATACAGGATTTTGATAACAAGTACAAGAAGAGTCTTTCACAAGTGAAACAATTTATTTCCAAATTAGACAATATCATGACAACAAAGAAGAAGAGTATTTCCAATTTTTTCAATACACTGCCTAGAGATGTTGAAGGATTTAAGGAGAATTTCACATCATTATTGGAGTCGCTCCAAAAGGATCACAAGAAAAACTATGCTCATCTCTATGAGAAGAAGGAATTAAAGCCTCTAGTTGAAAAGAAATCAACACCAGAAGCTCAACCAATCAACATTAGCAGATTAGTCCTGATTGAAGAATCCTTTGAGGATAATATTTAAACAATTGTAAAATATAAAATGATATTAAAATAATATAATATTAAGCAATCATTGTTAGAAGTTGGGTATTCTTATTACTTGAAAATTGCCTCCTTTTATTTGGCGCCAAAAAGTAAAAACGAAAATTCATCTCATAAAAAAAGGATGCAACGTCCCTCTTCCACAACAAGAGTAGTCTCCGGAAGTACAACACCCAACAAGGCTAACATTTGGGCATTGAGGAAGTCTACATCAAGTTTACCCTCTTCAAATACAATCAATAATTCCTCATCGACACCATCATCAGGCTCATGGATCAGAGAATCTTCACTCATCATTCCCTCCAATATTCCCAACAAGAATAACAATACTAAGGCTGGTGGTGTGATGATGATAAATTCCGATCAACAAGTGCAACAAAAACCTGAACAAGATACACTCTCGATATTAAATGATTTGGCGAATCAATCCTCCCCTCTCCCAATCACCAAATCTTCCTCAACTCTAACTCCTTCCAACACTAACAAATCATCTCTTACCACATCAACAAACGGTGTCATCACTCCAAACAAGACAAGTTTTGGTGGCTTAAAGAAGATGCTGTACAATAAGTCTAATGATGAGAATGTGGAAGCACCAACCCATCAAGGAAAGACTCCTAATAAGACACCTTCCAAGAAGGTATCTTTTGAACTTGTCACCAAAAAGAAAACACCCTCCGTTCTACAACCTCAAAATCCTAATATTATTCCACAAACAATTACTAAAGAAAATTTGAAAGTGTCACCTGAAAAGGTAGAAAAAGTTGTCGCCCAACCTGCTATTTCAAATCAAGGTGAAGAGAAATTTTCATTTACAGTTTTTTCGACAATTACACAAAAGAATTACAAAATTCTGATCAAATATAAGGATGTGAACAAATTGAAGGTTTACAAGATTAAATCCAATCTTCACCGAGTTGTAAATGTACCAGTTGAGGAGCAAGTACTTTACGCCTCTGTACCTACACAAGAAATCTCAGTTTCTAAACCGCTCGAGGACCATGTAACAGGATCATCTTTGAGCTTGTCAGATAAAACTGTGCTCATTCTTGTCCATATTTCTCAAAGAAAGCAATATGAAAATCAAATCGAAAAGAGGCAGTCTCCGAATAAGGTAAATCAACAACAAAATGATGAAATGCTTCTCGAAGAAGAGCAACCAAGACCTCCAAAAACTCCGTCTCCAAACAAGCTCACTTCACCAAGTAAGCAACCCCTTCAACACGACTCTCCTCCTCAACAATTATCCTCCCCAAATCAACCATACCAAAACGATTCGAAATCCCCTTCACCTATTGCAAAACAACTTTCTCCAAAGTTATCTTCTTCACAATCTGAGGATCGAAATGAAGAATATGATCTGGATGATTCTTTTATCAACAGTTTTATTAATCCCACTAGAGATAATGAAGCAACCAAGACTGAACCAAGGAATAACATGAGTATGAATACCTCCTCCTATATTGTATCATTTTCAAGCAGCCCTCCTAGAGACTCAGTCTTTTCTCCTAGATTCAAAATGTCAGATGTTGAGGCTGAGAGAGAAAAAACCATAAGAATGGCTCTTGAAAAACATTTTCAAAATCAAATGAATGACGAGAAATTGAAACTGTCAAGGAAGTATGCTTCTGAAAAGAAGGAGATTCTACAAAAGGCAAATGAAGATAGGCAGGAGTTAATGACTGAAAATACAAGGCTAAGGAAGGAATTGTTATCAGAGAAAGATATACAAAAAACACCTTACGGAACAAGAGGAGGAGCAGCTTCAGAAGACATTACAAAACTCAAGCAACAACTGGCCGAACTGCAAGCTAGCATCAGGGAAAGAGATGGGAAAATTGTGCAGATGGAGAATTCTGCAACGCAATTGAAAAATGAACTAGTTCAAGAATCTCAAGTTTGGAGAAACAAGTTTGAAATTGAAAAACAAGTAGCATGGAATAGAGAGAAGGATACAATTTTAAGAAATTGGGCGGAAGAAATAGAAATTCTGAAATTGGTTCAACAACAAGAAAGGATAGAATCTCAGAATATCATTGACCAAATAGAAACAGAGCTTGAAGTTGCTAATCAAAAGATAGAGTCAGATAAGAAGTTTGTTGATTCTGCAGAATATGCAATTGAAAATTTAAAGAATCAAATTGGAAAATTAATGAGAGGTGATTATGATACTGCAAGTTTAATAATGGAAGCTGCAAAGGAGCGAGCTTTAATTGAAAAGAGGTATAATGACCTCTATTCAGATTATAATGCTCTTAGAAATTTATTCGAAGAGGAAGTTAAAAAGAGAAAGTCCTTGCACAATCTTGTGGAAGATATGAAGGGAAATATTCGAGTAATAGTAAGAATGAGGCCTTTAATAGGGGATGAACAGGCGACTGACCTTTCAAATGGAAGGATAGACATTAAAGATGATACAACTATCACTGTTGGAAGTCAAAATCTAGGACTGAAAGAGTATGACTTCTTTAAGGTGCTTGATGAAAACATTTCCCAAGAGGATGTTTTTGAGCACGTGAAACCAATGCTTCAGAGCGCACTTGATGGCTACAATTTGTGTATTTTTGCTTATGGCCAAACGGGAAGTGGTAAAACCTTTACCATTCATGGGGAGGATCAATCTAACCAATGTGGATTAATTCAAAGAACAGCTGACTATCTGTTCTATTCTTTAGAAAAACAAATGTGCTCAAGGACTGAGGCTTTCTCCATCTCATGCAGCATGGTTGAATTGTATCTTGACACTTTGAACGATCTCTTTGAAAAATATCAAGATTCAGAGAATCAATTTAAGGCCACAGATAAGAGAAAGCCTCCACAACTCAGACAATCAAAGAACGGTAAGATGTCTGTCACAAACTGTATCGAAGTAGATGTGTATCATCCAAATGATTTGGTTAGATTATTGGAATTTGGAAATGAGGTAAAGCAAATTTCCAAAACTGACATGAATGATCAGTCCTCAAGGTCACACACTATCTTTACTATCAAAATCAGTATGGAAGGATATACTCAACCAACCTCTCTCAACCCACAAGGAAGACTATTCAAAAAGGAAAGTAAGATTGCCTTTGTTGATTTGGCTGGTTCTGAGCGAGTTTCCAGATCGAATTCCATTGGTGATAGATTTAAAGAAGCTCAGCATATTAATAAGAGTCTCTCAGCATTGGGAGATGTGATTGCAGCCCTCTCTACTCACCAAAAGCACATTCCATATAGAAATTCTAAACTCACTCTCATGTTACAAGATATGATTGGAGGCAATTCCAAAACTCTCATGTTTGCCAACGTATCACCAGATAAAAAGAGTGTTTCTGAGACAATCTCTACTCTAACATTTGCTTCCAGAGTGAAATGTGTAAAAAACCACCCAATGTTATCCAGACAAATAGTGACTGATGAAAATTAATTTATTAATAAATCAAAAAGACACAAACAGCAAATCACCCAAAATGGAAGAGGCCCATTTTCTATAAAGGCATTACCAAAAATCAAAAGGAAATGAAAATATCTTTCAACAAAATGACTCAACGTTTAATCTTTTTGATTTACCTATTATCTGTTTTTATATTAGGAGTCAGTTGCCAACAATTCCAAATTCCACGTGCAATCTCTGTTTTCAGTTCAAAACTCTATCAATCTTTTCTCATTCCAACCAACAACAGCAGCACTTCAAATCAACAAGCACCTCAAAATCTTGTCTACTCACCATTTTCCATTCATACCGTCCTCTCCATGACCATGATTGGTGCCAGAAATGAAACCTTTAATGAAATTGCACTTGCACTTGGTTTTCCACAAGATACTTCCTTCCTTTCTCTAAATCAACCTGAGAATGTCACTCAATTCGAACAATCTATTAAGGATTATTCTCATGAGTGGAGTTCTCTCATCACCACAACAAATGATTCAATTCTCAGTGTTGCCAATGGAATTTACATTGAGAAGAGTTATCCATTGAGTTATGATTATTTACAATTGATAAGAGATGATTTTCACTCGAATGTGAAATCGGCTGATTTTTCTGGGAATGCAGAGGCTGAAAGAGTTGATATTAATTCATTTGTTTCGGATAGAACGAATCAGCTTATTAAAGAGTTGATTCCTGTGGGTGCAATTACAAGTGATACCAAGTTAGTGTTGGTAAATGCAATTTACTTTTTAGGAGAGTGGCAATCTCCATTCAGTAAGGATATGACAACAAATGCCTCATTTAAGCAACTTTCGTAAGTATATAAGTGTATTTTTTCACATATTCGAAACTTGTAGAATCACCAATGAAATTCTTCAACAACAAGTTCCATACATGATCAAGAGGGATGTTTTCGAAATGTTTGGCGATAACGATGAATACAATTGGTTGACCTTGCCCTATTCCAACACCAATTATCAAATGACTTTTATTGTTTCCAAATTTAATCTTCCATTCTCAGCTGCAACTGATAAGAATTTTGACCAATTCATTGCCAACTCACTCTCCAGCTCGACTCCCGTCTTTACAACCACTCAAACTAATATGCGTCTCGTTAGAATTCCAAAATTTAAACTCGAATTTGAATCTGAACTTTCCAATATTCTCAAGGACGAGAATGGTGATTTCAAAATGATAACCTCCTTCGAAAGAGAGGCTGCCAACTTCTCAGCCATGATCCAACCCGATCACCCAATGAAACCTCTCATGCAATTGTGGATTGATAAAATCTTCCACAAGGCCTACATTCGTGTCGATGAATTGGGAACTGAGGCAGCTGCTGCTACTGCTTCTATTATTGTTGGACGGACGACTTCGATTGTGGATGAGTTGGATCAGAGAGATTTTGTTATTGATCGTCCATTTGCGTTTGTGTTGAAGAGAGATGATGTGGTGTTATTTGTTGGAAAGGTCAATAAGTTGTATTAATTGGATGAAAACTTAATAAATGTAAATACGAAAGAATTAATGAAATAGTAATAATTTAATTTTTCTGTTGTAAAATCTTGCTCATAATTGTTTTAAAGTATTCCTCTAATTTGTTAGCAGCAGAATAATATTCTGTTTGTTCAGAGTTGTAAGTTCTGCAATTCTCAAAGATTAATCTGACATCGCTTACAAATATATCCTTAGTACGATAGTAATCCTTTTTCAAACGTTGTTCAATTGTCGATAAATCAATTGGTAACTTGATAACATCGTAATAATCTGGAACTTCTTCTGGATCAACTGGCTCTAAGAATGGCCAAGAATGTTCATGTCGTTTTAGTTTTTCCAACACCTCCACAAATGCAGCATGAAGTTTGTGATCTCTTGATCTGGTTTCTTGTTGATAACCAATCTCTTGAAGGCCAGGCACATCTTCTGGGCCATTTATCTTGCCACCATTTTTAAATAATTTAATACCTGGATAAACCTTGTCAGAGTTGGAAACTTCTTTCAGCTTTAGTTGGAGTGCTTGCTTTTGTTTTACAATCATAATTGGTACGTCCAAATAATTAATGTCTGTTCTTATCACACATTCCATGAGTGTACCTCCATCGTAATCCTTAATGTAGCCCTTATATCTCTTTTCGTCTAGTGAAATTTCTTTTGTAAAACCTTGTTTCTTGAAATAACCAATGGCAAAGTTGTCCGCATATGTTAAAAATCTATAACAACCAATCGTTTGACAATAGTCCTTTAAATGGTTCATAAGTTTTGTACCATAACCTTTAACTTGTTCGTTACCTGTAATGGCACAGAAAGCAATTTCAGAAAATCCTTGTGGAAAGAATGGTCTAAAACTGATACCACCTACAATTTGTCCATTTTGTAAACCTACAATGGTTCTGTGACTTCTGTCAAAAACCAATCTGGCAATGTAATCCTTAGGCATCTTTGGCAATTGTTTACCATAAATGTTCTTGGCAGCCAATAGTTTTTGCAAGCTATCAACTGATCCATCATTGAAAACGATTTCAAAACGAAGAGCAGTCTGTTCATTTCCCTTATTTGAAGAACCTGATGCAGATGAACCGAGATCAGGCCCCAATATTTGAGTAGAAGTTGTGACCATAACAACTCTGGAGCATCTTTCATCATCAGTTTGATTGTTTTGCTTTCTATTGTTATTTCCTGATTTTTTAGAAGGTTTTGAAAGCTTTTCAGATTTTGATTGATCTACACCAGAGTACAGATCATCAAAATCAGGTCTGAATATTATTGATGTGGAATCATCAATTTCCTTCTTTAATAATTCAAACATACTCTCGGCACTAAAATCTTTAAATATATACTCCTTAGTGATCACTTGGAATAGGTGATCAAATTGTTTCTCCAGTAAACTTCTTCCGAAAATGTCAACAATATTCAGTTTAGCCTCCTGATCCAGTTTTGTGTACTTTGAATATACTTCCTTATATTTTCCATCATTTTCCTCGGGTTTTGGTAATTTTTCTGATTTTAACGTTTTTAAAATGATCTTGCAAACATTTGTTGCTTGTTTCTTCATATCAGTCTGCTCATAATTTACAATTAAAAAATTCCACAAAATCTCGGAAATTGGAGGATTTTCCAGACAAGTCATTTCCTCTCCTCCTTGATCTTCACTATCCGAACCACTACTATCAGTTTCTTCCTTCTTGGCCTTCCGTTTACCAAGCTGAGGCATTTTTTTTTAAAAATAAAAATATTTTTGGCGCCTTCAATTTTGCTCTACCCACTACTTTTTGTATCATCACAAACCAAATAATTTATTTATCATCGATGGTAACCATCACTGCGAAATGATATAAAACAATCCATCACGACTACGATGTAATATTTGTCTACAAAAAATTTAAGAATAAAATCATATTAATAACAATCAAAATCAATAGTAAATTAAACTTCAATCAAAATATTGTTGTGTTCGTTCCTATTTGAAAAAAAAATGAACACATTCTCATCATCATCGTCAACTTGTTTATTATTCAACAAGGCTTTATCGAAGAAGGTTGCAGAGTCAGCAACAACAACAGCTCTCAAGAAGAGGAGTGGCAGTACAACAACAACACATCAATTTTATAAAAACAATATTAGTTATTATCATTCTTTTCATACAAGTATGGCCTCACTTGGTAAGAAGGTAAAATCCTCGTCGGGAAAACCAAAAGCATCAAGAAGAGAATTGAAAGAACAAAAATTGATGGATAATGCCATATTTTCCGATCCGTTGGAGGTTCAAAAACAACAACATGCTCTCAACAATATGCCAAAGAGCTTTTCTAAAAAACAATTGGAAGAAATGGACTCTGAAAGTTCTTTTGAACATGAATTGAATACAACCTTCTCTGGTTCTACTTCAAGTGTGAAATCTTTAAAGGCAAAGAAGCAAGCCAGTTCTTTATTCGGAGGTGGAGCCCTGTCAAAATTAACTGGTTTTGTTGCAAGAGAAAAATCTGTGGCAGGTATTGTCAAACCAAAAGAACCTTCAAGGATATTTTCTGATAGAGAAATTAATGATATTACCAGAGTGAAAATTAAAGAAGATAATGAAGTTATAAAAGAAAGAGAGGAAGATGATTTATTGGATCTCTTATCTAGACGTGAACCAGCAGATGAAATTGTCAAGAAAAAATTCAAACAAGCTCAAAGTAAGACACAATCACTTTACTCCAGTGGGTTGGAATCAGCTGCTCCAGAAATGGAAAAGATAGTAAATTTCGAGGAAGATTTAAATGAAGAAATTGTTAAACAAGACGAACAAGAGGAAGAAGAAGAAGAAATCAAACACGATTCTAGCGATCCACACATTTTTGAAAGAATGTTTGATTTGAATGTATTGAAAAAGCATTCAGTCAAGTTGAGAAAATTAGCAGAAGAAAGTGGTTCAAATTTGGAACCAGTTGAGAGGTACTTTTATTCTATTGAATTCCCAAATACTTTCCACTATAATATTCTAATGAGTATATTTGCAAGACAAAAAGTATTTGATAGAGTTGAAAAATTATTCCAAGAAATTCCACACAAGAATACATCCTCGTTCAATATAATGCTGGAAGTATATTTGGAACAGGGTAGATATGACGAAATTCACTCCATGTTCAAATACATTCCAAAACCTGACGAAGAAAGCTGGAATATTCTCATGGAAATGTTTGAAAAGAAGGGAGAAATGGAAAAGGCCAAAGAAATCTTTAAAATCATCGATGAACCATCCATTGAAAATTATAACACCTTGATGGGAATTTACCTCAGAGCCAAACGTTACAATACAGTGAAGGCTGTCTATGCAACTGCTAGAGAAATGCATGTTCTATCCAAGACAACATATGAAATCATTGTCAATACATATATTCAAACCAAAGAATATACATTGTTAGATGAAGTCATTGCAGAAGTTAATAAGAAATATAAGGAGTCAACAGTCTTTTCCCCATCTACTCTTTCATCCATTCAATTTTTGAGAGATAGTAATCTTATTAGATCAATCAAACTCAAGTATGTTGCAAAGGAATCCTATCAACACCTTCGTACCATGGAACAGTATCTTCTTTCAAAGGATTATCCTTCTATGGAAGAAGCACTTTCACAAATACCAAAAGAACATTTGGATAGATGCCATTTTGCTTGTCTTATTAAGGCATATGCCACCTCAGGAAATATTGCAAAATCTAAACAATATTTTGAAGCTCTTGCTGACTTTGAAAAGAGCAATCCAAAGAATGTGAAACAAACAATTTCCCCACTCGACTATAACCAATATTTGATGGCATTCTTGAATAACGCTGAAATGACCAAAACTCCTCCAAGAGTTACGAGAATGAATCAAATTTTCAATTGCATTGACAAGCCAGTTACAGTAAACTATAACACTCTCATGCTGGGCTATTTGAGAAAGAAGATGTTCTCCAATGTTGAAGCTTTATTCAGTAAAATGATTAGACCAGAAAACAAACCAAATGCAATGACTCATGCCATCATGATTAGATGTTATGCTGATCAGAACGCAATTGGGAAAATGTTGGAATACTTTGACCAAGTTATTGAGAAATATAAGGACGGAAAGGACTGTAGTAGAAAGCTCTATGTCAGTATTATGAATGTTTGCGCTTTTAAGGGACTCCATGAAAAGGTGCAACAACTCTTCGACAGATTCCCACAAACATTTGCAGTGCATGGAACACCTGCAACTCCAGGAATAGACGAATGGAATTGTTTACTTCTTGCCTATTCATTTGTCAAAAACACTGAAAAGGTTGAGGAAATTTTCAAGCTAATTCCAAATCCAAATGCCATTACTCACAAATGTCACAAGATGGCATACAGACCATCGAAACAAATGCACGTTAAGAGAGCTGAAATTGAAACAAAGATTGACCAGGAAGTAGCAAATACTCCGAGAATAAAGCTTCACACGCCACTTGATGGCTAAGCCAAATAATTTTCTCATTAGAAACGTGATTGCAAGTCCACAACGTGAGTGTTACGAATGGAATTGTTGAAATTAAAAAAAAACACTGTAAAACCTGGTGATGCATGAACACGTGTTCATGATATATAAAGCACGTTTTCGAATAAAATTAACAATGAATATTTAATTAATTATTATTAAATTCCAAACGTGATTTTGACCTCATAAAAAATATCCAATTGCGACGCAACCTATCAATGCTGGGTACCCATAAAAACAGTAAAAATAGCTCCACTTCCGTGGTGGGAACACTTCTCTCATCAGAACAAAAGACTTTATTACAAGAAGCATCATCGGAAACGCTGATACAATATTTTTGTAGCCGATTTACTACGGAAGAGGACAGAATTTCTTTCGCTAAGCTCCAAGGCTTTAAATTGGATTTGTTCTCTAATTTTTTGCAAAGAAGTGAAAAGTACGTTACTGCTCGATTTGCCCTCCTGAAACTGTATGCATGGGAAAAATTACAATGGGAAATCAAGTCGAAAGATTATGCTAGATTCTTGTATGATTATCATATTGCAAAAAATTGGGAAGAAATCAGAAAGAAAATTATAGATGATGCCAAACAAATTCATAGAAAAGCCATTGTGTTTATTGATGGAGACAATCTGTCAAATGACTTGAGTCTACCTGAATTGATAGAGCATTATGAAAAAAAGAAAAATTTACTGCATGTAGTAATTGTCTTTGCTAATGGTGTTGTGAATGATGCAATCATGAGTTATGAAACAAAAGAATTCATTTCAATAATGCACTCCATCACTAACACCAAAGATGCAGCTGATACTTGCATATCGCTGCTGTTAGGATCTTTACACTCGTCATTACGTGCCTTTTACCCAACTGTCAATCATAGTTTTGTTGTGGTAACTAAAGATCACTTCTTTGAGGAATTGAGTAAGCAATGTCTCCTTATTGGAAGATCTTGTTACCCTGCTAAATCAATTAGAGATTGTGTTAATATTTTAAACAGGATTGATAACAATGAAGTAATTGAAATTGTTGTTGAACAAAAAGTTACTAATGCTAAAATATCAGGTGTTTCAGTTACTAAAATTGTTGAAAAACCCACAAGTGAACATCTAAAAGAATTGTTCAATGTTGCCTGGTTGGGATTAGGCAAGTCTCAAAATCAGTTCTGTAAAACACACAACTTGGATTCCACAAACTTTTCCAAACATATGAATGGTAAAAAGTATAATCATGCCTGTAAAATCAAATTAGAGGAATTCTACGAGTTATATAAGAAGAGTACAGACAAGACCTCTCACTTTATAATTAATAATTTCGGAAATTTAAAGGAAATTGATATTAACCACAATATTTCAGGAGATACTATTGAATTCGAAATTGATTCTGAAGAATTTTCTTTCACTACTCCACACGACTATAATCCTCTCTACAAGGAGTCATACCCAGTACTTTATGAAGAATGGTTGAGTGATAATAGTGATATTGATAATGGCTATAGAGCAGATTTTCTTAAACTAGTCAATTACGAAAAAACCATTAAGGTAAAGTTACGTGGTAGTATTTTGACCCTTCCCTTGAGAATGAAAGATTCATCCAATTCATCATATATTCCAATTGATATAGAGTTAAGAAAGGAAGAAAACAAAAATGTAGAGCTTTTCTTGAGAGCACCAATTGGACAGGTTAACAATACTATACATATTTATTTTACATTCTCATATTGGACTCCTCAAGAATATATTGCTATCAGTGGACATATCTGCTGTCAAATATTTGGAGATTTATTTGGGTTGGAGGTTAATACTTCTATTACAACAGTAACTACAATATTCAAACCTACAACTATTAAGAAATCTAATCAAGTGTTTTACCCTGAAAATCAAATAGCACTCAACAAGATTAACAGAGTGAATGATTTGATTGGATTGAAGTGTGTATTCAATAAGATGGGAGATGAGTTTGTGCTAAATACAAGAAACTCTCTCAAGGATACACCTTCCATAAGATTTTTATTGAAACAAAGTGTTATGGATTATATTAAAAACCGAGGTAATTCTGAACAAGTTTATGGAATAATTGATTCGGTTGAAAGTGACGGTTGGGATGTTTATCGTGTTGGCTGTAAAGTGTTGTAGTAATCTCTATGCGACCAATCTTATCGATTAAGATGGCAAACGGATATATAGACTGGCAAACATATTCGACAACATGCGTTAATAAAGAACATTCTCTTGCATTCTTTTTTTTTTGCAATAAGTATTTACATTAATTTATTAATTCTTCTTCTTTTTCTTATTTTCTTCCTTGTCTGATAATAAAACCAAAATTCTGATAAATAATTGAGCAAAGTCAATAAATAATTCGAGTGAGTGAGAAATGGCATCTGAATTTTTGGCTCCAACAAGTTCAACCTTTCTAATAATCATTTGAGTATCATAGAGAATGTACAATACAAATAAAATTAAACCTCCATATAAAGTCAAATTGAAAGAAAATCTGAACAATGAATTGAAGAGCAAGATTAAACTCAATGAAGAAATGAATCCAGAAAGATATAAATAATCTCTACGCTCATTCATCATGGCAGCAACTGTAAAACATCCAAAGATAACACATGTTAATACGAAAGCTTGTAAAACAACTGTTTCGTTCAAATCCAAAGCATAATTGACTACAGGTCCAGTAGCAATTCCTTGCATAAGACCAAGAGTTACCAAAAGTCCCAATCTATAATATTGTTTAAACACAGATACACCAAATTGTGGTTGTGAGAAGGTTAACAATAAAGCAAACACTGGAATCATAATTCCAGCAAATGATGCACTGATATCATAATTAATTTGGAACCAACATCCGAATGCTGCAACAGCAACTAAACCAGCCAAGATTGTATATACATCAGTTAAATGTTGTTTAACTTCTCTAGAGAGAGGAGCAAAATTTGTTAGTGTTTGAAAGAGATTTGCAGTTTCCATCGTGTAATGATTATCTAGATACTTTGATGTTGTCGTATTTTTTTATAATTAGATGAAGAAAAACGTGTTTTTTGATCCGATGATGTTACTCAGGTTTTTTACAAAGAATTAATTATTAATTAATTTGAATAATTTAAATAATTATAATCAAATATATTAATGTCGTCTATGATTGAGTGCTCCACCAGTCATGGTATTAATTTGTTCTTCAGCAGTAAATGTTCCCGGAATTGATTTGAAACCCTTATTGAAAACACTCCAGGCTGATAGAGTACGTTCTCGTTCTTCCTTGCTCTTTTCTCGCCAATCCAAATTGTAGAATATTAATCCAATAGTTGTAAATATGGCAAAGACGATCATGAATTCATATTGATGTGATAAATAACCAATTCCGAGCCACGATAAGAGGATGAGAATTTTCTTCCAGTGATTGGTGAGGAATTGTTTCGATTTGAATCGATAGTAGGAAATGTACCATTTGATATCGTGTTTAGGTCTTCGTATTTCATAATCTGTACTTGATTCTGTAGTTGTTGTTGCTGATGGCTTTTTAGACATTTTTTTAAATAATTGAAATTGTAAAGATTAAACTTTCAAGAAATTACAATTATCAAATTTCATTCAGAATTTGTTAACATTCCTTAACTTTATCAATAGATTCCATCTGTTTTTTAAACTGCAAATCTTCCACCATACATTTGAAGAGCCAGTAATTAATTCAATAAAACAAATTATTTGTAAGATTAAAATACTGTAGGTCAATTTAAAGTTAAATAATTTATTCCTCTTCTTCTGCTTCTTCAGCACCTTCTTCTTCGCCTTCTTCACCCTCTTCATCATCATCCCAGTCACCTTCACTTCCTTCTGGAATTTCAGTTTCACAAGTGAGTAAAAAGTCATAAACATCACCTGGAGCATGATGTGTCACATACTTGACAAATGTTTGAACACCAGTATCTCTCAAAACAATCGAGATGGTATTAGGTTCTGGAAGGATGGACAAGAGTTCTTCTTCTTCATCCATATACGTTACACCTGCACCAAAATCAAAGTCCCAATCCTTTGGACACAATCTAAACAAGACATCCAAACGAACTTCGTCAACTGGAGTATTTTGAACAAGAGCATAATCACCAGGTCTGAATCTTCTTCCTTGAAGATTAATCTTCTTAATTGGAAGTGAGGTAATTTCCTTCAAATAATCAACGAAAACTTGAGATTTGGCAAATTCATAAAACTTGCTCAATTCAGAGCTCTTTTCCAATTTTTCAGAATTCAATCTCAAAAAGTGTCTTCTATTGGCTGGAATTGTAAAATCGAATTGGTCTTCCTTCAATGATTTGAATTCTTCGTATAAAGTATCGAATTTTTGAGCGCTCAAGAATGATCTCAATTCAATAGATGATTCATTACAAAATTGTTCATTAACAGCCTTTCTGATATCTTCCTTAACATATGATTCACCTAACCAATATGCAACATCCAAATGAGCAGCAGGTGTTTCAACAGTTGAAACTTCTTCATATGTAAGTGGAGCAATATCTTCAATAGTATAATCAGGTCTTTCAACAAGAGTATCACTATACAGCCAACCAGTAATAGCAATACGATCTTCCTCCATATCAATAGCACGTAAAACTTCACGAACTCTGTGATAGGAAATTGTAGAAACTTCAAAGAAGGAAATACTGTTAAATGATGGAAGAACTGAACCACCAATACTAACTGGTTGATCCATTTGTTTTGGATCACAATTATACAAATCAAGATGTCCACCATCAGCTTCGGACCAATCTTCTGGAACTAGATAAATAATATAAGCAATTCTACGTTTTTCCAATTCGTCATCATGACACAACAAGTGATGTGTATCACGATAACATGAAACAAACATATCAATGGATGGATTCAATTTAATTCCACGTTCCTTAAGACTGCAAACTTCTTCCAACCATCCTCTAAAACTTGGACTATATAAAACATCTCTCAATTTACGTAAATGTTCATTCTCTTCAACAATGGCATTCTTTTGAAGATCTTTAGTTTGTAAAAAGTGATACAAATCATTGTTCTTTTCCCAATATTTAAGTGCAAGAGTTTCTTGCTTGACATCCTTTACAAATTCCAAATCCTTGAAAAAGTTCTTCAAATGCAAGTATGGGAATGGCTTGTTTTCTCCAAAGGTCTTTTTAGCCTTTTGAACACCTTCCTCACTACTATACTCTGCATTCAAGTGGTCCATCAGATTTAAATTTTGCAAATATTCTTGATAGGCTTTTTCTTCTTCTGCTGTTCTTTTTGGAACAGCCTTGGCTTTCTTTTGTTGTTTTCTCTTCATGGCTTGATTTTTTTCAATTTTTCTCTTCATGATGATGAATTATTCCGATATAATGATGATAATTATTAACAACAACACTTGATGATACTCCTCACGAGTTGTGAAAATAATTTTTTTAACGTTTTTCAAATTTTTTTTTGATGGTGAAACTTTGGAATTACCCTAATTGGATTAATTTTCAATTTAACAATTTTGTATTATAAATCGAATTAAGGAGCTAAAGTAATATTTCGGAGCAGTGTTTAAGGTAGACAAGTTCAGTGATGAAGGTTGACAGTCTAACCGTTTGATCCAAGTTCACTATCAAGACGAACTGGGCGAGTATATTTAACAATGGAAGAATTAGGAAAGGCATTGAATGGAACTCTCCTCTTTGGCTATTATGATAGAAATCCCGATAATATTTTCAATTTGTATGAATCTATGAGCATTGAGATGTGTGTCGAAAGCGTGGGAGGATTACACTAGGGGAGTGAAGAGGAAGAATGGATTGTAGAATCAGATCAGAACTATTGAAATATCAGAAACCACCAACAAGTTTAGAGATGGAGAAGTATATCGATTCTCAAAGACTAGAATTTGGAGTTGCAAAGCAACCTACACCATATATTGAATGGAAAAATAGGTTGAATGATATTGACATTGTCACATGTTGTGATCAAATTGAAAATTATAGTGGGCCAAGTAATTATCATATGGAACCTTGCAGAATTTATGGTTATGGTTTCATTAATTGGTTGGAATATATTGAATTTCTACCTGAAGGGAAGGGAGTTATTGTTGCTGAAACTAATGTTTTTGATGATTTGATTTCTTTGGATGGATATTATTTAGAGGAAGAAATATTGAGACCTGTACGAAAAGATGAATTCATTTTGGTGGAGGAATAAGCTTGATTCTTTGCAAGTGACTAATCCAATTTCTAATATTCTGGATTGAAATTGCTGGCCATGAAAGGTCTCTTTCTAGATATTTGATATTAGATGAAGTAAATCGTTTTGATAAATTAGTTCCTTTCAATCCATCAACGAGTAGAAAAGAAACACTGTTAAGAGGATTATCTTTCTGTTTTAGAATATTGTTCCATTCATCCTTATTACACTTTTTAAGCTCATATCCCTCCAATAATATAGCTTGATATAAATCTTCATAATTGGTAGACAATGGAGAGAAAATATTAAATTCTGATGGTAGTGGACCTTTTTGTTTCATAACAGATTGTACTATTAAACTAGCAGTTGTTCCAACACTTGTCCATTCCACAGCTCCACTATATGGTGGAAATGCTTTTGCTTTAATACACCCAGAAATCAGTACAGAAACAAAGTCATTCTCATTCAGTCCAACCACCTGATCGACAGATGTTGGAACTAGATGACCAGGTCTGTAAATAACAACCGAACCTTGGTCTTGTTTAGAATAGCGTGATAGAAGGTATTCAGAGGCCCATTTTGAAGTACCGTAACCCATAGATGCAGGGTCATGTGGAATGTCTGGTATAAGAGTTTCACACGATCCAGGCTCTGCACAAGCAATGCTAGAAATGTAATGGATTGGAATATTTGAATTTGATAGAAGCATTATTGTTTTCACAGGAAGTGTATTCGTATGACGAAGAGCAGAGTAAGGAAGAAGCCAATTTACATTAGATGCGCTATGAATAATAGAGTGGGTCTTTTCTCTTATATTATTAAATTCAATGACTGATAATCCAAAAAGAGGTTTTGAAATGTCTCCTTTAACAAGTTCAATTAGATTCTTGTTGGGTGAAATTCCATAATATTCCATTCTTGAATAAAACTTTTCAGGACTGGAGCGAATTAGACATATAACCTTAACACCAAGTTTTGTCAAATTATCCAGTATATAGGCTCCAAGAAAGCCACTCGAACCAGTCATAAAGACTGTTTGAGGTGGAGCCGGTGGAACTGCTCTATTGGTTCCATCTGTTTGTGGAAGAACAGATTGAATATCCTGTAATAATAGTGTTCTCTCTTCTATATGATGAGTTGCATTTGTATTGTTAAATAATTCAAATGCTAGATTTTCCACTGTGATAGATCTGTAAATTTGGCTTGATGATATTTGGCTATCAAATGTTGAATTTAACTTGTTGGCAATCATCGTAACAGTAATACTATTTGTACCCAGTTCTGTCCAATGGTTGCCCATTGACACTTCGTGGCCAAAAATATCTTTCAAAATTTTCAAATATTTCTCTATTGAATCATTTTCATTCTCTGCAACATTATTACTGTTCAGTTCCTGAAATTCCTTTGAAAATTTAGAAACAAGCTCTAACTTGGAAATCTTTAAAGAAGGATTGAGAGAACCATCCTCTACACTAAATAAATTCTCCTTAATTAAAACACCTCTTAGAATTTCATCTGGATTACATCCTTCTGATAATTGAATTCTTTTCAACTCTTTCAATACTTCGTTTCTACATTTTTCAGAGGAGCACATTTCACTTTTGCTCAAGCCTTCCACTCCTTTTTCTTTCAAAAAGACTTTGAACAAGTCCCAATTAGGCACTACAACTGAAATTACTTTTCCAGAATATTGTTCCACAATTACAATTACTTGTAACAACTTTGAGCTCTTTAGAGAATTTTCTATTGAAGTTGATGAAACAAATTTTCCATTCTTCAGTTTCATTGTAAAACTCTTTCTATCGATAACTTGAATTTCATCAGGTGATAATAATTGAATAATGTCACCTGTTGGAAACCATTCTTGATATTTTCCTTGATAGGTTTTCTCATCATTTAAATAACCATCAAACATGGTACTAGTTTTCACATAGAGCTCTCCTCTTGGATATGGAATATCGGTTGAGTAATAGCCCATTTCTGGTACATCTACTAATTTAATTTGAACTCCTGGTAATAGTTTACCATTAATTGCAATTCCACCTGTTTCACTACTACCATATCCATCTCCAAAAGCAGATCCAAACAACGATGTCATCAATTCTCTTGTTGATTGACTCAATCCTGCACCTGTATTTGTAACAGCTCTACATTTTGGACCAAAAAGAGTATTCATCCACGATATTGTTCCATCCAGGGATGCTGTTGGTTTGATTGTTCCCTTTCGTACCACTGAGGAAATGTGATCCCAAACTATGGGAGTGGAAGAAACCTGGGTTGGGTGAACAATTTGACTGTCTGATATTAAAGTTTCCAATGAAGATTCTGCCACCTTACCACCTTGCATTAGATTAGTCCACAACCAAGAACGTGAAGAAGGACTGGATAAGGAATTGATAAGAAGAATGGTTTCTCTATTTCCTTCTCTTTTAAGCCAATTAGAGCGAGTCCTTTTTGTGAGTTTAACATTGCCAGTTGATCCACTAGTTGGTTGCAATGTAAATAAATAGGTTTCGTCTTCCTTTTCAGACAGATTTGCAATCAGTTTCGAATCAAAATTACTTCTCTTCTGTAATGGTCCAATTTTCACAATGTTTACAGAGCAATCCAACTTTACACCATCAAACAAGGTTGAGTCCAAACACAAAATAGCCTTTGGTTTGGTCAACTCACAAATCTGTTTGATTTTCAAAACACCAAGCATAGGATCCACTGGAATTGAGACAAGACCAGCCATTGCACATGCCAAATCTGCAATCACCCACTCTTCACTCGTTGGACAACAAATCAACACCAAATCACCAACCTCCACACTACAATTCTCCTCCAAATAAATTTGAAATTCTTGAGCCTGACAATAAATTTCCTCATAACTTTTCCATTCATAATTATTAAATTCATTATAAATAATATTATTATTATTTAATTGATGATCATCATTTGCTTTGGAAGAGTGCTCGGAAATTGTATGTTCACTCTTTGAATTGAGAGTATTATTAGTATTGTTAGCAATGTTGATCTTCTTTCCATAGAGTGGTAAATTGTAGTATCTTTCCAAAGTCCATTGTAGAGTTTGAGAAAGAGTAGCTGGAGGCTTTGGAGAGAATGTGAGAGGTAAATGGAGAAATTTTAATAGAATTTTGGCTTTTTCATGATTGAAAATCATTTAATTTTTTATTAAAATAAGAAATTGTAACAATGTGATTTTTAATATTATTAAATAGTATTATTATATTAAATATAAAATAATATTGGCGGGAAGTGATTTGAAAAAAAATGAAATTATTGCTTTCTCTTCTTGCTTCCGTTTTCTTCATTTTGATGATTCGGAGTTTGAGTGGTCACGTAGAGAGTGCCTCCTCAAAATATGAACTCACCTATCTCCCACTCTGCAATGGTCGAATGACAAGTAAGCAATATACAGGCTTTGTCGATATTCCAACCGGACAACAACCAGCCAAAAAGTTGTTTTACTGGTTTGTTACTTCAAAGAGAAATCCTGCTAAAGATCCAGGTATGTTTTGTTTATAATATAGTTAGTTGGGAATGGTCATTGTTGATGATGATGCTCTGGATCATGATGATGATGTTGTATTATATAATATTTACTTTTGGAATAGTTGTGTTGTGGTTAACGGGAGGTCCAGGTTGTTCAGGACTTTTGGCTTTAATGACAGAAAATGGTCCATTCCTCTTTACACCATCAGGAAATTCAATTATTGAGAATCCACATTCATGGAATCAACAAGCTAATATTATTTATTTGGAACAACCGTATGGTGTATGTATAGTTAAATGTTAATTTTATTTATTGGAATATTGGACAACTTGAAATGCAAATAATTCAATGTGTGGAATGATGCTTTGTTGAAAATGCAATTTTAATAATAATATAATAGGTCGGTTTTAGTACTGCTAATCCTGTCAATAGTACCAACTATCCATCAGGTGACAATGAAACTGCAACTGATAATTTGAGATTTTTGATTGGATTCTTTACTGAATTATTCCCTGAATTTTCATCAAATCCATTCTTTGTCAGTGGTGAAAGCTATGGTATGTTTCAACAAAATATTTGTCGATCTAAATTGACTATTTTCAGGTGGTAATTATGTTCCATTGCTCGCCAGAGAAATTTTAAAGTACAATACTAACAGTCAAAAGAAGATTTCATTCAAAGGATTGAGTGTTGGTAATCCAACAATGGATAATGATTTGGATGCTAATGCCTATTTCCCATTCATGTTCCATCATGCTTTGGTTGGAAGTGAAGAATTTGATCTCTATCAAAAACAATGTCCAAACTTTAATACTCCTTCTGCTCAATGTCAAAATATTATTAATGACATTAGAAATAATATTGGACCAATTAACCCATACAATATTTATGCTGACTGTATTGGAAAGCCATCTGTTGGAGGTGCTTGTTTCACTCATCAACTTGCCTTGCAAGCTGGTAAGAAGGTTGTAAGAAGAGTCTCTGATTCTCAAACCTACATTCCATGCATGAATGTTACTGGTATTTCCAATTATTTCAATAGAAGAGATGTCCAACTTGCTGTTCATGGTATTTCAGCATCTGAAAACACCAAGTTCTGGGATGTTTGTTCAACTGTTCTTCAATATAACGATATGGTCAACTCAATGATTCCAATCTATCAAGAAATTTATCAATATGATCCTAATTTCTATACTCTTATTTATTCTGGTGACGTAAGTTTTAACTTTATTATTGAAATAATGTTATTGTTTTCATTTGAAATATTAGGTTGATTCATGTTGCCCATATCCATCCACTGAAAGAGCTGTCCAAAAATTTGGCTTCCCTCTCACCATTCCATACCATCCATATTTCATTAACAAGCAAGTTGTTGGTTATATTAAGGGTTATAATCCAAGTAGAAACATGTTCTTTGCCACAGTTAAGAATGCTGGTATGTTTAATTATGATTATTTAATAGTAACTCAAAATTTACAAAAACAGGTCACATGGTACCAACTTATCAACCAGAGGTTGCTATCTTGTTGTTCAATTCCTTCCTTAATGGTCAACTCGCAAATCTCTAATTATTATTCGATAAATTATAATTGTTTTGATTCTTCTGGTTCTTCTGGTTTCTTTTCTTCACCTTGTTCACTCTTATCAATCTTTTCCAAATTAATTTTACCATTTTGAACGTTGGCCTTAAATCCTTGCTTGGCCAAAATTTCCTCTGACTGAGCATCGATACCTTCCAAATTCATATCTTTGATAAACTTTTGATTTTCCTCATTATCTTCACACAAATTTCTCACACAAAATACACCCCATTCTCTCAAGTCTTTACAAAGGTTAAAAATTGATGGTAAAAAATACTTACATGGATGTTGTTCTTGAACACCACAACAACTCAAACATAATGGAAGGCCTTCTTGTTCTCTCACAAAGTCTTGGATTTCTCTAGATTTGAATGTCAAGTTTGCAATAGTTCTAATGAGAAGAGTCTTGTATCCCAAATACATCCCCTTCTTTTCTTCATCCTCTTCATCTTCAAATACTAAAAGACCTGCATGTTCGAAAATGTCAATGCAAAGTCCAGAACCTTCCTGTTTCAACTCCTTAACAGCACATGACAATCCAAGGAGAGCTTTAGAGGTTATTAAAAGAATTTCAAAAACAAACTTACTCAACATTGCGGCCATACATTCAGTTCTCAATTCAATTTCTGCAGATTTTGCAGATGACAATATCAAAAGACTGCTCAAGTTAGAGAGACACTCCAAAGAAACAAATAAACACTCAAATTGCTTATAGGTCAGTATACCAATAGTACCAGTCTCTCCAGGAAGAAACTTTTCTCTTAAAATATTAATAATTTGAACACAGAATTCAATCAATGATTTGTAAGTACCAGCTGCTGGTGTTGGTTCCTTAGCTTGGACTTCCTCATTCGAGAATTGATCAATAATTTCCAACAAGTCCAATAAGAGAGCTTCATCAGCTGATTTTTCAATTTCTTCCAGCATGAGTCTACAAGTTTCCTCTCCATGGAAAAAGAAATCTTCACTCTCTTCATTCAAATAGGCCTTACTAAGGAAATACTTTTTGTAAATCAAAAATCTGTGAATAAAAAATGGAATTTCCATCAAGGTTTTTTTAAAACAACTTACACCCATTCCTTGGTATGTTTAGTTTCGTACAATCTCTCCAAAAGTTGAATCATGAGTTCTCTATTGCTGAAAAATTCAAATCTTTAACATTCCAATAATGAATCCATTGATCCTCAAAAAAAACAATAAAAACATACTCTATTTGTAAATTTCCCTTTGCAATACTATTATAAATTGACATGCAAGCAACATTTGTAAAAATCTTTCCCAACAATAATGCCTTTGGAATAATCTCTTTAAAGAAAATGCAATCCGAAATTTCGTACAAATAAATTTGAATTGGCTTGTTTCCAGTCATGGCATTAGCCAATACTTGAAAAAGAATTAGAGCAGTCTTTCTCGAATCAAATTCTTCCCACCGTTCCATATTATCAAAATAATTCTTTAAAATTTGTAAACAGAAAAACAAAATTCCTTCATTCATCAACTTGTTTTGAAATTCCTCTCCACCACTTGCACAATTATTTCTCCACAATGTACCCACTTGAATACAAGCCTCTTGGAAATCATCAATACTCGAATTGATATTTAATGATTTTACTTCCGATGATAAATTTCTTCCCAAACTCTCACTCGCAAAGGAAATCAAATCCAAAGCATAGAGTTTTATCAGTGATTCGGGAAAGTCTACGTTTCTTCCTTCTTGTTGTTGCATTTTTTTCAATTACAATATTGAAGAAAGACTTCAATTAATTGGTTTCATTGAAGTTACAAATTTCAATGAGAACCAATTAAGAAAAATTAAAATAATTCAAGTCAAGACAATTGGAATGATCAATGTTCAACTCGATGAAAATTCTCAGCATTGCAAAAGCCAAAAAATTGGCTGCTGCTGATGATTCTTGTTGCGTCATCGTATAGTGCAACAACCACCAGAAGAAAAGGACAAGCAAAAAAATGGCTCCAAGCAATGCTACCACTCCTCTCGAAGCCTCACAAACGAGGGAGCTTTTTCAAATTACGGAAAACCTCTCTACTTGCCAAGCCATGAAGATGCAATTACAATCAAGGCTCGGAAGTGATGCGGCTGAATTCTTTTATTTTGCCTGTATGGATACATTATCAGTGGTGAGAGAACAAGAATCATCATCTTTTGAAAATAATTTGTTACTCAATAGAAAATCATCTTCTGTTCCATCAACTTGTCTTTCTAAATTGGATATTATTGTTCGTACAAAGGAAGAAACTTGGAATCCACAAGATCCTGAACAAGTTTCCACATGGATTCCTAATCCTCGTTTCAACAATGATGAAGCATTCACACAAAAAACCTTTGGAGCAATGGCTGATTGTTTTGCTAGTGATAGTAGTATTGTTCAAAGAGTACAAAAGAAGCACCAAATGTTATCCAAACTTTCCGAAGGAGGAATGAATTCCATCATGCCAACCTTTACAAAAACTTTGAGAGATTTAAAGGAACACAATGGAGGAATTAAAAATTCATCCTCCAATGAAGAAACAAAGAAATTATTTGACACTTTTAATAAGGAAGCCCAACAGCGTTTTATTTCATGTATGAAGGCCCAAAAGAATACAATTCCAGCAAAGAATGAAGAATTTTCTGTTGCTGTTGCTACTGATCGTTGTAGTGCTACCAGTTTTGAGAATTTCTTTAAGGGAATGATTTTGTCTTGTCATAAATCTGTCAGTTCATGCGTCGAACAAAGTAGAATGAAGAAGAATTTGGAGAGTGAAAATGTTTTTGGAGTTTTGGCCTGTGTCACTGATTTGCAACACATTACACAAGAAGGATGTGCCAAGTTTGCTGTTGAACACATTGATGAATTATCACGTACTTCATTAGATTAGACTTGATTGAAAGTCAATCTGGACTCTAAAGAAATAATAACATACACGTAATTGAGGGTGAATTTATGGATACTAATGGATGGATGGTTTCACACAAGGATTTACTTTTGCCTCTTTAATAACTCAAGTAAAAGATTAATACCTCAAATTTTCAGTCTTTTGTAATATTAAGGTTTCTTCCAATATTTTGAGTTTCCAAAAACTAATCAACATCCTTCAAGCAAACCATGGATGATATTATCAAGAAAAGGACCACCAACACATTAAATCAATCAAAAACAAAGATCCTCTTGACATCCTCTTCAACCAACTGCTCATCTTTGACAAAATCCAAAATGTGCGTCGTCCATTCATTTTGATTGTTTTTAAGCTCACAACACTGCTCATCTACAGTTTTTTCCTTTCAAGAGGAGCACAAAGCGGAGACTCTTGTTGTGTTTTACCTCCATCAAAGACTGCTTCCCTATGTTGCTCTGACACAATTCGCAAAATATATTCTAAAAAAAAATGCAAAGAATTGGAAAACAAAGAAAGGCCTTGGTGAAGCAAGCTGCTTCATTGCTTTCGGCGGGCTCAAATCCTTTGAATGCTTCTACTAGTAATTTAATACCACAAACTCAACAGCGTTATTTTCAACAAAAACAAACAGAATATATATTGTCATCATTACCAATGTTACGATTCAAAAAGAATGGAAATATAGTAACTTTACCTACTTCATCAATAATAAGACAATTCCATACAAATTATAGAAATTATAAAAAGAATGAGAAGGTTAGTTTCTTAAGAGAAATATTGATCTAATTTTATTCAACAATAATAATTGAATTTTATTATCACTAATTGATGAATCTATATTATTATACAATTCGGAATAGAATGATGAAGATGAAAAGGAAAATAAGGAAGATGACGATGAAAGTGGTGAAAAGCAAGATGCCAAATCTAAAAAACTCAGAATAATTGTGGCTCTTGTTTTAAGTACATATTTATTGTTATACTTGACACCTGCTGGACCAAGTCAAGGTAAAAAACAAAACAAGGAAATTACATTCCAAGAATTTGTAGAAAGATTTTTAGGTAACACTAACTTGGATCACATGGAATATGACTTGAGAACTAATGAAGTCTATGTCTATTTGAAGGATGAATTGAATGCTGGATCTTTTGTTTACGGAAAGACACAGGAAGAACATAAGGATCCTTCACAGGAAGAAAAGAAGGTCCCAATTATTGTTGGTCACTCTGGAGAAAAACAAAAAGGATCAATTTGGGGACCAAGTAGTGGATTTAATTATTACTTCCAAATGATTAATGTTGATGCATTTGAATCAAGACTTCAAGATGGAGAAATTGAAAAGGGAATTCCACCATCAATGAGTCCTAAAATTGTTTACACAGGATCTTTGGATTGGCACTCTCTTTTACCAAGTCCTTTCACATTGTTCTTGGCAGGTATTTTGTTGTGGTCATTCACTGCAACTGCTAGAGGTATGCCAGGTTTGGGAGGTATCACAAAGACTCCAGAAGCTGTAAAACAAAAAGTCAAGGTCACTTTTAATGATGTAGCTGGTATGGATGAAGCTAAAGCTGAAATTCAAGAATTTGTTTCATTCCTTAAAAAGCCAGATCATTACAAAAAGTTGGGTGCCAAGATTCCAAGAGGTGCCATTTTGATGGGTCCACCAGGTACAGGTAAGACTTTATTGGCTAAAGCTGTAGCTGGAGAATCCAATGTTCCATTCTATAGCATGTCTGGTTCTGACTTTGTTGAAATGTTTGTTGGTGTTGGTCCTGCTAGAGTTCGTAATCTCTTCAAGAAGGCCAGAGAAACTGGTGAAGCCATTATCTTTATCGATGAAATTGATGCTATTGGTAGACCAAGAGGTAACTCAATGTATGGTGGTGGTAATGATGAAAGAGAAAATACTCTCAATCAATTGCTTGTTGAAATGGATGGTTTCAATGAAAATCAAAATGTCATTGTTCTTGCCTCAACAAACGTTGATGTTGATGGATTGGATAGAGCCTTATTACGTCCAGGTAGATTTGATAGACAAATCACTGTCGATAAACCAGATCAAAAGGGAAGAGAAGATGTTTTCAAAGTACATTTGAGAAAGATTAAGAAGGTTGAAAATTTGGAAGAAAATATTCCAAGATTGGCTGAATTGACTCCTGGATTTACTGGTGCTGATATTGCCAACGTTTGTAATGAAGGTGCTATCTTTGCTGCCCGTGAAGGTAAGAAGGAAGTTGATATGGAAGATATGGAACGTGCCATTGATAGAGTTATTGGTGGTATTGAAAAGAGAACTGCTCCAATTACTCAAAAGGAAAAGAAGGTTATCGCTTATCACGAAGCTGGTCACGCTTTGGCCTCATGGTTCTGTAAGAACTCTGATCCACTTTTGAAGATTTCCATTATTCCAAGAGGTAAGGCTCTTGGTTATGCTCAATACGTTCCAAAGGAATACTTTATCAGAACTAAGGACCACCTTATGGATTACATTACCCAAGCTCTTGGTGGTAGAGTTGCTGAAAAGATTATTTTCAATCACTTGTCAACTGGTGCTCAAGATGATTTACAAAAGGTTACTAGAATTGCCTATGCTGCTGTCAGTAGCTTTGGTATGAGTGACGTTGTTGGTCCAGTCAGTTATCCAATTCCAGGTGATTCATCAATGGCTTTCCAAAAACCATACAGTGAAGATACTGCTGAAAAGATTGATGGAGAAGTTAATTTGATCATTCAAGATGCTTTGGAAAGAACTACTAAAATTTTGACTGAAAAGAAGGACCTTTTGGAAACTGTTGCTCAATATTTACTCAAACACGAAACAATGAATATTGAACAATTTAGAGAACTTGTTGGTCCATCACCTTTTGCTGACAAGGAGCAAAAGTTCCGTGAATTTATTGAAAAGAAGGAATTACAAAAACAATTAGAAAAAGAGAAAGCAGAAGAAACTAAGTCTGAATAAATTATAAAGTGTAAATAAATAATAATAGGTTTTTAACTGTCAATAAAAATTTATAATTCACACAACTATATGGTAAATTGAGTTTTGGATTGAATTAAATAATTGATAATTTATTTGCTTAGTTTTTAAATAGAGTTGTAAAATTGCTTAGTTTAATTTGTGAACAGTGGTAAAATCTTTCAAGGCATCCAAAGCAGAGAAATCTCCACTCTTCATTCCAACCAAAAGAGCATCCCACCACTTGAATAAGAATCTTCTACAAATCAATTTGAACCATGGAGTAATTTCAATTTCCTTCTTTTCTTCATTCAAAACATCCAACATGTGTAACAATTCACTGGCATCAACAAATTTGACAGCACGAACTTCATTCAAATTCATTGACTTTAAATATTCATCAAATTGAGCATCTTCTTCAGCATTCAAAACGTAGAACAAACAATAGTCAACTTCATGTTCACCCCATTGAGAATCTTGTGGATTACCACTTGGTGACTTGTAGAGAATTCTAGTCAAATAATTAAATCTTTGTGGATCGATAGCAGATTGTGGAATTCCGAGTTCGTGTTCAAGCTTTCTATGAGCAGCATTACGAACACCCATTTGTCCCTTCATTTCACGTTCAGAATCCAAGTTAAAGAGAGGATGTGAACAACAAGTGTTGGTCCAATAGTCTGGGAAGGTAATCTTTTCAGTGGCTCTTTGTTGAAGCAACAATTGTCCCTTAGAGTTGAATAAAAAGACAGAGAAGGCTCTATGAAGACAAGGAACAGTGTCATCTCCAACTGTAGCATCAATATTTGTCCAGATATGACAATGCTTCTTGGAAGCTCTTCCCTTTTCTTCATCATTTTCTGTAACGAGAATACAGTCTTCGGATTCCATGAAAACTAATTGTTGTTGATCGAGTGAGGCCATTGTTTTAATTGTTTGTTGTGAAAAAGAACGATTTGTTGTTGATGTAAAAGTCTTTAAAAATCCAACAAGATGTTGTCGTCTGTTGTGTTGAGGTTATTTTTTTCAAGATGATTTCAATTCATTTCGGAAAACGACAAACAATAGCAACGAAACCAACGAAAAAGAATCCACACAATTTAATTGTAATTGCAGTCAACACTTCTAGATTTATCTAATTTTCCTTACCTATTGCTATTCGTTGTTGAAGTTATCCAACAATTACCACTTGATGTCTTGTTGAGAATGGATGGACAGCCGAATTTTAACTTGTGTAGTGAAGTAAGCATTTTTTTATTGCAATGTTCTGTCCTAGGTTTTGATTTTATTGCTGAGAGCTTGAATTTTGGAATCTTTCAAACGAATTAATAATTGTAATTTGTTAATCTTTGATTCTAACAGTTTGACTGTCTCCTCTAATTCATGAATTTTAGCATCTTTTTCCTTTATCAATTCCGATTCTTCAAAGACAGGCATATTCATGTGTTGTTTGTTATTGTACAAAGTTTCATCATCGATTGGTGGTTGTTGTTCCAGGAAATGATCTCTATTTCTTGCCCTACTACTGTGATGAGAGACTGCATCCATATCTTCATCAAAGTCTCTTTCCACTCTCTCCAAATGCATGTCACTTTTCCTTTCATTCCTTTCGACCAAGTTTTTTCTCTCCACTAATGTTGGTCTCTCCACTTTTTGTTCTCCACCACGATTGATATGAGCTGATGAAGGTCTTGATTGTTCCCTAGTTCTTACAGAAGAGGCAGATGCAGGTCTCTTGGTTATTACTCTACTTGAGGCTGAAGATGATGGAATAGAGTCTTTTGATGTATTGCTTGTTGCTGGCTTTGTTGGTTGGGTTACTTGTTGAGTAGCTTTTCGTTGTTGTATCTGAGTTACTTTGATTTGAAAGGTTTTGAGCATTCTTTCTGCTGCAAAAGGCTTACACTTGACCATGTCATCAATTTCCTTTGGGTCAACAGAAAATCCAATTTTCTGAAAAACCTTTTCTGAAAACAGGTATTAATGTATATGCCATTAAATATTGAGGATAGTACTTACGATCTAGGGTGTTCCAATTGTAGATTTTTTGTTTGGAACTTGAAGTAGAGCTATAATTATGAAGATCGACAAGTTTAGGGAAGAAATGTTTGACCACTTCGGCCATCATTACACCATCACTAAAATCTCTGGCAATATTCTTTTTTGGCCTTGATAAGGGTATTTCATCGACCCATGAATACAATAATTGTAATTCTTCTTCATCGAACGGAGACTCCATGCTGGTATCGTGTTGTTGTTGTTGCTGTTGTTGGGCATCCCTTCCTCGCGATGAAGCTGGTGGTGATTGAGGGGGACCGTCCCTTTGAAATCGTTGCATTTTTTAAAATAAAAAGATTAAAAAACTGTAACGAAAAGGCGCCATTTTGGGGTTTCAAAATTTTATATAACGGTTGAACACTCTAATGTTGTAATTCTAGTACCAATTATATTTGGATGCTTGTTGTCCAAAATTGAGAAACATTTTATTGTTGGATTATTGGAACAATCATATCGTTTCCATTCATGACAATGTACTTCTCAAATAGTCAACTCATTTTATTAAGACATTAAAATCATTGTTTTTAGAAATCATTTCAGTTTGATAATCAATCGACCCCAATTATTCAAATTACATTCTCTAGAATTGTCACATCTCCAGTTTCTCCTAATGTCATGAATATTTTTTACTTCTTATTGACCTGATTCTTGATGGCAGAAATTAAATATCTTCTTGAGTGTTGGCATGAATTACATTTATATTCCGTAAACATTTGATTGTTATCTGGATTGACAACTTCTGTGATGGTACAAGTCTTTCCAGGTATAAAAATCATTCCACACTTTTTACACAAACTTCTCTTTACATTCGGATGTCTATTTGTTTAATAATTGAATATTCAATTATTTCAAAATTTAAATTCCACATAAATATATTATTACATACAATCTCAAAACATTCTTCTTTGCAATCCTCTTCATATTGTTTGAATAGTGTTTACTCAATTGAATATCTCCTGTGTTTGTTCCCGAAGGAAATTGATCTCCAATATTCAAGCCTTTATGTGCCATAAAATTAGAAGCCTGATATAGAAAATTCATTGTATGTTGATGAAGAGAAGCATTATTATTTGTCTTGCTTTTTGTCTGTTGTTGTTCCGATCCAGTGTTTTTATTTGAAGGTGTTTGTTGCGTCATTTTTTGTTGTTAAGAGTGAAATTGCACACATAAGGAAGCCCACAGCTCCTATCCTTTAGAATCTCATAAATTTGTTTTTATTTTTTTAATAATACAATAGGGACATTCACTTAATTTACTTCATAATCCTGATAAAGTCATCAATATTGATCTTTCCGTCCTTATCCTTATCTGCCATTGATATCACTTGTTCCAATTGAGCGTCGCTTATTTCTTCTCCTAGTTTTTGAAGCATGAGTTTTACTAATGAGTAAGAATAGTTGGAAATATTAATATTTGGCAAGAGGATGAATAGATTCTTAAAAATAATTTTGGTAGTTATATAACTTACACTCTTCAATTCCTATTAAGCCATCACCGTCGGCATCCAAAACTCTGAATGAGGCTCTAATGCTTTGCTCAATATCATCGGTTGCATCACCAGATGTAGAGAACATGATTTGCAAAAAGGCATGAAAATCCACATTATCACCAACTCCAGCTTCTTGAAGGAGATTATGTAGATCGTTCTCTGTCATGGAAGCACCAATATTCTTCATCACTTGAACCAACTCATGAGTTTCGATAACTCCATCACCGTTTATATCATAGACACTGAAAGCTTCGCGATATACCTTCAATGTTTCTGGAGGAAGCCTCGATTCTAACTCCTCAATAGATGCTGTCCCCTTAAGCATTTTTTATTCTGTATTGTTGATGAGAAAAGTTGGACAGAAATTGCTGGTAATTGGGTAGGCCGCTCAAACACATCGTGTTGACAACGCAAAATATCCTTAATAAAAAATACATGCCACATTGGGCAGAAATCTATTACAATGTTAACACTTATTTATTTTGAAACAAAATTAACCACAAGAGAGCAGCCCCGCTAGCTCAGTCGGTAGAGCGTTGGACTTTTAATCCAACGGTCGTGGGTTCGAGCCCCACGTGGGGCGGTTGCAATTTTTTTAGTTTACTTGCTTAATTAGATAGCTTCTTTCAAACTTAACTAAAATTATTAACATAAAAAGTTGAGATGAAAGACAAGTCAGTTTATATTTCAATTTTAATATTTCATCTTGTGAAATCTCAAAGAAAGAGAAGAAAGCAATACACAAATAGAAGATGAAACCATGGCAATACCTGCAACCCAAGGTGGGATCATAACTTGAATCAATGGGAAGAAAATACCAGCAGCAAATGGAATGGCAATAATATTATATCCAAATGCCCAAACAAAATTCATAACAATTCTATTATAGATACTTCTGCAGAGTGAAATGGTGGAGAGGAGAGCTCTCAAATCATTTTTCATCAAGATAATTTGAGCACATTCAATGGCAACATCTGTTCCCTGACCAACTGAGATACCAACATCAGCCTGAATGAGAGATGGTGAATCATTGATACCATCTCCAATCATAATGACAATTTCCTTGGATTCTTGTAATTCCTTAACCTTGTTGGTCTTTCCAACTGGAGTGAGTTGTGAAAAGATATTTTCTTGTGGAATACCCAATTTGTCACCAACAAAATTGGCTACACATTGATTATCGCCGGTGAGCATGTAAACTTTGAGACCCTTCTTTTGTAATTCACTAACAACTTGATAGGATTCTTCTCTGACTTCATCTGATAAACTGAAAAGAGCCTTCAACTTTTTGTCAATTGAAACAAATACTAGAGTTTGATAACGACTAGAATCGCTGAATGACATCATGTTCACATGTTGATCATACATGAATTGTTCATTTCCAATATCAACTCTCTTTCCCTCAATAATGCAAGTGAGACCTCTTCCAGAAACTGCACTAAATTCAGACATGGTTCCAGATGTCTTTACAAATGTATCCTCACTATGACTTGAATGTTGCTTACAATACTTGACAATGGCCTTACCAATTGGGTGTTCACTGCTTGACTCGGCAACTGCTGTCCATCTGAAAATATCATCATCTGAAACATCAGTGTCAAACATTTCAATTTGATCAACAACCAACTCTCCCTTTGTTAAAGTACCAGTCTTATCAAAGGTTACACATGTGGCCTTCTTGACAATTTCAATTGGACTTCCTCCCTTAATGAGAATACCATGTTTAGCACCTAATCCAGTACCAACCATTGTTGCAGTTGGAACAGCCAATCCAAGAGCACACGGACAAGAAATGATAACAGTCGATGTACTCAATAGGAGTGCAAAAATGTAAGGGCTCATATCGTCAGCTCTCCACTCCTTTGGATACAAGTTAAAAGCTCCCAAAATGGCCCAAACAGCAAATACTACAAGACTGAGAATGATAACAAGTGGAACAAACCAAGCAGAGACCTTATCAGCCAATCCTTGAATTTGTGGCTTGTCAGTTTGGGCTTGTTCAACAAGTTTGGCTATTCCAGAGAGAGTACTATCGGAGCCAACACGAGTAGCTCTCATAAAGAAATAGGTATCACCAACATTGACAGTGCCACCAATAACTTCAGAACCAACTTTCTTAGTGACTGGCATTGATTCACCAGTAATCATTTGTTCATCAACGAGGGCATCACCATCGAGAGAGACAATAACACCATCGACAGGAACCTTTGAGGCACGAATGACTTTCAAAATATCACCCTCTTGAACTAGATCAACATCAATTTCGCTCTCAGTATTATTTTCACCAACGAGAATGGCAACACTTGGTTGAAGATCCAAAAGAGTAACTAGGGCAGATGAGGTCTTTCCCTTGGCAACACTTTCTAACAATCTACCAAGTGACAAGAACATGATCAATGCAGCAGCTGTCTCAAAGTAATCATGTTCAATTGTAATCTTTCCAACACTCAAATTGTAAATATTGGTAAAGAGAGAGTAACCATAAGCCTCAGTAGTAGCAATAGCAATGAGAACATTCATATCCAAAGAGAAGGATTTCAATGCTTTCAAAGAGAGGAGATAGAACGGATATCCACCAATGATTTGAACTGGAGTAACAAGTAAAAACATGACCAAGCTCATGATAGATAAGCCAGGGAAGACCTCATTCATGAGTGCCATCTTGGTGTAATGAATATTACCAAATAACATCATGAGAACCATTGCAGGAATGGTCAATAGAGCAGAAAATCCAAAATAAAAAGCCCATTTTCTAATTTCATGTTTTCTTTGGAGAGTATCCATCTGGTTCTTCATCAAGGAAGATTTAACAATCTTGACCTCACCCAATTGACCTTCTGCAGCTTTATGAACAAGCTGGTCAAAGATAGTTCTGCATTTGGTTGTCTTATCATCGAATAGAATGGTAAGAATGGTATTGTTAGGATTACCATCTTCAACACTTTGTCCAATATCAAAAACTCCTTTAACACCAGTGAGGAAATCAACAAAAGATTCCTTACTTGATGTGCCGATACTAACCATGAGCTTGTTCTTTTCATTATTGAGCTGATCAGTTAGACTGGTAACTTGAAAACCAAGAGATTCGACCTTCTTTATCAACTCACGTTCTGAAATGACAGACTCATCATATAAAATTTCACCTTTTTGCATGATGAGATTGACTGAGCACTTGCTGACACCGTTCAATTCTCTAACATTTCTCTCAATCTTGGAAACACATGAGGCACAACTCATTCCGTCAATGGAGAGAACACACTTCTTATTAGATGAGTGTTCAGCTGATTCATCATGAGGTACATTGGCACCCTCCTTATTGGAGAGTAATCTCACATCATGCATCTCAATTTCTTCATCACCATCTTCGTGTAGATCAATAGCAGAGTATTGATTCATTTCACTTGTTGGTGATGGTTGATAGAAGGAACGATCCTCCTCAACTTCCTTTCTGTAGGAAGAAGTTGGAACAGATTTGGAAGTCTTTACAGAATAAATTTCTACCTTTCCTTCACAAGTAAAACCAAGCTCTTCAATTTTTTGAATAATTGGACCAGGTTCCTCATAATCACATTGAACACTAACGAGTTTGCTTTCCAAATTAACATCCACAAAGTGAATCTTTTCATCAGATTCAAGAGCTTTGGTAATCTTATTCTTACATCCTCCACATTTCATACCATTAACAGTAATGTTGTGTTCCTTGTATTCAGAAAATCTGGAACAAGTAAAGCCCAACATTTCAATATCTTCAATAATCTTTGATTCTAATTTGGCATCAACACCTCTAACAATTACCTTTTTAGAATTGAGATCAATATCAACATTTTCAGTACCATAGCTCTCTTTTAACAATTTTTTAACCTTTGAGCTACAACCTCCACATCTCATTCCTTCAACTTTCAAAGTGAGAGAAGTATTGTCATCTTGAGATGGATGATTTTGAATTTCAATATCAGTATTCAAAATATTAAAAGTCTTTTTCAAATCATTTGTAAGAATATCATTAATCAAAGATCTAGTATTCTCCTTATTGAAAAAGAAGATGACAGTTTGATCATCTAAATCACAATACAAATGAGCAATATCATCCATATCAGCAAAAGCCTTTTCAACACGAGAACTGCATCCTCTACATTTCATCTTACAGGAATCATCAAATTTAACTTGGTGAACTTTCATAGTTCTTGCACTCTTGATACGAAATTGTTTCTTGTTATTTTCATACAAATTTCTCATCAATTCAAACAAGGAAACATATCCAGAAACATAGACCTTCAATTCTTGTTCATTTTCAGCAATGGAAATGAATGCTTGATCCTTTAAACTTTCAATAATTTCCAAAGCATTCATATTTTCATTCTTTCTACGAACCAAAACAATTTCAAAGTGATAAATTTGTCTAATTCTCTTCATGAAACAATTAGCAATGCAACCACCACCACCTCCACTACTATTAGTAGTACTACAACTATTACTACCACTAACAGAAGAAGAAGTATTATCAGCATTAACAGAATTTAAAGTTCCGCAACATGATGAAGAACATCCACAACCTGGTGATGATGCAACTGCATTTGCACTCACCTCCTCACTATCATCAAAATATCCCTTGATAACGGAGGTACATTGACATGAGGAGCAGGAACATCCACATGAAGAATTTTTATCGACAAACATTTCTGCTTCCGAGGTTGATAGCCCACCAACAATAGAAGGTGGCAACCAATCCCTATTGGCAGGATTGACAATTAGTGTGACCATTTTTTTTGATTATCGAATTGGAGAAAGGGCAGTAGGCTTTTTATTTCAGAATCTGGCGGCTAAACTATTATTACGTGCGCATTGACTTTACAATAAACATGCAAGATTAGTTGTTAAACAATTCAGGTTTCCTCTCAACAATGTTGGGCAAGGTGTTGGACTATTAATAAAACTACAGTATCAATGAGCAGAAACAAGTTGAATATCAAGTTGAAATATCTTGCGTCTGAATATAGAAAGCCTTTCGAATTTCATCCTTACTTCTGAAAAGGGGATTAATCGAACAATGTGAAGACAAACGTATTTATTAACCATCCGAATCTGAATCACTTTCCGACCTATTAATACTCAAAGTTATTTGCCAAGTTTCTTTGATCATTTGAGGCTCTTCCAAATGAGGAATGTCGACGCTGAATGTTTTGGAACCCATTACAATCTCAATTGTTTCGACTTGTGTTGTGGAGAGTATTTTCTTTCGTGCATCTGTGACACTTATTCTATTTTCTTTAGATTGTGAAAGATCAGATCCAACCATGTGTTGTACAGCTGTGTTAATGGAACAAATTTTGAAAGATGTTGGATAGTCACTATTATCCTGGTAGTCAATTTTGCTGATATTTGTGAGGCATTCCTTGTAATATTCAACCTGTGATTCCCTATCTTTGAATAATCTACATGCGAACGATACGTGAAGTTTGGAAAACCATAAGCTTTCCTCGTCAATTAAGGCATGCATTCCATTATCGAAATAATCACCTTTGGTACAGAATGCTTTTGAAAGAGAAGATACAATTCTTTCTTCGTATTCATCTGTCAAGTCAAATGCTAAATAAATAGCATATGTCGGTGTAATATCTGATTTTGCTGCTACATTGGATCCCAAATACATGCTTATACTTTTAAATGCAATCTTGATTGGAAGGCGTGTATTTACTCGCATTACCTCTCCCAAAGAGAGTCTAAATTCAGAAGCTAAATTCTTTTTAACATTAAATGTCTTTGAAAGACTCACATGATGTCCAACAAAGAACGGATCTGTAGTACAAGGTGAAAATAATAATAAATTATACGGATCTCTATAAAGAACATCCCTCAGTAACATCTCAATTAATGACGTGGAATCATCCAAAAATTTACAAGGTAAATAAATATAGGTTTTGAAGGAATCGAAACTATCATCAATTTTTGAAATTGTACAATTTTGTTCGCTACTTCCAACGTCTTGTTTTCGTTTTTTAGTTAATGTAACAATTTTGTTTTTAATTTCCTCTTGACTCCTCTTATTGGCAACTCCTTTTTTCTTTGATTTATAATCCTCCGAAGGTGCATTAGATGATGAAGAGGATTCACCTTCTTCATTATCGGAATTATATGCATCCAATCCGAGCCCTCTTTGTTGTTGAGGTTTGTTTTTCATTTTTTTAAATTTGTTTTAAAAGAATTCTATTATTTGATGGCTCATTTGCCTTTACTTCAATAAATAGAATGAATAGGTTCTAAATTTAAAGGTAAACTATTGTAACAACTTGTACGTTTGACTCAAAACACTCGTAAGAAATAGTCACATAATTCAAATCTTGTAGTAAAACCCCAGAATTATGTTGTCAAAATTCCATAAACTCTACAATAAATCTTGGAAGGTTTCTTAATTCCTAATTAATAAAGTCTAGCTCTTTAAGTGTGCAAATAACATGTAATTTTTTATCCAAGTTTAGAACCCAGCTTTCTGTTGATGTAGCTGAAGCCAGAATTTCAAATTTTCTAATTTTGCTCTATTAAATGTATGAGAAGAAACAACATATTAAAAAAAATACAAAAAATACATCATGAAATCGCTCACGAAAAATAAATGGTTTAACAAAATATCAAAACGAATTACCTTAAAACCAACTACCATTCAAACTCAACAATTTAACAACTCCATCGGAAACTTGAATATTCACTCTAGGAGATCTGTAGTTAATAACAAGAACAATTGTAATAGTTGTTATTATTTAGTTAAGAACAATTTTGCAGCACAATTCAATAACTCCACCAAAAACTATTCCACTACTCCAACGGGTAATAATAACATTTCTAACCAAAAACAAAATTCCATACCTACTACTTCCGAATCACCCTACGCAAAATTAAACCCAATGGAATATGATTTATGGTCTAAAGAAGAAGTATGCGCCTTACTTTGCACTGACCAGAAGAATGGAGGAGCCGGTTTGACCGTTCGTAATGTCGAGCTATTATATAAGGCTAGTTTTAATGGTAAATCTCTTGCCTGTATTGTTGTTGGTTTACAAAAGGGAACAGATTATGCCTATCAAAAACTCAAATCAAAATACCAAAACTCGGGCCATACTTTAACAGTTGACTTGTTGGATACATTGGATATTGTTGTAAATTGGGTTGATGATTTATACAAAACAAGACTCTATCATTTGTGGGAAGTTGAAAAAATTAGAGAGCAACTTAGTAAACCTGTTAATGAAGGCGGTGTTGGTTTGACCAAGTTTGAAATTGATAATTTAAAGATTGAAAAAGGCAGCATTGTTGGTGCCAACATGGAATGTAACAAAAAGATAACTGATTATTTAGAGAGATTCATTATTACCATTCCTCATGGGATGTTATTGGGTGACTCTATCGTATTTGAATTATCAAAGAAACTATTGAATGAAATTAACAATTTTTCAGAAAAAGATTTAACAAGGAAAATGGTGTATGAGTGTGTTGAAGAATTTTATGAAAGAGCAAGATTAATAATGACTGGTTGGAAAAATATAGAATTACCATTAAATTTAACACAAAAATTACTTGAAAAAATTGAAATAGAATCATCAGGCATCGGTAAGACCAGGTAAGTACTTTTTATTTTCTAACTAACAAGCTATTAATAATGTTTAAGAACAATTAATAGATTAATGTCAACAGTATCAGGTATATATTTAAGCTGTACATTAAAGAGCGAGCCTGTTGATACAATAGTAGCCGACGAGTTGATGAGAGAAGCATATTCTGTTTTGATATCAAAGACCCTTATTGATTTGTATGCAAGTGTTCATCAAATAGTGCAGATGGTATTTATTGCAAGACTGATTTATGTTTTAAAAGTCATCCAACATGCCAAAAATAATAGGGATGTTTTTAAAGATTTTGGTGGACTTTATCCTTACTTAGCATACATGCAAGCAAATGACAAGTTGGCAAGTGTATTAGTTTTTAAAGAATTACTAAAGTATGAATACTGCAACTCAAAATCTTTAAGAGACTATACTGGTTACCTTATTATGCAAATAGGAGATTTGTTAAAAGATAATCGTTATTATTTTGGGCTTAAAGAAACTAAAGAAACACAAGCTTTTATTATTGCTATTGATGAAGCAAACAGTTTCGTTTCTTCATCATATTCCATTCTATCAAAACTACTTAACCCAAGTAGCAATCAGCGATCCCTGATGAACATTCTTGCTCAAGAAGCAACATTAATTAACAACCTTACTTATTATTCAACAAAAAAAGAACTCCACAAAGGAAACAATATACTATATCATCTTCATCTCAAAATGGATCCTGCTCAATAAAGATTTATATCCTTCAAAGCAGATTCCAGGTTGTTTCATTATTAAGGTGGTTTCTGAGTTTTAATATTCAATTGTCTAAATATTATTTGAACTTTATTTTGTGTGTTTACTATTGAAACACTTATACTGTAGGTACAAACTTTACTGCTTGGATGTGTCTAAAAACACAATACTCATCTCCTAGCAAACTTTATTGGGAACATTATTTATGTTTCTTAAAAAAAAACCAACAATAAATAAACTAATGGATATAAAGCTCACACTACAACTTCTACCTATTCTTAGGTAGTTTGTAGCCTGGTTACTGCTGTTTTTAGGCATTAAGCTTTATTCAGCAGGTCCAGAAATTAAATAAACTAATCAATACAATCATACTATGATTTCTTAACAAAAAGCAAAAACTAAACTAAATTAAAGCAATCTGACAATAAACCAAGTTGTTTTTTGGAGAAACAACTCCCATATAAAAAAACCTACTCTTGTAGGAAAAAAAAAAAAATCGGTAAAAACCAAAAAGTTAAGAATTAAAAAACCTACTCAACCGTCTTGACACTTACGAATCAAAACGAGAATGAGAAAAGAGGTATGTTCAGTACATATTGCCTTACTAATAGTAAGGGAAAGGTATCAGATACCTTCTAATCAACATAAAGTTGATCTGTCGGTTTTAGATCACCAACAATTGGTTTTAGATCACCAATCATGATAAAAAACATCAATAAATGATGTCAAATATCAAATAATAATACAAAGATAAAAAGATGATAACAATCATCTTTCAATAATACAAATAAAGTGAAATCTTTCAATCAATTGAGAAAATATTTGAGGATTGGTTAAAAAATCACATTCCAAAGTATTAAGGACAAAGGTTAGAACCTTTGATTTGAATAAACTAATAATAATAGAGGGTGGGCAAGGGTGGGACCATAGTATGACAATTTTTTTGAGCATACTTTCTATTATTAGTTTATTCAATTGTTGTTTTCAAGAAACACTACTTTATCTCAGTAAACTTCGATAAGAACACAAAATCCAAAGCTATTGATGGAATAATGATGTGCTTTCCAAATGAGCAACATGTTGATGGTTTTTTAGTGAACTTTACTGAGAACCAAAAGATGATTAATTTTCAAATCAATGCTCATACAGGCAGATGGGAAAAATATGAAGAGATTGCTTCAACCGTTTTTGAACTTTTCTACTTAGACAATTATAGCTCCAACAGCAAATGGTGGGAACAGTTATGAGATGATGTTATTACAGTTTATAAAAATGAAGTAGAGGCTGATTTCAAGATGATATTTTATGGGTATTGAAAGTGAAATTCCAGTTCAATTTGGTGTTTCCACTCTAACTTATATGAAATTAAATCAATATTTGAGTGCCTTTGTGAATCAGTTATCTGCGTATGGTTGGTAATTTGGTTCGTTTATAACTTATTTACCCTCGCTTGTTTCTTACGTACAAGGTTTTACAGTATTGAGTTTATTGCTTGTTCAATCCATTTATTCTTTAAACTTGCATCCATTGTTGATTCAAAAGAAAATGAAATGACTGCCATTTTCAAAAATGAGAGCATTAAGCTCCAAGTGTAACTTTCCACCAGATTATAAATTATTTTACATGATGGTGCACTTTTTATCTTGTTCTCCCTGGCTCTGACTCTCTGTAGCAGTATTGTTTGCATTAGAAGAGGTAACATTTAACTTTCGTTTTGAAGATTTTGATCCCTTTGACGTTCCTTTAGAGGCAGCTGGAGTTGTAAGCTTTAAGGTCATAATGTCATCAGCATTCTCAGCATTTGGAGTTGCATTTCCATCGTCAGACATACCATCCTTTGTATTGTGATGATCAAAACTGTCATTACTTCCATCAATACTCATTGAATCAATATTTGCTCCTCCTTGTTGAAGAGTAGCATAATCACTAAGATTGAGACTCTTGTGAGGTGTTGTACTTGGTTGTGGAGGTACTTGTCCGATGGATTTTCTTTCCAATTGATCAAGATTTCCAGAACTAACACTTGTTGTACTTCTAGCTGAGAGAGGTTGTTGTTGGGTGGTTGTTGGAGTCATGGCACTAGCTTCAGTATTAACTGCTTTGGCCAAATAGGGAAGTAAGGTAAAACTCTTCCATCTATCGACAAGAATCTTCTTGGCTGCACCAACCCTAGAATTGGTTCGTGAAATGTTGGCCGAAGAAAGCTTGGCAGAATTAGTTGATTCACGACCAATCGATTGGTGAGAGTCGATAGAATTTCTATCAGTCATTGTATCACTATATCTTGTTGTATTAAACCATTCACTGGATTTAATGGCCTCAATAGTCCATCTTTGATCTTCATCAACTGTCATCATTCCCTTAATGAGAACCTTAAGATCGTTTTCAACCCAATCAGGTATTTCATATTTTCCTAAGGCAATTTGTTCATACAAATTCATAATATTACCATCATCATGGAATGGTTGTTTTCCAACAATCAATACATATAAGGAAACACCACAAGCCCAAATATCCAACTTGTAACCTGAAAATTGTTTCAAACCTGTAGCAATTTGTGGCGATTGAAAATGAGGTGTACCAAAGCTTTGTGTACATTCGTCACTTGGAGAGAAGTGGTCGAGTTCAATTGCTGTACCAAAATCACTAATTTTAAGAACTCTATCTGGAGTAATCATCAAATTAGCTGGTTTGATATCTCTGTGAATTATTCCCAGACTGTGCATATATTCTAATCCATCAATTAATTGTCTAAAATAGTGCCAAACTTCATTTACAGGTAAACGATTATTTGGTTGTGAATTCATTAACTGTTGCAAGCTTCCTGCACCAGCAAATTCGATAACCATATACGTTCTGGCTTTCTTTGAATTAAAAGAAGTGTTTGCTCCATTTGGTTGTGTCTGAGAATTTGTTGGTACCTTCTCGGTACTTGATGCTGACTGATTTACAAATATGTTAGAAATGCTCATTCTACCAGCACCACTAACTGATGATACAGATGAATGTCCTGATGCAGCTCCTCCTTCCACATGTATGACCTCGATAAGTTTGATAATATTCTTGTGAGACTTTAATTTTCTCATAATGTTAATTTCATTCTTGAGAAGTGTTTCACCATTCTTGATACGTTTGAGCTTGTCTCGTTTTATAATCTTGATGGCAACTCTCTTCAGTGAGTTAGAATCAATGGCTTCCCGAACCTTACCAAAAGCTCCTATTTTCCACAATATCCACATAAATATTATCATTGTTTTTACATTGTTATATTATTGGTAGTAGAATCAAATAGTAGTAGAATTGATAATGTTAATCATAAAGATTTAATAGAGCATGTTAATTTTCCATTATTTTCCTATTAATAAAACTTACCTTCTCCAAGAACTTCGCCGAGTATATATTGTTTAACTTGTTTGTGTGGTTTTTGTTTTTGGCCATACGTTATTTCATTCAGATCATCGCTGGCAATGCTCGTATTGCTAAGAGTCCTTCCCATCATGGCTACATTGGTATTCATAGTTGTTGGTGCCGTATAAGTTGGTTGGGAAGAATGGCTCAAAAAAGATGGTTGTTGGTGGTGAGCATTATGGAGAGGGGAAGTCATCGGTGATGAGCTTGGATTCGAAAGAGAGGACATTGGATGGTTTGGTGATGATGAAAAAGAAGGTAGTGTGATACCAGTTGATGATGATGATTTTCTGCTATTCACGCCAGATATCATATTAAATGGTGAGAGTTTGTGTCAGAGAGGAAACTCAAGATTGTAATAATACTGAGTAGAATATTGATGGTTTCCTTTTTAAATCAAGTTTTCCAACACAGTGCGTAATGCAGGAAAGAGGTGTTGTACAATTTTTTATCGGTGTGATGGATGTTATCAACTCGGAGTGTAATAAATAGATGAAATATTAATATGAACACTGGATAGCTATTAGTGAATCCAATTAATAATACGTTTCCAAATAGTTTGTTAAATGATTGCAATAATAATACTGTGGTGTTTTTTGAAAATTAGGTAAAATAAAATAACTTTGAAATTTGAGTTGAGTATTACGATGAGGTAATCAAAGGCTTTGTGCACAAACGCTTTTTGTGTCTTGTTGAATATTTTTGGTAATTTATCCTTTAAAATAGGTGTGCTTCCAAACGTATTGTCTTCCTTATTTTGCTTTACAATACTCAAAAAAATTATATTCTTCTTCTGCACAATCTGATAGAAATTGTATGAAAAGCAACGTTGCTTCAACGAGAGTTGGTTTCAATTTTTTTCAATAATTTGGTGTTCTGTGTTGTAATTTTTGGCGCCTAAAAATAAATTATGGAAACTAACTCCTTGAGGTTAGTGCTGTGATTGTTGTTTTCTTTTACTGAGTTGAATTTAATGAAAAGAAATCAACCTAAGTTTTCTAATTATAAAACACTTCTCTCATATCTCCCTCAATACAGTTGACACTCTTACAAATAGTTGCCTTCAATGAATCTTGGCACTTTTGAAGGAATGAACAAGTCCTTTTAAGGAATTGAAAAGTTGGTTAGCACAGAACATTATTTATGTTGTCAACATTGAAACCTATTAAGGTCCAAGTTACTTGTACAGTGTTTTTCAAAGGAAAGTAAACACCAATTCGAATCCATTACATTCTTAATTGTTTCTGTTCCTTTCTATTATTTTCAAAATTTCTTCCTTATCCACAAGTTGAGTTCTAACCATTGTATTTTCCTTTACAAAATGAGCAACATCGTTGAATGATTCCAATTGAATAACTTCATCAATATTTTCCTTCCATTCATTAGTGGTAAGATCCAACACTCTCTTGTGTACGAGGTTGGTAAAATCTGAAGGTTCTCTAACTGTTCCGTCACACTTGGAGAAACTATCCCTGAGAGTTACGAGAAAATCAGTGTGAGATCTTGAGGACCTGTATTGAGGTTTCTTCTGTGGCATTTTCAGATACTTTTCCATATTTTCACTATTCATATCCCATAAGAATGAAGTGTGGTGGACCCATCTCTGAGATTTACCTCCGGTAATATATTGAGCATTTCCTCCAAACTTTTTTCCTCCAAAGAAAATATAATCATTCTCTCTCAATTGGAAATTCAAGTCTGGATGAGAAAAAACTGGTTTGTAGAATCCATAACTCCAATTCATAATTTCCTCTGGATAGGCTTTATATTGAAGAGAATCATCATTCTCTCTCTGACTAATCTTTTCACTCAAAACTGGATCGAATGACATGTGTTTCAGAAATTTATGACTTCCAACAATTGAAACAAAAACTGTATTATTATCCACCAAAACTGTTCCACCTCCAGAAAATCTCTTAATAATTGGAATGTCATCCCGGAGTGTATTGTCTGTGTAGACTAATTTTTCAACATCTCCACTCGATCCAACCACAATGCTCTTGTTAACATTTCCTTCATTTGTGAAAATATAGACATTCTCTCTGCATGGGTCACATCTCATAATACTTTCTTCAATTTTCAGCATGTCAAAAATTGGAAATGATTTATTCTTTAATAAAATCATTCGGAATTTGTTGCCTGTTTGTGTGGCAACTTTTGAGAGAGTGGATGTCATTGTTATTTTTTTTAAAATTGTTATTGTTAAATGATTTTAATGTGAATTGGTTTTATTAATAATTATTATTTAATTTGATTGGATGTGTTCAATCAATTAATAAACTCTAAAGAAACATCATGTAATTATAGACTTGTTTATTATTAAGAAGAAGATGGATGGATTTCTGTACTACTAACACATTAATGCACACCTAAAAACGAACCTATTTATTATTATAAATAATCATCATCAGCAAAATTCAATTATCTAATTATTAAAATTAAATTGTTGAAAAAAATTCAAAAAATGTCAGAAGCTCTCCCAAAGTCATTGTTGGTTGCTTTCTTCACTGAAGCCAACAAAAAGTTGGAACAAGAAAAGGAAACATTAGGACAATGGAGCGAAGAACAAGAAAAGGTTATTGAAGCCCTCTTGACTCCTATTATTGAACAAGCAAAGACACAAACTTCCTTCGCTGGTGAAGTTAACGAAAACTCTCTGAGAGAAGCCGGTTTAGATCAAGGCGGTGAATCTGCTGAATTGTGTAACCTTGTTGGTACATTCTTAAAGACCAGACCAATGGCCAAATCACAAACCAAGAAACTCTCCAAGAGAATTGAAAAGATGCAAAAGGAACTCGAAAAGACAAACGAAAAGGAAAAACAACAACAACAAAAACTTGAAGAAGCTAAGAAGATTTCCTTTGAAGAAGATACAACTCTCCCAGAAGCTACCAGAATTAAAGTTCATCAAGTTAAAGATTTTGAAGGAAAGAGAGTTCAAGTCTCTGGTTGGTGCCACAGACTTAGAATTCAAGGAAAGGGTTTGCTTTTCATCACATTGAGAGATGGTACTGGTTTCCTCCAAACTGTATTGAGCGGTGTTTTATGTCAAACTTATGAAGCTTTGACTCTTCACTTGGAATCATCAGTAACAATCAAGGGTACAGTTAAAGCTGATCCAAGAGCTCCAATGGGCTTTGAACTTGTTGCTGATTATTGGAAATTGGTCGGATCATCACCTGAAAGTCTTCCTTTCGGTGAAGATGTTAAGGATCCAAACATTTTACTCGATCAAAGACACTTGATTTTAAGAGGAGAAAAGACCTCTGCTATTTTAAAGATGCGTTCAATTATTTTACAATGTTTCCGTGAACATTATTATTCACGTGGTTATACTGAAATTACTCCTCCAACTATGGTTCAAACTCAAGTTGAAGGTGGTTCAACTCTTTTCAAATTTGATTACTTTGGAGAAGATGCTTATTTGACTCAATCAAGTCAATTGTATTTGGAAACTGTTATTCCAGCTCTTGGTGACAGCTTCTGTATTGCTCAATCATATCGTGCTGAAAAGTCTGACACTCCACGTCACTTGAGTGAATTCACTCACGTTGAAGCTGAAAGACCATTCATTACATTTGAAGATTTATTGAATACTTTGGAAGATTTGGTTTGTGATGTTACTGAAAGAGTTTTGTCAAAGAGTCAACATTTGGCTGTTGTCGGTGAAGAAACTGCTGATAAATTGGTTATTACACCTGATGCTGTGAAGCTTAAGAGACCATTCAAGAGAATGACCTATGCTGATTGTATTGAATTCTGTAGAAATAACGAAGTTTACAAAGATGAAGAAACTAAGGAATTGTTCGAATTTGGTGATGATATTACTGATGCTCCAGAAAGAAAGATGTTGGAAAAGATTGGTGAACCAGTTTTGATGATTAAATTCCCAGGTGACATGAAGGCCTTCTACATGAAGAGATGTGAAGATGAACCAACTTTGACTGAATCTGTCGACGTTTTGCTCCCAGGTGTTGGTGAAGTTATTGGTGGAAGTATGCGTTTGGAATCATATGACAAGATGATGGATGGATACAAGAAGGAAGGAATCAGCGCTGAACCATACTATTGGTACAGTGACCAAAGAAAATATGGTACATGCCCACACGGTGGTTATGGTTTGGGTCTTGAAAGATACATGTTATGGTTGTTGAAGAATGAACATAACAGAGTTAGAACTGTCAGACAAACTTGCTTGTATCCTCGTTTCATGGGTAGATGTAGACCTTAAATAAATTATTTGAGAAATTCCTATTTATTTCAATACATTCCAAATTATTCTGGTAAAATGACAATATTGAAACAGTTCTATTATTATTTTTATAAAATCATTTTAAATATCTTAGTAAAGGCAGTATTGGTTGTATTGAATTGTGCTATTGGATTGGCTTTTTTTGTTTGTGCACAACATTGGCGCCAATAGTAACCATACAAAACTACAAAAAAATTGTATCGACAGGACACTTGTTTTTTTGGCTGGTGGAGTAAAAACATCTAATCTACATCATCACTCAAGGGTACAAGAAGATACTATTATTATCTAGTTGTGTATATATTAAAATACAATGTGGGTATACTTGAACAAGAAGGTGAGCATACCTAATGGGCTCAAGCTCAATCACATATCTTGGAATGGCTATCATGGTTGGATTGCTTGCGGAGGTGAGAATGGTTTATTAAAAGTTTTAAAGTTAGAAACTAAGGCTGATATTAATCAAAGAGGTGTAACAGCACCAACAAGTTTAGAATTCAATCAAACTCTTGCTGGCCACTCCGGAAAGGAAAGTAAAGATCAGCTTCCATCCAATGTAATGAGAGTGAGTTGGAATGAGGAAAATGAAAAATTAACTTCTAGCGATGCTAGTGGTCTCATTATTGTTTGGAATTATAATAAGCAAAAGAAGGAATGGGAAGAGGAAATGTTGAATAATAGAGAAAAATCAGTGGTGAAGGATTTAAAGTGGTCTAGTGATGGTCAAAAGATTTGTATTGTCTACGATGATGGTAAGTGAAATTGTCGAATGATTTTGAAATATTTACAATTTTTAAAGGTGCTGTAATTGTTGGTGGAGTGGACGGAAATAGAAATTGGGGAAAGAGTTTGAAAACTCAATTGGTTAATGTTGAATGGTCTCCCGATGCAAGATATTTGCTCTTCGGAACTGGAAATGGAGAAGTTTGGTTATTTGATGCCAATTCAGGAATCAAATTGGTAAGTATTTTAATTACACTAGATTTTCTTACTCTTCTAGCATTCAATCAATATTACTTGTGTAGATATGAATCCTCAATCAAATAATATTTTGGCTGGTGTTGACTGGTATGATGGAAGAGAAGGTTATCCAGATCTTAATGCTCCAACACTAGCAATTTGTTATAGAAATGGAAGGTGCCAATTGATGAGAGGTGACTTGGATGATGATCCAGTCCTAATCGATGCTGGTATGCTCATCAATGAACCAAAATGGAATCCATCTGGTACTGTTTTAGCTCTTGCTGGTCAACAAGACTTGGATGGAAAACCAATGGGTATCATTCAATTTTATTCCCCTTATGGTAAACATTTAAAGACTCTCAAAGTACCTGGCAATGGTGTAAAGAGTGTAACTTGGGAAGGATCTGGTTTGAGATTGGCTCTAGGTGTAGATGCAAATATTTTCTTTGCCAATGTCAGACCAAGTTATAGATGGGGCTATTTCTCAAAGACTGTAGTATATGCCTTTACCAAATTAGAAAGACCAGAGCAATGTGTAGTATTTTATAATCACAAGACTAGACAAAAATATGTAAAGTACATTAAGAAATTATTAGCTTTGAGTGCTTGTGGAGAAAATTGTGTTTTGCTCACCAAAACAGAAACACCAAAGGAAGCATTCGTCATAATTATTTGTAACTCGATAGGTAGTCCAGTGGAAACAAAGTCGCAATCTGTTGAACCAAAATTCGTCACCATGACCAAGTATCACGTAATTGTTTGCTCTGATTGTAATGTTTATGTTTGGAATTATAGAGCAAAGCAAAATACTCAAGGCAACATATTGAATATTAAGGGAGAATCTGAACAATATTTAATGCACATTGATCAAAACAAATTTAAAAAGATTGAAGATGAAACAAAATTGGAACTTACTACTACCGAGGACGCTATTTGTGCTGTATTTTCAAATGAGAAATTCCTTATTATTGCAAGAGAATCTGGTACTGTGAATATTTATTCACTTCTACCAACTTTGGCATATCTTGGATCATGTTCTGTCATGTGTAGACCTCTCCAAATTGCTATCAATTGTGATTGCACCAAATTGTCACTCATTGATATTAACAGTACTTTCACTGTTTACAGTTTATCTTCTGTTGTTGCAGCCCAACAAATGGTACAAAGCGAAAAGAAGAAAAAGAAGGGTAATATCATGGCTGATAAAACAGATTTGGAAAAGAAAGATGTTTGGGATATGAGATGGGCTGACGATAATCCATCATTATTTGCTATAATGGAAAAGACCAAGATGTACACATTCAGAGATTTAACTCCTGAGGAACCTGTAGTTACCTCAGCTTACATGTGTGCTTTCAACAATCTTAAAATTAAGTCAGTGTTTATGGATGATATTATGGCAAATCCAGATAATCCAGATTCTGACTGTGCCATCACTTATGAAAGTCGTTCGTTGAGAGATACAAAGGAAATTATCAGAAGTGTCAGCTTGAGGGATGCTAACGAATTTGTTAAAGATAATCCTCACCCAAGATTGTGGAGATTATTGGCAGAAGCAGCAATGTCTGAATTAGAATTGGATATGGCTTACAAGGCTTACATCCAATGTGGTGATTACCATGGTGTATATTTTGTAAAACAAATCAAACAATTGGATAACGAAGCTAAGCAAAAGGCAGAAATAGAAGCATACTTCCACAGATTGGATGAAGCAGAAAAGATCTATCGTTCCATCGATAGAAAGGATCTTGCCATCGATTTGAGAAAGAGATACGGGGACTGGAAGAAAGTTCTCAGTCTTGTCAGAGAAATGAATGGAAGTGATGAAATGTTGATTGATGTGTTTAATCACTTGGGAGATTTCTATTCTGAGAGACAACAATGGGAACGTTCAATTCAATTTTATGTTAAGGCAAGAAACTTTGAAAAATTAATTGAAGCTTATTATAGGATTGGAGACTTTGAGTCATTGGAAAGAATGGTTGATGACCTACCAGAGAATAATCCACTTTTACATCCAATCGGTGAAAAGTTGGCTTCTGTTGGTTTGAGTACTCAAGCTATTCAAGCTCTCGTCAAGGGTGGTAAGATCAAGCAAGCTATCGACGTTTGTGTTGAATTGAATCAATGGGATGAAGCTGTTACATTGGCTGAAAAGCACAATATGAGTGAAATTGAAGATATTCTGTACAAGTATGCCAACCATCTAGTTTCTAGAGGAGATATGACAGCAGCAATCGAATTATACCAAAAAGCTAACAGAAATACAGAGTCAGCCAAGATTCTTGCCAAACTTGGTGAGGAAGAGGGAAAGATGAAATTACATCCACTGAGAGCAAAGAAATTCTATGTTCTTTCAGCTTTGGAGATTGATAGATATAGAGCCAGATTGTTAAATGATCAAGCAACAAGAATGAATCCAAACAAGGCACTTCAAACCATGCTCTCTCATGATGCTTCTACCAATTTTGAAAATCCATGGAGAGGAGCTGAGGCTTATCACTTTTTCTTGCTTGCCCAAAAACAACTTACCGAATTCAAACTTAGTGATTGTTTGAATACTACAATGAGGCTGGTTTCATCGTATGAAGAATACTTTGTTCCAAAGGAATTGTACTCGCTCCTTGCTTTAGCAGGTTTCTATGCTAGAGAATTCAAGGTTTGCTCCAAAGCTTTCATCAAGTTAGAATCAATGGATGCTTTATCAGAACACGATAAGGAAAAGTATGAACAATTGGCCATTGATATTTTCAGAGATAGCCCTGTTAACTCAACAGATTTGGAAACAAAACCATGTCCAACCTGCAGTAATGAAACATTCGATTACGAGCAGTCATGTGCCTCCTGCAATGCTCCATTCTATACTTGTATTGTGAGTGGTAGAAATATTGGAGATCAAGATTTCTGGACTTGTTCTACCTGTAAACATAGAGCCGTAGAGCATGAAATTTACAAGTACAGACATTGTCCACTGTGTCATACCAACATTACTGAAGGTTCTTCTTCTGAATTATTTTAAATAAACTCAAATCTATTAAATATTGTCATCCACAACTATCAAATACTGTACCTTGTTGTCATCCAAAGCACTGAAGTTTGGATGAAACTTTATTAAATTAAAAAATGAACAGAAACAATCCGTCAGAGGAAAAACATTCAGTTCAGAGTGATGCAACTGTGGATTCACCATCTGAACCAACAATGACCAGTGTGATTGGATCGATCTCTCTTAATATTGCCGCATCTGTTGGTACGATCTTTATCAACAAGCACTTGTTCCAAAATCTAGGCTTTGTTGGTTTGGGAACAACTCTCACAGTGTTCCACTTTGTATTTTGCTTCGGATTCACTGCAGTTGCAGCCATGTTGGGTATTTTCCAACCAAAGAGACTTCCAATTATTAAGATTTTACCAATCAGTTTGGCTTTCTGTGGTTATGTTGTTTTCAATAATATTAGTTTGGCCTATAATAGTGTCTCCTTCTATCAGGTTTGTTTTACAATTTTGTGTTGTGGAGTGATAGAATTAAATAATTATTATTATTATTGTGGTGATATGATGATTTGAACTTTGATAATATTTAAATAATAATAATTAATGATGATATGATTCGGATTTATTATGTGCAACTAAATTATTGCAAAACCAAAGGTTATGAAAATTATGTGTACTCCTACAATTATTGCCATTGAATATTTCTTCTATAGAAAATCACAAGATAAGAGAATTTTGTACACTCTCATTCCTGTTTGTTTAGGTACTTTTATCACAGTTTTCACAGATATGGAAATGAATTACTACGGAACATTCATGGCAATTCTTGCTGTCGTCTCTAATTCCTTGTACACAATTTATGGTACTGAAAAGCAAAAGGAATTGAAGGCAAACTCTCTCCAAGTTTTACTCTATCAAAGTATTACTAGTGCTGTAATGTTGGCCTTTACAATTCCATTCTTTGATGATACTGAAGTTATTTCTGAATATGATTGGGGAAATGGAAATAATCTTTTTTGGATTATTTCTAGTTGTATCACTGCTTTCTTTGTTAATTTCAGTTTCTTCCTTGTTGCTGGTAAGACTTCTCCACTCTCTGTCAACGTTGTTGGTTATTTCAAGACAGTCTTGGTCTTTGTTGGTGGTATTATTTTGTTCACATCTGCCATCTCAGCCAAGAACTTGCTTGGTGTCTTTTTGACACTTGTTGGTGTTGCTTGGTACAGTTATGTTAAATACAAGATGAGCTTGGAAAGCAATCCTGTTCTTCCAACAACTAACAAGAATTAATTTCTTAATTCATAATCTAAAGAAATAGATCAATAAACCTCACTGCTCTGAAACATCTAAGAACTCTATTTTTAAAATCATCCAATAATTATTTTAAATTAAAATATTATTAAAAAATGTCTGACAATAAACGAATCATTGCTCTCGGATTTGAAGGAAGTGCCAATAAATTAGCTATCGGAGTGGTAACATTGGATGGTGAGATTTTAAGTAATCTGAGACATACCTACATCACACCACCAGGAACAGGATTTTTACCGAGAGAAACAGCAATCCATCACAAGGAACACATTCTCTCCATGGTTGAAAATGCCTTGAAGGAAGCTAACATAACAAAGGATGATGTTGATTGTTTATGTTATACTAAAGGACCTGGAATGGGTGCTTGTCTACATGTTGTAGCTGTAGTAGCAAGAACTTTGGCTCAACTCTGGAAAAAGCCTCTCATTCCTGTCAATCACTGTATTGGACATATTGAAATGGGAAGAGTTGTTTGTAAAGCTGATAATCCAATAGTATTATATGTTAGTGGAGGTAATACTCAAGTTATTGCTTATAGTATGGGAAAATATAGAATTTTTGGAGAAACTATTGATATTGCTGTTGGTAATTGTTTGGATAGATTTGCTCGTCTGATAAATTTATCAAATGATCCAAGTCCAGGATATAATATTGAACAACTGGCTCGTAAAAAGAATGAAGATGGATCAGATTTGAAATATATTGAACTGCCATATGTTGTAAAGGGAATGGATGTTAGTTTTTCAGGAATTTTATCATGGCTGGAAAAATTTGGTTTGGAAATGTTAAAGAAGGGTGAATGTACAGCTGAAGATTTGTGTTTTTCACTTCAAGAAACAATATTTGCCATGCTTGTTGAAATTACAGAAAGAGCCATGGCTCACTGTAACTCAAATGATGTCTTAATCGTTGGTGGAGTTGGTTGTAATGAACGTTTACAACAAATGATGCAACAAATGGTTTCTGAAAGAACTGGAGGTATACTTCATGCCATGGATGATAGATATTGTATTGATAATGGTTGCATGATTGCCTATGCAGGTATTTTACATTTCAATGCCATTGCTAAGGAACATGGTGGAGCTCAAGCTGTTTTGGAAAATACCAAACTTTTATACGAATTGTATCCATTGAAAGAATGTTCTGTGACTCAAAGATATAGAACAGATGAAGTTGATGTTATTTGGCGTACTAATCCACAACAATAAATCAATTCTTTTCCAATGATAATAGCTTCTCAATTTCTAATATGTTTTAAATGGGATAATATGAATGAGGACCATTACAAAATTGAAAAATGGCGCCAATTTTTGCTACGGAACGTTGTATGAATGTTGGTTTTCGGAAAGTGTTGTATGTTGTTGATAATTAAGATAACAATAAAAAATAGCACAACTTGAGAAATAGAGGATGGTATACATTAAAGTCAAGCATTCCGAGAAGGACATGTTTATGCATGAAGCTCACTATGATATTGAATTGGACACAATTATAAGGGATTTGGCAAAATTGAATAATTTGAGAGTGAAACTGAAGAATTTGGTTTCCGAACTGATTAGATTGAAGGATAAGGGTCCAATTTTACCACAAGAAGAGGAAGACACTCCAAAAATTGAGGAGTTATCTTTGGATGAAGATGAAAACACAAAGAAAAAGGATGAACCATCATTCGGAGTTAAAATCACTGATCAAAACTTGTTGACAACTGTAAATAATGTAATTGAGGAATGCAATAGAGTTCTTTCACATGAGAGAGCTGATAAAAAGGATTCAACCACTGAAAAGGAATTAACTGATTGTATAATGAACGTGAAGGGTGTTGTGACAATGGCCTATCCAATGGGTCTCCCTCAATCCGATCCTCTTACATTTATTTTCAGTGATGAATTCAGAGTTGTAAGTTTAAATTATTGAATGGTTTTAATTGATTTTTATTTACTGAAATACTGAAAATCATTAGAAGGAAATGTATGATCCAGAAACTTGCACACTTTGGTTTTGTGGAAAGGAGTTACCAAGAGATAAGAAACTTATGGATACTAAATCAATTGGCAGGAATGACAAGACTCAAATTATTGCAAAAATTGGAAGAAAGGGGGCTGGAGCTCCTCCAAGAGAAGAACCAGTCTCTGAAGCTGACCAAAAACGATTGATGGCCTACTATTACAAAAAGCAAGAAGAACACAAAAAGTTAGCTGAAGATGAAGATTTGAACTATGTAAATAGTGGATGGGCTAATACCAAATCTTTACACACTCAACTACATGGTATTTCAGGATTAAGTTGGAAATAAATTTATTAAATACCACTACGATAGAGTACAATTTCTCGTTGTTTGAAGAATCTTCTTCCCTTGGTGTCACACAATGCCAAGTGAATGAAATATTTAACATTGAATTTGTTGTTGACATTTTCACATGTACTTGTCATCTTCCATGGATCAACAGCTTTAAGGAAAAGTCTGACTGGAACCTTTTCATCTTTAGCTGGAGTGCCATCAATAATTTCAAATTTGTGAAGAACTTCTTGTTCCGAATGCCCTTCAACTAATCCGTTATTTGTGGTAGTTTGTGGTGTTGTTCCTTGCAAGCTTGGTGTACCAATTAGTGTTTCCTTTCTGATGATACTAACTTCTGCCTTGTCAATTTTAACATTGACCAAGAAGAATTGTAATTCTCCCAAAATACACCCATTCTTAAGATCATGATAAACACTATGATATTTGATACTTAACAGGACAATACCTTCCAAACCAACTTCCATTCCAATACCTGGATCTTCATTACTTGGTTTTTCCACAATCTTTTGAACCCAGAATTCGAGTTCCTTCACAATTGTATTGATAACTTTCATGGATCTATTAACTGTTACTCTCAAGAAATATCTCACATCAACATTAATTCCACGATAACTGTCCCATTCCTTGTCCACACTCTTAAAGCAAAATTCATATTCGGCATCTCGGGACAAGTTCATGTTTGGTGCTGTTGCTGGAGCAAGCTCCTTTGAAATTGAAAGGAAAGTAGTTACATTCTTTCCTTCAACAAATGAAACTATTTACAATCAAGTGTTAGAGTTGTTTGATGGCGTTATCAGCATCATTGATAATAAGATTATAATTCACATTTTAATATTATTATAATAATTATAATAAATTTCATCAAATAATTAAATTCCATCAAACAAGTTTAAAAACATACCAATTTCTCCAATTAATTCAATAGTAATTCCCAAGTGATCAAAAGGCTTATCTACAGTAACTTTAACCTTTCCTTGAATAGGATCGTCTCTATCAAAAACCATAAGCTTTTGTTCAACACCTTCCAATCCAAATCTATCTTTTGGATTATTCATTTCAATGATGGCGTTTTTAAACTTCTCCGAAGGATCCAACTCAATATCCACAGTACATGGTGGTTTGATAATGCTCGAGAAGAGTTTCTTCATTTTTTGATGTTGATAATCTTCCTCCGAGACACAATAAAATCTTCTTGATGATGATTATGAAAAATAATAATGAAACCCACGAAGATCTAGACTTGGATGACAATAAGTGTGTCTCGATCTTTCCACCTCCATCATCTTTTCCATCATGATATTCTTCATAGATGACCATCTATGGATTTGAATAAAGGAATGAAAAAATGAAAGCAATTTGCCCAACAACACGCAAATCCATTCTTAAAATAACAAGAAAAAAATTTTGCATTGCCTTGTTAGGGAGATCATCATTGACCAGCAACAAGAACAACAACACGATAATTAATACGGGATCAAACAAATTGTATCACTTCACCACCATAAAAAAAGAAAAGATGAATCCTAGTGTTATTGCTGAGAGAATTGATCGTACTACTTCAATTCATGGTTTGGAATTGCATGATCCATACTTTTGGTTGAGAGAAAAAACAAATCCGAAAGTGAAAGAGTTTTTGGAATCAGAGAATGAATTTTGCACTCAAAAGATGAATCACACTGAAAATCTTCAAGATGTATTGTTTAATGAAATTAAGAATAGAATTAAGCAAACTGATGAAAGTGTTCCATATCGTTATAAGAATTACATGTACTATTCCAAAACTGAAGATGGAAAACAATACTCAATTTATTGTAGAAAACCAGCAGCTGGAGGAGAGGAAGAAATTTTGTTAGATCAAAATCAACTTGTTGAGGAATTGAAAGTCCCATTTTTGACAATTGGCATTTTCAAGGTTTCTCCATGTGAACAATTTTTAGCGTACTCTATTGATGTCGATGGATCTGAATATTATGACTTGTATATTAAGGATTTGAGATGTGGAAAATTATTGAAAAATAAGATTGATAGATCTCAAAAAAGTGGGCGTTCTTTGGAATTCAGCTCTGATTCTAAAACCATTGTCTTTACAACTTATGATCATACACACAGACCATACAGGGTTTATAGAGCTAATATTGATATTGATACTCTTGTAGATGAGAGATCACAATGTGAGGAAATTCTCGTTGATAATTGTGAACTTCTCTTCACTGATGAAGATGAAAAGTATTTTGTGTCTGTGAGAAAGAGTCTTTCAGGTCAATATTTATTCATTGAATCTTCTTCAAATATTACATCAGAGTATCACTATTTGAAGAGTGAGGATTTAAAGACTGGAACTTTCAAATTATTTGGTAATAGACCTAGAAGAGAGGGTGTTGAATTTTCAGTCTCACATCAAGGTGATTACTTTTATATTATTCACAATGAAGGTGAAAATGTAAATTTCAAAGTTGTCAGAACTCCTATTTCAAATCCAGACTTTGACAGTGCTGAGGATTTCGTTCCATACAATGAAAAATTCTATTGTGAATATCTCATTTCATTCTCCAGCAAGATTGCCTTGTTTGGTAGAGCAGATGGTGTTCCAAAGTTGGTTATTTTAGATCCTTCTAAACAGTCTCCACCAAAGGTATGTTTCTTTTCGATTCGCGTTCTCATTCGAATTCATTCAACAAATAGGAAGTTGTATTCCCAGAGCCAAGTTATGATTTGAGTGTCAGCCACAACAGAGAATATGAAACCTCATTGGTCAGAATTGAATATTCCTCCTTCTTAACTCCGCCAACAGTTTATGACTATGACATGGAAAATAATGAGTTCATTGTTTTGAAGCAAGATGAAGTTCTTGGTGGATTTGATAAAAATCAATACAAACAAGAAAAGATCGTGGCCAAGTCAAGAGATGGTAAAACTGAAATCCCAATCAGCTTAGTCTACAAGAAGAAGGCAGGAGATGAATCAATCGTTTTGGATGGAACCAATCCTCTCTTACTCTATGCATATGGTTCTTATGGAAGGTATGTCATTTGTAATCATATTTTTATTAATGTTATCACAATTTCAACTCTATTGGAAATAGTTGTATGGACGCTTACTTCTCCTATTCTGTTATCAGTCTCCTCGACAGAGGAATGATTTATGCTATTCCAGCTATTAGAGGAGGTGCTGAAAATGGAAGAAAATGGTAATTATTTTTATTTTATTTTTTATTTTAATTTATTTTATTATTTCCATATTAGGTATAAGGATGGTAAATTATTGAATAAGAAGAATACTTTCTTTGATTTTATCGATAGTGCTTCCCATTTGATTGAAAGTGGCTACACTAACAAGGATCGTATGTGTATTTATGGAGGTTCTGCAGGTTAGTTTTTATCATAATTTCTTATTGAGATAATTTTTAAATAATAATAATTAGGTGGACTTTTAATTGGTGCTGTTGTAAACGAAAGACCTGATTTATTTAAGGCTGCCATTTTGCAAGTACCTTTCGTTGATGTTATCAATACCATGTTGGACGAGACACTTCCACTCACAGTTACTGAGTTTGATGAGTGGGGTAATCCAAAAGATAAGACCTATTTTGACTATATGTACTCTTATTCACCATACGACAATATTGATAGAGATGAGAATGTAGATAAACAATATCCAGCCATTTTAATTGACCACGCTTTCAATGATACCAGAGTTAATTACTGGGAAGGTGCTAAATATGTTGCTAGTATGCGTCATTTCTTTGCTACAAAGAAGAATAATCAAAAAACCAACTTGATTTTAATGAAGACAAATATGGATCAAGGTCACGGAGGTAGCTCAGGAAGATACAGTCGTTATAAGGAAATTGCTTTCAGATATGCCTTTATCATTGATCAATTAATTGGAAATTCTCAATAATTCAATAGATACTTTATAGTTAACAATCAGTATGCTATTGTTACAAAATTATGTAGTAATAAATAACATTTTAAATATCATTCAAAAAAATGCATCTACTTCCACACCATCACTATGACGGCATGCATCATCAGGAAAATCATCACCACAACCAGATATCATCGTCATCAGGTAAACGAGAGAGAACTCATCACAAAATTGATTCGGAACAAGTAGAGGAGGATATCGATGTATTCAAAACGGAACACAGAATGAAAGACTTGGCCATTTTCCAAAAGAGTCTAAATATGCACTCTCAACAATTGAAAGAACAGAAAGAGGGAATGGAACAAGTTTCCATCACTTTAAAAACAAAAACTAGAGGAAGAAACAAATCAGTAACTGAGTATCCTGATAGCATGTTTCAATTACAATACACCTACTATGAATATTTGTGTAAGAATAAGATGGCAAAGGAACAGGCTTCAGTTGACTTTATTCCATATAAGGATGATGATTTTTGTGTGGATTATCAATCATATTCGAAATACTTTGATGATTTGAGTTTTATAGAAAATGGAAATAATTCTGCAAAAAAGAGTGGATATTCCAAGTTTATGAAATATTATTTGGATTTGTGGGCCGAAACTATTTACCGAACAATGGTAGAAAGAATTAGTGAAAAATATGGTGAAAATGATGAAGTGTTAAAATTACTGGCTGAGGATTTTATGAGGGAGTATGAAAATGAGAATCAAGAACTATTTGTCATGGCAGAGGAACACTTACAATATGATAGGAAAAAGTTTAGACTGAAAATTATGGAACTGTTCCAGGAACAATTATCGAGCTATTCAATTTTCAAGAGGGAAAATGAGCAAAAATCTCAATCAAAGTAGGTTAACACGTGAATTATTGAGAGTTTATCCATCATATTATTATTATTATTTATTGTGGGAATTTTATAGGAATGGATCACTAGAATCGATATGGAGTATTACAGCCAAGCTATTTTGTTACAAGTGCATGAAATTTGATTGTGCTATTCACAGAGTGGAGTATGATACATGCATTAGAGATCCAGAAGATGCTAGAGCCACCCCTGAATATAATAATGAATTATCTATTGGCTCTATTTTAGAAAAGCTATTCAAAACTCAAAACTCATTGCTTGTCAACAAAAAATACTCTCTTAAACCATGCTCATCAGAGTGCTATCTGCATTGTGTTGAGGATGAATCAATATCAGATTCATACGACCATTGGACGAAATATGATAAGGAAATTGCCCTTAATACTGTTTTTATCTATGGAGAACGATTTTTGGAAAATATGAACAATTCAAAGTGTTCCAATAGAGATGTCTTTTGTCAGATGGCAGAACATCACATTCGTCCATGCAGAGAAATTAAGAAATTCATCTGTGATTGGTTCTTTAATTTCAAAATTAGAATGGCAAGAAGGAAATCTCCACCCAAGAACAAGGTAGAAGAGTTGGCCATTATGAGAGGTGTGGCAAAATCATTCTTAACGCCCGAAGAGTTGGATATGTTAGAAACTCAAATTGTTAAGAAAATCAACCCTGAGAAGGTTATCTTTCCCAATCTTCACAAACCAATGCTCTATAACCCGTGTCAGTGTGCAATAATGAACGTTTCAGAATGTAATTGTGTAAAGAATGGAACCTTTTGTACAGAGTTGTGTAATTGCTTTACAGAAAAGAATAGATTCAAAAATCACAACTGTGCAGGGGCTAAGTGTACATGTAAAAAGTATCAGAGATCGTGTTTTGGATATTGTGACTGTAAGAATAGTTGCCAGAATAGTTTTTCTAAACACTTTATGAAACGGTGTGCAGTAGGATTCAGTCAGCTGCATGGTTTAGGTTTATTCTCTCTGGAGCCTATTAAAAAGGACGAGCTGATAGTGGAGTATGTTGGTGAGATTGTATCCATATTGGAAGAGAATAGAAGATCAGTAATCTATGACATGTATGAATCGAGTTATTTGTTCGAACTGAATGAAAATATGAGTGTGGACGCGTTTAGAAAAGGAAATGAATCAAGATTCCTCAATGATGCACAAGGAAAGGTTAGAACTTCAAAAACCAATAATTGCATCCCCAAAATTGTGTATGACACCAATTCACATGATTACAGGATTGGGATTTATGCATTGAAAGATATTGATATTCATTCAGAATTACTCTTCTCTTATGGAGACAGATTTTGGAAGAATTTTAAATAGTTTTCAAGATATTATTGGAGGGTTTACACGAGTAATAATTCCAAACAGATGAATTGCCACTAATGGATAAGGGAGAAAATTCAGAAAATTATTTACAAAATATTACAATAACAAATTTAGAAATAATTGGAACAGTCAGATATTTCTATTAAAACTGAAAAGCTCTTATGTTTAATAATTTTGAATATTTACAATATATTTATTATTGACCAATTGTTTGCCATATCGATTCTAACTTGTTCTGATAGGATTCATGATCGCTCACAGTTCCTAGTTGTTGCAATAATTCTGTAAGATCAGAGTTAGGGAAACATGACTCGTTGTTATTGTTTTGGTCAAAGATATTAGTATTCCAATCCTGTGGAGGACATGATTCACATTGAGGAACATCATTAGTGAATGGAAGATATCCACTTGAATTTGTAATACCTTGTGGAACGTGTTGTCTTTCACTCTCTAAGAGATCAGCAAACTCTGATCTCTTATTCATGATATTAATCATATCAAATAGGGTATATTTTAAAACTACAAATTTAGAGCTGATAACCTTGAGTGATTTGTAATTTTCAATAGACATACTACTATCATTAACACTAAGGTTAATGTTGATAAGGATAGGGAAGAAGAGAATAATAGCTGGTGCTGACTTCCAGAAAGTTGGCTTAGCTGCTAAACCAGTTGCCTTGGTAGCACAGTGTAAACCCATCTTATCTAGTCCACATCTCACCAAAATATCCGATCTAAGAGAATAGAGACAGAATCTGTGCACATTCTTTTGGAGATCATCTCTGTTAAACTTTTCTGATTCAATATACTTTTCAATAGTTTCTAATTTTCTCAAAATCTTGATATATTCGATTTGGTTATTTGTCAACATGGCAAGTCTTGAGACCAACAAGTAGTAAACCAAAATGGCTGTGAAAGAGACTTCTTCACTTCCCTTAACAAGACTCATATCGGCAATTTTGGTTTCTATTTCTTCAATCTCGCGCATACACTTCGAAGAACCAATATAGTTTTTAACATTTTTAACAAGTTCACGAATGGATGGAATTTGAGGATGGTTTGGATTATTGGCATTCTTAAGAAGGCAATCAAATGAATTTTCTTCAACTTTGAGAATGTTCAACTCGAACAACCATTTAGAGAACGTTGTTGCCAATGAGAGAGCAGAAAGAGTTTGGTAATACTTGTCGGTTTCAATTTGGTAAGAACACAAGTCCGTAGACATGTCCAAAGCAATTCTGTTGTACATGTGACCTTTGATTCTTTCACCTTCTGAACAAGCATAAATACCCATCAAACTCAAAGCACATGAAGCTTCCCTAGATGGCTTATCAAACAAGTAACTAGCTTGATTTCTTGCTCTATTGAAAAATTCAATACAGTTCTTTCTGTCCTCTAATCTTTGAGCGCCCATTGCACATACAATATTTGTTAAGAGTTGGTAACCAGTTGGTTCAGATGAAAAAATAACAGCCTTATTGAGGGCATTATCCAACATGTTTCTATCTACAAGGGAGTGGCATGTCACAGAACTAGAAATGTTTAATGCATGAATGCATGAAAATACTACTTACTCTAAGAATTGATCGACGAGTGTTCTTGTATGAACATTGACTGCAAATTGGAGACCTGTAAGTGGACTAGGTTGTTGCGGTTGTGAATAGAAATTGGTAAGAGCAGTAGATGGATTAGTATTCTTATTGGAAGAGAAAATAGCTTCAGTAATGTAAGAGTCCAAGTCAACAGAGCTAACTATTTTTTGAGGTTGTTGAGTTTGGTGTTGTACAATTTGTTGTTGTTGAGTTTGTTGAGCTTGTTGAGGTGGTGATTGATTGAAATATACAGGAGCATTAAATTGTTGTTGAGCTTGTTGTTGTTGAATTTGTTGGATTTGTTGATTTTGGTTGGCACACAATCCAGCAGCACATGTTAATTGTTCTACAGTGTATTCTTCCTCATCTCCATCATTTGCCTTTCTCTTCTTTGACTTTGGACCTCTCTTTTGAGGTGGTAAATAAACTAACATGATAAGTTTAAAATGATTTTCACACAAACTACATACCACATGGAATACCCTTCTTCTTACATCTGGTACAAGCATTTGGAGATTCGCCATCACACTTTTCTAAAATGAGAAAAATTGAATGTTTAAGGAATTTCATATTGTGACTAGTACATACTGTGCAATTTGTTACAATAAACGCATGCAATCTTTGGCTTTTTCTTTTCCTTTGATTTTCCTTGAGTTGTTGGTGTAGTTTTGTTTGTCATGGCATCAATATCATTATCAATATCAAAAGTGCTAGTAGTATTCAATTGGCAACAATCATCATTATTTCGATGTTGTTCAATGAGTGGAGTAAAAGCCAACTGACTTGTATCCAAACTACTAGTAACACCACCATTATTCATTCCTCCTAAATTAAAATCTCCAAACATATTATCAGAGAAATACCACTGATTTTGTTGATTATTATTGTTATTGGGTGTCAGCGTAGACATTTTATTCAGTGATAGGCCCACCAGTCGGTCGAATTCATCATCATTAAACTCATCATGAGCAGGTGTATTGATACTTCCACTGTGTGGGTACATTTTGCCTATTTTTTCTAATGTTGTTGGCGAATTAATTTTTCGCCGATTCTGAAAAAGGACTAAATTATCTCTGGGTTGAGTATGTAATGTATTTGAGGATCAAAACTGTGAGTTATGAATAGACAATTTGGTTTTTAACAAAATTGGAATGTAGATGACCAAGATAATTATTTAATGTAATTTGGCAAATATCTTCTTTCTGAATTGGATATTATGACAATTTGTTGGTATTATAGCCTTGCTTCATTCACAACCTGCAAGTGTTTATTAACTCGAGTAATTTGTCTGAGAAGAAGAGATGGAAATTTGAAAGGAGATAATCAATTTCCTGTTCAGAAGTGGTTCTGGTATTAATATATCTCCATGTTTAAGGTATGCAGTTGTGCTTAATTTAAATTACTTAATAATTTGTTCTGGAAGCGAATCCCATGTGAGAAGTATTTTATCAAACAGGAAAGATCACTACCAGATAATTCTTAGCGTAGATGAATAGCAGCTTTGAGAGAATTATAACACAATCATTAATATTATGAAATTGAAGGAATTTAACGAGATTTTCTTATTTTTAAAATGCTTGTTATTGTTTTGAAATTTGTGAAGAACCTAAATCTTGGCGCCAATTTTAGTCTGTTAGATGGCGCCAAAATTTTGTTCTTTAAAAAAATTAAAAAAAAACATCACACCACAAAATTAACCATTCTCTCACCATTCCTTTGTGTACATACAAGCTTTTTCAACAACCATATAGTATATTATTAATAATATAATGAGGAATAATTTAAATAATTTGAGTGGCGTGTTTTCTCCGTCCCAAGATTTGGAACGAATGCTTGCCTCTCCAACAACAAGTTCCTTCACAACAAGAAGACAAAACATTCAAACTCCATCCTTTATGGTGTCTCCAATAGTCTCAAGAGGAGGATTATTCTCACCTCTTCCTTCTTTAGGTGATGACGAAACTCTGTCTGCAACCAACAGGACAGAAATATTTTCAAAAGATGATGACGATAAATCGAGTGTGAGAGTGGTAGTAAGAGTTAGACCACTCTTTGACAATGAAACACAAAATTGCATCCAAGTAGATCCAGCAACAAAAAGATCACTTCAAGTTATTAGCAATAATCCAAAAGAGAAACCAAAAACCTTTACTTTCGACCACGTAGCAAGCCCAACAACAACACAAAAAGATATGTTCGAGTTTTGTGGCAAACCAATAGTGGATAGTTATCTAGCTGGATATAACGGTACAATCTTTTGTTATGGGCAAACAGGAAGTGGTAAAACTTTTACTATGGGAACGTCACACAATGACGACGTAATGGAAGATGACTTGTTGTCATCAATGCACAATTTACACTTGCCTTCATCTGCAGGTTTAATACCAAGAGTTCTATCATACATATTTTCAGAAATTGAAAAGAAAAGACAACAAAAAGAAATCAAGTTTATTGTCAGTTGCTCATTTCTGGAAATTTACAACGAAAGAATTACAGATTTATTGGATTCAACACCTAAATTACCTCTTTTTAATGGTGGTACTGTATCCAAGAGTTTAAATTTAAGAGAGGATATCAAATCTGGAGTTTATGTTGAACAATTAATTCATGAGGATATTGCAACACCAGTTGAAGCTTTAGCCATTTTGAAGAAGGGTCTATCAAATAGACATGTTGGCTCAACATCTATGAATAATCAATCATCACGTTCTCATTCTGTTTTTACCATCTATATGAAATCACAAGAAACATCAGAGGGAGGAACAAAAACGCGTACATCTAGGCTTAATCTTATCGATCTTGCTGGTTCGGAAAGACAATCAACATCTAATACCGAAGGAGACAGATTGAAAGAAGCTTGTTCTATCAATAAGTCTCTTTCTACTCTAGGAAAAGTTATCAAGGATCTAGTTGACGTTGCTAATGGTATTTCTAGGCATGTACAATACAGAGATAGCAAATTAACATTCTTACTTAAGGATTCTCTTGGAGGGAATTCTAAGACTTGTGTTATTGCGAACATTAGTCCTGCCATTAATTCATTATCAGAATCCTTGTCAACTCTTACATTTGCTCAAAGAGCTAAACGAATTAAGAATGAAGCTAAAATCAATGAAGAGACATCTGGAAGTATTACATTTTTGCAAGAACAAATTAAACTCCTGAGGAAACAGTTATTGGAGGCAAACAAACGAGTTTCAGAAGTTCCACAAACTCCTACTCCACAACTTTCTATGGATGAAAATGAAAAGGAACAATATATTATAGCATTACAACAACAACATGTATATCTCTCTGCTCAGACAGATGAACACGAGGAGAAGAATTCCATTCTTACTCATCGTGTTGAAGAGCTCAAGAAGGTTGCATCCTCAAAGGATCGCTTATTAACATCAACTAGATTTTTGCTAAGATTGCGAGAGGCAAAGATCGCTAGACTCACTGGAAAATCAGTGAAAAATCCAAAACAAGATTTTGTCTCTGGTTTAGATTTTGACTTTGATAGACCACAATCACCACAAAAGTTTTCCAAATTCAATTTTGAAAATTTCACACTTGATAATGAAGAACAATTCCTCTCTATAGCCGACAGTGCCCTCCAAAAGGCCCTCTCACCTGAACAACATCCAGATGTTATTCAGCTCAAGATTGAAAATATGGAACTGAAAGATCAACTTAATTCATATGAATCCCAATTTTCCAAGCAATTTGGAGCTAACAAGGAGTTGTTTAAGGAATTACATTCCTACATTCAAAGTTTAGAGCTTTCAATCAGACATTTAACTGGCGAAAAGGAACAACTTGCCAACAAAATTCAAGACATGGAAAAGAGCCACAGAAGAAACTCTTCAATACTCCAAGAACAAGTAGCAATCAGTGAAAATCAAACACTGTTAGGAGAAATAACAAGGTTAGAACAAATGTATGAGGAATCCTTGGAAACTATTGCCTCACTTAAGAAGGATATAACACAAAGCCAAGAAAAGGAGCAAATGGCATGGAGCGAGCTTGAGAGCATCAAGCAACTTTTAGAACAAGTAGCATCTGATAAGGAGAATATGCTTTCAGAAAATATCAAATTAAAAGAGGAGAGGACTCAAATTGAAGCAATGTTGGAAGGTTTGGAAAACCAACAAATGGTCCAAAAAGGTCAAGAAGAAACTATTAGAATGTTGGAGGAAATGAGAGAACGTGAGGAAATGGCCAAACACGAGGCAGAGTCTAAATTAATACTCGCACACCAAGAGATTGAAGCTCTCAAACAACAGTTAGAAAGCACAGAACAGCTATTTGGAGAATCTATGCAGGAGAATGAACAATCCAATGAGGAAATATCCAAACTGAAAGTAGTAATAGAAACTCTTAATACCAGTATTGATACTTTGTCTTTCAGAGAGCAAGAGTTACTTCTATCTATATCTGAAAGAGATGCCAGCATTGAATCTTTAAAGTCTCAACTTGAAGAAGTCAAATCTAAAGAATCAATGTTTGCTGAACAAACTCAACAAAAGGAAACTGTTCTATCCTCTCAATTAGAACAGGAAGTGGCAACCAAGTGTATGCTTATGTCTGCACTTGATGAGAAGGAGAAGGCTTTGATGAGCTCCTTTGAACAAATCAAACACTATGGTGAAGCCAATGATAAGCTAAAGGATTCTATTCAAGTATCTGAAAGAGACTTGGCAGAAATGAAAGATAAATACCAAAGTACAATCGACGAACTTGAACAGCTCAACACAATTCACAAAGAATTCCTTGAAAGCGAGGATAAATCTAGAAGAGAAAGCGAAGAACAAATCAATTCTCTTCAAGAATTGATTGAGGCATTGAAATTCGAACTTGGCGAAAATATGGAAGCAAACAAGATTCTCAATGAAGAATTGGAACAATCCAAATCACAGTTCACCGACCAAATTTCTGAACTGACCTTGGCTCTTGAGAAACAAGTTCAACTTGTCAACAATATTTCCTCTGAAAAAGATATCACACTGAGAGAATTGAATGAAAAACTTCACAATGAAAATATAATCCTGAAAATGAAGGAAGCAGAATTATCAAAGCTAACCTCCGAAATTGAGACCCTTAAGATTAACTTCTCTGAATCAGAGCAAAATTATGAAAGTATTACACAACTTGCTGAAGAAAGTATTGTCAAGTTACAAGATCGTGAAAATCAACTTGTAGAAGAAATTCAAACCATGAACGGTAAAATCACTACCTACATTGAAGAAAATGAAAAACTAAAGGAATGTGCTCGAGTATCGGAAAGGGAATTGATTGAAATGACTGAAAAATATCAAAGTGCCCTCAATACTCTCCAAACCATCAAATCAACCCATGAAGATGCTATCAACAACCTTAAACAATGCTTAGCTCTGGAACAAGAACGAAATGATGACCTTTTACAACACTTGAGCTCTATGGGTAATACCTCCGAGGAAGAAAAGAAACAACTATTGGAAAACGAAGAACAGTTAAGAAGAGAAAGAGAGGAACAAATCAATTCTCTTCAAGAATTGATTGAGGCATTGAAATTCGAACTTGGCGAAAATATGGAAGCAAACAAGATTCTCAATGAAGAATTGGAACAATCCAAATCACAATTCACCGATCAAATTTCTGAACTGACCTTGGCTCTTGAGAAACAAGTTCAACTTGTCAACAATATTTCCTCTGAAAAGGACTCCATGTTCAGAGAATTGAACGATAAATTAATCAATGAAAATATTGAACTCAAATTGAAGGAAACAGAAATCTCTAATTTGACCTCTGAACTTGAAAGTTTCAAGCGCAAGTATTCTGAGGTACAACAACACAATGAAAGCATTACACAACTCGCTGAAGAGAGCATTGAAAAGTTGCAAGAACGTGAACAGGAAGTGCAAAAACTCGAAGAACAAGTGTCTAACCTCGAGACTGAGCTCGATAGCAAAGGCCAAGAGTTGAACAATAGCAATCAAAAACTCAATTCAACTCTAAGACAATTAGAAGCTTTGAAAACCTCAAGTGATGGTGCTTCCAATGAGAATATCAAGCTGTTGAGCACAATTGAATCTCTAGAAGATCAAATCAAATCCAAGCAAAATGAAATTGAACAACAATTGGAATCTATTCGTTCATTGCAATCAGGAGAAGAATTCACCAGATTGACTGAAAAATTAAACACTGTAGAAAAGAAGTGTGAAAGTCTGGTCAAAACTCTTCAAACTGAAAGAGAAACCCTCTTGAGAAAAGAGTCTGACCTTAACGATTTGAGAAATAACTATGATGAGAGCAAAGAACAATTATCTACCCTCGAAAAACGAAGCCTCTCACAACAAATGATTCACGAAGAGACATTGAAAAAGTTGAAAGAAAAATACAAATCGGAAAAGAACCAATTAGAGGCTTCATTGGAAAGCTTGAGACAAAAGTATGCAGATAGTGTCACTGAAGTTAATAGTCTAAAGGAAGAGCTTGAATCATTAAGAAAAGATCATGAAAAGATAATTGGACACAACAATCACAAGCAAAAGATTCAATATCAATTAAAGATTAAGAGAGAAAATGATGAATTGAGGGATGAATTACAAAGAGCTCAAAAAGAACTTTCTGATATGAAACGACAATTTAATCCTCCACCAAGACCAGCTCTGTTTGGAAATACCAATTTTGAGAAGAATCACTCACCAACAGAAGTACCTCTCAGAGACAGAACCTCATTCTACATTAAACGAGGACCAACAACAAGTGAATCAGCTTCACTTCCAACTCCACTCAATCTCAACCAATCGGCCCTCACCAAAGATAGACCAATTATGGGAAGATCCAAGATGTTAGTTTCCAATATTACAACAAGAAACTTTTCTCCAGTAGATAAGGAAAATGTTGAAGAACTGAAAACACCTCAAACTGCTTCTTTGAATACATCGTCATTGTTTGGAGGAAACAGAAAGAGAAGGAATATTGGTGATTCCAATCCAAACGAAACTTCAGCATTATTTGATGCTGATGTAACAGAATCTTCAACTAAGAAGGTCAAGCCAACAGAAGTTGACGAAAAACCAAAATTTAGATAAATTTTCTACTTATTGAAATTTAATTCTTTTGTCTTTTTGGAGTATTTTGTAATTTTTGTTTGAATCTATTGCACAAAAGTTTTGGAATCCTTTAAAATGTTGTTGCATCAGACGAGATTGTTAATATTTCTTAACCACTTGTACTAAATATTGTTATTTGCCTTTTTTATCAAGAGACAAAAGGAAGAACACAGAACTCCCTTTTTTCTCCTTTTTTTATTAAATAAAAAGGCTTGAAAATCATGTAATAACAATATCAAAAAAAACAACCTGATCAACAAATCAAACAACTCAACAAAAATGTTTACTGGAATACCAATTTCATGTCCTCCTATGCATGCCAACTCAACTTATTGTCCACCTAAATTTCCAATCGAACCTCCAAGTTCAGAACCAACTAACAAACTTTCCATTAAGGTTGTCAATGACTCGATTGTATTTTACAGTGCCAAAACCTCTAAAAACGAATTGAAAATCAAATTACATAGAACTTTAAGAATACCTGACGATGGGAAAATCTATCCCTTGCCTCCATCTTTGGGGACCTTCCCAATCAAAAGAGTAGATGATTATATTAACAAAGTCCCTGAAAGCTGGAAACAAAAAGGTGGTGTATTTGTTTGTTTACACCAACGTGAAGCCATGTGGATGGAATTTGAAAATTCCACAAATCCTCATGCTCTCAAAGTTGCTGTTGGTAAAGTGAATGCTTTAAGTGGAGAACAATGGGATGAAGAAATCAAATCAAGAAAAGTTCAAGATTATTGTGTCACTCCAGCTCAAAAATGGTTAGATGGTATTAATAATGGAAATGGAACAATCAAACAATTCATTGCCATGCCACTTGGACAAGGATATACTGTCGAATCACAGGTTACTGGAGAAGATAAAGTAGGAGGTGCTCAAATTATTTGTTACAATCCATTCTCAGAAAAGGCAAAATCAATGTTTCCAGAAATGAATGAAACAACATGGTCATCTCCAAAGAAGAAACATTCAATCATTCCAACAAAGAAATCCATTGTTGCATACTCTCCTCCAGTTTCTCAAGCTTATCCAATACCAACAATGTTTTCAACTTCTTCAACCGCAAGTATTCCACAAATGAAATGTTGCTCACCAGCAATGCCAAGAAGTTCACTTTCAAGTCTTAAATGTGAAGAAAAAAGAAGTAGATCTCAATCCAGCAATGCACAAGAATTGGGATTGGCAGCAGGAGGTAAAATGAAACAAGATATTGCTAAAGATCCTTATGGCCCATCATTTTGGGATGAAAGAACCAAGTCAAGAGTATTTGTACATATTGTCAACTCTGACATGTATCAACAAATAACAGGAGAAAAAGCCCCTCCATGTCCAATCAGTGCAAAGACTTATTCTTCATACAAATATCCATGGTTTGATCACTATAATGAAAATTTGGGAACTATTGGAGAAAGCTCCATTCTTTCCAATGTAAAGAGTGTCAAGCAAGTTGATATCCAAAAGTATGGCTATTCAACCCAAAACAATCAATCTGTAAAGATTAATAATGTCATTACAACAAAAACTGTTTGGAATCCAAATGATGTAAGAGATGGAGATTGGTAACAAGTTCAATAAAATTATTGGAAAATATTCAAATATTATCTCTTCTTAGTAAATTCCACATTTCATCCTCTTCCATTGTTTCATTCTCGTGCGTTGATATTCCTGCCTTCTTCTTACTTTGAGTTTGGATTGTAGTTGTTACCTTTTGAGGTGTAGTATTAACAGAAAAGAAGCTCTCAAAGGTATTGTTGGCTGCTGAACCAAACAGCAAATCTTCAATTGATTTTTGCTTTGGAGCTTGTGGTTTTGGTGGAGGTATTGTTGGACTCTCATCACTTGATTCATCATCTACAGCACTACCGCCATTACTTGACATCTGTTGCTGTGAAATTAATAGCTTCTTTCTCTTCACTATTTCTTCTTCCCACTCATTGAAAAAGGTCTCCTTTTCTAGAATGGATTTGTATTGTTCGAGAGCTTCACTTATTATTTTCTCAATTGGCTTTAAAAATAAGAAGTGTTGAATGTACATTTTCATAAACATTTCAAAGTAAGGATGCTGACCATTGAAAATGTCCTCCTCCTCTTCCTCATCTTCGTCATATTCTGGCTCTTCATAGTCTTCATCATCGGAGCTAGAATCACTTTCATCTCTTGATTCTTTTTTCTCACTCTTAAAATCTTTGAATTCCAATGGCTCGTCAATGAATAATTGAGTTGGATCCTGAATTTTCCCAAAGTAAGCCAAATGTCTCATGCAATCCCAAGCTCGATGTACAATATCAGAGAGCAAATAACCAAACTCATCATCATTCATCTTGGAATAAAATTCCTTATATTGTTCCCAAATTGTGGTGGCAATCTTTAATGAGCCTTGTCTCATATTATTTAAGAATTGTTTCAAAATCTTTTCAAAATCGGTTGCGTATTGCAAATTTGCAACTCGAGCATAAATAAAATTAATGACATAGTCCAACAGAATATAATCCTCATGTTCCTCATAAATTTCAAACTTTCTCTTTCTATTCTTTTTTGCAAATTCAATAGCTAGTGTTTCAATTCGGTGGAAAAACATTAGACAGAATGAATTTACAAAATGATGAAACCTCTTATTTGTTGGGCTATTCATAAAGCAAAGTACATTGAGTCTTTGCAGCCTCTCCTTCCTCAACAAGTGGTCCTCACTTTCTATATGTTTATCCCATTCTTCATATTTAGAAGAACCTTTCTTTACTCTTTTTGCTGAGTTTTGAGATGATGCACCTGTTAAGGCAACAAATGTATTGCAGCACATGCAAAAGAGTGATGAATCCATAGGTGTCTGCTCAACTCTCCTTTCAAACATGCTCTTATCCAGTTTGGTTTGAATAAATTTTCTTTTTGAATTATCGGTCTTTTCCTTGATATTTCTCTTTTCTTTGAGTGGTGACAATTTCTTTTTCGTTCCAATTTGCGGTACTGAACTAGATGATGATGGCACCTTATTCAAAATGTGTTGAATATTAGATTGCTTTGGAGGAGCTTTTTTCACAGTATTCACTGATTGTTTATGATTCTCCTTATTACCATTTACAATTTGCTTTCCAATATTTGTTGATTTCCGAATTGATATATCCTCAATCTCATCTTGGCTACTCTCACTACTCGAGGAGGAAGAAGAATATTCCTTCTCTTTCATTTCTTCATCTTCATCGGAATCATCACCAGGCTGTACCTTATCCTTCATTTCCTCATCATCATCGGAAGATGATTCTTCCTCACTGCTACCGATGACTTCCTTTGCTGGTTTCTTTGGCATAGTAGCAACAGATGGCTGCTGTTGTTGCTGATGAGTAAGTGTCTTGTTTTTAGGCAACAAAGGTTGAGCTTGTTTCTTCTCATTCGTATTAACAATTGAAGCTGCGACAGATTGTTGCTGAACAACAACATTCAGAGTAGATGATGTTGCTGCTGTTGATGATGTATCCTCTGAAAATCCAAAGAAATCATCAAATGAAATACCTTCCCCTGAATTTCCGAAACTAGAAAACATTCTCTCTTCTATCAATTATTTGAAGCTTTTGAAGAAATTAGGCTTTGAAATTTTTTTTATTATTAAAAATTGATGAAATTCAAGTAATCGGACGATGATCAAATAGTTTATTTCGATCTGGATGGAATATTAAAAAATTCAATCTTGAGTGATTTTGTATTCTTATTATTAATAATAATAATGGCTTGATATCAATTCCATCATTGAGTTGTTTGAAAAAAGATAAATTTAAATAAAAATATTTTATTTTTGAATCTTTAAAAAATATGCTCGCAACATCATCAAACAAATCCTGGGCCGACCAACAAGAAGAACAAGACGGCACCATTGTTCAAGTCAGCGAAGAAAATGGAATAAAAACAATTGTTGAAGAAAAGATAAAAGACGGAAAGAAAGTTAGAATCACAAAGAAAGTTAAAACTGTTAAAGTACAAAAGAAGAATATTCCAATTGTTGAAGAACGTCGTAAATGGAAGAAGTTTGGACAAGCTGGACAAGCTGGACTTTTACCTGATGTTACATCAGTAGGAGAACCAATTCACTTTGAATATACAAATAATAAGAAGTCTACAACAACCACACAAACAGCAATGGATGAACAAGAAGTCTTACTCAACAGAATTCAAATGCAATTGGCCAAAGAAGCTACAGAAGCAACTGAACAAGAAACTACACCAGAAAATACCGAAGAAGATGAAAACAAACTTAAGGCTCCAAGCTCTAATGCCTACGTTCCACCAAGTATGAAGAATAGAACAACAGGAGGATTCGGAGGTGGTCGTACCGATAGTGAAGTCAATACAACAATCAAGGTTAGTAATCTTGATGTAAAGGCAACAGAACAAGATTTGAGACTCTTGTTCGGTCAAGTTGGTAGAATTATCAAAGTTTTCGTTCCTGGAGACAGAGGAAGAAATAGAGGTTTTGCTCTCATCACATATAGCACAGTCGAAGAAGCTGAAGAAGCTATCGAAAAATTCGAAAGATTCAGTTTGAACCACTTGTTGTTGAGTGTGGAATGGTCGGAAAATAAGAAGAGATTTTAAATAGATTGTTAATTTATTTCATTATTGTTTGAATATTAATATTTGTTGTTATTTAATCAAGAAAGTATTGGATCACTATTTATGTCATCACATGTTTTTAAAGTCAGGTGTGAAAAATTACAAAAAGATCAAAATTCATCTTGAAAGAATCTTATATAAGATTTATTCAGTCTTTCTCTTCTTTTTATCTTCCTTCTTCTTTTGAGAAACACCACTCTTAATCCACTTATTGTCGCTCTTTCTCTTCTTTTCAATGGCACTTGAAGCACCAACTTCTAAACTCTTCAAATCCACATATGGAGTATTCTTGAGACCAAATGATTTGGTAATACCAGCAACATCTAATAATTGGAATGAGAAAATATCCTTCAATGGATGTGAAGCATACGATTTGATAAAACCTTTGAATGCTTCTTCAGCATTCTTGAATAAATAGTAATTGGAAGAAATAATCTTTTCGAGTTGATCTTGAATATTTGACATCTTTGTTCGAGGGAAATCCAATTCATTCAATGGAATGTTTGATTCACTCAAATATTTCAAAAATCCTGTTTCAGATGGAAGGAGGAAGAGCAAAGCACGTCCAACATTTCCAGCACGAGCAGTACGACCAACACGGTGAATATATTCTTTTGGAGCTTCTGGTGGATCATATTGAACAATCCAGTCAACCTTTGGAATATCCAAACCTCTAGCAGCAACATCAGTGGAAAGTAACACACCACTTTCAGCACCACAAAAGTTCATAAATGCTTGTGTTCTCTTATTTTGCTTCATTTTACCATGGAGAGGTGTCACTGAAACGTTAATATAGTTCAATAATTCTGAATAATATTTAACAGCAGCACAACTACTGAAAAAGACGATAATCTTCTTTCCCTTCTTTCCAGGAGTTGTTGCCATTGTCTTTTTAAGGAATGAATAGAGGAGAACAAATTTTTCACTTGCTGGAACAACAACATATCCTTGTTCCAAATTTGTAGCAGTTGAATATTCTTCAGTTTCTTCAGTCTTGGTAATCTTATTCAAATCTTCAATTCCAACAAAAACTGGATCTCTTTTAATACTAACTCTGGCAATATCAGCGACCTTTGTTGTTTGAGTGGCACTGAATAAGAGAGTTTGTCTTCCTTTAGTTGGTAATAATTTAACAATAGCTTTCAATTCTTCCTCAAAACCATCATCCAACATTCTATCAGCTTCATCCAAAACAAGTGAAATCAAATTAGAATAAACAAATCCTTTTGTGTGAAGTAAGTGATCCAACAATCTACCTGGAGTGGCAATGACAATATTACAACCCTTAACAAGTTTTTCTCCTTCTTGATGTTTAGATTGACCACCAATCAACAAACAATGAGTTTGTTTCATAAATGTCATTAATGATTTACAAACAGCATAGGTTTGAATAGCCAATTCTCTAGTTGGACTCAAAATAATAACTCCTGTACCATTTCTAGGTTTAAATTCAGCTCTGTATAATAACTCTAAACATGGCAAAAGGAATGCCAATGTTTTACCACTACCAGTTTTAGCTTGAGCAAGTAAATCCTTACCTGCCAAAGCAATTGGAATAGAACGAGCTTGGATAGGTGTCATATATTCAAAGGAAAGTCCAGAATCTTCATTTGACAATGCTTTTGTGAGTGGTTCGCATAAAGCAAGTTTGTTAATGTGTACATTGGTTAAAAAAGATGAAGTGGTTGATGTTTTTGATGAAACTGCTGTATCTTCAATAGTATATCCATAGCTCTTATAGTAATCATTATTATCACTTGATTTTGATTCGTTAGTAGTTGTTGTTGTTGGTTCTTCTCGGGATGATTCATTTTCTTCAATATTCTTGGTTTCTTCAACTACTACATTCTTGGTGGCTTCTTCAGAAGTTGTTGTTGTTGAAGGTTCTTCTTCAGCCTTTGCTTTCACCTTCTTCAACAAGTTCTTGAGTTTGGATGGTGTTGATGATGTTTGGGTCATTTTTTTCTACTTCAATTTTTAAAAATCAAACAAATTGATGAATCACATTGCAATAATTTTCTTCCGATGCTATGATGATAATAAATTTAAAAATTCACCATGATGGAGAGAATGACTGGGTTGGAATAATATGGAATCTGAATAATTTGAATACTGTTTAATCTTGGAAAAAGTATTGATAAATTTTCTGGGAGAGTTTCGCTCCAATTTTACGAGTGCAAACACCTTCAACTGATGATTCGATGGCAAAGTTTTTCAGAGCCAGGTCATGAGGTGTTGATGAGTCCAGAAAGACTTGACACAGGGAGGTTGGTGTTGGATGTTTCTTAATGATTGATTCTGCTATTTGAGAGGATACACCTTGGATGGTAGTGAGCTGTCTGCCAAATAATTCATTCTTGGAAATGTCATTATTCTTTTTGAAAAGAACATTGTACTGTTCGAGTGAGGGATTGTACATTTCGCCAGTAATTTCGTGTGGAATGAGTAGTTGGTGTGGTGTAAGGCCATCTCTTTCAACTAATTCTATAATGAGAGAGTTCATGATGACAAGAAAATTAATGGATGCTTCCAATGATGCAGTATGTTTTACACAAATGCCATCTGTTAAAATCTTTCTAATGGAGGTTTCAAGTGAAGACTGAGAGAGTTGATCTTGGTGTTTGAAACCTCTTTCAATCAAATAAAAAATATTGGAACAATTAGAATTGTTCATTCTGAATTTTTGTTCCTTATATCTTCCATCCTTAATACTTCCAGCTAGATCATTAATATCCTTTCTCTCCAAAACATAATTCAACACATATGATCTCTCTTCAGTTGTGAGTGTCCAAATAACATCTCCCATTCCAAGTTGTGAAATCAGTGCATCTACACCTCGTTTTTTAAGTGTGTCACAGAATGATTTTCTATCATTATGTCCTGTTCTCTCTCTTTGATCTATAATAAGGTGAATCTTGTAAGGTACTTTTGGTAAATCATTTGATTTTGTGGAGGTAGTATTGCTGTCAGCAGCTGAAAAGGCGAAGGAGGGATTAGGTTCTGGATTTTCTAAAAAGCTCTTTAGGTTTACAATTGTCTTGGGTTGTCTATTGGATTGGAGAATTACTGGATTCGTTGGTATGTGGTTAGAGGTGGTAATTTGGGTGCTATTCGGTATGGATTGAGAACTACTTGATGTACTTGCTGTGGAGGTAGAGGACGAGCTAATTTGGTTGTTAGTAACAAGACTTCTGGCTGGAACAAAGGATGGTGGTGGCATTGAAAAATCTATAGATCTCATCATTTCTCTTGGTCTAGGCACAGGAATTGCTGGTCGATATTGTGTTTGTTGTTGGGAGGAAGAGGGTTCTGAAGATTCGGCTAGGTGTTTCTTTTTCTTTGTTTTTTTCTGAGTGACTGGTTTCTCAAGTGTTACATCTTCGTCATCACTTAGTTCAATATCGAGAGGTACAACGGTTGGCTTGGATGGCTGGATGGCTCTGGATGGTGCGCGCTCAATAGGATTACATGTCTGTAAATCTGTATTAAATATGGTAGCACTACTGATATTATCCTTTGATGATTTCTTCTTGTTGCTAGTGTTCTCAATCTCATTTGTTGAATAGAATTTGAAAATAGCTGGATCAATAATCAGATTTTTAGCTAAATTGCTCGCATAAGGTACACATCTCGACTCCTTTATGAAGCCAGTGACTGTTAGTTCATTATTTACACGCTTCTTTTCGATTATTTCATCAAATAGATCAGCAAGGGTCTCTTCATTTTTCAAAGGACTTTTGAGTAGAACCTTGATTCTTATTTCACCAGCTGAAGTACTGAAATGAAACTTGGCATCCTCTATTCGATTGACCGGTTTATCTAGTTTGTCCATATAGCTGAATTTGAGAGGAAGCTTACTATAATCAAATGCAACATCCTCATCTTCATCATCTGAAAGGATCATATATACAGGATTCTGAGATGAAGTATTGGATGATATGGAGGGCTTTGGGGAGGCGTCTTTCTCGTGGAGTAGAATATCATCATCGTCATCACTAAGCTCACTATAGCTTGTTTGTGATGATTGAGAGAGTTCATTGGTTATTGATGGTGGATTGTTTTTTCTTTGTGAAAATCCAAGTTGAGTGAATATATCTTCACATAGCTCTGGATCGGAATCATAACTACGACTAATTATTTCACTGTCTGATTGTTGGCTGGATTGACTTGCTTCAAAGTTTGAAAGAGACTCTGATTCTGCTGAGCTAACTGGTTGTTTCTTTTTCTTTTTTGGTTTTTCTTTTGGTTCTTCTGGTTCCTCTTCAGATGACATTTCCTCCTCTGATTCTTCCCATTCAAACTCAAGTTCAGATACTTCCTTCTCAGCTGTGTGAAGTTTTCTTGCCAGTTTTCTACCTCTAGGAGTGAGCATGAAACCATTCGATCTTCCCTTCTTCTCTGAGGTTATCAATTCTTTTTCCATTAGAGTTTTCATTGAGCTCCAGCCAGTATATTTAGATGCATTGGTTGATTGTTCCATAGGTACATCAGTCAGTGTTTCACATAGAGCAATCAATTGTGTTTTTGTAGCATAATCCTTTTCACTACTCTTAATATGTCTGTACAGTGATATCATAATCGCCCAGGCAGCAGTTTTAAATTTCGGAATGTATTTTCTATTTGTTCTTTTCCTCTTCTTTGCTGTTTGATCATTATTCGATTCATCTTGTGACACAGATTGTCCATCTGTTTCACCTCCATTATTATTATTATGATTACTATTATTTCCAGCATTCGGAGGTGGAGTCCCCAAATCAATATTATTATCCTTCAAATATTTATCAATTCTATAGGCCATCTTATCTCCAATTCCCTTCAGAGTTTTAGCTTCATTTCCATTATACAATTTCTTTGGATACTTTTCCAAGGAAGATATTGCCTTCCGTAACCCCAAAACATAATGCTTGGCACCATTATTCCTTGTGTTTTTGGAGCATCTTTGTAGTTCCTCCTCCAGACAAGCAATCATCTCCGGATTGAGTGTTCTTCCGATTGGAATCGTCTGTTGTGATGAAGATGATGCCTGGTTATTGTTGGGCATTTTTTTTTCTTGTTACACTTCTAATTTTTACTGGAAGTGTTTTTAAATTTGGATAGATTGTATTTGGCGGGAAACATGAAAATTTGTTTGGGTTACTTTGAATTTGGATTAACAGTTGATTTTCATTAATATTGGAATAGCTAGTGTTCAGTGTTCAAGTTTGATGAAAATTAATATATTACATACATTGTTGAACTTTAAGTTATGTTTTGAAAAAAACTATTCGAAATGAATCTCTCAAAATTGTGTGATCAGGAAATTTGCATTATTCTCTCCTTCATTCCTCCTCCAGATTTATTACTCAACTAGTATCCAAGTCTTCCAATCTTTCATTCTTGAAAATGATTGTATCTGGAAGGGAATGTTTAATGGACTATTCCTTTCTGATTTTTTCAAATGGGAAAGTGATTTATTCATTTGCAAGGATAGTTTTATCCAACATTCGGGCCAACTTTTCTGTTATCATTTCGAATTATTCAAATATTTCTCCAAATCAATTCCAAGAATTTCCAAAGTTGGAAGATTAAGACGAAGAAGCACGTTAGATCCAAGATCAGAATTTGAAAGAAGTATCTATTCTCAATTCGACACATCTAAATTCTCATTCCAACATCTCACTCAACTTGTCGTGCTATTACATGAATTTTCATTGGCTAATGAAAGGTCAACTTTCTATGGACATATTAAGGGAAGTGCATTTCATTGGCATGTTGGATCGTATGAAGAGTGTGCGTTTCTCTCTCGAATATGTAGGATAATCAGTTTGCAAGTGGAAATGCCATTCTAAAGGATGAAGGTAATAAGAAAATGGCTGTCAACATTCCTCTTGGTGCTTTTTGCTTGCTAATTCTCTCAAGTAATCAAGAAAAGATCCAATTACTTGCTCAGCTTCTTCTTTCAAGAATTGAACAACTCCAAGATTCGAATAGTAGATATTTAACGCTGGGAGTTTCTGCTCCCAATGAAAACGTCAATTCTCCCCACTGCATTTGTTATTTTAACCTAATGCAAAAATCTTTCAAAGGTGATAAACTCTGGCTCAATAAAAGAGTTTCATCTCCAATCGATGCTTGGGTTCCAAGAGCATTAGAAGGTTTCACCACTAAAAAACATGTTAAGTGCTATTGTTTGTCTTAACCTTCCTGTCGTGAGGAGGGAAAGGGAAACTAGCATTGCCAACCTCGAGTTGATTGATATTAAAGCGAAGATCTTGGTTTAGTGATAGAAGCATCAGATAATGTTTTAGAGAAAACAGTAGAGACAAGAGCAGCATTATTAACAAAGAGAAAAAAAACAAATTCTGAATGAAATTCAAATCGCTTACAAGAGAGCTTTGGAGATTAATAGTCAACTAAAGGAAGAATTAGAAAATGAAAGGGTTGGTATTGAAAATATTGTGTAAGAATAAACTTGGCAATTTCACTCATATTATTAGAATGGTAACCATTAAAAACCTTGTGTAATAACAGAATTGTCATTGACCAAAACAATGATTACCATTACATGTGTGTTGGACAAACTGCTCCCAACTCATTGCATAACTTTATTAAACAGTGTTTAATTCTTATTTTGGGAAGATTTTTGGTACAACTTGGAAATGTATTCATTCTTTATCCAATTTCTAAATTGGAACTGTTCATGATTCTTAATGAAGGGATGTTTAAGAATGATACCATTAATATCAGGTCTCTCACCTAAATCCTTATATTTCAATAAGCATGTATCAATGAAGGAGCACAAATCTTCGCTAGCACCAGCATCCCTAATTTTTTTAATGCATTGATCATGAATTTCCTCCCTTGTCATGGATCCCAAACTGAAAAAGTTCTCATTCGAAAGTGGATGACTAGAAAAGTGGTTGGAATAAATTCATTTGAAAAACTTACTGTCCAAGGAAAAGTTCCACTGTAATAATACCAATTGACCAAATGTCACTGTTATAACTGTAAGCTATATAATATTAAAAATTAGTAAATGAAACATTATACATACATTCATTATTCAATCTTTCTGGACTCATATAAGTAACAGATCCTGTAAATGTATCCCATATAGTAAGAGCTGTGTCGTGGGACTTTTTAGAATATTCACTTCCTTCTTTAATTCCAACAAGTCCAAAATCTGAAATTTTGACATATCCCTTGTCATCAATTAATATATTTGCTGGTTTCTTAATTATTTTAAATGTAAACATGTTAAAGAAAATTGAAGCTTACCAAATCTCTGTGAATGATATGTTTTTTAACATGCAAATAAATCAAACCTTTCAATGTCTTACTGATAATAACACTAATTACAGGCTCTGGCATTGAGTAGTTCTTCTTTTCTACTTGAGCTAGATATTTCTTGTAATTTGTATACATTTTGTGGAGGGATCCTAGTGACATGAAATCCATAATCCTATTATATATTATATTTGAGATTAGAACTTTAAATACTTACACTTTTTTAATAATTGGTAACAAATTCAAATAATTAACTTCAACTTACTATAATATGTACATTCCTTGTAGAAACATTCGTGTAACTTAACAAGGTAAGGTGAATCACACTCGAAAATAGTCTTCACCTCCTTAAATATTAAATCCAATTGTTTTTGCGAGGTGTCTGTTACTCGCTTCTCTGCAAAAAAGAGTTTTTCATTGGTTTTTGGATTAGCAATTGCTACTCTATATACACTTCCAAATGAACCATTTCCAAGCTCTATCCATATTTGTAATTTTCAATATATTTGGTACTACTTTTAACACTTACCTTTCATTGGAAAGTTGTGAAACTCATCAACACTATATACATTGAAATTGAGAGGAAAATTAACGGAAGGAGATGTTGCTACCGTAGTCGATGAGGAAACAACATTATTATCGCCAACTGGAACTGAAACTGATTCTGGTTGGCAAAACTTTCTATACTCCAATACACTCATTCCCTTGATTTTGATTCCCTCCTCTGTAATTTTAAAATCCGATCCATATCTAGGTGATTTAATACTCAATAATCTCTTACTGTACGACTCACAAACAGTAGAATCAGAGTAGACAAAGAGTGATTGTGATGGTGATCCAAAAAATTTCGAATCATTATCCGATTGTCCAATCGGAATTACATGGCTTTGTTTAAAACTATTTACATTGGCAACCTCATCATCGGCAGCATTATCACATCCATTAACTTTGTCCATTGATATTCTTAGTCCTAATTTTGTAAAATCTCTATTTTGATGTTCCTTCGGTTGTTGTGGTTGATTATTTTGTTGATGATCATCAACAATTGAATGTTGATTATTATTATTATTATTATTAGAAGTATTGTTCACTGTTGTAGTTGTTGTTTTTGTTTGAGAATGTTCCTTATTCACTCCATCGTGTTCATTATGCCCATTATTCGAAATATTTCCAATAATACCATTCAATGGAAGAGTTAATTGTTGTGTGAGAGAGGAAACAATAGTCAACTTGGACCTACTACTATTATAGTTTGCTGAAGGTATCACATTGTGTTGTCGAGGTGAGGCTTCGTTCGTGGTTGTTGTTGTACTACTGTTGCAGCTCAAGCTGTTGTTGCCTGCTGTACAAGAGGGCATTTTTAAATATTCTATCTTTTTTAAAAATAGCGGATTACTCTGTTGGAGAAAGTTTTGATTTTTTGAAAGCTGCTGGGAAGATGTTGTTTTCATCGTCATGTTGTTCTTCATCAATAAGAAGGAAAAATTCAATGTTGAGGAATGAGGTTATGGTGGTATTGGTGATGATATTTTTTGTTATGATTGGATTATTGAGTTCTTTTAAGGGAGGAAAAGTTAATGGACAGTCAATAAGTGAGGTAGGTTTTGGTCATATATCACGTCCTTAATCATGTAATGACGGGAACATGAAATAACCTTTTAAATAATTTTCATCACAAATCGTTAAACTATGTTAATAATAACTACAACAAAACATAATGTATTAATTTCTGATCATCAACAATTTATAATAGCTCTCTGCAATGTTATCAGATTTTCAAGACTCGGTCATTCAATATAATATCGTTCCACAAGTAACAGCTATTACAATCAAGACAAACCTGACGGAGGCAAAATATCAATTTGCCAAAGGTATTGCTCAATTTTCCATGTATTTGGATCACAAACTGAGATGTAATTGTAGACTAGAAACTACGGATACAGCAAAAACTACCTGTATCAATAACTATTCGGATTTTGATGTGAAATCTTCAACAACAGCCTGTGCCGTTTGCAAAGGAGCAGTTCAATATTTGAAAGCATTGAGGACTGTCGATTCAACAATGAGGTGCTCGGACTCGATGAAGGATATTTGCTCTCCATTCAATGATGGGCTTCACTCTGTTGGGCTCGCTTGCAGACTTTCAACAAAATCACTGTGTGGTATCACCTTAATGGAGCAAATGGTTGATTCTCAATCAATTTCTGAATTTTGTAGTGGCCACAGTTATTGTTGAATAAAATTAATTTTTCTCATTTAAGGACCAGTTATGAATCAAGCGCGAGTTAACATAATTTCACCCGAGTGAGTGTATAATGGAATTATTCCGATTTACACAATAGTTTCCACTCATTTGAACACGGTTATGATATAACTATGACCTAACAGTGTGATTAGTCTCGAATGGAAAGATTCTCCCAGACGATTCCTCAATAATCGACACTGGCTTAAAGAATGGTGAAAGCATTCATCTCACTCCCCAATTCCAAGGAGGTTGAATACTTCTCATTCTTACTGTACAAGTTCAATAAAAAGAAGCTTTTACAATCCTAGAATGTGAATAGCAACACACTATTCCATCAAACCTGTATTTCATTGACTGAACTCATGGAAACTCCTCCAATTACTCCACCACTCCATCATAAGAACTCCTAAAGATTGAGAAAGCAAAAAGAAAAATGTCTTCACTCCAATCCAATCCGTCTCTCAGATTTGATGAGAATGTTATGATTGAGAGTTTTAATAGTAGTAAAGAAAATAACATTATCTCTTTAACCTTAACAAGATTTCACTTCTTTCATAAAACAAATGACTGATTGAATGGTTGTCATGCAAATGCGTTGCTTAATCATACATTGCCGAATCTCATGCTATGGCCACGATGTTATTCAAAAGGGAAGGTATTGCTCTCTTGCCAATTCCTCACATGTCAATGTGTGTGATTTGAGGCAGGTATCTATTTGAAGGAGGAATGCTGTTCGTGGGAGGAATAACAAAACCGAATTGCAAAAAAACCATTCTCCCGACCATCATCAAATATTTCTTCGATAAGAAAAAGGCAGAGTCACTCAATTCCTTCTTTTATTCACCAACCTTCACCAACAATCATAACCCAAATAATAATAATAACAAAAAATGTCTCTACGATTAGAAGATGAAGAAGATACAAATACACAACATTCTGCTCATCAGCCCAGCCCTTCGGATGAAATGCACGATATCGAGTTGGAGGAAATTAATGCAAAGAAAAAGAATTTGCAATTAACACCAAGTGATGATGCCAATGGTGCTGCAACAAATGCACCAAAACAAGAAACACCATTACCTTGGAAACAAATTTCTATTGTTTTCTTTATTTATCTAGTAGATAGTTTGAGTATTACTTCAATTTTTGCATACATCGGATTTATGGTTGCCGACTTTCATATTGTTGGTATGTTTTTACTTGGTCTTTGTCATCTTGATAATAATAATACCATTCTTCATCTTTATTCAACTTGGTGAATATTGCAATTATTATGTAATTTCTATTGAATAATTATTTATAGAGGATACACAACAATTGGGTTATTTTGCTGGTATTATTGCTTCATCCTATTATCTTTCTCAATTGTTCTCTAGTTTCTTTTGGGGATATTTGAGTGATAAAATTGGTAAGTTGTCAGCTCTCTAATTATTAGAGATTCAAATCAAAATAATTCATTAAATTATTCTTGTGGAAAATATTAAATAGGAAGAAGACCAATTTTGCTTATTGGTGTTACTTTGGGTTCATTATCATGTGGTCTATTCGGATTTTCTAAATGGTTGTGGTGGGCTATTCTTTCACGTTTCTTATTTGGTTTGTTGAATGGTAATCTTGGTGTAACAAAGAGTTATCTGACTGAAATTACAGATGGTTCGAATAGAGGAAGAGCTTTCAGTGTAGTAGGTGTTACTTTTGGTTTGGCTGCTGTAGTAGGTCCGCTCAGTAAGTTTTTTTCAATTATCTTTCAGCCCGATTAGAACAATTTGTAGTTGGTGGTGTCTTCTCTAGACCTAACATTCAATATCCTGAATTTATGAAATTGTTCCCTGAGTGGATTTATGATTGGTGTGAAGTTTTCCCTTACTTGATTCCAAATATCCTTGTCACTGTTTTGGGATTGCTTGCTGTTGTTTTGGGATACTTTTTCTTGGAGGAAACCAATGTCAACAGTTCATATTATAGAAAATATGTTTTATCTAAAAAACCTGCTTCTGAAATTGCAGAAATTGAAAAGGAATCTAAGAAATCACTTGCTTCAAAGGCAGGTCTTGATGAAGAACCTGTAACTACAAAGGGAAAACTCAAATCATTCTTCAAACATGAAATTTTCCATGGTTTTGATCCTCTTTTGACATGTGTCTTGTACATGTCTGTTGGTTTCATGCAAGTCATGTTTGATGAAGTTTTCCCTCTCTATGCCATGTTACCAATCTCTGACAATGGCTTGAATTTTACACCTTATGAAAGTAAGTGGATCTATTTTGATTTTTTTAAAACTGAGCTATTTCTAAACATTTTTTTAACATGTTGAATAATATCCCAAATACTAATAGTTGGTAGTAAGTATTCTTAATTATTTTAGTAATATTAATTCTCAAAAAGTTGTTGGTGCCATTACTGGTGGATTTATTTTCCTTAATCAATTGGTATTCGTTCCATTGCTCATGTCAAGATTGGGTTCATTGAACGCTTTCCGTGTTGGTTTAGTCATTCACACTGCTGCCCTTATTGCATTCCCAGAAGTTTGCTGGTTTGGAAATGATCCAGAAGATTATCAATTATGGAAAACTATTGTATTATGGAGCTTTATGAGTATTACTCTCTTGGTTAGACAAATTGGTATTGGTCTCATGTTCTCTTGCTCATTCACTTTCACCTCAAATTCTGTTACCAACAGTGCTCAAGGTGTTTTGAATGGTACTGCTCAATCCTTGGTATCAATTGCAAGAATGATTGGTCCACTTTTCATTGGTATTACATTTGCCTCAATTGTTTCAAGTGGAATTGGCTTCCCAATTGACCATCGTTTTGTCTTTTATATTATTGGTGGTACTGGTATTCTCAGTTTCATTTTGACATTCTTTGTCAAGAAGAAGGTCAATGTACCAAAAGATGAATTACTCAAATGTATGGAGGAAAAGGGACTTACTCTCGATGAAGCCTATGCCATCCTCTCAAAGAATAGAAAGGCAACCCATGTTGCTGTCGAATAATTTTGATAATAATAAAACCTTAAAAACATTTAATTTTCCTTTTGTTTGACAACTCAAAAACCCCAAAGCTGCTTATGAGGAGCACACAAATTAACAAACAAAAAAAATATTTGAACAAGACTCAATCACTCAACCAATGACAATACAATTATCAAAAGAGCGGAAAAGAGGTAAATAGGAATATATTAGAAAATTAACAAGAGTATTATCTTCAAATTAGATTTACGAACCTTTGAAAGACACATCTCACAACGATATTCCGATAAATTGCGAGTACAACGACTGTGGATATGTAGTGTATTAAATATATATTGTATTCATATTAATCATCATAATAATTATCAATAACGATCATCGGAAATTAATATACAGTTATACATCATTCCATATTGATACTGTTCATTCTAGGATTTTTCACTTTTTATTATTACAAATACAAGATTGTGGAGAGTCCCACTTCTCTCATCCACAATAACAGCACCAATACCAATAGCACCAATGTAATAATACCAAATAATAATTCAGTCAATAATGACAACAATAGCCTATTCGAGTATCCTTCAAGTCATCATCAGCAGCAACAAGCCAAGCCAAAATCATCTCCGACAAGGCACGAAAATTGTGTTAGATTTCAACCGAGTGGTACAACAGCAAAAGATTTGGAAAAGGCTAAACTTGAGCAGGAACAATATGAGAGTAATTTGATATCGGCAGTTGCCTTTTTCTTGATTGTCTTGTTTCTGATTATGCACTTTTTCACTCAGCAAAAGAGACATTTTGCCAGTGATTATATCTATGGTCTGAATATGTCTTTATATTTATTTCATATTCAATTCAATCCGAATACATTGAAATTGATCAAATTGTCAAATCAACACTATCAACAACATGAATTTTCACAATACCATTTGGATACTATCTCACCAACAGCAATGAAAATGAGTAATGGTGCAGAGGATCAACAATCATCAGAAGGTGAAAATCCAGAGGCCTACGAGGATCAAGATTCCAACAATACCACCAACAGCAGCACCATTCCACCATCCATTATGGAGGATTATCAAAAATCAACACCCAACGATTTTAACTCGACACAACAAGAACATCTCGAAGAGGATCATGAAAATAATGAATCCTCAATGAAAACTCTCTCCTTTTATTCTTCAATGGGAGAAAATGAATTATCAAGTGTGGACGATACTGATGTACAAATTATGGATGAATGTATTGATGAAAAGAGAAGGGAATATTTTCCCTCCTCAATAATGATTTTACCACCTCATTTACAAAGACCTGAACATTTGGAGGAAGATATTGAAATTCAAGAAAGTTTGGAAAAACAAGAGAATGATCTCAATCTTACAATCAGTGTTCTCGAGGGTATTGCCTCAGAAAGTGGATATGGAATGACAAAAACTAGCAGTAAGAATTCAACCCCAACTAAAAAGACTTCCAATTCAAGTAATCGAAATAAGCGTTTATATTTCCATAGGGAAAAGGATGATGACGATGATTTCAATAATAATACAGAATCCTCCTCTTTGGAAGAAACCTTTGAAGAAAAGAAGAATAAATAACCTTATTCTAAACTTATTGATTTTTTAACATTAATTTCATAAATTATTCTCTGAACAAATTGTCAGATAGATATTATTGGCTTTACAAAGAAAATTACATTTATTATTAAATATATTTATTGACAGGAGTGGAGTGAAAAAAGTAGAAAATTATTTTGGCCTGTCTTCCGTTTTTAAACTCCGGAGATGATAAAAATATTAAAATATTAATAATATTTTATTTTAAAAAAATATCCACAGCTTTCCCACCGTTTTTTTTGTAGCAGCAAAGATGGTGAGTTTTCAGCTTGAAAATAGCACAGAAATATTTACATATTCTCTCTTGATATTTTTATATTGAACAACAACACCTTTAATGATTATGATTTTATAATGATGAATTTATACAAATTTTTGTGGACTGAATTGTTCGGATGATGATGTGTGGATAATAGGTATATTGGCTTGTTTCTGTTCCTAATGAACCTTCCGAAGATGCTTCTGGAACCTTTAGAAGAATCAAGAATAGTCTGCAGCATCAACAAAACGCTTGTGAATGCGTTGAAATTAAACTCCCAAGATTGAAGGTCGGAACAGTTGATCAATTGTTGCAACTCAGTGATGATTTCAACAAGTATGACAGCAGCTGTGAACAAGTTACCATGAAAGCCTTAAAGACTTTGGCTGATACTAGTACGTATTTATTAATTTCTAGTTTAAATTGACACAATTTTAGGTGAACTCACTGAAACTAGTGATTTTGTTCCACAAATTATCTTGAAGGAAGATACTTTTGTCCCAGTCCAAACCTATCTTGACTTTTTCCAATGGGATGACTCTCAATACCTTGTTACCAAGCCAATTAGAGATATTGCCGATAACATTCACAAAAAGACTGCCAAACTTGACGAAGAACTTCGTTTCAAGATTTCTGAATATACCAACTTGAAGCAAAACGTTCAACAACTTGAAAGAAAGATATCTGGTAACCTTACTGTTCGTAGTCTTGATGGTATCATTCAAAAGGATCATGTTTTAGATACTGAATATTTGCAAACAATCTTTGTTGTTATTCCAAAATCTTTGCAAAAGGATTGGGAAACTACTTACACTGAATTGACCGATTTTGTTGTTCCAGATTCTGCTGAACTTATTTATGAAGACAATGACTCTGCTTTGTACAATGTTGTTGTTTTGAAGAAGATTGCAGATGATTTTAAGAGTAATTGTTTAAAGAAGAAGTATGTCGTTAGAGAATTTAGTTATGATAAGGAAAAGGCTGAATTGTCTAAATTGCAAAAGGAAGAAATGATTGAAAAACTCGATAGAACAAAGCATGAATTGATTGATTGGTGTAACATGGCTTTCTCTGAATGTTTTACTGCTTGGATTCACTTGAAGGTTATTCGTGTTTATGTTGAATCAATTTTACGTTATGGTTTACCACCAAATTATACAGTAACCTTGTTGAAGATTAAGAAGAATGAAAAGAAGGTTCACAAATACTTCCGTGACAACTATGGACATTTGGAAGATCAATCATATTCTCAAGACATTGATACTTCATCTTTGGGTTCTGCTGCCATGATGTTGAGTACTTATGGTATGGAATGGGCTCCTTATGTCTTAATTACTGTCAATACCTCCAATCCTTTCCTCAAATTAGAATAAATATTACTGTAATCTTATATTCTCTCAAAAATTGAATAGTTTCACTTTGAATATTAATCAATTAAATATTATTAAATGCAAATGAACTGATTTGAATTATTACACTATAGAACATCAGATTTTTTAATATCTAGATTTTGTTTTCTCTTTTGATTGTCAATTTAACTAAGCAATCAAGGTTGAAAATGGTTGTTGGTATTCGTTGGGTGACACGAATTAAAAGTTGTGACGAAAAAATTCTCTCCACACACTTCAACTGCACATAGCCTGAACAGTTTAAAATCAAAGTGTGGTTGTTGATATTAATATAAAAACTTTATTTCGGAAGAGAGGATCAATACACAATTATCATCATCATCAACACAGTTGGACCCAATATTTATCTGTATTGTAATAATATATAACCAACAATCATCACAACAACACTGATTGTACAACTATTTAATAATAATAATTGGAATAATTTACAGAATAAGATTCCCATTATTATTATATAATTGTGTGCACTCTCAAAATAGTATATATATAACGTATGCATAAGAGAACATTCTCCACTCAATCATTGACCAATCTTTTATCAGAGGAACACAATAACCATTCTCATCCACTTGCCAATTTATCAATTAATATTCCAACCAATACAACCACCACCATCACATCTCCTCTCAACATTGCAACATCTTCCTCTATTATCCAATCCCCTATTATTTATCAAACCAATTCAAACTTTTCTTCAGAAGAATCACTCACAGAAATGTTATCGTCCGATCTTGAAAATGGTCAAGCCAATAATACTGGCTCTAAGTCCTCTACTTCTTCACTTTTTGCTTTTGTGTTGAAGAACAAACGTATATTATATCCTGTTTTTATTGCCTTGGTATTGATTACTCTTGGTATTACAGTTGTAGCTTTTTATTCATCGAATCCTGATAGTACTCTCAATGTTAACCAACTTTCATCTTCTTCTGATGCTTCTACTCTCTTTGGAAAGGTGCCAAAATCATCAATTAGTTCTCAACAAAGTTCAAGACTTGAATTCCCAATTTTACTTGTTGCCGATAGAGATAAGGCAAGTAAAGTTACTGATGATAAGAAGGGAACCCAATGGAAGAGTGTCTTATTGAAAGGGCTTTTGAAGAGAAATGAACAAACTGGAGCTTATTCAGTTTCATTTAATGAAAAACCATGGGAAATTAATGGTCTTTTAGTTGAAGGATCACGTGGTATGGAACTTTCTGAATTGAAAATGTTCAATGGAAAATTATATTCTGCTGATGATCGTACTGGTATTGTTTATCAATTGATTACCTCAAAGGGAAGTGATGGAAATGTTCAAGTTAGAGCCATTGCTCGTCACATTTTACCGGATGGTAATGGAGAAACAACTGCTAAAGGTTTCAAATGTGAATGGGCAACTGTTAAGGATAACAAGTTATATATTGGTAGTATTGGTAAGGAATGGACAACTGGTGAAGGTAAAATTCTCAATCATGATCCAATGTATATTAAGACTATTGATAATAGAGGTCATGTTGAACATGTTAATTGGGTTTCAAATTATAAAAAGATGCTCAGAGCTGTTGGAATTAAGACTACTGGATATATGGTTCATGAAGCTGCTGAATGGAGCGACTTCCATAAGAGATGGTTCTTCCTTCCAAGAAGAGTTTCTTTCGAAACCTATGACGAAAAGAAGGATGAACAAAGAGGTTCCAATCATGTCATTTCTGCCTCTGAAGATTTCAGTGATATTACAGTGACAAAAATTGGTGAGATTATTTCACCAGCTCGTGGTTTCTCTAGTGTGAAATTTATTCCTGGTAGACCAAATGAAATTGTTGCTGTCAAGTCAGAAGAAACTGATGATGCCATTAGAAGTTACATTATGGTATTTGACATTGCTACCAACAAGATTCTTCTTCCTGAAACCAAGATTATTGATGAAAAGATTGAAGGTCTCGAAATTGCTTAATTTTAATAGTCGAGTTTAATAAATTTATTAGTTATTTGAATTATATTTTTTTAACTAACTTGGAGATATCAGATTTGTTTATCACAATAAACCCTTTCAACTATTAAGGTGTCAATATTTATTGATTCTCAACAAAAAGCTTTCTCCAACTGTCCATAAATGGTTTCCATTCAGGCCATTGTTTTTCAATTCCAGAACTAATCTCAATAACACACTGATCATCTCCAGTAATTACAGAATAGTCTGTAAGGACCTGTTTGATTGTTACCTTCTCTGTTTCATTATTAAACGTTCCCTCAGTAATTCTGTCATTTAAACTCTTTGAATATGAGCAATTAGGATGAAATAACATTCTTACACTCTTCCTTTTGGTCGAGTTATTTCTGTACATTGAACTGGCAAAGTCTTTTTTCAATTTCTTGGACTGGTTGTCGTTACTTCTGGAAATGGCTACAGTTAGTGGAATAGCGCTTGGTAAACAATTTTTGCTATCTTTTGTTGACAATATTCCCAGTATGTCAATTTCAGCAAACTGTCCTGTGCGAGACAAAAATTGACAGATTGTGTCATACTTGCTCTTTGTCTGGACAGCAAGATATTCGATCATCAATGAAGACATCTTAACATTATCTTTATCGATGGTAGATGATTGAGGATCTTCAAAATAGTGCTTCGCCAGTAATTCATACGAGTCGACATATGAACCTTTAACAAGTGGAGCAATTAATGAACCAAAGTGATTAATAAGTATATCTACAAGAAATACTTCTGCAAGCAATGAGATGTCTTGGGAAGTAGAATTCTTGTTATTAACTAAAATTGTAAATATTTCTGCAACCCAATTTTTCTTTGTAAACTTGTCAAATACATAATTCAACATTCTTCCTTTTTCAAGGCAACTTGATAACTTGTATGTATAAGACTCTTGCATGTAGATAAAGCTCACTCCGTTACAAATTAAAAATTTGGTTAGTTCGCATTGTTCTTCAGTGAGATTTAACTCTTGCAGATTAACTTCCCCAGCTATTGCTAGTTTGTAAAATATGTATTCAAAATTTGGAAATGTTGAACCCATTTCTTCCTTTCTACTCAATTTAAGTGAAACCTTGTCTCTACAAAAAGAATGAAGAACACTCAATATAAAGTCATCACCTAAACCTGCAGCTTTTTCTTCACTTGCTTTAAAATACAATTTCTGCAAGAAAGATTCAACATTTCTTATTGTGCCTTGTAAAAAGAAGGAAACATAAACCCACAATCTTCTTGAGTCTACCGTAATGAAATACCTCAAAAACTCAATGACTTGCTTTGGATTAAGCAGTGGAAGTAATTTGAATTCGTATGAACACTTTTCCAAAACCTCTTTTCCAGTATCTGATGAAATTAATCTTTCAATTTTACCTTTGACTGCAGAGAAATTTGTTGTAGTAAGCACCACTGCACCCTTTAATCTCAGCCAAGAAACTAGTAAGGTCAACAAGGAACCGTCACCACTTTCAGCATCACGACGGGGTACCTTTAAACCACATTCATAATCAATACATTGAACCTCATCTAAAATCCAAACAGTTCTATTATACTGAGGTTGAGGAAAAATAGAAGAAAAAGTCTCAAATCTTGCTCACCAATCCAGTTTCCCCCACCGCTCCAAAGGAATCTCAAAATATATTGCATTATGGAAGATGAAGAGAGTGGATTAGTCTCCCTTACATACAATTCAGCATACTTGATCAAAAAACAACCCAATCTGTGATAAAACTCTGTGAATTTTTGGGTGATTCTGTCCAAATCAAAACGTGAATCACCACAAAAGGATAATTGTTGAAATAATCTGGAAATATGCTTTGGTGATACAGGAATTACCATTCTCCCACAACTCGTTAAGTGAAAAGCAGAATGAGTTTTTCCTGTTCCTGGAGGTTCTGTAAATGTCAATACATTTCTTCTCTTTAAATAAGTTTCTCTATCCTCATACTTATTGTAAGGAAATGTTGGAGCAAATGAGCACACAACGTGTTCGCAAGAAAAAGAGGTTTCTTCATCTTCATCTTCAAAATCAAGTTTAGGGTATAAATAAATATAAGAATCTGACTTGCTCAAACCCAACTTGTCCATTTGCTCATTAAATACAGATATTGAACTTGTTTTTCTTTTTTCATATTCTTGGATTGCAATTTCTAATTTTTCTAAGAGTATCAGCAAATCATGAACACAACCCAACATTTTCTTGTCGTAGCACACAATTCCAAGTTTCTTTAGTCTTAGGAGTCTATTTTCTTGACCAGCAATGTCATACTGAAATAGTAAATTTTCTATTGGGAAAGTGTGGAATTGGGTACTAATAATTCTCTTGCAAGCTTTTGGGGATAATTCTATTTTCTTTTCCCTAATATATACATGTTGACAATCAATTACATATGGAACTATTTTCACCAAGTCTTGACCTGAGATCTCACATAATGGCAAGTACTCTTGTTCGCTCAATCCACCATTTGAACACAAAAGTTCTTTCACTTGGGCAACACTCCATTTGTGATACAGGTTTGGAATCAGATTAAAGTTGATCCAATTTACGACGCTTTTAAGGGTGTCTATTGGAACAGAGGGGAAGGATCTATGCTCTATTTCGTATATTGCTTCTAAGTTTCCAGCTTTTTGTTTTATATCGATTATAATGTTATCAATACTTCCCCCTCTAAATTTGGCTTGAAGTAGTGGTTGCACATCTTCTAGCACTAAACATTTGCTCGACACCAACAATGCACATATTTCCTCTGTTGACCAACATTTATATTCGGCAGGATCCAAAGTAATTAAGTAGTTTTTGATGCCGTTATTGTGCTCCTGATGAAGAGATTCTATTCTTCTCTGATAGGTAGAGTTTGTTGCTTGCGGTGAAGCTGTATTTTCTTCAGAAATTTGTGGTGATTCACTTTCGTCCTTTGTAGACATTTTTTTAAGGCTGTCCTATTGTGTTGCTTTGGCAAAATAATAAGCTGATACCTTTCTTTACAAATTGTCTCCAAATATTGAGCTGGGCTCCTTTCGAAATAAAAAAAGTAATATTTTGACATATGCTTTGGATTTCTTTCCGCTCCTAAAAATATTGTAAACCAAGATCTCTAAAATACAATTGTAAATTTATTTTTGATTTATACAATTAAAAACCTTTGAAAGCCCATTCTGTTTGGAGTGAGTAAGGTTCAGTAACATTGAGTCCAGTTTCGTTGGCAGTAGCAATTTGAATCTTGTTAATACTTCTAGCATCTCTGTAGTAAAGAACCTTCATACACTTTTCCAAAACATCCTTGGCTTCTTGTTCAGTGATATTATTTACATCTCCTCCCTTTTCATCGAGGAACTTTCTGAGAATTGGCTTGGCCAAATAAGCACCATAACCTGATGCCATAGTGTCATCCTCAAAGTTTGATCCTAATAAATCAGTATAACCCAAGAATGATTTACCATCTTTAACACCAGCAACGATCAGTGTATTCCACAATGGATTAAATTTGTTTCTTCTGTTATACATAATACGCACCAAGTATTGGAAAATTGCCTTTGGTTGAGTTTCAATCTTATCATCAGCACAGAAATCCTTATCAACTAATTTTTCTAATAAATCAACAATATATTGGAAATCACTGTATTCGCCTGAAGCTCCGATAAGAGTATTATTTCCAACCTTTCTGAGTCTTTCAACAGAACGGAATCTAGCAAGAGAACCGTATGATCCAAGAGTATCAGAACACAACATTACTCCTCCTTTATATTTAATACCCAAGATGGATGTACCAGTAACGATTGGGTCTCTATTCGGATTGTTGTATCAAGGTTATTCATCATCAAACAAGATCATGATGAATTAATTATTATTGATTTTACGATCAGGAAAAATATACAAAATTACAATACATACTGTGTATGTTTCTTAGCATCTTCATTGATGACTAAATGTTCGTATGGGAAAACATTTTGGTTTGGCTTTGGAGCATCCTCGTGGAAAAGTTTATGAGTATCAAAATACATTTTTTTCTAATTGTTGTCTAAAAATAAATCCTCTTTCCTGGTTGAAAAAGCCAAACATTTGTTTGATGCTTGCTAAAAAAATTAGTGTTGGCTTAAGCAGGAATTGAACAGCAGTTTCAAAGAAAAGGAAATAGTGATACAATAAGGCAAAATTAAATGTTTAATAGAATTTATGAAAATTTCACATCTTCACAAGCTCTTAATAAATTATTTCTTTTTAAGCACAAGTGGCTTTTTTTCAGTCTCTTTTTTAACTTCCTTTTTGCTAGTTGACTCTTTTTTGGTTGACTCTTTCTTTGTTGTCTCCTTCTTGGTTGTCTTTTTGGTTGACTTCTTTTCAGCTTTTTCAGCCTTTTCTCGTTTCTTTTCAAATGCTTCAAGTTTGGCAATATTCTTCATCTTGGTAACAAACTTATCAGCCTTTAAATCTTCTTCTTCGTCCTCTTCCTCTGCTTCAGGATTTTCCTCGTCTTCAACCTTTGAGAGGGCAGCTGCTGCACTAACCTTGTTAAATCCCTTGTGAGCTTTGTTATATTGTCTAGTAAGAGCTGTCTTGGTTTTAGTATCAATCTCAGAGAACCAATCCTTATTTTGGTCAGATGAATTCTTTCCCTTAAATGTTGATAATTCACACATAAACTCTAAATCATCACGAGAAATTTGATATTCATCCATTGCTTCAATTGTTTCCTGAACATCTTTGTCTCCACCCAAAAGAGGATTGAGAAGAGTTTTAGAAAGAAGTGGAAGGTAGTCTAACATTTCCAAAGTGTCGGCACTAGCTTTGAGTGATGTAGTCTTTTGAATAGTCTTAAGAGCATTATAGTTCTTTGTTGTTGTACTTCCTTTACCCAAAACGGCTGGGAATTGATAATACTTGTCATAACCTCTCAATGCTTGGAAAGAACCTCGAATAAAGTAAGCAGGATACATGGTACTGTAGAATGCATGAGAATTCATGAGACCAAATGACATTTCCTTTCTAATCTTGGAATTAACAATATCACCCATAGAAATGGAATCAGATGCATATGAAATTCTTTGAATTCTCTCCTTATCATCTCCAGGTGGCCTTATATTAATATAGTTCTGTTCAACGAACAGAGGTACAAGCATTGGATCAAAGTAAAAGTCTTCAAGTCTTTCATTGTACTTTTTGCTGTTTTGCCCAAGTACATCCTTTACAACATCAAAAATACCGTCTGTTGAGCTGGTTTTTGTCAAGTCACTACTCTTGGCGTCTAAATAGCCAATATGATCTTTAGCACTGTATCTATTGATGAGTTGGAGATTATTCAACACACTTCTGATATCATTGTTCAGAGATTCAACCATATATTCCAAAGCATTATTGTCAATGCTGAGATTTTCCTTCTTACAGACTTCCAATAATTTTTTGGTAATTGTAGCCTTGCTAGGTCTGCTAAATTTGAGATCCAAACAGTGAGTAATGAGAGTTTTCAAGGAGATTTTAGATCTATCATTGGCAATACAAATGACAGGCACACGAGTTTGTTTGATAATTTGAACAAGCTCAACAACTCCACCTCTATCACCACTCGACATACCATCAACTTCGTCCATGATAACAATAGTTCGTTGTTTGTCATCTTTAGGTTTTGGTTGACCCTTCTTTTGGAAATAATTGGAAATATTATTGGAGAGACAAGATTCTACAATTTGTTCCTTCATTGCCTTTTTGCTTCTACTATCAGATGCATTCAATTCTACAATATTTGTAAACCCAGCCTCCTTGGCAATTAGAGCTGCTGAAGTTGATTTACCAATACCTGGAGGACCAGATAGGAAGGCTGCTCTCTTCCATTCAGTTGCTGCTTTCTTTCTTCCCTTAGTTTGCGTTGAGGCAGCTTGAATTTCCTTGTCAAGATTCGCATGCCACTCCTTTAACCAATTAAGTAAAAGTCCACATTCCTTATTATGTCCAATAATTTGCGAAGACGTGGATGGTTTGTACTTTTCAACCCAAAGTTGATCGTCAGCATTTTTGGATTTGATAACTTGAGTGGTGGAAGCACCAACAGAGTTTGGTTTTGAAGGAGGAATAAACTTTTGTGGTGGAGGACTGACATCATCATCTGTTTCATCCATAGAATCTTTTCCACTTGGGTTTGATTTTGCAATCATTTCCAACAAATCATCCTCTGAAAGTTGCTTAGTTTTGTGTTCTCTAACTTTTTTCATTTTACTTTCTCCAGGCCCATCACCAACTACAACAAAGCTGGTTCTTCCAGAAACATTTCCACGAATCACACCTCCATATTGCTTAATGAGGTCTTCCATTTCATCTCTATCGAGTGATTCCATTTGACCAGTAATAACAAAAGATTTGTCTTTGAGACAATTTGCTTTTCCGACAGGCACAGTTTTACATCCATGATTTTTAGCTTTTTGCTGATTTTGATGTTGTGTCTTATCATAAAAGTTTCTCTTTTTGGTTTCGGCTGGTTTCTCTTCATCGTCGTCATCATTCTTTTTTTTCTTTTCCTCTTTTTTAACCTCCTTCTTTGGTGTTGTTTTAGGTTTCTCCTCAACTTCCTCTTCTTTGACTTTTCTTGGCGATTTGGTGAATGGAGAGCTAGTCTTTCTCTTTTTAGTGGAAGGGGATGAAACAACATCTTGACTACTGAGCGCATCATCATCCAATATAATCTTTGTGTTCTTTTGAGCTACTACTGGAGACTTGGTTGGTGTTGCCTTATTCAACACTATCTTGTCTTTACCAAAATCTCTTTCATCATCACTCCAATCTTCATCTTTTACACTTGTTGGTTGCTTCTTGAGTGTGACAGTGGATTTAGTTGGTGTAGATTTGGTTGATTTACTACTGCTGCTAGTACTACTGGTGGTTGTTTTAGATGCTGATGATTTAGTTGGTGTAGATTTGGTTGGTGTTGTGCTTGTTGTTGATTTGGAAGGTGTGGATGATGATGGAGATTTAACTTGTTCTGCTCTCTGAGACCTGGTAAGAATTGGTGATGCACATCCATCAGAATCATCACTCAATTCAAGGGTGACAGACTCTCTTTTACGTTTGTTTGGATTTTCAATATTGCCATTGCTACTGCTGCATTTGATTGTAAATTTAAATTTAAATTAAAATAACAAACCTTGCTGAGGGCTTTTTTGGTGATTTATCTGTTGATGAAGATGTTGGTTTCTTCACAGAAAAGAAGGATGTAATCTTTTGCGTTCCCGGAGCAGGTTTCTAGAATTTCAAAGGTGTAAAAATTATTTCAGAGAGAGAACGATTTACTTACTGGTGGCATTTTATTATTTTTGATTTTAAATTTGAGCGGGGAAAGTTTCCGTTAGTTCGAGTAATTGAAGGAAGTCAGTCTTGATTTATTTACAAAGTGAAATTTGAAACTGTTTCAAATTATTCCTCATACTCGTCATCATCGAGTTGTTTCTTGAGTTGTGCAATTTCTTCCTTCAATTTATCAACATCTTTTTCTTCCTTTGACAAGAGGGTGTTACTTTGATATTTCAATCTCTGAAATATTAATCATCAATAAATAAATTATATAATTTTCCACACACTTACATCTTCATCCGATCCCATATCTATATAGACAAGAAGTGTCACTCCTATAATCATTTTTTAAATATTATACATACATCTTTTTGCTAGAGGAGCTCCAAATGCAGCACATCCCAAAATTCCCCAAACCATCCATGTAAGTCTTTTTCTTGTAAATTCTCGTTGTTCAATACGTTGTTGTGGAGTTAATAAAGAAAGATTGGAATTATTTGGTCGGAGCCAGTCTCCTTTGAAAATCTCTCGGAAGTAATCTTTGGCAGACTCGAGCAGTGTTCGTGATTCATTCGCAATTTTTCGTTTACTCATTTTTAATTTGAAATCTTTTAAAATTAAAGAATTAATTATTTATTCACCAATGGTAATATTTAGTGAAAATCCAGAGGCTATTTTTCTTATTCCTCTAACATTTGGATGCAGTACTTGAACTAGCTTAGATTCAGAGTTGCTTCGTTCATTTTGTCCCAACTGAAAGCTTTGACCATTTCCAATAGCATACAGTTTCTCTCCATCCACTCTCAACAATGAATGAAATAAACCACTTGTCATCAAGTCAATTGAATTTTTTGGTGCAAATTTTCCATACGAAGGAATGTCAATAATTTCTGGAGTGCATTGAGATCCATAGAAAATGTTTGTTCCCCAACCAATTATTTGTTCACCGCCCAGTTTTTCTGAGCTCACATTTGCCATGTTATGATTCACTCCACTTATTATATGCTTAATATGGAGTCCTGAGAGATCTGAAATTTCTCTCCACATTGGTGCTTGTTTAGCAGTAAATCCAAGTTGACCCTCTGTTCCTCTTCCAACACTGAAAGCCTTACTCTGTGAATATGCTATTGTGTGCGACATTCCACTGGAAATGCTAGTTTCTGGCACTTTTAGGTCTGTTGGCAATTGCATCTGTACAATATCATTCTGATTAAATAAGTGACCTAATCCCAATTGACCAAACTGATTTCCACCCCAACAAAATAGTTTCTCAACATTAGATTGTTCATATTTACACCTAATAAACATGTGCCTAGATCCGCAATAAACATTCATAATTCTTGGTTGGTCGTCCTCATTGGATTTTGGCAATTTAACAAATCTAGGAACATACGAAAATCCAATCTTACTAAATCCCAATCCTAACTGAGCAGTATCATTTAATCCAAATACACAAAGGCTTGTTCCATCACTACTGATTGCATAATTTGAATCTCTTCCACAAAATATCGATTTGAATGTCATTTCCTGGTTGGATTCATCCACAACTTTAATTCTAGTTGGTTCTCGTACAAATTGTTCCGAACTAGGACTCTTTCCACATTGACCATACTGATTCCCTCCTAATGCATATAACATTCCACTCTCACTCAAGAATAATACATGTTCCGATCCACAGGCCACATCAACAATCTTTTGACCATCAAAAAACACTCGATTCTTCTCTGGATTATTTTCGAAAACTCTAATTGGTTTAGGGATGGATTGTTCTCCTATTGATCCCCAAACATAAATTTCATTCTCTTGTTGTACATTATTATTTAATTCCGATAAAGTTCTAGTGGTAGTAGAATAAAATCTCCAAGATTGATAATAATCGGAACCTTGTGAGCGTTTTTTCAGAATATTTCTACTGCCTTGGTAGTGTTGTTTTGCAATGTTACTACAAAAATTGTTTTTCACTGTGCGAAAGAGACTTCCACTTGAAGGCATTTTGTTTTAAATTGAATTTTTATAACTGAATTAATTTACAAGCCTTTTACAAAATTGAAGTAACCAGTGTTGATTATATGAATTGTCTTACTTATTACTGGAAGTCTCTTCTGCCTTTACAATGTATGGATCTATCCACCTAGCTTTTCTCTCTTCTTCAGTACCCTCAAAAACTTGTCGTTTCACAAATACTGGAATTGAGAAACTCGATAGCATTAGCAACATTGAAAATCCAAAAATTCCACCTGCCAATTTGTTTTTCCTTAATCCACTCCAACTCAAAATATCCTCCTTAGCCAATCCAAAAGTCAATCCTGAAAGTATGCAACCAATTCCCAAAGCACTTGTTTGTAAAGTACCATATGACATTCCTGGAACTACTACACTTTCCTTTGGATCTTGTGGATCATAGAAAAGTTTAACTTTAGTATTTGGTATGAGGTGATCGGTCAATTTCAATTCCTTCACATCTTTCCTCGATAATCCGAAAAAAGAATATGAATAATTTCTATTGATAAATTGTCTATGAATTGTTACTTGTTGATTGGTATCTGGATCTAACACCTTTTGATCGGCATTATATTGAATTGTTGGCACTATCAGTTTGTTCGGATCGTATGGGTTATAAGTTTCACCTTCCTCTTGAACAACAGTTCCGATTGTTTGTTTCCAATTTTTAGATTTATATCCATTGATAAAAACATCAAATCCGGTGTGGCCATACAGAACACCAGCAAATACTGTGAATATGCCCATCACAATTCTAGGTGCTGATGCCACATGTTGTTGCATTTTTTAATTGAATTTATTCTCCTATTTCATCAATTTGATGGAGAATGAGTTTAATTGGCGCCAACAAAAGTTACAGAATTTAAAAAATAAAGAATGTCAAACAATTATTATGAGGGACAACTCTCGGAAGTGCTTGTAGAATTGAGAGACTTGATTTTAATTGGAGAAACTCAGGTATCATCAAAAGCCAATCTTCCAAAAAATCCTATCGAGCAACAACATGTATTTAATCAGCACTACCAGTCTCTCTATGTAAAATATATTAATCTATACAACAAGTTAGAGGTATGGTATTTCGATAATAGTATTATAGTTGTGATAACCAATCAATCGTCATCATTAGGAATGTTATGATCAACTCCTTCAACCTCAAAAAAGAGAAGACCTGAAGGTTGTTTTGGAACATGTTATGGGAAGAATACTTGAAGTTAAAGCCCTTGTAAATACGCTACTCGGGGAGTACAGTGAATTTGATGATGTATTAATTGATTTGAAATTGGATCCGACTGCCCTCGAATTAAGAACTCCTCATTTCATCATTGAAGATAATGATAAGGAAAAAAGGAGAAGAGAAATCTTGTTGGATGTTTTGAGAAAAAGACCAAACTCAAATGGTGATTATAGAAGTGAGCCAGTTATCGATACAAAGAAATCTCAACCAGCCATGACTATAAATCAAGCCATCCTCATCATCCAAACCAATGAAAGAGCAAGACAGGGAAGAAAGTTGGCAAGAAGCAAGTATGACCAAAAACTCTCAGAAGAAAGAAAACAACATCAAAAAAAGGAAGAATCTGAATCTTTGATAGATGAAGCTGCCGTCAAAATTCAAAAAGTTTTTCGTGGTTATTATTGGAGAAAGAGAGTTGCTAGGGAAAAGCAAGAGGAAGCAAAATTTATTGGAATGTCAACTGAGGAACCAAAACAAACAAAAAAGAAAGCTAAGGATGTTTCAGTTGAGGACTCTTCACCAACCATTGAATATGAAGAAACCCGAGAAGTTAAAATTGTAAATGCTGAAAATTTGGGAAGGGCCAAGAGAAAAATCAAACAAGCAGACAATAAGAGAGAATTGGAGGAACAAAGAGTTAGATTGAGAGCTAAAATTCTTGAAGATGAAGGTCCTCATATGATGGAAGAGATGCATGATGCTTTAATGGAACAAATCCTATTGTACAGACAAGAAGGTGATGGAGGAATACCAAGTTTTCCTTCTGAGGCTGAAGGAGGTTCTAAAGCTTTCATGCAAAACATTATGAATGCCACTGAGGAACAAAAGAAACTTCTCCAAGAACAAAAGCAGCAAGCCAATCAACCAAAACCAAAAGGAAATCAAAAAGCTCCTCCAAAACCAAAGCCAAAACCACCAACAAAAGGAAAAGAGGGACCTGTTGAAGAGGAACCAAAATTTAAGGACGAATCGAAGTTTATTGCCAATATTGCAAATATTTTGAAATCATTTGTGGAAAAGTGGAGAGATAGATATTCATCACTCGATTTTGATCAAAAATATGATCCTTTACTTTTGAGAAAAGAGTTGATGGAGGGTGATTCTGGTATTGAGGAGGAAATAAGAAAAAAGGTTGACAAACAAATTCGTGAAGAATTGGAAAATATCAGAATGCAATTGGAAAGTGAAAACCCTCCAAAGAGGGAAACTAAGCCTGGAAAACCTCAACCAACGAAACCTGAAAAAGAACCTGTTAAGGTGCCAAACTCTGAAGCCTTCTTCTCTGAGCTTGCTTCTCTAGGCATTATTAATAAGGTTCCACCTAAAAAGCTCGATTCTTACATTGGAGAAAATAGATTGATAGGTTCTATTCTTGAGTGGGAAGAACCTTCTATTTTCCAAATACGAAACTTTTGCAAGGAAATTGTCTTGTACATGTCTACTCCAAATGTTCACAAGTTAGCACCACTTTTAAGATCGGTCATGTTCTATGGACATAAGGGAACAGGCAAGACAAGCTTGGTACACTCAATCGCTCACGAGTTGGGAGCTTTATTCTTTGATTTGTCACCTGCAATTACACAAAACATTAATACCGAACAGAGCGAGACCACTACAATGATTGCAAAAATATTCCGTGTTGCCAAGGAAATGCAACCTGCCATTATCTATATCGATGATTTTGACACAGTGATTAAGGGAAAGGGTAAGGGTAAAACTAAACCAAACATGAAGAGATTCAGAAAGCCACTCGTCACTCAAATGAAGGCACTGGCTCCTGAGGACAGAATTCTTATTGTTGGATCTATGGATGAACCTTGGGATGCTGATCCAGCCCTTTTCGATGAATTCTTTGATAAGATGGTCTATACAACCTTACCAGATTATGCATCATACAGAATGATTTGGAAAGCATTTATCGAGGAGAGAATTGGTAAACCATTGAGGGAAGATTTTGATTTGCACACTCTTGCACATATTGCAACCAACTATACAGTTTCCAATATCAAACTTATTTGCGATTCTGTATTGAATGAAAGAAGGCTTAAAAAAATCATTGAACGCCCTATAGAGTTGGAGGAATTCATTTCACCACTTTCCAAAATTGATCCAATTTACAAACAAGATGACTTGAAGATGAAACAATTCACTCAAAAACTTCCACTCAAATACAGGAAGAAGACCAAGGAAGACAAGGATAAGGAGAAACAAGAACTTGAGGCAAAACTTGCTGAAAGCAAACCAACAAACAACAGAAGAAGATAAAATATCTTTGTTATTACACTCGGCTATAGGGGCGAAAATTCTTATCGTGTGAAAATGTTGCTTAGATGAATACTGAGCTGCTGGTGAAAACCTATTCAAGTTGATAGTTCTTTTTCACGTGACCATAGGCCTCCACGCTCAAATAATGAGCTCCACTGTGTGGGCATGTATAATTAGCTTTGAATCCAGTAATGGAACAGAATTTTCTTTGAGGTAAAATCGATGGTTGAGAAAGTATTGTGAAATAATTTGGACTTGAAGAGGATTCAATCTTATCCATTTTCAGAACTTGATCAAATTTTCTTCTGGTAAATTTGACTGAACGTGACTTTTTTCCAGTCTCAGTTTTCTTCTTTTTTGAATTTGGTTCATCATCATCATCCTTCTTCTTTCGTTTTGTTCCTCCCTTCTTTGGAGAAGAAATTACCTCTGTATTGTTCCACTCTTCATTATCATCAAAATTCACACTAAAGGTACGTCCTCCAGTTCCAATATAATTGTCTCTTTCCAAAAGGTCCATTCTAGCTCTCATGGCCTCCAATTTTTTAGCATCCTTTGATGATATTTTACTAGATGATCCATCAACCACCTCCGATTCCGAATCACTATCCAACAATTCTCGATTTTCATTCTTTGGTGCAACCTTTTTCCTAGGTGTTTTTGGTTTTGGCGTTTTTGGTTTTCTCTTTGTTTTTGTCATTGATCCCACCACCACAGTACTAGTCAAATGATCATTCGGTATTGTTAAAGTTTCTTCCGTTAAAGATGATGAAGTGACTTCTGCAGCAGTTTTTGACTTTTTCTTTGGCGTCTTCTTTGGTGTTTTTGGCATTTTATTAAAAATTACTTTTCAATTTAAATTTTAATATATTTTCGATATCCACAAATGTGTATGATGGAGAATAAGTTGATTTTAACATTGCAATAAACTCACTCTAATTCCAACAGAAAAATACTAGCTTGTAAACTAAAATACCGCTTACCAAATTTGAACGAAGCATTTACTACGATGTGTTCAAATCATAATAGCAAAAAAAAGTATCTTTTCATACGGTGGAGGATTTCTTACCTTTTCTCACCAATGCTATCCACCAACAATTGCAATACAACAACTGCAACAACAGCAACCAGTACGTCCGATGAGTTGTCAACATCGAGTGCGAGTGATATTGTTAATCATCACAATATTTCAATGAATTTTGCAAATTATTCAATGAACAATGATGGAGGAAAATTCAAGTCGACGACGATAACGAATAATAGTAGTAATATTAGTACGTTCGGAGGAATGAATTATTCTCAAGCACAACAACAAGCTGGTCAATTTCATTATCATATGGATGCTACACTGAGGACGAATTCATCTATAGGTCCAAAATCAACATCTAGTATGACTCCCTTCTTTCAACACCCACACTCATCAACACGTAGTAGACTTGCTGATTTTCCTTCTCTTTTCGAACTTGTACCATCTCAAAAGCTACCAGACATGTCGGAGAAGAAAATTGGTAAGAGTTCAAAAAAGAAGGGTAATGAATCAACCCAATCATCTTCTAGTACAGGTTCCGAGGGTGGAATTCACTTCTCTGGACCTGGTGTAGATTATCCTCTTCTTTTATGTAAGGGATTTAACCAAAATCAAGAATGTTTTTTCTTGGGAAATGGATCAAATGCAGTGTTTGATGATCGTGCCACAAATAGCTCAATTTCCTCCAATACTTTTACTGGATCCAATAGTAGCTCAAGAAGAAACTCTGTAAAAAGCTTGGCCTCAACAAATTCTTCAGCCTCTTCGACATTTATACCTCAATATCAACAGGAATACTTGGTTAAGAATTATGCTCGATTAAAATTGAAGAAGGACAATACATCAAAACATCAAGAGGATAATCAAATCGAATATCTCGATCCTGAGAGTAATGTAAATAATAAGAAAGATTTCAAATTTAATTTGGAAGATTGTAGAATAATAGCAACAGCTCAATCATGTACAGTAATGGTCCTTAATGATAATGAAGTTTGGGCTTGTGGAATTAACGAGAGAGGAATGCTGGGAGTTGGTCATACAGATGAATTCATCTTTGAGGGAACACCAATAGAGTTTATTGGAAATGGAAAGACAAAATCTGCAATTTCTGCTGCCGATAAACAGCAAACATCTCTCAAATCTCTAGGATTCATGACCTCGGAGGCCACATTGACAGGATTCGATGAAGGTCCAAAATCATATGCTCACTCTGTATCAGATATTGCCCAGTCAACATTCTGTTCCATGCTCTCAGCTCAAGAAGAGACTAAACATCTACCTCCAACAATTCCTACTAAAATTCCATTCAACTTTGATAATGAACACATAACCAAAGTCTCCATTGGTTATAGGCACATTATGTTTCTAACGAGAGAGGGAAGAGTGTATGGTTGTGGCAGTAACTCACATGGTGAGCTCGCTTTGGGATTGTACAACAAAAATCATGGTATTGGAACTCCTCAATTCATTTTTACTTTAGAAAATGATAAGATTATTGATGTGCATTGTGGTTATGATTGGACATTATTTTTAACTTCTGAAGGTAGAGTGTTAGTCTGTGGTAAAAACAGATCCAATAGAGAAAATTTATCTGATATTTATTCCAAGGCTATTGCAGATTCTTTGAATTTAAATATTATTGAGGAATGTATCTCACAACCAACAGAACTTCCTGGAATATTTGAAATTCTTGATGGAAATGATTCAATAGCCCAACTGAAAGCATCTTCGAGCAGTTTCTACATGCTCTCACGAAAGGGAGTTATTTTGGTTTATGGAAAGAATGATAGAGGCCAACTGGGTCTTGGGCATAAGGAAGATGTAAAGGGTGTACCCGTTGAGTTAACATTCTTTGAGAAGGAAAAGAATAGAGTGACCTCACTTCATCCAACTCAAGACAATATCTGCTTTCTTACTACCAATGATAAGGTCTACATTTCTGGTGCTTGTGTAAATAGTGACATTCCTGTTTTGATTAATACAGACAGCCACTTGATTGTTGATGTACTAACAGCAGACTCAGAAGGTGGATGGTATAAGAGTGATTGTGTATATTTAGTATCAGATTTTCAAGATGTTTACTTATTTGGAAGGAGACATTCTAAACCAGAGAAAGTAGCCTCCTCAGTTTCTCTAGTTAGTTCCTGCTCGAATAGATCAATACTTGTACACAATCTCTTGAGAGTACATTGTAAGGACAAATCTGTGGTAGTATGCAGAGATATCACTAGATTTTTCGAGGGTTACAAACACACACAAACAATTACTGTAGATGAGACTTATATTCCATTCTCCTTCATATTGAGATATTTATATTTCAAGATCAAGGATATGGAACCAAACTTTTCCTTTATTTGTAACTCAATCAAGTACAAGAGAAATATTAGAAACATTGGAGAGGAATTAAAAGTTACCATTCTTGGAGAGATTATTGATAGAATTGAGCAAACAGAGAATTATTATTTGGGTGTAAAGGATGAATTAAGTAGATTCTACAATTATTTGAACTTTACAGATAACAGAATGACTGAAAAAACTTCATTGAAAATGGAAAAGAAAAAGGAATGTAGAAAAATGGTCGAATTCTATATCCATTGTTTAGGTAATGGAGAGGATATGCATTGGAACTTTGGATTTTTCAGGGAAAACGAATCTCACTTATTTTCCATGCAATTCATTTCTGTTCTTGACGAATACAAGCTTACACTCTTTGCCAAATCTCTATATCATTACATGTACAGACATCAGTTACCAACTGCACCTCAAACTATGCCATCTCTGAGACTTCATCAATTACCTAACTGCATTCATGTTATTGAGAGGAAAATTGAACTAATGTCAGTTCCAGACAATTATGACCAACTGATTGGTATTTATACTTCTTGGTTCGGTATCAATAACAAGTATTCTCTTGCAAGAAAATTCAAAACCATGTTTCTTAAATCAGACCCGATGGTCGTCGACATGTTTTTAGTTGTGGTCCTACTTTCAACTCTGGATGTCTTATTCTTTAAGAGATATAAGAAAAATCCAACTATGTTTACATTTAATCCAAGTGTAGTGTATGATACCAATGAAAGACAAATGATAGGTTCAGTAATGGATATTTTGAGAAATGAAATTATTTCTGTATTATTCAAAGCCAAACTTACCAGAATGGACATGAAGTCTGGAGCCACAAGAAAGCAAAAAGAACTTGAACTGAAACTATTAATCAAAAGTGAATATCGTAGACTTGGCGATATGCTCATTGAATCCCTTTCCAAAGTTTCTCTTCACCACAATTTACTTCCTGAAATAATTATTGAATATCTTGCAAAGGAATGTTTCCAAGAGCAGACTATTTGGATCCTGAACGATGGACAAAAAGAGAGAAATATTGGCAAGTACACTATTTGTGGTAGAGTTGGACAAGGTGGTCAAGGAACAGTCTATGAAGCTATTGATAGAGATACTGCCAAGAAATTTGCTATCAAAACTTTGCACTTGGTGTATTTCGAGAACGACGTGAATAACTTTTTAACAGAAGTGAAATGTGTTCAAGAATTGGGAGAACACAATAATTTAGTTCCTTACATTGATTATGGTTATGATCAGGCAAATGTTGGCTTCCAGTGTTATATTGTCATGCCTTTATATAAGGAAAATTTGAGAGACAGAATTGACAAGTTGAGAGAACAAGGCAATTTATTTGTACCTAATGCTTTTAATATTGCATTAGAAATTGCTTATGGCATTCGACATATGCATTCAAAATGTTTTGTTTACAGAGATTTGAAGGCTGATAATATTTTATTAGATATTGAGAAGAATGGAAAAGAAATTGCAAAAATTGGTGATTTTGGTCTGATGCGAAATTGGAATTACGACAAATCAGTATCAGCCAGAGGTTCTCCTATCACTATTGCTCCTGAAATGGCTTTCATTGTTAAAAAGACAGCCTCTTTTGATACCTCTGTGGATATTTTCAGTTTTGGTTGTGTTTTATTTGAATTGCTAACATTGGATATTGAAATTAAATTGGATGTAAGCATAGAAGAAGAGGAAGGCTCAAAGAAATATCTATTCCACCAAGCTGTTTCTTCCAATGAAACGCTGACTCATTTTGCTATTGCCCAAACTCTTCAAAAATTGGGTTATCCAAACTTGATTCAAAGATTAATAATTTCAATGATTCAATTAACTCCTTCCAAGAGGCCAAAACTTGACTTTGTTTGTGAATTATTACAAGTATTCCAAACACATGCAACAGAAATTCCACTCAAAACAACAAACTTTGACAACCCAATTACCACTAATGATGTTGAAATGTTTGGTAATTTTGTGTTTGGAAAGGATATTGATTGGAATAAGGTTAACCAACAACTTATGCCAGTTCCAAACAATAACAAGTGTGTCTATGTGGTCATTGATAATGACACTAAGGACAATTTCATTCTTAACTATCCATCCTCATCAACACTTGACCAGTTTAAAGAAATTGTCAAATTCAAAACAGGTCATGAAGTACACAAAGTGTTTGTTCTAAAGCATGGTACATTCAAGTTTCCAATTTCTAATGAAAACGAGTTTGCCCACGTTAGAAATGAAGATCTCTTGCATATCTTGCTATTCTCAGATGAAAAGAATAAATAAGTTAATAATTTATTGATTTTGTACAGATGGTGTGGCTTTCTTTTTAACCTCTTGATCTAAACCAAGAGTTTTCTTTAATTTTTCTCTCAATGCCTTATTCTCTTCTTCCAAATGATTAATCCTATTTTGGAATGTAACAAAACTATTCTTGGTTTCTTGGACAGTTTTTGTGAATTCGTCCATCTTGGATTGTGATGTTTTGAGTTGTTTGGACATGATATTTCTTTCATGGTTGGCTGTTTCGACTTTCTTTTTCAATGTTAAATTTTCCTTTTCTTTCTTGGTTAAGGAGTCCAACAATTCTTCAAATTTAGCCTCGTATAATTGCTTTTCTAAGGAAACCTTCTTTGTTTCATTTTGACCTTGTCTTGCAACTAGATCCATTTGTTGCTTGTAAATTTCAAGTTGATAATGAAGAGTTTCCTTTTCCTTTTCGACTTGAATTCTTTCCTCAGCTTGAGCTTCCATCTTTACACGAATATCTTCCAATGCATCAGAAAATTTCTTAGCCAATGAATCATACTTTTCAGAATGTTCCTTCTTTGTTGTTTCATAAGCATTGAGAATATCTTGATTATTTTCATGTAAAAGATTGCACATTTGTTGAAGTTTGTCCTTTTGTTCCTTTACGGTAGCAAGTTGTTTGTCAACTAATTAAATCAATTTTGTGTGAATAATCTTTCAACAGATCTGTTAAATTACATACCTTCTACACCTCTGATTTCACTTGTTTGCAATCGGAGTGTCAAAATAGCATTTTCACGTTTTAATTCTGAATTTTGCTTTGCAACTCCATCAAAATGTTTATCCAAAACTTGAGTTACTGTCTTTAATTTATCGGATTGAGAAGAATCCATTCCAAGCTTTTGCATTACTTCAAGCTTTAAATCGGAAATTGTTTTTACAGTTTCTTGTTCAATTGTTTCCAATTCAGCCTTCTCTTCATTCTTCAAACGAGCTGATAAAGTTTCAACAAGATGACGAATTTGTTGATCAGTGAAAGGTATACCTGTTGTATTGTTGGATGAACTATTTGTTGCTGTTGTATTATTGGATTGTTCGGAAGATGATTTTTGTTTTTTCTTTCCTTGTTGTTCTACTACTTCATTACGAGCAGCCATTTGTGCCACTTCATCCCATGATGAATCTTCATCTTTGGTCTTGTTCTTTTGATTGGAGGATTGTTTCTTCTTGCCCATTTTTTTTGTATTCTTTGTGCAAGTTATCAATAGTTGGTGCTTAGATTGTTCCTTCAAATTGATCCACACACATTTTGTAGATATTTTCCCGCCAATCACAAAACTCTGTAAAAGAAATATTATTCTAACATGCTAGAATAAATAATAAATTCAAATATCTTCTTAATAATTTAATAATTAATATTAATAATTAGAAACTAAATAAATAATTTTAAATTTTTACTGTACAAAGCTGGATAGTTCATCGAACAGATTAGAGTTTGATGAACAAAATGACTCGGGAGTGACTTAATTTTGGTTGTTATTAATAGCAGTCACTAAATCAGTTCCGCTTTGAGAATTAGCACTTGATAAGCTGGTTTTGCTACTTCCAGTCTTTCTCAATTGTCTTTCCTTTCTTTGTTTGTTTTCTAATTCTTCCTTCTTTAATTGAGACAATTCTTGATCTCCATTACGAAGAGCAACAGCATCTTCTCTGAAACGAGCATCGGATGGAAGTGGATTATCAGAAGGTCTTAAATATCTTGGCATTTGGGCTGCAATATTGAATAATTCTAATTTCTCTAATTCAGATTTTTCCTTTTCCTTCATTGATGAGAGTGAATCAGAAGTTTGATTTGGTAAATAATAGACATTTCCCAACCAACTTCCTTCAATAACTCCGATAACTTGACCATCTTTCTTAACTTCTCCTTTCACATAATCAACTGGTGTTTTTTGACTACTAAAGAAAGATCCAAGAAAACTCTTTTGATCAGGATTAAATTGAATATCACAAGTTAATTGATTTTTAGCATCAGTAAAACTCATCTTGTCATAATATTCAAGAACTCTGTCTCCCCAACAAATACCCTTCAACCACAAGAGTGGTTGAGAATATTGAATAACAGCACCATCAGATTCAAATTCAATAAATGTTGGTCCTATTTGACCTCCTTTCAATGCATTTCCTCTAATACTAGCCTGGTATCCACAATAACCGTGGAGTCTAAAATCTTTTCCTTGAGCTTCATAAGCTGTGATAGGTGGGTGATGAGAAGTTTGCTCAACAAAAAGATGAATATCCTTCGATGGATCACTACTGTGACTAAATGATCCTTCAAATGTTTCACCAAGAATTGGATTAAATGGTTTCTTTTGGACACACGTTTGATGTAATCCGGCAATACCAAAAGCGATTATTCTAATAAATCTTTGAACAGGATCTTTTTGGTCAGCAGCGTCAGTTAAAAGACTGTGGAAAGCCCAAATATCTGGCAAACGTTGCAAGAAACTACGAGGTTCAAAAATGTACACTGGCAACGAGACGGAAACAAGATCTTTTCCTTCCAATAAAGCTCCACCGAGTTTTTTGACCATGTCCCATACACCTTTACGTTGTTCTTTAATTTCTTCTTCATTGGTAAACAAGTAACCACCTCCACTTGCAGTGTTTGTTGCACGTCCATCTTTTCCAACATTATTCAACCAAATACGAGAACCAAAATATGTTTCTCCTAAAGCACCACCATTATTTGCTGATTCATCGACTTGGGAGAGTCTCTTTGAATTTCTCTTGTTGGTCATTTTTTTTTAATAATAAATGATGATTCAAAGTATCCCTTCCAAAATCGCTGGAGACTTTTTGTCCACTTTTCACCATCAGAATTTTTTCCACCGGCTAGCTGGCAAAGTGGGAGGACAGCTTCCATTTCAACTTCTAATTCGATCATCACAACAATAAAAAATATTCGTGATGGTGGTAGTAAGCAAGAAAACAATTTAGAGCAATAACTTATTATTACTTCATGAAAACAAAAACTAACAATAAATTGCTTTATCACAACATCATTGGATAATATTGAGTTTTTTTCTTCTGTTTATTGTTCAAGTTTGCTATTGAAAAAGGTTTGTAGCTGGTGGACAAGCGTAAGACTGGGGCATCGAAATAGAAAGTAAATTAGAAGCCGTCCTCTCACTTTGCAAGCTCGGGGCTGGAAAAAAATCAAGCGAAAATTTTATCGTTTTTCGTCACAAAAATGAAGCTTGAAAATGGAAGGGATAATTCAAAGTGATGCGGTATCCGTGGAAGGTTTTTTCTATCCAATTTCCAAGCAAAAGAATCTTTTATTTCTTTAAATACAAAGAAATTCCAAGTAACTCTAAGGATATCGAAGAGGTGATTGAAACATTTCCAATTATCTTACTTTGTATTCAATAATATTGAGGGTCTTCAAGGGTTAATACAATCAGTTGCTTTAGAAAACAATAAATCCATATTATCTTCAATTAAACTGATTCACCAATAAACACCACCACTATTATCAACGTTGTGTTCTATTTTGAAAAATAGGCAATTGGGTTATTTTGTTCTGATAGAGGATTTATTAGTACTATTCACGACATTGTCCTCAGGGCAACACCGGTTGTATTAAATCAATATGAGTAAGAAATTGTCCTCCACCACCATCATCTAATGGTATTGGTGATTGTGCTCCAAAACATGAGCACATCTTCCACAAGGCTCATTCTCTACAACACTCGCAAACCTCCAACAACGAGGACATTTATGAAGGTCTGCCTTAGAAATGGAAAGTGAAACTTTTTTAGAATCTAAACTGGTTTCGTATTGGAGAGTGTAGAGAGGATTAGGATTAATTCCTTTCAACCATTCTACTGATGAAACCATCATAATATCTTCGAGTTGAGTATTCTTATTTTGTTTTGTACTTTGCGAGAGAAGTGGTTGAATGGCTTGAATCAATTTCTCTGATTCTACACTTTCGATGGTTACTTTGACTTCGTTGGAAGTTCTGAAAACCTTATCCATTCTTGCCTTTTCAATCAATTTGAATATTTCTTGTCTCAATTCAATAACTTGATTAAACATTTCAGTTGTTTTTTCTTCTTGAGGGAGTTCAATGCCTTGGAAGAAATCTTCTGGCTTAATGAACCACCCTTCTTCGAAAATACTCTTATTCTTCTTGAATTCCATTGATTGATAAATATCTTCAGCAGTGTGACAAATGATTGGGGAGAGAGCCTTTGTATAGCAATCCAAAATGTAATGAATAACTTTTTGAGAAGGTTTTCTTGCCTCTTCCTCTCCACAATAGAGTCTATCCTTAACAATATCCAAGTAAAATGAAGAGAGTTCATAAGTAAATGTCATTAAAAGTTGATTAACCTTGTAATAGTTAAAGTTTTCATAGCTTTCCGTAATTTGATCACAGAATTGTTTAACTCTATTGATAATATAATAGTCAACTTCAACAAGTTGTTCCTTTGAGACTGGCAAGTTTGGATCATAATTTTCCAATACACCCAACATGAATTTGGCAGTATTTCTGATCTTTTTCAAATTGGTAGAAACTTTTTCAATGACATTCTTACCAATTGAAACATCTACAGAAAAGTCACTATGGCTTACCCAAAGTCTCAATACATCAACACCTTGCTTACTAATGATTGATTCTGGTTCAATTGTGTTACCAATTGATTTACTCATCTTCTTTCCAGCCTCATCAGTAACGAAACCGTGAGTAACAATCTTCTTGTATGGAGGAACACCTTGATAGGCCAAACTTGTGAGAAGTGACGATTGGAACCAACCACGATGTTGATCAGAACCTTCCAAATAAACATCAGCTGGAAGAGGAATACCAGAGGCCTTTACAACACCAAACCAGGTTGTACCACTGTCAAACCATACATCGAGTGTATCAGTTCCCTTCTTCCATCCTTGATTTCTGTATTGAGGAGACAGCAGTTGATCTTCACTCATTTCAAACCAACAATCAGTACCATGCTTTTCAACAAGACTAATCACATGTTCAATACTTTCACTTGTTGCTAAATATTCTGAAGGATTATTTTCCTTATAGAATACTGGAATAGGAACTCCCCATGTTCTTTGTCTACTAATACACCATTCATCTCTAGATTCAACAAAGGACTTGAGACGATTTCTTCCTGAACTTGGAATCATTTCAATCTTTTCATCGACATATTCCTTGGCAACATTCTTCAAATCTTTCAATTCAGCAAACCATTGTTCAGTCATTCTGATGAGAATTGGTTGTTTAGTTCTCCAATCGTATGGATATCTGTGTGAATAATCTTCTTTGAGAAGCAAATATTGTGACAAATCTCCTTGCAACATTTCAACAACCTTTTCATTACCAACACTCAATACAGGAAGACCAATCAAGTGTGGGAGTGGAGTTTGAGAATTATATTTACCATATTCATCAACAAAGCAAGGTCCAATTGGTAAGCTATTATCTTTAACAACTTGGAAATCTTCAATACCGTGATTTGGAGCTGTGTGAACGAGACCAGTACCAACTTCAGTTGTAACATGAGATCCATTCAAAAATGGAAGTTTCTTATCTGTAACGGAGGAAGTCAATGGATTAACATAGGATGACACCTTATCTCCCATTAAAATATCATTATTAACAAAGAGATCCTTTCCTTTCATAGCTTGTAAAACAGTGAAATTCTTAATACCAGTCTTTTCACAAACGCTTTTCATTAATTCTGAGGCAATAATAAGTCTTCTATGTTTTTCAGAGTCATAAATAATTGAATATTCTATATCTTGATTGTAGGAAATGGCTTCGTTGGCAATCAATGTCCAAGGAGTAGTTGTCCACACAGTGGCAAATAATTCACCATACTTTTGAGACATTTCAGTATTTGATGTAGTAATTGGGAATAAGACATAACATGATTTTGATATATGTACATCTGGATATTCCAATTCGGATTCAGCCAATGCAGTTCCACTCGATGGAGACCAATAAACAGGTTTCTTTCCTCTGAAAATATATTTCTTATTTAACATGTCAAGGAAAATTCTCAATTGTTGGGCTTCAAATGTTGGATTCATAGTCTTGTATGGATTATCCCATTCTCCCATAACACCCCAACGTTTAAAATCGTTCAATTGTGATTGAATTGCTTGTTCAGCAAAATCTTTAGCTAATTTTCTAATAATTGGATCTTTAGTTCCAGAAATTGTAATTCCTTCAGTTCCTTTTTTCTTCTTCTTAATTTCTTGGAATACTTTACTTTCAATTGGTAAACCGTGACAATCCCAACCTGGAATAAATTCAACCAAGTGACCAGTAAGAAGTTTAAATCTATTTGTAATATCCTTCAATACCTTGTTCAAAAAGTGACCAGTATGAAGAGTACCATTTGCATATGGAGGTCCATCATGAAGTGTAAATCTTTTTGCTCCACTCTTCAATCTATCTTCCTTTAATTTAGTATAGGCATAATCTCTACTTATTTGTTGTATTGTAAGTTCCTCCTCCAATGAAGCCTTTGTTTTAAAATTTGATTTCGGAAGAAGAATGGTATGTGAAAATCTCTTATCCCTCTCATCGACAAGTAAATTTTGACTTGTTGAAAAATTGGCGGCAACAGCTGATGAAGAAGAAGAGGTTTGTTGAGAGAGCGACAACCAAATAAATTGTTGTGATGAGGAGAGTTTCTTTTTTGATTGGCTGGTTATCACTCTTTGCATTTTTTTAATTTTTAAATAATTTAATATTGATTAACATTAATGAATTCTTTAGTTTTAACACAAATCCTTCATTTTAATTAAAGACAATTTCAAACAATGCATGTTTGTTAATTGCATTCTTCTTAACATTTAGGCAAAAATAACAAATAAGAAAACCAACAAACATGAATACACCAATTGAATCAAACCAGAGGTTCCAAAACTAACACCATCACTTGTAATCATATTTGCAAACCATCCATTGAGAATTCCATTTCTTGCTTGAACGCTTGGGTATTCATGCGTAATGGTCAAGTTATGAATTACAACTTCAGCATAATTATTTGATTTTCCACATAAACTTCCCTCAAATTCGCAATTAGATTGAGCATAACAACCTGCCTTGAAGTAGGCTCCCTTATAACTCTTTGTAATAGAATAAATAGGAGTATTCATATTATTGTAATAAATACTTGTGACTCCATTCTTAACTTGAATCTTGATTTGGAATCTTGTGCCAACAATATAATTTTGGGAAATGGTTGTGGTTCCAACTCCTACGATATTGATATAGAGCTTGGTTCCTTCCAAATGGATGGTTACAACATATTCATCTGCATCGTGGACTTGACCAGCAATAACCTTCTTTCTAGTGGTTGGTAATCTTGTAATGGTTTGATCGATAATCATGGTATGAGTACCAACCGTGGTATTCCAAGCTGCCTTAGTGCTACTAGGATTTGAAGAATCCATTTCTCTCAATTCACTTCTTGCATATTTGGTATTAGAGGAAGTTGTGACGGTTACGTTGGACATGAGCACTCTGAATCTTACACCAGTGTTATTAGTAGTGGCACCAAAATATGGATTGAGAGAGTATCTATCCAAGGTTGGTTGTTTAATTTCCATAGCATCTCCAGGCTCACCAACAGGAAGTGTTAATTTCCAGTTGCGAAGGTCAATAATTTGAGAAGGCCAAATTGCATTCAGGTTATGAATGAAGAATAGGCAGATAACTGCAAAAGTGAGGACAACACTTTGTTTGTTCATATTTTTTTCACAATGATCAAATAATTGCTGTCTGGCTGACCTAGGTTTATTGGAATGTCGAGTTTGAATATTTGTACTTTTTTGAATTGGGTGTTAATTATGAGAAATAATAATTTCCACAAGTGTTTTTGTAATCCTTCCTCAGATCATAGTTTGTTTGCTGGTTTGTGATGATCTTGAATCATATTTGTCATTCGAAACAGTAGTGCAAATTCTTGATATTGTAAATAAATGTAATAGAGGTTCTTTACTCTGCAATCACTCACCTCCTAACCTTGAAATTTTGCCAACATCAAGTTGATTAATTTGGTTTTTATTCTCTGAGGATTTTTGAGGAACTAAAATAGAGGTCTTGAATAATCATGAATGCACTTTTTCTCGACGGAGGTTCATTTGTTTAATTCCTTCATTCAAATTTTAATAATTATTACATCCTGAAGTGAGTAGAAATACCAAATAGTCGTACTTTTAGCATATTTTACCAACACACAACCTGTTATTAATAAATTATCTAAATTCAATCAACTTCTTCATTACCTAGGACAATGGAAATTGAATATTAAATCAATTTTTATCTAGTTAATTTTTTTAAATTCTCGATAAAAAAAATGAACAAGACAGCAGCTAATTTTCTTGTGCATCAATTGTTGAATAGAAAGGCCTCGGCTATCAAGGCCACCAATCCAATAGTTTCGGGAAATTTGTTGAGTAGTGGATCCGCTTCTACTTGTACTAGATCCTTTTCAAATAATTTATTGTTGAAGGAGAGTAGTATTAATTCCGAAAATCCTGTTCTTGAAACTGCTTCTCAACTTGATAGACAAAAATTGAAGGACCTTTTAAAAAAGAAAAACAACAAGGAAATTTTGACTCTCGGAGATGCTCCATCATTTAATAATGTTAAACCAAAATTACCAAATCTTACACAATCATTATTTAGTGATAAGGTTTCTCTTGAATATGTTGTTCCTGGAATTCACTTTAATGCTAAAGATTTGAAAATTTCATCCCTTGATAATGGTCTCAGAGTTTCAACATTTTCTAAACATTCTAATCTGGTTAATATTTGCGTCACATTCAAAGCTGGTCCAAGATATGAAAAACCAGAAGAAAGAGGAATTTCAACAATTATCAATAGATTAACTTTCGCTCACAGTAGAAAGTTTTCCGAAGATTATGTGAAGGAAAATTTGGAAGATAAGGTATTATACGAATCAACATCTGAATACGAAAGCCATTCCTTCTTTATCACTTGTCCAAAGGATAAGGTAGAATTGGCATTTGAATTCCTTTCTGACACAATGTTACATCCAAAGTTTTACCAATCAGATATCGATGATGCTATCGAGTTATTGAAATACAATTTAGAAACTGAAATGGCAATTCCTGCAAATTCTAATGTATTGACAGATTGCATTTTAAAGTCATGCTTTGGAACCAACTCGGAAGGAGGTCTCGGAAATCCTTCAGTATCCATTAAGGAAGATGCTACACCTGAAATGCTCTATGAATTCTACAATAGATTCTATGTTCCTAAGAGGTGTACTATTTCATCGATTGGTATTGAACACGACAAGATGTTATCCCTTGTTAAAAAGTATATGGACTTCTCACCAGGAGCCCTCTCTAACAATTTTGAACCAGTTGCTTTTGCCAAACCAGTTTGGAATCCTTCTTCAGTCATGACTGAATTTTTGGAAAGACCACAATCTGCCTATTTACAAAATATTCCACCAACTACATCATATGCAGTTTCATTTGAAGGTATTGGATACAAGGATAGCGATAATTTATTTGTTGCAAATATTTTGGAAGTACTTTTGGGAGGAGGTGATTCATTCTCAAGTGGAGGTCCAGGAAAGGGTATTTACTCTGTAATTAATAGACATTATTTACCTGCCTATCAATTCCACAATATGATTGCTCAACATTTTGCCTATTCTGATACTGGTATTTTCTCATTCCATGCAAGTCTTAATCATGAAGAATTGAATCCAGGTCAACTCCCAGTTGCAATCTTAACTTTATTGGCCAAGATGCCTGAATATATTGACGATGCCCTCTTGGATCAAGCCAAGCAACAATACAAATCCCAAGTCCTTCACAGTTTGGAAGACAACTCAACATTGGTTCTCAATGCTGTTAACGATTTAATGTGGAATGACAAATACTTTGGAGTTGATTACCTTGTAGAAAAGATTGATTCTGTTTCAAAGAATGATATCCTTGCCATGATGGACAAATTATTCTACAATGGTAAACAACCAGGTATTGCAGCAATTGGTGATGTTAACAGAATATCGGCTTCTATATCAAATGAACAATTCCGTAAATACTACTCTGATATTTGTAAGCAAAGAACTGGCAACTCACTCATGTCCAGATTATTCAAGAGAAAATAAAATTGTGTCACATTCGATTATTAATATTATTATTTGGCGCCAGCAAAAGAAGTTTCATTATTAACAATTTAATTTAAAAAGAATTTACCAAAAAAAATGCCAAAGAAGAGAGCAAGCGCTTCCTCATCATCACAAGTATTGGAAGAAGGAAGTGCTGATGACTTTTCGGGTTCATCATCCAAAGCAAGTGCTTCCTCATCGGTATCAACAACTGATGATAGAATTAATGCGGATGCAAATAATAATGAGGAAGAGGAAAATAATGGTGAATCAAATAATACTAGTAAACGATCAAAGACTCGGAAAAAGAGGAAAGTACAAACGGATTATTGTGAGGAAGTTAAACTAAATACCTCCATCACAATTGATTCTAATTCTCTTGACTATACCGAAGATAAACCACCACTGAATGATTTTTTTGATTACAGAAATTATTTGGAAAAGACAATTATTGCCCTTGATATTGGATCTAGTTTTGTTAAAGGAGCAAAGTTTAAAGTAATTAATTCGAAATCTAAACCTAGTGTGACATCAGTACAGATGAAATTTGACACCCATCAATTTTATCCATCAAGGATTTTCTGTAAAACTTCGGGTAGTACCAAGTTTCTTGTTGCTGAAAAAGCTCCAGAAAATGATGGATGGAAGGAATTGGAGAATATTAAGAAATTATTTCTTGTTCAAGAAGCTCTGGCGATTAAAGTTAACAACGAGAAGGTTACTGTCAGCAATGCAATATATCACTTTATTAAAGAATTGCTGACAAAAAGTATAACTAAAAAATCACAAGTCAATGGAAAAGTAGTGAGCGAATTGTCAAATGTTAGTGCCTTCATATTAACATGTCCAACTGGTACCACTGAAAATATTAAGAAAGTTTACAGAAATTGTCTAATGAAGGCCCTTGCATCATTTGAGGTTGACCTAGATTTTGAGCACTTGTATGTGATTGAAGAATTTGTACTCTTGAAATACTATTGCGATTCTCAGATTGATATTGTGAAAGAACCAACACTTTATATCGATGTAGGTCATTTAACTCTAGATATCAGTGTTGTAGAATTTACAGAAGATGGAATACCAGAGATTACATTTAAAAATGGTGAGGTTGGAGGAATGTCTATTGTACACAAAGTAATACAATCCAAATACGGAGAAGAAACACTGGATATTCTTGCCAGTCAATTTGAGAGTAACAGTTCTTCATTAATTGAAGAACTAGTGCCTCTGGAGAAAGAAATTGAAGAAGCCCTTCACCAAATGATGGTTCCCCTTTGTTTAATTATTGTACAAAAGAATATCAAAACTGTCCATTTCGCTGGAGCTGTAACTAGATGTAAATACTTTGAAACTAGGTTCAGAGAAATATTGAAAAAAGAAAGTATTCAAGATATTCTCGATGAAAGAAGGTGTTATTTTAAAGATCAATACAAGGATATAGATGCATTCGACTTTAATTTAAATTGGACTGTGGATGGATTGAGTGCTCTCATTACTGGTGTTGAGATGATTATTAATTCGTCAATTTATGCCACAGGTGAGGTACCACTTACTATTGGCAAAAACCTGGACTCTAATTTCGATTATCATGTTGGAATATTGGATGAATGGCAAAAAGAATATGCTATCAATCTAGACATTGCAGCTTATGATATGTATGCAATTCAAGACTTTGAAATATTCATTTTAAAGTTTAATGCCATGTTCGATTTGAAAAAGTGTTCAAGAATTGATCAACACAACTACAATTTGATGGGAATATCAGAGTTTGAACGTTTTACAACAGTGGAGCTTTGTATTGATGGTGAGTCTATTCTCACTACCAATCCAACATTTATCGTGACGAGTTCTGTAGACTTGAAAGCTGTCCATGTAAATATTTACTTTAAGAAACGTTCATTATTTGCCAAATCTATACTGAAAATTCTCAGAAATGGAAGACTGGAAAGGATTGCTGTCAATGACGCTGTTAAAACCATTTTCCTTACCAAAGAATCGGATGAATTTACTTGGTATGGTTCCAAATATATAACCAAATTCTATCTTACTGGATGTAAGGCCAACAGAATTGATGAATCTACTGTATTGATAGAATTTGGTGATGATACAGCAATGCTGGACAAGCTCTACTCACACAAGAAAAGCACCCTACTTACGAGCCTTCCAGAAATTACTGAAGGAGATAATGAAAAAGTGAGAAAGGATATGGGAAGTAGTTGTGTTGCGTGTGGTTTACCAATTCCAGACATGGCAACCAAATACGAAGTCACTCCACCAGTATTCCACGAATACTCTTTCCACCTTGATGAAATATCCAAATGTGGATATATTTGTACTGGATGTCATCAAACTTTCAAAGAAAGAAAGAAAGGTCTTCGAAAGTCCAAAAAGAAGAAATCCAAAAACAAATCCAAAACCAAAAACAAAGAATAATTATTTCGCACCACCTTCTGAAAAGAAGAAACCCTAGGCCAATTTCAATTCAATATTTAACATTTGCAAACATTATAATACTAATTTATTCCCAATAAAGACATCAATTTAATTAAAATTCAAAATATAAAAAAAATGGACAGAAATTCGATAGAGGAATACATCACAACAAAATTGCACATTCCAGAGAAGAATTTTCAACTCCGTGCACCTATTTATTATAAATTAAAACAAGGAATTCGTGATCCAAAGGAACAAGAAAATAAAAATTCACTCATTGGATTTTTAAATTCGGATGAAGAATCAACAGCTTCGGAACAACTTGCTAACGATCTGAGTGTTGTGGAACCTGTACCAAAATCACAAACTGGAGAAATGTTTGAAGAGAATGAATTTAGAAAACCACTCACTGATGACCAAATGAAGAACTTTAGTACATTCCGATTATTCTACAAGATTTTCGGAACCAAATGTTTCTCCTATGCTTCTTTAATTTCTGCAGGTATTGCAATTCCTGTGTCGATATTTGTAAATTTACGTTTTAAAGGATTGGGAAAGGAAAGATGGGCTGCAACAATAGAGAAGGGTGCTTGGTCATTCTTCTTACCATTATTTGTTACTTATCCAATTTGTAGATATAACAAGACTAAGACTGATGATAAATTGAGAGAAGCTATTCGTGGTAGAAATTATTAATTATTGGATACAAGAACTAAGTACATTGGAATATTGGAATGAATTAAAAAATTAATTTTAAATTATTTCAATTTTTCATTTTCTCCATTTCTATACAAATTTAAGTGATGATATTAATGATTTTATATAATTGGATCAATTTTAAAAATCTAAATAGTTTATTGTTAGCACCATTGGTGCTGGTTCAATTTTAAAAAAATGACTTGGCAAATGTTTATGAATATTGTAAAGATTATTTGATTGAGGAATTTCTTTCAAGTATGAATATTTGAGATATTAAAATCAATGGTTGGATGTTCGAATTTCCAGTTGAAGGATGTTAGAAAATCATGGTTAGAAATTTCAGTTCCAAAAATTTCATTTGAATCAATCCTTTCTTTAGAACACAATTTTGGTGCAATTTGTCTTAAACATTCCAATCCGAAACAGCAAGTTGATTTCTCTTCATGAATCGCATTCCATCAATTTGGTTTTCAGTGGATTGATAAACTATTGTGGTGTGCTTTAGAAATAAGGTAAGAAGAAATTAATTCAATAAAATCCACGACTCCAATACCAGTATATATCCCACCTGCCTTCCTCTTTACAGTCGACTACTCTGTAAGATTTTATTTTCACCAATTATTAGTTCCATTGGAAGGGGGCGCTGTAAATCTCAATAAGATCTTGTGCTATAAATCAGCAGCACAGGTGTTCAACGGGGCTTTAATTAAGCGCAGCCAATGATGAGAAGCATAATGATGCAATTCACAAATAGCTGGAGTTGTTTGCTGCACCATTCATTGGCAGCAGCCTATATAAAAAATGAAATTGTTTACGGCCTTAATTGCCTTCATATTATTGTGTCAAGCTGTTTTTGGCTTGCAAAACGGAGACACATTGATTGTGAATGCTCCATCCGGATTAAAAGTGAGAGATGGTCCATGCACCGATTATAATCTCATGACCACACTCCCTCATGGTGTTGAAGTTAAATTCGGTGGTCAAATGGAAAACGGTTGTGGATACACATGGTATGTAAATTAATCTTTCAATGAATCTGTAACAAAGTATATGAACGATTACAACAATCAAATACCCTGTCCGTCCACTTTCTTATTTGTTCTTTCACATTCATTTCATATCCGTCCGGTTTGATTAATCAAAAAAAGGTATCTTGTTTCTGGTTCATTTGGTTCTGGTTATGTTGCCTCTAACTTTGTTACTATTAAGAGCTATGCTTCATTCTCAGCATCTGTTAGCATTCAAAGTTTGAGAGCTATCATGCCAAACTTGTCCGGTACAAAGGCTATCCAATACATTACTTTTTTGAACAGTGCCATGGCCGAAGGAGGAATTAGTACATGTTGTAGAATGACTGCCTTCTTGGCTCAAATTGCCCATGAATCTGGTGATTTGAATTGTAAGTGTTATGCACTCTGAATATTAATAATTAACATTCATATTAATATTAATTGATTAGGGTTTACTGAATTTGCTTCTGGAGCTGCTTATGAAGGAAGAAAGGATTTGGGAAATATCTATCCTGGTGATGGTGTTAGAGTAAGTTTCATTTTCTTTATATTAATATACTAAATTTCAATGAACAATAGTATAAGGGAAGAGGTCCAATTCAAATTACTGGTAGAGCCAATTATCGTGCAGCTGGTCAAGCTCTCGGAGTTGATTTGGAAAATAATCCAACTAGAGCTGCTGATCCAGATATTGGATTCCGTACTGCTGTTTGGTTCTGGTAAGTGTTAATGAATATTCATTATTTGACATATTTATCATATTTCTATATAGGAATCGTGCTGGATTGAGTCAATATGCTGATAGATGTGATCAAACTGGTTTTGATACCTGTACTAAACGTATTAATGGTGGTTTCAATGGTAAGGAAGATCGTGATAACCACTGGATTAAGGCCAAGAGTGTTTTGGGTTGTTAATTAGAAAATTTGTTATTTTCCAATTAATTGAATATCATTCCTTCTTTTGATTTTCCAATAAATACTTGATTCATTTCATTCAGTTAAACAATATTTCACATCATGCTTTCCTAGCCAGAATCCAATATGAAAACTAAGTAAATTCTTTCACATTTTAGAAAGACTAATTTTGTTTTAAAATTGTTATTTAACCTTTTTGAAAGACTCTATCCTTAAATGTTTACAATTTGTATTACATTAAAAAAAATAAATACAAAAAAATGAGTCAAGTTGCAGTAGTGAATAAGGAAGAGTTTCTCTCTCATTTCTCATCATGTTCCGAACAAGATGAAAAACAATTACCAATTGAATTGTCTTTGCATTTGAAGGATATTTCCTTCTTGTCTGATTATTCACTTCCTACCAATATATTTCCTAATATCTTGTTCAAGAGTAATGATGGAGTGGTCGGAACGAAGAAAAACAATCAAGAATATGGCATTCAATATAATTTTCTGCTTGATGCCGAAGAGGATGAACAATCATCGAGAGATGAGTATTGGAAACATTCACATCAATCATTATTTTCTCTGAATTGGAATTCTAAAGTTGATCACACTGATAATTTCTACTCTTTGATGCAATATTATTATGGACCTTTTAAAATGTTGGTATTCCTGTTGGGATTGGTTGTAATGAATGCAATTTGTATGGTTGCTCTTGTTAAATTTTCTTGGGTTGGGGATTTTATGGAAAATTCAGTGTTTAATTCGATAACAAATCGAGCCCTCAACGAAATGAATTTGAAGGGAGATATTTCACAAATGGGTACTATGGATTTTTTCATTAGTTTTTTAAGGAATAGTACTGCCTTGTCCAGTGTATTTTATATCATGGTGTTTTTCTTCTCATTTACTGTATTCTTGTTGGCTTTGAGTTTCTTTGAATATTATTGGATTCTGAGATATATTCAAAGAGAAACGAGAAAAAATTTGGAAAAATATAGGAATAAGCAAGACATTCATGAAGATTACTTCTCTACCGAATATCTAATCATTGATAAGAGTTGGAAAAATTCTGAGGAGACTGTTTTCAACAAGTTACCTCAAATTGTTCATGGACATATTAAATATTTAGAATATGAAATTCAACAGGATGGAAGTGTTGAAAAATTGGCCATCTCTAAATTCATTTTGGAAAAGTTAATTTTCTGCAGTGGCAGTACAAAGAGAAATCTCACTAATGCAGCTCGTGTCATTGAAATTACTGATTTCTCTCTGAAAAAGCACATTAATATTGCCAAAGATGAATGGGTCGACCCGAATTTTCACGTAGCTTTACAACTCTTTGAAGTGACCATCAAGGATCTATTGAAAGAAACAAATGCCTCAGCAATAATCATTAAGATTTCGAGTTTGCAGTATGGTTTGATTAGATTGTGTGACAAGATGAAATTTACTCTTGTTCATGAGGAAAAATCAAATGAATTTCCAATTATTAATTATTATTACGTATTGGAAAGTAATAAATTATTGTAATTTTAGTATTTGTTCAGCAAATATTTATTGAACTAGAGATTTTAATCAATAATAATTACAAAGAGTTTCGAATGAATTAAAATATACTAATTTAATATTATTACATTATTGTGAGTCAATTAATTGTTGGGCAATATCCTCGAATACTTCCTTTATACCATCGTTTCCTTTGGCGCTGACCTCGAAATATCTAACACCTAATTCGGTGGCTAATTCTTCTGCTTCCTCTCTCGTTACATTTCTCATATGTTCCACATCCTTCTTATTTCCAACAAGAACTGTCTTGGTATGTTGATGTGCATGTTTATGAACATCTTGTAACCAACGCCTTATATTATCATATGATTCTCGTCTCGTTAAATCAAATGTAAGTAATATACCATGAGCACCTCTATAGTAGGCAGTTATGATGGATCTGTATCGCTCTTGACCTAAATTTCATAAAATTCAAGTAATAAAATGATATTTGATTGAAATTACAAAATATCTAGATTCAAATTCTTTAAATTATGAAAACCTACCTGCAGTATCCCACTATTATCAACTGTAAATGCAACTAGATAATGAATTGAAAACTTACCACTTGGAGTTGCACTGTCTTTCCAGAAACATTCAAATGAACAGTTTTAAAATCTACACCAACTGTAGAAATGTGACTTGGATTAAACTTTTGATCACTGAACATTGATAAAATCGTCGATTTTCCTACACCACTATCACCCTATCAAAATTTAATATCCAATCAATTCATTCAATTAATAATAAAATTAAATCATGATTATGAATCGTGATTAGCATTTCCGACACTATTCTAACTTTCAACCTACCAATAATAATAATTTAAAGAATAATTCATTTTCATTATCCAATTGAGCATAGGCTTCAGCCTTTTCTGTCCCTCCACCTCCAATAACAATCATATTATTATCGGATCCTGATGTTGTTGTGGGTGTTTCCCTCTTTGAACCACAATTACCCATTATTTATATGTCTTGCTGTTTGTAAATCACACTATTTACTATATATTATATAAAAATCCTCCTAACTAACTATCAAATTCTTCACTAATTTTGAAAATTGTCTTCCCCTTTCCAAATTATTCTTTTTCCACACACTCCCGTACTTGCTCCTCTCACGTTTATGAATGTTGTTATAAATATCAAACTCTACTGTAACAGCACACGCTTTGAGATTTTATGCTTTTTTTTAAAGTTGTCTGTCGAGCTGTGGATTCGATTAGTCAACGAATTGCTCAAAATATCGGGAGTGTGATGAGGTGTGTATTTATTTGACTTTCAAAGGAATGAGGATATCAAAGCATGCTTATGGTCATTTTGGTTACAACATGAAGGATTAAACTGTTGATTTTTAACGTTTCATTAACTTGAATAATTGAGGTCTGGCATAAAAAGTTTGTCTCTACCCAAATGCAGACCACTTTTGAAGATTGCCGATATTTGCTTAGAAAATCCATTAAAATGTTATTTTGATACTATTACACATTTACTAAAATCTTTGGTTAATAATGATTGAAAAATTGTGTTGGATAATAATTTGGCGCCTTTTTCAAATCTAAAAAAATGAGAAAATTAGCAAATGGATTGAATTGTGCTGTAAAATCTTCTTCACCACAAACAATCATGATGAGTGGTAACAAGAGGAGTCTTTATTCAATTATCCTTGGAGGAGGGTTGAAGAACAAATCAATGATGAATCAACACAGTTTCGGAAAGATTGGATTTAATGTAATGATGATGAATAATTATTCGACGTCGTCGTCGAGTACTTCCACCACTCCATTGTTTTCTCCCAGATATAATGTTGTAGTTTTGGATATTGAAGGTACATCAACCAATACCAGTTATTGCAGAATGATTGAAGTTGCTTGTGCAAGAATTGTCGATGGTACATCAATCAGTTCATTTACCAGTTTGGTTAATGCTGATATCGATTATATACCAGAACCAGTTCAAGAAATTACAAAGATTACAAAAGCCATGATTGACCTTTCACCTCCTCCCCAAATAGTTCTTTCACAATTATATAATTTTTTGAGTTCACAACCATCCCTTGTAGTTGGGCATAATGTTAGATTTGATGCTAGTGTGATTTACAATGAATTTGTGAGATATAAGATTATCAATAATGAAGTTCACAAACCTGACGACTTTATATCACATTCACTCTTTACAAACACACTCTGTACCCTAAAGCTTGCAAGAAGATTATTTCAAGGTCAACCAGATTACAAGTTGGGTAACTTGGTAGAAAACCTTGGTTTGGGTAGGTCTATTAATGCCCATAGAGCTCATGCCGATGTATCCATGACAACTCTATTGTGGAGAAGAATCTATCGTGAATCATTTGAACGATTGGGGGGAGAAATATATCCAGATCATGAATTTTTCCTCAAACTTCAAGAAACACCAGCTAAGGATGTAAGGAAATTTATTGAAATGTACAAGATGGAAAAGACTTATGGAAATTAGTAAATTTGGAACAAAATTTATTGAACTGATTGATTATTATATTGATTGAGTGAAATTATTCAAACATGTTTGCCAAGATACTGACATCTCTTTTAGGATAAGTATGATGATTATCGTGCTCATTAACATGATGCACATGATATCCAATCAACAACTCTAAAAAGACATTCACATCTAACCACTTTTGGAAAGGATAAAATTTGGCCACAAAACCATCAAACCAACCCTTCTCGTGTGACAATGTAGTAAAGACCATAAAAATTAAAGCCATAACCAAGCGACATAGGACCAAATGTATGCTGTACAGAATTGGATTCAAGAAGAGGTAAGGCAAAAGAAGGAGAGCCAATCTTGTCATGTAAATTGGGAATAGTTTTTGTTTGGCATTCTCAACATTCTTCAAGTAGAATTGAATATAATTCATTTCGAATTGGGAACTTCTCAAGAAGAGAGTCCAACGATTCAATGAACTCTTACACCAAAAGTCAGCATCTTTGGCCAAGATTTCGTTCAATCGGTATTCGATATCTGATTCGCTTAAATCTTCAATATTCTCTAATGAAATTCTCTTGTCATTTTCTCCATAATTGATTCTGTGATGACTATCATGTCCTTTCTTTCCTGGTATTGATTGGTTAAACATATTAATTGATTGTGAAATAACATACCTGGACCAAAAGATAACAAGTGGCCAAAACCAACCCCCAAGAAAATATCCAATATTGGATTTAACCCGCTCAATTGATGGAGAAGATTATGATAGTTGAGTGTCCATCTGCCTCCACATACAAGATACACTATTGGAATGACAATGACTTGAAGAGCAAGATGGTATTGGTGTTTGAAAAGGAAATGCAAGACGAAGAGTGGAATGAATTGAATGAAAAAGGCACAAATAAGAGAGTAATTCTTATTGAAAGACATTTGCATGCCATTGACAGGATAGTTGCCGTGAATGAGTTGTTTAGACATGATCGAGTTGTGTATTGTTTTTTAACTTGTAAATGGTGGTTTGTTAAGCTTTCGAGATTAAATAAGTTTCAGATATGAATTCACATATTAGATTGGCTAATAATAAATTATTTATAAAAAGAGATCACGTTCGAGAAGAAGAAACTATCGAACGTGAGAATTTTGACATGAGAATTCACGAAATATTTATAACAAACGTGATCCATCTATCTTAATCAGAATAATAAACAAATCAAAATTAAAGATTATCCATCAGATCTGAGGCAGGAGAAGGCAAAAGGTAAACAAAATAACAAAATACTGTTTACAGAGATAATTTAAAATGAAAGGGGACCAGTGGGAATCGAACCCACGGCCTCTCGCACCCAAAGCGAGAATCATACCACTAGACCATGGTCCCTTCTTGTTTAGTTGTTTAAAATATTTGTTTTGAATACAGTATCGTGTGTTGCTGGTTTTCCAATACACATCTGTTATTATTTACCGATTAATACATGGAAACAGATTTTGAATTGATTATGTTGATGTCCACAGAGAAAAGAGATGAAGCTTCATGACAAGGAATTTTTCTAATCTTCCGATGATGAACGATGTCAGCCAATAATCAAAGGTGACGTGCTTCTTTGATGGTATCCATGAACAATCAAACATAGGCGCGCATTAGAAAACAAGATTCTTCAGAAAAGAAAAGAGTGTTGAACACCACAACAAGAAAATGGCTACCAAGAAGAAGGCTGATTCAAAGCCTTCCCAAACAACAAATAGTAATACCAATACCACTACTACATCAAAGCCTTCTGCTGCTGCTGTTCCGAAAACTACAACAACAAAACAGGTATCACCACCATCAGCACAACAACAACAACAATCGGAAAAGGTCTCATCAAAATTATCTATTGTTGCAGAGAAGAGTACTGTTGATGAATCTAAGAAGAATGTAAAACAACAACAAACAAGTAAGAATGCCAATACAACAATTACTACTACTCCATCTCAAAATAATATTAATAATAAGCCTGTAGCTAGTACCAGTGTAAATTCCAATGCAACTGTTGTTACCAATGATTCATCAAATACTTCAAAGAAGAAGAAACAAAAATCATCTGATACAACCACTGCCAATACAACAACAACAACCACTACTACTACTCCTGTTGTTGCTACTCCTACTGCTGTTCAATCTAAGAATAATAATAATAATACTACTACTGTAACTGTTACTCCAAGTAGCTCATCAAATAATGAAAATGTTGCTACTCCTATCTCAAAGAAGAAGAAAAAGAAGTCATCATCTTCCGAATCCACCAATACTCAATCAGTGAATGGAACTGTTGAAATTGTAGCTACCAAGAATAATCCATCACCAAATACTAGTATCACTTCTACTAGTAGCAGTGTCACAACAAGTCCTACAACAACTGTTGCCAGTGATATTGCCACAACTGCTCAACCAAGTCCTATTGTCAAAACAAAACGTGCTCATAATCCAGGAAAAGATGACAATTCTCTTAGTGCTTGGCTTTGTAGAGCTTATTTTGCAATTGGATTACTCATTGCTTGGAATTTGTGTTTTATTGTTGTATTACCAATGTATATATGTCACATTTTGTTTGGATTTGATAGGAATAAGAGTTTGATGGGATGGTTGTTCCGTTACTTTAATAGATGGGCTGTTGAAACTAATCCATTTTGGAATATTAAAACATTCTATGCCAATGGATCAACAAAGAATAGATTACCAAAGAAACAAAAGAAGGTCATTTTCATTTGCAATCATCAAAGTGGAATGGATCCATTTATTTTGATTTCTGCACTTCCAATTGAAGCCAAATGGGTTGCCAAGCATATTATTTTCAAGATTCCAATTGCTGGTTGGCTCATGTCAATGATTGGAGATGTTCCAATTGTTTTCACATCCAAGAAGGCAGAACATACTACCACTGATAAGTCAAGTGTCACTCGTGCTCTTGATACATTGAGAAATTATCTCAATAATGATTGTGCTGTATTCTTCTTCCCAGAAGGCAGAAGAAGTGATAATCCAGATGAATTCTTGGAATTCCGTAAGGGTGCCTTTGTTATGGCTTTGCAAACTGGAGCTGACATTATTCCAATGGCCATCTCTGGAAGTCACACCATTTGGGAATTGAAACATAAATTACCACGTCCAGGTCGTTGTGCTATCGTTGTTGGTGATCCAATCAGTGTTAAGGGAATGACTTTGGAAAATGATGTTGATAATTTATTACAAAAGAGTAGAAAGGCAGTTGAAGATTTGTACCAAATTGCTAAAAAGAAGGCCAAGAGTTTGAAATAATTTAACAAGTTACCTAAATTAATTTAAAGGAATTTTTCCAAATAAAACAGATTTCATTCTACTCAACAAATATCCAAAGCAATAATTCCAATCAATTGAGTTCAATAAAGTTTAATTCAATTTTAATAAAATTTCAAATTTTCTTAAAAAAGTTATTAAAAAAATTCAAAATGTACTTGGAGTGCAATTTCCCAATTAAAGCCGATACATCGGATAGTTACTTGTCGTCACTGGCTCATCGTTGTAGTTTTCTGAGAAATTGTATGTAAAATTCCATCATCACACAGTATTATTAATTATAATAATATTTATAATGATGAATCACACCATTTGCAAATATCACCGCGTGTGGTGTGCATATGGGGTTTTTAATATATATAATCTGAAATTCTTCTTCTTCTTTTATTTGGGAAAAGTGGGTTGGCAAGGAGTTTGTTTAAATATTACTATTGACTCTACAAATATCGGACAACAAAATCAAATCATTCAAGATACATTTCCAATAATTGTTAAATATTTGAGGGAATCATTGGATAAATTGGAGCATGATTCTAAAATTTCATTCATTGCTCCTCTTCGTAAAAAGTCCAATGCTACTTGTTCATTATTTAATCAAGATGGAGGAAGGGATTTTAAAGTATTTACACGATTGACATATTCTTCTGATTTGCACAAGAAACTTGTGAATATGAACTTTGAGGAGGAAATTTATCAAGAAATTGATATTATTGCTTTGGATTTACAAATTGGACAACACTTATCTTGTGATAATATGATTTCTTATTTGAGTACTATTTGTACAAAATCTAATATTGATATTTTGAGCTTTAGACCTCCATTTGATACAACCCTCGATACAGTTATTAGAAAATCAAAGAACAAACTGAAGGAAGCTTTGAGGAGAAATATTTGTATGGAATTTTGTTATGGAGATGTTGTTCATTCCAAGGATGAATTGAAAAAGTTTGGTATTTCCAATTGGATTCAATTCCTCATTGTCATGATTCGTAACTTTAAGGCTAAACAATTAATCTTTTCGAATGGTAGTTCTAAAATGTTGAGCACAGCTATTGTACAAGATATTAATCAACTTCCATTCATTAGATCTCCTCATGATGTTGCCAATATGGTTGGATTATTTGGATTGAGTTTTGTTGTTGGTAAATCTCTCATCACAGCCAATGCTCTGCACGCCTTGAAACATTCAGAAATGAGAAAGGCCATCAGAGGTGTTGTTAAAGTTACTGAACTTTCCTCTGAACAAGTTAATAAGAAGAGAACTGTTGATGAAATGCAAGATGAATAAATAATTTATTTGAAGATTTTTGCTTTTCCAAGAATGTAATCATTTAAATTGCCTTTACAATCAAGTTAAACTTATTAACATATTCCTTTCTGCATGGCAATTCTTCAATGCCTTGTTCGGAACGATTAAGAGGAGTCCAAATAGGTTCAGCCATACATTCCAAGAATAAACGCATAGCAATAGCATACTTCTTATCATCCAAAGTGAATCTGTGATAAATACCAGCAGGTAAAACAAGCAAATCACCAGCTTCAACAAGAATTCTAATCCATTCATCGGATTTGTCTCTAACATCGAAAATACCTGATCCGTCAACAAAGTATCTAATTTCTTCAAATTCATGAATATGTTCATCAAAGAATTTAGGAAGCATTTCATCAATGTTTGGCATCTTTTCCTTGTACAAGTAGACCATTGAACGATGGCCGTATCCTCTTTCCTTGCAGATTTCTTGAATACGAGTTTCATAGTCCTTGTTATCAATGAAAGTGTACAATACACCCACCGATTGTTCCAATTCCTCCAAAGTAACTGATCTTTCAGGATTGTCGATGTAGAATGCTCTGACCATTTTTTTGCTGACAGTTTAATTTAAACGGACTGCTTTGTGTAAAATTTATGTATTAATAAGTTTGTGTGAGTGGACAGAGTCTAGAAGCTGGCCTTATTTGGGGAATTTTGGAGTTTGGAAAATAGTAAGGCTGCTATTGAATTTCCAATATCATCTTATTTCACGGTATACTTGTGGGTAGCAGTGTCTCATTGTTGATATCGTTGCAATTTTGAGAGTCACGGTACCACTAATAGACAGTTATCGATGAGAAGAATGACCTTTCATGATCACAATTCAATTTGTTGGCATTCAAAATCAGTCAGCTTTAAACTGATGAAAACTTGAAAAATCTTTCCTCCCAAGCGATCGGCAAAAAATTAATGATGAAAATTTTTTAATAATTTTTTAATTTTTTACGCTTTTATTGGTTAGCGAGGGGAGGAAGTGAATATACAAAAAGTTTAGGGATTGTGTGTTCTACAAATATAAAGGAGAAAAAGGAAATTATTGGTTACCGATGATGATGTTGTTGATTGGGATGTGGATAAGTTTCACAAAGAATCCGATGAATCCCATAATCAAAAATCCAATAGCAGTAGCAAAGGCAATCTTTGAAAATTCCTTTGAATCTGGCTTCTTGCAAATAGTAATAAATCTCTTAGAAGCACGGTAGAATTCACCGGCTGGTTGGGCAACTTCGTCAACAAGATCCATTTTTTTTTGTGAATGATTTTAGCTTGGCAAGGTGCGTTTACAAAAGTTAGAAGGCATTTTTAAGTGACACGTCTTGCTGCCTTGCTCAGCAAAAGTAATTCCATCAGCATTGTGGCTCAACACATCATCACACAACAGAGTACTTTCTTGGATGCAGTTCAGTTATGATGAATAATATCAAGAGGAATTACGAATATTTATAATGACGTATTATTGAAGATTATAATACAGAATAATAATATTCAAGTTTTAAATAATTATTATACACGTACATGATGAAGATGAATGGTTAGAATGAAAAATCACTTTATCAAAATTCCATAAAAAGAATTAAATTATTAATATAGTGTTTTAATTCTCGATAATTTCCCAATTTTAAATATTTGGTTTTTTTATTGTTTATGAAAATCGTAAATAATTAAAATGTTACTATAGTAATGGTCCACTTATTGAGCCAAATCCTTTGAAATGTTTTTGTACAAGTCCTTGTCATCATTGACTCTGTCAGCAACATCATCGGAGGAGTTGAATCTCTTTCTTCTTCTTTGAACGTACAGTCTTCTCTTTCTGACCAAATCATCAGTGAAACTTTCATGAGCTCCACTATAAGCTTGGAAACCAGTACCAGTGAGCAACATGGTGGTAATCAAGTGCCAAGGTCCTATTTAGTTAAATTAATAATAATATTAACAATAATTATTTAAAGATCATTGTCATCATCCGATATATTCATAAAATTATCATTAACAATTAAATCCAGTCAAAATGTTCCGTAATAACGTTTTTGCAACAACAAAATCCTTCTATCATATTTATCACTATCCTACTTACTTCTGACGAAGTGAACACGTTGAAGTTTACAAGCACCAGCATAACCCAAGAAACCGATGGCATTACCCAACAAGAATGGGTTACCAATTTCAAACTTGAAATCCAAAGGCATTTTTTTTATTTTTCCAACATTATTTTTAAATTTAATTTAAAATTTAATATTTCTTCTCTATTGTTCTCTTTCTTATTGGATTTGAAATGATGATTGTATTATTAGTGAATCGGATGGTATAATATTATATTATGATATTTAATCTTACTCTCATCGTTAAAAGAAATCAAAAAAATGTTTTAAAAATATTTCTTCATCAAATTAAAGGCTTTATCAATGAATAACAGCAACAAGGAAGCGTTGAATCAAAGTGTTACTGGGAGGAGACTTGGAGTGTTGGCTAGACATGTATTTTCAATACCACTTCAAACCTGTTTGAATCATACTCAACGGGTGGTCACTCATCAATCCAACAATACAATTAATAGGAGCGAGAATCGAAATTATCGATCCAACAATTTAGATTGGTATTTCGGAAATGATTTAAATAGAGGAGGATTGAAAAATAATGAGAGAAAACCAGAAATTCAATCTTCACTCAATAATCAATTCTTCTTCAAAAAGGAACAAGAAAATAATTTTACAAATTCCAATCATCAACATTCTGAATTTAATCCAATTTTAATTCCAAAGAATCATCAGCAAGTTAATCCTTCATCTGAAAAAGATGATGAGGAACAAGACAGTTTATTGGAATTGCTCTCAAATGATAGAGTTGACCAAACAGAAACAAAAGAAGAGTTTGAGGAAAAGAAGAGAAAATTATTAATTCTTCTAGATCAAGCTGTTGAGGCTAAAATGAAAATTTCCAAGGCATTCCCAGAAAAATTGGCTCTATTTGGGAATGATTTATCGAGATATAATCTGAATTGGCATCCAGGTTGGAGAGAACCTGAAAGATTTGTTCCAGAAATTGATTGTGATCCATATCGAGGTGCTTGTTCCGTGAGTAGTTGTGCATGTCAACTCTTTCAATCTTGGCCTGTTGGAGAGGAGGGTAGTGAGCTGTATGTTTACAATCCAAAAATTGTGAATCCTGAAACAGAGCTTTGCAGAGAGTGTCACCACTTGAAATCGGATCACTACCTGGCAACCAAAGCTGACAGATCCAAATATAAGGAATTTTCTCAAGAAAATGTGGAAAAGTATGAACTTCAAGTGAGTGAAGATTTACCTCCAAAACATCCAAGTGAAACCCCAACTCATTTACTATCTCACTATTACGAGGAGAATCCACTCCACCCTGGAGCTAGTCCTAATGTGAACAAGCTAAAATTATTGGAAGAGACAGAGGAGAATGACAAGAAGAAATCCATGTCCTCAATGAATATGGACGATGACTTTGATGACGATGATGATCCTCTAGCAGAAGGATTTTAAATATATTTTTGAAATGGGAATAACAGAATAATATTCTGAAATAGTTGTTCAAACAAACAACTTGACATTTATTCATATATTTTACCACATGAATCTTGCCTCATTTCCATCAGGTCCTACAAAAGGTTTGAAAAGGAACATGTACAAAGTAGCTCCATTAATTAATAGATACCACAAAATATTGACAAATTCTTGTCTGTCACTGCTGCTTGTATTCAAATTTAAAATCATGAATGGAATGATAAAGTATCTGAATTCAATCAATGGAAGAGGAATCAAGTTCAATGCCGTACAAAACAAGAACGTTCCAATCCATAGGGAACTCTTTTGGTTTCTTCTCAATTCTGCAATAATAATCAACAATGCAAGTACATAAATTGGAGAAAATTTGATACATTCGGCAAGTTGAATTTCTGGAATGATATGAATCTTGAATAGCCTTCTCCACAAGTAGAAAATGTAATGTCTATTATCACTCAAAATAAACTTGTGAACATAACTGTAATTCAACGATAGGTAAATAAAAATTGGTGTCAATACTAATAGACTAAGAACAATGATTTTCCATTTTCCAATAATGACACTCTTCAAGCTCAGCAAATATCTGAATAAGATAATACCTGGCTCCATCAACATGACAAATGAGAAAAAGTAAAATAATTGAGATACATGTGTTGTGGCAATATGATTGGAACGGTCCCCAACAGTTAGACCATTATTCCATTTTACAAATGCTAAAAATCCAATTGCAAGCAATGCAAAACTCCAAAACTTGATCAAGATTGAGAAGAAATTAGTCAAACATCCTCCAATAAACTTCCTCGATTGAGTAAAAATACTTCCACTACTGAATTCAACATCAGTACTTTCAAATGACTCAATAATACTCGACAATACAATCCAAAATGCCCAAATAATATTACTCTGTCTAAATAAAACAGCAATAAGCGAGCAGAGTCCACTCAATGCAATTTGATTCTTCCTTGCAAAATATACAGAAAGTAATACAAATAAACACGATCCAACATCAGTATAATACAAGAATGCAAAGAAATAAGTCAATGGAAAGAGTGTCAATCTGAAAGCCTTTGCATAATTTTTCAATAATCCTCCCAAAACAATAAACATCAACAAGGTAAATATTAAATTCAAGCTTCGGAATGATGCACTCGTTCCCATATAACTCCTTATCGATGAAATATTCATTCCCAAATGTTCATACACGTAGGAAAATAAATAAAGTCCAGGCAGAGTTGTAATTTTGTCATCCCACTCTGTAAATCTATTCTGTACGAATTTAATAGCTTGAGGAATGTGAAAGATTTCATCCATGTACGGATTGGGAACATGTGAATTAACGAGTGAGGCAATGATGGTCAGCGATCCGACCAACAGGGAGGAAAATAAAATCAATAATGAAAATGATTGCTTTTCTGGTATTAGTGGTTGCATTTTTTTTTGTAAAGAATTCAAGAAATTAGGAAACACGTGTTTTTAAATCAATAGTAATTGATCCTTTCCTTTCCATTATCTAGTATTTAACATTCATATAAAATTCCATTTAAATTCCAATAAAAGAAATAAAAATCCACTCAATAAAATACAAAAATTTAGTTCAACTTTTTGAATTCAGGAGCCATAGAAACACCCATAGCCATCAATGGGAACAACCAGTTCATGTCAAAGACAATACCACCAAAGATCTTCATAAAGATAGAGTACAATCCTTGATCTCTGTAATTAACCTTACCAACAGAGTTGAGCATTTCTTGAGCAACATCATCACAATCGGAACCAATCAAAGCCATAAAGTCCAAAACACTCAATTTTGGAGAGTTGGCATACAAGTTAGAACGAGTGTATTGAGGATTATAAGCCAAAATATCAATATTGTTGGCAATACCTTCAATGGCCAATGAAGAAGCAAAACTGTTCAAGAAGGACTTGGTAGCACCATACATGACAGAGAATGGGGCTGGGAAGTAAGAAACAGAACTACAAGTCATAGAAATGAGCTTCTTGTGCTTTTGTTGCTTGAACTTGCAGAAGAAGTGGTGAGTAATCTTGACATATGAGAGAGTATTACTATTAGAACGATTGTTTTCAATTATTGATTTTCATGATTTGATGTGAAAATTTTTGGTGTGAAATAATCATCGGAATTAGATCAAAATATGATCATTACTAAAACTTACCATTCAATTTGCTTCATGTGATCTTCAATATTGACCTTATCAAAACCAGCCAATCTGAAGAAACCAGCATTACAGAAAACACAACCAATATCAATATCCTTGGTCTTTTCAATGATAGACTTCATGTAACCAGTTTCTGGGTTATCATTACTCAAATCGACACCAATGGCAACAACCTTTCTGTCCTTGTATGTTTCTTGCATCTTCTTTGTGAAATCAGTCAACAACTTGTCTTCCAAAGCAACAATGACAACATTCATCTTTTGGTCTCTCAACAACTTTTCAACCAAACTGGCACCAATACCAGAACTACCACCTGTAACCATAGCCCATTCAGTTTGATATCTCTTCTTGAGATCAGCATTAGGGAAGTACTTGCAATAAATAATAAAGAGAACCTTGAACAAAATCATGACACCAATGATGACACCAGTGAGCCTATAATAATCAACAAGAGAGAATAACAACAACAATAATGGATCGTTGGTTTTCAAAAGCAACAACAATCATCTGTATGAACAATGCATCAATTTGATTAGATACCTACCACATGAAGCCATACCAAAGGCTTGAAAAAAGGGATCCGAGAAGAGACATTTTTTTAAATTCACAAGCCTTTGATTCTGTTGCGCAATTAGGTTTCGGAAAACGCTTGATTATTATCCTGGAGACAATATTTGACCTGTTATTATTTATTATTGTAATGCTTGTACCATATAATATTTGTCTTGTTGGTATTGAATGTATTATGAAGTATGAAAGCGCACGAGTTGAAGAATGGACTAGGTTGAATATTTTTCTAAGTAATAGGGGATGAAGAAATTGTTGAACAAAAAATTCGGGAATCCGAAAAATACTTGTTAGAAAAATAATTTCTTAATTATTACTAACTATTGAATCATATGTAAACAATAATCAAACATAAAATTATCTCTCTCCTCAATGAATTTACATAAAACAATATAAAAAGAAGAATTTAATTTTTCAGCCAATAAAAAAAATATTGTAAAGTTTGAAAAAAATGAAAAAATTTTTATCCTCTCACTCTGTCTTCAACAAGATTGTTTCTTCATCATGTTGTTTCCATCATAACACCACTCCTTCTTTATCGGCTTACGCTGCCATCAACAACTTTTTAAATTCTACTACAACTTCCAATAAATCCTTCCATACAAATACCGTCTTCTCAAATGCTCAAGTATCACTCAACGCCCTTTCATCATCAAATATTGAGGAAATTATGAAGAATTTACCAGATCCATCAACATTGAATATCAAGCCAAGAAATAAGAAGGAACCTGTTGTGAGAAATAAAACCAGACAAACATGGAGAGATAGACCAAAAGTCACTCCTAAATTCTTGGACACTCTCCCTACCGTTACTTTCAGACAAATTAACATTAAACAAGGTCCAAAGAAGGTTAATGAAGTCACTGAATTGTTGCGTGGAATTAGTGCCAAGGAAGCACTCATACAATTACAAAGTTGCGACAAGAAGATTGCTCCAATTATTTATCGTTTCATTCGTAGTTGTATGTTAAATGCCGAAAACATTCACGGAATGAATGCTGACCGTCTTTTGATTAGAGAATGTATTGTCAATAAGCAAAAGTATGGTAAAGCTTTGAGATTCCACGCCAAGGGTCGTTTCGGTCTTGAATTGAATAGAAAAACAAGTGTTCTTGTAAAGATGGTTGAAGTTCCAGAAATTGAAGGTGAACACAGATTGGGTAGATATGGTTGGACCAACAAGACTTGGAGAGAATATGAAGAAGACATGCTCAGAGAAAAGACAACTGAAACTGTTGAAGCTGAAGAAGTCTTCGAACCACAACAAGAAATGTCAGAAACCGAAGAAGTGATAGCGGAACCAGTTGAAGAAGTTAAAGCTGAAACACCTAAGCAACAATAAGCGATATTTTGATTTTTTAACATGATTTGGAAATAAATTTATAATTCTTTAATTTGTTGGAATTTCCAATTTAATTTTTAAATTATTTCATTTAAATTTTAAATTTACAATTAAATATTAATATTTCAAAAATGTCAACCATCATCATACCATGCAATGATGAATAGACATAATTTATATTTATACAAATGAACTAGTTTACATCTTTTCCTTTCTGGCTTTCATGGTGCTCATGAATTCATCATATTCCAAAACGCCATCCTTATCCTTATCATAGATAGCATAGACCAAATCAACAACTCTGTCATTAACCTTAATCTTTGCCACTCTTTCAAGGGCAAATTTGAAATCTTGCTTCTTCATACCACCTCTTGATGATGTGATCAATTGGATAGCAATACCAATATCTTCACTGTGACTAGCCATATCATTGAATGCCTTGAAGGTATCATAATCAATACGTCCAGTTGGGGCGAAAAATCCTCTAGTTTTCAACAAATTCAATTGTCTCTTGAAATCACTAATATTAGTAGAGTTGTAATGTACACTCTTTGTCATGAGCTCAGAGAAGGCTTCAACAGATATTAAACCATTTCCTTCAACATCATATTGTAAAAATTCTTGCTTTAAGAGAGCACTTTTACACTTGTGAATAAACTTGTTAAATTCTTCGAATGATAACTTTTGACTCAAATCTTTTCCGAACAAACGATTCATTAATCCATTATTATTCCAGTCAATATCATCCAAAATATCCTTCTTGGAACTCTTTCTCAAACGACTAGCTTTGATCAATTCTTTGAATTCTGATGCTTCAATACTACCTGATCCATCCAAATCAAAACATTGGAAAGCAATTTGTAATTGACGTTCAGAACATGACAAGAAGGTCATGAACAATGCATATTCATCAAAACTAATATATCCATTCTTATCAGTATCAGCATAGTCGAAAATGAGTTTCAATTGTTCATCATTGGCTCTCTTCTTGTCAACAAGTAATTTTCCATCTCTTCTTGGAAGAGCAACCCAAGAAGGAGCATCAGGTCTAGAAGTGAGCAATGAATTGATAAATGCTTCAAGACTCATCATCTTTTCAGTACGTCCAGTCTTTGGATCAACAATATCTACATCGGCATATTGTTCAAAAAGTTCAACAATATTCTTTGATGAGCCTTTAGCAACCTTTTCAATTCCTGCTTCTTTGAGTTTTGGTTCTTCTGTTGTTTCTGCAAGTAAGTAACCTAATCCGAATCCAGCAAGAACTCCCAACAATCCAGTGACCCAAGGCAAACGTCCATTAGAATAAGACTCTTCAGATAATCTACGGATCTCTTCAGCAGATATTTGGGAATAATTATATTTATAAAATCTAACATTTGATGATGATCCAACCAATTGTGAACAACCCTTCAAGCTGTTGTTACATTGATAGGATGATAAAGATGATGATGGTGATCTATTATTATTGATTACTGATGATAATACAATAGAAGCAGCGCGTCTAAAAGATGAAGTTCTGGCGGGAAGAGGCATTTTTTTGATTTATGAAACTTTTGTGATTTGTTCACTGAGAAGAAGTGAAAGACATTGCAAAGTTAATAAGAGAATCAACTTGTGTTCATCACAAAGTACATATTGTTCATATTGAACAATCTTGGTATTGGGCACAAGATGAGGAAAGGAATTTTAAGAAAAATTAATTGTGATGAAGAATTTTAGATTTAAAAAAATGAATAAATCATCTCTGATGATGTTTGTGGTGAAGAGTGGTAATAACAGGAGGCTCTTGTTTCATTCTTCTTCGGGAAATGGTAGAATGAAAGGAATGCAAATTCAATCATTATGTAATCAAAGACAATTTTCCAATTCCCTGTTTCAGTTGATAAAGAAAGAGGATCATACTCCCCCTGAGAAACAACTCGATTCATCATTGAAGGAGGAAGAAGAACGAAAACAGACAGGATTAATCAAAGAAAAGAACTCTCCAACATTTCTTTCTCAAGTCTACAATTTAAAGAATGGAATAGAAGCTATGGAACAACAAGTACTAGCCTATTTTCCAAAATCATCCATCCAAATGACTCCCTTCTTCCTGAATGAAATGATGAAAAATCCAAAGAATTATTATTGGGTAGCCTTGTTAGCAATTTTAGGAACGAGTGGATTCTTGTACATGTATTATTTATTTTACTATAAACAATTTGTTGGGAAATTGATAGAACAGGAGAGGTTTGATATGGATTCAACAATAACTACTCTCCGATCGATACAATTGAATTCTAGTAATTATGGAAGCTTTCCTTCATTGATGGGATTGAATATTGAAAAGCTTGTGGAAAAATTGAATTCTGATGAGATTAATATTGAAGTGAGGAGAGAAACTCTTTCTACTATTTATTCATTGTGTCGATATGACTATTTTCTCAAGCAATTGATTTGGAAGAGAGACTTTTTGTCAAGTCTTGTCGATTCTTTGCAAGTTAGTTTAACAAGTGAGGTCACTAAGGCAATTCTTGAAAAGTTATTCTCCTCCAAGATTGCCATGAAAATTTTGAGAGAGGAATGTCCAACCAATTTCCACAATGTCATTCAAAAATTAATGCAAAATAATCAACATGATATTTCCCTCAAGTTACTGTATCAATATTATGATGGATCTGTGGAGGAAATTAAAAAGTACTATGAGAATAGACTTCATTTGGATTCAATAGAGGCAGTCAAGCGATTAGAATTCATGAAACAGAATAATGAATCGATAGGGAAATTAAATCTTGGAGAGAATACAGAAGGTAATGGATTAATGAAAACCCTCTTGGCTAGAGTTAGTTTGGTACCACTCGAAGTGGCTTCTACTGTTGTCTATTGCCTCTATTCATGGAAGAAGAGAGCTAATTCACCTGTTGTAAGTTTTTTATAATTTTATTGGAATAATTTGCGAATATTGCATTAATATTATTTTCAAAAGCAATTCAATAATCACATTAAAAAGTGGGCCATTGTTGCTGGTCTAGTTCCAGCTGTTGCTGATTTAATGGTCACAACATTGCTTTCCAAGCCATTTGGTAAAAAGGTGGAACAATATTATTCAGAGAATGGTTCAAATTACAGTGGAACTAAATTCAGTCCTACCACAGTTAATATTATTAATACCTCCATAAGATCTTTGGAAGTGATATCACTATTATTGTTGTGGAGAAGAGCTAGATTTATTCTTCTTCCTACTTTTGTAAACATTCTTCTCACTTACAATTTACATCACACGCTTAATAAGGATGCAGATCTCAAGTATTTTGACAAGAATTTAAATTCTGCTAAGGAAAACTATCAACACAGAAGACTCTTGCTCTCTGATAAAGCAACAAACGAAGATGAAGAATAAATTTATCGATCTATCTTTATTTCAACTAATTTTACAGGATATTTACAGGAATGAGGAAATATATTCAATAAGTAAATGGCAAACTAAATAACTTGTCCATCATTATTTCCCTCATTGGAGTCACGATCATGATTATCACGATCAAAGAATTTCTTATTTGCCAACTCTGTCATTAATTCATCAACTTGCTCATCATTGGATTCGGAAATCAAAGACAAGAGTTTGAGACGTTTTTCAAGAGTTTTAATCTTTTCCTTTAATGTTGAATTTTCATTTTCCAAATCCACAACATGCTGTGATTGTAAATCATTATTCTTTGAATAATCTTGTACTTTGTTAGTTGATTGGTCAATTAATTCTTCCCATCTTTGTTTTGTATCTGAATTCCAACTATTTGGTCTTGTATGACCAGTGTTGTAGGTAGTATTGTGAATATCGTTTTTTAATTCTTCCAACAGTTTTAACAACTCATCAAATTGCTTTGCTTTTTCTTGTGTTGACATTTTTTACTTTGATTGACCGTTGTAATTTCTTGATAGATGGGAGAACGTGTTGAATCTGCGCATTGTCTATTTAGTGATTTACCAAATTTACTCAAAGATTACAGATTATCTTTAAAATCAATTAAGAAAATAATTCCTCTTTGTATTATAATTCAATACTAATCAAATTATCAATGTAATTTCACATTGTTCTTACTAATATGCAATTGCAGTTGAAGAATAATAGTTTTCAATTGTTTGCAAACTATTTAATACGCTCTCAAAATTGTAAAATTGTGTGCAAAATTATTGGACTTGTGTCAAACTTGGATTAAAAACTTCAGCAATCATACATCTGGCACTACCTCCACCAATGGTTTCAATAATCTTACTGATTGGGAAAACAACAGCCTTACCATGTTCAGCTTCCAAAATTGTTCTTTGTTCTTGTGTGAAACCATTATAAGCAGAATCAGACATGACAATAACCTTTCCACCAGTCTTGGTAGCAAGTTGAATAACATTGGCACACATCATCTTTTCAGTTTGTTCAACAGTCAAGTCAATAACGAGCTTTCTAGCCTTTCTCAATTCAGACATGACTCTTTCTCTATCTTCTTCAACAATGACAGCAGAACAAACAATGGCAAATTCTTCACCAATACTCAACATGACATTGGTATGATAGAATCCCTTTCCATTTGAACTCTTTGTTTTAAAAGTAACAGCTCTAGTCTTTGATCCTTCAGTGCTTTTAACAAAAGCATCCAATTGTTCAGCATTACATCTTTCCGAAATGTTTGCATAAACAACACCATTCAAATGATCAAATACCATACAACCAGTTCCTTCCAAAGCCTTTGATGATGGTTCTTCGTGCATCTTGACAATACGTTTCACCTTTAATTTAGCTTCATCTAACAAGGCTAAAACGTCATCCAATCTTTCAACTTCAGCACGACGGTTTGGAGTAAACATTGGATAAGTAAAAACGGTACCATCGGCCGATGATGAGAACCAATTATTTGGGAAAACAGCATCTGGACATTTAGTAACATTCTCCTTCTTGGATCCCTCCAAAACTAAAACTTGAACACCAGCTTCCCGAAGAGCAGAAACACTCTTATCAAATTCTTCAATAGCAGCATCTCTAATTTGGTTTGGTGTCTTGTCATCAATTCTATTTTGGAATTCATTATCGACAGCTGTTTGTTCGTTGAATGCAAAATCAACTGGGCGCACCATCAATACAGTGTCGGTGAGTTGTGGGTGGAATGTAGATGGTTGAGACATTTTTTTAAAAATTGTTGTTTTTGTTGTGTAACGGAGATGATGATGATGATTACAAATCTTTAGAGTGTTGTTTCAGTATAGTAGAGAGAGAGAGAAATTGGAAGAGGAAGGATTTGAGTTGGTGTTATCCAAATGTACATTTGCTGGTTGATTTGCCATTCTTGGAATTTGGATGATGTTTTGTAATGAACTACAAACTGAGTTGAATGTGAATCACATGGAATGATTGGAAATTTGTCCTTCTGTGTACGCCGTTATTCCAAAGTTTAAGGAAATTAAGGGAATTTACTCGATCAAAAATCTTTTGGATTTTTTGAATCTGGGGTTACGATTTTTTGAATGGATTGTTCTAAGGAGTTTTCAAAGGACTTTTCAACCACATTATTAAATTTATGATAATGCAATAGTCTTATCTATTAATATCTACTTTGTCTTAACTGCCAATAATTATACAATTTCCAAAAATATCCTTTCCTCATTATTAGAAACCTTTCTTTCAAAAAACAATAACAGAAAAAATGTTACTAACCAAATTCTCATTTCTTCTCCTTCTAATTTTCCTCTTTTCTTCATTCCAGCACCATCTAAATGCTCAATATCCAGTTGTTGCTGGAGGAGGTGCAGCCTCTGGTGGAGCCATTGGCCCAAGTGGAGCCTCCTATCTAACACAAGGTGGTACACTCGATAAGTACAATTCAGATACGCTCGCCTATAAGGATAAGATTCAAGTCATGATGTTTGTGCCATTTGTGGCTCAATCAAGTGGATACAGACAACCTTCCATGTATGGTGGTAATGCTTATGGTTCCTATGGATATCCATATGGTGGAGGATATTATGGATCGTCACCTTATTATTATCAACCTGGAAGTAATTATCAAAGTGTTCAAACACCAGGTGGAGTGGCTTACAGTTCTAATTATGGTTATCCTTCGTATGGAAATGTGGCTAATGGAGGAGCATACCGTTATTAGTTTTGTCAACCTTTTATTTGCTTGTTGTGTGATTTATTATTAGTGATTAATAAATGAACAATTGGTTCTATGAATGTTTGGTTGAGGTCTCTTTTCTTTTTTTCAAGAAATCATTGGCATGAACATTTCCCATTCTTAAAAACGTGGTATCTAAAAGCAAACCCTTGAATATCCTTTATTTAAAGCTGGAATAACACCAATAAATTTGAAATATTGTTTATGGTACTGAGAGTTCAGTTCCACGAAAAGTTGCAGAAATCTTGTTGCATGAAGTTACAATGTTTATCTACTGAGATTAATTGTAATCATCCAATTATTGTGAGTGGAAAGTGTTTAATACGAGCTAGAAAGTGATCCCAAACTCTCAGTGCAAACTTTTCACTTCTTGCAGAATTGGAATTGTTCATAGCAATCAAAGAGAAATTCAAAGTGTTTCAACAATTTTAATTGCTCATTTCATCTGGTTGAGGACCCTCTTCTTTTTCATCTGTCATTGTAATAAAAACAATGTAATATTAATGTTGTTGTAACAGCTGCTTCCAATTTGATTCCCAAAAACTTATTAGAACTACATTATGGTATAGTGTTGAAGGTAATGATACTGTCAATTTAGTTGTTTATCATAAGTCAAATGGTGTTGATGATTGTACTACTTTATGGTACAGTGATTGTAAACTTGGCACAACAAGTTGTGAAAATCTTCAGAAGTATTCAAACTTTCAAATATTGAAAATAATTGTTTGAATTTTCTCTATGGAGAGTGAGTACTTTCAAAATTTCAATTAATATTGATGAGGGTGGACAAACGTGCTTTATGCAAATCGCTTAAAAGCACAATTTCTGAATGCGGTCAAACTTTCGAATAAATTCTGAGGATCAGAGAGTGGGAATTTTTCAATTCAAAACAAAAAAGAAAATGAGCAAAAAGTATAACATTGGTATTATTGGAGCAGGTAATATTGGATCTGCATTGGCCAAACATTTGGTTGCTTTGGGTCATTCAGTTGTCATTGCAAATTCTCGTGGTCCTCAAACTTTGATTGATGTTGAAAAGGAAACAGGAGCAAAGGCAGTTCAAATCTCTGAAACAATCAAAGACATTGTCATTGTAACCATTCCATTCAAAAATATTGAACAATTACCAAAGGATTTATTTAGAAATGCTCCAAAAGATTTGGTCATTATTGATACTAATAATTATTATCCAGGATTTAGAGATGCTCCAATTGAATCGTTGGATAAACTTGAATTAACTCATAGTGAATGGGTTTCCAAAACAATTGGAAGATCAGTTGTTAAGGTTTTTAACAATATTTCAACCTATAGTTTGAAATTCAAGCCAAGCAAAGATAAAAAACACAGAGTGGCTCTTCCAATTGCAGGAGATGATGAAAAGGCTAAGGCAATTGTCTTTGATTTGGTTGAACAAATTGGTTTTGATCCAGTTGATGCAGGTTCTTTGAAAGATTCCTGGAGACAACATCCAGGAACTCCTTCCTATGGCTGTGACTATGGTAAGGAAGAATTGCAAGAGAAATTGAAACAAGCTGATCAATCTCTCTCACTTAAAAAACTTCAACAAGCTTTCGTTCTCTATGGACAAGCAGTTGAACAATTTAATAAGGAGAAGGGCAAGGAGTGGACAATGGTAGAATATCTCTTACAAGGAGGAGAAGAGTTTAATGATAAGTTTGTTGATATTCAACGTTCACTTTATCAATAAATATTCTATACGTGTTAGTGATACCAACAACATAAATTGTCAATTCGTTGTTGCTTGGTGAAGCATAGTCATATATTGATTTTTGGTAGAGTACGTGTTGAATACTCGATATGAGGTCAATATCATTTTTCTTTTTACTATTCCAATAAAATTGGCATTGTTCTGAATAATCATATGAAAATTGGCGGGAAGTCTAATTGTTGGTAAATAAATTTAAAAATTAAAATAAAAAAATGGACAATACTCAACCTGCTGCAAAACCATCTCTGAGATTCTACATTCCCATTACACCCATCGATTTTGATAGTTATGAAGATCCACTCGCTGACAAATATCCTACAACTGTAATCAATTTTAAGAAACTTTTACGGGATGCAAAGAAGTTTATTGAAAAAACCTCTGGAAAAAGAGTTTCAACACCCAAACGAAAAGCTAAAAAGGTAGTTGATGATGATGAGGAATCGGAGGGTGAAATGATGGAGGATGAGGAACCATCTAAATTACCAACAGAAACAAATGCTACTACCACAAGTGATAATAACAATGAAGCATCTTCATCATCTACGATAGGTTTTGGTTTCTTGGCCAGCAATAATGACGAAGAGGAGGAATATGTTTTCGAATCGGAAAGTGCTCCAACACAACCACAACCATCAGAACAAGAAAAAGACAAACAGAGAAGAGAAAAATTAAAGACCAATACCATTCTTACTACTGGATTATTAACACAATCCGATAGAGGTGAGATTGATCCTGACGAATTGGATTGGGAATTATTGTCCGAGACAAACTCTCATGCAAATCGTTTGAATGATGTGATTCACAACATTACAAAGAGAGAAAGACAACTCAAATATTCTCTCACTCTTCCAGAAAGAGGTAGTAGTAAAAGCACTAAGAAGAAGAAGGAGGAAGAAAAGAGAAGATTCGATTATGATAGTGAGGATTCATTCATTGATGATACAGAATATGATGTAATTGCTACTGATTTCCCAATGATTCCACACCAAGAAGCTCAACAATTAGAAAAGCACACATTCTATGATGATGAAGATTCTGAAGAAGATTCCGATGAATCATCCAGTGATGAAGATGATACTCTTGGTGGAGATGATCAAAAGAATTCTAAATTCCATGAAGAAATTGAAGAAGCAATCACTGAGCTCGAAGAACTCTCTAAATCACTCGGGTTTGACTCTTCTAAATCCTACAAGACCATTCCTCCAGAACTCAATGAAGGAATTAAAAAGTTGGCTCTTGCTCGTTTGAAGCATTTCAAGAAGGGTGTACCAAATACACTTCTCAAAAGGTTGAGAAAAATTCCACCACTTAACTTTGGTCCAAAGACAATCAAGGATCGAATGAAGTCACTCGTCAATGAGCATGAGCAAGTTGCTTATCCAGCAGAGATTTCCACCTTGAAGACTGCACTCAAAGAGGCCCTCTTTAGGGAAGTTGCCAACAAATTGAATGAGACAACCCTTACTTATTCTGCCACTGTTTATGAAACTCTTCGAGATAAATTTAGAAAGGAGGCAAACATGAGACTTTCACTCTCTCAAGAAACCAACGAGCTTATTAAGCAAATTATTAACAAAACCTTTGAGTATGTCGATAGCCATAACAAGGGTAAGCCAGTTGAGGAACATCTCGATAAGAGAAAGGAGCTAGACCAATTTATCAAGGAATTGCGTAGCATTTGGCCTTCAAAGACAGATGTCATTAAAAAGTTAAAGGCCTTAGTTCCAGAAATTGAGTCAATTAGACCATCTTCAAGCAGTGCCTCCCTTGCAACATCTTCAAAGGAAGGCTCTTCATCAAAACCTTCCGAAGCAAGCTCATCCAGTGCTCCAAGCTCTTCCACAACAACTGGCGAAGAAAAGAAGAAGAAAAAGTCATCCTCATCATCAGCCGATGGAGAAAAGAAACGTAAGAGAACTGTAAAGAGAAACAAGTCAGAAAAGAGTGACAAGAAAGACGAAGATAGTGAGCCAGAAGAAAAGTCTGAACCACCAAGAGTAGCTAAAAAGAAGAAGGAATAATTCAATAATTTTGGTTTCATGTCAACCCGCTCAGTGTACTTGGCTCTAACTTGTAAGAGAACCAACAACTCAAATTACTGCAAGTGTTACACAGTTCAAAAATCACAAATTGAACTAAGCTTCCAATTTTGATGAAAAATTTTGAAAGTGAATTAATAAATAATTTATCTTTTTCTTTCCTTCTTGAATTGAACAGTCTTTACATCAGAATAGTCACCTTTAAGATTCTTTCTTTCAGTTGATTTGTCTCTTTCAATCTTTTCAACCTTGTCTGATGAGAGTGTTAATTGGAGAGCTACTTCAATATCATTAATTGTCTTTTCAATAACTTCTCTCTTGGAAATTAACTTTTCCAACTTTTTATATTCTGCAAGTGTGGCATTATCAGTTGCTGGTGTAGTGTAAGCATCAATACCTGCGTTTGGTGCATATGCTTGAACAGATTGTTCAGCCAAAGTCTTTCGTTTCACTCTGTTATGAGTTTGATTGAGCAGTAAAGGATCAGTATCGAAATATTCCACAGGATCGAAAGTTTCCAGCTCTTCCTTACTCTTCAAAAATACTTTATGCTTAATTTTCTTATCAGACTTGGAAGCAACTTCCAAAAATCCAAGTCCTCTTCTCAGTTTTTCAATATTATTATTTATAATTTGTAATTTCATTCTGAGTAAATTCAAATTCTTTTCCGCATTTTGTTGTACAAACAATCGTTGTTCCTTCTTTGTTTTTTTTAAATTATTCAAGGCTTCCTTTTTCTTCTTCATTGTTGGAATCTTTTCAATAACTGTTGTTCCTGTATCGGTTTTTGTGGCGTGTGCCATATCGATAAAGTATTCATCTTCATTCTTATTCTTGATTTGTTCGTGTAATAACTTTTTTTGTTCCTCAATTTGATGGGCCTTTCGGGATCTCACTTTATAATCCTTGTGTTTTTCCAATGTACCATAACCCAAATCCCTACGCCATTTTGGTTGGGAACGTTCCTTCTTGGTTTTACGAGGAATTGCGTTTTTCAGTGATGAGAATTTTGTCATATTTTTTTTGAAGTTGAATAATTTTATTCTTCATCACATTTATTTTGTTGAAGTAGTGAAGGAATTTTTAAATATTTATTATTTAATGTGATCCGAAGGTTTTTATGATGACATGTTTAGAATTAGATAAATAACTTAGTAATTGTTTATTCAATATTAATAATTGCTGCTGTAGATGAAGTTGTTGTTGTTGCACCAAGTGTTGTTACAACATTCTTTCTCTTAGGAACAAGAACATTCACTTGTTCTACTTCCTTTGGTGCCTCTGAATTGGATTGGATAATCTTTTGAAGTGATTTACCACTCTGAGAGATGAGTTCTCCAATCTTTGAGATGTGAGTTTGGAGAGGTGAGAGAGGTGTTGTTGAATTAGTTTCAGTTGTTGAGCTGCTGTTGTTTTGCATTTCAGTAATGACTGAGAGTAAATCGTACTTTTCTCCCAGTTCAGTTGAATCAAATCGAATAATACCCATCAACCCTTCTTGTGATGAAATAAAGAGAACATTGCCGTCATTGCTCCAAGCAACATCGGTAATTGTTTGTGTGAATAATTTCTGAGCTCTGTATAATACATTATTGGACTCGGTATCGAAAATAATAATTTCATCCTTCGAGGAGGCACAAGCCATCATTCTATAAGGCAGCATTGATTTTTCAGCAATGGATTTGTAAAGAATTGGTGAGAATCTAACAACTGGACAAGTGGAAGTCAGGCCAGCAATACACTTGACTGGCTTCTTCCATATATTTCTATAGAACATGTGTAAAGAGTTGGATAAACCTGCTGTTGTGAATAAGAAGGTACCATCTGGAGAGAAGGACAATCTTCTAACACTATTCAACACTGTAGATCTGTACTGAATGGTATGATTATCTCCTTGGAATAATTCCTTATTATCCTTAGCACTCTTCTTGATAGTTCCAACCTTTTCAAAGACTGGAGCTCCCTTCTTCTTTTTCTTAGATTCACCAGCAGTATTTGATGATTGTTGACTTCTTGGACCTAGAATTGAGAATTTTTCTTGATTCAACCCAAACAGTATCGACTTTTTAGCAGCACTCAATTGAATGGCCAAATAATAACCTAGAGGATCCCAAGCCACACCACCAATCGATGAGTGGACATCAGAAATATATTCATGCAAAATATCATAAGTTTCCAATGGTTGATAAACTTTGAGTCTTCTATCCATGGATGTAGTTGCCAACAAGTAGGTTGTCTTTCCAGTTTTATGATCAATGAGTGGAGGTGACCAATTCAAATCCCAAACATCTTCTCCTTCTTCGCCACCAAATCTCTTTACAATAATCCATTCTTCAGTTGGCTTGACTTCACTTTCCAAGAAGGATAGATCTGTTTCATCATCTTGAATATTCAAAGCAGCAGCCTTTTTCTGTTGTGAGCCTTGATCAATTAGACCCTTCTTTTTCCAAATAATAACAGCACCTCTACCACATCCTGTAGCAATATAATTACCACAAGGACTCCATCTAGCAATATTGACAACCTTGGCACTGTCATAGATTGGATTCATCACAGCAACAAGCTTGAACATGACATCATCGTCAGAGTAGGAAATTTCCCAAACTTTAATATCGGTTTGAATACCTGCTGTAACAAGTCGATTGGTCTGTGAATTATAGTCAACAGTTAGAAAAGGTTCTGGTCTTCTAAATCTTCCTTCCATAAATTCATCTCTGAAGAAGTGTACCTTGGTTTTATCAGAGGTAATGTTCGTCATTTTTTTTAAATTGGTTTTTTGAATTTGTTAACGGTGAGTTTTATGTTTTGGCGGGTTTTAACTGCCGTCATATTTGTCATTGTGATAAAACAAAACAACAACTAGATTTTAATGTGAGGTCTCATTAGCATTAATTAATAATACAGAATTAAAACTCCTAGGCAAGCAGTTGTTATCATTATCATCAAATAGAAAGGAGGTGGAAGCTTTCATCATCAAACAATAATAATAAAAAATCTTTTTAAAAATATAAAAAATGATTAAAGGTATCCTTGTTGTGAATAATCACGGTAAAGCTCGTCTTTCCAAGTTCTTTGAACAAGTCCCATTCGAAAAACAACAACAAGCTGTTCGTGAATGTTACTCATTGGTAGTGAGAAGACCGGATAATGTTTGCAACTTCTTGGAAGGAGGTGCTATTTGGGGAAAGGATACCAAACTCATCTATAGACATTATGCTACATTGTACTTTATATTTGCTGTGGATCAAAATGAAAGCGAATTAGGAATTTTAGATCTTATCCAAGTTTTTGTTGAGACTTTGGATAAATGCTTTGAAAATGTTTGTGAATTAGATTTGATTTTCCACTCTGATAAAGTACATTATATTTTGGAAGAAATTGTTATTGGAGGTTTAGTTTTAGAAACAAATAAGGAAGAAATTTTAATGTCAATCAAGGAACAAAACGATATTGAAAATAGAACTAAGAATCAAGGACCAACAGTCACCAAAATCATGAATAGATAATTCAATGTAAAATTCACTTGTACAAAATTAAAATATTATTAAAACCTTTAATTATTTGAAAATATTGTAAAAGTTGTTACGTATGTGGGAATTTTTATCATCATTGGTTGGATTCATGTACGTGGCACCATCACCAAGTAAATTAATATTATTAATAAAACGTGATGAAATTAATATTAATAAAAGTGACGAAATTAATTTGAATAAAACGTGATGAAAGTTCCCGCCAATATTACCAGTTAAAAAAAAAAAGAAAAAAAATGCAAGCACTCATCGACCTCTATAAGAAGGGCATTGAAGAGTATAACAAAGGTCTCTCTGCCTACCAAGCAAACAATTTCGAGCAGGCTGTCAAGAGTTTGGAGGAAGGTAAACAACTCTTTCAAAAAGTACTCAGCACTCCAATACCTGAGAAATTTGCTGATAAATTTAAAGTAGCCTCCGATCACTTGCTGAAAACATTCGAACTACTTTTGAGATCGAAATACAAACTACCAAATGCCGATTTTATGGAAATTCAGAAGGGTTTCATCAAGTTAATTCGGCAAAATGTTTCGACGGGAACTTTCAACGAGGCTAAACTTTTATTTCTTTTCCAGAGTTATATTAACTGCAAAACAAAAGCACACAAATCTCCACAAGAACAACCAATTTTTACAATAGTAGAAGCCATCAAAGAGGAGGCCTATGAAGTTCATCAAATACCTTTTCTCAAATTGGAATTAAAAGCAATAGAGGATACTAATTGTCAGGATATACTCTTCAAGGAAAATATTCTAGTATTACAACGACTGGGAGAATATTTAGAGAAAGTATCACCCAATTCATCAGATATTATTCTCTACAAGGTCAAGAGAATTCTTCTCTTTTTACACTCATACTCTGGAACTCAACCTGTTTCCGATTCTCAAGTTTTGAAAGAATTGGAAGAGGTGAGTTCAATGCTAGGTACCACCATAGTCAATGGTAACGATACTCTCACCCAAACTATCATTCCTTTCATTACCAATATCATTACAACATTTGTTTCATGTATGAGATATTTGGAGAGGAATCCTTCGAATATCGAAGACTTGCTCTCAGTGAATAATAGTAATGAAACTCTCAATATGAAAAATAAGGAAATATTTAGCAAGGTGCTGAAAACTGTTTTCAATGGTCATTTACAATCAATAGAATCACTTACAAGAAATTTGAGATTTAATCTGGATGTTACTGATTTGTTTGCACATCTTAACAAGAGGGATATTATTTACATTTTCTATCTGATTGGAACTGTAATTAGATTCTGTATGGTTTATGGAATGGATGATGTCATTCTCAATTTTAGAAGGATTTTCTCAAAGCCTATTCCCTCTAATGTGGATGCCGACTATTTGAAACAATACCAAACAATACTTTCCATTCTCAATGATCATGCTTTACATATGAACGATAAACAGTTTATCAAGAGAGAAAAATTGGATTCCTTCCAAGAATTTGAATATCGGAGGAGATTTTGTTGCAAGCCCGAGGATGACAGCTTTATGCAACTATCTAATGAAATAACTGGTAAGATTTTGGAATTATCAACTGAGGATGCTGCCTCAATATCTAAATATAGCTACATTAATTGCAAGGCAGCAATGAAGTATGACGTCCAAGTGGCCTATCAACATCTCATTAAGAGTATGAAAATGAGAGGTATGTTGGAAAAGGAAAAGAGGTCTGAAGCTAAAGTCATAGAGTCAATAACAAAGAAGGCTACCAAGAGTGATTTGAAAACTTCCTTCTCATTGGCTCACCACTTTGATCATTCGTGTATTTCTTTACTTCATTATCAGCAAATGATTAGAATACATGAAGTGAGAGGCAACTTTTCTTCATGTGAGACTTGTATTAGACAGGGTTTGAGATTTTCAATTCTCGTAAAATGTTTGAGTTTTACTCTATCATATTTATACCATCTTGCTAGACTGAAGTTGAATAGACACGATTTTGAAGATGTAGAATATATTGTACAGATTGTAAAAGCACTTTTAAGTGATAACACCAGTGCTACACATAATATTATTAACAAGTTTGCTCATGAATTCTTACTCTTGGAGAGTACGATGCTCTTGATGCAAAATAAGGATGAAGAGGCAGAGACACTCCTCAATAGCATTTCAAATAAGAATGAAATGGGTATCGATTTACAAAAAGTGATACTCCTACTTAAAAGGAATGATGAACAAGGAGCCAAACAAATACTTGAGAGACTGTCGAAGGTGGTTGATTTGAATGCAAGCAATGAAAAGACTGAGGAAGATTCACTATGGGTCAAGTATTATTGTAATGCACTCAGTGGAAATAACAAGTTAAACTATGAGTTTAGATCTAACTTTGGTTTGGCTTGGAATGATGTTCCAATACCGTTGAAGAAGCGTATTTTGGCTCACATGAACACTACCTCCGAGACAACCTTTACAAATAATAGTGAAGAGAGGGACTATGCATTCCTAAGCTCCATGTCTATGGGTATTAGATTGAAGCATACCTTACAAGATTTATTGGACTATTTCAATTCAATGAATAATAATGGAATGCAAAGTATTGGAAGTATGGATGACATGACAGATAATAAGGGAGTGGAAAAAATGATGAGAAGATTGTCAATAACGAATGAGTTGCAATTTACATTCATGTTAGACTTGAAGGATCTGACAACAAAAAAGAGTTTTATGGATAATTTAATTTCGATTTTGCCTTCCAATATTAGTGTTTGTAACATTTGCATTACCGATGGTATGTATATTTATTCTTTTTTTTTAATTTACTAAATAATATTTATTACAGATTATTCAAATCTGGTAGTGACAGTTATGAATAATCATAGTGGAGGTGATGATGATTGTATTGTCATGCCAATTCCACTTGTTAGAAATACAGAGTCATTCTCCAAACTTAACAGGTTATTCAGTGAGTCTGCCATCAAACAAACTCAATTACAGTATCAAAAATCTTCTGATTCAGGATCTCAGCTCACTTCCAGTAGTTTAAGCTCATACTCGAATTGGCGTTCCTATCAGGCATTGTTTGGAAATGACAGTAACATTCTCCATAAGGTTTTACTCTCCTTTGACCACCTGCAAATCCTAAGTAAGGAGTCTTTCACCATTACTGACAAATCCTCTTGGTGGAAAACTAGAAAGGATCTCGATGAAAAGCTTGCTACCTTGGTCAAATATATTGAGGACCTACTCTTCGGACCAATCAAGTTATTACTTGTCCCTCGTTTAATGAGTGAGTTTGATGAAATTTTGGAAGCTAAAACTGAATTTCTGATTGAAAAATTGAAAGATGTAGGAGGAATGGTTGACTTTACATTTGATCCTAGAATGGCTAAATTATTATTGAAATCCTTCTCTTCCTTCAAGGAAGAGTCAGATGTGGAGGAATGTATCAAGTATTTCATTTTGGGCAATGTTGATTGTGATGCTTCGATTGTGTCTTCAATTCAAAATATTTTCTATACCACCTTCCTACAGGCCTTCTCAGAGAGTGACAAGAAAAAGGACAATCTATTATTCAGACACTGTACCAGGATTGAAAAGCAAAAGATTAAGAGAAAACATTTAGTATTTTGTTTGGATAAGCTGATTCAACAACTTCCACTCGAGTCAATGCCAACAATTAGAGGTTATCCAACCTCCAGAATGCCAAGCCTTTTACTTCTCTACTATCATTTGAATAGAATGACAGAGGTGAATGGAGAAATCAAACGAGATAATGTCTATTATCTTTTGAATCCAAGTGGAGATTTGGCTTCTTCAGAGGAAAGATTCAAACCATTCTTTGAAAGTCACACTAATTGGAAAGGTATTATTGGAAATGCACCTCCCTCTGAGGATACCCTCTATCAAGTATTATCTGATAGTGATTTGATGATTTATATAGGCCACGGAACTGGAGAAAGATACTACAATCCACACAAGATAAGGAGACTATTGAAATGTTGTCCAATACTATTGATGGGATGTAGTAGTGGAAGATTGAAAGAGTATGGTAATTATGAACCAAATGGCACCATTTTGAGTTTCTTGTTGGCTGGTTCACCATTTGTTATTGCTAATCTTTGGGATGTAACAGATAAGGACATTGATAGACTCACAGAGTACATGTTAGAGAAGTGGCTTGTCAATAATCAAAACCAATCAATTTGTGAAGTTCTTACTGAGGCAAGAGAAACATGTAAATTACCTTCCCTTATTGGATCAGCAACAGTTTGTTACGGACTTCCTGATGTTATAATAAATTAGTTTAATCTCAGTTCATTATTTAATTATTGTTTAAATTTAAAACCTGGTACTTGTTTGTATAAATCAAAAATTGCCCTAGAATGAACATCATACTTGGTGTATTTTTCTCTCATCTTACTTTCTAATTGTCTCATTGATTCAAAATCCTCATTCTTTAAAAATGTATTCAACATTAAGTGATCAGCATGGAAATTATTGGCTCCAACAAGTCCATAATAAAATTTCACTCTTTCCACCTTATTAAGCTTGGAATAAATTTTCATCATACATGTATAAATGTATGAATTCTTGAATTTCTTTGGTATCGTTTTGAAAAAGGTTTCTACATTCTCTGTGCTACCATGTTCAGCATAAGTGTTTAACATGATGAGATAGGATTGAGAATCAGGATCATCAATTCTATTGAAAATTACTTCTGCATTATGCAGAGCTCCTTTTACAGAATATCCTTTCAAAATAGTATTATAGGAAACTATGTCTCTCTTGTACATTCCTAAAAATAAATTATATGCCTTTGTCATGTCACCAATCTTGGCATACGAGTCCAACATGATATTACACAACACTAGATCTGGCTTTTTAACTGACTCGTAAAGTTGTTCTGCTTTGTGAATCTTCCCCAGAGAGGCATAGCACTTGATCATGAGAGTAGTGGCATACATTGAATCTTTGAGAATGGCAGCATAGTTTCTATAAATTTGTTCAGTTTTTCTATAATCTCTCTTCTTCTGATACGCTGATAACATTGTTACAATGGTTTTACAGTCAACGAGTGCCTTTGGAATTTGATGAAAGAATTTTTCCAGTTTTTCAAAATCTCCTTGAAGTGCAATTCCATGCAATAATAAATTATAAATAATACTATTTGGTGCAATATTTCCCTCTACACAATACTTTTGAAATAAATTGAGGGATGTTTCCACATTATTCTGCCTCACATATGCATTCATTACAATTCCAAGACTGTAACAATCTGGTTCATTCAGTGAATGGAACAACCTAATGACTGATTCAAAATCACCAGATTTAGTGTAGAGATCCATCAATTCATTAGTCAATCTCAATTTGTGAACGGATTCTGGTAGGGATTGAATAAGTCTCTCACCTTGAATATCCAGTCCAACTTCTAAGAGGAGAGAAACAACCAAACGAATATGTTCTGGTCTTGGCTCGGCTATAGTACTGTACACTTCTAAAGCTTTTGAAAATCGTTTACCAACAGTATATCCATATAACAGAATGGAGTAGGTATAAGAGTTCTTATCTTCTAATTTTTTGGCCAATTCTTCCATTTGGACATACATGCCAAACTTTGCATAGGTATGTAACATGGTGTGAATACATTGAGTACTTGGTGATTCAATTTCAGAGTAGAGACTTTCAATTTCTTGGATGATGGATTTGGCATCTTCAGTTGCATTGGAGGAGAGATTAGCAAGGGCTGACATCATTTGATTATAGATTTGAATTGAAGGTTCTCCTTCCTCTTCTCTAACAGATTGAAAAACTTGTCTAATCATTTCCAAATCTTTGAGATTACAATAATTTGCAATGAGCTGAGATTTACAAACCATTCTCAGTTCTGTAACGAAATTCTTCTCCACCTCTTCAGAGCCATACACTTGGAATGATTTGTAAAACTTGACAATATCTGAAAGTGAAATAATTTCACTCTTTCCATTATCTATTTCAGTATCGTGGATATTTTCTAAATTCATTGTTTCTGCTTGTTCCATATTCGTTATGCCATACCATTTAGCCAATACTTCATTTCGTTTTTCAGGATAAACAAATAATCTATTCAACAATACATCTGACAATAATTCCATAATCTCTCTATTTTCCAGTTCTCCAAATGATGTTAACATACTCAACCACCATCTCACTTTATACTTGGTTCCATCAATTAAAAAGATCAGTGAAGAAGGAATGGCATGTTTAGATCTATCAATCTTTTCCTCCGATTGATTTTTTATAGAAAGTATTGATTGCATTACGAGTAAATAATCATCAGCAGATCGAGAAATGGTTGCTCTTGGTTTTTCCTTTTTGGTTTTCATATTCGGAATGAAATTAAACAAATCATTCTTAGCAGTCAAATTTTGATCGTGTAATACCTTCTCCGTTCCGATAATATTATTCTTATTATTATTTACTAATAATTGTGAATCCTCTGCAGCAACAACGACAATTGAATTAGAACTAAAATTCCTAACATTAATTATTCGAGAATTTAAATTCCTCAACAAAAGAGCCACATGACTTGTACTATAGCCTCCCACTAATTGATTACTAATACATGTAATTGGAACAATGCCATCAACACCACCACTATTACTAATTATTTTATAATGATGATGAATGCATCGGACAAGTTTTTTCATTTTTTAATCCAATTTTAAATTCATGTGATAATGCTGGATGATGATAAATAGGGTAATTAATTCTGTTCCTATTGAAAAATTTACACACTTGATGAAGATGAAAATTGTTAGCCTTCAAGATGAAAGTCTACTATTAAATATTCAACAATAAAAAAATGAAACAAGTCGAGCGGGAAAGTTTGCACAATTATGAGAGTTCTGATAGCGAGGATGAATCGAGGAGGGAATTAAGGCTTGATGAGGAGGATGGTTCCACTCATAAGAAGAGCAGTGCTATTGGTGAAAGTAGTAGTGGTAGTATTGTTAGATCATCTTCTATGGAGGTGTTAAATTCATCTTCATTATTGGAAAAGCCTAAAATCATTGATGAAGATGCTAAGGTTTTTATTGAATTTGCTTCCTTCTTTACCTCACCAGAGAATATGAATAATAGTGTCATGATGAATGGCAATTGTAATCTTCAACAACCACAACAACCTCCTCCACCTCCTCTCATGGATTTTGGAAGCAATTCTACAGGCACTTCTACATCACTTCAAATTTTCAGTAGCGGAGCTGCTCAAAGTAAGCCTTCCTCTTCCATTCCTTCTGTAATTGTTAGTCATCATCACGATGCTCCAAAACCTCCTTCTTCAATGCTTATTCCAATTCCTATCAAAACAGTAAGAGAGGATGAATCCAAACCAAAAAAGACAAAACTTAGATCTCTACACAAATCAACAAACCCTCAAGTGGCTTCTTCATCAGCAAGTGGTGCTACAGCCTCTTCATCTCATGCCACTGTAACAACTCCAGTGAAGAGACAAACAAAACCTTTGAGAGAGGATGATCGTATTGTCACACCTTCAAAATTCACACAACAAATTGAAACTCCAAACTCTAAAAAGAATGAAGACCTTCCAAGGAAGAAGAGAGGAAGACCTCCAGGAACAAAGAAAACACCATCTCAAAAGAAGGTTAAGGAAGATTATGAAGATGAAAATCAACTGGCAACTACATCTATTTGTACTAGTGTTAATACATCATTTACTAGACAACCAATTGAAATGCCTCAAGGTATGTTTTCAAACATTTCTAATAGTTTAATTTCATTTTGAATATATTCAGAAGTTGATCCATCTAGGGACGTTTCAATTTATGGAACAATCTTCAATAGAGACGTCCTTGATAGGTTATTCCTGCACAGAAATGAACTGGACTATGAACATTCACATCCAATCCATATTTTAGACACTCTTTTGGAAGGACATTTGGAAAAGGAATCAAACAAGGATACTCTCGTCACTAATGTCAACCTCTCTTTTGATCCTTCCTTATTACTAATGAGTTCCTCGGAAAGAGTTATTGAGGATAACAGGTTAGCACGATTTATCGTAAATCACTGAAAACTCTTTAGCACACAGCTTGTAAATATCCAATCATGATCCTAAATTGAATCAACCGATCCTTCAATATTTGGAATGATTCCAAAATGCACTTTATTAATTTTCGTTACTTTTTAGGAGTATTATCAAGAGAATGTATCATCCCAAAAAAGAATAAACATGTGACATGCATTCACAAAACCATTAATATGCCTCCAACAGCAACAATTCAATTCCATCATTAAAAAATATGAAACTAATCCAAACCATTAGTATAGCTTGTATTCTATTGTTGAGTGTTTGTGCAGCTCTTGTTCTTTCAAATCCAACTGCAGCAACACCAGCAACAGCTCCTCATCCAGCACCACCTGTAGTTCCTCCAAAGGTTATTAAGAAAATCCACAAGAATAAGAAACCAACCGATTCCTACAAGAAACAAGGTGATAAATACTGTTACAACAAGTGTATCAAATATTCATCTATCAAGGGCAAATGTACCGATTACAATTGGGAAGGAGCCACCAAAAAGTGTATCCAACACAAGACAATCGGCAAGGGCAAATGTTTAGAATATAAACGTGAAACCTATTGTGACAAATACGAAGGTCCATCCACCATCTGTATTGCCCACGGAACCAGACAAGAATGTGCCAAGAAACACTACTTGACTGTCTGTGAAAAGGAAGAATTCAAGAAGAGTTGTGTCCACAATGGAGAAAATGGTAAATGTTTAGAATGGGCTCATCGTGATATCTGTTTAGATAATTATACTCCTCAACAAAAGAAACCAGATCCATATGCCAGATGTGATTTGTACTCTTATATTCCAAAATTGGAATGTAATTACAAGAAGAGATGTGTTCATTATAAGACTGATAGATATTGTAGTAAATTTGGTAAGAAATGTGAAAAGAAATGCAAGTGGGAAGAAGTTAAGCAATCTGATTTGTATGTTCCACATAATGCCAAGTCAACCAAGCCAACTAAGGGAAAGCAAGTTGATCCATATGCACCACCAAAGGTATTCAGAAAGGTTTGTCACCAAGAATGTCACAAGATTTGTGATGAATTCTCAAAGAAATTGACTTGTGAAAAGTATGAAAATGTCAAGTTCTGTAAGAAGGTAAGTTTTTGATTTACAATTTTTCAAATTACAATAATTTCTCAAAAATAGACTGGATATACTCAATTCTGTGCTCAACCAGCTCCAAAGACTGATGGTTACATTCCAGCTGATACTTATCTTCCTCCAAAATGTAAGAAACAAAAACGTGTCAAGTATTGTGTTAGATGGACTAAGGAAAAGCAATGTGATCAATTCAAGAAGATTAGATGTTGTTTAAAGAAGAAACAAGTTCCATACTGTGCCTCTTACAAGACAGTTTCATTCTGTACACAACATGAAAATCTTCCAAAGAGATGTGTCAAGCAAAGACATGTCAAGAAATGTGTCAAGAAGAGTGAAGGTCAACAAGTTTGTGTCAAGTTTGCATTTGGAGGTGGTAAGGCCAAGTGTCAACATTTTGCTCAAAAGACTGTCTGTGCCAAGAGAAAGAGAGTTTGTTCTTCAGTTAAGGAAGACAATTTTGATACTTACAATGAAAAGAGTAAACCAAAGAATCATAAGAAACCAAAGAAGGTCAATAAGAAACGTCATCACGTTACCAAAAAGAGAAAGCATCCAAAGAAAGCTGCCACTCCTCCACCAGTTTCCAATGGAAAACATTAAAATTTTGTAAATCCAAGTGATATTGAGATAAATCCCACACAAATCACATAAAAATTTTGTTAGTGAGTTTTGTTTAATTCCTCAATTATAAAAAAAGTTTTGAAAAGCAATTGTTTCAAGTGTTCCAATCCATCTTTTGATTCAATATCTGCTTCCAAATAGGTGAAACATCCAATTTTCTCTGCAAGTTTTTCACCTTGTTCTCTAGAAAGTGGAATTTGAGATTCCTTTCCAGTGAGTGGAATAGTTTGAGTGAGAATGTCATGTCTCTGTTTAGTGTTGATTCCTAGGAGGATGATCGATGATTTGGATTGAGTGGTGGTGTGGAAATCACGTGTGATGGCTTGTAATTGTTGAAGAATGAATGTTTGATTGAAGTGAACTGTATCTATGAGAAGGAGAGCAATACCATGATGATTCTGGAGGTTCAATGATGAATATTGAGAGTGTAGGAGGGATAGTTTGTCATTCCATGGTGCCTGAATTGATAAATCTCTGTAAAAGTAATTATTAGAAACCTTTCCAATATTGAAACAACTTACACAAATGAAAGATTAGTCTGCATATCCATATATTTCATAGACACTTGTACAGGATTATCGAACCTCACTGCATCATCAAAGCTACCACTCATTCTCGTCAGGAAAAGATTTCCCTCCCTACAATTTTCACCAATCAAGCCGAAACTAAACTTTTCTCTACAGTTTCTTCTTGTCAACAAGCAATTCTCCAAATTTACTTGTTTTAGAAACTTGAGAGAGTGGGACTGACCTTGGATTTCACCAATCTTTTTATTTCTCTCCAAAAAACTCTTAAATTGCTTCACCTCGGTTGAGTTGATAAACTTGTCGAATAGCTTTCGAATTTCTTCACCATCCTGATCGAAGAGAGGACTTGTGGATGAGTAGAGAATCTCTTTGAAGGATGGTTGCTTTTTGTGCATTTTGTTGGAGACAATATTGCCTACGGACGAAAGTTCTGAAAACATTTTTTTTAGTTTTGTTTCGAATGGTTTTTTGCTGTTGACCGTTAGTTTCTTTTTGATTCCTGTTGGCAGTGAATCGATCCATGAAAGGATGACGAAAATACCATCTAGTCACTGACACTTCTTTTATTAGAATCTCATGTCAAGTTGACAACATTTAGTATTATCCTTTATAATAAACTAATGTTTACTCCTTCTTGGTTTCTTCCCTTCTTGCATAGATAGTCTTGGTTTAATAAATTTCTCCTTCCACAAGCTTTCCCTTCTCCATTACAAGCAGACGAATTCCAACTAATTCCCACTGACCTACCCTCCGTTCTAAAGTTTCTGCGTTCACACACTTCATAACCTGATCGAGTTTTCATCTCAACTCTCCTAACCTTAATTCTATCCCATTGTTTCAAAGAGAAGGCTGATAAGAGTCCAAATAAGGCACCTCCAATGTGAGCTATCGAATTGGCATTCAGTAAGAAGTGTGTAATGTTCCTGAAAGATAATTATGAGGTGAAAGACAAAGTTTTTCCATAAATGTCTTTAAGAATGAGAAATCTACAGAATATTTAACTTTAAAATTTGAAATATCCATATAATAGACAGTTGGCAGCTATTATTCCATAAATAATTGGATATTTACTGCTTTCATTGACAAGATAACCCAGAATTGGGTTGCTGCCAACCTTGTCACAAACACAAATTCTTCTTCTTCTTCCTTTCCTTCATATTATCCAATGGTTTCATTATGATAAAGAGCAACACCAACTTGTTTTTAATCTGTGGAATAGGTGTTAAATTTGTTGATTGACTTGAAGAATTGAAAAGTAGATCGAAGAGGTGTGCTGGTTCACAGGAAGTTTTACACAACCTTCTATCTTTTTTATCATTGTCCATTAGTTTGATTATTGTAAACTATTCGTATATAATTGAATGGTTATCACGTGCAAGGATAAGAACTCTATTTCAATTCCTGGCTTTGTTATTCGAATTATCATAGAAATAATTAGTTATCACGATGGATATGTTACATCTCTCTATCTCTCCATTTCCACCACATATATGATAAAAAAAATGAACGGTTTCGTCTACAATAGTTTCCTTGTTATCTGCTTGCTTCTCTTGGCTGTCACATTTCTTTTCGCCGAAGAGAAAGATTTCTGGAATAAACCGATCCAAACCAGAGCACTTGTTGAACAAGTAAATTCACAAGTTGGAGTTGGTTGGAGAGCAACTTCTTATCCACACTTTGATAATATGAAATTATCCGATTTTAGAAAGGTTGGTATTTAATTTTATTTAATTTTCTAATAGAGTGGGATGTAATCTTGTAGTATTTGGGTGTTCATAATTTTACTGAACCAACTCGTAGTAAATTTAATGTCAGGGCAGAGTTGACCAAAGTGAGAAATTTACCAGAACAATTTGATGCTAGAAAAGAATGGCCACATTGCATTACCCCAATCAGAAATCAAGAACAATGTGGTAGTTGTTGGGCATGTAAGTTTAATTCACTCTGAAATTGATAATTTCAAATAGTTTCTGTAAGTTTTGTGTGAATTTCATTGAAAATTAATATTATATCAGGCAAGTGCTGTACTCTCTGATAGATTTTGTGTTTATTCCAATGGTAGCGTTCAAGTAATGCTATCACCTGAATACATGCTTGAATGTAGTGCTCAAAATAATGCTTGTAATGGTACGTTTGAAAAATATTTTACAATATTCTTTACAAAATTCCAATAACTGTAAAAATCAAAAATATTAAGGAGGTACTTTACATGCTGCATGGCAATTCCTCGTCTCTGTAGGTATTCCAACTGATTCTTGTGTTCCATATTCATCTGGAAATGGTACAGTTGGCCATTGTCCTTCCAAATGCACAGTTCCAGGACAAACTTCCAAATTTTACAAAGCAGCAGCTGCTAAGAAATTAGAAAACATGGTTGAGATTATGACTGAAATCAAAACTCATGGTTCTGTGCAAGTAGCCATTGCTGTCTATCGTGATCTGTTCTCATACAAGTCGGGAGTTTATCATCATGTGAGTGTTCATTATTGTGATAGCTTGGGGATTGGATGGATATTTCTGGATTCTAAGAGGACATAATGAATGCGGATTTGGAAAGGATGTATGGGCAGGCAAACCTGCCTTGTAATTCTTATTTAGAATATAAAATTATTTTCCAATTCGAATAAATAGCTAGCTTAGAAATAAAACAAGCAAATGTTTAATATTAAAAAATACCCTTCTCAAGATCACATTCGTATTTGTGATTTGTAATCGAAATAATGACATATTTGAATGTTCATAGCTGAGAGATTGTATGGTGGAGACAATTATACATGATGATGGACATCCAGAAATGCCAATCTCAACAAGTCAACTTGATTTTAATTGAGTGATGTTTCTTGACTAATGTCTTTATTCGCTACAACTGGAGATAACAAAATTCAAAAAAAAAACAAAATGACAAGAGTCGCTCCCATTTCTTCCTCAAAGTACAAAACCAATGATAAGGACTCGACCCATCAAGAGGAAGACCAAGAACAATTTCTGCTGGACGAAACTAGTCACCAACAACAAAAAAATGGTTTCTATCGTTCAGTAAGATTTTGCCTCATCCTCATGCTCAGCACTGTCATTCTCGTTTCTGTTGCCATCATTACCATTGTATGGGCTAGCTCATTTGGAGTGAGTCTCTCCCAATTGACTGCTCAAAACAGAGACCACGAATTTACAAAATTACAGACCCACATTTTTACAACACTCGATGAAATTGTTCAAATGGCTCAAACTGTCAACCATTTAATGAGACGAAACTTTGACATTAGGAATTTCGATTTGGTCTCTGACTGGACCTATCAATTATACAAATTGGAATCAGAATTGAGACCAGATGTAGCAGTGACCATGTACATGGGAGATATCGAGAGGAATAGTGTTGGCATTTATGTTGGTGAGGAGACTTTCTTCTTCTCCATGTGGGATGGAATCAATCCGAGAAACGAAACCTATCTATGGAAATGTAACGACTTTGCCAAGAATGAATATTGTGTGAGAAATAGTGAGCCAGATGAGATTGATAGGAGATATGGATTGAGTGGAATTGAGTGGGCAAGTGCACGAGTGGGGAAAACATCATTTGTGCCAAGTTATATCAGTTATTCGATTGTTTTCATGACCATTGTGACGAGTGTGCCAAATGCAACAGATCCTACACAGTTGGCCTCTTGGTTTATGTATGATTTGAGTGTGGAATCGTTTTCTACCTATTTGAAGGAGGCAATTGTACATTTGACTGGATCTGTTGCATTTGTGTTGGAAACTTCTACTGAATATATTATTGCAAGTAAGTTGGAATAGTTTGGAATCTAATACAAAGTTCGCAGCGAGCTTTCCTGATATTCCTGTATTTGAAAAGATTAATCAATACAAATATAATAGATACAAAGGTAGTCAATTTGGAGAACCAACTATTAAGCAAGTGTCCAATAGTATCTATGACAAATATGGCAAGTTGACTAGTATTCCGTGTAATGAAATGGCTTCATTTCCATTGGATTCCAATTATGTGAGCTTGGTAAGAGTTTGTACTGCTCAAGACTTGGATTGGACGCTTATCTTGGCAGTGCCTCAATGGTTCTATCTTGGACAAATGATAATTGCAATTGTGGTTGCTTTATTGTTGAGTGTTTTCATTGTTTCAATTGGAGGAATTTCTGGAGCTGTATTCTCAGTTAGGATAATCAAACCATTCTATGATTTGGTGGTCATGTTTGCTTCAGTTGCGAATATGGATCTGGATTCTATTCATGTTAAGAATTCATTCTTTTCTGAAGTTTCTACAATTCAAACAAGTTTCGTCTTTTTAGTGGAAAGACTCAGACTATACAGAGCTTTCCTTCCACCTCATCTCTTACAGGAATTAGATAAGAAGGGTGTAGAAAACCTGCCAACCAATGAAAAACACAATGATGACCAACAATCTTCAAATGCTGAACTGGCCTCTCGAACCTCCTTCATGTCCAAAAGTTCAAGACCTTCAAGGCAAGTTTCCAAAACCGAAGAATCAATGATGAGCTTGAAGAATACTCAATCTATTTCAAAATTCGATCTTGGATTGGAATGTAGAGATATTTCAATACTTGGATTCAAGTTTCACCTGTGTGAAAACCTAAATTCGAATGAAATCATTCAAATTTCGTCTGAAGTTTTCACCCTATTGGAACAAACAACCAAAACTTCAAAGGGACAAATCGGCAATTTTGAAAATGGATTCATTACAATGTCTTGGAATTCAGCCTCAGATTGTCCCTCACACATTTCGAAAGCCCTCTCAACAGCCGAAACTCTTATCAAGAAATCAGAAGAGTTAAAGAAACGATGGAGCAACAGAACCATTATTTTCAGTACCACCATTGATAGCCAAAAATCCATGACTGGAAATGTTGGTACCAAAAACTACAAATCCTTCACAATAATGGGACCAATCAATGGAAATATTCAGTGTATGGCAGATTTGGCCTCAAGATATGAAGTGTCGATACTGGTCACCAAACGTGTGAGAGATGAAATTGAAAAGCAATATCAGAATCGATTCATTGCAAATGCAGAGCTAGCCACCTTTGATAAGAATAATTTTGTGTTTGGGATTTCATATGATAAGTTTGGAAAGGATAATGTTGCAGTTTATGAAATTGGAGAGAGAAATGATGTGGCAATGGATGGTAAGTTGGTTGTTTCAATTGTTTTTTTTGAAATTGACTTTATGGACAAATATCACACACATTAAGAATGGATGTACGAATTGGAAGCAAAGGAAAAGAAAGGAAAATGGATTCAGTATAATAAGGCCGTTGATTTGATTGGTGGATCTCAGTTCAAGGAGGCTGTTTTTGAATTGCAAGATTTCTCATCGAAATATCCTCAAGACATTCCAGCAAGGGAATTGATTGATTTTTGTAAACATCAAGTACTATAGAACTTCAAACCTTAATTACTTCTTTTCCCTTTTATCCTAATTGGTATGCCAATAAGGAAACAAATTCCCAATAAAGAATTTCAATGTTTTAAAATCAAAAAAAAAATGAGCACCAAAATAATTCTCATAGATGGTATCTTTCATCATTATTCATCATCGAATGGTGCCGATAATGATGACGATGATGGCAATGATCAATCTTTTTCATTAAAATGTTTAAACGGTCTGAAAAATAGGTACCATACAACCCGAATGAATACTCTGCAAAATTATGAATACTTGTATCAACTTGTTAGTTTGCATCGGAATGATTGGACCTATGTGATCAAGTACATTAAACAGAATCCAATTCCATTTCCAAATGATAGGTTTCATATGTTAGCTGTTGTGAAGGAGAGAGGATTGTTGATGAAATTTGCGAGTGAGGAATTGAAGGATGATAAGGAATTTGTGATGGAATGTGTAAAACATCACCAGAGTGCCTTTCGATATGCTTCAGAGAGGTTGAGAGGTGACTTGGATGTTATCAATATGACTTTAAATATTGAGAGCTTGAAGAAAGATCCAAAACTGAAAGATGTATTGTACAAGTGTGATTTCTCTAATAAGCCACAGCAAGGACTGATTAGTTTGTTTAAGAATCCGAATAGGCTGATCAATTTTATTCCACTACATTCTGAAGCTTGGTTAGCATATCAGTATGGAATTAAGTCAACTTGCAAAAGTATTACAAGTTATAGAGAGATAGTGTTGGAGGCCATTAGATCTAATCCAAAGGTTATTTTCTTTTTGAGAAAGACATGGCCAGAACAGGCATTCGTTATTGAGGCATTGAAGAGTGGGAAAGGTACTTCACAATTTATGAAGATTGTACCTTTTGGTTGGCGTAATGATCCTGAATTTATATTGGAATGTGGATCATTGGAATTTCTAATGAATTCTACTCTCACCCAAGATTGTGATTTCATGTTTGATTGGATCAAGAGATATGGTCTACAAGTTCAACTTTTCAAATATTGTGATGCTTTCGATTTTGAATTTTGGAAAAAACTTGTGGATGCCAATTTGATATCACCAACAGTAGTACCAATAGAACATTACGAAAAATTGAGTACTGACACTTTGAAACAAATGCTCTCTATTGAAGGGTGTTTATTACAACTAATGCCTCATCATTGGAAGAATGATATAGAACTGGTTTCACAAATTGTTGACAAATTCCCTGAGGCCCTTGCCTTTGCTTCTGAAGATATTCGAAATAACATTGAAGTGGTAAATATTGCAATTCATTCGAAAGTTTATGGGGCTGAGAATGCAATACGATTTGCCTCTGACAAAATTAGAAACTCAAAGGAAGTTGCAGATTCAATGTTGACTCCCTACAACGACATATTTGATTTATTTGGAGAAGAAATCAGATCTGACATTTCACTTTATCGTAAATTTTTCGTTTTAGACTTGAATATCAAACATGCACCAGAATGTATTAGAAATAGTCTTGAACTGTGTAGACATTGCATCGAACAGAAAGCAGAGATTTATCCACACTTCTCAGAGGCTGTGAGATTGGATTTCCAAATAGCAAGTGGTTGCATACCAGCACTATATAGAACTCTCCCTCTCAAATCCAAGAGCAAAATCTTGCAAATTTTCCCTCAATCTTTAAGAGACAATGAAGAGTTTATTGAGAAAGTTGTCAAGTATGGTGAAGTTGACCTCTTTCGTTATGCATCCCCACGATTGAGAGCAAATACAAAACTTGTAAAGAAGCTTTTAATAGAATGTAACCAAGCTCCTCACAAGATATTTGACTATCATCTTATAGAAAATAAGGAAGAACAATTGGATATTTACCAAACCATGTCTGAAACAAGTAACATTACAAGAGAGCCGTTATACTTTGCTGGTGCTCAGTTGTTAATGGATAGAGAATTTGTCATGCAAGAAGTGAAGCGAATGAACTTCCATGTTGAGGACATATTTACCTATCCAATTCTCTCAATGGTGTATTCTTATCATGAAGAGGAAACCAATGTACAAACTTGTGAATTCAAATTTCCTCCAAGTTTAACTCAACAATGGATACATGTCTTTGAGTATGATGTTTCAAACGCCATATATCTGATTTACCAAACACGAGACTGTTACATGCTTGATTTTACTCAATTTCCAGAAAATCTTAAACAAGATATTTCATTTTTGGAAGGTATTTGTAGATTAATACCCATCATAGAGTATTTAGATGCAAATCAGATTACGGAGAGCGTAATTATTGGATCTAATGAAATAACAAACCAAGTACTCGAACATGTTCCACCCCATTTCAGAGATGATGGAGACTTCGTATTGTCACTCCTTACAGCTGAGGAAAAATTCCAAAATTTACAATTTATTTCTGAAAGACTCAAAGGAAATCGTGAATTCTTCAAGAAAGTACTTGATATCTGTCCTATAGCTCTTAAATATGCCTCAGATGAATTGAAAAATGATATTGACCTCATATCAAGTATTCGACACGTCCTCTACCAAAAATCAATGTATGACTATGCTTCACCAAGTGTGTTGGTTCGCCTTGGAATTTCTCTCAATTATATATACTTGCAAAAGTGTAAAAAGCAACAACGAATTGATAATTTATGTTGGTATCACTAACACGTATAGAATATTTATTGATAAAGTGAACGTTGAATATCAACAAACTTATCATTGAACTCTTCTCCTCCTTGTAAGAGATATTCTACCATTGTCCACTCCTTTCCCTTCTCCTTATTGAACTGTTCAACTGCTTGTCCATAGAGAACGAAAGCTTGTTGAAGTTTTTTAAGTGAGAGAGATTGATCAGCTTGTTTCAATTTTTCTTGCAATTCTTCCTTGCCATAGTCACAACCATAGGAAGGAGTTCCTGGATGTTGTCTCCAAGAATCTTTCAAAGAACCTGCATCAACTGGATCAAAACCAATTTGGTCAACCAAATCAAAGACAATTGCCTTAGCCTTTTCATCATCTCCTGCAATTGGAAGAGCCACTCTGTGTTTTTTATCTTGAGTTGGCTTGAATTTCAAACTGTAGGTTGAAATATTGTTAAAAACCTTAACAACTGATCTTCCAATTGTTTTGGAAACCCATTCACTATGAGTTAATTCAAGTTTATCCAACGATTCAATTGGAGCATCTCTAAATCCTGGATAATAATTATTAGTATCAATAATGACCAAATCTTTTGGAGCATTTCTAAATAAATCTTTAGGTAATTGTTCAATATTTTTGAATGGAATGGTTACAATGACAATGTCTTTGATTGTTTCAGAGATTTGAACTGCCTTTGCTCCTGTTTCCTTTTCAACTTCGATCAAAGTTTGAGGACCACGAGAATTTGCAATAACAACTGAATGACCCAAAGCAACCAAATGTTTGGCCAATGCAGATCCAATATTACCTGCACCAATAATACCAATGTTATACTTTTTACTCATTTTCTTTTGTGTTTTGAATTGAAAAATTCCCACTCTTAGATCCTCAGAATTTATTCGAAAGTTTGACCGCATTCAGAAATTGTGCTAATAAGCGATTTGCTTCAGCGCGTTTGTCCACCCTCATCAATATTAATTGAAATTTTGAAAGTACACACTCCATAGAGAAAATTCAAACAATTATTTTCAATAGTTGAAAGTTGGAATACTTCTGAAGCTTTTCACAACTTGTTGTGCCAAGTTTACAATCACTATACCAAAAAGTATTTCTAATGAGTTTTTGGGAATGGAGGTTGTAAAGCCACTACCTCAAAGATCCATCACAGTTCCTCAAAAGGATGATTTAGCTGTAATTTGTGACCAATATATAATGTTATTGTTTTGTTTGCTAAAATTCCCTTGTTGAGAATTCCCAACCTATTTTTGGCTTGGGAATAAAAAAATCACCAATTCCAAGACACAAAAAACACAAAAAAATGTTTCATCAATTTAATCGTCATCAACAACCTCGGAATGATCAACAACAACAACAACAATTCAATCCACTCGATGGAATTGATTGCATCGTATGCCAACAATTAATATTTGATCTGAGTGAAAGGGATGAGTAAGTTAACTTTTGAGTGATTTTATAATAAACATTTAATAATGATAATAATAATTTATTGTAACTTCAATGAAGAGAAATTCGTTTGATTAAAGAGGAAAAACAGTTAGAAATTGAGAGATTGAGAAGAGAAATTCAGACACTCCAAGAGGAGAATGCTCGATTGAGTAATGAAAATAAAAAGTTGAAGGAGAGGAGTAAGAAACAGAAAGAGGTGATTAGAGATGCTACTGTCCAACCACCACAACAATTTCTTTTTGGACAACAGACACAGCCACAGCCACAGACACAAATTAGTCCACAACAAAAATTTGTTTATAGACCACCGACACAACCAGGTAGTGAATCAGTTTCGGTATATTCCTCAACAGATCCAATAAGACCAACTTCATTATTTTCTAATACTACTACTACTCCAGAAAAAAGAAATAATCTCAATTTGGCATCAAAATCAGTTTTACTAAAACAGGATACATATTTGGAAAATTCTCCTCCAAGAGTAGTTCCAATCAAAAAGAAGACTGAGAAAAAACAAGAAATTTCCAGAGAAATCGATCCATTAGAGTATGGAAATAGAGATCAATTTAATCAAGTTTTACAAAATCAAAGAAATGTATTTAGACCAGCTCTTGTAAATCAAACACCAATAGAGCAACAACTCTATATTCCAGTACAACAAAGTGTTACAAGACAACCAAGACTGCCTCCTCAATCAAGACAACCAAAATTACCCATTGTACAAGAACGACAAAATTTGAATCATTCTATTCATGACGATGAGGAATATGCCAGAAAATTACAGGAAGAGCTCTTCCTTGAAGATGCCAATCCACCACCACTCAATCATCACCATAACTTGTTTCCTCTCCAACACCATCATCAAAACCATCATCATGCAAATCAACTCATTCTCCAACCCTTCACCAATCAACACGAAGAACCACGACAAGATAACTTTGATTCATATGAACATAACCTTGAAGCATTTGAGGATGTTGTCGTGCCACTGAAGAGAGAAATTTGGAATAAATTGCCAACCTCAAGACTCATAGAAGGAGAGGAATGTCCAATATGTCAGACCGATGTTTGTAGAGGACAGTGGTCGACAACATTACCTTGTGAACATTTCTTTCATAGTGAGTGTATTGGAAAATGGTTTGAAAGAAAGCATACATGCCCTGTATGTCGACACGATCTGCAATAGTTGCATTGTAAAGTATTAATTTTTTGTAAACTATAAAAACACATTGCCTTATGTAAATTGAACAAGATAAATCCAATTACTATTCAATATTCAATTTATTTGATATCATCATACCCGAAGAATCCTTTGAAGAACATCTTTGCAATCCAATATTATGATGGTAATACCATCCATAAGCGCGCCAAAAATATTTTTGTTTTTTCAGACTTGTTCGGGAAAAAGAAGTCGATTCTGGTTTTTACTGGAAGTCCAAATTCCAACATACAGAGGAAGCAAAGCAAGTTCCAACGCTAAATCACGCAACACACAAACAAAATTCATCGTTAAAAAAAACAACACAACTCGACGCAACAATAAATTGCGCTCAACAACTACAACCGCATTTTTGGAATATTTTCTTTAGCGAACAAAGAGTTTCAACTCTAAATATAGACTTGAATATAGTAACAATTGACTACGAGAGAGACAGACCATTTATAATGGCAACAACAACAGCATTCACAGGAAAGAGAAAACTTGATGATGCTTTTGATTATGAAAGTACTTCATCACAAATTGATGATCCAACACTGATTGATGATTTATCTGCTGATGAATTGTCACCTGCAACTCCTGATGAGAGTTCTTTATGGGATCTTGAAGATAAAACACAAACACCACCAAAGAAAACTAAATTGAATCCACTTAAATTCAGTGTTTCACCTCCACTTATTTCAAAACAAACTTCTAATACAACTACTCAAAAGAAGAGAACTAGGAAATTTAATTGTAATTTTAAAGCAACAAAAGGTCTATTTGCCAATGTTACATTTACATTAAAGAATAATGGAGATAAGAGTCACAAAATGGAAGAACAAATTGTAAATATTATATCAAATCCACATTTAAAGAGTGATGTCAAACTTAATAATAATGACATTTACTTGGAAATTAAGGATTTTATTTCAGATGAAAGTTTATCATTATATAAGGATTTAAAAACTAATTTATTTCATGATTATATTCCACAATTTGAAATTTCTGGAAAGGATGAACAATCTAGGTATATTTTATGTTATTTAAAAGGAATGTTGGTTAGAAAATCAGAAATTGCCATAGTTCCAATACCAAATCATACACATCAAATTTTAGTATTCGATCATATTAATGATAAATCATATTCTGATACACCATGTAGTTTAGAAGGTTATTTACTTGATGATTTTGAATTTGATTCCAAATTAACTTGTATAATAGTTCCAAAATTTGTAATGGCTCTTGATCTTGATGAAACTCTAATTAGAACAAGAGTTATGAATCCTAATGAAGTAATTTCAAATCCATCAGAATATGAATTTTCAGTTCTTGGTTCTAAATATGTTTGTTATGTGAGACCAGGTACACAACAATTACTTTCATGGTGTTGTACAGTTTTTCAAGTATACATTTTTACAAATAGTATATTTGAATATGCAAGAGAAGTTTGTAAAATTCTAGATCCAAACAAGGAACATTTAATCAAATATATTGATGTAGATGATACAATTGCATTGAAAAAGATGCTTAAATCAAGAGAAGATATGACTCCTCATGAAAGTATTCCAAAACCACTAGGATTGAAAGATTTGAAAAAGTTTGATATTGACTGTTTTGAAACTGTAATTTTTGATGATGATATTACAATTTGGAAACAACAAGAATGTGTTTTACCATTTGCTGATATTGTTCAATATCGTAAACCTTTGGAATTTTTCAAATCGATAAGAACAGAAGTTTGGAAAAAGTTACAATTTCTCCACTCAACCAAATTAAGAATTAGAAAAAAGCATGAATTGGCTGGAGCTAATTTATCCAACATTTCATTTGCAATTCCTGAAAGAAAAGACATTACACTTTCACAAGAAATTGCTCTCAACTCTACTTTGAATAAAGAACGATAAATTGTTTCATAACAAGATTGAATATTATTTTGTGATATTCTGTGTGAAATCAAAGAAATTGTGAATTAATAATATAGTTGAACTATCAAATATTTAATAGTTCCTCCAAATAGATAGTTTGATAATCTATCTTTAAGTTGTTTTAATTGAAAACATCGAACAATACTAAAAAAGCATGAATAACTCCTGGAATCCAACCTAAAATTGTCAGGAGAATGTTCAAGTACAAATGCAAGTGCATTCTTTTTTTCTAAATTATTTTCATGTTGGATATTCAATAATTATCATCATCCGAATAATATTGTTGTGAAATGTCAAATGTTTGGTGTCATGTTTTGTTACTTACAACTGCCACAGCTAGTGAATTTATATTGGAGTTAGGTGAAACTAAACTTCGGGTTATTCATGAAAAACTTACAAAGTGGAGGGAAGAATAAACTGAAAATAATCAAGACCAAGAGTTCTGTTTGATTCATTTTTTTTAACGTAATGACAGGTTGTTATCTTTTCAACTGTTTTTTAATTGATTTGAAACAAGTAAATGTTCGAAAGTTTAAACTTCAACTCAATAATTAGATTCAAAATACACAAGTTTAATTCTCATGTGAGATTTAGCAATGGTTTTGCTGAGGCTTATGAATTTAAAACGTTCTATTTGGCTTTTTCTTTTTTTCATCCCACACAGCAACACACAATGCTAAAATGACAGCACCTGCTTCAACAACGGCTCCAACATGACATCTCCCTTTCCCTGAACATCTGCAACCAATTCAATTGCCTCATCAGATTCCAGCAACTTGGAGAAACATGTTAATTGATTTCAAATCAACACTTTATTGGTCAGTGGATGATATTTCCTGAAAATTCATCAACTGTACCTCTGTTTTTGAAATTATTGTAATTGAATCCCAAATCTTAATATAAAACTGAATAGTTTAGTTTAGTATCATTGTTTATTTTCTATTAAAAAAATCCAAGTTGCCATTCCAGATAATCTATTGTTTATCCTCTTCAATAAATAAATTTCCTCTCTCAATTTGAAGCCTCTCAATAGCATCAAAGAGGGCTTTAATATTTCCCTTACCAAATCCGCTATTACCACGACGTGAAATAATTTCAAAGTAAAATGTTGGTCTATCCTCAATTGGTTTAGTGAAAGTTTGTAAGAGATATCTGAATCCATGATTTTCCTGTAATGATTCATCATCTTCCTTAGAAAAGACAACACCATCCACCAAAATTGCATTCTTTTCCAATAGAGTCCAATCCTCATTGACCATATCGTACAATTCCTTCTTTTCCCTCCAATTTGTGTAATAGGTTGGTGGAACTGTGATATAATCAACACCTGCCTTTCTAGATTTAGAAACTGCATTGATAATATCTTCTGTATGAACAGCCAAGTGAGCAATACCTGGTCCATCATTATAATCCAAAAATTCTTGAATTTGACTCTTTGATTGTTTGGTATTGACAGGTTCAATCAGTACAAACTTGATCATTTTCTTCATGACCTTGGAGGCAATCAATTCTCTTCTGTGATGTATTTCACTCTCATTCATTTCCTTAGTAGATTGCTTGTTGAGCTCGTGTAATTCAATATGTCTATTCAATGATGAAATTAATGAAGGAGCAACTACCATTGTAGTTAATCCACCCAAATCCTTCTCCGAGCTCTCAATTTGAATACCCTTCTGATCCTCTTCATCATCATTATTGTAGAATCTTTCAAAGCCCAATGCTTCGGAATACCACTGTATTCCCTCAATGAGAGTTCCTTTATGAATAGCAATAGCAAAATGATCAACATATTCCAAATGTTGAGGTGGAACTTCTTGGTCTGGATTTAATTTTCTCTGTCTGAATCCTGGAAGGAAAACCTGACCAATATCACTTCCTTGATGATCTCTATTAATTAATGTGTGAATCCAAGCATCCTCTCCGAATTGTGTTGCAATACAAGCAAATTCAATAAATCTACTCTTATCCTCATCCAAATATAATCTAGTTGGTGGTGTGAGTGCTTTTGTTTTTGGATGTTTGCAAGCTTGTTCATAGGCCTTTTCAACATCACTCACTAACAAGGCCATATCATGAGCATGATTACTTCCATGAGCTTCCAATGATTTATAGAATTTTCTAATAGGATCTTCATCCTTGTATTCAATTGTTTTTGTTTGTTCAAAGTGTTTCAATGTGGTGAACAAGTATGGATGAAGTTGAACATTGGTCTGTAATACACAAGGAGCCTTATGAAGAGGAGAAGTAAAGGCCAAGACAATATCATTTTGTCGAATTACATGTGTACAAAAATCCTTATTACCTGTTTCCAATCCTTCATAAGCCATCGGAACAAATCCAAGATTTGAAATATAATAGGCTGCTGTTTGAAGAGCATTATCCACATGAAATCTAACATGATCAACACCAATTACATAGGAATTAGTATTTGTCATCTTTTTAAATGATGATGCTGATAATGATAATGATAGTAATGATGATGAAAAACAATTTCAAGAAGAACTTGATCGTTATATCAATTAGCAAAGTTGCAAGTTGTTTTGCGTTTTTTTACAGTGTTGATAAAAAGGCCGAAGATTCTTTTGAAACTCATGTGGTGGAGTGGAAAATGAACGAACCAGCAATAGGACTCGATAATTCTCCTCACCTGTAATTGCTAGAGTTTGTGCTTGGTTGAGTACTGGTGGTGGGGAGCTGTTGTTTTGATTTTTGGAGATGATATCAATTTGATTGGAACTACAGTTAATTATTTTGTAATAAGAATTGAAAACGATTTAAGAATAGGTTTTTTGTAAAGAGATGAAACGATTTGAATAATTATTTGAAGATCATAATGATAGCCTCTCGGATAATATTTCAGAGGATAGGTCCTTGAAAAGTATTGGTTTCCAAAGAGAATTCCATAAATTATTATCCTCCTCAAATAATTATCCAAATATTGTTATTAAAACACTCTGAGCAGTACTGATGAATTAAATTAATTATATATTTATATGATCCGCAAACTTATTCTCTCTTCTTCTTAAAGTAGAGTCCAAGCGTAACACCAATTCCTAACAAAACAAAGAACAAATACATGCCGGCAGCAATGAAGAAACCTTGAGCCTTTTGGACTCTGGTTTTATGCACGTGATCGTTAACACCTTCAGAGAAAGGATAAGCCTCAGCAATGATGAGGACACCCAAATATACTAATATAAGCATGCTGACTAGGGAGTATACGGCACAACAACCGCAACAGCCCATCCAAATTGATTTGTTGCAAGCCATTTTTTTATTGTTATTTCGAAAAAATAATTTGATTTTTTTTTAATTTTCTTTTAGGTAACATCTCCGTTTTCTTCTCCGGTCCGAATGTAAGAAACTTGTTGGAATATGGATGATGATGGAAGGTTATTAATAATATCTTATTTAAATTCATAGAATTGGATAGACTACCATTTCAAAAAATTAGAATTTAATTTTCCATCATAATTAATTGATGAACATTTTTAACGGATAAAAGTTCTATCTTCGGAAGGCTCGAATAAGTATTGGCATCTGACCATTCAAATGTACCTTACTCTTCCTATCTAACTTCCTTCTTCAATTCATTGTTTTCTAGAAAACACTTATCATCATCACCATCACAAATATTTAATTTTTTTGAAATATTTTTAAAAAATATTAAATTGAAAAAAATACTTAGTTAGTAACAATGGAGGGTATCATTGAAACAAAGGAACACTTGTGCTATCCAGTGATTAGCGAAGCACCATCCTATCCACAAATTATGCAAAATACAAGACCAAAGGAATTGGGATATGTTGGTTTGTGGACTCTTGGATCTGGTATTTTTGGATATGCTAGAGGAGGACCAGGTAGAATGTCTGCCGCTTTGGTTGCTTCAAGTGTTTCTCTCTTTGGTGGTTTGTGGATTACTCAAGCTAACTCTTTTTTACGTTTGAAAGGATACAAGGAAAATAGAGAAGAAATGATTAACGCTAAAATCATTGATCCATCTGCTAATAAGAGTCTCGTCAGAGTTGTCAGAAGAAGACCATTGATGAATTAATTTGAATAACAATCAAATAGAAAATATAATTTAATGGGAATGATGATGGATATTTGTAGTAGTAATATTATTGTGTGTTCCGTAAATGAACAACACTCTAAAAACAACAACAACAGGATTAATATCATCATGACTTTCGATCATCACACAATAACAATAAAAAACATAAAAAAACATTCTTAAATTGTTGTCTTTGTAATTCATATGAAGTTTAGTAATTGAACTTGAGAAACGCACAAAAATTGAATTTATTGTTTGAGATTATCTTCACCATTAGTATTATTACTGGCACCACTGGAATAATTCTTACTCAAAATATTCTCAATAATTGGAATGACTTTGGAGGCAGATTCAGTATCCTTCTTTTTCATTTCAGCAATACACTTGCTAAGATTATCTAGAATGACACCTTCTTTCGAATTTTGCATATTTTCAATCCACCACTTACTGTACTCTCTCAGTGAGGTCTTGGTATGTTCGTGAGGAGGAATAATCCAATCTACATTCTCAATCTTGGTCATTAAGAGATGAGAAACTAGGATGGCATGAGAAGCTTCATTAATTGCCAACTGCTTGTCGATAATTGAAAAGTCATTCACAAAGATAATCTTTAAAAAGGTTTTGAACAGCAAGTGACCTTTGGTTTGATGATTACTATCATCAGACAAAAAGTCAGCAATCATTGCTTGAAGTTGCTTGGCATCATTGAGAAGAGTTAGGAAGTGAATTTCTCTCTCTTCGAGTGGGAATGTTCTCGAGAGTGTTATGGTCTTGAGGGTAATCTCAATGGTAATGTAAATATACAGTTTTTCAATGAGGGGAATGAACATATTTCCACTCACAGAGGCAGTTTGTTGATCGAACATTTGAAAGTAAACTCTCTTGGCATGTTTGAGGCAATAGAAGAATTGACATACGAATAGAGTATTGGTATTGTACTCGACACCAATCTCATTCATACGACTCATTTCCAATTGTTGCTGTTTGATTCTCATTTCCTCCTCAGAGAGATGCATATTCAATAGGATGGTTAAAAGTTGTCTGCTGATTGTGTCAAAGATTGGCCCAGTAATTTGCTTTCCAATTTCATCCAATTTTTTCAGAGAAATTTCTAACATTTTCTCAAGTGCTGTAAATGCTGGAAGATTCGATAGAGTCTTGATTGATTTGGTAGTGTTTGTCAGCATGAAATAAGTGGAATTGAATAGATTTGCATTGAAGAGTTGGGAGGGAGTGGTGGATCTTCCAATACTTCCCTCGAGAACTGAGAGCAAATCGATATCTCTTGAAGAGGAATCAGTAATTATGAGCTCTTCAATATTATTACAAAAGAGTTGAATGGTCTTGGCAATATTCTTTCCAATTTCAAAGAAGAGCTTTTCATCAGATTTAACATTATTCAATTCCTGTAACATGAGAGAAGTGATTTGTCTGATATCAGTTGTGGTCAGACCTTTGAATGTTGTTTCCTTTGGTTTTGGAGGAGATACCTTACCAAAGACTAGTTTTGTCTTTTCTACAAGTCTATTCAGGGATGAGTATAAATATTGAACTTCGAATGGATCCAACATGGTAATAATCCAAGATTGATTTCTATATTATTATTTTATCATTAATGTATTGTTATTATTATTATGATGTGAAAATGATTAATAATAATTTAATTAAAAAAAGAAAAAAAACTAACCTTGACTCCTGTGTTGGTAATTGCTGAACGAGAGAATTGAAAAATTCCTTCATCATGGTCTTAATTTGTGGATATTCAATCACAAAAATGTCCTTAAGGAATTGATTATCGATCACCTTTTTCATTGAGAGTGAAATTGACTTTTGAACATTATTCCAAAATAATTCCAAAAAGTTTTCGTTACCCTTTTCAATGAGAATGGCAGAAAAATCCCTCTGTGACAATGTATCCCTCTTCTTCTTTACAACCAAATCCAAGTGATAAATTTGTTGGTAGAGAGTTTCCATATCAGAAAACAAGCTCTTGAGAGAGACGAGGAATTGAGTCTTGAAAGTACTCTCTGTTGATTTGGTTGGTTTTTGTGAAAATACAGATTTTACAGCATTTGTTGCAGCATTGATTTGGTGTGTAACAGTGTCATTGATCATCTCTGAGAGAATGTTAAAATTGAAAAAAACTTGTAGGGCAGTAGCTACTGTTGATTGTTGTTTGTTCTTCATGCCTTCCTTCATTGCCTTGATGGCTTCATTCTTCACTTCGGTTGAAATATTTTGAATATATGGAATTTCCTTATCTACAATTGTAATATTCTCCAATTCTCGTGATTTTACAACTTGTTCCAATTCGAAAATATATTGTGACGTGGCAAATAAATTAGTTTGATCAGAATTATATCCATTATAACTCTTCTTTAATTTGGAGATCATTGAGAGGAAGGAATAAACTTTCTTCATCAATTCAAGTGTTTCGAACATGTTTTCAAGTTGTTTGTGTCGGGAGGTCAAATTAGTGGCACTTGCTCCCAAACTTGATTGTAATCTTTAAATTTTCCAATAATAATGTTATTTAATAATCGAATAAAATCATATTTCACACCACATATTATTTGCAAAATAATTATAAATCTCTATCATGTTAATGAATAGAAATAAACACAAACCTATTGACTGAAGTTTGTAATAAATCAACACTCTTCTTGATGGAATTTAAATCTTCCTCTAAATTTTGAATTTCAAATATACTCTTATAAAATCCCTTTCCAGACATGACTTTTTGATACTGATTGACCAAACTCATATCTGCCAACTCATCATGTTGTGTCAATTCATCACCCAATGATTTAAACAAAAAAGTTTTAAATTCCGATTCTTCTTCATCCAACTGTGAACTTTGCTTTTCAAAAATCTTGAAAATTTGATTATCAATCGCAGAAACACCTTCAGAAAGTTTTAATATTTCCGATTCTAATGATGTTGATTTTGAATTTGTCGACTGATCATCTTCCTCTTCTTTTAATTTCTTTTTCAAATAGCTTGATACATCAAAGGAAAAGGCTTCCGAAGGCTTGAAATTGTCCACAAACATTTTCAAAAAGGAATCTTCTCTAAAGTGTCTGTGTATGTACGTCATCTCCTCAGAGGGAAGATAAACTTTTTGTTGTGGATTTGATGAGTTGTTGTTGTTTTGCATTTTTTTTAATTTTATTAATAAATTGTAATTTTCTTGATTCTTGTAAGACAAAGGATGAAATGATAATATTATCGATATTGAATCTGTGTTGTTTTTGTTGTTCCATAATACTACAACTGTCTGATTTGGTATTTGTGTCGACCTCCAATAATTCAGTATTAAGATTTTCAATATTCTTTACATTCATTGTTTTAGGGTTATGAATGGCTACGGCCATATCACGATGAATGCACCTCATCCCGTCCGATTTGAGAAGTTAAGCATCGTCGAGCCACATCAGTACTGAGGTTGGAGACAACTTGGGAACCTGTGGTGCTGTAGTCTTTTGTCTTTTTGATTTTCTCCACTTTGTTTGTCTGAGGCTAGTTGACTGATAAGGTGCCAACCTGTTGGGTTTTAGTATTGGAAAGTTGAAAAAGTCGATATTTATTTACAATCTTTTTTACAAACGTAATGTCGATGATTTAGAGAGACAATCAAGGGCAAAAGTTGATCTCATGTGAAGAAGTGATGGAGAAACGTAGATTTGCTTTTCTTGGAGTTTTTGCTTCTTCTTCTTGTTAAATTCTGGATTATTCTTCTTTTCGCTGAGTCTTTCTAATTTTTCTTGGAGTGGATGTGAGGTTGGAGCTTGCACTGGTGGTTTGAATTTGACGTTTTGTGGATCGAACTCTGTTAAAATATTTTGATATTCATCACATGATAAGAGTTTGAATTCGTCTCTGGCTTTGGTTTGTTGGAATTTGGTTACGAGACCCAAAACACTTCTGATACCATCTAAACTGTATTTGAGTTGTGGGTGGTAGTGAGTTTGAATTTGACCCAATTCGAACAATGGACTAGAGAATGGAGTTGTGCTGTCTGGAACAGTTTCATCGAATGAATAGTTACCAATACCACTTTCTTCTCCACTGAGCATTTGCTTGGCATTTGGATATTTTATGAAGAGTTCCTTAATAATTTCCAAGAAGGCCAATGTAATATGGATGGATGTGGTGAAACAGTAGCAACATAACTTTTTGATAAAGGCAGCAACTCTGGTAATTGGCAATTTGGCTGGCTTCAATAAGAGCAACACAAGAGCGTCCAAAAGCAATCTAAGGTTGGTTTCTTCATATGGTAATGAAATAACTCTATCAATGGCATTGTAGAGTTGAGTATAGAATTCCTTTGGATCAATATCGATGGCACTACCAATACCTGTCAAAAGTCTGGCAGTAGTGATGAGGGTTTGTAAAACAGTTCTGATTGGTAATTCAATTGGTTTGAAAGCCTTTGATTCATTTTCATCTAAATGTGAGGCAACCAATTCATTGATATTATCAGCAGATTCCAACAAGGCCTTCATATAATCCAAGAGAGAGTACAATATATCAACATTCATCAAGTGGGAGAACTTGGCCAAACCTGCCAAAGCACTGAAAACGATTGGTGATTCAGGTTGTTGTTTGAGAACTCTGACATAACAAACAATGATATTTCTCAAAATATCAGTTTGATTCTTCTTTTGTTCAGAGTTTGATGCACCTTCAGCTTCCTTCAAATCTCTTCTCAATTCTTCACCATCTGAAAGATCCTTAGCCTTCTTCTTATTTCTCTTATTCTTCTTTCTATTCACAATATTTTCAGGTAAAACCTTGTCTTTCAAAATGGTCTTTAACTTGAGGGACAAGAAAACATCGAACATGGTTGGAGAAACTTCATACTTTTTCCTTACAATTACGGCAGCAATTTCCTCAACAATATCTAAACTGGTTGCACCCTTAGTTGGATCGTTGGCAAAGAGTTCAGAAATGCTTTGAGCAACAAGTTCTCTCACTTTGTCAACCTTAGAGTTCAATTGTGGAACAATAATTCTAATAATATCATTGGTAAAGTTAAAGTATGGTCTATTAACCAAAAGTTCACACAAACTCTTGGCACAAATCAATTGAATTTTAGAGGAAGGAGTCTTGGCATGTTTCTCTACATAGAGTACATATTTTTGATAGTGTTTCAAAATATTACTTTCAAAGTTTCTTCTTGTCTTAACTTCCTTTGAGAAACGAGTACCTTCAGCAGCAACTTCCAAGTTAATCTTGTAATCAGGAAGTAAATCCTTGAAAAGAGCACACATGGAGAGAACTGCAATCTTTTTCACAAAAACATCTCCATCCATACACAAGTCATAAATTCTAGAAATTTTGATTAACTTGATAAATGGTTAAATATTTCAATAATGATCAACTATACTCACATTAACATCTGGCAATTCTAAAATGGAGGAAGCCAATGCACCAATTTCAGTTCTTAATTTTTGTCTTCTGTTTTCTCTCAAAATAGGATCTTCCAAAATTTGTTGAAGTCTAATCTTTTCTTGCTTTTTGGCTTCTCTTTCCTTTTTGGTTTCGTCTGTTTCCTCCTCAATTTTAGTATTCAGTGAATCAAACACTTCCTCTTCATCAATTTCATCCTCCATATCATCCTCTTCTTGTTCCTCATTTCTCTTTTGTTGTTCCTTTTTATCCTTCTTTGCTTGCTTTGTCAAAACTTTCTTCTTTTCCTCCTTTTCTTGGATAACTTGAAGTTGTTTTTTAATGGTACCATCCTCACCCTTAATTGGAAGCTTTAATTTGACCTTCTTTTGTGATTCTTCCTTTTCATTTTCTTCCAAAACTTTTTCAGTCTTTTCCATAATCTTTGAGAGTCTTCCTTTAGAGTAGGTTTCTTCTAATTGTTTTACTTTCAAATCATCCTCATCTTCGGATACTGTTGGTTCCTTTTCATCATCAGAAATCATTTCCGAAGGATCTGGTTTGTTGAATTTTTGTTTCTTCTTTTTCTTCTTATCAAAGTCGGACCTGTAATAATATTCCATAAGAACAATCAATAAATATATAAAACTTACTCTTTCAAATCAGCAAGACTACTCATTCTTTCAGCAAATTCAAAATCGGCTTCATCCAAATCACTCAAGTGAACATCATCATCCTTGACAATTTCTTCTGCCTTTCTTTTTTGTTGGTTTGGTGCCTTCTTTCCAGCGCCACCAAACTTCTTTCCGGCTCCACCTTTTTGATTACCAGCAGGGTTATTTCCTCCCTTCTTATTGTTGTTGTTTGAAGGCTTCTTATTGTTGCCTCCGTGTTTTCTCATTTTTTTTGAACTCAAGAAAAATTCACTTTCAACATTTAATCTTTTGAAGCAACAACAGATTTGTTGTACAGAGGTGGTTAATGATCATTTCTCAGAATAATTGGAGTCAATAGTTATTATTGAGTTATAGAAATCTGTTCTATCAAGCACACAGGTGTACTCAGGTGAAAATGTTTTTTATAAGTTTAAAAATCTTCGAATAAAGTAATGAGGTCAACTAGTTTGATGAGAGAGGCTTCTAATCTGTCTTCAATGTTTTTCAATCGTCTGATTTGTTCTTCTTGTTCTTCACTCAAATAGGTGCTTTCGAGAATGCCTGATTCAATTATATGTTGTTGTTCTTTCTTTAATCTAATTCTCAAATTTCTTACAGATTTGTACATGTCATCGATAATCTTTTCATAAACTTGTTCCAACTTGACACTCCACAGGAAGAAGGTTTGTTGAGCGCTACGATCCTTACTCTTAGGTACTTCTTGTAAATGAAGGATGGAGCCTCTCAACATGTTCATCAATAGAGTTCTAGCTTCACAAGGTGGTAAAAGTGCACATTCGGCAATATGAGTCTGTTCCAAATACTTCTTTTCAAGCAATAATCTGAATAATCTACATCCAATCACACTGTATTTTTGTGAAATGATGACTTCAGTTTCTTGCTTTTTGAGTTTATCGGCAACACCTTTCAAATTAATGAAATAAGTGTCCTTACCCATAGCTCTCAAAATATCCAATTCTGGATTACAGAGGAAACTCAAGTTATTTTCCAATACCTTTCTACCAATTTCCTCAGTTTCTGATATTCTATCATATAATTTTTCAAATTTGAGTGGTGTTGACATTGGATCATTCTTAGATCTTTGATATGGTGCAGTTTCATCAAAGGCAGCTTTAACAATGGATGCAAATTGTTCTCCCATCTTGGTTTCAACATATTTAATGATGGATTCATTTCTGAAAGTTCTGATAAATTGTGAGTAATTGGTAGTCCACAAAATATTTTCAGCATCAATATGAATTTCATCTTCATCAATTGAATCAAATTCTTCAGTGTCAAATTCGAGTGGTGAAATTTCTGAACTTGTTCCCTTCTTCTTTTTCTTTTCAGGTTCATATTGAGAGCTGCCATCTTCATCTTCAATTGTCTTTCTCTTCTTTGACTTGTCCGATTTCTTTTTAGATTCCTTGTTTTGTTTGGAGTACTTTTGAAGTAAATCTGTTGTAGAGTTTGATCCTCCTTCCTTTGCATTTTTCTTTTGTTCTTGAAGTTGAATGGATGAAACATATGGCTGAACTCTCTTGATAAATCTGTCCTTGACCATCTTTTGGAAGGCAGTGATGAAGGATGTCTTTTTACTTTCAGTGGCAAATGTATAATCTTTTTAAATATTATTATTATGATAATAATAATATAATAATAATAAAAATTAATAAAATTGAGAGTGGGTTATTCCGAGTTTAAAAGTAATATTAATTAACAATAATAATAGATTAAATAAACAATAACAGTATTCAATACACTCAAAATATTTGGGTAAAACCTACCTGTTTGTGTAATATTTTCCAAAGCTTTTTGAATTAATTCCTTCATTGTCAATCTGCCGTGTTGTAAGAGAATGTGCAACAATTCTTCTGCATCAATACCATAACTTGTCCTAATGGTATATAATAACTTGGCACTCTTCAACCTCATAATAATATTTTCAATGATTACTTGATAATAAATAATTTTGCTTTGTCTTTCGAATTGTTTTTGTTTTTCTGCTTTAATTTGTTCCGATTCTTCTTCCTCAATAGGTACAGTGACTGGTGCTGTATCATTACCTCCACCTTTATGCTTCCACTTTTCTCTCCTTTCCTCTTGTTCTCTCAATTTTTCTGTTTGTGTTTTCATGTCATCTTCCTCTTCCGCATTCTTTGATCCATGTTCTAATTTTTGTTGATATATATTCTTGTCAAAATAGACACACATGTTGTGTTGAATTAAAACAAGGAGAGCATTTCTGACTTGAGGAAATTGCAATGATGTATTTTGAATCAAATCCGTCATGGTCTGAGGTCCTTGTTCTAAAAGAACAGAACCAACCTTGCCAATAATGTCTCCGAACTGATCGTTTAGAATTTCTACAGCTAGATGTCGTTTGTTCATTTTTTTAAGTGCAATTTCAAGAATAAATTTCTAGACAATAATCATTATTGTCTAGAAACACATTATTTTGATATTCGTGTTTGAAGACTAATAATCATATTAATCATCAAGATTGATTATTATTTTATTTTAAGAATACAAAATGATGAACATGTAGCCCGTCTAGCTCAGTCGGTAGAGCGCAAGGCTCTTAACCTTGTGGTCGTGGGTTCGACCCCCACGGTGGGCGATTAGTATTTTAATTTTAACCTTCATGGTAATTAGCTCATGTAATGATTTTTTGATTTACCACTGCTTTTTTTAACTTTCAAAGCTTTCATTATATTTCCTTGAACGCAACTATTGTTCGTATTGGATGTGTGAAGTTAGGAAACTGAGGCGGGACAAAAACATTGTTATTCAAATTATATATTAAGGTATCTATTGTTCAAAAATGGATTACTTTCTCATATTTGTGAATCGTATTTTGGGTATTAATGTAAAGCTTGTACGTGTTCCATATTCAGAAAGCATTAAAGGCGAATAAGTTTATCAATTGTAAATGTTGGTTGTTTACTATTAATGGTGGGAAAGACGCTTTTGAGGATGATTCGATACATACTTGTCTTTATTCTGTCAGTTCTTTAATGTGAAATCTTTCAAATCTCATTACTAGAAGAGCATTCTAACCAACATTATTTGATTATTCAAGAATCGATTCTTCTCTTCAACAAATTTGATTATTATTCCTTAATAAAAAACCAAATCAAATCAAGGCAATACAAGTGGTGACTTGATCGAATCTTGTATTCAATAACATATTCCTCAAAATGTGTTTGCATTCTCAAATTTGTTAATCATCCGATCCATGTAATATTTATCAACAAAAACCAACCACTTTATTTTACCCTTATTTCTGCTGCCTTGTTTTTCAAACTGTTTTCCTTTTGCTTTCTTGTGCAAATGTTTGCTTTCCCTTGGGTGTTTGTATTTGTGGTGTGTGTGTTCCCAAAAAAGGGCGGGTGCGGTGATGATATTTATTAAGTGCAGAGACCATTGCTTGTTTATCTGAATAAGGCTGCTTGTTTTTGCTTTTGTTGTGTTTACCCATCACTCTATAAAGTAAAGTACTCTCACGCACAACAAAAAACAACCACAACACAACAAGAAGAAGAAGATACATTATATATAGAACCTTCTCTGTATTGATAACTCTACCTTAATTATTTCGATATTCTCTGATCAATAAGCAGCTTGAATATAACTACTATTAAGAAGATCCTATTCAATTAATAAGTAATACCATCCATCCAATCATCCAATCAATAATTATTATAAACCTAATAATACTCATCATCAATACAAGATGAATAACAATCCACAACAACAGCTGCACTTCGCCCACAATTATAATCAGCAATACCATTCTCATCGACCAGAATATACCGTCATTCCAATACAGACCAATACTACTAAGCAACCATCCTCCCATGACTCTACATGTCCTGTAAATTCTTCTAATCAGTGCTGCTCTGAATCTGCTGAAGGAGTGTTGGCTCCTTCTACTAATTCTGTTGTTGTGAATAATAATACACCTTCAGTTCAAGCTTCCTTTCATACACTTCATAATAATTACTTTAATTCATCATCGACTAAGGCTCGTCCTATGGTCATTCATACAAAGATGGTTAACAATAATAATAATAATAATAACAATAATCACTCACAATCAACCTCCTCTCCATCAAGAACAACTTCCAATATTAATACTAATACTACTCAAAATAATAACAATAACAATACAATTAATTCTTACAATCAAACAGTGTATTGCACAAACTCCTCCTCAGATGATTCCTCTCCAAGTCCAACCAATATCAATGGCCTCACAAAGGAAAAGTATAAGAGACCATGTCCATCTGAGAGCTATAGAAACATTGCTGCCTCACTCACACTCGAGGAAATATCTAGACATTACCACTTGACGAGACAAGATGCTTGTACTGCTCTGAAGGTTTCATGGAGGGATTTGAAGGAACGTTTGAATGTATTGGGTGTGTCCAGGTGGCCAAAAACCAATGCCAAGAAGGTTACCCAATTCAATACAGTTACTTCTCACTTTGAACAGTTGTGTTCTGTTATTGAGACGGGTTGTCCACCACTAACCTGCTATCCACCACAACAAAGGAAAAAGTTCAGATCAACACCACAGCCACACAGCAATTCAATGGTCATTGTGGATAATTCGAATTGTGTTGGTCAGCAGCAGCAATCATCACCATTGGCTACCAATAAGCCAAACAAGAAACCAAACAAAATTGTCAAGATTACAGGAAACGTCGAGAAGAATCCAGCATGCTTGTCTCCGAATAATGGCTCCATATGTAGCCTATCAAGCCCATCCACAGCAAGCAATATTTCATTCAATGTGCAACAAAATTCCACTCTAATGGGAAGTCCAAAGAATAAGTCACAACCAAAGGGAGCTTTCCAAGCTTACAATCAAACAGTTCAACAGAATCATTTGGCAAATACTTATTCCTATCAAGCAAAGTGTGAAGTTCAATATTATCCAGCTCAACAACCTACAGGTTCTTCTGGTTTGGCTTATTCTCAGCAAAAACATTCAGCATCCAATTGCTGCCACCATGTTGGATCACAATCAGCTCATCAATCTCTTCCAAATATTTCAACCTTCTTTGATGAAAAGCCAACAACCTCCCCTGTACAATATCATTCCTCCTCACAACAAATTTTGCCTTCCATTAGCAGTTTTGATACCTTCCTCCAATCTCATTGCAGCAACAGCAGCCTGAAGAGAGGAAGAACTGAATCATCTGAAGATGTATTGCTCAATAAAAAGAGAATTATATAAGACTCATCTAGATTAAATGTTCAAAATGGTGTATTGATATAATTACAAGTTACTCTTTCAGTAAGTGCATGGAAACATTATCTCCAGAAACTACGAGTGAATAACTTTGTGGAACAAACAAATACTCTGCATAAACTCTAATTACCACTCCGTGATCAGTACTATCGAGCCAAACTTGTTCAACATTATTCAAAGTATCCCTGGCCATGTTATCTTGTGAAAGACCATACAATTGAGAATTTCCAAAAATCACATCTCTAAAAACATTCACCTCCAAGTCAAGATTATTGACAATATTGAGACGACTAAGAGGATTTGAAGGGTAATCTGACCAGACTAGTGTAATTTTAACATTCTTCATTGGCAAATTAGCATTAGTAGGAGCAATGTAATAAACATGTTCATCCTCGACACTTGAAAGAACTGGATCACCAAATTCAGTCTCAACATTTGATAATTGTGCAATGTTTTGAATGTTTTCAGTTCTTCCAATCCACAATTTTCTTTCACTTTTACCAAATTGGAACACATTATCAATTTGAACTTTACCAAATCCTTGATAACGAGTGGAATTCCAATTTCTTGGTGCTAGCTTTTCCAAAAATTGAGTATCCTCAGAAAGAGATGCCAAATCAACAGCAGAATTAATCATTGTAGCTTTTACAAGTGATGCTGATGGATTAAATGCAATCTTTGCATTCTTCACACCATCCACATAGTATCCATCTCTGAAATATTGTCTAACGATCGCAGTCAAGCCAGCTTTACAAATCATAGAATAATGTAAATATGAATGGTGAATTAAACTTACCTAAAGTTGGTGTTGCCATGCTTGTTCCCCGTTTAGCAGTAACATGGTCAATTAGGTTTTTTCTTTGAGAACATTGAGTTCCAACATCATCCAGAGTCGGATAAGATCTCACACTAATAATTTGATCACCTGGAGCCATAATATCTGGCTTAATTCTTCCATCCATAGTTGGTCCTCTACTACTGAAAGAGGTCACTGAATCAGGTTGAATATCCTTAACAGCAAGACTCGGATAGACACATCTTCCACAATACAATTGTCCAACTCCTCCAATGGCACATCCACAAGATCCAGTCGAAACGGACATAGTTCCTTTAGCACAATATCCACTCTCATCACATGCATCCACAATATTGTTCAAATCATTGAAATATGTACATTGATTAATGTACTTGGTAGAATATGGAGAACATTGTAAAACTGCCACAATATACTCTCTCACAACTGAATTTGTTGAGGATGTCAAGTTGGCATACTGAACTGTACGTGCTCCAAAGGAATTATGACTAGCTCCAACAGTGATAACATTCTTGGCGTGCGCTTGACCTCCAATAGTTTTAAAACCACTTCTTCCAGAATTACCAGCTGCAAACAAGGTAACCATATCCTTATTATTAAAAATGTACTCATCCGTAGAGGAGGCATAATAATTATAGGAACTACCTCCTCCCCAACTATTCGTTTGCACTCTACTATTGGCAATCTCCTTGGAGAAGGAAAAGAAATTATATGGATCAGAAGGTGGAAAAAGTGAACCAGGACTTGAAGTAAATTTCTCACCATTTTCTGAAATACATACTGGTGATGTACATCCAAGTTGAATAAATACCATTTTTGAATCTGGAGCTATTCCATTATAATCAGAAACTAACGTATCACCAATACTATTACTATAAATGGAATTTCCTGCAACACTTCCAGCCACATGTGAACCATGATCACTATCTCTTGTTCTATTATCTACAAATGCATAGTAAGCTTTGATTTTTCTGTGTGAATTGACTTGTTGTGAAGTCAACTTCATTCCTTCCTTGTAGGTTTTAAATTGAGTGACAGGAACATTTGGATCAGCAAAGAAACATGAAGTGACATCAAAAGATCCATCGACCACTGTTACTGTTTCACCTTCACCTGTCAATCCACCAAAATTCACACGTTCTTGAATTCTCTCACTTCCATCATCAATGATACTTTTGGAAAATTTGTTGGTGAGTGAAATTTCTTGTTTTGGTTCGATCCAAATTACTGAAGAATCTTTGGAAATTTCATACGAAACTCCGAGGGCATATCTTCTAGGCACTGTCAATAACATGAGATTTTGCTTTTCAATTCTTAAAAGTGAAACGCCAAATTGAGTTTCGAATATTTCCATCATTCGTTTCATTTCATTAGAAATGCCACTTGCAAACTGAATTAACAATTCAACTGTTTCTTGCTTATTTTCCATGAAATCTTGAATATCAAACTTGAAAATTGGGTCAATTTGTCCAATCCATTCAATGTAATCTTTTCCTAATAAGGATTGAATTGAATCCATGTCCATTCTTGTGGAAATTACATTTTTGGCCATTGGTTGGATATTCAAGTTAGTGTTTTCCTTTTTAAACTTTTGGATATCTTTCACTTTCAACAAGACACTGAAAAATTGAGTTTCGTCTTCTTGTTGAATATTTCGTTGATGATTTAAAGTAGACGAAAGTAAAGGTTCATTCAAAAGAAATGGATTAGATTCATGAAGAAACCTATTCATATCTCTTCTCTTCTCATTTTGTGTAAATAAATTATACATGCCATTTCTTCTACCTGTTGCTGCAAGTTTAGTTTCCACATGAAAATATTCTGAAAGAAACTGAATATTAGTTTCGCTTTTAAAGATTCCTTCGTTCACTGCTGTGGCAGAAACTAAACAGAAGCTGCCAAACAATGAGAAAATCAACAAGCATGCTGCTGTGAGCCATGTGGGTGAACTGTTTCTTTTCATTTTTTTTGCGTGTTTCACCGAAACTATTCTAGCCGAAACTCCGTGTAACATTTCCAATTATCGATCTTGTTGCCAATTAAACCTTCTTATTGGCTTTACAAAGATTTTATGAAACCCCTTTTAATGTTATTTAAAAAAATGTCACTACTCAAACACCTTCTCATTTTGACACTTCTCGCGTCCGCCGTTTGTGGTTTCTCATTCGATGAATATTTTACCATCAGAAAAACATCATTTACTTCATTTACATTAACAGGAATTGGCGTTGACTCGAGTATGATTGTGAAATTTACAAACATGAGCGGAATGGCAAAAATTAACAATCTCGAGTTGGTGTCAAATTCCTTCCCACGAGTTGTTTCAAATTTACCCTTTCTACCATATGATACCATGAATATTTACAATGTTTTTCAATTGGATTTATCGAAAAGTTTTATACCAGAAATGGCAACTATTCCAACACTTGATATTACAATGGCAATTGTAGGAACGGATGTGATGGACACGGATCCAAAAAGTTATAGATGTGTCGTATTTAAGGATAGTCAAACGGTGGTGCCAGTTAAAGCTCTTTCTCAAAAAGGAAATGAATTTACATTTACTGTTCTAAATTTGGAAAGAGATTATATTGGAAATAATAAGACACTCATGTTTGGATTGGTGGGAAAGACATTTGAGAATGTTAGAGCTGATTTTGATGTTCCTTACACGATTGAGTTTAAGAGAAGTTTGAATTTTCGTCAACAATATTCGCCAATGGATGAAAATCTAAAAATGGAATTTAAAGATATTTTTAACTTTCCATATTCGGTTAATTTACAAAATAGGCAAGGGGAATATTCAAAAATTAAGTTGGATTATGATGATTATGTACCACTCTATTTATTTTCAACAAAAACCAACACATCAGATCCAAGCTTTTTTAATGTTGTCTTTTCTTTCAATTCAAATTTCACATTTTACAATGCCACAAATGGAAAGTCATTTAATATCAAAGAAGATACCTTGAGTATTGCAACTTGGGTCAATGATTATTGGATACCTGATCAAAAATTAGTTTGTAATGAACAAACTTGTGAACTGACAAGTAGTGTGATTTCTGGCAGACTTGTCACAATTTGTGGTGTCATTGACAATACTCCACCACCTCCACATCACGAGAGAGAGGACACTGCCCATGGAGTTACATTGAGAAACAATTCAAAACTCTATTTGGAACCAATTTCTAATGGAATTTCACATTTATATCAAATTTCCTTACCTGCTGGTCAACAAGTTATTTTGAAAATTCCAAGAATATTTGGAAAGGATGCATCCACCTTTACAATCTATCAATCATTCAAATCTGAAACTCCAAATAGTCAAAATTATGAGAATGTTGTAGAAATTTCAAAAACTATGAAAAGTATTACAATTTCCAATAATGAAACATTGGCTCGTACAGCATACTTTCAATTATTTGCAAATCAGAATGCCATTAATTATATTGACGTGTCAGCTTTCATGATGCCTATTTCTCCCTCTTACAGTAATCCAACTATTGGAAGTCCAAGTAGTAATGATGGAAATATAATCTCTGAAAAAAGAGATTTCACATGGCTTTATGTGTCAATTGGAGTTGTGTTTGGTGGTTTATTGTTGGCAGCTGTCATTACCATTGTTTTTGTACTTGTTTCAAAGTGGAGAATGAAGAGACAGGCAGCTCATATTAATAATCCTTCAATTGCCATGATGGACTCTTCATCTTCAAAGTATTATGTAATGAGAGATGGTTTCTAATAATTTATTGTTATCCTCATTTCAATAATAATTAAATACTATTATGTAACACAGTCAACATTTATAAAATTTAGTGGATGAAATGTTATTCTTGTGCTTTATCAGATAAAATCAAGAACATACTATTTGAATCTTCAAATGATGGCTCTCAATGCCCTATGGCATTAAATACATCAAATGATCTTAGCATAATTTGAAATATTTTACAGCATGTTCAAACGAATACTCAATTCTTGTTGTGTTGTACTTTAAGCATTTTGGATATTCCTTATATTAAATTAAGGAACCTTAATATCTTAACAAGAAGCGTCGATGGTTTAGTGGTAGAATACGGCGTTGCCATCGCCGTGACCCGGGTTCAATTCATTTTGATAGTATGAATTATTGTGAAATGAATAGTTGTTTCTCAATTTCAATTTGGGAATTTCATTTCCCGTTCTCCAACTCTATGTAGGATTTTGTTTAAAATCTTGTTAATTTTGTTTATTTAAATTTATGTGCGTCGACCAATTAATAAACATACTAGTACATGTATTAAAATCCGTTACCCGATGGTTAATGTTTAAAGTTTGAGTAAATGTTTGAATTGTTTCATCATGTAATGTGTTAATTCACAGTTTGTGAACATCAATGAATAAATAATAAATTTAATTTATTGTGTGATGACATTCCCAATTAGGAAATTCCGTTTCCCTATACCCAATCATCAATATCTTTAATATTGCAATCGAAATCTTCAATATCACTTTCAATAATGTTATTCTTCTTTGTTTTCTTTGATGGTGATTGAGCGTCAGGTTGATATGTAATAAATCTTGAGTTCTTTTGACTATCTTTTCTAACAAGAAACTTTCGTTTAGAATATTGTTGAATAATATTTGATGGCAAAATTTCAATTTTATATTGAATAATTTCATTCTTATCAAAATATGTGTTACTTAAATCATTCAATACAATTTCATAATAATACTTGTTTAAACTAAATGTTGGAATCATTTGTAATGTAATTGATAGAAATAATAAACCTCTTCCGAATAAATAATAATATTTGTGATCATGTTCATCATCTTGAATTTTAATTGTATAAATTCCTTGTGATATATTTAATGATTGATCATATTTAATATTACCATTACATAAATAAATAAAACTTTTAGGAAATTCATATGTTTTGTTGTATCTGATGAATAAATTTTTGTTGTTGATTTACCTAATTCATTTAAAACAACTTTTACATCTTCATATTCACGAATAATATCTTCAATTTTAGTTGGTGAATTTTCTTTCTTTAAAATACAATTAGGATATGTACTAACAAATCTAATTGTACCATCATCTATAAAATAATAAATTATTATTATTTAATCATCATCAATCATCATCAATCATGATGATTTACAAAAAAGGAAATTCCATTACCCGTGAGTCAATTAATAAATATAAAATAATAGAAAACTTACTTGTATTAACAATTCTATCATATACTGGACACTTATTCCAACATTCATTGAAAGAACAACATTCAATGAAAAATTGAAGAACAACATTTGTTAATAATTCAACATGATGTTTCACATCATGAATTAAAAATAATGAACAGAATTCAACATGATGTTTCACATCATGAATAATATTAAAATAAATAATTCATAATTTCATCATAAAATTAAAAGTTAAATGAATTCCAAAAAAGGAAATTTCAATTCCCGGTCGACGCAAACCAGTTACTTTTCTTAGCCTCCTTTTACATTTTGTTTGATTATCACTAAAACCAGACATTAATTACTATCTTCCATCCAAATATTACTACCTCTAATCCCAATTCTTTTTGAGAATGGGTCATTTTTAATTTTTTTTAAACCAATTAGTATTAGAGTTGGGGTAATGCAGCGTGAGTTTGGCTACCCAGAATAGAATTGGAATTCGATTTTATTTGTTTGCAAAATTTATCAATTAATTAAGGACAAGACAGTACCCAAACTCAATTACTGTACATAATCGTACAAGCAATGAAGAGGACCTCTTCCGCAATTCTCATAGTTCTAAACCCAGGTTATTATGTACAAATATAGTTAAGTAATGATCAAAAAAGATGAATATTAATTGTTACCCCAATTTGGCTCACATTCACCTCATTTGAATTTTGAATTGCGAATATGGACATGTTGGAGTTAAATTGACAATAAATTAATGAATAACTTTATGTACAACAATTTCTACAACACCCTTAATAAGCTCTGCTTTGGTTGGTTGTAAATGTTCATAAATCAGTTTTTCCTCATCCGACAATTTGTTTTGATCATAGACTGTCTTGGCAATTTCGAATGCTGTCATGCCATTGAATGGTTGAAGTCGACTGGAGCTACCTCGTTTCACATTAACACGGTGGCCCTTCTTGGTAGCTCTCATTCCACAAACTAGTTGTATGACATCTGAAGCTCTATTGAGAACGCTCCAGTGGAGTACATTACCTCCCTCAAAGTAATCACATGGCTTGATGTATTCTCTAGAGAGAAGGAATCTTAAAGTGTTAACCTTGGACATGGTTGCAGCAATTTTTGCTGCCATTTGGACTGTGACTAAATTCATTTCCAAAATAACCTTCACTGCGTTCAAATTGTCAATGAAAATGAAATTTCTGGCAACATATTTTCTAATGAATGCCTCAGTTTCAATACCATCATCTTCGTGGTGGTGATGTGGTCTTTTCAATAAGATTGAAAGGGATGGTTTCTTCTTCTTTTGACCCTCTTCTTCCAATTTGAGATTTTGATTTCTTTCATTTTCAATGTGGAACTGGAGGGCAGTGATCAAGATTTTAATCACATCATTGTCTTTCAGTTCTATAATCTTTTCTAATTGCTCAATATCAAGGAGAATATTTTCATATACCTTGCTTGGTTGTGCCTTACAGAGCATTTTCAGAATGTCAATTCTTCTCTTCTTGGCAGCATAAGTGAAACAGCTAAAACCAACAAATTCTTCTCCAATCATGTGTAAAAATTCTTGATCTCTAATCAACACGAAGGAGTCTGGAGAATAGATTAGAAAATCCAATCGTTGTCTCCAATCACCTTCTATTGAGAATGAATCATTTCTAATATTGTTATCAATGATATTAATCAAGTCTCTGATATTTCTTCGTTGCTTCATGGTGAGAATAATTTGATGAATGACAGGTGGTATGTAAGGCTCTCCAGCATAATGAACACTTCCAATGGTCAATCGACGTGGTCTGCTATTGACAGGAATTTCAATCTTTCTAGATTCCAACCTGGAGGTGGTGTGGTGCATTGTCTTGTTTCTTCATTTACAGAGAGGTTTCTATTCAGGGAATGGCTACTGCCAAAGAATGATTGTGTTGGTGAGGAGGTGGACGAGCTCTCTGAAGAGCTACTAGTCATCATGCCATCTGCTTGTTCGTATGTATTGCTAGATGGTGATGGAATAAATAAATCTGATTGGGAAGGGCTCGAATTTCCCTTGACAAATCCTTTGGATATAATCTCGTAACTATAGTGCTTTTTTACATTCTTTACACAGTCTGGGCTATGACAGTCGTCAGTCAAAGACATTGTATCTTGACAACTGTTTGGAGTAAGATTGATGGTAGAGTTGGGTGGAAGAATCATAGTCTTGAACATTGTTTCTAAATGTTTCTTATTTTTACAATTCTTTTTGTAAACAACCACACTCGCAAATTGTGGCTTTTCCTTCTTCTTTGTCTTGCTTAATGTTGGAGAAACACATTCGTGCTCTAATGGATGACAATCAGTCAGTACCTCACTCTCGAATCCCTTAATGTAGGAATCAATTTTCAAAGTGACCTGTATACATTTCGTTGAATTATTAGTAATGGTTGGAATATAATTCTCAATACATTGAATATGGAGATAGTCATCTATTGTCTTTTGATAGGCATCACACGAGGCAAGTGTTCTACTCCTTCTCCTTTCAACAATGGATGGTGAAGTTGATGGATCATAAATTCTGCTACCACCCGTACTAATTGAATTCATTGAAGAATTGCAAGAATTGAAAGATTGAGATGTCAAATAACCATCATAGGTTGCAAATGTCTTTTTGGTGGGTGTCTTTGGTTTCTTTGGACTGCCATACAGACAGTTTCCATCCTCATTCGAATTGGAAGATAACGTCTCTTCTGATCCATTCGAAGATGACGAATTGGATGATGACGAAGAGAGCTGACTCGTTAATTTAGTAAATGGCTTTGGAGAGAGTGAAGGAAGTGGTGAATTAAACTCTGCCCTCCTTGATGGATCACCACCACCATTCAATTGAGAACTTGTATTTACTCCAAAACATTCCTTATTCTGTTGTTGTTGTTGAACAACACTAAAAGGTGAATGAACAGAACCAGAAGCAGATGATACAATTGACTTGTTAACTCCTTGTTTGAGATCCAACACTTCCAAAGCCTTTCCGAATACAATGTCATCTTCATATTCAGTAATTTGTTGTTGTTTTCTTGCAGATGGTTGTCTCCTTGTTGGAGTGGATGGTGAAGAAGAATTATTGTTTGTATGAGGAGGAGGTGCTGTTGATGATGAGGAATGAAACAAGAGAACACCCAATGAATCATTCAATGATTGTTGTTGTTGCTGTTGTTGTTCAAGCATGCTGCTTACTTCTTCCTTGTTTGGTTCACAAGACGAAAACGAAGCCTTCGAAATGTTCAGCTTGCTATTGTTGTTTTGATAATTTGCCGCCAACATGATGTTTAGGCTTTTTTTTCATGGGTAGCCTTTGTATGTGTTTGGAGAGAGAACACAAAGTGCATAGCGAGTCTTTCAAATATAGTACAGTATAAAATTGCCTAAAAATGAGTTTTGGATACCAAATAAAATCGCGTTTTCGTCTTTTTGACTTTTTTGGATGAATCTATAATTTGAGAAGAATATAAAGATGTTTTATTTTGGCCAAAAAACCACTATTTGAAGAAATTATCAACAACAGTGGCTATGGAGAATATTCCTTTCACACTAATACTTTTGTAAACTCTGCTAATATTGTGCTGCTATACATCAATCCTGTGAATTATCCTTAAAATCATCAAGAGAGATTGATCGGCACAGATGTTTATAACAATTATATAAAGCAGAGGTCACTGTTTTATCTCTTTCAACAGGTGAGAATGCACACAGTTAGGAAATTTCTGTAGTATTTTTGATTATCAATCGATTTTTACATCCATCAATATCGTCAAGTTGCACGCTCATTGAGAGATATAAAGGTCTTTGAGTTTGTTAGGATTAAGTCTTCCTATCCAGTAGTTATATAAACTGAATACAGTTAGAATAACAGTATGACGATTAAGGATTCTGGGTAGGGTTTGGAATATTCCATAGATTGATTGTTTCATTGTACAATTCCAATCACATTACAGAGATGTGGTATTCTAATACATTGTCCATACATACGCTTGAAGGAATTTTAATTCATCAGAAAGTTTCACAAAAATTCAATAATGTTCATCATCATCATTAAGAAATATTAAAATATGTAATTTACACGTGTCAAACACCCTTAATCCATATTTGCAATTATCATCATTTTGGATTCCTCTTCCTTTTCACTTAACAAAACCTTCCATCCTTATCTTCTTTCCAATTCCCTTCAAATTCAAGCAAACTTTATTTTGAGCCTTTTCCAATCTCTATTCAAAATCAAAACTCTTAAAAAATATCTCAAAATCTTTCCCGCTCAATGTCCAATAACAATAATAACTTGCCTCCACAAAGCACTGAACACTACGTCAAGTTGGATGATCATGATCAAAGTAATGGTCTGATGTATTCATCCATTGATACTACCATGAGTGGATCTGTATATAACCAACAACAGCCACAACAACCAATGTATCAACAACAACAATTACCACCAGTTGTCGTCGGATCATCCCCTTCTCAACAACAACCATTAGTTGAATCAACCATTATGACCAATGATAATAATAATAATACTAACAATCAGGCACCACCATCCCGTGGTATTATCGAGACGGTTAATGATTCATTGAGTAGTCTTGTAAATAGCATGTCCATTTCCTCCACACCAACCACAAATTCAACCACTAGAAATAATACCTATCTCCAACCAAAGTATAATCCAATTGGCAATATTGAAAATCCTCAAACTTTATATGAATATACTATTGATTCTGGATTTTTGGATTGCCAATTGGTTCATCCAACTGCATTGGGTCAAGTCAGTTCAAGAATTACTTTTGAAATGATCATCCAACACAAGACAATTCCAAATATTTCTCAAAAGATTAACAAGAATGAAATTGGAGGAAGTGCCACTTATAGACCTGACTTGAAGGTTCACATTACTGCCTTAGATAAGGTATCCACCTTCACTGAGAGAATTGAAGCTCTTGTCAATTCTGATCCACAAAAATCATTGCACAACTTTTTTATTTATGTTATTGTGAAAAAGACCAAGGTTAACCTTTTGGATGTCCAAAAGACTGCTATTGCTTATTCACCATGTTTTACTTTGGCTGACTTTTTAAAGACAGGCACCGAACAACAACAACAACCAATGTATTCATTCGATTTATTCAAGGATCAACAATTGAGAGAACATGTCGGTAAATTGGGTGTTAGATTGAGCATTACTGCCTATTCCGATTATCAATACGTCAATAGTCTTCCATCTGGTTTCTTTGCTTCAAAGGCATTCACAGTTCCATATACTTCAAAGAGTCAAAAAATTAGCTCTTTACTTTCACTCACTGAAAAGGTCAAGTTGTGGCTCAATTCCTATTCATCTTTAATTAAGGTTATTGAAATTTCCAATGCCAATGATGGAAAGGAATTAGTTCAAGTAGTCTTGTATCAAAAATTGTAAATATATTTTAACAACACAACTATTCACATTGATATTTTGATTTTGTAATACCTTTTTTGTAATCTCTCCAATAAGAGAATAATTTAAAAAAAATGTCATTCAGTGATGAGTGGCCAGAAGTATTCGTTTTAGATTGCGGTTCAAGCACATTCTATGCAGGCATAGCAGGAGAAGATGCACCCAGCTGTGTCTTTCCTTCCTGTATCGGAACACCTAAATATTCACCCATCATGATTAGTGATTGCACTATGAAATCAGGTTATATTGGTGATCAGGCAATTAAACGAGAAGGAATTCTCAATCTAAACTATCCCATCCGAAATGGAATTATTAAAAATTGGGATTTGATGGAAATTTTACTTGATTATACCTTTCAAGAAATTCTCTCAAAAAATACTCAAAATTCTGAATGTGAAATTTCAGACAATGAATCGAGATCAATACTATTCATTGATTCAATTTTACAACCCTCCTCACAGAAGAATCATTTAATGCAATTATTCTTTGAAAAGTATGGATTTGGATCGTTTGCCTGCTCTCCACAACCTCTCATGTCTGTCTATGCATGTGGAACAACGACGGCACTGAGTTTATGCTTGGGAGAGGGTGTGATTCAGATAGTGCCATGTTATTGGGGATTTGTAGATAATAATACAACGAGGAGGATTAATTTTGGAGGAGCCAATGTTACAGATTACATGATTAAAATGTTGAGTGAAAATCATGGAATTTGTTTGGAAGGGAATAGGTCAATTGTGGATCAAATGATTAGGAAAATTGGTCGTGTTGCAGAGGATTATGATAGAGAATATGAAAATAGTCGAATGTCTAGTGAAGGACATCAACAGTATGAGCTACCTGATGGTCAAGTGTTAAATCTATCTCATGAACATTTCACATGTAATGAAATTCTCTTCAATCCTCAAATAATTAATTCTGAATATCCAGGAATTGTTGATATTATTCAAGACAGCATGCAAGCATCAAACATTGACACTCGCTACGGTCTCTACAATAATATTATCATTTCGGGAGGAGTTTCGCTCCTTCCTGGACTGGCAGACAGAATTAGACATGATTTGGCACAATTAATACCAAAATCATTGAGATTAAGTGTGGTGGCAGCTCCTGAGAGACGTTACTCATCATGGATTGGAGGAAGTATTGCTGGTTCCCTTGAGTCCTTCGCAGAAATGGCTGTTGCTATGGCGGATTATGAGGAATATGGATGTGAAGCATTGCAGAGAAAGAAACGATTTTTCGATTGTTTTCAACCTTAAAGAGAATATGAGATTTAATTAAATTTCAAACTTGTTAACGATATTATTTAAGGATTTATTAAAAGTTTGGTTCTCTCAATCCCCAAATTAATGGAATAAACACACTACACAGCACAAAGTAAATCATATTGAGAGGAAGACCCACCTTTACATAATCCAAAAATCCATATCCACCAGGTCCTTGAATAATTAAATTGCATTGATATCCGATTGGAGTTGCAAATTCACTGGAGGAGGCAACAGCAACAATAATTCCAAACATTTGAGAGTTTAAATTTCTTGATTGAGCCAATGCTAGAGCGAGTGGGAGAGTTGTGGCTGCTGCACTGTTATTGGTAATGACCTGAGTGATGGTTTGAGTAATGAAGAACATGATGGCTGGCAAAATAATATCCGGAATATTCATGGCATTGATGAGTTCAGAAAATGCTTCAGAAATGCCTGAATTTCTAATACCAGTACCAACACCTAAAGAACATGCTACCAGAATGATTAATTCCCAATCGACAGAGGCTATAGCTTTGGTTGGTGAGAGCAATTTCAAAATGACCATCAATCCAAATGCAACCATTGCACAAATGACCATTGGAATTCCAGCACTAGCTCCAATAATCATGGCCATAAAGATTGGAAAGATTAAATATTCCCACCACCACAAGTTAAACTCTCTTCCTCTAAATTTCACAATGAATGGTCTGTGATCGATTTTTGGATTGACACTACATCTAGAAATGCTGAAAAATTCGAGACTTTCTCTATGTTTCTCATAGAAATCTGCCTTGCATAAAACGAGAACTGTATCACCAACTTGAACTTTGAGTTCAGAAAAGTCACTGGCATCAGTGGTTGATTTGATAATTGACTCACGATGTCTCACTGCGAATAATGCAACTTGATAGAATTGAGAGAATTCACTGTAGGTCTGTCCACAACATGGATTACTGGTTCCTACAACAATTTCAAAATATTCTGGATCATTGGATGGCTCTGATTCTTCTTGACCTAAAGCTTGTTTCAATTGACTCTTTGGAACTGGGAATCTAGTGAGGGAATTTTCACCTGCTTGCGGTTGAGATCCTTCTTCTTGAGCATTTTCCTCAGTGACTTCATTTTGATCCAAATTGACTGTAGTTTCATCCAAAGATTTTCTCAATTCTTCAGTACCAATCACTTTGAAAATACTAGTATCCTTAAATTTATCAGAAAGTCCAGTAACTGAGTGCAAGGCCATAATATCCTTTGGACTTCCCTTGAAGAAAATCTTATCTCCCAACTGAACAATATAATCATCTGGAACTGGAACAATCTTTTCCGTCATGTTATCATCCAAAGATTCGGCGCTTTCTTCAAAACGACCTTGTGGACGAATCACTTCAATAATTTCCAATTTAGGTAAATGTAAATGTTCCAATAATTTAGTCTTGTTCTTTCTCAAGAGAGGAGATTGTGGATCCGTAACAGTCAATTGGGAAAGGAAATTTTCAGCCCTCTCAGTTGCATACTTGAATAAACCACCCTTCTTATTAGGTAATAAACTATATCCGAATGTCATCATGTAAATAAAGGTAGCCACGAGTAAAATTCCACCAATATAAATAAATTCAAAGAATGAGAAGGATCTATATCCATAATTGACCATCAATCCTGAAACCACCAGATTAGTACTAGTACCAATCAATGTACACAAACCACCAGCAACAGTGAAATAACTCAATGGAATTAAAAACTTGGAAGGAGATAACCCATTAGCTCTGCACCAATCCTTAATAATTGGTAAAAACAAGACAACAATTGGAGTATTGTTCAAAATTGAGGACAAGATGGCAATTGGGAGAAACATTCTCAAATAGGATAATCTTGGAGTAAGCCAAGGTTTTCCAAACATGATACTTGACAATTTCAACAAAATTGGATTGGTAGAAAGAGGTTGGACAACTGGGAAGAGAAATGCAATAGCCAACAATCCATCATTTGAGAACCCATTCAATGCCTCCTTCAATGTCAAAACTCCACTCAATAAAAAGAAAACAAGAGCCATAAAAATTACAAAATAAGGTCTGTACAAGTCAAAAATCAAACCAATCAACATTCCCAAAACAGTTACCAAAACAAACCACAATTTCCAACTAGTAATTGAATAATCCTGAATTGGAGATAAAGATCCACAAGTATTTTGTAAAATTCCAAAAGCAACACCACCACGAGAATGATTCACAATTTGCAAAGCATATTTTCCCTTGAACAAATCTGGAATTTTCACATAATAATTCGTATTATTTACAACTATTATTGAACCATCAATTGAATTTCCCAATTCAATTACAATCGGAAGTGTATAATTCTTCAATGGTTCATCATTGGTTTCCTCAATACCAATCAACGACTTGGTATAATTTAAATATAATGAATTGGAATGTACTAGTTGATATTTCAATAAATTATCTGCTTCTTCTTCATCGATATCTTCTTCTTCTGATGAATAGGAAGTCTTGATTAAAAGTTGTGATTTCTCAAAGGAATATTCCACTTGAGCTAAACCAACAATTTTGCCGTTTTCAATTTGTTTCAATTCACTCTGGAATTTGTAAGTGGCTATTAGAAGATTATGATGATGAAATTGTATTGTGTCATTGATAATGTACAATATTTAGATTTGGTAAAGATATGATAATGATGATAATTTTACTCACCTCCGATAACAGCATGACAATTAATTAAGAGTAATGCCAATGATAATAGCAATACAAATAAAAGGAAAGAGCACGATGATGAGGATGACAATTTGCTGATCCCCCGTGATGTCATCTTGTGTGTGTGCTGGTTTTTTATCGTGTGATTATTAAAACATCAACACCAGTTGGTTGTACGGAGAATGTTATCTGATGAATGTTGGAAATTCCACAATCTTTTTCAAATCTTTTTTTCCTTTACAATGAGAGCAAGGTCAAACTTATCAACCTAATTGACAACAACAGAGATTGCTCCGTTCATTAATGAATAAAACTAATTGAATTTTACAAAAATTATCAAATTTATTCACACTTAATAGAACTATAAATATTCTTGACAAAGGTCAAACTAGAGAGGAAACCAACAGTACTCATCATTAAGAAAACAGCAAAGGCAATAACCAAGTTGTAACCAACAAAGAAGGTTGTTTGGAGAGTGCCTGACATGCCACTTTCCATAATGTAGTAATAGAGGGAATAACCAAAAACGAAAATACTGCTAGTACCACCAAACTTGATACTTCTCCACCACCAATTGTGGTTTTCTTGTGAGAGAGTCAAATAAATGAGAGAAATGGTAATGCAACTAGTGACAGCAATCAAAATCAAGACAACCATCAAAACAATTGGGAATGGAACGTGACCATATTGACCCCACATACTCAAATACAAATAATGGAGTTCAATATAGTGTATTACCAAATCCATAGCATCATAATCCTTTCTGAGCATACGAATAATGATAAATGTCAAGAATGATGTCAAAACAAGGATAAAGATCAAGCTGTTAATAATTGAGAACCATTGGATTTCCAATTCATCACTATTAAAGTTCATACCAATAAAGTAATTAACACGTGTAACGTATTGTTTGGCTGTTTGTTGCCATTCAGCTGAATATTTAAACTTGATGAGAGTAACATCATCGGAAGAAATATCAACCTTGGAAGAAGGTTGAGCAACAGCAGTAATAACATGATTACCATTGTAAGTCAAAGAGAATTTGTAGCTATTGTAAAGATAATACTTGTGTTCAACAGTGTCATAATAACCAATGTGAACAATCATTGGAATACCATCATAATACATGAGCATGAGATAATCTTCCTTGATTGAGGAACGTAAAAGTGACAAATCTTCCTTGTTCAATGACTTGGAGCAAAGTTCAGTCTCGGCAGGAACATCGACTAGAATTTTACATTATCAATTATTATTATCATTATCATTATTAATGTTAATTATTGTATTATTGTTGTTAGGTATTATTATTATTAGAAAGAAAATAATACAATCAAAGTAAATTGTTGAAAAGAATTAATAGTAAGTGGGATTGAATTAACACAAGCAATAACAAACCTTCAAATCTAATATCATAATTTGAAATGACAGAATCAGCACTACCAGTAAGTTCTTCACCCAATGAAGTATCTGTTGATCCTTTAGCATCGCAAAATGGTAATTGTTTATAACTATAAGTTTCTGATGGGTTGTATTTAGACCACAACTTTTCAACCACTAAATCGATAACATCATGAGTTTCATAGACAGAGTTGGTTTTTGTTTGTCTGGTAACTGTTTTCTTCTCATCTGCGGCACTACACAATACGAGTATGGAGAACAAAATGGTGAGTACAATCGCAAAGGACGACAGACTCCTTGTTGATGATAATTTAGAGACCATATTATTTGATGATGAAAATTTCCTCTCTATTTGTTGTGATGAAAGCACGTTGTATTAGGTTAGAGGGAATTTTTTTGTGTTTGTCATCATCAGTGCGTGGATTGTGACTTGTATCATTACCGTTGAACAAAAAGTAAGAATTGTGCAATGGATGATGAAACTCTCTGCAGAGAGAATAATGAGAAGCATCCTATTTATTGTTGTGGATAACTTAATTTATTATTATTCAAATGAAATTTACAAGTCAAATATATTTACAAATAATTTAAAAGAATCTTAAAAGGAAGGCAATAAAGGCAATTAAAATAATACCAGCATACATCACGTGAACCATATTGGTCTTTCCAAGTTTTGGAATATCAGGCATATTGCTTGAAATGACATCTTGTAAACTGTTATTGGTTGAAACAACACTAGCTCTTCTACTGTGACTGAAGGAGAGTTCAGTTCTCATGTGGAATGTTGTACCTCTCTTTGGAACGAGAGCATTAACATCCAATTCAACACAAATTTCTCTAGCCATACTACGGAGTGAGGTTGGTTCTCCGTGGACAACGAAAACCATCTTTGGTTTTGGATTTTTGGCAGCCTCAATCCATTTAATAACATCATCAGTATCACCGTGAGCAGACAAACCTTGGACTTGCATGACTTGGCATTTAACATTGACAGTCTTGCCCAATAATTTGATATCTCTGACACCATTAAGCAAGTCTCTACCTCTTGTACCTTCAGCTTGGAAACCACTCAATAAGAGAACGTTCTTTTCATGAGGAGCCAATTCTTCAAAGTGGAATAAACAACGACCACCTGTCATCATACCACTACTACTGATAATGACACATTTAGAATAACCATCCTTGAGCTTTTTGTGAAGTTCCTTAGATTCCTTAGCACTATTATGGCAAATGACATCTCTCAAAATTTCGTGTGCATCCTTTTGATGTTCGTCCAATAAATATTGTTGATAAAAATCAAGAGCTTCAACTGACATTGGAGAGTTCATGTGGACAGGAAGTGTTGGAATTTCCTTCTCTCTCATCATCTTTAACAAGTGATAAGCAATAGTTTGAGAACGACCAATGGCAAAAGCTGGAATAAGAATTACACCATCATTTTCCACAATATGTTCAACAGCTTGTTTCAACGCTGGTTTAACCTTAGTTTCAATAATGTAATCTTGATCCTCAGCAGCTCTACCAGTTGCAAAATCAATGTGTGACTTGCCACCATAAGTAGCTTCACAAATAACATAATCAGCTCCCATTGGTAATTGAGGTTGTTGTTGCATTGGAGTGGAGGTGTGGAAAGTTCCCAAATCTCCTGAAAAGATAATCTTTTCCTTTGTGTCAAGAGTAATTTCAACAAACGATGATCCCAACAAGTGTCCTGCATTAAAGTATTTAAAGCTGAATTTGTCTTCATCCAATCTACTTTTAACAACAATTTTTTCTCCATACTTGACAGTTCTCACCAACTTGAAACAGTTGAGAACATCTTCTTCGGAATAGAGTGGAAGGGCAACCTCATGTTTAGTAGTTTCTTTGTGATTGGCATAGTGAGCATCTTCTTCTTGTAAACGAGCAGAATCCAACAAGATTAGTTTGGTCAAATTAAATGTTTGTTCTGTCATGTAGATTGGTCCAGTAAATCCAAGAGCAACCATTCTATTTTGATATTATTATGATGATTGAAGATTAAATTATTCATTCCGATTGATGATTTTTGATAGTTTTAATTTTCATTTGTATCAAAACATTGTATAAAAAACATACCTTGGAAGATAACCAGTGTGATCCAAGTGAGAGTGAGTAATAATGATGGCATCACACATTGTTTCAACAGGTTTTGATGATGAAATTAATTTCCAGTTTCTCTCTCTTTGATAATTAATCTAATTAAAACAAATGAAAGAATTAAAAAACATACCTAAGTTCCTTCAAACCTTGATACATTCCGCAATCAATCAAAGCATTCAAAGATCCATAAGTAATCATGTGCTTACTACCAGTAACAGTACCTGAAGCACCAAAGAAACTAATTTCAGCATGATTTGGGAAAGTTTGAGGCTTCGGAAGCTTGTCCAATTCCTTTCTAGCTTGTTTTACTTCATCTTTGTGCAATGACCTAATATCAGTCTTGGAAAGCTTAGTTTTATCTAATGGCATTTCAATCATATGTGCACCTTCTCCCTGATCTTCATAAGTAGAAGCAGCAACCGGCTTTTCTTCCTTTGGTTTAGTAGCTTGTTTAATCTGAGCTTCCTTCTTGTAAAAATCTTGCAATACTTGTTCATCTGCAGTGATATCCTCATGTTCTTCCTCTTCAAAACTGCTCTCATCAGCAGCAGTCTTGCTAGTTGATTTTTCAATGGTTTCCTGCAATTCTTGTTTGCTCATTTTTTTTTCTATTTTAGATCCTTTTGAATAGATCCAAATATATTTTATTCATAAGTACATTATTTACGAATAATATCTTTTTGTGCGTCATCCTAAACTTCCGTGCTGTTGGTGATGACGAATATTCGAGAGAGAGTCAACATGTTGATGATGACTATTTAAGGGCTTGAGAGTAAATGAGAATCTTTTTGATTTAAGGGAAGATTAATTTAGTTCATTTCCAAGTTTTGTCTATAATAACTTTGAACCTATTCGAAGTTTGTTAAAGATTTCAATTTCTCTTTCGCAACACAAAAAGTATTCAGATTGATTTTAATTTTACATAATAGTTTTATTACAAACAAGTTTTTGTTGTTTGTTTGGGAGAATTGAATTGTTTCAAAATCAATAGATTTAGAAACACTTTCTGTGAACAATACCTGGACCGGCATCCTCATATTCTTCCTTTGTGATCCACATTTGTTGGAAAGTGGACAATGAAGCCAAGATGGAACCACCAATCCAGACAGAGTACTTTCTTTCAGGTGGAGCAACAACCTTAATCTTCATTGAAGCAGGAGCCATAGCAGTCAATTCCTTGGTCATTCTTTCAGCAATACCTTCGAACATAGTAGTACCACCAGACAAGACAACGTTACCGTACAAGTCCTTTCTGATGTCAATATCACATTTACCAATGGAGTTGAAAGTAGTTTCATGAACACCAGCAGCTTCCATACCAATGAAGTTTGGTTGGAACAAGACTTCTGGACATCTGAATCTTTCGTTACCAACAGTGATAACATTACCATCTGGCAATTCGTATGACTTTTCAACTGATGATGATTCAGCAGCAACCTTCATTTCAGCTTCGAAATCCAAAGCAATATAACAGAGCTTTTCCTTAATATCTCTGACAATTTCTCTTTCAGCAGTAGTATTGAATGAATAACCTCTTTCCATCAAAATCTTCATCAAATAATCAGTCAAATCACGACCAGCCAAATCCAATCTCAAGATGGCGTGTGGCAAAGCATAACCTTCATAGATAGGAACAGTGTGGGAAACACCATCACCAGAGTCCAAAACAATACCAGTAGTTCTACCAGAAGCATACAAGGACAAGACAGCTTGAATAGCGACGTACATAGCTGGAACTGAGAAAGTTTCAAACATAATTTGAGTCATCTTTTCTCTATTGGCCTTTGGATTCAAAGGAGCTTCAGTCAACAAGACTGGATGTTCTTCTGGAGCAACTCTCAATTCATTGTAGAAAGTGTGATGCCAGATCTTTTCCATATCATCCCAATTGGTAACAATACCGTGTTCAATTGGATACTTCAAAGTTAAAATACCTCTCTTGGATTGAGCTTCATCACCAACATAGGCATCCTTATTACCCATACCAACCATAATGGACTTTTGCTTTGGTCTACCAATAATTGAAGGGAAGACAGCTCTTGGAGCATCATCACCAGCAAAACCAGCTTTACACATACCAGAACCGTTATCGACAACGAGGGCTTGAACGTCTTCACAGAATGACATTTTTATAGAATTTGAATGGATTTGTTTTTTTTTGATTTTTAATTGATGATTTGTGTGTTAAAAAAATATTTAAATGAAAAATTAATGATAGAATGATTGATGTGATTGATGGCAAGTCAAATTGAAGTTTAAAAAACTATTTTAGAGGTCATTTTTTAAATGTGGAAAGTCAAGTGAAGAAGAACAACTTTACAATATGACTTTTCATTATTTTCATTCAACACATCATCAAACATTACGAGCAAACAATCAGCAAACATTGCAATTAACAACTTACTGTAATTTTCAACATGGAAAAAATTCATCAAGTTTGATAAAAAATAGAAAACCTTCATCTACAATATTCTTGCATCTGCTCACACAATTCCCACCACATACATATTGATAGTAATATCACATCGTTATTTCTTGTCCCTTTCTAGTTGGAGGGCCGTCAATTGTTGATTATCATTGGATGGTATTATTGTTGTTGTTGGTTTAACATTTAGTGGAGAGGCTACAACAAATTTAATCATCCCAAAGTGACTCTACTCTTCCAATCAATTCAAGTTGCAACATTGTGTGCTGTGGATATATTTACATTATAATTTGAGATAAACACATGTATTATTGAGATGATTAGTTGAGTGGATGATATTTCTTCAGTTAATTCTGGAATGAAGAAGGGAAAACACTGGAAATCATTTTGGATAAAGTTATGTGATTTTAAGAGAATAGTAATTGGGGATAGGGATGAACCCTTTAATATTTGACATCAGTGATTGAACAGCATTGTTAATTTGAGTTGATTAATTTTCCACTTGTGTCAAGAGTTGATCTTTTGAAATAAGCTCTTGCAAAGTTAACATGTATATTCTAGAAAATTCCCTTGTTCAATGAATTAAGGTGATATTCTAGACAAAGATGGAAACCAATTTTAAGGTAGATCAAATTAACTTTCCTGTCTTTTCACCTACTGAATTGAATTCTGTGAGTGAATGAATTATCACAGTATTCTTGTTAATTTCTACACGAGACTGATAGTACTGAATCTTTAAGATTTTCAGAGAGTGGAATTTGGGAAACTAATGGCTGTGCTGATCATGTTCTAAATGTACTATATGTAAATGTGATACTATTGAATTTATTCATACTTCTGAATCATTATTGTATTGCAATTTATGGAAAGGCTTGAGAGATTGGAAGAAGAATACGTGTTGAAGGAAATTGGAATATTGTCCGAGGAACTATTGTGAGATCAACTCGTTTATAATTACTGATGGGCAATGGATGCCTTTAAAAGGGTTTGAAACTGGATCTCACCACAGGATTGGTGTTGGTAGAATTATTTAAAATTGTTGAAAATACGTCTATATATTCAATAATATTTATCACTTAATATGAAATCGGGTGTGGTATAGTGGTAGCATTCCAGACTGTCACTCTGGCGACCCGGGTTCAATTTGTTTTGTTAGTGTGAGTATGAGTTAGTAATAGTTGAATGATATCGGTCATTCCTTATTTGGAAATTTCATTCCCGGTACCCAAAGTATGAACGAGAGTTTTGGCTGTGTGAAATCAAATTGTTTATTGCTCGAGTGCCTTTTGATCAAGAAGTTACAGTTATGAATAATTATCAAGGAATTTGGCGACACGGTGATTACTCTGTGTTTAATATTATGACAACAATCGGTGGTGGTTAGTATCTGTTCAACAACAAATCATCATCAATAATTAATTAACAATCAGTGACCTAACGGTCACTATTTAATAAACATTAATTTAATAACCCAATTTATTATTGTTATTTGGTTGTTGAAGTCATCTTCCAAATTAGGAAATTCAATTCCCGGCACTCGAGATTAATTTTTAACTTTATCTTCACTATTTAATTTAAAATTTTTTTCATAATATGAAGACTGGTATGTAATCAACATATCTGCCAATTTTCAAAACCTTATCTCCTAATTCCATCGAGAAAATAGTCAAAGGTTAGACTCCTTTATTTTTCTTTCCAATAAAATATTCTATTTGCAGTTTTACCAAATTTCAAATTGGTATGTTATTGTTGAGAATTACGTTAGTCATGAAAAATTGTAAATTATAATTAATTAACAAATCTTATCAAGTTATCTTTTAAACAAAGCTCCATTGCTATTCAATTCAGAATTTCAGAAGATGATCCACAGAATGAAATGTTGATAGATTATAACATTTCCAATTATTTGATTAGCATCTTTTGAAACATTAAGAAGGTTATCCTTTCTGTTTCATAAAATAATGAAAACTTGTCTAGTGAATTCCGTGTCGGTGAGATTCTATTCATTAAGCTTCCAGAGAAAAATCGAGTTTAGTATCAAATTCCAAAGAAAGCAAAGAGGTATAAACACCATCTTGTAAATACTCATTCTGTCATCTTTCTCCTCTTGATCCAATAACAGAACTTGTTCTACAACACTTTTTACATCTCTCAATCGTTCTCTAAACTTTCTAACACATTCTTCCACTAATTCTTCAATATTCTTTCCTGTTTTTGCACTCGTCTCCATAATTTTATAATCAGTCAATCCAAAATTTTCCACAATTTCATTAACCTCCCTTATATCAACCACACAATGATGAAAAAGATCACACTTATTAATGGCCACAACACAAGGAGCATTCAATCCCTTATCATCCACAAATCTCCTCAATATTTGTTTCAAATCATGCAAACTTTCATATTCCGTCATTGAGCAAACAATTACCAAAACATTGAAATTAATCTTTTTACAATAATAACGTTCTTCAAATGGAAGGAAACGACTAAGGATCCCAAATGAATCTATTAAGAGTATGGATTCTTCTCTTTGATCTATAGAAATTGTTTGTTTGAATTCTTCATAAAAACAGGAAGGTGATTCATAACCTTGTGTGAACTGATTATAAACAAATCTCTTAATAATTGAGGTTTTGCCACTGTACACACTTCCCAGTAGAAAGAGTTTAATTTCTGATGAATCGGATTTGTTTTTCTCTTGTTCGAATCAGATGAATAAAGGAACCAAAACTTTTCACAATTCCAATTTTGGTGAATTTAATTTTCAATAAATCAATTTCTTTGGGTTCTATCGAATAAGTATCCATCATATTTCCAAATAAACTCCAACAAAATTCATCTACATATTTTGAAATTAATTTCGAATAATTTGGATGAATCAATCGAAAGTTCAATATTATCGGAATGAACTTTATAAATGGATCCAAGTGTTTTCCACCAATTTGATTGTGGAATAATTCACAAAAAGGTGATAAATAGGATAGAATCTGGTGGTGCATCTCTGTGGGGAGTTGAAGATATGACATTTTTTAATATTCGAATTTATGATTACAACAATTTGAGTTATAAAGTAATTCCCTTCAATACAATAATAAACTTGTGCTTGTAAAAGGAAGATAATTCAGTTTCGTCCCATTCAGGTTGATTCTTCTTCTTATTAGCCATTAGCATCAATCCTGTATACGAAACCAAAGCCAGCTGTTGAGCATGATTAGATAGCAGTGTATCAAAACTATTCGATTCCTTGTTTATCAGCACCATTGCCTTCTTCAATAAAGAAAGTCCAAATGCTGTAATTCTTGTTGTGGATCCACCTAATCTGTCAATTGTGGTATGGAGATTCGAATGTGAATACACTTTCTCACAATGTTTCTTACAATAAAATACATTATCTTTACAACCATCCAAGAATATCAAGGGAATATCATGTAACTTGAAATTTGAATTTCTACAGCTATAATTTGTATTTTTGTAAACTTGAATAGTGGCATTATTACTTGTCTCATTCATTAACAATTCACCTCTGAAAGCATGAATGTTGAAGACGAATTTGTTCAATTCCTCAAGTGGAGATGCATCCTCTGTTTCATCTTCTTGATGATTGGAATGCAAAGATAAATTGGAAATTCCATTATCATGACATTCATCATCTGTGCTGATATTATCCTCTTCATAAATTGATAAATTTAGTTCATCTTGTTCTTCATTATCATTCACAGGTTGTTTTTCATCATGTTGGTTCCGTTGCTGAGAATTAAGGAAAGAAGGTGTTGCTGATGATGATTGTTTGTTTGGTGGTTGAATGGGTTGCATTTTTTTTTATGTTGATTTGATGGTTGGACATTAAAAGTTGATGGCAAAAATTTATGTTTTTTAAAGTTATGCTATTTTCAGAATTGTTTTCATCGTCAAAATTTAACTGAAGTGATTTCGTTCATAATTATAATGTTACATAGATATTTAATAATTGGAAACACATTTTACATTACTACCAAATATCTCAAGAAATGAACATGAAATAAATTGCTTGAAATACATTGCAATAATGCAGTTTGACTGTTTGACAAATTTTCCATATCTTTCTGAACCCTTCCTTGAATGGGACAGTTTACAGACATAATGGAGACTAATGTTTATTTCTCATTTTGTAGATCTCGTTCATCATTCGAATATGATTTTGGGAGATTTGTTGTGGGCCAGTTACTTATTCAATAATTTGGAATTGAGATCGTTGTTCTTCATAGGGGGTTCTCAAATTTTCTGAAATTGTCTTTCCTATCAGAGTAGGAGTAATTGTAATACTCTTTGATCTTTCAATCATGATATCAATCAACATTTGAATTAGTCTCCAGCCAGTTTGAGCTGACTTGTCATTCTGAGTTGAAGTTAAAACATACAACTCATGAGCAAGAGGTGCATGAAGGAAATAACTCTTTGCATCATCAATCATTTGGCCACTATAACACGAGTCCACTACCATAAAAACAGGACACTTTACATTTTGAATTGCTTTCAAAACAAGTGAGCTAGGAGTAGATCCTCCCCAAGTTCCCAAATTATATTCAAACTTGTTTCCACTTTCTTGATAAACTTCACTTTGTTTTCTGCTTCCATGTCCTCCCAAATAAACAAATAGGATATCATTTTCATCATTACAAATTTCGGCAGCCACCTTCAATGATTCATAAATTGCATTTGGTGTACATTGTCTCTCCAAAAACATCCAAATATTCTCCCTTGGTACACCAATCTCTTTATGTAATTTATCGATGAGAATAATGTCATTCCTTGTCATTGGATCTGCTGGACCAGCCAAACATGCCATGAACACTTTGATTGAGCTAGCAGGTCTACATCCAAACAATGAAGTCAAATCAACGTGATAATTCCAAGCATCTTGTGGTTCTAATAGACTTTTAAAAGTTGGTTCCCAAACTTCATCCTCTCCTCTCTCCCACTTGAATCCCTTCACTGATTTAAATTCACCCTCCACAGTTTGCTGTTCACCTGATGCAATGTCTTTTCCTGTAAAGTTTACATCATCGGATTCATACAATCGATACCAAACTCTGTGAGGGCAACGATTCTTTACTGTTGTTTGAGACATTTTTTTATGAATTGTAAATAATTTATTGTGATGGATGAACTTTGCTCAATTATTGAAATTACTTGAACATTCACTTGTTGATTGATGTTTTGCCCCGTAGTATGGCTTTGTAATAAATAAAATATCCAAATATTGGTGAAACTCAAATTTTAAGAAAACAATAAAAAACTCATAATATCCACAAGCAATTAGGACCAAATAGGTCAATTCCAAATCTATTATTCTTTCTCCATAGTATTGTTTCCAACAATCTTCATGTTGGGAAAAAGAGCAATTAGGCCTACCTGAAGCCAAATTAAATTCCACTTTGTGTCTAAAATATCAAAAATATCACAACCATTGAGGAATGATTATTGTTTGGATTACTCTCTTAATAACAACAAGCACTTCCAACTTAAAAAAATTGGCATTCCAACAAGCAGATACGAGGCAGTGTTATTGATGATTTTGGCCAAATCCAGTAGATCACACTTATCAAGTGTAAGGCCAAAAAGACTGACCACAATAAATACTAGTCTTGGGAATTGAAAATCAGAAGAAAACTTATTCCCATTTGTGAGGTATTAAGAAGGAGAATCCGATTACCAAGTATCAATCCAATCAAAGTCCATAGAGGACTCACCACAACAAGAATGCGAATCACTGATGCATCAATGAATATATAGGGTGAGACAATTTTGTTAATTTCGTCTCTTGACCACAATCCTAACAATAAATTAATTCCTGGTTGCTGTTAGTTCCTCCATGATGACGAAGTTGGTTTCATTCAAACTTGATGAATTTTTTCCACGTTGAAAATTACAGTAAGTTGACAAAGCAATGTTTGATGTGTTAAATTTTACAGTTGATTGCTAGTAATTTTGATGATGTGTTGAATGAAAAGAATGAAAAGTCATATTGTAAAGTTGTTCTTCTTCACTTGACTTTCCACATTTAAAAAATGACCTCTAAAATAGTTTTTTAAAACTTCAATTTGACTTGCCATCAATCACATCAATCATTCTTTCATTAATTTTTCATTTAAATATTTTTTTAACACACAAATCATCAATTAAAAATCAAAAAAAACAAATCCATTCAAATAATCTATAAAATGTCATTCTGTGAAGACGTTCAAGCCCTCGTTGTCGATAACGGTTCTGGTATGTGTAAAGCTGGTTTTGCTGGTGATGATGCTCCAAGAGCTGTCTTCCCTTCAATTATTGGTAGACCAAAGCAAAAGTCCATTATGGTTGGTATGGGTAATAAGGATGCCTATGTTGGTGATGAAGCTCAATCAAAGAGAGGTATTTTGACTTTGAAGTATCCAATTGAACACGGTATTGTTACCAATTGGGACGATATGGAAAAGATCTGGCATCACACTTTCTACAATGAATTGAGAGTTGCTCCAGAAGAACACCCAGTCTTGTTGACTGAAGCTCCTTTGAATCCAAAGGCAAACAGAGAAAAGATGACTCAAATTATGTTTGAAACCTTCTCAGTTCCAGCTATGTATGTCGCTATTCAAGCTGTCTTGTCCTTGTATGCTTCTGGTAGAACCACTGGTATTGTTTTGGACTCTGGTGATGGTGTTTCCCACACTGTTCCAATTTATGAAGGTTATGCTTTGCCACACGCCATTTTGAGATTGGATTTGGCTGGCCGTGATTTGACTGATTACTTGATGAAGATTTTGATGGAAAGAGGTTACTCATTCAATACTACTGCTGAAAGAGAAATCGTCAGAGATATTAAGGAAAAGCTCTGTTATATTGCTTTGGATTTCGAAGCTGAAATGAAGGTTGCTGCTGAATCATCATCTGTTGAAAAGTCATACGAATTGCCAGACGGTAATGTTATCACTGTTGGTAATGAAAGATTCAGATGTCCAGAAGTTTTGTTCCAACCAAACTTCATTGGTATGGAAGCTGCTGGTGTTCATGAAACTACTTTCAACTCTATTGGTAAATGTGATATTGATATCAGAAAGGACTTGTACGGTAACGTTGTCTTGTCTGGTGGTACTACTATGTTCGAAGGTATTGCTGAAAGAATGACCAAGGAATTGACTGCTATGGCTCCAGCTTCCATGAAGATTAAGGTTGTTGCTCCACCTGAAAGAAAGTACTCTGTCTGGATTGGTGGTTCCATCTTGGCTTCATTGTCCACTTTCCAACAAATGTGGATCACCAAGGAAGAATATGAGGATGCCGGTCCAGGTATTGTCCACAGAAAGTGTTTCTAAATCTATTGATTTTGAAACAATTCAATTCTCCCAAACAAACAACAAAAACTTGTTTGTAATAAAACTATTATGTAAAATTAAAATCAATCTGAATACTTTACTTTATGTGTTGAAGAGTCAATCGCAAACTTGAAAATCTTTCAATCGCAAACTTGATTGTTTGGGTGGTGCAAATGGTTTGGGCCGTATTGGAAGTCTTTCATTAATTATATTATTGCAATGATGATAGGGCAATAGAACATGATGAAAATCTGATAATAAATATGATGTTTATTATCTATTTTAAATAGTAGTAGAATCAGAGAAAGTTCTCCTGCCTCCTATTGACAATTCCGAACAATACTACATTCACAGTTTTCCAACTTGTTCAGTAGATTCAGCAGTGATGATGGATTTAGTGAAAATTTTGGCTCTTCAACCAAAATTACATTACTAAAAATTAATTTCCACAAATACTATTATTATATTGATGGAAAACAATAATGATGATGGTTGGTGAGTGCTCATATGATGGTTCACCAACTGGTATTTTTCCAACTTTAAAAATAAATTCCTATTTGCTGATAATAATCCACTAATAAAAAACAATGATTGTTATTACTATTCGGATGATGTTGAGATGCTGATGTGAAAGTTTGGTGCTTTCATGATGTGAAATCACTCTGAAAATCAGCAAGTCACAACGGATTATTTGTTGAATATTTTTTTTTTCATCTTTTCGGCTTTGAAATTCATTTAAATCTTGAGGGGTGCTTTCTTTCCAGCCAATAATTGTTGTTTGAGCCGTACTGTAGTTGTCGTTTGTTGGATGAAATATGGTGTTGCCTCAATAATTCTTCGGCCACCCCTCTTTAACCAGGAGAATTGATGAGAAAATTTGGCTCGGAAAGTAAGTAAGAAACTGTAGATGAAAAGTTTACAGTTTTTATCACGTTTCGGAATTGAATGTTGCTAATGAATACTGAACATGAAATGAGACAAGTTCATCATGATTTAAAACGACTCTTAATAGGAAGTTAATTTTGCTCCATCGAAATTTTACATCCACAAACATTGGAAACTTCCTTTTGTTCGTTTAGTGAGGACAGAAGTGGAAATGCCAATGTTAGAAGGTGTGAAAGATGTGGTCACTTTATGGCAAGAAGAGGAAACTGTGTTTCCCGTGATTTAGTGAGGAATTGCAACTTGAATGATGATGCAAGACGAATTCGTAATTGTGAAAATTCCGTGACGAGGATTGTTGACATGTTGTTGGCTTATTTAAGCAATTTAATCTTGTTGGTACTTGGCAAATGCACTGTTCAACAAATATCCTATGAAATTGTAACGTGACTTGTTGGCTCATTTCACACAACAATTCCCTTGCCATTAAAATCTTATTAGCTACCATGCTAAAACTATTCGAATTGAAAAAAATATGGCAAGTAACTTGCTGTTCAAAACAACAATACTTTTAATTGTACTTTCTGTAATTGCTGCTGTTGGTCTCGTATCAGCAACATGCAGTTCAGACACTGAATGTTTATTGTCCCAGACATGTGACCTCTTGGGTACAATGGAATGTCAGGATGTTTTCTGTGGTGAAACATTAGATGAACAATCTTGCTATTCTAATGGTAATTGTACTCGTGGTGTTTGTCAATGTTCAGAAGGTTTCATTGGTTTATTCTGTAATGATACCATTACCACTTGTGGTGAAACATTGGAAGAACAAAATTGTTATGGTAATGGTACATGTGTCGATGGTTTCTGCATATGTATTGAAGGTGTGAATGGTACATTCTGTAATGAAACAACTCAAGAACCACAAGTCCCTACTCAACCAGTTAACTGTGGTTTCACAGAAGATGAAAATATTTGTTATGGTAATGGTACATGTGTCGATGGTTTGTGTATTTGTAACGAGAATGTTAATGGTACATTTTGTAATGAAACCTTCAGCATGGAACCACAACCAGAATTGGTTAAATGTGGTACTACAGAAGAAGAGAATAATTGTTATGGCAATGGTACGTGTGAGAATGGTTTTTGTACTTGCAATGAAGGTAGTAATGGTACATTCTGTAACGAAACCAGTCCAGTTCCCAGCCAACCTGAACCAATTATTTGTGGTACAACTCAGGAAGAAAGTAATTGTTATGGTAATGGAACATGTCTTGATGGACTGTGTGTTTGTATTGAAGGCGCTAATGGTACTTTCTGTAACGAAACAGCTCCTGAAATCCCAACTCAACCAGAGCCAGTTAAATGTGGTTTTACAGAAGATGAAAATAACTGCTATGGTAATGGCACTTGTATTGGTGGCTCCTGTATTTGCAAAGAAGGCGCAAATGGTACATTCTGTAATGAATCAAATATAGAACCTGAAATTCCACAACCTTTACAATGTGGTGAAACTTTGGAAGAGAATAATTGCTACAACAATGGAAGTTGTGTAAATGGATTCTGTGTTTGTAATCAAGATGTTAATGGTACATTCTGTAACGAAACTAATCCTACTGAACCTCAAGTTCCAACTCAACCAATTAAATGTGGCGAAACAACAGAAGAAAATAGCTGCTACGGAAATGGAACATGTGTTGATGGTTTGTGTGTTTGCAACGAGAATATTAATGGTACATTCTGTAACGAAACATCTCCAGATCCAGTTGTTCCTGAGCCTGTCAAATGTGGTGAAACTATAGAAGAAAATACTTGTTATGGTAACGGTACATGCATTGAGGGTGTTTGTATTTGTTTTATTGGCGTGAATGGTACATTCTGTAACGAAACAACTCAAGATCCAACTCAACCAGAACCAGTAGTTAAATGTGGTTCGACCGAAGAAGAAAATAACTGTTTTGGAAATGGTACTTGTGTTGATGGCTTGTGTGTATGTTTTGAGAATGTTAATGGCACATTCTGCAATGAAACAACTACAGAACCAGTTACTCCAGAACCAGAACCTGTCAAATGTGGTGAAACATTGGAAGAAAATAACTGTTACGGTAATGGAACCTGTTTAAATGGTATTTGTGTTTGTGATTCAAAGGTAAACGGAACATTCTGTAATGAAACAACTCCTGAAACTCCAATTCCTCATCCTGAACCAGTTAAATGTGGATCAACCATGGAAGAAAACAACTGTTACGGAAATGGAACTTGCATCAATGGTGTCTGTGCTTGTAATTCAAACGTAAATGGTACATATTGCAATGAAACAAATTCTGATTCTCCACAACCTGAACCAATTATTTGTGGTACAACTCAGGAAGAAAGCAATTGTTATGGTAACGGCACATGTCTTGATGGATTGTGCATCTGTGTTGAGGGTATGAACGGAACATACTGTAATGAAACAACTGCTTCAGAACCTCAAATTCCAACTGAACCAGTTAAATGTGGATCAACCATTGAAGAAAATAATTGTTATGGAAATGGAACTTGCATGAATGGTATTTGTGTTTGTATTACCAACGTTAATGGAACCTTCTGTAATGAAACAAGTCATGAGCCTCAACCAGAACCTGTTGTTAAATGTGGTTTCACTGAAGATGAGAATAATTGTTATGGAAATGGAACTTGTTTGAATGGTGTCTGTATTTGTAATTCAAACATTAATGGTACATATTGTAATGAAACAACATCAGCACCTGTTACTCCACATCCTGAACCAATTAAATGTGGTGAAACATTGGAAGAAAATGCCTGTTATGGTAACGGAACATGTGTAAATGGTATTTGTATTTGCAACTCTAATGTAAACGGAACATTCTGTAATGAAACAACTCCAGAAACTCCAATTCCCCAACCTGAACCAATTAAATGTGGATCAACCGTTGAAGAAAATAATTGTTATGGAAATGGAACTTGTTTGAATGGTATTTGTTCATGTTTAGGTGGCTCAAACGGTACTTTCTGTAATGAAACCATTGTTGAACCAATAATTCCACAACCTGAACCAATTAAATGTGGAACAACCATTGAGGAAAATAATTGTTATGGAAATGGAACATGCGTAAATGGTATTTGTATTTGTAATACAAACGTTAATGGAACCTTCTGTAATGAGACTTCTGAAACTCCAACACCTCAACCAGAACCAGTTGTTAAATGTGGTATCACTGAATATGAAAATATTTGTTATGGAAATGGTACTTGCATTAATGGTGTCTGTATTTGTAATTCAAACATTAATGGTACATATTGCAATGAAACAAATACAGAACCAGTTATCCCACATCCTGAACCAATTAAATGTGGTGAAACATTGGAAGAAAATGCCTGTTATGGTAACGGAACATGTGTAAATGGTATTTGTATTTGCAATACAACGTTAACGGAACATTTGCAATGAAAGCACACCAGAATACTCTGTTCCACTGAACCAATTAAACTGTGGATCAACCGTTGAAGAAAATAATTGCTATTATAATGGAACTTGTTGAACGGTGTCTGTATTTGTAACTCAAATATCAATGGAACATTCTGTAATGAAACAACAACGGAAACCCCACAACCAGAACCAGTTAAATGTGGATCTACTCATTTGGAAAATATCTGTAATGGTAATGGAACATGTCTGGATGGCGGTTGTATATGTGTTAATGGATTTATTGGAAAATTCTGTGAAATTCCTTCCTGTTATGGTACTCCAGCTAACGATTCCAAGGTTTGTTCATCCCATGGTTCATGTTCTAGTCTCGATGATTGTATCTGCTCAACAAATTACCACGGAGACAATTGTTCTTTTACAACTTGTAATGGCATCGATTCTCAATCACCTCAAGTTTGTTTTTCGAAAGGTATCTGCAGTGATTTTGACAAGTGCGAATGTAAATCAGGTTATGGACCTGCTGGTGTTTGTAACATGCCAATTTGCAATAATTATTTGGCTAACGAAACTCAATCCTGTGGACAATACGATACATGTATTGCTCCAAATACTTGTGTCTCAAAGAATATCACATGTTTCACTAAGCCAAGAGCTGAAGCTTGTAATCAAGGTACTTGTATTTCTCAAGATATGTGTCAATGTAATAATGGATACAGTGGATTAGAATGCCAGATTCATCAATGTTTTGGAAAGAATTTTACTGATTCATCTGTTTGTTCTGGATCAGGAACTTGTGTTTCTGTTGATAGCTGTTTATGTAAGAGTGGTTACATTGGTTCTGAATGTCAAACATATTCTTGTTCTGGTTTAACCAACTCCAATCAAACTGTTTGTTCAAGAAATGGTCAATGTGTTGGTCCAAATACTTGCCAATGTAATAGTGGATTCTATGGCAAGTTGTGTGAAATTACTTCATGTTTTGGTATTTTGGCCAATCAATCAAGTGTTTGTTCATCTAATGGTAACTGTTCATCACTAAATCAATGTTCATGTAAGAGTGGTTGGGAAGGTCCATCTTGTTCTGAAACAAGATGTTTTAATACTTTGAGTAATTCTTCATCTGTTTGTTCAAGTAAGGGTAAATGTATAGGAAAAGATCAATGTGATTGTTATCCAGGTTTTACTGGTTCTCAGTGTAGTGTTATGGTTTGTGGTAGTGGATATACTGGTAGTGATTGTACTATTCCACTTTGTAACAATCAAACAGGTACATCTGGTTGTAACAAACAAGGTAATTGTACTGCCCCAAATACTTGTGAATGTAATAGTGGTTACACTGGTGATAGATGTCAATACACTACTTGTAATGGATTGAGTGAATCTCAAGGAGGATGTTCGTATAGAGGTTCATGTGTTTCAAAGGATGTTTGTTCTTGTAATGGTAACTTTGATTCATCCAAGTTTTGTTCTAAATGTGTTGATGGTTTTGTTGGTGATAATTGTGATATTCCCGTTTGTTTTGAAATTAGTGCTACCGATAATAGAGTTTGTTCTGGAAAGGGTTCATGTATTGCTCCAAATATCTGTCATTGTTCTGAAGGTTATAATGGTACAGCTTGTCAAACGTTTAGCTGTTATGGAATTGACAAGTCAAGCTCTAGTGTTTGTTCATCTCGTGGTATTTGTTCAGCTCCTAATAAGTGTTCATGTCCAATTAATTACAATGATGGTAAATCTTGTTCAAGCTGCTCACTTGATTATTCAGGAGCTAATTGTAACACTCCAGTTTGTGATAGAGTTCAAACTTGTAATTCCAGAGGTAATTGTGTTAATTTGAAATGTGTTTGTGAAGGTAACTTTGTTGGTACATATTGTGATCAATGTGCTAGTGGATTTGTTGGTTCCAGTTGCTCAATTACTTGTAATAGTGTTAGTAATTGTTCCTCTAAAGGTTACTGTAATAATGATGGCTCATGTACTTGTTATGGAAACTTTGATGCTTCCAGTAATTGTGCCAAGTGTTTGAATGGATGGTTTGGAAGCAATTGTGATTTCCAAATTAATTCTAATAGTTTTGTTTTCACTTCAACTGGTGGGTCAATTATTGGTGAAGTCAAATCAAGTTTATTGAAACAATCAGATTGTTCAGATGTCATTTCTAGCTCTGATTTATCATTGATAGGTTCTGATGCTAAATGTATTTTGAATTCTGCAACTTCCTCTTTGGAAATTATATTAGGAACCAGTGCAAATATTGTACCAGGTAATTCTTTGAGATTATTCAAATTCCCAGGAAGCGCTGAAACATTGTCTGTTACAGTTTCTTCTGGTACATTTGTTGCACTTCCTCCAAGTGTTAATCTAGTTTCTGATAAGAGCTCTGTTTCCAAGTGTGATACTCTATATTTGGATGCTTCTGGATCAGTTTCATCAGATCGTCGTGCATTGTTATTCTCTTGGTATGTCACTAACGGTCCAACTGTTGGTGAAATGAATGCTTTGAATACTTACTTGAGTGGTGTTAAAACTTCAAGCGCTATTGTCGATTTCAGCTCCTCTTCATTGAGTGCAATTTCTGGTGGATCATTCATTATTCAAGTTACTGTCACAACTGCATTCTCTAAAGTTGCCACATCAAGTGTTACCGTGAATGTTGTTAGCAATCCAGTTCCAACTCTATCACTCAGTGAAGGTATTTCTGTGACTTACATGATTGGATCTACTATTGTATTGACACCAGTCATCAAATTCCCAAAGTGTTATTCTGGAAATTATCAAACTGATTATACCTATTCTGTTGATACTTCTTCAGCCTCTAAATCAGTTGTAACTCCAAAATCTAGTAATAATTTATTCGCTATTGGTAAATCCTTCACTGATATTAATAAGGAAGGCGATTATTACTTTATCCTTAGGGCTGTTTCTGACAATGCTAACGATGCATTTCTTCCTTTCAAGGTAACTGCTGTAGCTCAAGATTTGACTATTCAATTCAACATTTCTGACATTACTCAATCAACTCAAGATTCATTGGATTTCTCTGTTGCAGTTGTTGATCCAAGTAGTACGTCTGATTCAGAAACTGTCACTATCACATGTTTTGATATTGTCAACATTAAGTCATGTTCTTCTCCAAATTTAAATCAAAGAACCTTCTCCACATTCCTCTCTGCTGGTGAATACAAGTATACTGCTACTGTTGTTAAGGGATCAAGATCTGCATCAACTAATTTAATTGTTAAAGCTAAGTCCGTTCCAAAGAATACTTTGATTAGAGCTTCAATTACTTCTAATAGCGATCTTTCACTTGTTAGCCCATCATCTGATTTGTATTTGACCTATTCCTCTCTTGAAGTTTTATCATCTCCAACCTTCTTCTGGTTCTCTGATAAGTTTGATTTATCATCACTCACCCAAACTTCCAGCTTTATCAAGATTCCAAAATCATTGTTGAGTGCTGGCGCTTCATACTCTATTAGTTTGAATATTACTGATGGTTCAAAGAATGGTGTTGCTACAACAAGTGTTAATGTAAACTCTCCTCCAACAAGAGGTATTTTCGAAGCTAGTCCACAATCTGGTGTTGCTCTCAGTACCTTATTCGAATTGAAATGTGGAAATGGTTGGACAGACTCTCAGTTGCCACTTACCTATCAATTCTTCTATTATGATGACATTTCATCCTCTTGGACTGCATTGACGGAGAGAACTGAAACTAGATCTACAAGAATCAAATTACCTTCTTCAAGCAGTTCTCAACTCCGTCTTAAAGTTGCAGTTTATGATTCCAAGTTGGCATTTACAGAATCTGAAATTTCTGTAGCTGTTACTCAACCAACTACCACTCAAGCAGTGAATTCTATTGAATCAACTGCGAAGGAAACACCAACCCTTGCTTCCGTATCTGCTGTCATTAAGGTTGTTAGCTCTATTGCTGGTGCAACTGCTGAGCAAAAAGCTGAAATTGCAAAATTGACTTCCAATATGATTCTTTCCTATTTGGACAATCAAGCAAAGGCTCAATCTGTTGCTTCTGAAAATACTAACTCTGCCTCCTCTAAATTGTCAATGATTTCTTCTGGTACTTCAAGTTTGGAATATATTGTCGATGACATTATTTCCAAGATGATCACCAATCTTGCTCAAACTGCTGCTAATGCTGCTTCGAGTGATGAAGTTAAATTGGCTACTGAACTGTTGACAAAGGCGAAGGAAGCTGCTGATAAATTCTATAGATTTATTGTAGCAAAGGGTGTTTCAAAGAGATCATTCTCCAATTCTGATATTACTAATATTCAAGCTACGTATGACAGTTTATCAAGCGCTCTCGTTAAGGATACAGTTGCTGACCTTCCAGCCAACTATATTGTTGCTAATCAAACAACTACTTATTCAAGAAAGGTCAATATTGCAACTTTGAATAATTTACAAGATATTATTAATGGAAATAAGTTCAAAATGGCAGCTAAATTTTCTGATCTTGTTTCTAATTACAAGACTCTCATTCTTAAGGTAAAATCATCAAGTGGCGGAGTCACCAACTCTGTTTCAGATGCTCTTGATATTTCTCTTGCTGAAAAATCTGCAGTTACCGTTTCTAGTTCAAGTTCTATTGCCGAATTGACCTTCTCTACCTCAAAGGATATAACAATGGCAAGATCGGTTTCTGCATATGATGTCTATTGTCAAGTTTACAATTCAGCAACCAATAATTATCAACTCTCAACCAGTTGTTCAGTCATTTCCAAGACCAGTAACTCTGTAACTGTTTCTGTCTCTTCAACTGGCAAATATTTGTTAACTGCTCAACCAAAGGCTATTCCAACACCTGTTGTCTCTCCAAAATCTTCTCCTGCTCCTTTTATTCCAAAGGTTTCAGCTCGTGTCAACAACGTTGCAATGATTTCGTTCAGTGTTTCCTTACTGGTTTCAATCATGATGTGCTTGTTAATGCTTTAAAAATCCATACTAATATCGATATAAACACTTCATTCAATATTTCATAGTACTTATTTCAATCAATTATCTGCTTTTGCTTTTGGAAAATTCCAAGCTCTAATTTCTCTTAAATATTTCAAGTTTTGGATTTCTATTTATTTTGTAATAGTTATCACCACCACTGTGGAGAGCCATGATTCTTCTAGAGATGAAACTACTTGCGAATAAGGAAATAAGGCTGAACAGATGGTTTTTGGTTCAGAATATCTACAAGCTCTTTAATTTGGATTCTACATTTGAGTAAAGGGCCTCCAGAGCAGCTGGCTGTACTTCCACAATTATGGATAGGGTACAGTCCAACCAAAGGAAACTGCCATACCTTCAGGAATAATTTTCCAAACATCTTCAATATCAATTCCCTTTGAGTTTCTCTTAGATCTCCTTTTGAGGCACCTCTTGTAAAGAAACCAATCATTAACGTGGTGTAGATATCTGGAATATCATCTTCGTCTTTGACGTGTTCTAATTGGAGAAGGAATGAAGTACTCTGTATTGTTCAAATCTTCTGTGAAATCATCAGTCACAAGTCTCAACAAAGCCCAATCATTAGAGTCGTCCCTTTTCTTGGCAAAGTCTCCCACTTCCACCACCTCTGCTGTGTATCTTTTGTAATTGTATCCATCATTGAAAGAGTTTGATATTTAAACGTTTGGCTCATCAACGAAATTAAAGAACAATGTTTCCCAAATGATGTCATCTCCCTCTTTAGTTTGAAAGATATATTTCGGTCGTTGATTGCCAATATTCATAAGTAAACATTCATCAATAAACCAATCATCCTGAGGTTTAGCAGGCTCTGGTGCTAATAACATTGTAAAGGATTTTTTTTTGAAGAGACCCGAATAATAATAATTTTATTATTTCACAAAACCATTAAATGAGTTTGGTATTGCAAACCTTCGGATACCTCTTACTCCAATCTCTTAT